TACACTTCCCCTCCCTGCTACCCCACACACTATCTCCGAACCCCCACCACCCCCCACCCCCCCACCCCCCCACCCCCCCACCCCCCCACCCCCCCTACCCCCCCACCCCCTCCCACCCACACCCCCACCCACCCACCCCCCCACCCACCCACCCCCCACCACCCCCACCCCCCCACCCCCTCCCACCCACCCCCCTCACCCCCCACACCCCCCCACCCACCCCTCACCCCAACCCCCCCCCACCCCCTACCCCCCCTCACACCCACCCCCCCACCACCCAACACCCTCACCCCCCCAACCCCCCTCACACCCACACCACCCCCCCACCCCCCCACACCCTACACCCTAACACCCAACACCCACACCCAACCCCTACCCCCTCACCCCCCACCCCCCACCCCCCTACCACCCTAACCCCCTACCCCCCTCCCACCCCCACCCACCCTAACCCCCTAACCCCCACCCCCTACCTCCCAACACCCTACCCACACCCTAACCCCCCTAACACCCTAACCCTCACCAACACCCTAACACCCTAACACCCTACCACCCTACACCCCCAACCCCTAACACCCTCCCTACCCTACACCCTAACACCCTAACCCCCTAACACCCTAACACCCACCCTAACACCCTAACACCCTAAACACCCTAACACCCTAACACCCTAACACCCTAACACCCTAACACCCTAACACCCTAACACCCTAACACCCTAACACCCTAACACCCTAACACCCTAACACCCTAACACCCTAACACCCTAACACCCTAACACCCTAACACCCTAACACCCTATCACCCTAACACCCTAACACCCTAACACCCTAACACCCTAACACCCTAACACCCTAACACCCTAACACCCTAACACCCTAACACCCTAACACCCTAACACCCTAACACCCTAACACCCTAACACCCTAACACCCTAACACCCTAACACCCTAACACCCTAACACCCTAACACCCTAACACCCTAACACCCTAACACCCTAACACCCTAACACCCTAACACCCTAACACCCTAACACCCTAACACCCTAACACCCTAACACCCTAACACCCTAACACCCTAACACCCTAACACCCTAACACCCTAACACCCTAACACCCTAACACCCTAACACCCTAACACCCTAACACCCTAACACCCTAACACCCTAACACCCTAACACCCTAACACCCTAACACCCTAACACCCTAACACCCTAACACCCTAACACCCTAACACCCTAACACCCTAACACCCTAACACCCTAACACCCTAACACCCTAACACCCTAACACCCTAACACCCTAACACCCTAACACCCTAACACCCTAACACCCTAACACCCTAACACCCTAACACCCTAACACCCTAACACCCTAACACCCTAACACCCTAACACCCTAACACCCTAACACCCTAACACCCTAACACCCTAACACCCTAACACCCTAACACCCTAACACCCTAACACCCTAACACCCTAACACCCTAACACCCTAACACCCTAACACCCTAACACCCTAACACCCTAACACCCTAACACCCTAACACCCTAACACCCTAACACCCTAACACCCTAACACCCTAACACCCTAACACCCTAACACCCTAACACCCTAACACCCTAACACCCTAACACCCTAACACCCTAACACCCTAACACCCTAACACCCTAACACCCTAACACCCTAACACCCTAACACCCTAACACCCTAACACCCTAACACCCTAACACCCTAACACCCTAACACCCTAACACCCTAACACCCTAACACCCTAACACCCTAACACCCTAACACCCTAACACCCTAACACCCTAACACCCTAACACCCTAACACCCTAACACCCTAACACCCTAACACCCTAACACCCTAACACCCTAACACCCTAACACCCTAACACCCTAACACCCTAACACCCTAACACCCTAACACCCTAACACCCTAACACCCTAACACCCTAACACCCTAACACCCTAACACCCTAACACCCTAACACCCTAACACCCTAACACCCTAACACCCTAACACCCTAACACCCTAACACCCTAACACCCTAACACCCTAACACCCTAACACCCTAACACCCTAACACCCTAACACCCTAACACCCTAACACCCTAACACCCTAACACCCTAACACCCTAACACCCTAACACCCTAACACCCTAACACCCTAACACCCTAACACCCTAACACCCTAACACCCTAACACCCTAACACCCTAACACCCTAACACCCTAACACCCTAACACCCTAACACCCTAACACCCTAACACCCTAACACCCTAACACCCTAACACCCTAACACCCTAACACCCTAACACCCTAACACCCTAACACCCTAACACCCTAACACCCTAACACCCTAACACCCTAACACCCTAACACCCTAACACCCTAACACCCTAACACCCTAACACCCTAACACCCTAACACCCTAACACCCTAACACCCTAACACCCTAACACCCTAACACCCTAACACCCTAACACCTGATTTTGATTTTAGCTATTATTTTATTATTTTTTTTTTTCAGGCTTGCAAAAATGAAAAGCATAATTTCAAAACAATATTGCATAAAAAAAATAAACATTTACAGATTTTTTGATCTATGCCTTGAAAATATTTGCAGAAAACTTGTGAAATTTCATATTATAGATCTATATTTTATTTAAGTTCATAAATTCACCTTTAATCAAGAAGGAATTGCTATTTGATTAAATTTTTTATTTTGCATTAAGGATTATTAACTTCTCTAAATATAATTGATAAATTCTATTTGTTCAAAATTATTTTAAATTATTAAATTACAAAGTGCTCATTCTTTGTTGCTATTCTCGAAAAAAAAAAACTTCCCTCAGCTGCATTTTTATGCTATTTTTCGATTTAATTAGCTCTCTATATTCACTCCTACTTGATAACTTCATCTTAATTGGCTTTGGTGTAGTTGTGATCGCATTTGATAACATTTGTCCTGAAAACTCATAAGGAATTGTCTTCAGCTCAACTGAAGTCTCCCTTCTGAGCTTTGTTGGTGAATCAAAAGAATGCTTCCTACAAAATCCTCGGAAATTCATATGATGTGGATTTGTTGAAGGTGGAAACTTATAAGGCTCTTTAATTCCTGAGCATCTTCTAGCAATAAATTGGTTGCTTTGAAAGAGCTCCTTTTTCCTTTTAGTCCTAATAATCGAATGATAAAAAGACTTCCTTCTATTAAGGTCATCAAATGAACTGTTTGTGTTCTCTAGTTTATCTTCTTCAGTTGGTATCCTAATTATGAGTTTTCTTTGGGATTTTGGGGAAAAAGAATGCTCAGAATCTATAGAATTTTCCCATAGATGGCACTGTTTGCCCTTGATTTGCCCATTGAAGAAATTTTTTTGGTTTGACCAAACCATATGGTACTGATCGAACCAAAAAGTTTTCACAGTGGGCAAATCAAAGGCAAACTGCGCCATCTATGGGAAAATTCTATAGAGATTTAAATCTTTTGTTCATAATCCATATGGATTATTTATAGTTTAATTATCCATTTGAGTATTTAGCCATTTCTATGATGGTCATAATATTAAGCAGAATGTTTTGGAGGAGTTTCATAAAGGAAAAGTTTCATAATAAATGTTTATTTATGAAGGAAATTATAACCAAAAAATGTTTCTCTTTGAATTAAATTTGCAAAAAAACATCATTGAAAATTCTGAATTTTTGGATAATTTGTGGAGATTTGTAGATAAAATTTGAAGAAAAAAAGATTTTGATGCAAAAAAAGACGATTTTGAGTAAGATGTCCCATATTTATGGAATAAATTAATAAATTAGTTTATTTCGAATAATATCCATCAAAAAAGAAATAAGCATAGATCTTTGTTTTCTGAAGATTTTTATTGATATTCTAAAATATTACCCGTCGATCCTTATGATGCTTTCATTAAAATAAAGATAAGGGGTTTAGCTAACTCCCCCCCCCATCCTTGATCGAACGATTGACTGTAAAAATTCCTAAAAATTGGTGAAATTAACCCCCATCCTTGATCGAATGATTTTCATATCATGCAAATTTTTATATATATAAAAATATAATAGTTATCAAAAGCTTGGGAAAATGTACATAATGAAATTGTTTTCAGAGACTTTGAGACGAGAGAAAGCTTCGGAATCAACCATTAGAAGTGATTTAGTCATCAACCTACGCTTAAAAACTCAATAATCTAATAAAATAGAGATTCTTTAAAATTTATAAAAAACAAAATTTAATTTAATAAGGAAAAAATTAAAATTTATACAGTTAAAGGGGCAATTAATAAATTAAAATATAATAAATTGGTATTTTTATGAAAGTAATTCAATTTTTTGCAGTAAAAATTATTAAATACTCTTAACCCTCTTATTTAAAAGTAAATAAAAAGAAATATATATATATATATATATTTTATATATAAAAATTTTTTTTTTAACCCCCATCCTTGATCGAACGATGGCGATTCGTTCGATCAAGGATGGGGGGGAGTAAGGAATTTAATTATTATAATAAAAATTCGCAAAATTTAGGTTTAGAAATTTATGTTTCTTTGTTATATTTCAAATTCAATTATATCTTATCATATTATTCATATAAATAATGCTGTGCATTTATAATAAAAAGCTCTTGTCTGATCGGAAAAATAATTTTTTATATGATTTTTGAAATAGAAATGAATTGATGTAAATAATACAAATAATTAAAAGTAATATATTTTTAAAATGAAACAACTTTGGTGCTAAATAGAAATTTAATTTGCAGACCATATTCTATTAAAGCGCTTATTTTGATAATAAAATTATTTATTTATTTATTTTCCTTGATGATTTCAGTTCTTTTATTTGTAGCAGGTATTTCAATTGACAAGAAAACAGAAGACTTACAATTTGCATTCGGGGATTATGCTTTATATTGTTTTATCTCAGTCTCTTTAGTTCTTTTTACAGGCTTTATGTCAGGATTAACAGTAGGCCTGCTTATTCTTGCGAATTTCTTAAAATTATATTTATGTTTTTACTATATATTAAATTATTCAATAAAAAATGACCAATTCTCAAATGAATTTATTCCACACATATAAAATAAAAATGACATCTTTTATCAAAATTTAAAAAAAAATTCTAATCGTAAAAAGTGAAAATTAAACTTATACTTTAAAATGCGAACTTATATTAATTATCACTTATATATAAAAAATATATTTGCTCGCTCAATGAGTGTGAATTTTGGGCAAAAGTAGGGACATTTCAAAGGTTTTTTGTTTTATCAAGGAGGAGGTGAGTAGTTAGGGATATCAAATCTTTTTCGAAAATTGCAAAAAACGAGCCAAACAATATTTAAGTGAAAAGGAAATTCCAAAATATGGTGAATTATTATATGTGTATTAAATTTGATATTGCCCCAAAATTTAATGGGTCGCATGATATCAAAGCTTTGAGAGCTTATCGATAAAGAAACCCCTAACGCTATATAGGGGTTTCCCCTAGATAGCTTTACACTGCTGTGAATTTTGTCCGGAATCCTTTGGCTGGCCAAACCAACTCACTACGTTGGTCGGACCAACCCACCTGTTGGTTCGACCAAACAAAGAATTCGGACAGAATCCACAGCCCTGCAAGGGCTATCTAGGGGAAAACCCTATAGAAGTCATAAGAGGAAAATCATTAGTGATGTTGGCCCATAAGTAGCTGGAAGACCTGAAGCTGAAAAGTATCTTAAATCATGTTATTAGAAGAATTGATGAGCTCTTACCTAGAGAACTTAGATAGTAAAAATATTACAAAATTATGAACAACTGACTTTTTAACAGTAATAATGAAATTTAACTGGGAATGGGCTGAATTTGCTGCTTTATGTGACTGCATTAAATGATCTTGGAGTTTTAGAATATCTAGAAGCTAAATTTTGTGAATTCTACCTGATCTTAATAATATGTAGACAATATTAGTATTATTTATGAGTTTTTGATGAATGCCATAAAATAAAGGATCAAACAATTTTTTGCTCGAATTAAAAATCATTATTCAGCTAAAGATTTAATCTGAAAGATTTTAGCATCTTACAATATTTCATAATTATTTAGGGAATAACATCTGATTCAAGTTTAGATCAGAGAAAGTTATTTAACTTTTAAGAGTCATTCTCCTTAAAGCTGAAGTCAATATCAAATGGAAGCTTACTTTCATCCAAATCAGTCTGAATGGGGCGAGTAAGGCGTAAAAATCTTGTTGAAATCATCTTTTAAAGTCCATTGATAGCATTGTCAAACCCAATGGAAATCAAATTGAGCACATAAAATATAGAACTTTAATTAGATTCTAAATAAGACTAGAGGTAAGGAAAGTTAATTAGCCTTCTAGAAATGTTTTGCATAAAACTGGAGACAATAACTATTGGCAAATTTAGTAAGCATAAGCTGAAATCTTATTGAAAATACCTTTAAGAAGATTAAATAAATATCAATATCTCTTCATAATAAATTATAATTATACTTGACTTTTAATAAACAGTTCATTTCTATAGATAAGCTGCAATTTCAGCAACACCTTAAAATATGAAGACAAAAATTTACATAATGAATGCATACAAATGGTTTTATTTATGTAATAACTCTCCTCAAACCATTTAAGATTAATTTTCATTTGCCCTTGAGGACTTGCATTTAAAATTTTATTAGATAAAGTTAAATGGTTATAGTCTAGTTCGAAAATTCAAAATTTCAGCCTTTCTTTTTTTATTTCAAATTGAGGTCCTTCGGCCCTGGCATTTTAATCTACATCTTAATCTTTACTCAAACTCTTTGTAATTATGAAAATATTTTTAGACAAGTTTTAAAAGAAATCGACTCTGATTCTACAAAAATTGGCAGCTATGCTGAAAAAATCTTACAAGCACAAAAACTCTCGAAATTAGATAAAGATCCAGCTTTAAATTTGTTAGCATTACAGTCAAATGAAGCTATTGAAAAAGCTAAAGCAATATTTACAGTAATATCAAATAATAATATCGGGCTATTCTGTGAAATAGAAAAACAAATTGATGCAGTTATCAAGAGCTTTTACCAAAATAAGTCAAAAGCTATTCCACAAGAAATGCATTTTGAATTTAAAAAAATTGATATAAACTTTGAGAAGGAAAAAGAGAATTTACCGGAAGCATTAAGTAAGTTCAAAGAAGCTATTAGAATTAATCCAAATAATGCTGAAGCATACAATGGCATAGGACTTATCTTCTTTAATGAAAAGAGATATGAAGATGCATTAGAACAATTTAACGATTCAGTTAGAATCAATCCAAACAATGCAATTTATTATATGAATAAAGGAAAAGCTCTTAGAGAGTTAGGGAGAAGAGAAGAAGCTATGGAATGATATAAAGAAGCTATCAGAATTGATCCAAATAATGCTAAAACATACAATGACATAGGAGATATCTTCTATAATGAAGAGAGATATGAAGAAGCAATAAAACATTACAATGATGCAATTAGAATCGATCCAAACAATGCAATTTATTATTTAAATAAAGGAATGGCTCTTGAAGAGTTAGAGAGAAGAGAAGAAGCTATGGAATGCTATAAAGAAGCTATCAGAATTGATCCAAATGATGCTAAAACATACAATGACATAGGAGATATCTTCTATAATGAAGAGAGATATGAAGAAGCAATAAAACATTACAATGATGCAGTTAGAATCGATCCAAACAATGCAAGTTATTATTTAAATAAAGGAAATGCTCTAGATGGGTTAGGCAGAAGAGAAGAAGCTATGGAATGCTATAAAGAAGCTATCAGAATTGATCCAAATAATGCTGATGCATACAATGACATAGGAACTATCTTCTTTAATGAAGAGAGATATGAAGAAGCAATAAAACATTACAATGATGCAGTTAGAATCGATCCAAACAATGCAAGTTATTATTTAAATAAAGGAATTGCTCTATATGAGTTAGGGAGAAGAAAAGAAGCTATGGAATGCTGTAACAAAGCAAAGAGTTTATAAATGCTTAATCTTATTAATTATAAAGAATATTCTGCATAGATTGCTCTTATTGCATATAGCATATAAAAATATTAAATATAGCAGTTAAAGCAAAATTTATTACTTTTACATTACAAATTTATACTAATTTTAAGATAGAAGTGTGAATGAAAATTAATGTATTATGAAAATCAAACAGAATATGAAACCAAAGCATCATGATGCTGGTAGCACCGACTCAAAGAGCGTTGAAGCAATAGCCGTGACCTCTGTCAATACTGGTGAAACTGCTTGTGAGCATATAGTATTTACATTAAAGCCACAGACCTATTGAAAAATAAAAGGGACATGTGATATTAAGAAATTATTCAAAACCTGATACTATTATAAAAATATTTGCTTTGAAATTAAAGATCTATATATATAGCATAAGTTTCTTGCATTAAACAAAGTGCAAGGCATTAAGCTCCTCAACTGACAGTGCCCTATTAGATTTTAAAATAAAGAGCGAAGTTCTTTGCTCATGCTCAGTCCGTTATCGATTTAAATATCTTAGGTGAAGACCAAATAAATAGTGATTGAAAATTTAAATGGTATCTCCATTTTTTAATTTTTACAAACTCAAATATTTTGACAAATTAACAAGAAAATAATGTGGGAATATTTATAAGATGTTATGATAAATTTAATTCTTCAACAATTTATTGTCATATTGAGCTTCATCTTTACTCAAGCCAAGATTATACTAAAGATTTGTAATCCTGCACCTAATGGAGTCTGCAATATAAAACCTATTAATTACCTAATCGGCAAATTGCTGTTTGGGAACTTATCTTTCAAATCACATGCTGTTTCTTCAAATAAACTCCATTTTACTCTAAAAGCTAAAATAAGTCAAGATAATGCTGGATTTTTATGGTTCACTATTGGAGAGTCATCCTCACCTCACTGGCAATAACCACTTAATATTTTTATTTTTCTGTATACCATAATTGATTCTATCTTTATTCAAAGAATCAAGATAAGTCATGATTATTAAAGATCTTCCTATTTTCAATTCAAGTTCCTACTCTCATAAAAGCAGATCATTAAGGGTGAAATGTAGAAAATTAAACCTTTCATAAGTGATTGAGGTTCTATCGCTTTTTAGATTATTTAAATTCAATAATAGGCTGATTGAGGAGTTGAGTAACTTGATCTTTGCTTTGTTTAAATATTTGCGTCTTAGAAATAGACTGCGCCTTCTATTTAAACTCTCTGAGGTTTTACAGAAAAAGCTCAAAAAAGTTATAAATGTATTTAGAATTTATTGGGTGCTATTGGCTTATACTAGCAATGCAGTTTGAGGTTTTAGATAATTAATATTAAATCATATTAAAATTAATCAGTTACTCAAACTCTTTGTAATTATGAAAATATTTTTGAACAAATTTTAAAAGAAATTGACTCTGATTCTACAAAAATTGGCAGCTATGCCGAAAAAATCTGCCAAGCACAAAAACTATCAAGAATAGAAAAAGATCCAGCTTTAAATTTGTTAGCATTGCATTCAAATGAAGCTGTTGAAAAAGCTAAAACAATTTTTACAGTAATATCAAATAATAATATCGGGTTGTTCTGTGAAATAGAAAAACAAATAGATGCAGTTATCAAGAGCTTTTCCCAAAATAATTCGAAAGTTATTCCACAAAAACTGCATTTTGAATTCAATAGAATTATAAAAAACTATGCAAATGAAGTGGGGAATTTACCGCCAGCGTTAAGCGAGTTCAAAGAAGCTATCAGAATTGATCCAAATCATGCACATGCATACAATAACATAGGAAGTATTTTAAAAAATGAAAAGAGATATGAAGAAGCAATAAAACATTACAATGATGCAATTAGGATCAATCCAAACTGTGCAACTTTCTATATAAATAAAGGGAATGCTCTTAGAGAGTTAGGTAGAAGAGAAGAAGCTATGGAATGCTATAAAGAAGCTATCAGAATTGATCCAAATAATGCTAAAACATACAATGACATAGGAGATATCTTCTTAAATGAAGAGAGATTGGAAGAAGCAATAAATCATTACAACGATGCAATTAGGATCAATCCAAACTGTGCAATTTATTATTCAAATAAAGGAAATGCTCTAGATGGGTTAGGCAGAAGAGAAGAAGCTATGGAATGCTATAAAGAAGCTACAAGAATTGATCCAAATGATGCTGATGCTTACAATGACATAGGAACTATCTCCCATAATGAAGAGAGATATGAAGAAGCAATAAAACATTACAACGATGCAATTAGAATCAATCCAAACAAAGCACTTTATTATACAAATAAAGGAAATGCTCTCTTTTGGTTAGGCAGAAGAGAAGAAGCTACGGAATGCTATAAAGAAGTTATCAGAATTGATCCAAATGCTGTTGGTGCATACTATAGCATAAATTATCTTTTATAATGAAAATAGATATGAAGTAGCAAATAAACAATTTAACGATGCATCATCATAAATTAGATGATGTATTATTAGTCAAAGCCATATAAAACGTCTGCTTAACTAAAGAATCCTATGAGCGATATTATATTCATTATATTTGAGAAAGAGTCCAGTAAGGATCTTCTAATTAATCACGACTGCTAATAAACTTCTAAACAGGCTTAATTATCAGTATAATCATCCAATTTATATTATGCAGCAATATACTTTTTTAGTTTAAAAATATTTCCATTTTTTGCTAAAGAGGGAAATAGCTTGAATATACAATATTTTGCATAAACACCAAAAATTGCAAACATAATAGGGCATGTTTGAGTTTTATCGTTAATGATATTATAAAGCAAGCAGAAAGATAATTCTATTGCAGAAACATCAAAGATGTGGCATGATGCCTTCAAATTATTAGTTTATTATGACTAATTTTACCAAAAAATAGCAATTTTCAGTCATAACTTGTATGAGCTTATCAAGAAATCATATAAAGAGAAATCTAAATTTTTATACTTTTTTATGAGTGCTTTAGATCGCATTGCTTGATTTTCACCTTTATTGTCATTTAAGTAAGAGCTGCTATTTTATTAGCTAAATTAATTTCAATATGAAGGTTTTTTACAGTAAGAATATGAATTATTCTTAATTCTGCATTTTAAATTTTTATAGTGATCATAATTTTTATTTTCAGATTATTAATAAGTTCGTAGTGTATAATTTATGAACTTACTGTTCATAAATTTTTTAATTAAATCTTTTTATTTTCTTAATATTTCATTTATGACTGAAGCTGAAGCCAGTTATTGCCAGGATGGCAACTTTTGGAAGTTCCCCAACAGAAAATCTATTAAAAATGCAATTTTCGAGCTTTATTACCAGCTCTACTATAAATTCAGTTGTGAACAAAATTCTATACCTTGACAAAAAGGTAAAGTAGCAGCAGAAGGTATGATATGATGCCTCCAAATAATAAGCTTACTGTGGCTTCCAGATATGTCTATCAGCAATTGAAATAAAAATATGATCATATGGAAGATTATAGGATATTTAAAATTTGACAATGTTTGCTCAGAATTAGGGATTATCAGCGAATGCTTAGTTTTATCTGTCTTATTTACCTGTACTAGTTTTTTGATATTTATTAGTTTTTTTACTGCTATTTATAATTCTTATAGCATACCCATTCTTATTTTGAACACCTTTCGCTACCTTTTTATGATAATCTGCAAAAATTTCTACCTAGGCTTGTTCAGGAAAATATAAAAATTATATAATTTTTTCTAAAAATTAAGATATTATAAAATCTATATTGCTGATAAAAAATTTTTATTGCTGAATTAATATTCCCAATCTAATATAGTTTATGGATAACTTTTTTTTTTATACCCTCGATTCAGCTTTTTACAATTTTTCTTAAATACAATTTTTTTCCTCAGGATAAAATTGCAGAATATCAAAATCACAATGATTTTTCTGAGTTTGAAATTAGCTTGCTATTTCAAATTGGGATAATATTCTCAATTATATTTGCATTGGTTCTAATTTTGTTAAACACACAGTTTTCTGGAGATATTCGACATTCTCTGCATAAATTAGTAATAGTTGCTAAAGCACACTCACAAGTTGATACTCATATAGCTATTTTTACGTATCTTTTACCAGTTTTTTATGCTATACTTGCTAAAAACTTTATTATATATTTGCAAATATTAGCTATTATTTTTTCAGCGATTTTGATCAGAGAAACTATGGTAATTCGCCCTTATTTTTCTTTTTATTACACCTCAATAGCTATTTTGCGATTATTTTTTATATCATTTGTTTCTCTTATTTTTATTTTGGGTCGATTAATGGACAACTCATTAGTTATTTCTATACTTGCCATTATTTTAGGGCCATTATTGTCTATTTTTATCGTTCTGTTTACGAAAAAATCAAAAATTGCTAAAAATATCCCTGAAGACATTCAAAATATAAATTCTGAATACGAATTAGAAAAATATTTAAGACATGCATTATGCTCAAACGATTTTGAAAATAAAGACAAGATAATTCAAATTTTTGAAAATTTCTTTATAGATAAAAGGTTAAATTGTAGTAAACTCCTTTCCATATGAGAAGCAAACTATTGTCTATTTACATTAGAAGATAAAACATTAGCCAATATCAAGATTGCTAAAAATAAAGAAATTTCTGATTTAAATATGGAAGCGAATTATCAAGAATATTTATGCAATAAAATTATCTTAAGCAACCACTTATCTGACAGCTTAAATTTTTCTAACTTTTTTGCTGAATTCCAGAATGCTAAAAGAAAAGATAAAGAATTATGCATCAATTTACTGAGTTTTTTAAATGAAATTACTTCTATTAAGCCAAATTTGAAATATTTAAAAAAGCAGTTGAACTCAATAGATGAAAATATTTCAGTTTTGAATAAGCAATATAGCCAGTTATCGGTAAAGTATTTCAATTCTAACTCGCCTGGTCCGTATCGAACAAAATATTTTGTTCGCTCATGAAGGGGGGTTAATTTTCTTAAAAAATTTATATATAAATTTATAGAAAATTTATTTTTTCGAAATTAAAAAAATCATAATTCACAAAAATTGGAAATAAATAGCTATTTAATTGGTAAAAATTTATCTTTTAAAATGCAAGCTGTTTAGTTTTAAATTAAAAAATGTTAGCTAGAGATTTGACTATAATTATCACTTATATATTTTTTTTTCTAAAAATTATTATATTAAAAAAGTTTATTCGCTGGCGGCTTTTTGAGTAAAAAATAGGGATTTTTTCAAAAATTTTTTTTCATTCATGGAGGAGGAGTAAAGAACTTTTATCTCTTTATGCTTCATATGCAAAAGATATCATTTATGATTTAGAAAAATCTGCATTAATTGAGATGAAAATAAGATCTTTCGATAAAGTTTTTTCTAGTTCTATTATCGATTCTAGCACTTTCAGCTTTTTAAATGAAAATAATGGAATTTTAATTATTTCAAATGAATTTGAAAACTTTGGAGAAATTCTCTATGCAAATCACAAATCAGCTGAAATTTTAAGACTTCCTTTAAATAATTTTATCAATGACAATTTTTTTAATTTTTTCCATCCTTACCATAAAGAAAGAATTTCAAACGGAGCCAAGAAATTTGTTCAATTTAGTTCATCATTAGAAACATACTTAAGCCAAGGCTTTTTTTTAAATCTCCCAAACAATTTATTAGAATGCGTTGGAAAACTATCGGTTACAGTAATAAATAATTTTATTGTCTCTATATTGATTTTTAGAGAAAAAGAAATCAAGAATCAAGTTGCCTTAATTTCTGATGATTACGAAATAATTTGCCACTCACTCCCCCCCATCCTTGATCGAACGATTGACTGTAAAAATTCCTAAAAATTGGAGAATTAACCCCCATCCTTGATCGAACGATTTTCATATCATTTCATTTTTTTATATATATAAAAATATATTAGTTATCAAAAGCTTGGGAGATGCACCTAATGAAGTTGTTTTCAGAGACTTTGAGACGACAGAAAGCTTTGGAATAAACATATGAAGTGCTTTAGTCATCATCCTGGGCTTAAAAACTTAATAATCTAATAAAATAGAGATTCTTTAAAAATTAAAAAAAAAATAATATTATTTAAAAGTAAATAAAAAAAATATATATATATATTTTTTTTTATATATAAAAGTTTTTTCCCAAAAAATTTTTTTTTAATCCCCATCCTTGATCGAAGACTCGGGATCGTTCGATCAAGGATGGGGGTGGGGAGTCAGCTAATTTTCAAAGATTCTTAGGAAATCCTAATAATAATTTTGCAGGAACAAATATCAAAAATTTATTTTTTGATTCAGAGGAATTTGATATCAAGCCTTTTGTCGCTTATTAGATTAGATCATGATGGGAATTTATAGTCCCCTTTTCCTGAAGCACTGTGCGTTTCACAGTCGATACCTGCAGGGTGGTTCACTTAAAGCAGCTTGAGCCCAGGCCGAAACCCCGGTTTTATGGTATAGGATTTTCCCTCCTTATCTAGCCAAAGCCAGATTTTGCTGAAACCTCCATTTTTAGCCCAAGTACCAAAATTGCCACCATGCATAGCTTAGGCCTGATTGTCCATTGAGGGACCCTTTTATACTGGAGAGATCTTCGTCCAGCCTTTATTGCCTTTTTTCTCCAGATTATCTTCAAAGAAAATCTCAATGTGCTTACGCAGATTCTGGACGGCGGGTAAGCCGCTCTGTCTCTATCAGACACTGACTCTGGGCCTCGAGCCACTAATCAGCTGGAATAGTGCTAGGCCTCTCGCTTTTAAGTCCGGATATATATAAGGACACCCACCACAGGGAGGACAGGTCACTCGTCACCGGCCATTTTATATATATTCTTTTTTTGTAGCTTATACATTACCCAATTTTTTCAATAAAATGCATTTAGTCTACTCATATTACGAAATTTATGGAATAAAAGTCCCTTATGCAATATTAATAAAAGGAGACGAAGGAATCAAAACATGGAAGATTGAAGAGCTTGTCCCTAATAATAAAACGGCAAATTTGCAGGTTGTGAGCAGTCTTTTGTCAGCAAAGCTACCAGAATCGTTTGCTACTTTCAGAACTATTAGCTCATTTCAAAAAGAAAATCACTCTGAAGAAGATTTGGACTCAAAAATGGATTTATATCGATTTACTAACGAAGCCCCTGACAAATATGATTTTTCAGATAAAAATGACGAAAATAAGTCCCAGTACTCAGCGAGTTCGTCTCAAAACAAATTTCTCAATATGCTACAAATTTCATCAAAGTCCATTAATATCCTTCATCTGGCTTTTATTTTTGCTGTGATTTTTATTTAGGTTTTAACTGTTTTAGCCGTCAATATAGCAGTATTGGTCTATGCTTTTTCTAAAATTAATATAATAAGCGATGTGGAGCTGCCATTATATATTGGAAGAGCTGGAAAATATTTTCAGCAAGTTGCTTTATATTCTCATATGGTCTTTCAGTGCTATGTTTCTCAAATGCCTGAAGCAATCGCTCTTGTGCCAGACATATTCAGTAGAGATGTGAACTCCTTACTTTCCCCCTCCGTGAGCTAACAAAACCATTGCAAATTCTATATTTTTTGAGTAGAAACCCACCCTCCAATAGAACAAAAACCATTTTAATATCAAAATTTTTTATGAAAATATATTTTGATATATGAATAATAATTAGTATAATGAAATCTCTGCCTATTTCTCTTTAATTTTAAACAGCTTTTATTTTAAAAGCATAAATTTCGTCTGTGAGTTTATATTTTAAAAAATAATAAAATATTAAAAATTAATACCTCTGTAAGCAAAAAAAAATTTTGTTGAATCACGGAAGGGAGCTGGCAGATTTTGAAACGCTTTACTCGAATATGACAATAAAGTCAAAAAATTGAAACCACTGTTCAGGTCAAACCATTATAAACGATGTAAATGTTGATTTATGACCAACAGATGGCGGAGTTAATCCAAAAAAAGTAAATTTGGTGAAAGCTGTAGCAGAATTTATAAACCATGTATAATTTATTTAGGGAAGGGATTTTACAAATAAATTTAATGACAGTTCAAGTTCGTTTGGAAACATATATGATCAGCTCCTTTTTTTAATGATGAATGGGTATGGAGAATCACTCGATTACTGCTATAGTTCGTTAAATGATATAATAAACTGTCAAGAATCTACAATGGGAGACTTTAGAACCCAAATGTCGGTTCTTTTGTTGTCAGGGCCTATTGTTCTTGCTTTGTGTATTGTGCTTATATTTCCTTTTTACTATTCAATTTTTAAAATCGAAAATGAGTTTTGGAGTAATGTCAGAAAAAGTGTTTGTACCTCATATTTTGACTACAAACAAGCAATTTTAGATAGATTAAGAGACGTCCACTTTGAGGAAAATATTACATTTTCCAATCAAAAACCTTCTAAAAATCCAAGCACTTTTAAAAGCTATTCAAGGTATTTTTGAAGAGCGATTATTTATTTTGCAATTGTTTCTTGTTTTTGCTTAATAAATGTCTTTTATCTTTATGATCAATGTGCAAAATATCTATCTAATCGGCCTGAGGTTATCAAGAATTTAATTCAATCACAACTCTTGTATACAAACTTAGTTATATGAACATTTCAAACCGCATCAAATATGTGGGGTTATCCATTTTGCCTGAAATTTCCTTCTGGATGCCCTTTTCCTCAATCTGACACCAAGCTTAGCGAGATTCTAACAAATATCCAAATCACAGCCTTAGCTTTAAGAAATCCCAAATTTTCCGATATTTTATCTCAAGAATTTAAAAATCTGTTATATAAAAACAATCCAGAATTTTCAAAGGATTTTTTTGAGTTTGGAACTTATTCAGCTCAGAATAGCTTAAAGTTTGAAATGCATGCTCATGCGTATGTAAGTTCTCCTCCAATTGAATTATTAACTTTCATGTGAGACACACTGTATATCGCTGATTTTTATGATAGAACTGTAACTGAAATTGATGATTATTCAAAAAGTGTGATTAATAATCAAATGAATATTATTGCTATTTCGCTAGCTGGCTTTGTTTTATGCACATTTGTAGCTTATATTGGATTTTATTTGCCTTTTTTCAAATATGAAAAAAAATATTTGCAAAAAATAAATTCGATTCTTAAAATCATACCTAATAAATAATAGATTAAAAGTAAATTGTAATAAGAAGTAATCTCTTTTATTCCAAAGCAATATATAATGAGTGGAATTACAATAGCTTTTTTAATGTGAATTTTTAATAAATAAATAAAATAATTTGACTGGACTGGAGAATAAATGCCACAAGAATAATGATAGTTTAATAAAAAATGAGAGCTCGCACAATATATATATATAAACCTTATTTATTTTAGTGACTAGATAATTCAACAGAGCGGTGGTATTATCTATTTGCTCTAATTGATTATATTAAGTCTCTAGCTCCTGTTTGTGTCAAAAAATATCTCTTGTCAGAGCTCTAACTCCCCCTCTGTGAGCGAGCAAGCTTTTAAATAGCAATATAGCCCATGACTTGCTATAGTTCGGGCTGTGCTTGACTCCCTATGCCACTTAGGGAGTTGAAAAGCCAGCATTTGTTGGTAAAATCAACTCCTTTGTTGGTATATCAGCCTGATAATAGAGATTTACCACCCAGGAACTTGTTTTACCATCAAATGTTGATTTATCAACTCCCTGAGCGCCGCCTGAGTTTTCCGTACAGCCAGAGCTATTACAAAAATCGAGCTATAGTCTATCAACATAATCTAAAACATATTTAAAAAAAAGAAGGTAAGTTTAGATTTTGGGAGATTTTTTTAAAATTTTCATCTAATCATAAGTTTAGTTTTATACTATAATTCAGTTATTTTTTTATTTCTAAGTCGGAAATCGCAAGAAATTAATTTTGAATCAATCAGTGCTTTTATATTGTTTACTACCGCGCCTTGTGCGCAAACAAAACCATTGGAAAAATCCTATTTTTTGCCCAAACCCACCTATCTTAGCTAAAACAAAATTTTGTGAAAAATTTTTGATAATAAGTGATTATTAGTATAATGAAATCTCTGGCTAATTCTGTTTAATTATAAACAAATTGCGTTTTAAAACATAAATTTTGCAAATTAAATTAATTTACTTCTCATCATGAGTTGAAATTTTGTAAATTTTGAAAAAAAAGTTTACATAATATTTATATAAAAATATTTTTAAAAAAAAAAAAAACCCTTCGTGAGCAAATAAAATTTTTTTGTCCTATTACTAATAAATTTATTAGTCTTAATTTTTAGAGTTATAAGTTTTACCGCTTTTGTGAATTAGTGCTATAAGACATCTATTTTCCCTTCCAATATTTTTCTCTTTGCGCCTATTTTTAAATACTTCAACTATGATATTGTTAAATCTCCTGAAATGCATTCAGAACTAAGCCCGCCCTATCCAAGCTTTATTATTGTTTATTTGTTTTCTAGATAAGATTATTTAGGGAATACATTTGATTTTCATTTATGGTAAAATTCATACTATAAAGATCTGAATGAAATCACTTTCAAATTTAATTCATGCCTTACTTGCCAATTACCATACCATATTTATCCATATTCTAACCGGTTAAAATATAGCTTTTTCCCCTGGTTTTATTTGCTTATCTTCTTATTTTTCTTATTTCTTTTTCTTTTATTTTCTCTTCAAAGTTGGAGTTTGTTTTTTCCTTTTCTCTTATAAGAATAAAAATGGTGACACAGGCGGAATAAAGATTCTGAGGCTCACTCCCCGCTGAGCGGTAGAGGAACGATGGGTAGCGAAAATGCTCTTAGTAAAGCGAAGTAGACCATCTCAATGAGAAGCCTTCTGAAAAAGGAACTTCTGATTCTACTCGAAGGTTTTTCTGTCATTGTTAGATGGGTAAGAAAAATATAAGCCATAATATGATTAGCTTGGCCGACCTTGAGCTACTTTTACTTAAATTTAATAAGAATAAGAGATTTCAGATTATTAATAAGTCTATAGTTTATAAGCTTACTGTTAATAAATTTTCTAAATAAATCTTTTTATTTTCTTAATATTCCATTTATGACTGAATCTGAAGCCAGTTATTGTCATAATGACAACTTTTTAAAGTTCACCAACAGAAAATCTATTTCAAATGCAATTTTCGAATTTTATTACCAACTCTACTATAAAATCAATTGAGAAGAAAATTCTAAACTTTGACAAAAAGGTAAAGTAGCAATAGAGGGTGTGATATGATGCCTCCAAATAATAAGCTTACTGTGGCTTCCAGATATGTCTATCAGTAATTGAAATAAAAATATGATCATATGGAAGATCATAGGATATGTAAAATTTGACAATGTTTGCTCAGAATTAGGGATTATCAGTGAATGCTTAATTTTATCAGTGTTATTTAACTGTGCTAGTTTTTTGATATTTATTAGTTTTTTTACTGCTATTTATAATTCTTATAGCATACCCATTCTCATTTTGAACATCTTCCGCTACCTTTTTATAATACTCTGCAAAAATTTCTACCTCAGCTTGTCCAGGAATAGATAATAAATATAATAATAAAATTAATTTTTTTCTAAAATTCAGTTATTAAGTTATTATAAGATCTAAAATTCTGATAAAAAATTTTTATTGCTGAATTAATATTTCTAATCTATTATAGCTTATGGATAACTTTTTTTTTTATACCCTCAATTCAGCTTTTTACAATTTTTCTCAAATACAATTTTTTTCCTCACTCTCCCCTCCATGAGCGAACGAGACCATTAGAAAAATCCCTATTTTTTGCACCTCAATGGACCAAAAAAATGTTTTTAATACAAACATTTTGACGGGAAAAAAATTTTGATATATAAGTGATAACTAGTATCATGAAATCTCGAGCTCATTCTGATTAATTTTAAACAAATTGTGTGCCTAAAACATAAACTTTACAAATTAAATTAATATTTGCCTTCAAATTTTCTAAAAGTGGATTTTTTAAAATAATCCCCCCGTGAGGAACTTTATTTTTTTGTAGAGGGAGTCAGGATAAAATTGCAGAATATCAAAATCACAATGATTCTTCAGAGTTTGAAATTAGCTTACTATGTCAAATTGGAATAATATTTTCAATGATATTCGCAATGGTTCTAATTTTGCTAAACACACAATTTTCTGGGGATATTCGACATTCTCTGCATAAATTAATAATAATTGCTAAAGCACATTCACTAGTTGATACTCATATAGCTATTTTTACCTATTTTTGGCCAGTTTTTTATTCTATACTTGCTAAAAATTTTATTATACACTTGCAAATATTAGCTATTATTTTTTCAGCGATTTTGATCAGAGAAACTATGGTACTTCGCCCTTATTTTTCTTTTTATTACAGCTCAATAGTTATTCTGCGATTATTTTTTATAGCATTTGTATCTCTTATTTTTATTTTGGGTCGATTAATGGACAACTCATTGGTTATATCTATACTTGCCATTATTTTAGGGCCATTATTGTCTATTTTTATCGTTCTGTTTACGAAAAAATCATAATTAAATATGACGTCTCAGCTTAAGCATATCAGGGAGGCCATGAAATCTTCGAGCAAATATTTAATTATATTCAGCAAGGTTTTACCAAGCTAGTAATAACAGCTATGCTAGATAAGCAGCTCATGTGGCGTGAGGAGCCTAGCTCTTGCCTATTTTCTGACTGTGGTTTACCTCGAGGGAGGAGGATGCTTGGAAGTTGGAAATTAATTGCTCAGCAAGGTTTTGGACACATTGGCATTTTTTCATCGAGAAACCAAGAGTTACTTACAGCCTGGGCCTCAAATTTTCGTCTTTGCTAAAGTTGGCCGAGAATCCATTTTTTTGATTTTCTGTGCAAGAAATCTCGTCGCTGCAGCCTGAAGCAAGGCTTGGAACGCGTAGTCTGCCCACTCAAAAGTAGAGCTATCTCATTGTAGTATGAAGGAGGTGACAGCTAGGCTACCCGCCTTTCCGGCGATCTGAAGTAGGGCGTTGTCAAAAAGCAGATGAATCCCCTTGTGGAATCATCAGTAATTGAGTTAACCGAGTTAACAAAAGTGGACTCTAATCATCTAATTAAGTAAGAAAGTTTACCAAAAAATCAAAAATTACTAAAAATATCCCTGAAGACATTCAAAATATAAATTCTGAATACGAATTAGAAAAATATTTAAGACATGCATTATGCTCAAACGATTTTGAAAATAAAGACAAGATAATTCAAATTTTTGAAAATTTCTTTATAGATAAAAAATTAAATTGTAGTAAACTACTTGCCATATGAGAAGCAAACTATTGTTTATTTACATTAGAAGATAAAACATTAGCCAATGTCAAGATTGCTAAAAATAAAGAAATTTCTGATTTCAATATAGAAGCACATTATCAAGAATATTTCTGCAATAAAATTATCTCAAGCAACCATTTGTCTGATAGCTTAAATTTTTCTAACTTTTTTGCTGAATTCCAGATTGCTAAAAGAAAAGATAAAGATTTATGCATCAATTTACTGAGTTTTTTAAATGAAATTACTTCTATTAAGCCAAATTTGAAATATTTAAAAAAGCAGTTGAACTCAATAGACGAAGATATTTCAGTTTTGAATAAGCAATATAGCCAGTTATCATTAAAGTATTTCAATTCTAACTTCCCTACTCCGTGAGCAATAAAAAATTTTGTTCACTCACGGAGGGGATTAATTTTTTTTAAAAAAATTTATATATAAAATATATAGAAAATTTTATTTTTCGAGATTTAAAAAAAAATTATAATTCGCAAATATTGGAAAGCAAATAGCTAAAATTTATGCTTTAAATGCAAGCTGTTTAAGTTTAAAATTAAACAGAATTAGCTAGAGATTTGACTATAATTATCACTTATATATTTTTTTTTCTAAAAATTATTATATTAAAAAATTTTGTTCACTCAAAGAGGGCAGCTTTTGGGCAAAAAATAAGGATTTTTTCAATTTTTATTTCGTTCACGGAGGAGGAGTAAAGAACTTTTATCTCTTTATGCTTCATATGCAAAAGATATCATTTATGATTTAGAAAAATCTTCTTTAATTGAAATGAAAATAAAATCTTTCGATCAATTTTTTTCTAGTTCGATTATCGATACTAGCACTTTCAGCTTTTTAAATGAAAATAATGGAATTTTAATAATTTCAAATGAATTTGAAAACTTTGGAGAAATTCTCTATGCAAATCACAAATCAGCTGAAATTTTAAGACTTCCTTTAAATAATTTTATCAATGACAATTTTTTTAATTTTTTCCATCCTTACCATAAAGAAAGAATTGCAAACGGAGCCAAGAAATTTGTTCAATTTAGTTCATCATTAGAAACATACTTAAGCCAAGGCTTTTTTTTAAATCTCCCAAACAATTTATTAGAATGCGTTGGAAAATTATCAGTAACAGTAATAAACAATTTTATTGTCTCTATATTGATTTTTAGAGAAAAAGAAATCAAGAATCAAGTTGCCTTAATTTCAGATGATTACGAAATAATTTGCCACTCTGCTAATTTTCAAAGATTTTTAGGAAATCCTAATAATAATTTTGTAGGAACAAACATCAAAAAATTATTTTTTGATTCAGAAGAATTTGATATCAAGCCTTTTGTCGCTTATTAGATCATGATGGAAAAAATTATAGTTCCCTTTTCCTGAAGCACTGTGCGTTCCACAGTCGATGCCTGCAGAGTTGACTCGCTCAAAGCATTTTTTAGACCTTGCCAAAACTCCGTTTCTTGATAGAGGCATTTTCTCTCCTAATCTGGCCAAAACCAGATTTTTCAGGAACTTCCATTTTAGCCCAAGTGCCAAATTACCCAACCCTGCACTGCTTAGGCAAGATCGCCCGATTAAGGAGCCCTTTTAAATTTGGAGAGGCTAGTCCTGAGTCTGTCTTACCCTTTTCTTCGGATTATCTCTGAAGAAAAACTCTAAGTCCTTACGCAGATTCTGGACAGGCTAGGCAAGTCTCCCTGCCTCTATCGGATACCCGTTCTGGACCTGAGCGCTGCAGGCAAAAAAGATGCAAAAAACTGCTTCTCGAGCCATGCAGCTAATATGCGGGATAGTGTTAGGCCTTTCGCTTCGAGGCTAACCCAACCTTTGGGTAGCTCTTTGCTCTAAAATCCGGTCAGAATATACATAAGGGCACCTGTCAAGAGATGGGCCGCTCGGAACTGAAAATTTATTAATATCCTCTCGTCGCTTATAAGTTACCAAATTTTTTAGATAAAATGCATTTAGTCTACTCATATTACGAAATTTATGGAATAAAAGTCCCTTATGCAATATTAATAAAAGGAGACGAAGCAATCAAAGCATGGAAGATTGAAGAGCTCGCCCTTAATAATAAAAAAGAAAAATTGCAGGTTGCGGGCAGTCTTTTGTCAGTAAAGATATCAGATTCATTTGCTACTTCCAGAACTATCAGATCATTTCATAAAGAAAACCATTCTGAAGAAGATTTGGAATCAAAAATAGACTTATATCGATTTACTAACGAAGCCCCTGACGAATATGATTTTTCAGATAAAAATGACGAAAATAAGTCCCAGTACTCAGCGAGTTCGTCTCAAAACAAATTTCTCAATATGCTACAAATTTCATCAAAGTCCATAAATATCCTTAATCTGGCTTTTATTTTTGCTGTGATTTTTATTTAGGTTTTAACTGTTTTAGCCGTCAATATAGCAGTATTGGTCTATGCTTTTTCTAAAATTAATATAATAAGCGATGTGGAGCTGCCATTATATATTGGAAGAGCTGGAAAATATTTTCAGCAAGTTGCTTTATATTCTCATATGGTCTTTCAGTGTTACGCTTCTCAAATGCCTGAAGTAATCGCTCTTGTGCCAGACATATTCAGTAGAGATGTGAGCTCCTTACTTCCCCCCTCCGTTAACTAACAAAACCATTGCAAATTCCTATTTTTTGAGTAGAAAACCACCCTCCGATAGAGCAAAAAATTTTATATATCAAAATTTTTTATGAAAAATATTTTGATATAAGTAATAATTAATATAATGAAATCTCTGCCTATTTCTCTTTAATTTTTAAAAGCATAAATTTCGTGTGCGAATTTGATATTTTCAAAAATAATAAAGAATTATAAAGTTAATATATAATTGTTTTTATAAAATTAACTAACCATCCTCCGTAGCAAATATTTTTTTGAATCACGGAAGGGGAGCTGGCAGATTTTGAAACGCTTTACTCGAATATGACAATAAAGTCAAAAAACTGAAACCACTGTTCAGGTCAAAACATTATAAACGATGTAAATGTTGATTTATGACCAACAGATGGCGGAGTTAATCCAAAAAAAGTAAATTTGGTGAAAGCTGTAGCAGAATTTATAAACCATGTATAATTTATTTAGGGAAGGGATTTTACAAATAAATTTAATGACAGTTCAAGTTCGTTTGGAAACATATATGATCAGCTCCTTTTTTTAATGATGAATGGGTATGGAGAATCACTCGATTACTGCTATAGTTCGTTAAATGATATAATAAACTGTCAAGAATCTACAATGGGAGACTTTAGAACCCAAATGTCGGTTCTTTTGTTGTCAGGGCCTATTGCTTTTGCTGTGTGTATTGTGCTTATATTTCCTTTTTACTATTCAATTTTTAAAATCGAAAATGAGTTTTGGAGTAATGTCAGAAAAAGTGTTTGTACCTCATATTTTGACTACAAACAAGCAATTTTAGATAGATTAAGAGACGTCCACTTTGAGGAAAATATTACATTTTCCAATCAAAAACCTTCTAAAAATCCAAGCACTTTTAAAAGTTATTCAAGGTATTTTGAAGGGTGCAGGTCAAATGACTTTATCTTTTTGATAGTGCCATTCCACCGAAGTACTTTTGGTCGAAAATTTTTAAATAGTGTATCCATTTAGCCGAAACTTGATGGTTTTTTCGGTCAAATGTCTCACTATCAAAAATGATTCAAACAAAGTTTCCCATATGAGATGTTGCACTATCAAATTTCCACATTCATTTGACATGGAGCCATTTTTGAAGAGCAATTATTTATTTTGCGATTGTTTCTTGTTTTTGTTTACTCTCCCTCCGTGAGACCAAAAATTTTTTCACTCACAGAAGGGATTTTTGTTTTAACTAATATATAAATTTATAATAATTTTTTACAATCTGAGGTGCAAAATTTATGTTTTTAATTAGTTAGAGATTAATTATTTAATAATTATCACTTATATATCAAAATATTATTTTATCAAAATTTTTTATTCGCTCACGAAGGGTAGGCTTTTACCCAAAATTTTTTAATGGCTCTGCTCGTTTTCAGAGTGGGAAGTTAATAAATGTGTTTTATCTTTATGACCAATGTGCGAATTATCTATCTAATCGGCCTGAAGTTATCAAAAAATTAATTCAATCACAACTCTTGTATACAAGTTTATGTTATTAAAACTTATAGAAAAGCCGATGCAATTCTAATTAATTATTTCAAACTTACCTGCTTGCCAGTTCGCATTTCACGCGTCGTGAAAGTTGCTCAAGCCGGATGAGAGTCTGGACTCGCTCCCCCGGTAGTTGAGAGAGTCACGATGTGCTATACACTCACCATGGAAAATTCAAAATGGTTGAATTTTTTGGGTAGAATCTCGGTCAAATAGGAATCCGTAGTCTAAGGAATAACTCTTAGTTTCACGCTGGCGAATAGTCAGATTAGCATGATGAGCATCACTGGCTCTGCATGGAGACTTTTCCCACTGATAAAAACTCTGGATTTAGAACAAGCTTGCAGTCAGCTAGTCATTTATTACGCTTTATCAAACCAGAAAAAGATGGTCTGATGCGCCATCATTACTTCCTCAAGGTCCCTGAGCACCTGCAGAATGCCAGCTACAGGAATTAAGAGGGTAGGATTGGTTCTCCTCTCCATTTTAATGTATAGAATCCTTGTATACAGACTTAGTTATATGAGCATTTCAAACCGCATCAAATATGTGGGGTTTTCCATTTTGCCTAAAATATCCTTCTGGATGCCCTTTTTCTCAATCTGACACCAACCTTAGCGAGATTCTAACAAATATCCAAATCACAGCCTTAGCTTTAAGAAATCCCAAATTTTCTGATATTTTATCTCAAGAATTTAAAGATCTGTTATATAAAAACAATCCAGAATTTTCAAAGGATTGTTTTGCGTTTGGGACGTATTCAGCTCAGAATAGCTTAACGTTTGAAATGCATGCTCATGCGTATGTAAGTTCTCCTCCGGCTGAATTATTAACTTTCATGTGAGATACATTGTATATCGCTGATTTTTATGATAGAAGTGTAGCTGAAATTGATGATTACTCAAAAAGTGTGATTAATAATCAAATGAGTATTATTGCTAATTCGCTGACAAATAAAATGGTATTCGGTTCGAGAGAAATTAGCTTCGCTAATTTTCTCTCCCTCATGGAATTTTATTTATAGGGTTAGGTTTTCACTCGAGAACTTCTGGACAGCAATAGCGGTTTAACTCTGGGGGGATAACCAGAGGAACTGCTCCTCAGTCCTCTCAAGATTTCGGGCTTTTACCTCTCAGCACATCCCCACGGGAGGATGACCCTTAGGCGGAACACGCGCAGGAGCTGAGTCGAGCGACAAGGGCGACGGCATCGCGCCGGGTGAGACGTGCAGCAAGGCTGGTGAAGCAGGAGTTGATAGAAAGCTTGGCCAGGGCTGACCTGTTCCAAGATGGCTCGCCTACGTCACTAGTTTTGCCATAGGCCCTTTTGGGCTGCGGCACTAGACACCTTAAATACCAGATAATTAAGTAAGTAAGTATTATTGCTAATTCGCTGACTGGATTTATTTTATGTACATTTGTAGCTTATATTGGATTTTATTTGCCTTTTTTCAAATATGAAAAAAAATATTTGCAAAAAATAAATTCGATTCTTAAAATCATACCTAATAAATAATAGAATAAAATAAATTGTTATAGGAAGTAATCTCTTTTATTCCAAAGCAATATCTAATACGTGGAATTACAATAACTTCTTTAATGTCAATTTTTAAAAAATAATAAAATAATTTGAATAGGAATACTTTCAAATTTCATCCATGAATTGCAGGCAATTGCCACACCATATTTATATATCCTAAACGCTTTCAATATAAGCTTTTCCCCTTAATTTTACTTGCTTGTCTTCTTTATTTTTCTTATTTCTTTTTCTTTTATTTCCCCTTCCAATTTGTTGTTTGCTAAAATGATGTTTATTCTTTTTTCTTACCAGACTTAAAATGATGAAGCTGGCGGAATAAAGAACCTGAGACTCACTCCCTGCTGGAGTTGTAGACCGGAAAGATTGGCGGAGAAAATGCCCCCATTAAAGCAAAGTAGACCATCTCAATGAGAAGCCTGCTGAAAAAAGGAACTTCTGATATTCCTCGAAGGTTTTCCTGTCCCTATTATATGTGCAAGAAAAATATGAACCATAATACGAGTAGCTGGACTGACCTTGAGAGATTTTATTTATGACAAATTTTTCTACACAGGCGAGGTTTTTGCTCTTCAGCTAAAGAGCTTTTGCTTAAATCAAGCCCAACCATCGGACTAACGGAGTTTAGGCTGGATTGGATGGATGGCGAGATGGATGACATTAAGGCTGCCTTAATGCCTAGTGAGGTGAGCTTTGGCTCCACCATAACACCCTTAACGACCGATTCTTTCAGAAGGGCTATACAAGTTTTGCCAACTGCATGGTATTTCCTTATCAGATCTATCGGGGCATCTTTCAGAAAGACGGCTCCACCTAATCCTTTGCCTAAGTAGTTCAGGTAAAAAGTCAAAAATGGCAGCCTTCCATTTTTTCATTCGAATTAGCATATTTATGGAGATTGGCGTTTTAGAGCCGAGACAGGTCAAATCCTAGTACATATCCAACTATGGCCAGTTTATTAACTTAACTTAACTTTTCTCTTATCTTTTTCTTTTTTTCCTTTTTTTCCTTTTTTTCCTTCTTCTCCTTATTTCTATTTTACTGTCCTTTTCTTTTTGTTCTTCTAAAAAATCTGTCCCTAAGTCCAATTTCTAATAAGATCTTTTTTTTCTACTTTGCCTATTGAAATTTCATACATGCGCAATTTCTTTCGATACTGATGGTTTCACGATTGACCAGACTCTAATATAAATCTTATGAAAACAAATATTTTGAGTATTCATCTGCAGCTAATCAGGCCAAGATTCAAACCGATTAAATGCAATTAAGTTTCATTGAATGCCGTGCTCAGCTTCTTACAGAATAGCTCATAAAGGATAAACTACATTCTTCAACTAAAACAATAAAATATTTTATCAATTCTTTCTGAGTTTTCTTCATAAAAACATATATATATAAATTAAATTGAGAAGGAAGTTTATATTTCAATGCTCAGACATAAAGATACCATATGATATGCTGCAAGGCTTTAATCTTTATAATGGAAAATATAATTATTGTCTATTAGATAAACTTAATAAGTTGAAAATTCTTTAATTCTTTTGTTATTATTGCTGAATTTTGAAATAATAGCACAGAAGCATTTCTAATAAATAATTAAAATAAAATATATAAATCCATTTTTTATGAATTGGCTTTCAGATAGCATAGAAATAACTGAGTTCGATGAAGACCTCGAACAGCAACTCATTGACCTTGAGCGATCTTCAGCAGCACCAATGGGAAATACTTTCCCATTGACACACATAAAAGCCTGCACAGTTTTTTACGAAAAATATTCTTCAATTCCAAGCCAATTTTTGAAATGGAAAATTGTGATTGCCCGAGACAAAAAACTCAATAAAGTTATAGGTGTCATCAACGGGATCATAAAAGAAGTCTATTTGAATGGAGATTTAGTCATATTAGGACAGATGTTTGGCTTAAAAGTGCATAAAAGATATCAAAAGAAAGGGATTGGCCACATGCTCTGCAAACAAATGGAAAGCGACCTTGAACACCTAGGGGCTGTCTCTATTTATGTAAGAATTGAGTCTTTTAATACAGACGCTGAAAAACTATATACAAATCGGTTAAAATACCATGAAATTGCTAATCAAAAAGTCAAATTGATTAGCCCTAGAAGCAGTGCTAAGCAGCTTCAGCAAATAACAACTGAAACAGCTTATAAATTAACTAAAGAGTACTATGATAAGAAAGATATGGCACTTTCAGACATCTGGCCTTTATTTAAATCTCCGTATTATTTAGCTACTTATGTAGTAGAGACATCAAACCAGGATATTGCTGGAATTTCGCTGTGATATGCTTCAGGACTGTCAGATATGAGCATTATTCAAGTACTATTTGACGTAAAGAATTTGCAAAAGCCTCATATTTTCTTATTAGTGCTCATGTCCTTGATATTTATTTTATTTTTGTATTTTTATTTTATTTATAAGGGCTATTATGAGCTAAATTCTCGCTTAATGATTCTCTTATATATCCCAGCTATTTCTTGGCTTTCGCTAAAATTCCTGACCTTAGTTTTTACTTTGCTGAAATATGGGAAATTTGCTATTTTTCGATCTAAGAGAAGACGAGGTAGGACTTTTGGGTATTTTTTTAAAGGTAGACCCTCGATTCAAAGGCAGCTTACATATGAGCTGATAGAAGGACTTAGCAGAGAAGCAGCGAATAATAAGCTAGAATACATCTTATTTGAATATTCAGAAAATGACCACATGACGAACTATTTTCATACCCATAATTTTTCTAGGATTTATCTATACTTATATCACTAAATATTTATAATACTAAATATTATCATATAAAGACAGAATTTAATATAATATTTTATATAGCCCCTGAAATATTTTAGACTATTATTGACCATTTATTAATTTTCAAAATTAATATTGACTTGTCAGCTTTTTTGTAAAGTAAAATCGAAAATGAAAAATCTCCTATATGGTTTTAAGATGCCTAATTAGACTTAGACTATATAAGGCAGGCGACCTGGACTATATTTTTTCTGGTTGGTATTTTTCCAGGGCACAATAATCTATTATGATGTATAAATTATATATAAAACTCTAGATGAAACTACATTTAGCGGACTTCCTACACTAAGTTTTGTAGATCCAAGAGATTAATAAAATTTAATTTCTTACATTATTAAACAACTTGCACAAATATTTGCAGATCTCCCTGGCTCAATTTGTTTTTGGGAATTTGGAAGGTTTGTAGAGTAATGCGTATTTTTTTCACTTACAAATGATTTTTGAGGCTGTTTAAATGATGAATTTGTGTCACCTGACTTAACTGATCTTGTTTTTTTAGCTGGGTTTATCGGTATACTTCTAATATCATCCATTACAACTGAAACTGTTTTTCCGCCTAAATAAACCAGCAGCAGCCCTAATAAGCTTCCAAATTTTCCATGAACGATTGTAGACTTATGCAAAACAAGTAAAATCCCTTTATCAATCATCAATTTTGAAATCTGATTTTGACTGAGCAATTGGCCATTTCCCCCAATTATTTCAAAAGGGGTTTCTTCTAAACACAAAATTTGTTGATACCAGCTTTCTTTTCTAGAAAAATCAAACTTTGTAAGAACCACAGAGCTGTTAAAAGGTAAATAAGGATATATAGATTTTGCAATAAAAGATGGGCAGCCTTGAGCCATCTCTAAATTATTTTCTTTTCATGCGTTAATCCCACCTAATAACACCCTGACATCTTCAAAGCCAGCTGCTCGAAACCCCCAATAAGCTTTGCAAGAGTACTGATGGTCGCCTGTATCATAACAAATTAGTGTTTTGTCGTCATCTATTTCTACTGATCTCGCTTGCTTTATGAATAACTCCCCATCTTCTTCTATATTGTACAAAATTGAGTTTGGGATGTGCTCATTTGGTAGTCTGAGACCTGGGACACAGTATATAAGTGTGTAAGTGTCTGGGGATTTGTATTTGTACTCCTCGAGATCAATAAAAGGGTTCATCTATTTTTGGATTATTTTATTTTATTTCTGAGAAAATCTATATTTGTTTATGGAGATTATGAGCATTTTTATTTTATACAAGTTGCCCGATGATGGCGCTCAATGTGCCATCATCGGGCAACTACAGTTCAGGGTTCACACTGGAAATGGGTTCCAAATGTGGAGCCCTTTTTGGCACGTGAAAGTGAGATTCTCCACGTGTCAAAAAGGGCTCCACACGTGTGACCCATTTCCAGTGTGGACCCTTTACTGTAGGTGCCCGATGATGGCACATTGAGCGCCATTATCGGGAATTTCCTATAGATTTTTTTAGTTAAAAAATCTGCTTTAAATTTTTAAAATAGAATAAATCATTAATTATCAGAAAATTTTTATTTGCCTCTTTGATTTTCGCTTGCTGTTTGGCCTTCATCCTCATCTTTTATACAATTAATTCGACAAAATTTCGAGCAAAATATTTTTCAGAAAGAAATTTCTTCTTCTTTGCTGTCAATTGGATCTATATATATTAAAATGACGTGGAGAATAAACATATCATTAATAACTGCGACAGAAGTTGGCCGAGATTTTGTGGAAAGAAGGATGGTGTTCTGCAATTTGTATCAGGCCAGGTTTTATTTAACTTTGTAGAGCGCAATTTCGGGGTTAGCCCACTGCATGCCCACATCCAGTTCAAGGCTTAACCCCGTGGGGAGATGGAATTCAGAGCTGGAAAGGAGGCTTATAACGCAAGTGAGGTTCCTTCTCGTTAATCAGAACTAGTTCCCAGCGCGTTACCAGGCGTTGAGTCCTGGGCTACGAGTTTCCATCTTTGTCGACAGATGATCAGAAAATTCGATTTTTCGAATTTTCTGGAAGCTGAACCCCCGCTGACGTACCACATATATTGACCCAGCGCCTCTTGCTTACGGGTAGCGAGTATATGACCTAGTCTGCAAGGAGCAACAGAGTGATAGGTTGTGCTCTGGCAACAAGTGATAGAGCTATATAGAGGTGAATGTGGCTTGCGGGCCTTCCAGGAGCTTTTTTACAAGCTTAATTAGGCTAAGTTAAGCTTTCAATTGAATCAATTGAACTATTGGACTGGATAGGTACTTTATTTTCAGCATGAAACGATGCGCTTTGATTTGCAAGGGAGTCTATTGTAGATTTTGATTTCAGTCGCTCTAGCCTATCCCGTTCTAGTTTGGCTAGAAGTTCTTTGGACTACGTGAAACTTACATTTGGGAGTTTTAAATTTTTGGCTGTTATTACGTTCATTCTATTTTATAAACCAGCTAGCTTATTAGTTTATTATTGATAGTAATTTTAATGAATTTTTTTAAAAAATACCAAGTTATCGAAATTATACTTGGTTTTGCAATAATTACTGGATTTTGAAGCGTTAAAAATAATATTTATCAAATTTTTGTATGAATTTCCAGAAAATTCTATTGAAGCTGCTATAGAAATATATTTTATGATAAGGCCTGCATAAAGATTAACTTTAAACCCTTCAAATTATGCGATTTTTATTTTAATTTCTTTAATCTATAATATTTTCAAATTTAAACTGTAAAATAATCAACAGGTTTTTTCAATTAAAAATCTTTTATTATTTCATATAAAAAATTAAAAATTACTTTATGCTTAAAGAGGTCTCGTAGAAGTCAACGAGCAGTCTTCATTTGAATTTTCAACAAAAAACTCGTGCTCAAGTACTTGTTGAGCTGTGGGTCTCAAGAACTGGTCTCTCTGTAAGCACATATGTATCAAACTTTTTAATGTCCTTGAGCACTTAGGTATTATAGGGTAGTTATCTGGGGTTGAAATCAGCTTTAGTACCTCCTTTGCGTCCTTTGAATAATTTGACCAAGGTGGCTGGCCAGATGACATTTCTATTAAAACACATCCTAGAGACCAGATATCAGCTGAATAAGTATGGCCTTCTCTTAACACCACCTCTGGAGCCATCCAATACGGGCTTCCTTTCAAAGATCGAGACAATTTCCCTTCATTTTCTAAAAATTTTTTAGATGACCCAAAATCAGTCAGTTTAACAATTCCACTTGTCGTCACCAATACATTGGCAGACTTTAAATCTCTATGAATAATCCCGTTTTCGTGCAAATAGGCAAGTCCTCTTACAAGCTGTTTTCCATAGTTTTTTATGACTTCTTCTTCAAGAAAATCGTATTTTTGCAAAATTTTTTTTAAAGAGCCTCCAGGCACGTATTCAAGCATGACGTCAATAGAAGTCATTTCGTTAGAAAGCTCTGTCTGATAATACTGGACAACGTTAGGGTGGTTTAACTCTCTTACTTCCCTTCCCATTAAAATTGCATCAAAATAATTCTGCTCCAATTAGGGGATTTTATTTTGTTTTTAAAAAAAATTATCGTTATAAAGTCCTAATTGAATAATTTTTGATTCTGGCACCATTTCGAGGTTTTGTAAAATTATCATTTTTAGCTATAGAATTAAAATTATTTTGCCATTAATTGGAATTATATCAATGTTTAGTTCATTTTTAATTGTTTGGGGGAGTTAATAAAGTAATCTCATTTTTTAAGTTTATGAATTCTCGTTCAATTTTTTTGGGGTCATCGCTTAGCTATACTAAAATTAATAACAAATAAAATTTTTAATAAAAAATAAAAAATATTTAAATATTTATTTATAAAGATATATGTAAAAATTACTCTAAAATGTTTGACGGCTAAAAGTTCTCCTGTTTCAATATTCATACATTGGTAGACTTTTGCATAGGCTCCTTCACCAATTAGTTCCCCACGCTTTCATCTAATGATTTTACCAGTACGAGGAGTGGAGAGATCTGTAAAGGTATTTTCGGAAGCTTCGCCTTGGTAAAGGACGCTTTTGCGCTGGCGAGCTTGCTCAAGCTGTGTTGGGAGATTTAAACGAACAATATTTGGCTTTTCTTCTCTAGGCTCGCCTACTTGTATGCGAACTGCAGAACGATGGCAGCATCCGTTTCCCATGGAATATAAATTAAATATATATATGAATTTTATAGCAAACCATTGCAATGACAGAATATTTAAATTTGTGGTTTGAGGATTTTAATGAATATTATTAAAGTTTTTATGAATAATTCTATTTTAACTCCACCTTTAAACAACATTCTTATATTTTCTATTTAAGAGCAGCATAAATTTATTATAAAATGGTTAATCTAAATATTTGTATATAGAGTTAATAATTGCATAATGAGATTTATAGTTCTATTAAATTTTAGACAGCTTGCATAGTAAATTATTTTTTTTTATATACAAAATTATTCACACAAAAATTATTGCTATTGGTCGATAAACAAATATTAAGAATACGTAATTTTGAAGGAAGAAAAATAGGAAATTTTCCGTGTGTAAAATATATTACCCAAATAATTTTTTTTTCAAATCGCATCTATAATAAAAAGAGCCAGCAGAAAAATCTTACTCTTAAAGGGAGTAAAATCTTTTGTGTCTCCTTGGGCTATGTAAATGGTTCTTGAGACTAATACTTTCTTAATCTCTCTGCTCCTTAGATTGATTTTTTATTGTACCCATCATCTTTCATTTAAGGATTAATTTAAATTTTTGGAAAAAATATATATAAATAATAGAAATGCTTTCATTTTATTGATCTATTATACAAAATATATCATATGCAAAAATCGATCAATAGATTTAATTTCCAAATTTAAAAAAATTGAAATGTTAACTTAAATATATTTAAATTATAAAATTTTATTAATTTATTGCTAAAAGCATTAGGAAATAGCAAATGATTAATTTTCTATATATTTAAAGGTATTATAAGATGGCTCAGCTATTCAAATTAATTTTCCTTAAAATGTTTATAATTTTTAGACTTTTTTACAATTATCATTTTATTATAAAATAAAACTTATCTGACTTTGAAACGTAGAAAAAAATTAATTTCATATCCCATATTTGAATTTAAAATGAATTGCATAACCTCAAGACCTCAAGTCCTAAGACCACGCACAGATAGCATGATGAATATTCAGCCGATCTCCTCTTGTATCAATAAAACCTTCCGTAAATTTTCCTTTGACAACGATACTCGTGATGCAAGAAATGTTATCAATCCATCAAAATTCAAGCAAAGACCTATAGACTCAAATAAAGAAAATTTTTGCTCAGAAAATCAGGCAACACCCAAGGAATCATTCCAAACAAGAAATCAAAAACTAAAGAGGCCAATGAGAAAAGGATTAAAAAAATACTTACCAAAACAAGAGCAACCTGCAATTTCCATCAAAAATTCGTTTTATGAGATATTAGACCAAGTAGAGACAGAGCTTGATAGGATGGAAGATCTATGGAATAGCGTAACGATTCCTCACGATTTTTTTTCAGATGAGGAAAATATTATTTAAATTAAATTATTCTTTATTTATCTGAATTTTCCTAATTATTAAAAGCGTCTGCACGCTTTCTGAATCCCATCATCCCAATGTATCTCGAGACGATTGGGGACTGATTTTACCAATTTTTTTGTTGGTAAAACTAACCCTTCAATTGGCAAATCTGGATTTTTGAGCGGATTTGCCAATTCAAGGGTTGGCTTCACCAACAAAAAATAGTAAAATCAACCCCGATCGTCTTGGAGACACCGGGACAATTGGGGTCAGAAAGCGTGCAGAGATATAAAATAAAATAAACTATCCATATATATTTTATTATGATTTACCAAACTAGCTTTATAGTTTTCCCTTCTAATTTTTCACTAACTTGTATTTGGCATGAACACCTAGTTGATTTTTCATCTCCCATTGATTTCAGCAGCATCAATTCTTCAATTTTAGGTGCTCCTGCAAGCGAATGATCAATATTAACTGCACATGACCCACATTCTAGCTTAAATCCACAATGTGAAAAATCAGGGTCTCCAATTCCAGAGTCCTTGATTACCTGTGCAAGTCTTGTGTTTACAGCTGCTTGTGTTTCTAATATTTTTGTCCCTCTCTGAAGGATAAATCTAACACAAGCCATACTTAATTTATTCTAAAAAGACTATTATTTCATTAAAAGATGCTTAAGGCTCATTTACCAAAGCGCTTTTTCAGCACAATTCGAGACCTTAAAGCTAGAGAAATCCTTGATTCCCGTGGCTTTCCTACTATAGAGGTTGATTTATACACAGAAACACACATGTACAGATCCTCAGTGCCAAGCGGCAAATCGACAGGCTTTTTTGAAGTTGCAGAGCTCCGTGATAGAGATCAGCCAAGATATGGAGGTATAGGCGTATTAACTGCTGCCAATAATGTGATGAATATAATAAAACCAGCAGTTTTAGGAAGAAATGTCACAGATCAGCAGAATATTGACAAACTTATGATAGAAGAATTAGATGGGACCTCGACTAGATATGGCTATATTAAAGCAAAATTAGGGGGAAACGCAATTTTAGGTGTATCTTTATGCTTAGCAAGAGCAGGAGCTGATGATGCTAAACTGCCTTTATATGCATATATAGCTCAGCTTGCAAATAAAAAGACAAATAAGTTTATACTTCCAGTCCCTGCATTTAATGTAATAAATGGAGGCATACATGCAGGCAATAGATTGCCTATACAAGAATTCTTGATTTTCCCAGTAGGGGCTGCAACTTATTCGGAAGCCCTAAGAATTGGTACAGAAGTTTATCATTCATTAAAAAAAATCATAAAAGAAAAGCATGGACTTAATGCAGTCAATGTAGGAGATCAAGGTGGATTTGCTCCAAATATAAAGGAAAATGAAGAAGCTTTTGACTTGATTTTAGAAGCTCTAGAATCCTCTGGATACAAGAAAAAAGTGAAGCTAGGAATTGATGCAGCTGCTCAGCGTTTTTATTCATTGGAGCATTTTAAGTATAATTTGGACTTTAAAAACCCTGAAACTGACGAAAGCCAAATGATATAATATTTTATATGATTTTTCAATTTTTTTAAAAAATCAAAAATTAATTTATAAATAAAGCAAAAAAAGAATAATTGAGCCTGATCTTGAACAAATTTATCTAAAATATGTGAAAAAATACCAGTTAGTTTCAATTGAAGACCCTTATTTTGATGACCACTGATGGGGTACAGAATTTCTTACCCAAAAGATAGGGAAAAAAGTCCAGGTAATAGGTGACGATTTATTGACGACAAATCCTATTAGAGTGAAAAAAGCGATTAAAGAAAATGTGTGCAATGGTTTAGTGATTGAAATGAACCAGATTGGGACTCTGACTGAATCAATTGAAGCTTGTTTATTAGCCCAAAAAGCTGGATGAGGTGTGATGGTAAGCCATAGATGTGGAGACACTGAGGATTCTTTTATTTCTGACTTATGCGTTGGACTTGGGGCTGGACAAATTAAAGCTGGAGCTCCTTGTAGATCAGAAAGATTAGCAAAATATATAGTAAATTTCATGTATATTTTTTATATTTATTTAATTGGTAGATTATACCAGTTATGAAAAATGGCATAATCAGCTATTAAGAATTGAAGAAGAATTAGGAGCTCGAGGCAAATACGCTGGGGAGGCCTTCAGAACGCCTAAAGTTTAATATATTAACATAAGCAACTGCAGACAATTTTAATTTTATCTATAGATTAGTGAGCTTCTTCCTGAAGCAGTTTATCATATTTGACTCTATCAAGCAATTTTTCTAATTCTTCAGCCTTATCCACTTGTAGTTTAGCAACCCAACCATCGGATTCAGCTGCATTATTAACCAATTCAGGGGTTTTTGATAAACCAGAATTAATTTCAACAACCTTTCCTGAAATTGGGGAATATTCCTATTTTATTTAAAAACGCCGCTTTATTTATAAAAATTAAGCTATTTTTTAGGTAATTTATATAGAATTTAACAGTATAAATATCAGCAACAATTTTTACACTTTCAACAGCCCCTATAACATCGCCTTGTTTAAAGTGAGTCCCAATCTCAGGAAGATCCAAATGGACCACATCGCCAAGCTGAGACTGGGCATGATCGGTAATTCCTATTGTCCCGATTTTACTAGCAGCATTATAGCTAACCCATTCGTGGTCTTTTGTAAAATAAGTGGAGAATCTTCGAATTGGGAATGAAGAAAGCTTGATCCGTGACAGCCACATTTAATAAGGGTCTTTAGGTGATTTTTTAAATCAAACGGAAAAGAGAAATAAAGACATGGATGATAATAAAAAAAAAGTTTTAGAAAAGATAGAGAAAACTCGCACAAAATATTGAAAAATCAGGCAATTTGTATTAAAAAAAACCTTTGTGTAGAAAAATGGACGAAATGCTAATTTGTATGAGAATTTAATAAAATTCAATTATTTTCTATTTATTTCCAAATAATAATCATAAAATATTTATTCATAATTCATTAGTTATAAGATACCCTGACTACTGGCCTTTCTCCATGTTTCATGCTTGAAGTATCAGACAATGCGAAGTACTGCGAAACTGCTGTGTTGACTTGTCTCCTCATTTCGTCTTTCATCTCTCTCTTCATCCACATCCTATAGAAAACTAAAATGACCCCTACAAGCACTACGCATAATGTTAAAATCAAAATAATGGTCCCAGCACCTGTACCTTTATTATCGTCCTCTTGAGGTACTGGGGTTCCTTTGCAAAACTCAGGGTCTTGGCCATAGCTATACCCAGCGCATAATGCTCTTACTACTGGATCAGTTTCCCAGTCACCTCTGTATGTTTGGTTATTGACGACTAATGCTGGATAAAATGAAGCTGATGCGTTCGCCCAGGACTCTCTTTCAGCTTTAAGTAGAATATTGTCTACTATTAACGGGTCGCCTTCTAAAAAGCTTTCTTTTACGCATAATTTCACTTTTTTTACGTTCACGCCAGCTTTTTTCATGGCTGCTTCTGAGCAACTTTCAGTCACATTTCCTGTGCAAAGTTCTGTGTAATATTTAATATAATTGAACCATAGGGAATAGGTATCCTTTTTTTCTGTTTCTCTATAAATGCAGATTTCTCTAAATGCCCTGATGGGTGAGTAAAACCATTAGAAAAATCCCTATTTTTTGAGTAAAAATCACATAGTGAGCAAAAAAATATAAAATTTTTTTTCAAAAATATTTGATATATAGTTCGATAATTACAATATTGAAATCTTTAGCTGAATTTTAAAGAAATTGTATTTAAATTTATTTCGAATTGGGATTTTTTTGAATTTTGAAAAAAAAAATTATATAAAATTTTCTTAATCACTCCCATGATCGAACAAATTGTTTTCGCTAAAGTAGGGGAGTAAGGTCTTCGTAGATGTAATCTCGTCCTGTAGCGTCTACGCCTAATGGAGGTTCTATACAGTATCGTCCCCCGCTTAAGCAATTTGGTTCGGCTTTGCCAAAGTAGTCAACACTGCACCAAATGCAATAGCTAGTCACATAATGTGGTCTAAATAATGCACTTTCCTTTTTAATCCCACTAGCTATAGGTGCGAATTCCTTTACTCTTCTTTCGATAATGTAAAAATTTTGAAAAAATCCAAAAAAATTTTTTCGCTAAACTATTTTTTAATTAATTTTATATTAAGAATCTAAACAGTAAAATTTTTTTAAATGATTTTCCTTATTAAATATTAATTTTCTGCATTTAAAAAGTTAAGAAATCATAAACATGAGGGACTTCTGATGACATATAAACACCGTAATTGATTTTACTCCCATTATGAGGCACATCAAAAGTCAACGACAAAGCAACATGACGCGTATAGGTACTATTATTAATATATCTTTGTATAAGCTCGCCGTCTGACTTAGAAATCAGAAAAGTAGGGATAAAAATATTCCCAGCAGACCCATTGTCAATCATAATCACGTTTTCAGGGTTCTCATCTTTATTATCGACTACTATAAGAGCTCTGGCGCCGATGTCTTGGGCATGTCTAGCTTTTACGCTGAAATAGCAAGACCCTCTGTTTACAAGGAGAATTGGGGTGTTGATTTGGTCTGGATCGTCAGTTCAGTCAAATGGTGCCATACGTTCACAAGCGTCAGATTGGGATGCACGGTAAAATACACGGCCAACTATGACTGACCCATAGGGAGGATTTCCGAAGTTTGCCAAAGAATTTCTGATTTCTCCGTGGGAGTATCTGTTTTGCATCTCAAGCCTTAGCGCATCAGGAGAATAAACATACATTCTACCGATGGCTAAGCTGAGAAAACAGAGAAGGAGAAGTTTGGACATAAATTAGTTTATAATGATAAATGGAAAAATAAATAAAAGGATAAAGCTTTAGAAAGAGAGAAGAGGAAAAAAACAGATTTGGGTGAAAAATAGAGGATAAGGGATAATTTAACGAATTGGATTTGGAAAAAGCTAACGGAGTACGAATTTGAATGTGTAGAGGAATTAAAAATGAAGGAAAATTATGAGGTAAATTGAATTATTTTTGGATGAGCTGAATGGGAATATTTTGATAATTTGAAATTATTGGAAATGAAGAATTATACTAATTGACCAAGAATAGCCCACTATGGAGCCATTCTTGGTCTGCCAGAAAAAATTTTGACAAAAAGATCCTAATCTGCCATTACAACTGAGTTTTGGTGTTTTCCAAATTTTTTGGGCAAGCCAATGCAATAAAAAAAAATTGTTCTTTTGCGATGATGCATTTGGCTTGTCAAAAAAATTTGGCAACATCAAAACTCAGTGGTAATGACAGAAAAGATCTAATCTGCCATTACCACTGAGAGTTTTGGTGTTCCAAATTTTTTTGACAAGCCAAATGCATCATCGCAAAAGAACAATTTTTTTTATTGCATTTGGCTTGCCCAAAAAATTTGGAAACACCAAAACTCAGTGGTAATGGCAGATTAGGATCTTTTTGTCAAAATTTTTTCTGGCAGACCAAGAATGGCTCCATAGTGGGCTATTCTTGGTCAATTATTATATATATAACTTATAAGATAAAATAGCTTAAAATTCTTAATAGCATGCCAAGTCACTAAATTAATTTATTCATGATGCAATAATCATATGGAGAAGGCATAAAATGCTGTTATTTAAAACTTACTAGTGATTTCTGATTTCTAATATTCGGTTATATTTCGCTAAAAGCCCACTCCTTATCGGCGCACTCAGCTGCAAAAACTCAGCCTTTAAACCTAGCGCTAAATCCACCAACGCAGTATCCAGCGACTCTACAGGATTTTCAGTAATAATTACCGACGTCCCTTTCTTTGCCGCAATCTTAGCAGAATCCACAATATCGGTGACCAAATTAGTATAATTAATTGCCAACAAATGCGGGGCAAATGCTGCTGCCTTACTTTCTTCGCCTTGCTCAGGATCCATCAGTTCTTTTACCTTTAAATGAGTTTTGCACGCCCTAAAAGCAGAAATTCTTTTATTATTAACCAGCCTTCCCTGCAAATTCTTATACGCATTGATATCTTCACTATAAAACGGGTCTTGCAGAAACCCTATATTTGGCTTATCATTCAGCATTTTCAAATAAAATTCAGTCAATTGGTTCACGTCTGGTGGATTTTTTTGTCCTTCCATTTCGTATTTATTGGTGTCTCTATTATAATAATCATCAGCATTACAGTCAATTCCTATCAAATAGTCTTCGCCCATCACAAAGCCTGACTGATTTACACAGTCTTCACATAGCTTTAAGCAGTCATTGATCAGGTCATTATTTGGGATAAATCCACATTGGAACTGTTTTAGCCCTGCCTCTCCACCTTTGCCAGCTACCAAAAGCCTTCTCATTGTGTCATATAATTTTTTGCAGGCTTCATATTGCTGCTGAGGAGCCCTGCTTTCATTTCTAGTCTCATATAAGAAAAATCGTGAAAATTTTACCTTGGAGTTGACGCTTTTGCCTGTATAAAGCAAAGGGATCATTAATTTTGGCAATGGGGAGCCTTCTCATTCCCTCCTTGTCATTTTGTCAAAAATATGCTGGTATAAAGGAACTTTTTTAAAATAGGCTGCAGCAACTGCACAGGCAAAACTTAAGCTGACGCTGATATTGGTGCCGAGTCCTTGTTCTTTTGCAATTAAACTGTCAATTTTTCTTTGATTTGTGACGTCTTGTTCTCTAAGGATATCTCTTAAGGATTCTGCAGACCTAGCTGCTGTGAGCATCCCTTTGCCATCCCATCTGTCTCCGTCTAATAAATAAGAAGCTTCATCAATCCCAGGCGAAAACGCAAAGGCAGGTGCCCAATACCGTTGTCCTTTGCTTTCACACTCAATAGACACTTCTATAGTAGGCCTAGTTTCCAATAATAACTCCCTAGCTCTTATGTCAGTTATAAGAGGAGGATCTTCTGAAAGCTCTGCAAAAAATCCAGCTAAAAACGTATAAGGATTAGTTGGCAGATTTCTAGCGACTTCATTAACACCTTGAGATATTATTTCTTCAACTTTGAACCTAGAAATGTATTCTCTGAGCTCTCTTGTTATTAAAGGAGAATCTGCCATTATTAACTTTTATTATTTTCTTTTTAATAGTGATTTAAGCTGATTTTTTACTATCAGAAAAGCCTCATGAATTTTAAATGAGCACCATTTAAGCTAACGAAATTATTCAAATTTAAGCAAGATATTTATAAAAATGTTCTGGGAAGCCCCAACATGTGTTGTTTGTCTCACTGAGCTTTATAATAATCTTTCAGCAGCTCCTTGCGGACATGTTTTTCACTCTGAGTGTATTGAAAAATGTCTTTTCAGCCAATGCAAAAATTGCCCTCTCTGCAGATCTCGTGTAGTCCCGAGCAAGCTGGTGCCTTTATCTTTTAATTTGACGGCAAAAGAACAGCCTACAAAGGTTCTAGGACTTTCTGAAGAGGAATCTAAAAATTTATTGACACTTCAAAATTTAGTGTGCATACTTTTTACTTAGTGCGGGATTTCCTCAGGGACATTCCTTAGGAATTTTTACGTCATTAGGCATTTAATAGAAATTTGACGGTTTTTTCCATAGCAAATATTCCACGAGGAAAAAATTTCCTGAAGAAACCTAGCAAAAGTCTTAATTAAATGGCATGGAGCCATAATTTAGCTGTGGAAGCTCAAAATGAGAAGAAAATATTAGAAAAAAGGCTAAAAGAAGCTGAAGGAATGGTCGCGGGAAAGTCAGAAAGTATTGCAGCTTTGCAAAAGATAGTAGAAGATGAAAGGCATAATTGTGGGAAATATCAAAAAAAGTATGAGGAATCTTTAAAAGAAGTCAGTCATAGCCAATATGAAATACAAAAATATACAGGGTTATTTACGAATGCGCATAAAAAACTATCCTTATGATCTAAATAGTGTAAAAATTACCAATAATTTCGTTACAAATGTCAATATTCATATAAATTAGCATAAAAGAGCTCGAATCCAAGGCAACACAATTAGAAAGTTTATCAAAATTAGTAGAAGAGCTTGAAAAACAGTCCGCATTAGCATGGGCAGAGCACGCCAAAGAAAATTTATCAATTGAGCAGCAAGCTGTACAGTTTTATAATGCGCTGCTTATCACTTCGAACTCATTAAGAAACTCAGAAAAACAAATAAAAGAACTGAAAACTTGCAATGAGGAATATATTCAGCAGCAGTCACAAGTTAAGCGGCAAGCTGCTGCTTATAAAAAGGAAACGGAAAGCCTTAAAAAAATACTAGCTGACTTAGAAAGCAAAACAAATACAAGTAGCTTAAAAGTAAGGGTAATTTACTCTCCCCCTTTAATTAGGACAGAAATTCCTATTCCAATTTAAAGGGGGGTTAATTTTTTTAAAATTAATTATTTAGTATGAAAACTATTTAAATAGCATTAAATTTTAAAAAAAAATAAATTGAGCACAATACTTTGAATTTTTAATTTATTTTTATGAAGAATTAATTCGAATAATTAATCGATTTAGTGTAAAAACTGTTTAATAAAATTTAGCTTGCACTTTTTCCATTAATTTAGACCTAATTTTTATAGAATTAGTATTTTCACCTATAAAATTTTCCTATTTAAAAAATTGTTTAGGTTTTAAATGGGGTTAAAGTACCTAAAAAGTGGGGAGTTAGAGAAATCCACAAGACGTGATGCATAATGCTTTTAATCAAAATTTTAGCTTTCCAATCACATTTCAAGACGCAAAACAGCCAAAAAAAGCACTAACTCCCCCTTAAAATTAGAATAAACATCTGAAATTTGCATTTTTTAAGTTCTTTAAACCCATAAATAAAAATGGCGCGGCGAACCAACCGAACCCTCATAATATCTGCAGCTGGGGAGACCCAGGGACCTTTTGGAAGGGAATTTTGACGTTCGTTATGTGTATCCGGCCAAGTTTGATTTTTGGTTCGAATTTTAAAGGGGGAGTAAGCTTGCTATCTAATAGGTCTAATGTGTAACTATAAATAGTGAAATTGATTTATCTCAAATGCATTAATTTACTATTGTAATTGCCCGAGGATGGCGCTATCTTGCGCCGTCCTCGGGCAATTTTTAAAAAATGGCCCCACACCGGGAATTGAACCCACGTGTGGGGCCATTTTTTGGTGCGTGGAAGTCGATGTTCTCCACATATCAAAAATGGCCCCACACGTGGGCTCAATTCCCGGTGTGGGGCCATTTTTGAATTGCCCGAGGATGGCGCAAGATAGCGCCATCCTCGGGCAATTACTATATTAAAAATTAGTAAAAATTAAATAATTCAGTTTATTCTTTCACCAGCACATTAGGCCTAATCTTATCAGAACACTGATTAAAATTGTTTCGAATTGGCAAAAGCCACATAAACCCGAATTTACCTCCAAAAACTTCTTCAAAGCACTCCTTACCCATCCTTTCATAAGCGAGCAAATTATTTTGCATTCTCAGAGAGTTAATGTTTCTAGAAAATTTTAAATATGATTTTTTTAAAAAATCCCGTTGGCAAATAAAATCAATTATTTTATTAATTTTAAAATTCAACTGGATTCGCTAGAGATTTCATTTTCACTTATATGTTAAAATTTAAAAAAAATTTACTCGCTCGCAATGGTGGGCTTTGTCCCAATAAGAAAGTTAGGGCTTCTTTTCTCAATTTCTGATTTTTTGAGTATATCAATCCCAGACGTATTATTAGCAATGCAGCTTATCTGGTCATGCAGCATGACTCCTGCAAACAAGCTGAAAAATAATGTAAAAATAAAAACCAAACTCCCAACGGTAATATCAAATGACGCCTCTGAGCTCTCTTTATTGCACAAATTCGCCTCATCATGCCACAAGCAATATGTTGCTCTTAAAAAGAAAACAACAAACGTAAACAAGCAGCAAACCAAGACATAAAACAAAAATAATATATACCTTTTGCATATAAAAGTGTATAATATAAATTTTTACTATTAAATTTATTAATAAAGGGAATAAAATGCTTCTGGTTATAAAGTCCTACACAATTATTCACTCACGAGCAATGGTGATCCATTTTTAAAATGCACCTTCCACAAGTCGAACAATGGTGTGTACGAGGACTTTTGAAGCATTGGCATTTCGCACAAGTTTCTGTCTGAGGATTTATACTTTTTTCCATGGCTGAATCCTTAGAAATTGAGCCAGGGTCTGTCAGTAAAGTCCTCAAGTGACATATAGAAGCCATTATAAGAAAAAATGAATAGATATTGCTCCACAAAGAAGGGTCAATAAAATTTTCGTTTCCAAGAGGGAATATTGCAATAATCTTGATAGCCCAGCTGACTCCAAACAAAATTAAATAAGTACAACAGGCGCAGATCAAGCCTTCTAAGTCTTTGTTCAGCCACATTTTTGGAGATATAATGGCTATTTTGGTTCATTATAATTGATGACGAACTATAAATGGAGTTAAATTTTTTAATTGGAAACCTATTTATTTGAGCTGTTTGGACTGATTGTTAGTATTAGAAATTTTAATAAATGGATGAGGAGGATCAGCTTGGTGGTTTTTTGAAAATTAAACAGATATACCTTTTTAGAGTATAAGGAAGCATAGCAAAATTTTTTTGAAAAGAAATATATACGTATGAATAGTCCGAATTATAGGTTTGAATAGAGGCATAATTCATTTTTTATTATTTTTCATCTGCAGTGCTAAATAAGGAGAGAAATGGCTTAAAAATCTAACAGCAGTTTATTAAGATAATAATAGACGAAATAATAATTTATTTTAGGATTTTCATATTTCTCTTTTTAATGCCATTCCTTAATAAGTCTCCATTTTCTTGATGTGTTTAAAGTATCTTGGATTAAAACCACAAATACATATTATTAGCTGTCCAAATCCTTATCTAATAGAAGATCTCTAATAATTATCAATGACTAACCATATTCCTATCACTATAAAAAGTCTTATTCTAAACACCTGATACCCTCTGATCTATCTTTTTCTAATACCCAGTGCATCACCTTCTTTATCTCTTATCAGCCCTGGCCAGTTTTATTCCATAAATTTTAATACCAAATTATTTAATAAAAATTTCTGTTCACCGGCTAATGAGTCTGAACAATAGTTTGAATTTGAAAATCCAGCGTGGAGACGAGATCAGGAAAATCCATCACCTTCCTCAAACATGGGCTGACCTTCAAGGAGCCCTTCTTGATTTATATGGGAGTACTGACTTCCAAATCACTTATATAGATGATGAAGGTGACCAAATCCTGGTCTCAAATGATGAAGAACTGGCTGATGCCTATGAGTTCGCTAAAGGAAAATTCAGCCTAAAGCTTATTGTCAAAGAAAAAGGACAAGTGGCTCCAGAGCCTCAACAAATCCCAGTCGAAGAAAATAAAGAAAAAGGACAAGTGGTGCCAGAGCCTCAACCAATGCAAGTCGAAGAAGATAAAGAAGAAAGTGAAAGTGAAAGCTCAGAAGATGAAGAAAAAGAGGAGAACTATGAAGAGGTACCTGTAGGACAAATGTTCGACATGATCAGAAACCATCCTCTAGCCCAACAATTCTGCCAAAATTTCTGCCCACAGCAAGCTACCTGTGATAGCTGCAATAAAACAATAGAAGGTGTGCGCTACAAATGTTCAGTGTGCCCTAACTTTGACTTCTGTGAAGAATGTGAAGCTACCCAAGCCCATCCTCATCCGTTTATCAAAATTCCTAATGAAGCTCCTCAATTCCCAGGGCCTCCTCCATTCTTAGGACACCCAGGTCAACACCCTGGCTATTTCCGTGGACACCCTGGCTATATCCGTGGACACCCTGGTCATTTCCGTGGACATCCTGGTCATTTCCGTGGACACCCTGGTCATTTCCCAATGCATTCGCCTCCTCCATTTGTCGACTTTATCAACCAATTCGCTCAAAATTTCAAAAAGCCTAAAAGATTCCACTTAACCATAATAGAGCACCTTTTAAAGAAAAAACAAGAAGTTTGCCCTGGAGAAGTCATACAAGCAGGATGGACAATTAGAAATACAGGGACTGAAGACTGGCCTGAAGGCACAAAAGTGGTCTTTGCCAAAGGGTCATTGAATCCTCTTGAAGAAATTACATTGCCAAGAATTCCTGCAGGACAACAGCAAGATGTGATTATTGAGTTCATTACGCCTATGGAGCTAGGAAAGCAAAAAGGAGTTTGGAAGCTTCAGGTTGGCGACAAAAGGTTTGGAAGATTGCCTATCACAGTGAATGCTGTGACGGCAGAAACTTTTGAAGAGAAGATTGCACGCTTAGTGACTATGGGGTTTAGCGAAGAAGAAGCAAGAAGAGGCTTAGAAGCAGCAAAAGGAGATCTGAATCAAGCAGTCTCAAAGATATTTGCGTAAGGCTAATTAAGCTTTTCTTTAATTTTGACTGATTATATGTATATTAAAATTAAAATTGTTATAAGTTAGTCCTTTATTATGTCTGTATATGGAGGATTTGCTACTAGAGCTCAGGAGTCAGCTTATAACGGTCTTCTGTCAAGTCTAATTGACTTATTGCATCTCCACGCAATTTCTTATATCCAAAACTGTACTTTCTATCCAGTGCCCTTACTCCTCCATGACTAATAGGCAAAAAACTCAATCTTACTCATAAATGCTCACTATGGGTTACCTAATCTTCCAGCTACCATTAAACAGCACCTCTTACGCTATATACTTCTCTATGGAGGCCAAGGGTGCGCACTGGTAAGCTGCTTGCATCATATTCAGGCTTCAAAGATTGCCTTGACTTCTCCTTTCGACGTCACCAAAAAATGGTGACACATCAGTTTAATGGGGAGAATCTCCCGATGCTTGTGCCTTGGTCTCGCTCTTGCAGCACTGATATCCCAAACTCTGGCAGTGCTTTGATCCCCCTTTATCGGCTTAACCAAGAAGGTGCTGAATTGAAGGAAAATTTTTTAATTTAGGCAAAGCTCTGCTTGGATTGAATGGCTGATATTTTTGGTCTGACCAGGACATTTTTATCTATAATTAATTTCTTATATGGATTTATCTCTTTGGAAATATATTTGCTAAAACAAAATTTGCTAAAAATTATAAGGATAAAAAATTTCCTGAAAGACCAAAATAATCCTTTGCAAGATCGGCTTATCAATCCAAGCAGAGCTTTTGCCTAAATCAATCAAACTTACCTTCAATTGCATTTCCATATTTTTTAAAAATTAATACCTTCTTAATTAAGCGATGACCCCAAAGTCTTCGAGCCTTCAAATTCAAATAAAAAATATGCTTGCGAGAGTTAGATTTCTCAACATGGTCAGAGAAATTTGCAAGAATCCATAAGAACATGACAAGTCTAGAAACCCAAAAATACCAGCCGCCTAAGTTTTCACTACTAACCCAGCCCTTAGCTGACCTTATAATGCCTAAACTCAATATAAGCAGAAACTCAAAACAGTCAAGTAAACGAGTTACAAGGGAAAACAGCAGTTATTATAAGTTTGATGACAGCAAGACAAATGTTGACAGTACTCCAAACACTAGGAGATACCAAAACTTTAGCATTTCCCAAGATATTGATATTATGCTAATGCAAGAAAACTTCAAAATTGAAGAAAGAACTCCTAGAGAGCCAAGGGTAAGGCAAAAGAAAAAAGTTTCAATAGAAAATTCAAGAAACTGAAGTAACACAGCAAGGTCTTTTTATAAGTCGCCAAATAAAAAGCCAATAGGTGCGAAATTAATACAGAAATATCAAGATGAAGCTTTGATGCGAATTCTTAAGGATTTATCATCTTCAGATGGATAGTCCTGCATTAAGCTGATTTTAATTGTAATAAAGCTTTACTATTCAAGTTTGAAATGGTTTCATTGAATAATTGCTAACGACTATTTTTTTTAGATTTTTTATATCTGATCATTTTCTCATCAAAATTTAATGCTAAGTCAATTAAGCCAATACTTAACTAGCAAATAAATATATTCCTACTGCAAAAAAATTAATTAAGATTTAGATTTATTATATCTATAAGTATGAACTATTACTTCATAATTTAAAACAAAATGTCCGTTAAAGTTGCTATATTCCTAACCCTCGTTTTCTCAGTCTTTTCTATCGAAACCAAGACTCAAGGTGTAATGGGCACCCATTTCTTACAAGCAATCAAATACGATCCTGACGTCGAAATCGCAAAATTCGTTAATGGTCAGGAAAGCTTTAATGGAGTCAATTCAAGATTCTATTATTGGAAGAACACTGGTTCCATATCTGCTGAAGAATATGATCAAGCAATCGCTAAGATTGATGCTGCTTATATAGAAAAGTATGGACAAGCTCCACCTACTGACTTACCAGAAACCTATGTTTAGGCTAATTTCATTAGAAAATCTAATAGATTTTTATGTGCTTTACATAGTTAAAAAGGGTATGTAAAATCAAAAAGCAACCTCAACGGCCTTCCTCCAAAACCTAGGTGACGACATCATTGACGAAATGTACACAGATGTCCAAAACGGTGAAGCTACCTTAGCCCAAGCAGAAGCTCAGCTTCCATTTTTGCGTGATAAAGGCTACATTTCTCGAGAGCAGTATGATCAAGCCATTATCGATTTCAAGAATCTTGGAGATGAACTCGCCAAAGATGCCACCTTATTCCTTGAATCCAAAGAACTTACCCCAAGTGATAACTTTCAAGGCATGGAAATGATAGAAATGAGTGACTACCGAATTCGTTTAATCTGCATCCCTATTTAGGTATTCCTGGAAATATGCTCAGCTATTCCGCAATCGGAGCAGATCACATAGCAGCTTAAGCAGGTAAGCCACCCAATTCCATTTGGACTGCCACTGGCCTTTCGCTAATGGTAAAATAAGCCACAAACAGTTGCCCATTGGATTAGGCTACAAAAGAGCGGATTTGTGCTTATACCCTCGCTTCGGTCCTAAAATTGCTAGGCCAACTAATGGCTCCAAAACCCAAGCCTTGATATACACGGGTAACCATCACTAGAGATCAAATCAGACGTCAAACGCCATTTTATATATATGAAATGATAGAAATGAGTGACTAACTCCTCCATTTATTAGCTGGCCATAATTTATAAATCTTTTAAATGAGCCTTATTTTATAAAAAAGTTTTTATTTTATGAAATATTGAGATTTATAATAGCATTAAATTAATAGAATAAATAAAAAATTGCTTTATACTCAATGCTTAATTTATAAATTTTTAAATAAAGATTATGTTTAAAATCAATTTGTTTAATTTTAAAATACCTGAATTCTTTATATCAAATAGAGAGTAAGATAATTAAGTATTTTCCTTATATTTTTTCATAAATGGGTTCAGCATGCTGTGGACGAAATTATGAAGGTAGCTTATAATCAGGTAACGAACGAATGCTGCTTAAGAGAAAACGAGGCTCGAGCGAGGACATCTCAACGCTTCTATCGCCACCTCCAGAACTAACAAAAAATTACATAGGACTTCCAAACCGCTTCGAGCATCAAGGCAGTGCCTCTATCTGTGTCGGTCTCGCAGGGATCGAAAACCTAGGAAACACTTGCTACATAAGCTCAGCCTTACAATGTATTTTGAACACTCAGCCACTAATTGACTATTTTCTTGCAGGAGTCCATGAAGATGAAATTAATCCAAAATTCAGTGGCGAGCTTACCAGAAGCTTCGTAGAGCTAGCCAAAGCTCAATGGCTGAGCGAATACGAAAGTATAGTACCACGGTATTTAATTAATTTGGTATGAGAAACTGCAGCACAGTTCGAGGCCGGAAAACAAAATGACTGCCATGAATTCCTTTCGTATTTTTTGGATCAGATACATGAAGAGCTTAATAGAGTAGCCAGACCAGGGACTCCAAGTGTAATTGAAAATAATGGAGAAAAAGATGAAAGGCAGGCTGCAAAAGCCTGACATGAGTATTTGTCTTATAACTGCTCAGTTATTGTAGACCTATTTCAAGGGCAGCTGAAGTCGACGCTGAAATGCAGTGAGTGTGGGTTTATTTCAGCCACTTTTGACGTGTTTATGTATCTGTCAGTCCCAATTGCGAAAAAATCGTGCACTCTTGAAGACTGTTTGCTTGAGTTTACGAAGGAAGAAATTTTAGATGGGCCTGAAAAATGGTTCTGTCCATGCTGCAACCAAAAATGCAAGGCGACCAAGAAGTTTGATTTGTGGAAGCTGCCACCTGTTTTGATTATCCACCTTAAAAGGTTCAAATATAATAAATGCGAAATTTCGAAGCTGGAATCATTTGTAAAGTATCCAACAGCAAATTTGAATTTGACGAAATATATATTGTCAAATCAAAAGGAGCCTCCAAATTATGATCTTTTTGGGACAATCAATCATTCAGGGACTAATCAAAATGGACATTATACAGCGACGTGCAAAAACAAGCATGATCAGAAATGGTATCATTACGATGATGAAAAAACGAAGAGAGTTAATTTAGAAGAAACGGTGACGAGGAACGCCTATGTGCTGTTTTATTTTAAAAATTCAATTGATCAATTTTTCACTCAGTCTTCTAGACTCCCAGAGTATTGGCCTCATATACTGAGCAAGGATATCACTGTAAATAACACTGAAAACGACGAGCAGCGGTCATCAGGATTGGCTACAGATTTTCCAAACCAGACTGCTGAGCTTGGAAGTTTTAATACAATAGATAATCCATTTGATAATAATATATAATTACAGATTGAAAATAATTTCTATGCTTTTTTCTTAATTCTAAAGCAATTATAGCTTATTCTATTCTCATTTTTATATTATCAGATTTCATTAGATTACTAAATGTCCCTTAACAAAAAATTAAAAATGGTTATATAAAACTACCCCAAGGTGCCAACATCATACCTTCTCGGCCTTTTGGCTAAGATCAAGTGTAGTATCTGTTCTTATCAGTGTGAAAACTGGTATCCACCCTACTGGGTGGCGTTTTTCACATCAATTTTTTATTGGGAGCGAGGCATCCCCAGCTTGCTGGGACCTTGCAACGGGTTGCCCTTGTATTGCACTTACCTCAAGGAGCGGCCCACCCCATCTTCAAAAAACCAACTGAATAATTCCTATTTAATTTAATTATGTTCCCACACATTTTGAAAAGATGTATAGGGGAGCATTACCCAGTCATGTGGCGAAATATCGTAGAAATCGTCGAGTCCAGGTTCCCACAGGACAGCAAACTCCTCGTAGGCGATGCCACAGTTGGAGCTGGAGGCCATTCTCGAGCTTTACTTGAGCTATATCCAAATTCCCGCATCATAGGAGTCGACATCGACAAAGAAATGCTTGCAATTGCAGAGAAAAACACAGCGGATTTTTCTGATAGGATAAAATTCCACCACACATCATACACAAACATGTTTTCACTGCCAAGATTCCCTGAAGAATTCACATCTGGAAAAGGCTTTGATGTCCTAATTGCAGATTTAGGCCTAAGCTCAGTCCATTTAGACACCCCTGAGCGTGGCTTTGCATTTAGGACAGATGGGCCATTAGATATGAGATTTGACAGGACTAAAAATCAGCTGACGGCTGAAAAAATTTTAAATCATGCAAGTGAGTATGAATTAGTTGATATTTTTAAACGGTACGGAAATGAACAATACAGTGAGACTGCAGCAGAGATTATTTGTCAGTATAGAAAGGAAAATAAAATAACTAGCACAATGCAGCTTACAAAAGTTTTGAATTACGCTTTTTATATAGCCAAGTCTTTTAAGAAGTATGATAATATTACAAGGATTTTCCAAGCTTTAAGGATAAAGGTTAATAATGAGCTGGATAATGTGGAAAATTTTTTGAAAAATGCGATTAATAATTTAGATGAAAAAGGTGTTTTGATAGTCATAAGTTTCCATTCTCTGGAAGATGACATTGTACACAAATATATGAAGAAAGCAGTAAGATTTAGTTAGAATGGACAGTTTATTGTGGAGTATAAAACTTGGAAGCCAATGGAGCCTGGGCATGAAGAGATGATAGAAAATAGCAGGAGCCGATCAGCGCTGTTAAGATACTTAATAAAGCGAGACTTCAACAAAGAAAAGAAAATTGGACATGAAAGTCGTAAATTAATTAATTAGCTTCAGTAAGCTTGGAATTTTTAAGTTTCCATTCTTCGTAGGATCCGCCGTACATTCTTACATGGTGGTTGCCAATATGCTTTAAAATTACGTAAGCAACGCATGATGTGTTTCCTTTAAGGCAAGTACCGATAACCCTACTATTTATATAAATTCCATGGTCTTCGAGGATTTTTATGATTTCTTCTCTTGGTTTCAATGTTTTTTCGTCAGTCAGCAAGCTTAAGGTAGGGAGATTTATTGAGTGGGGAACGTGCCCAGCTTCAAATATATTGCTAGGTCTTGGATCTCACAATATACAAGAACTGAATCCGAGTTCTATAGATGACAACAAAGTAACAATTTCTTCATATAAAACTATAAGGTGTTAAGATTTTTGCTGCCAAAAGAGTTTTTTCTCATTTGAAATGGATTAGAAATTTTTTAAAAAATATTTTTTTAGAAAAAAAAAAGCCTGGCATTCTATACCATCTCTTTGTTTTCCACATATTGGTAATGCTCCAAAGACTCAGCTGCATTTTCCATTAAAGGGTAGATGCCAGAATCTGTTGGGCGTCCCTCTTTTAACCATTTCACAAGACCGCCATTTAAGATTGAAACTTGTGGATAGCCGAAATATTTCAGCATAAAATAGCCTCTTGGAGCATAGCCAAGACCTGTTTGGTCATACACGATAACTTTTTTACCGTCATTCGGAAGGCCTAGTTTGACCATAAAATCAGCAAAAACACTTGCCGATGGCAAGGCATTCGACAAGGGCGAGTTTGCATCTTTGATTTCGCTGATACTGAAAAATATCGCTGACCTGATTCTAAGGTTAGAATGGTTTTCTTTTGCACTGGCTACCATGCTGGAGTCAATAAAGTAGCAAAGTCCTTCATCAAGAAGTTCCTGGGCTTTGTCGGTTTCTATGAATATGTTGTCCTCCATTATATTTCTACTAATTATTATCTTATATTAAATATAACGATTTTTTTTCCAGCTATTTCATATTTAAAACTAAAGAAACGGCTAAGTCTCCCTCTCAGTGAGCGAACAAAAAATTGTTTTTGCTTATGAGGGGTTAAATTTTTTTTAAAATTAATTTAATCTATAAAATTTATGTTTTAAAATGCAATTTGTTTTATATTAAATCAAAATTAGCTAGAGATTTCTTTATAATACTTATCACTTATATATCAATCTTTTATAAAAAAAATTTTTGTTGTTCACTGGGCGGGGAGTAAGTCTAAAGAAACTACATTGATAATAAATATACAGAAAAATTCAAAGAGAATCAATTGGGACAGCTAAATATTTCATATAATCAAATCTATGCTGTTTTGGATTAATTTTGGCATCAATCTCCTAAAAGCTTCACCTTAATACCATTTAATTATTCATGCATATTTCAAAATGGCAGGCAATCTGGAGGAAGAAGAATACGATTATCTCTTCAAAATCGTGCTCTTAGGAGAAAGCGGTGTCGGAAAATCCAACATCCTGTCAAGATTTACCAAAAACGAGTTCAACCTTGAAATCAATGCCACAATCGGAGTAGAATTTGCAGCTAAATGCATCTAGCACGAAGGCAAAGCTATAAAAGCACAAATCTGGGACACAGCTGGGCAAGAGCGCTTTAGGGCAATTATTTCTTCTTATTATAAAGGCGCAATGGGCGCTCACTTAGTTTATGATATTTCAGAACATGCAACATTCGAAAATTTAGACAGGTGGGTCAGCGAGTTCAGGTCAATTGCTCAGCCAGATTTAGCAATAATTTTGATTGGAAATAAGTGTGATATGGCCTATGCTAGAGAAGTGGCTCAAGATGAAGCTATTAGGCACGCCGAACGACTAAAAATCCCATTTTTTGAAACAAGTGCTTTGGACTGCACCAATGTAGAAGTGGTGTTTATGGAGCTGCTTACTACTATTGCAAGGCGAACTTATGCAAGTTTTGTTACTAAATTAGCTGATAAAGTAGATATTTCAAAGATTAATACGATTAAGTTAGTAACTGGGAAGAAAAAGAAGAAAGGATGCTATAAGGGTTGATTAAATCATTAATTATAAGTGTCATGTCTAATATGAAGACAAAATGAGACAAAGATATGCATATTGGCAAATAATATTATAGAAAAAAGCATAAACTGCTTTTAAGTAACTAGTTAGCTAAGCCTTAGTTTTTGCTGTTAAAATTTCCTTTTTCAAGTCTTCAATCATCCCTGTCAAGTGGGATGATAAAGCTTCATAGCTATTTGGGAGCGACTCAAGCTTGCTATTCACGTTTTTACTGTATAGAATATTACTTCACGAATTGTCCAATCTTCAAGAAAAAGCCTGATTCGAAGTTGGCTGCAGGCTGAAGGTTTCCTTGGGTATCGAATGGTAGCTCTTTTTCATCTTGCCCTTCTTTCACTTTACTATAGAAGGCATTATATTTGTCAAAGGCAGCCTTCTTTCTTGCAGCTTGTTCTAGACACCTATGAGCATCTTTATAGACTTGGAGGAAACTTTTAGCTTCAAAGAATTGATCTTCAGATATAGCTGGGAATAAATTTAGAAAACTTAGAGCGTTTTGGAAGTAACAAAAAGCCCGTTGATAGCTTATATCAGTAGTTAGTTATATATTTTCGATAATTAATTAAGTGATTCAATTATTTGCTTTTATGATTTGATAGAAATTCTTCTAATAAGTTAAAAATAATTGACATTAAAAATATTTCTTCATTCAGCAACAACTTGCTGACATTTTTACAACTAGACAAAGTCCTTTTACCTAGATGTCAATTCTGCATATTCTTTCTATTATTGTACAAGTAAAACAAATCTTTTGCACTAAGTCTAAAGAAATTACATTGATATTAAATATATAGAAAAATTCAAAGAGAATCAATTAGGACAGCTAAATCTTTCATATAATCAAATCTATTCAAAATGGCAGGCAATCTGGAGGAAGAAGAATACGATTATCTCTTCAAAATCGTACTCGTAGGAGAAAGCGGTGTCGGAAAATCCAACATCCTGTCAAGATTTACCAAAAACGAGTTCAACCTTGAAAGCAAAGCCACAATTGGAGTAGAATTTGCAGCTAAATGCATCCAGCACGAAGGCAAAGCTATAAAAGCACAGATCTGGGACACAGCTGGGCAAGAGCGCTTCAGAGCAATTACTTCTTCTTATTATAAAGGCGCAATGGGCGCTCTCTTAGTTTATGATATTTCGAAACATGCGACATTCGAAAATTTAGACAGGTGGGTCAATGAGGTCAGGTCATTTACTCAGCCAGATTTAGCAATAATTTTGGTTGGAAATAAGTGTGATATGGCCTATGCTAGAGAAGTGGCTCAAGATGAAGCTATTAGGTACGCCCAACAACAAAAAATCCCATTTTTTGAAACAAGTGCTTTGGACTGCACCAATGTAGAAGTGGTGTTTAGGGAACTGCTTATTACTATTGCAAGGCGAACTGATGCAAGTTTTGATACGAAAGGAGCTGATAAAGTAGATATTTCAAAGATTAATACGATTAAGCTGGGAACTGTGGAGAAAAAGAAGAAAGGATGCTGTAAGGGTTAATTAAATCATTAATTATAATATTGAGGGAAGAATTATGGCTAATATGAAGACAAAGATATGCAAAGAAAATTTGATATTGGCAAATAATATTATAGAAAAACCATAAGAAGTGTTTTTAAGTAACTAGTTAGCTAAGCCTTAGTTTTTGCTGTTAAAATTTCCTTTTTCAAGTCTTCAATCACCCCTGTTAAATGGGATGATAAAGCTTCATAGCTATTTGGGAGCGACTCAAGCTTGCTATTCACGTTTTTACTGTATAGAATATTACTTCACGAATTGTCCAAGCTTCAAGAAAAAGCCTGATTTGAAGTTGACTGCAGGCTGAAGATTTCCTTGGGTATCGAATGAAAGCTCTCTTTCATCTTGCCCTTCTTTCACTTTACTATAGAAAGCATTATATTTGTCAAAGGCAGCCTTCTTTCTTGCAGCTTGTTCTAGACACCTATGAGCATCTTTATAGACTTGGAGGAAACTTTTAGCTTCAAAGAATTGATCTTCAGATAGCATATTTATTAGAAAATGTCTTTATTGCTTCATGAGCTTAGATGAGTTTTCAGTAAAATTAATTTAGCTTTATTATATAAAATTATTTTAATTATTTAATTAGAAAGCGTTTAATTTTCAATAAGTTATAATATAAATAAAGAAATTGGTGTGCCATCAATAGTAATTGTCTTAATGATGCCTTATCAGTAGTTAGTTATATATTTTCAATAATTTATATAGTGATTAAATTATTTGCTTTTATGATTTGATAGAAATTCTTCTAATGAGTTAAAAATAATTGACATTATAAATATTTCTTCACTCAGCAACAACTTGCTGACATTTTTACAACTAGGCAAAGTCCCTTCCCTCGATGTCAATTCTTATATTCTTTCTATTATAGAGCTAGTAAAACAAATCTTTTCCACTAAAAGAAAGCCTACCCTGCTCACAACCTCCTAAAAATTTTTCTAAAAATAAAAAAAAATTGTAACAGAAACAATTCCAGCTAAAAATTTGGCTCATTCTTTTCAACAAGTTTTTCCCTCTTCACTTCACTCCTCTTCCACTCTTTTAATTTCGTTTAATTATTTAAAATTTCTTTCACAGTTTAATTGAGAAATGAGATTTAGATATTAGTTTTATTAATGGTAGGGTGGAAATTTGAACTGTTTGACTGTCAAGAAAACTACTTTATGTTTTTCTGGTCACTTTGCGTCCCTTGTGGATACCACTGCATGCAAATGCTCAATGCCAAACAGGCAGAACCAAATAACAGGCATGCATCTTTACGAGCCTACTCGCTAGTTCTATTCCTGGGATGTTTGGGTGGCTCATTAAATCGGCATATGCTCAGGCAGTCAATGAAGATTGAAGACAACTCGATTTGGGATTTTATTCATTGTTTAGTTCCATGCTGCGCTGTGACACAAGAATGGATGCACGTTATGAGCATTCAAAAAGGAAACTCTAAGCTTAAGATCACTGAGCTTAAGGTGAATCGCATATAAAATATTTAACTGGAGTAATTAAGACAATTCTTAAATTCGACGTTTTAAAATCATACCATTTTGCCTGAAAACCAAAATCGTCAGGCAAGTCAGACCATGATGATATTTTAAATAAAATTTGAGAAAGAATTGTCGTAATCAGCTGCTTATCACATGATACCTTATCCCAAAATTAAATTATTAATTTCTGAAAAGATTTTTTAGGCTTTTTTATAATTTGCTTAATTTCTTTACAATAAGAAATAATACTCTTATTTACTTATTAAAATTCAAAATAACTCAGCATGCCTTACCAATGCAAGATTCTCATAATTTATAATTATAAGCAAAAGCCCTTCAATCCCAAAAGAAAATTTGTTTCCTATATATAGTTCCTTCTAAACATTAATCAGAAAATAATTATATGTCCTTTTAAATTTAATAATGATGATATTTATCTTTTTTAACCTCACGCTAAATCCTTTAATGCTGATTTAACAATGGATTTTTCCGATATCTCAGTCCACACCATTTGCACACTTCTGGCTCATTTTGCTCTACTTTATTAAGCAATATATAAACCATCGGGTGCCCTAAGCCTATGGTTTTGACCCCAGTACATCTGACAATATCATCGTCTACCAGAATTGGGCTCATTTTCCAGATCCACTCTTCCCCATTTGTCAAATGTGTCAATTTGCTTGCTTGATGGGGTTGTGTTATATCCACAGGATTCCCATCAATATCTTTCATAAAGCTTGGCTCTCCAAATTTTGAGATCTGCTGCAAGTATTTTGTGAAAAATTTCATGAAATTAACAAATTAATTAAATTATTTTGCATTATTCATCTTGATTTAATACACTGCTTATGGTTGAATAAATCAGCTCAAAATCAGGCCGCTTGGAAGGGTCGACATTCCAGCAGCTTTGCATTAGCATCCTCAAATGATGGTCAAGGCCTTGTGGGATTACAGGTCTGCATGTGTCCCCGACCACGATTTTTTTTAAGTTTGGCAGAGTGACTCCTGGGAATGGCTCCTCTTCTGTAAGAAGCTCCCATAGAATTATTCCAAAACTATAGGCGTCGTCACTTTTTTGAGCTTTTGTTACTACAGAGCCTGTGTCGCTCAAAACTTCAGGAGAACTTCAAGCACTTTTATTGACGTACCCTGCGACTAGTCCTGCATATTTTTTTAGCACGTCAAAACCTAGGTCACTTATAAAGGTATTAAAATTTTCATTAAATAGCACATTGTGGGACGAGAGATGACCATGAATTCTTCCTTTATTATGGAATTCTTTTATACAAAATGCAAGCTCGCTGGCGAAAACCAATTTTTGATGAATAGGAAAATGCCGTTTTTGGTCATGCAAAAGTTCATATAGAGAGAAATTTGACATATAAGCGGAAATTATTTTTAGAGACTTGTCGTCTACTAAGCTGCCAATGATCCCGTTATAGTGCTTATTTTTGAAATATCTTAATGAGGAAATTTCTGCGTCAATTGTTTCTAAGACATATTTACTGACTTGGGTAAGGTTAAGCTTGCGGACTGCAACATTGGCCCCACGCAAAGTTCCAAAGTGAAGAGATCCGAGCTTGTTAGGAATTTCAGAAATAGCCATTTCAATCCTTAAGTCGTCATTTGTGAGACGAGTATGGCTCGCATTAGCACTGGTAAAAACACCTTCAGACTCCTCAGGGACTGTATCAACGCTTTGCATGTTGTCGAATGGAGTCATTAGAGATGTATGCTCACTGTCACTTTTTCTTGTGAAAATATTAAAAAATGAACTTTCCAATATCATTACGTAACATAAAATTTCTGATATCAAGTCAATTAGCAAAATAACACTTGGGACTACATCGTCAACTGAGACTTCTTTAATTTCATTGCTTTCTTCTATTAAATCTCCAGGTCTCATGATGTAAAGTGTAGCATGTGAGAATCTGCCAAGAGTCCATATGATGGTGACTGCTATAATTTTTCTTAAGGACTTCTGAGATCTTAAGCTATTATAAGGAAGTCCTGAATATTTGACTTGCAAATATATAATACCAGCTAGCACTATAGCAATAGCTATATAGCAGCAAATGCTCTGTTGGATGACCATATCTGCTGGGTATAACTTTTCGAGTAAAATAATGCCATAAAGGAGAAATTCAATAAAAATCCAAAAGCATAAGCCATACATAGTAATTCTTCCTACTAAATATAGTGAACATTTGTTTTTTCATAGAGCCTCATCTGCTCTTATTCTCGTGTGGATATTAGCTGTGATAAAAACTCAAAAGAGGATGATATAGGCAACTATTAAAAGTTCACCAGGCAGAGAAAGTAGCACAAAAATGATATATACAAATATATCTTAAATAAGAAAAAAAAATTTATATCTTTTGCGATGAAAGAAGCATTCCTACTGGTAGGATATTTTAATATAGTAGATAGATGATAGGATGTTTCTATTCATTGCAAAATGGTATATATTATCATTTTATTGTAAAAAATAATTTATTCATTATAAATAGGATAGGAACTGCTTTCTTTATCCCTAGAAGGGAATATAGTAATATATCAGAAGCTTATTAGCCGGATAAAGACAACAATTAGTTGTAAAATATAGAGCAACTTGGCGTATTTTCAAATGGCTAAAGCTTCTATCCTTGATTGAACCGATCTGCATCGTTCGATCAAGGATGGGTTAAAGCTTTTTGGAAAAAAGGTTATATGTGACACTTATTGATGGAAAGATTTTGGTGGATTAAATGAAACTTTTGATTTTACATTTTATTTGTTTACTTTAATTTTTGATTTATTAATCAAGAAAGTGATACTTATACATTATTTCATTTATTCAGAAATTTTATATTAAAATCTTTTCATATGAAGTAATATATGTTAGAAATCGTATTATAATTGGACAGAAGCCGCTATTATATCTAATCCCTAAGATTCAATATTATCAAAATATCGAGCTAAATTGAATTGGTAAAGGAAGGGGCTTCGTGCTTGACTAAATAGAAGCAGTTAAATCTGGCTTCGCTCTATTAAGGATGAGGGAGTAAGAATTTCCTTGAAACATAAGTTCTAAAGACGGTGTAAATAAAGATACATGTGTAGATGAGAGAAAGGACTAGAAATATTAAAAAGAGAGATGTATCGCCTTGTGACATTTATAGATAGCGTGGCTATTTTTATAAATATGAACTCAAATGAGTTTCTAGCAGACCATGAACTTGGATTTAATGTTGATAAAGGAAACTTGAATAATTTTAGTCAAAAAATACCTCAAAACCTAACTAATTCCCAACAAAGTCCTGAAGTAATTAAAAGTGACCTTTTGAAATTGCAAGAAAAAATTTCCTCACTTGAGTCTCGTCTTCAGCCATCCCATCAAAGCTCTTAGTTCTTAATAAGATTATTTAGAAGCTTCCTACGATAACCTGTAGGTATTTTTCTCCATTCTTGCTTTGGTCAGATAATTGCCGCAATCTCTTTCGAGTGCCGCTCCTCTACGTGAGCTTGTGCCAGATCGGAGATTGTATAGGGATAGGCCATCATTCCACGTGTAAAAAAAGTTAGCCCTTCCAGAATATTAAAAAAATGAATTTTCTCGTTAGGCTACTGACAAAATGAATTTAGTAGCCCAGGGCATAACACTTGGCATCATGCTTGGGAATCATCCGATTGACCAAGTAAACATTCAAGCTTTGCTGGGTTTTCCTTTCCAACTCCAAGACTTTCATATTTTTCTCGAGATCTGGATGTGAGCTGCTGTTGGCCAAATCCGACGCTGAGTTCCATCAAACCAATAGAACTCGGCTGGATATGCATTACCGAACGCTATCTATCACAAGTTCCCTGGATTACCCCAGCTGCAAGATCTAAGAACTTAAATTGGATTGCCGCAGCATTTTAATGTATATAGAAGTTTCCTATGTTTGGCGCTGTAAGGCCGATAAATTCTGATCGGAATTTATCGGTAGGTTGCACCAAATCAATGCCTTGGTCGGACCAAAAAGCGATTTGGTCCGACGAACTTGGAAAGCTCCTGGGAAAATGTCTGCGCTTTTAGCGCTATATAGAGGAAACCTCTATATATAATCCCATCAAAGTTCGCAAATTATTTATTGCCCAAAAGTTGAAATAAAAAAGACCAAACATTCAGCTTCAAGTTCTCTTTTGAAAAGTTTTGAAAGAGAAGAGAGGGAGCTTGAAGAGCTCGAAAGAAGCATAACGTCGACGCCAAGTAAAAAAAGTTCAGCATCCCTTAATGCGGTTTTAGATAGGCTCAGGACTGATTTGCTTAATCAGAGGAAAATATATATTTTTTTTTAAAAAAAAAAATAATTTTAATTATTTTTAAATCAATTATGTAAAATAATCAGAGGCAAAAGAATGTAAAGCTTAGAAAATCAAACGATGGGCTGAAAAAAATGTTAAATCATAGGGAAGATTTGCATGCAAAATTAGCGATGCTCCAAGAAGATCATTACACACTGATACAGTCTTTTGAGAGATCTGAGAATATTAGGAATAAGCAAAAAGAAATGATTGAGTCTTTAAAAAATGAAATTTTGGAATATGAAGCTGCTGAAAATGAGAAAGGAGAACAGAAAAAGCCTAAGCTTATTAAATAAAAAATAATTTTATGAAATAATAAAAAGTTAATACTAAATTTCTATAAATATTTTTTATAAGAATAGATTAAGAAAAAAAAGGCCTATTATACCAAAACCAAAAACAAAACGACTTTACTCATGTGTTAATTATAATTAAATTATTAAAAAATTACATCAAATAAGCCTTCTTGCAGCACTTGATAACGAGTTTTATACCAAAACATCAGAAATGATCTTATATGATCATGCTGAACTACGCCATTTTAGTTTTGGAGTTTCTTTTTAATTCCTCAATCAATAATACTATCAATTCTTCTCTGTTTTCAAATTAGTCTTAAAATATCACTCAAAGCAATTTTAATTAATATAATCCTGCAATTAAATCCAAAAATTTACCTTATTTATTATATAGATTTCATATTTTCCTATATATAGCACTCCTCAAAATGCTCACTTTGCTATACTCATCTTAATGCAAACCAAAAGCTTTTCCTAGCCATAATCATAAAATACTTAAAATGATTGAAAATCAACAACATGAAACTACTTTATAATAAATGTCCAATATGCGATATGTAATTTCAACATAGGCTGCTATATGGTCCCCGCGAAATCTCCCATCCACTGCAGACCTCCCCATCCCCACCATATATTCCTTACCAAAAGCCAGTATTAAAACTTTCCACGTCACTGACAATTTAGCAGTTGCCTTGACAGAAAAAGGAAAATTATGAGAATTAAAAACCAAAGAGGAAGAAAGCAAAGATACCATAAGGCGCATTAAAGTCCCAATTGAAGTAAAACAATTATCAATAAACGAAAACGCAGGACTTTTTATAGGCAAAACAGGCGGCGTCTACGTATGAGGAAAAGACGTCAATCAAGATGGGATTTTTGGGATCCCAAATTTATATGAAATTCCAACCCCAACCCCAATTGACCTACTTTCTGATGTATTTGCCGTCAATGGAGCTATTGGGACAAGCCACGCTGCCATTATTGACAGAATTGGGCATCTTTATACATGGGGAACTGGCGATTGCGGGCAGCTGGGCTCTGTCGCTTTTTCTTGTTACAGCCAGGAGCCGACACTTGTGGAGAGTGCCAAAATTTTCAGTGCTAAACAGGTAATTTGTGGAGAAAGCTTCACATGTATCTGCACTGGAGGAGGCTATGTATATTTATATGGGTCGATAGGCACTTGTCATTCTAATGCAAAAGGAGCGCCTCGCCAAAACTTGTTAAGAAGCTTTTCCCCGACATTTAAAAAGGATAATACAGGAAATTACCCTTATACTTTGCCAGAGCTTGAGCATCATTTTACAACTCAAGTTACATCAGGCAGTGGCTTTATTTCAGTGTTGACTGACACAGGGGAGGTTTTTACTTTTGACGAATGTATGGACCTAGTCAAGATGCCAGCAGGATCGAAAAGTACAGTAAAAATAATTTCGAGTACCAAGAATATTATATATGGAATTGCAAAAGAAGACGGAGAAGATGTGCTATATGAGTGAAGGGAAAGTTTTCAAGAGAGACTGAGCAGCTATGAGCTTTTAGGCTGCAATTTAGTGAACTGGACAGGCAGGATATATATTATTGATGAAATGTTTTCGAAATTCCCAACACTAGGTAACTCTATAGGAAATTATATGAGCATAATTTATGAATTTGAAAATAATGCGCCCATGAAGCCGGTTGGAAAATACTTGTCAACAATGATGCCTTATAAAAGGTCAGAATATGCTAAAAAACTGATAAGTTCTGCACAAGATTCGCTAGATATGAGGATTATAAGCCCAATTCCAAGTCCGAGGTTTGGGGAGAGGTCTGGAGCTGTATCTCCAACTTATTTATCCCAAGGAAGTCCTATACCAAACTGTCATAAAAGTTATGATGATTTGGAAAGGCTTTATCCGACTGGAGATAACACAAAAACTATCGGAGCAATTGTGAAATGCAGAATTGAATATGACGCCAGAGAAAAAATATTGAGGGCGTTCCAGCCGGTTGTATTGCCAATAGTGGAAGAATTTATGCTGACTCCTCCCGTCTTTGATCGAACGATTCCATTGATAAATTTCTAAAATTGAAAAATTAATCCCCATCCTTGATCGAACTATTTGCATATTGTAAATTTTTATATACAGTGTGGAAAGGGGAAACTAAAATTTTTAAATTAACACAATTTTTCTTTTTAATAGTTTAATATTTACTATTTTAACCCATAAAAACAATAAAAATAACATTTATTTTTTCCAAAAATTTATTAAAACCCACTCTTTGATCGAACGACGAGGGGTTTGTTCAATCAAGGATGGGGGGAGTGAGACTAAAAGAATACGGCTTTATGATAATAATGTATAAGCGGACTATAGCAGCTACCACGATCCCTAATATAATTATCAAAATATTCCAAAGGTTTCATGTAGTCTCTTTATCTTCTGGATTTCAAGCTATCAGAAATTTTTCGAATAAAAAATTATTGAATATGATAGAAATTCAGAGAAAGGAAATAAATTCAAAAATCAAAAGGGAAGAAGCCGTCAAAAGCCTCAGCTATGATTTAGGGAAAATATTTTTAAAAAGGATACAGCACGGGTTTAGCCAGCTGAAAAAGCTTGAAATGATTAATTATCAGCAAAGATGTGCGGCTTTATCCCTTAAACAATTTATTTCAGAAATTGTGTATTTTGAGCTGAAAAAAGCGTTTTCGGAAATAAAAAACCAAGAAATCATTCCAAAAATTAAATTGGAGACGCATATGAAGGAAGTTCAGATACAAAAAGAAGACAGTACTAAAAAAATATGCAAGGTGCTGAAAAAGAGGCAAAATTCCAATCTTTTAGAAGTTTTAAGAATTCTAAAGCATCTAGATTGGAGTCTTGTAGACAAGAGGAATGCAGTGGCAAGGTTAGACAGCACCTTAAAGGGTATTTTTAAACGCATAACCAATGACCATTTTACAGAACTTAAAGAAATTAATTTTTCCTCAATGCAAATAGAAAAAAAAGAAATTGGAATAAGCATGGTTCTTGAAGAAAATATTAGAAATTTTGATGGAATTTTTAAAAAAATGCTTATTAGGCAGCTTCAGTATGGATTTGGCTTGTTGAAAAATTTGAAACTGAAATTTTATCAAGAAAAATGTTCCCTTCTTTCACTTAAACAAATTTTATCTGAAATTGTTTTCTTTACTATTCGTAGCGCATTTGCCGAAATGAAAAACTTCGGATATTCTTTATCAATAAATAGTGTCGATATGCAAAGCAAAGAAAGCAACGCTAATTTCACCCAAGAAGAAGTAGCCAAAAAATTAGCCTTATCTCTAGAAAAAATTAGCCTCAGGGCACGTCAATTTGGTTTCAGCTTTTTTAAAAATGTGCAGCTAAACTATTATCAAAAAAAATGTGGAATTTTATCATTTAACAATATTTTCAGAAAAACTGCATATGCGAATATGAGAATTGCGTTCGATAAATTTAAGGATAATAAAATAAGCAAAAGCCGTCATGTTTTATTGCTCAGGCACGCTAATAGCGTACTCTTGGAGCTGGCTCAGAGCAGTAACCAAGCCTTTTGCCATTTCTGCCACATTCTGACGAGCTAAACTCGATTTGGCAAACAAATCTACAATGGCTTGGTTTTGTCAAGTCGAGTTTAGCTTGCCAATGAAGCAGACAAACAACAGGCTTGATATGCTCAAAGCGAGCTACAAGGACCCGCTATTACCCTGCCCTTTGCTATATTGCAAAGAACAGTCAGAAGCCTTAAAAAAGCTCGACGTAATCATATGAAATGCCAACATGAACCAAGCTGACTATGGATTTCGACAATTAAAAAATTCAGTCTACTCCCATCAAAGGCATATTGCACTGCCATCAATGCAAATCCTCAAAATCGAAAACTTAGAGCAGCATCCTTCTTCCAAGTCTTATGATTATATGAACGAATATTGAAGAAGCCATAACAGTACTCCAGGAATAAAAAATAATCCTAAAAAATTAAAATTTATAGTCAAAAAAAATGAGAGACCGCCCTGGAAGCCCACAAGTATATCATCTGGGTTTGTGCCAATCAGAAAAGTTGATGTAAGTCCTACAAGTCTGAGGCTAAATTATGACAGTGAGCTTAAGGTAAGAAAACAAAGGATACATGAAAAGAAAAGCATAATGCAGGTACAGTCAGAGGAAAACTCTTGCATTAAGACTAATATTACGAGGAGTAGGTTTAGTAAGTATGAAAATGATCCAGTGTTCCAAAACTGCATAAAGAATTTAGAAAGCGGAAGATGGAGGGAACAAGTTAATTAATTCTTGCAGGCAAAACAGAGTTAAATATTAATTTTTTGGAATTTCGTTGAAAGGAATCCATGATGAATCTTCTTAGTTCTTAGTTAAAAATTATAGAGGGTTCCTGTGATACCTCGAATGGGTATTTATATCTACCTTGCTTTGAGACTGATTGTTGTCTGCTTATCTGCTATGCTCCTCCAGAAATTCGAAAAAAAAAATTCTCCAGGTATCGACCAAATTGAACTAGTTGTTCAGAGCGCAACTCCTGGTATCGCGCTAGGAAACTGGGTTGGCCCTAAGGACTCTGCTAGGCTTTCCCTGATCAATGCCGAACATCCATCTTCCTAGAGGTAAAACCTTGGCCTAAAATAAGCTGCGGTCAGCCTAATCGACTCCTCAGCTAAAATTGTTAAGAGGGTGAGCTGTCTTTCCAAGCCATTTTAAAATACATATGATGAATCTTCAAGAGGAATTCCTTTTTTGTTAGTCTGAATTGCAGTAAAATTAGAAAAATCTCGTTTCTGTTCAGTCCATTTTTGTATTACTTCGAGATTCAGAGGTCCTACAATTCCTTGTGGGCCTTTCAGTTTTCAATATACATCTGTGTCTAAATCATCTAAAGTTCAGCTATAAACATCGTCGATCCCTTCACCTATTAAATCGCTTGTTGCTTTCACAAGTTCATTGAATTCAGATAAATTTTTATCATCTTTTGTATCAGTCTCAGCTTGACTTTTCCTAACATTTTTCTTGAAATTCTTTTTTAAGGCAACTGGACCTCTGAGCCTTGTTAAGGCTTGGCTTACAGCTTCTCCTTGTTTCAGCATTCTTTTAATAATGTTTTTAACTTCAGAAACATTGATTTCTTTAGTTTGGTTTACTTCTGGCTTTTTTACAGGCTTCGCAAGTTTGAGATCATCAATTGTATCTAGTCAAAAGTCATTTCTTTCTTCTCTATCCTGCCTAGACATGGCTTCTTTTGTTTCAGCGAAACTCTGGGCTTCTCTTTCTGTTTTTAAATTAAAAGGCTCAAGTTCTTCATCTGAGCAATCTTCTTCAGCTTCTTTTGTGTCTTGGTATCTGTCTTCTCAAAACTCTTTGACTAAGTCAATTTCGTCTTTTTTAAACTTTTTCATAGGATTTCCTTTTCTCATGAGCTCAGGGTAGTCGGACTGCATTCTTTGCCTTTTTCTCAGTTCTCGGCATGTTTCAGGATCCATTTATAAATTTAACTCGTTTGTCATTATTTTTTATTTATTTAAATTAAATTTTTTTTATCATAAAAAATCGCTCCGCAGATTAAGAAAAACATAATTTTTAATTTAAATTAAATTTTCATAGACCTCTAACATCTATAAATTAGGCTTTTATTAATAATTAAACAAGATGGCAACTATAAGAGCTGCGCAGCGGTATGGCGCGATTATTATTGGTGGCGGACATAACGGCTTAGTAGCAGCAAACTACCTCGCTAAAGCTGGCATCAAAGTTTTACTGCTTGAGCGTAGAAATATAATAGGCGGCTGTGCAGTTACCGAAGAAATTATCCCAGGCTTCAAATTTAGCAGAGCATCCTACGTTTACAGTCTTTTCCGCCCTCAAATCATTTCTGACCTAAACCTGCATAAGCACGGCCTTGAGCTCCTACCAAGAGTTCCTTCCTCTTTTACCCCAACTCCTCAGAAAAACGGCAACTATTTACTACTAGGAGCCGGTGAAGAAGCCGACATCGCAGAAATTGCTAAATTCAGCCAAAAAGACGCAGAGGCATATCCCAAATATAACGTCCTCATGGAAAAATACAGTGCAGCCATAAGACCTTTATTAGATCGGGCTCCTCCTGATCTCGGTTTATTTTTCACTAAAAATTCCTCATTCAAAAAGCGAAAAGACAATTTTTCCGATTTAATTGCATTTGCCTGGCATCTTACGAAGCTTGGAAAAGACTTGCCTGGGTTTATAGAACTAGTAACAGGCCCAGCGAATAAGTTTTTGGACCGATGGTTTGAATCGCCGATCTTAAAAGCGACTTTAGGGACTGATGCAATTATTGGGGCTATGCTTTCTCCATCAAGCCCTTATAGTGCTTATGTATTGCTGCATCATGTAATGTGTGGGGTCTGGTGCAATGTAAAAGGAGGAATGGGAGGTATAAGTCAAGCATTGGAAAAAGCAGCATATGAAAATGGGGTCGAAATCAGAACAGAGGCTCCTGTAAGGAAAATTTTAACGGATAACACAAATCAGCCAGTTGCATACGGGGTGGAGCTGGAAAATGGAGAAAAACTGTTTTCTAATGTAATTTTAAGCAATGCGGCGCCTTTTATCACTTTTTCTAAACTTTTAGATACAGAAACAAAGAAAAAGCTTCCTAATGACTTTATGGCAGCGATCAGCACGATAAACCACACTTCATCAAGCTGCAAAATAAACGTCGCAATTGATAAGCTGCCGAATTTCTTATGTGCTCCACATACTGATGAAATCAAAGGAGGCCCTCATCATAGAGGAACAATTCATTTTGAGACTTCGCCATCACAGATTGAAGACGCTTATCAAGACGGAGTCACTGGAATCCCTAGCAGGCGGCCTGTGATTGAGCTAACCCTCCCGTCAGTTGTAGATCCTACTATAGCACCCAAAGGAAAACATGTCGCTTTAATGTTTGTTCAATATGTGCCTTATGCATTAAAAAATAATCAGCCTTGGACACAGGTACTGAAAGAAGAATTTGCTGATAGAGTTTTTTCAGTCATTGAAGAATATGCGCCTGGGTTTAAAAAGAGCATCATAGGGAAGCCTGATATTTTGACTCCTGTGGATTTGGAAGAAATTTATGCTATACCTGGGGGAAATATATTCCATGGGTCTATGTCTTTGGATCAGCTGTTCTTTTCAAGGCCTGTTCCTGGATGGGCGAGATATGAAACTCCTGTAGGGAATCTGTTTAATTGTGGAGCTGGAGCGCATCCTGGAGGAGGAGTTATGGGAGCGGTGGGGAGGAATTGTGCTCAAATGGTGTTAAAACAAATAAAATAGGATTTAATGCTAGCTAAAATAATAATAATTTTTTAAATATCATTAAAATTGATATAATCAATTGGTTAGTTTTCAATTTTTATAATTTATTTTTGTAAAATCTCTCTGCTAATGACTTATTAATAGACATTTAAAATTATCTTTACTCCCCCCCCCCCCCTCCGTGAGCGAACAAAAAAAATTTTGTTCGCTCACGGAGGGGGGTTAATTTTTTTTTTTAAAAAAAAATTTATATATATAAATTTTATAAAAAATATTTTTTTCGAAATTTTAAAAAAAAAATCCTAATTTGCAAAAATTTGGGAAGCAAATATTAATTTAATTTGCAAAATTTATGTTTTAAAACGCAATTTGTTTAAAATTAAACAGAATTAGCTCTAGATTTCATTATACTAATTATCACTTATATATCAAAATTTTTTTCCATTAAAATTTTTTCTATTAAAAAAAAATTTTTGTTCACTCACGGAGGGTGGGTTTTTGGTCAAAAAATGGCGATTTTTCTAATGGTTTTGTTCGCTCACGGAGGGGGGGGGGGGGAGTTAGCATTTATTTCCTTTCATAAATAATTGATTGAATTAGGCCCCTAAAATAATATAGGAGAAATGATTCATAAATCTGACAAACTCTCTGATACTCAAATATCTAAAAACTTTGAAAGCGATTTATCAGAAAAGCAAAATCAATTTCTTCATGACTCCTCAAATCCGCAAAGTCCAAGCAAGTGTACTTTGGCCTCAAAAAAGTCTCTTTCCAATCTGCTTTTATGCACAAAATGTCTTAACACCTACAATAATCAAGAATTTCTCCCAAAAGTCCTAATTTGTGGCCACACAATCTGCAGTCCCTGTTTATTCTCTTTAAGCTCAATAATTTGCCCTTTTTGCCAACATGCCGACAAAAGAGACCCCACAAAAATTCCTGAAAATATTTACTTGAGAGAGCTGATAGAAGACTATGATCGAAAAATAATTGAAAATTATGATCATAAAAATTATTGTAAAGAACACAGCAAAGAAATAGGAATTTACTGTGAAAATGATGAAAAATTTTTATGTTTTGACTGTATTATCAAGCATAAAGGGCATGATTTTCTGCCACTAACAGATCAAAAGTTGTTTGAGATGGCAGAAACTAATAGAAAATTTATACAGGATGCCAAAAATGAGTGCAAAAATAACATAGAAAATGGGGAAAAAGCTATAAAGGCAATTGAAGAAGAAGATTTAAAAATCGAGAAATTGGTAGAAGGCCATGTGCAAAATTATAATGAGATGAAAAATGATTTTATAGTGGCAATTATGAAGGCGACTTCATATTGTACTGGAACAATTGAAAATTATTTAGATATTCATGTGAAAAATCAAAAAGAAGTAGGATCGTTGAAATTTTTTGTAGAGATTTCATCGAAAAGCCTTCAAGATGTAGAGAAGATTGAGAAGGAGTATGAAAATAAAACTATTGTAGATAAAGTAGCCTGGAATAGAAATGAAATTGAGAAAGTGCCTGATATTCCTAGTATAAAGCTAAATAATGAGATTGTTAGAGAATTAGAAAAGCCTAGAGATTATAGAAGTGATGTATTTGAAATATTCAAGAAATTGATTAATGTTATTTAATTATTGTTATTATTTAATTTTGAATAAGAAGTGAAAGAATAACTTAGTTATTATAATGATCTTATTTAAACTTTTTGTTTTTATTTATTTTGAACGATCACTCTTAAATGCAGTTCTTTTCAAATATTTTTGGGTTAAGACAGTCTAATTTTTTCGCAAAAAGGATTATTCAGGTACATATTTGATTGTGAAAGTCCAAGACGCTCTCATATAGTATAAAATTTTGTCTAAGAAGGAATTACAGATATAGAAATTTCCCATAGATGGCACTGTTTGCCCTTGATTTGCCCATGAGGAAAATTTTTTGGTTTGACCAAAACCATATGGTACTGGTCGAACCAAAAATTTCCCTAGTGGGCAAATCAAGGGCAAACAGTGCCATCTATAGGAAATTTCTATATTATAATAAAAATTATAATTTCTTTTAATTGCATAACAATATTTTTATTAAATAAAATAATTAGACTTAATTATCCCAAGTCTGTGATAAAGAGTCTATTAAATTTTGATTGTCCTTGCTTAAAGCGGCATTTTTAAAGCTTGTTTTATAAGCTGAAAATTCATTACTCATTGAAGATCAATGAATCAAATCTTTATCTGATTCTGCATCAATATTCCATACTTTTAGGGTCATATCACTGCTTGCAGAAATTAAGAAATTTCCGTTTAAATAAAACGTAAGATAATTGATTTCTCCTAAATGTCCATTTAATACTAAAATAATGCCTGTAGTTTCGACATCCCATACAAGGATTCTTTTATCTTTTTGTCCAGTGGCAGCTAGATATCTGCTGCTAAATGGAAAAAACAAAATGGTACTGACATAGTCATGAAGTCCTTTCAATCTTTCAATATATTCAGAATTTTCTGTTTTAATAAGACTCACATCGCTATCGTAACTGAAAGCTATGATTGTTGCACACTCAGAAGCAACTAAAACATTTCAATTTGGTGAGAGCTTGGTTTCATTTATTTTCATACCAGATTTAATGTCTCACAAAATGGCAAGCCCTTTCATTCTGTGAGCTGTAAGTAAATACCTACCATTATGAGATAGTAAAAATCCAGTCACATACTCCTCACAATTTATCGTTTGAATGCTCGGACCTAAAATAATATCGAAAATATAGATTATTGACCCTCTGTAGTTGTAAGCAAAAAATCTCCCGCAAGGAGAAATAGTGAATAAGGTTACTCGAGATCTTAATTTTCTCACTCCCCCCTCTCCGTGAGTGAACAAAACCATTAGAAAAATCCCTATTTTTTGCCCAAAAACCCTCCGTGAGTGAAACAAAAATTTTTTTAATAGAAAAAATTTTTTTTTTATGAAAAAGAAATTGATATATAAGTGATAATTAGTATAATGAAATCTCGAGCTAATTCTGTTTAATTTTAAACACATTGCGTTTTTAAAACATAAATTTAATAAATTAAATCAATATTTGCTTCCCAATTTTTGCAAATTAGGGATTTTTTAAAAATTTCGAAAAAAAAAATTTTTTATAAAATTTATATATAAATTTTTTTAAAAAAAAGAAAATTAACCCTCCTCCGTGAGTGAACAAAATTTTTTTGTTCACTCACGAGGGGGGGTCAGCAAAATCTTTTCATAATTTGTTGTTGCTTTTAGTCTGTTTCTATAAGTTCAGTTACTTCAAAATTCATACTTTTTAGTATACCTATTTATTTTTCAATCTTTTTCAATATCTCACTCAATTGTCTCATTGTTTTTGTCTATTGATGTAATAATTTTTTCATCATGGGAAACTGAAATATATTCAACTAATGAGGAAGTCCCTATAAATGGTTTTGCTTTAATTAATGAGTGATAATCATGAAGCAAGATCTCGCTTCCATGAGATATTGCTAGTAGTCCTAGGTTTGAAGACAGGACGCATCTGATAAATTTTGAAAAATAGCTACAATGATATTGATATACAAGAGTTTGGGTATTTATGTCTCATAATTTTATTGATCTATCAAAAGATGACGTTGCAGCCAAACCTTTAGTAGAGTCTGTAGAAATTGATGTTATAGCAGCATTTATGTGAGCCTTTATTGCTATTTTATTATCTAATTTCATATTTCAAACATATAATACTCCATTACTGTCGCCTAAAATCAAAATATTATCACTTAAGCATGAACACCTTGTGCTCCCCCCAGTTCTTGTTTTTCCAATTAGATTAAAATTTTTAATTTCGTATAATCAAACTTCGCAGTTTAACACTTCTATTATAATTTTTCCACATTTTGAAAATAAAGCAAAGTCAATATGGTTATTTGAATAATATTCTGGCTCTCTTGTTTGTAAATCTACCAAGCATCCTTTTCCATCAGAAATTGCTAATAAAAAATTCCCGCAAGGCGAATAAGCAATATCTACCAAATTATCAATCGTAAATACTAATACTTGACGTTTCCTTTCTATATTCCAAATGCAAACTTCAGAAACTTCAGTCCCTACCGCAATATACTTTTCACATGGAGAAAAAGCAATGCCCTTACTCATTCAACCATCAATTATCAATATCCTCTTTCACGTTTTTGTCTCCCAAATAGAAACTTTTGTAGAGCACGCAAAATATTTTCCTGAAGGAGAAAATAAAATATCAAAATAATCTGCCACTGTTTTTAATGATTTTAATTTCCCAAATTGAGCTTTAGAAAGATTGCAGTTTTCCAAATTTGAGTAATAAAAATAAGAGTTACTTAAGTTACACCTGCTTAAATCACTATCTCCTAGGTCGACATTAATAAAATTGCATCCTGATAAATCTGATTTTGGGACTTTAATCCCATTTAAGGATTTATTTTTGAAATTATAGTTTGAGTAATTTAGAATTGTGATGGCGTTGCTTGCTGCTATCTGTAGCTCAGGAAATTGTTTTGAGGAAAGCACAACTTTATATAGCTTTTCTAATTGTTTTTCTGTTAAAAACTCTTGGAAATATTTGCTGTATAATTTGATGTTTTCAGATATATTTACTTTGTTGAAATAGCTTAATAAAATATCCTCATTACTTTGAAAAGCAGATATATCACAAGCAATTTTATGAGTGATCATATAATCTAAAGCCTTTTTAGAAATAGGTTTGTGTTGAAATATATTGCGAGTGAAGCTTAATTTGAGTTTTTGCTCTTTATTCATGAGCTCTGAAGTAGTTTTTATTAGAAAGCTTTTCTCTTTCATGTCTCTACACAAATATTTCTTATTTCTATAATCCATGAAGATTTAATTATGCATATTTAACGAGCTTTGAAAATCAGAAGTGATCAGCATAATTTTGGTTTATGGCTGAATAAATTAAATGAAAAGCCTTGCTTAGTAGTTAAAAAAGCATTTATAAAGCACCAATATATATGAGCAACTCAAATCCGATTTTTTTATAGGAGCTATCGCTTTTAACACTCTGAAATCCTTATCTAATGGCAATTAGTCAAATCTATCTTCTCAAATACTAATTATTTAAATAAAAAAATTTTTGATTCTTCTTCATCACTACTTGTATACTCCTTCATTTCCTGCTCTTCAACACCGCCTATTTCATCCAGCAGTTCATCTTCGTCGATGTTCTCTAAATGCCCATATGGTTCTCCGATTTCTAGGGTTATTTTTCTTATTCACTCATCACATTGCTCAGACTCAGTTTTTAAACGTTCAAATGTATCAACTTCCCCACCCTTATTTTCAGTAAATTTACCCAAGCTTATACATTCCATTACATATAAAAATCCTTCGATTTTGTTTCTTTTGTCTTCAAGATTTAGCATTTTTCTTTCGTAAAACTTTTTAAGTTTTATACAGAATGAAGTTCCTTTTTGGTCTCCTTTTTGTTTTTTGTGAGCTATAATGTCATTTTGGTTTTTTATTTTGGCTTGAAGATTTGATGTCTGAGTGTCGATAGAAACAAGAGAATTTCTAAAAGTTGTGTGAAGTTTTAAAAGCTCGCCTGGTTTGAGGAGCTTTTCTCTGGATATGGAAATCATCTAATGTAGTTATTATTTAAAATTATAGACATATTGTAAAAAATTAAAATGGTTTAATTACTTTAAAGAAATTATGTGAAGAATTGTTTAAGAAAAGAAGATAAACTTTCTGAACTTTCAGCAGATAATTTTTAAAGTCCAAATTTCAAAGGGAATTTTATGAGTATTGGTTTGTCAAAAAAGGACTAAAAATAAAGAAAATAATTCACTAATCACCAAAAAGGATAAATTTCTTAAAATAACAATCTTTGCTCCTCATTAGAGTTTGGAGTAAGCTAAGGTTATATAGAATGAATGACCTCTAAATAAAGATAATTACTTTAATCCCTAGCTAGTCTTGCTTAATAACGAATAATTTTTATTATTTTTTGACTGAAAATTCTTAAATCTTAAAAATTGTTTTGCTTTTAGAAAGAAGAAAATTATATTCAATTTTTAATTCTGAAAGATTTTTAAACTAGAAATAACTCTAAATTCTAACTCAATTCATAATTGATTTGGCTAGTTTTTCTCTTAATTTCTCCAAGAATCTCATTGCTCATTTCCCTTGCCTCTTTTTCATCCTTATCAAGTCTCATAGCTTCCCTAAAGCACTCTAGGGCTTCTTGTGCTTTCCCTAAAGACCTTAAACATACTCCTTTATTATAAAAGGCTACTGGAAATTCAGGATTGATTTTAATAGCATTATTATAATATTCAAGTGCTTTCCACCCATGATTATGACTATCATAAAGAATCCCAATGTTATTGAATGCATGATACTGGTTTGGGTCAATTTTGATACATTCTTTATAGCATTTCAGTGCATCCTCTTTACGGTTTAATTCTTCCAAAGAAAAACCTTTTTCTACATATGCACTGCTAAAAAGTGGATTTATTCTGACTACTCTGTTGCAGCAATCAATGGCTTCTTCGAACCTTTTTAAGCGTTTTAGGGCTTCAGCTTTATAGTAATAGCCAAAAATATTATCAGGATTCAGCTCTATGAATTTATTGTAGCTAGAAATACTATCTTCTCCTCTATTTAGGCCTTCAAGTATCAAGCCATTGCTTAAGTGCACAATTGAGTATTGAGGAGCAAGCCTTGAAAGCTCAGTAAAGCAAGAAATGGCTTCTTCTTTTTTGTTTAGATTGTTAAGAACTATTGCTTTATAATATTGAGCGTCTTTATAGTCTGGCTTCAATTTCAATGCAAAGTTAAATTTTTCAAGCGCGTCTTTATTTCGGCAGAGAATATGATATATAATACCTCGTTTAAAATAGTAATAAGCACTGCTTGGATTCGATTTACAGTCTTCATCCCACGATTTAATAAATTCTTCTCATTTTTCTAGCTCTTCAGTAGATTTATCTGATCAGCTTTTACTTTCTTTATTTCGATTTAGCCTAGTCTTTGAAGACCTTTCACTTGAAGCAGTAAAAGCATTGAGTTCTTCAATAATTTCTCCTGCAAAGGTATTAGCTGTAAGGATTTTATTTAATTTTATATCATGATCGCAATTCAGAAATTCCAAACTTTGGATTGCTTCATTTAGATCTAATGTTAGATGCTTAAGCAAATTGTCAGTTTCAAGCTTGGAAATCTTGTTGGCACTTATAACTGAGCAAAGCTGGTTATCTGTATAAATAAATTCGTCATCTAAAATTTGCAAATTATCATTTAATGTTTTTCTCAAATTCAAAATTAATTGAAAAAAGATCCTCACTCTCCCATTAGTAATAAGCAATTTCTTATTTGTGGAGGTTTTACAAGAATTTTTAAATAGTAAATTTAATATAGATCGAAAATTGCTTACCATTAGGAGGTAAATGTATGTTTCTTTTTTTATCTAAAAATCTCATTAATAGTAATTTTCGATCTATATTAGTTTTACCATTTGAAAAGTATGATTAAGCAAAAATTGCTTATTATTAGGGAGGTTAGGGATTCTAGCTTTATTTCATTGATTTTTAACTTTTTTTCAACTAAAATTTTGATTATGGCTTGTTTGGTTTGAGAGTTTGCTTCTGCAAGAAGCGGCTGAATATCATGAGAAAGCTCAGATGATTTTGAATGCTTAATAATGTGAGCCTTGCAAATAAGGGTGTGTGGAGAAGTGCACTTACAAAAAAGCTTGGCTTTTTGAGCGCATTTCGGATAAAAACACATATGATTTTCCATATATAAGAATACCAGGTTTTTGAAAACATAATGTTAGGAGGCGTTTCCTTTTTTATTATTTAAAGATTAGATTAGTGATGCAGCTTGATAGCTCCAACTTCCTGGAACCATACTTCCACAGCAAGAGTTGTGGGACAGGCTACCCTAAGGCAACTTGAGCCCAGGCCGACCCGTTTCTCATTCTAGGCATTTTCCCTCCTGATCCGCCATAAATCGAATTTTGCCATGAGCCTCCATTTCCAGTCAAGTGCCAGTATTACCCAAACCATGCTTATCCAGCCAGATCGCCCCTTTTGATCGGGATCTTTTAGATCGGAGAGACTTGCGTCCTTGAGATCTTCGTCGAGTCTCGCCTTTCCTACTTTCCCAGATCATCTCTGAAAAAAGAACGCAACACCTTGCAGCATTCTGAGTGAAGCCACCAAGCAGCCTAGGCAGATAGTTCACCCTGCCTATTTCAGACACAGAATCTAGACATCAGCATTGCTGGCCAAAAAGACGTGAAAACTGCCTCACAGGCCAGGCCACAAATCAATGGAAGCTGCTTCTCGCCTCGAGACTAACCTTGGACAGTTCTCCGCACCAAAAATTGCTTCCAGATATACATCATTGGTAGGACCTACCGCTCATTTCTGCTTATTTATTTATATTTTTTATTATTTAAAATAGATTTCAATATAATTAAATTACTTGAAATTTTAAACGAGTTAGCATATATTTCAAAGATTTAAATTTTGATTTATTATTTTACTTAAAAAGATTATTTTAAATCTTTAGCCAGCTCAAATCTATAACATTTTGATTAAAAATCTTTCATAAGAAGCATTTTTGGAGCAATTAAAAATAAGCAGCTCAATTGATAAAGATATCTCAATTTAAATTTACTTCTTTAGGATTAGCTAGCTCTGTAATATAAATTTAAATATATGCCATATATAAAGATACAAACTAGCGCTCTGTTAAATTTTCTTTACTTTCTAATTCATTTTGAACAAAATTGGTTTCGCACAAAACCTCTTGCCTAACTTTATTGATCTCCTTGGCGCTAACTTTTTTTCCAAAAGAAAATCTAACTAGCAGACTGATATCGAATTGTTTTCCAGCATCAAGTAAGCTGGGATAATATTTACAGTTCATATATATTCCAGCGATAAGCATTGATGACCACCCAAGGTATTGGAGTGCAAATCATACATTATCTAGTTTATTAGGGTAAGTCCAATATAAGGACGAAATAATAGCACTTCATATCAATGCAGAATACGAAATATTTGTCCATAAATTACACCTATGGTAATTATAAAATTTTTTCTTCCGTAAAATCAGGAAAAACAAGATAAAGGATACAATGTAAATAAACCCATATAAAGATTGATTAAAGGGTTTTAGGATTTTATTTAAGATGACAATGACAACTTGAAGCATTGCTTTTGAAATCAGGTAAAGAGGAGAAACTCTTATATTGATATGGTCATTCGAGTAGTTTCAATAGGGCTTCAAGAAAATTGCAAGTGGCAAATAAATAATTAAAATAGAAATTGAGAGTGCGCCAATGTATAAATGAGTATAGGCATATCCTGTAAATAGCCCGATATGGGCTAGGGATAGAGGCCTAAACTTCCCGCTTGGTTCGACCGATCCATTTTGGCAGAGCCAAGTGGGAAATTTGCCCTCTATTCCTAGCCCATATCGGGCTATTTACAGGATATGCCTATATCTTTTCAGCAAAAAATTGAGCAGTCTCATCTCACAAAACTATTTGAAAGCTCATTACCAATAGCTTGATCGCACTGAACTATACTTATTAAAAATGATACAATAGGTAGAAATAAAATATTACCGAGAATCAAAACTAATGTTTGAGCAAAATCTCCTAAAAAATAAAAAATAAAGAACGAATATTTCGCATCAACCGCTAAAAGTATATTTAAGCTGATATAAATTCATGTCCCTGCAGCACCTAAAATTATATATGTTAAATACCAAAATTTATTTTTTTCTATCATTCAATTTAAGTTCAAAGCAACATAGCCAGCAAGTAAGCTGGAATATTCATCATATTCTTTTATATCAGGACTCATAGCTAAAAATTGTAAAAAGTTTATAAAAATGATCAAGTGTTCAAGATAGTCTTCAAATTTTGCTTGTGTTTTAACACTTAGATTAACAATTCTAATGTGCTTTCAGCTTTTCCATGCAAAGCAGGTTGCCATAGCTGCGATAATAAGCACAAAAAAACAAAAGCCATAGAGAATAGCTGCACCTTTAGTCGAATATTCAATTAATTTTTCATCAAAAGGACATTCTCCTTCCATAATCATATCAGACGGATAAGTGGTAGTTGTATTATCATTTCATATTATTGTTTGATAAAAAGAAAAGAGCTGGGTGCTGCCTCAATCATATTTTCCGACAAGATAGTCGTCCAATGAGTTTTGCTTTTCGTCCCACCTAAAATTAAATACTCCCATCAGTCCTGTGCTTCTATCATTAGATCCAGGAGCTATTGAGACAGTTCCTGAGCAGCCTGTAAACTTTTGCTTTCTCAGATTCGAGTTCAAGATTGAGGAATCTTCTATATTATTTCCTTGAGTAATTGTATATTTAATGCCATTTGCCAATAGCATTGCAGAGTCAAAAGAAAAGCACCTGTAGACTAGAGCATCTCCTCGGGAGCTGTGCTGCTTTTCAATACTGTTTTTAACCTGTTTCCCATATTCTCCTACTCAGTCAATTTGATCAATAATTATACAATTAAAAAATAGTTCATTCAGCTTGTGTATTTGGGTTGGGTCTGTTTCAGTTAATGTATAAAAAGTAACTTTGGCAAAGTGTAAAAGCAAAAAATTGTTTCTTCTAAAACCAAGATCATATAAATCTTCCATAAAGTAAAACAGCCATGGTGGTGAGATTAAAAGAATATAAATTCTGACGTTTGAATTGAGGGCTTTTAGTAGCCATGGCTTATACCTTTCAAAATCACTGTGCCGATAATTATAGCTTAAGCAAGCTATTAGCATGTTCTCGGAGCTGGCTTGGAGGAAAAACCAAGCTTATTAGCTTATCTGCAGTATTCTAACAAGCCAAGCTCGATTTGACAAATATAGCCACAATGGCTTGGTTTTGCCAAAGCGAGTTTGATTCATCAAAATGTATCAGAAAGCCAAAAAACTTGGCTTCTGCTCCAAACCAGCTCTGAGGTCACACTAACCCCATACCCTATCTTTAGCATTAATCATCCTTTCATTTCTATCATTTTCAATTTTGATATTTGACTTATTCACCAATGCTTCAAAATAGTTATAGATTGCGACATTTGGAAGAGAATTAATATAATACACATTGATATGCTTTCAATTGAACACTGATAAAAGACTGAACAGCACACCTACATTGAATCTTTGCTCCTTATAAACTCTCATAAATTCAGGAAACATAGCTTCATCAGTTAATTCCACGTGTGGAGCAAACTCTGATATAGAAAATTCCCATAGATGGCGCTGTTTGCCCTTGATTTGCCCACTGGGGAAATTTTTTGGTTCGACCAGTACCATATGGTCTGGTCAAACAAAAAAATTTTTCTCATGGGCAAATCAAGGGCAAAAAGCGCCATCTATGGGAAATTTTCTATATATGAGGGATCGAAACATTAAATTTACGAAGGGTATTGATGTATCCTACACAAGCACTTGTAGCGTAGCTTGTTAAAAAGCCAACTCCAAGGCGGTCTTTTACCTTGCTGAAGCAGTTAAAGGCGAAAGTTGCGTTGTAGACATCTGCTCCACAATCTGTGTGCACAACCTGAAACTCAAATCCGTCAAAAAAATGGGAGGTTACTATATATTCTAATGCGTAATTTGCTCCTCATTTTATTGCACTTCCATAAGCGCTATCTGGGAAACCTGGATTGGTGTCCCCATCTGCCATAGATATAGGAATACTTGTAATTGGGGAATTAGGAAATAGGGTGGAATTTCCAGGAAATATGATCTGGCTGGCTATTGTGGCTTCATTATGGAAAATTTCGCCTACTTTAGCTCATTTATTATTTTGTACATTCAGCAAAGAAAACCTTGGAAGCGGGTGATGCTCAAAAGTTTCTTTTTCTAAAAGATCTCTCAATGACTCTCTATTTTGCCCTTCGCTGAAATTTAAAATCAATCGAATAAAACTTATACAGCTTAAGGATTCATAACTTATATAATCAAATGAGTTTTCTAAACCTTCCTCGACATATGCCAAAATACCATTTTCATCAGTGCCTCAAAAACTTTTGCTTCCCAAAACTACCCCGCTGCCAAAATTAAAAATATTTTTTTCTTTTAAACTTTGCAATAATCATTTTGCACTTTCCCCATCCGCTAAAATGACGATATTTCTTGTACCAATTTTTTTAATTGCTTTTCCCACAAATAAATCAGCCAAATTTTGGTCTTTGGTGTTAGCACATATAAAAAAGCTGACTGTTTTATTCGGAAACTCATAGGGAATTTGTTTTTGCAATTCATCAGAAAGCACAATAAATTTATTTCAATTTAAAAAATCAACAAGGGTTGAAAGCGCATTTTGATGCGCTTTTGATGAGTAGTGGGTAAAAAACCTCCAATCACTGTAAGAGTTTTCAATATTTTCAAGACTGATTACTATTGATTGGATTTGACTCGCGAAGCTATTGATGCACTCAGCCAAAGAAAAGCTTGAAGTCAAGTCAATTATGGCTTGTATGTCTCCGTCTTGATGCAAAATGTCAGAGCAAGAAGGGGAATGAATCTAGTTAGAGCTCTATGTCAGTTTTATTCCCAAAGCTAGCGGTGCAAGGCGGCTTATTTCGCATTTCTTGTCCATTGTATTCTCCAGAATACCCATTTTTAATGCAATTTCGCTCAATAGCTTGCATATCCCCATTTGGTCTGATGAGCTGTGGGATTGGCTTTCATCTTGACTCAGACGATCCACATCTCTTCTTACTTTGAATCATCAGAGGTTCGCGCAATTTATCCTGCCTCGAACTTGATGCCGGTCCATCTCACCAACAATTCTATCTTAGGACCTAGAGCCCATATACCTGATTATAGAGCATGACATCAAGAAAATCCTTTCAGACGAGCAAAAATCTGATCTGAAGAAAAAAAAATTAAGAGGTAGCTCTTGATTGGTCATGCAACAATTTCTGCTATTCTTTTTTCTTCAGAGCAAGAAGATATTAATACATTCTTTAGAGTTATTTGGTCAGCAAAAGTTTGCAAAAGTGAGACTGATAAACTATTTGCAAACTCTATGTCTGTCAAATTGCTATAAAATAATCCTATAAGCATTTGACACCTAATAATTTGGAAGAAAAAGCAAAAAATTCAATAAGCTTTCATTTTTTATCACATTAGGTCAACGAAAAATTATCAGCCATTTTTCATCATATAAAAGAAGTTTTAACAAATTTTCAGCTGATGCATTGAAATTAAAAATCTGAAAACTGTGAAATTTTTTCATATAAAAATTAACAATTTATGAATAATAAACCAATCCAAGCTAAAAATAAAAAAATAATTTTAATTTTTGGAATTAATACCTAATCTGATATAAATGTATTTTTATAAAGGAATGATTATTGATGGCATGACATTTGATTGACATGGTTTGATAAAGTGACAAATAAAATTAAAATATAATGATCTTTGGATTTTCTAGTCTACTGACCAAGAGTTCTTCTCTTTTATATTTTGATTGGTATGTATAAAAATGGTGTGGTAAGCAGCCTGCACTCTTAGCACTAGTAGCCGGTATGTTCATTGGGAAAGCCAAGTGATAGAACCTTCTGAAATGAGAATCCAGTTTGGCAGAGCCCAATTTCGGGATAATAGGAACGCATAATCACATCGAGGTCAAGAATTTATCCCTTCAGGAGATAAGGAGATAGTTCTCTGGAGTTTAGAAAGAGGATACCTAGTAAGGCCAGAATTCGCCACTTCCTAAAAAAATAAAGCTTAACTTTTACCATATAAAAATTTTGAATATAGTGGTATGAAAAAAACTATATTTCTTTTTATCTAGAGAAGGTAATTTGGTATTGAGGGATTAGGGTTTCATAAGTAGGTTGACCAATCTAGTAAAATCCTCAGCGAGATCCAAGGATGCATTCTGGCCTCGATTTTATATGGTCCTAGAAAATTCGTTTTTTTTGAATTTTCTGGAAGGCAATCTCCATCCCTTGATAAAGTCTCTCACTCTTGCTAACGAATGCAAGCTCTCGCTCGTGAGGAGCAGCGCATTGGAATGCTATGCCTAAACTAGTATCTCCCAAGCTATTTCATATTAAATTTCACCGTTTTTTGGACAATAAGCTTAGCTTCTTCATCATTTCATTTATTTGGCTTCTACCTATTTATTTTCTTAGCCTTGTTTTGCAGCCTTTAAGTAGCTTTCTTATTTTCATAAGGTTATCTAGAAAATTCAATTTTACACTTCAAAAAGCACTGAATCAATTTTTTAATCACGAAAAATCGTTCTTATCTATATTTTTGCATTATATTTTGGATATTAAAGAAACTCTATCTGGAATTAAAGTTAATGCGCTCATCAATGGATATCCTTTTATGTGGATTTTTTCTGCTTTAAGATTATACAATTCTGCAGGCTTTAAATCTATCTTATAAAACAACTTTTTTGCATCTTTATTGTAATAGTGCTGGCCGAGTTTATAGCGTTTTTCTTCATGCTCTATTCTTTTGCATACAGACCAAGAATTGATTCTTTTGCCCCTTAGTTGAAGGTGTAAAATAATCAGAATGCTCTTTGTCTAAATTAAAGCCAGCATATCTAAATGAAAGGAAAACTTTAAAATATAGCTTACAAATAAGTAAGCATTAAAGTTAGTGAGCATCGCGGGACCATAACCCATCCCTAAAGCCACATAAGGATTTCATCACAAAGGAGAAGGTTACTCACCCTGGGTATTTTATTTTTTAAATTTTTTATATTAATTAAATTTTTTTTTTTTAAAGTGCAAATATTTGAAAATAAAAATCTAATTTAATTTATAATATTTATGTTCGATAATGGCAAGTTGTGCTAAATTCAATAGAATTAGCTAGATTTTTTATAGCAATTATTAATTATTTTATAAAATTTTTTTTGTTAGTCTTAGGTCAATTCATGGATTCCTCCAATGATTTTACTCACTCTTAATGTCTTAATGTGGAAGTTATGACTTTTCATCAAGTAGATCAAAATTCTCACTAGAACAGAAAAGAAACTTTATTTAACTGAATGCGAATATGGATCTATCCTATGAAAGCGAGACTGAAAATGATAAAACCTCGAGACGAATTGTTATCCAAAAATAATATATTAATGCATATCAAGTTTATAACGCCTATAATAAAGGAACAATCTATATTGGGCTCAGTGGCAACGAAATATATAATTGCAAGTTTTCTTTGAATGAAAAAATTGGACGAAATTATAAGCCCTTAAACTTAATATAAAATTTATTTATTATCCTTCAATTTCAATTTAAGCAGCTTTATTACTGGCACTGCCTATGATTATGCGCTAGAATCATAGATTGCAATTTATCCAGGCAGAAAAAGCCTGGAATTTTTTTATTATTTAAATAAGCATTATCAAATTCTATAAATTTTTATATTCAGTGGCTTCAAAATTTTATACGATAAGTAAAGAAATCTTCTCAATCTTAAACCTATATCTTTTGCCAATCGGTGATAGGCAATGCTCATATTGAAACGCATTAATCGACATGCTCTCCTAGCTCATGTAGCAATGCTTGAAAATGGGCTGGGGACTTGAGTAATGAAAAACAGCGTCTGATACATGTATTCCACTAGGTCTTCTACATGGAGTAGCACATTGAGGTACTAGCCAATCACATATTTTTGAGTTAAGTTTTCTTACAGAAGGTGGAAGCAAAGTTGGAAAGGCATTATCCAACAGCATCTAAGAAACCCATTAGATCGATTGGGGTATTTTCCCACTCACTATTTGGCATTGTGTCTTAAATTCGAGTTTCACTAAAATATTAAATATCAATTTATTTACTTAAATCAAAAGAAGTCATTAATTGCACTTTTATTATCTTCATAAGGATTCATTAATATAGACTTAAAGCTATGTTTTTATAGTCAGATGTCTTGCAAAATGAAATAACAGAAGTATTTTAAAGAGATGAGCATTTAAACGCATTCTAAAGCTATGTTTGAAGAATTTCTCTGCTATATTTTACATTGTTATGCTATCCCCTTAGCTAGACATTTAAATGGAGTAGAAAATAGACACCCATTTTCTGAAGCCAATTCTTGATGAAATTTAAGGTAGTTCGGTTCTAGAACCATCTTTTTTATAAGGCCAAAAAATCATGTTGAAGTCTCTTTTAACAGGAGTCCATTGATAGCATTGTCAAACAAAATGGAAATCAAATTGAGTGCATAAAGTATAAAATTTTAAATAGATTCTAAATAAGACAGGAGGTAAGGAAAGTTAATTATCTTCTAGAAATGTTTTTCATAAAACTGGAGGTAATAAATTTACAAATTTACTAAGCTTAGCTGAAATCTTCTTGAAAATACCTTTAAGAAAATAAAATGCATATCCATATCTCTTTATAATAAATTCTAAATATTTTAGACTTTTAGAAAATACTTTATTTCTATAGATAAATTATGTCTAAAAATATACAGACCAAAAATTGGCATAATGTATAAAAATGGTTTTATTTATGTAATAATTATTCTCAAACCTTGCAAGATCAACTTTTATTTGCCCTTGATGATTCGAAATTAAAATTTTATTAGATAATGACTAAATGGCTATACGATTTAAGCGATTTCTTTATTAAACTAATAAATAATATTTTTTACTCTCCCTATTTGATCAAACAAAAAAACTTGTTTTAAAAAATATATATAGTAAATTTTTTTTTCAAAATTCTAAAAAAATTCCCAAAAACATTAAAAATTTATATTTTAAAATGCGAACTGCCGAAAATTAACAGATTTCATTGTACTAATTATCACTTATATATCAAAATATTTTTTTATAAAAATTAATTTTTTAAAAATATGTTTTCTCGCTCAATGAGTGTAGGGTTTTTGTCAAAAGTAGAGACATTTTTAAATGGTTTTGCTTTATCAAGAAGGAGGAATTAGAGAACTAGGGATATCAAACTTTTTAGAAAACTGAGCAAAGTAATGTTCAAGCCAGAAGGAAATTTTAAAATATCGTGAATTACTATAACGATGTACATTACAGTTTAATAGTGACCCAGAAATTTATGTTCACTTTCTTATTGACAAAATTAGGTCTTCGGATACAAAGCTTTGAGAGTTATTGATAAAAAAATCCTTAACGCTTTAGAAGTTATAAGAGAAAATCATTAGTGCTATTGGCCCATAAGTAGCTGGAAGACTTGAAGCTGAAAAGTACCTTAAATCATTTTTATTGGAAGAATTGATGAGCCCTTACCTCGAGAACTTAGATAGTAAAAACATTACAAAATCCTGAGCTACTAAAGTTTTAGCAAGTGATTAATAATAAAATTTAACTGGAAATGGGCTGAATTTGCTGTTTTATGTGGCTACATTAAATGATGCTGGAGTTTTAGAATATCTAGAAACTAAATTTTGTGAAATGCTACCAGATCTTAATAATATAGCAGCAATATTAGATCGTTTATGAGCTTTTAATGAAGATCGTATAGTAAAGGATCAAACAATTATTTGTTTGAACTAAAAATCATTATTCAACTAAATATTTAAATCTGAAAGATATTAGCATCTTACAATATTCCAAAAATTATTTGGGAATATTATCTGCCTTTATTTAAATCAGATTAGAGAAAGTTTTTAACTTTAAGAGTCGTTCTCCTTAAAGCTGAACGTGATATCAATTGGGAGCTTAGTTTCATCCAAGTCAGTTGTAACCTTGATCTGATTTACTGTCGATGATTTGACACTCCAAGTTGCTGTAGGATAGGAGGCTTGATTTTTCGTAGCTGTAAAATACTTTTATTTTTGGTATTACACTGATATAAGAGATGCAAACAGCTGTGACTCTTTTGAAGGACTTGATTTCTATAGTAAAATTCCGAAAAAATGACAAAATACACAAGATAGGATTGGAATCCGCATGATGATATTAGAGCAAAAGAATGGACTTTTTATCCAGAAAACATAAATGGCATTTAATTAGCTTTCTAATTTTATCTCTCTCATGGAATTTATTTATGGGGTTCGGCTTTGACTTAAGAACTTCCAATAGTGTATAGCTTTGTCATATAAGGTAAAGGAACTGCTCAATTCAAGAAGATTAAGTTTAACTCAGCATATCTGAGAAGGTCACTCTTAGGGATATCAAATCTTTTTCGAAAATTGCACAAAATGAGCCAAGTAATATTCAAGTGATAAGGAAATTCCAAAATATGGTGAATTACTATAAAGATGTACATTACAATTTGATAGTGACCCAGAAATTTTACGTTCACTTTCTTATTGACAAGATTAGGTCTTAGGATGCAAAGCTTTGAGAGCTTATTGATAAAAAAATCTTAACGCTTTAGAAGTCATTAGAGAAAATCATTAGTGCTATTGGTCCATAAGTAGCTGGAAGATCTGAAGCTAAAAAGTATCTTAAATCATTTTATTAGAAGAATTGATGAGATATTACCTAGAGAATTAGCTTAGATAGTAAAAACATTATAAAATTATGACTATTAAATTTTAGAGAGTGATTAATAATAAAATTTAATTGAAAATGGGTTGAATTTGCTGTTTTATATGGCTACATTAAATGATCTTGGAGTTTTAGAATATCTAGAAACTAAATTGTGTGAAATGCTACCTGATCTTAATAATATTGAAGCAATATTAGGATCGTCTATGAGGTTTTAATAAAGATCGTATAATAAAGAATCAAAAAAATTTTGCTTGAGCTAAAAATCATTATTCAGCAAAAGATTTAAATATAGAAGATATTAGCCACATCTTAGAATATTCCAAAGATTATTTCTGGAGAATATTATCTGCTTTATTTTTAAACCAAATTAGAGAAAGTTTTTAACTTTAAGAGTCGTTCTCCTTAAAGGTGAAGACAATATCAATTGGGAGCTTACTTTCATCCAAGTCAGTTGCAACCTTGATCTGATTTACTGTTGATGATTTGATACTCCAAGTTGCTGTAGGATAAACTGCTTGATTTTTCTTAGCTGTAAAAGAATTAAATGCTACTGTTTTCGAAAGTGAGTGAGCAAAATCAATAACTGCATCTGGAGAGTCGAAACTCAATTGATATCCTACTTGATCCACTCTGCACGAAGTTCCATCTTGGACTACTAAGTCAGCACACTTATAACAATTAGGACTAGTAGTGCATGAATTGCACGAATCGGTACATGCTAAATAAATCTTACAAACACAGCTTGTTTTAGTCGCACTATCATCATAAAGGAAATATCCTGAATTGCATTGAGTGCAGACATCTTTTGAAGAGCAATCCGCACAATTAGAAGGACAATCTAAATAGAAAAATACCTTTAGCGCATAAGCCTGCTGCATTAATCATATAGCCATTATTGCATATGGCACAAATTGAGCCGCCTTGAGCTGCACAAGCGCAATTAGAAATTGTATTAGTTGCGCTGCAAGAGCCACAGCCTAAAGCAGCTCCACTAGAACAGGTTGTACAAGTATAAGCATCAGAAGCCACGCTACAATACTGCAATTGAGACTGTATACACACTCCTGCTGCGTTGGGGAGATATCCAGCTGAGCATTTCGAGCAATGAGTTGGATCTGCAGTTTTAACGATAACACAATTAGAAAGAGATGAAAAGGAGCATTTGTCTGAATCATTAGCTATATATCCATCTGAACATGAGGTGCATTTTTTATCGATGGTGCATGCGGTGCAACCAGCACTAATTGTGCTGCAATCCTTGCATTGGTTGTTGGATGAATCCCAGTATTCATTGTCCGTGCATCCTGCTGAGTCGCAGTTGGCACCCATAAGGTAATATCCATCCACACAAGTTTGACAATTGCCTGTACTAGATTCGATCACTTTACAATTGTTAACTGATGATTGAATGCATTTGCCTAGATCATTTACTAAATATCCTGTCGCGCATTTGGTGCATTGGTTGATATCTGAACATTCTTCACAATTCACGTCAAAGCTGGGACAATTCTTGCAAATGTTATTGAAAGAAAAATACCCTGTGCTGCATTTAGTGCAAGGAGAACCTCCGATACCGCAAGTATCGCAGTATCAAGCATTGCATGTCGAGCAACCATAATCCGCATTTACATAATATCCTGAACCACAAGTTATACATTTTCCATCATCAGAGCAAGAAAGACAATTGGCTATTAAGTCAGTGCATGATTCGCAGCGTTGATAATAGTCTGCTTTGCAAGATTTGCATACATTAGCAGCAGAAACAAGAGCACAATTTTTAATGAACGAGTTTGTGCATCCGCCATTAGTGTCAGGAATATATTGACTTGTAGTGCAAGTTCCACAAAGAGTTGCAGATGCACAAGTCTGGCAATTAGCTTGATTATTTGTGCAGGATGCTGTTAGTTTTCTTTCTTTTTCTGTAGCATTTGACCTTATTTCTTGGCTAGATCCTTGACTATCGTTGTTTTGGAAAAGCAGGTTAAGAATCTCAGTATCTGAAATGGGAGCTGTAAAGTCGCCTTCAGAACTTTCCTCGTGCTCAATGATGTTGTTTTGCATTGCAGAAGCTTGAAGCATCAGGATAAGAATAAATGCTGGCACTACCATATATTTTTATTAAGATTTTAGATAATTGAAAAAAAATGGACTTATGTAAATATTTAAGCCTTAAGGCAAAAATAGGTTTATTAAATTTATTGAAACTTGAAAAAGTTTTTGATCTAATTCTCCTTTGGTTAGCGAAAAATTAATTCCCTTGAGTCCTCCATGCTTCTAAATTGGAATGGCAGGGCTCATCAACATGCCTAATTTTCCTTTTAAAGCTAGAAACTAAACGATCTTGGGAATTTACATCAGCCCCTTTTTGAAGCTCAGCTTATTCTGTCTCCTGTCCCTAGGGCTTTGCATTCTATTTTTTATAAGCTTTCCTATACCAGTTTTAGGTGGTTCGGTTCTAGAACCATCTTTTTATAAGGCCAAAAAATCATGTTGAAGTCCATTGATAGCATTGTCAAACCGAATGGAAATCAAATTGAGCACATAAAATATAAAATTTTAATTAGACTCTAAATAAGACTAGACATAAGCAAAGCTAATTAGCTTCTAGAATTATTTTTCATAAAATTGGAGGCAATGAAAATTTACAAATTTACTAAGCTTAAGCTGAAATCTTCTTGAAAATACCTTTAAGAAGATAAAATGCGTATCAATATCTCTTCATAATAAATTCTAAATATTTTTGACTTTTAATAAACAGTCCATTTCTATCGATAATTTTCGTCAACACCTAAAAATATGCAAGCCAAAATTGACATAATTTATAAAAATGTTTTTATCTATGCAATAACTCTCGTAATGCCATTTAAGATTAACTTTCATTTGTCCTTGAGGATTCGCAACTAATAATTTATTAGATAAAGATTAAATGACTATATGACTTAAGTGATTTCTTTATCAAGCTAAAAAGCAATTTATTTTTTACTCCCCTGGAGATCAAACGAAAAATTTCATTGTTTTTAAAACAACTATAGCACGCTCTCGGCTATAGATTGGGCAATGCCTGCTCTTTGCCGGGAAATTCGGGGGGTTATCTGCATCGATTTTGGGTGACGAGCCAACTCCCCGAGTTGGCAAATAGCACCATATAGTAATTTGCCAACTCGGGGAGTTGACTCGTCACCTCGAAGTGACACAGACCCCCCCCGAGTTTTCCCGGCAAAGATCGGGCATAGTCCGATCTATAGCCGGGAACAGGCTATATATATAAATTTTTTAGTAAATTCCTAAAGTTCCACTTTTATTGAGCCTGATTTTCATTTTTGAAATCTTCTCTCGTTGAGCCAAGTGAAAGGCCTCGTGAGTCTCTTGAGTTTTTTAAATTCAAAGTCATACTTTTGTGGATAAATTCGTTGTGCTTATCATAATCAGGCTCTTTTTTTTGGGTAATTTTTTTTTAAAAAATTTATAAGGGTTGTTTACAGATTGAGAAATTGGAAGAAGCATTTTTGAGTAGTGGAAATCAATGCCCTTGCTTATTAATTTATTCGATTTATGCCCTAAATTTGATGAAAATGTAAGAGCTCTTTTGCTTGATCTGATTATGATTTTTTTCGGTTTGTTATTGAAAAATATTTGATTTTTGAGCCAATTTTCCATAAAATCCTTGTGATTGTAGCTGGATTGGATTTATTTGGGACAAATTCTTGGAGAATTGCATAATGAACTGAGTTTTCTAATTTTTTCTAGCGGAATCGTAATCAAAAATAGGAATCACATTAGTTTCTGGACTTTTGAAGCAGAATAAAGGGTAGCCATTATCATTCTGAAAGGCTGTTGCGTCGAAAAATTCATCTAAAGTAGTTTCAGTTGATTATATACGCTTTTCCTTTTTATTTTGAATTAAATATAGCTTATTCTCCAGTTTGATGAGAGTTACAATCTGAAAGAGTAAATATTGACATTTTAAGATATTTTTTATTGTTAAAATTATTGAGAAATGTCTTTTGAATTTTTGACTGATTCTTCAGACGATGCAGGCCTACTCAGAGGAATCTTTTTTCCTCATCTATTTTCGTCACTGGAGAACCATTTAAACTCAAATAACCCCATAAATACAACAAGTTCAGAAATCCCCATTGAACCAGCAGTTGGTTTTTTCCTTTCACAGCTACCAAGCTCGAGCAGCGATATCTCTTAAAAAATTCATTGAAGTTATGAGCTTAAACTTGAAAAAATTGTAAAAAAACCTTATAAGCTATATTAATATTTTGACATATTTATGCATAACTATAGTCCTCATAAAACTTAAAATAGCTTGAATCAGAAAATGGTAAAATAATAAAGAATTGAAGAAAAAATTACTGGAAAAGAGATCAATTAGCCTTGAATAGTTTTGTTTTGAAATAAAATTATTATATTAAGGACTTTCAATAACTTTTTGATATTTTTTTTATTTAAGATAAAAATTTCAATTTATATGAAATATGTAAAACGAAATTTAAAGATAAATCTCAAAATCGAGGATAATAATTGGCAGCCTACAATATTTCGAAAATAATCAGGAATTTTAGGCTATTTTCAAAAAATATGCCTCCGAAACGGAAGGGCTTGGTGAAATAGTAGTTGGCGCCGGATTCCAGGCCTAGTCTATTGTCACACCAAATTCTCGCGTGAAAAAGTCATATAAAAAATTCATAAAAGAATGCGAAAAATCTTTTATTTGTTATTAGACAAACCTGATCTAAAATTTCTCAAACAACATTCTCATACCCTTTTTAATACAGATTTCAATTATCTTTACAGCTATGTTGATAATTATAATGGGATAGAGATTTACGTTTACGATATTGAATCTCACAAAATGACTATAAAATCTTATCGTCCTAATCATCGCATATTAGATATAATCCGTTGGCAAAATTTCTTATGGGCGTTATACGCGCCATTTTCATATGAATTTCAAATTAAGAATTTGCCGCACTAAAATTTGCGTTTTTTGAAACGCATATTCGATTTTTACATACCAAATTCAAAATGACATGCATATGCATGATCAGAAAATTTAGGCAATAGATAATAGTATAAAAAATATTGTAAAAATCTCAAAATCAAGATTACTTATCTCGGGGATAATAGCAGAATACTCTAAAGGATTTACAATGGATTTAGGTAGCAAAAATTTAAGACAAATTTTTCAAAGCAAAGCTCAAACTGGTTCTTTTCATGAGCTCAATAAATTTTTTTGTTATGAAAATTATTTGCTTGTATTTGGATGCAAAGGTATTCAGAATTGTATGAAAATGAACTTAAATAAAAGACTATTTGTAATAAATTTAATAAAATCTGCTTAAGGATTATAGCTATCATTTTAAATTTGGGAAAATATGTAAGTAAATTGCTTATGTCTGATTTTGATTTTAGCTATTATTTTATTATTTTTTTTTTTTTCAGGCTTGCAAAAATGAAAAGCATAATTTCAAAAAAATATTGCATAAAAAAAATAAACATTTACAGATTTTTGATCTATACCTTGAAAATATTTGCATGAAATTTCGTATTGTAGATCTATATTTTATTTAAGTTCATAAATTCACCTTTAATCAAGAAGGAATTGCTATTTCATTAAATTTTTTATCAATTAAGGATTATTAGCTTCTCTAAATATAATAGATAAATTTCTATTTGTTCAAAATTATTTTAAATTATTAAATTACAAAGTGCTCATTCTTTGTTGCTATTTTCGAAAAAAACCTTTCCTCAGCTGCATTTTTATGCTATTTTTCGATTTAATTAGCTCTCTATATTCACTCATACTTGATAACTTCATCTTAATTGGCTTTGGTGTAGTTGTGATCACATTTGATAACATTTGTCCTGAAAACTCATAAGGAATTGTCTTCAGCTCAACTGAAGTCTCCCTTCTGAGCTTTGTTGGTGAATCAAAAGAATGCTTCCTACAAAATCCTCGGAAATTCATATGATGCGGATTTGTTGAAGGTGGAAACTTATAAGGCTCTTTAATTCCTGAGCATCTTCTAGCAATAAATTGGTTGCTTTGAAAGAGCTCCTTTTTCCTTTTAGTCCTAATAATCGAATGATAAAAAGACTTCCTTCTATTAATGTCATCAAATGAACTGTTTGTGTTTTCTAGTTTATCTTCTTCAGTTGGTATCCTAATTATGAGTTTTCTTTGGGATTTTGGGGAAAAAGAATGCTCGAATCTAGAGATTTAAATCTTTTGTTCATAATTCATATGGATTATTTATAGTCTAATTATCCATTTGAGTATTTAGCCATTTCTATGATGGTCATAATATTAAGCAGAGTGTTTTGGAGGAGTTTCATAAAGGAAAAGCTTCATAGTAAAGAAAATAAATGTTTATTTATGAAGGAAATTATAACAAAAAATGTTTCTCTTTGAATTAAATTTGCAAAAAAACATCATTGAAAATTTTTAATTTTTGGATAATTTGTGGAGATTTGTAGATAAAATTTGAAGAAAAAAAGATTTTGATGCAAAAAAAGATGATTTTGAGTAAGATGTCCCATATGTATGGAATAAATTAATAAATTAAGTTTATTTCGAATAATATCGATCAAAAAAGAAATAAGCATAGATCTTTGTTTTCTGAAGATTTTTATTGATATTCTAAAATATTACCCGTCGATCCTTATGATACTTTCATTAAAATAAAGATAAGGGGTTTAGCTAAGGAATTTAATTATTATAATAAAAATTCGCAAAATTTAGGTTTAGCAATTTATGTTTTTTTGTTATATTTCAAATTCAATTATATCTTATCATATTATTCATATAAATAATGCTGTGCATTTATAATAAAAAGCTCTTGTCTGATCGAAAAAATAATTTGTTATATGATTTTTGAAAGAGAAATGAATTGATCTAAATAATACAAATAATTAAAAGTAATATATTTTTAAAATGAAACAACTTTGGTGCTAAATAGAAATTTAATTTGCAGACCATATTCTATTAAAGCGCTTATTTTGACAATAAAATTATTTATTTATCTAATTTTCCTTGATGATTTCAGTTCTTTTATTTGTAGCAGGTATTTCAATTGACAAGAAAACAGAAGACTTACAATTTGCATTTGGGGATTATGCTTTATATTGTTTTATCTCAGTCTCTTTAGTTCTTTTTGCAGGCTTTATGTCAGGATTAACAGTAGGCCTGCTTATTCTTGCGAATTTCTTAAAATTATATTTATGTTTTTACTATATATTAAATTATTCAATAAAAAAATGACCAATTCTCAAATGAATTTATTCCGCACATATATAAAATAAAAATGACATCTTTTTCAAAATTTAAAAAACATTCCAATCGTAAAAAGTGAAAATTAAACTTATACTTTAAAATGCGAACTTATATTAATTATCACTTATATATAAAAAATAGGTTTTTATAAAAATTATTAATTTAAAAATATATTTGCTCGCTCAATGAGTGTGGATTTTGGCAAAAGTAGGGACATTTCAAAAGGTTTTGTTTTATCAAGGAGGAGGTGAGTAGTTAGGGATATCAAATCTTTTTCGAAAATTGCAAAAAACGAGCCAAGCAATATTTAAGTGAAAAGGAAATTCCAAAATATGGTGAATTATAATATGTGTATTAAATTGATATTGCCCCAAAATTTAATGGGTCGCATGATATCAAAGCTTTGAGAGCTTATCGATAAAGAAACCCCTAACGCTATATAGGGGTTTCCCCTAGATAGCTTTTACACTGCTGTGAATTTTGTCCGGAATCCTTGGCTGGCCAAACCAACTCACTACGTTGGTCGGACCAACCCACCTGTTGGTTCGACCAAACAAAAGGATTCGGACAGAATCCACAGCCCTGCAAGGGCTATCTAGGGGAAAACCCTATAGAAGTCATAAGAGGAAAATCATTAGTGATGTTGGTCCATAAGTAGCTGGAAGACCTGAAGCTGAAAAGTATCTTAAATCATGTTATTAGAAGAATTGATGAGCTCTTACCTAGAGAACTTAGATAGTAAAAATATTAAAAAATTATGAACAACTGACTTTTTAACAGTAATAATGAAATTTAACTGGGAATGGGCTGAATTTGCTGCTTTATGTGACTGCATTAAATGATCTTGGAGTTTTAGAATATCTAGAAGCTAAATTTTGTGAATTCTACCTGATCTTAATAATATGTAGACAATATTAGTATTATTTATGAGTTTTTGATGAATGTCATAAAATAAAGGATCAAACAATTTTTTGCTCGAATTAAAAATCATTATTCAGCTAAAGATTTAATCTGAAAGATTTTAGCATCTTACAATATTTCAATAATTATTTAGGGAATAACATCTGATTCAAGTTTAGATCAGAGAAAGTTATTTAACTTTTAAGAGTCATTCTCCTTAAAGCTGAAGTCAATATCAAATGGAAGCTTACTTTCATCCAAATCAGTCTGAATGGGGCGAGTAAGGCGTAAAAATCTTGTTGAAATCATCTTTTAAAGTCCATTGATAGCATTGTCAAGCCCAATGGAAATCAAATTGAGCACATAAAATATAGAAATTTAATTAGATTCTAAATAAGACAAGAGGTAAGGAAAGTTAATTAGCCTTCTAGAAATGTTTTGCATAAAACTGGAGACAATAACTATTGGCAAATTTACTAAGCATAAGCTGAAATCTTATTGAAAATACCTTTAAGAAGATTAAATAAATATCAATATCTCTTCATAATAAATTATAATTATACTTGACTTTTAATAAACAGTTCATTTCTATAGATAAGCTGCAATTTCAGCAACACCTTAAAATATGAAGACAAAAATTTACATAATGAATACATACAAATGGTTTTATTTATGTAATAACTCTCCTCAAACCATTTAAGATTAACTTTCATTTGCCCTTGAGGACTTGCATTTAAAATTTTATTAGATAAAGTTAAATGGTTATATGATTTAAGCGATTTCTTAGGGATATTAAATGTTTTTCGAAATGCCCAAAATTAGTCAAGTAATGTTCAAATCAGAACAAAATTCCAAAATATCGTGAATTACTATAGAAATGAGCATTACTATTAAATAGTGATTCAGAAGTTTTATGTTCACTTTCTTATTGGGATAAACAAGATTTGTCACATGATGCAAAGCTTTGAGAGCTCATCTATAAAGAAACCCCTAACGCTATAGAAGTTATAAGAGGAAAATCGTTAGTGATGTTGGCCCATAAGTAACTGGAAGACCTGAAGCTGAAAAGTATCTTAAATCATTTTATTAGAAGAATTGATGAGCTCTTACCTAGAGAACTTAGATTGTAAAAATATTACAAAATTATGAACAACTGACTTTTTAACATTAATAATAAAATTTAACTGGGAATGGGCTGAATTTGCTGCTTTATGTGACTGCATTAAATTGTCCTGGAGTTTTAGAATATCTAGAAACTAAATTTTGTAAAATGCTACCGTTCTTAATAATATGTAGACAATATTGGGATCGTCTATGAGGTTTTAATAAAGATCGTAAAATAAAGGATCAAACAATTTTTTGCTCGAATTAAAAATCATTATTCAGCTAAAGATTTAAATCTGAAAGATATTAGCATCTACAATATTCCAAAAGTTATTTTTAATAGCATCTGCCTTTATTTTAAATCTGATTAGAGAAAGTTTTTTAACTTTAAGAGTCGTTCTGGTTAAAGCTGAACGCGACTTCAATTGGAAGCTGAGAAACATCCAAATCAGTTGTAACCTTGATCTGATTTACTGTCGATGATTTGATGCTCCAACTTCCTGTAGGATAAACGACTTGATTTTTCTTAGCTGTAAAAGAATCAAATGCTACCGTTTTCGAAAGCGGGTGAGCAAAATCAATAACCACATCTGGAGAGTCGAAACTCAATTTATATCCTACTTTATCCACTCTGCACGAACTCCCATCTTGGACTATTACATCAGCACACTTGAAACAAATAGGACTAGTAGTGCATAAATTGCACGAATCGGCACATGCTAAATAAATCTTACAAACACAGCTTGTTTTAGTCACACTTTCATCATAAAGGAAATATCCTGAATTGCATTGAGTGCAGACGTCACTCGAAGACCAAGTCGCGCAATTAGAAGGACGATCTAAATAGAAAAATACCTTTAGTGCATGAGCCTGCATTAAGCTTATAGCCATCATTACATTTTTTACAAACTGAGCCGCCTTGAGAAGCACAAGCACAATCAGGGACTGAATTAATTGGGTAGCAAGAGCCACAGCCAACAGCAGCTCCACTAGAGCAGGTTGTGCAAGTAGTAGCATCAGAGGCCACATCACAATACTGCAGATAAGACTGTATACACACTCCTGTTCCGTTGGGGAGATATCCAGTTGAGCATTTCTTGCAATAAGTTGGATCTGATTTTTTAACAATATCGCAATGAGAGAGTGATGAAGTGGAGCATTTGCCTTCATCATTAACTATATTTCCAGCTGAGCATGAGGTGCATTTTTTATCTGAGTTGCAAGCGGTGCAAGCTGTATCAATCGTGCTGCATTCGCTGCAATCCTTAATGCTAGAATCCCAGAATTGAGTGCCTGTGCATGCTATTTGGGCACAGGTGGCACCACTGTGGTATCGCGCCCTAGGCGCCTTCAATTTTTATTTCCAAATTTCTTCTTTCAAATTCCTCCATTTATCATTAATTTTTCTGAATTTCTTAAATTTATACCATTTCTTGAATTTACGTCGATTTTCCTCAATTTCTTTTTTTAGTTTCAAATATTCATTTTCCTCAGTTATTTTTAGTCTTTCCGCTGAAACTACACATTCTTTTTTGAGGCAGAATTTTCTTCTCAACTGATCCTGAGTCTTATCTTCAGAACATTTGCTTTTATAAAATTTCTTCTCTCTTTGTGCTTTTCGATTTATTTTCTTTTTTATTTCCATATGTATTTTTGAATTCCTTCATATTACTTTTTTCGCGGCAAAACTTTCCCATGAGCTGAGCCTGAGTTCTGTCTCCAAAGCGCTTCTTTTCATCAAATTTCGCCTCTTTTTGTTCTTTTTCATCTATTTTCTTTTTATTTTTATTTTTATTTTTATTTTTATTTTTATTTTCATTCTCTTCATCTTCATATCCTTTATTTCCATAGTCTCATTCCACACAGTCTTCACATCCAGTGTCCTCATCTGTGTGACATAAGTCTTGTGTTGCGGCAAAAAGGGTATCAGCAAATTCTGAGTCTTCAATTTCATAATCTTCATCTTCATCTTCAGCATCTTCTTCTTCTTCATAGCCTTTATCTTCTCATTCCATCTCGCTAATTCTCTCCAAAGTACATCCATAACTCAGCAACAGACTGAAGGCCCATTTCTGCATCTCCACCACTCAACCTTAGAGCAATCCTTGCCTCTTCCTCTCCAAATCCTAAACCCAAAAGTGCCGAAATTTTGGCAAGACTGCCATCATTTTGCTCCAAGGTAATACCCACTCACACAAGTTTGACATGTACTTGTTTGAGAATTGACCACTTGGCAATTTGAAATTGATGATTGAATGCAACTGCCTAAACCATTTGGTAAATATCCTCCCACGCATTTGGTGCACGTGTTGCTTCCTGAACATTCTTGACAGTTTGCGTCAAAACTGGAACATGCTTTGCAACTGTTAGTATCTTTATAATACCCTGCTTTGCATACATTGCAAGCTAAAGTAATTTTATCGCAAATATCGCAGTTTGGATCATAGCATCTCGAGCAAGTAAAGTGCATAGTTATTCCATATCCTGAATTGCATTTTGTACATTTTCCATCATCAGAGCAAGTAAAACAATTGGCTACTAAGTCACTACATGATGCACAGCCTTGATAATAGCCAACTATGCAAGAGTCACATACAGTCTGTGCAGAAACAAGAGCGCAATTTCTCATATACGACATGGTGCATCCACCATTAGTGTTAGGAATATAAAGTTGTAGGCAAGTTCCACAAAGTGTTGTAGATGCACAAGTCTGGCAAGAATTTTGACCAGTTGTGCATGTTGGTGTTAGTTTTCTTTCTTTTTCTGTAACATTTGACCTTATTTCTTGGCTAGATCCTTGACTCTCGTTGTTTTGGAAAAGCTGGTTAAGAATCTCAGGATCTGTAGTGATAGCTTTAAAGTCACCATCAGAGCTTTCCTCGTGCTCAATGATGTTGTTTTGCATTGCAGAAACTTGAAGCATCAGAATAAGAATAAACACTGGCACCATCATATATTTTTATTAAGCATCATAGATAAGTGGAAAAAATCCTTATGTAAAATTCCAGCCTTAAGTCAAAATTAGGTTTATTAAATTTATTGTAGCTTGAAAAAGTTTTTGAATTAATTCTCCTTTGATTAGCGAAAAATTAATTCCCTTGAGTCCTTGATGCTTCTAATTTGGAATGGCAGAGCTTATCAATATTCCCAATTTTTCTTTTAAAGTTGGAACCTAAACTATCTTGGGCATTTACACAACTCCCTTTTTGAAGCATAGCTTATTCTGTTTCCAGTGCCTATAGCTTTCCATTCTATTTTATATAAACTTGCCGATGCCTATTTTAGGTGGTTCGGTTCTAGAACCATCTTTTTTGTAAGGCAACAAAATTTTGTTGAAGTCTCTTTTAACTGAAGTCCATTGATAGCATTGTCAAATCGAATGGAAATCAAATTGAGCAAATAAAGTATAGAATTTTAATTAGATTCTAAATAAGACTAGAGCTAAGGAAAGTTAATTAGTTTTTAGAAATATTTTTCATAGAACTGGAGGCAATGCCAATTGACAAATTTACTAAGCTTAAGCTGAAATCTTCTTGAAAATATCTTTAAGAAGATATAATGCATATCAATGTCTCTTCATAATAAATTCTAAATATTTTTGACTTTTAATAAACAGTTCATTTCTATCGATAAATTTCGCCAATACCTAAAAATTGCAAACCAAAAATTGACATAATGTATAAAAATAATTTTATTTATGTAATAACTCTCGTCAAGCGATTTAAAATTAACTTTCATTTGCCCTTGAAGATTTGCATTTAAAATTTTACTAAATAAAGATTAAATGGCTATATGATTTAAGTGATTTCTTAATCAAGCTAATGGGCAATATTTTTTAGGGAGTATGGGATATCAAATCTTTTTCGTAAATTGCACAAAATGAGCCAAGTAATGCACAAATCAGTGTAAATTCCAAAATATGGTGAATTACTATAAAGATACACATTACAATTTAATAGTGACCTAGAAGTTTTGTGTTCACTTTCTTATTGGGCAAAAAAGATTGGGTCGCATGATACAAAGCTTTGAGGGCTCATATATAAAGAAACCCCTGACGCTTTAGAAGTCATAAGAGGAAAGAATGCTATTGGCTCATGGGATAGCTGGAAGACCTGAAGCTGAAAAGTATCTTAAATCATTTTATTAGAAGAATTGATGAGCTCTTATCTAGAGAACAAGCTTAGATAGTAAAAACATTACAAAGTCCTGAGCTACTAAATTTTTAGCAAGTGATTAATAATAAAATTTAATTGGAAATGGGCTGAATTTGCTGCTTTATGTGGCTACATTAAATGATCTTTGAGTTTTAGAATATCTAGAAACTAAATTTTGTGAAATGCTATCTGATCTTAATAAAATGCAGAAATATTAGGATCGTCTATGAGCTTTTAATAAAGATCGTATAATCAAGGATCAAAAAATTTTTTGCTTGAACTAAAAATCATTATTCAGCTAAATATTTAAATCTGAAAGATATTAGCATCTTACTATATTCAAAAAAATTATTTTTGAGAAATGCAATATCATTTTTTTGAAAGAGATTAAAATTAACTTTTATTTTTCTTTGAGGATTCGCATTTAAAATTTTATTATATAAAGATTACATAGCTGTATGACTCAAGCGATTTCTTAGTGATATCAAATCTTTTTCGAATAATCCACAAAATAAGCCAAGTAATGTTCAAGTCAGAAGGAAACTCTAAAATATGGTGAATTACTATAAAGATGTGCATTTATAATTTAATAGTGACCCAGAAGTTTTATGTGCACTTTCTTATTGGGCAAACAAGATTGGGTCGCATGATATAAAGCTGTGAGAGCTCATAAATAAAGAAATCCATGACGCTTTAGAAGCCAAAGAGGAAATCATTAGTGCTATCGGCCTTGAAGCTTAAAAAATATTTTTAAATTATATTATTAGAAGAATTGATGAGCTCTCACCTAGAGAATTACCTGGGATAGTAAAAACATAACCAAACTCTGAATCTTTTAGCAAGCGACTATAATAAAATTTTAATTAAAATATTTAGATTTGCTGCTTATGTGACTGCATTAAATGATCCTGGAGCTAGAAACTAAATTTTGTAAAATGCTACCTGATCTTAATAATATGACAACAATATTGGGATAGTCTATGAGGTTTTAATAAAAACCGTATAATGAAGTATCAGAAAATTTATGTGCTTAAATAAAAATCATTTATTCAGCTAAAGATTTAAATCTAGAAGACATTAGTCATCTTACAATTATTCCAAAAAATTATTTTTGGGGAATAATATCTGCCTTTGTTTTTAAATCAGATTAGAGAAAGTTATTTAACTTTTAAGAGTCATTCTGCGTAAAGCTGAACACGACATCAATTGGAAGCTGAGAAACATCCAAATCAGTCTGAATCTTGATCTGACTTACTGTCGATGATTTGACACTCCAACTTCCTGTAGGGATAACTGCTTGACCTTTAGTAGCTGTAAAAGAATTAAATGCCACCGTTTTCGAAAGTGGGTGGGCAAAATCAATAACTGCATCTGGAGAGTCAAAACTCAATTGATATCCTACTTTATCCACTCTGCACGAAGTCCCATCTTGGACTATTAAGTCAGCACACTCGAAACAAATAGGACTAGTAGTGCATGAATTGCACGAATCGGCACATGCTAAATAAATCTTACAAACACAGCTTGTTTTAGTCACACTTTCATCATAAAGGAAATATCCTGAATTGCATTGAGTGCAGACGTCTTTCGAAGAGCAAGTCACGCAATTAGAAGAGCAAACTAAATAGAAAAATACCTGGAGAGCATGAGTCTGCATTAAGCTTATAGCCATCATTACATTTTTTACAAACTGAGCCGCCTTGAGAAGCACAAGCACAATCAGGGACTGAATTAATTGGGTAGCAAGAGCCACAGCCAACAGCAGCTCCACTAGAGCAGGTTGTGCAAGTAGTAGCATCAGAGGCCACGTCACAATGCATTAGTTGAGACTGTATGCACCCTCCTACTCCGTTAGAGACATATCCAGTTGAGCATTTCTTGCAATAAGTTGGATCTGTATTTTTAACAATATCACAATGAGAAAGTGATGAAGTGGAGCATAAGCCTCCTTCATTAACTATATATCCAGCTGAGCATGAAGTGCATTTTGCATCTGTGCTGCATGCGGTGCAACCTGTGCTAATTGTGCTGCATTCCTTGCATTGCTTGTTGGCACCATCCCAGTATTGAGTACCTGTGCATGCTATTTGGGCACAAGAGTTAGTAGCATCAAGATAATACCCGCTCACACAAATACCACATTTGCCTGATTGAGAATTGACAATTTGACAATTTGGAACTGATAATAAAACGCAAGCGCCTAATTCATTTGCTAAATATCCTCCCCCACATTTGGTGCACTTGTCATTTCCTGAACATGCTTGACAATTCGGGTTAAAACTGGAGCATGCCTTGCAACTGCTAGAGTCTAAATAATACCCTTCTTTGCATAAACTGCAAGAAGAACCTTCTGAATCGCAAGTATTGCAGTTTGAATCTTGGCATCTCGTGCAAGCAAAATCCGTATTTACATGATATCCTGAATCACATTCTGAACATCTTCCATCATTAGAGCAAGTAAGACAACCGTCTATTAAGTCACTACATGATGCACAGCCTTGATAATAGCCTGCCTTGCAAGAGTTGCATACATCATCGGGAGAAACAAGAGCACAATTTCTCACCGTCGATATGGTGCATCCACCATCAGTGTCAGGAATAATAGTATATCGACTTGTAAAGCAAGTTCCACAAAGAGTTGCAGATGCACAAGTTATGCAATTAGCTTCATATTCTTTGCAACTTGGTGTTAGTTTTCTTTCTTTTTCTGTAGCATTTGACCTTATTTCTTGGCTAGATCCTTGACTCTCGTTGTTTTGGAAAGGCTGGTTAAGAATCTCAGGATCTGTAATGGGAGCTTTAAAATCACCATCAGAACTTTCCTCGTGCTCAATGATGTTGTTTTGCATTGCAGAAGCTTGAAGCATCAGGATAAGAATAAACACTGGCACCATCATATATTTTTATTAAGCATTTTAGATCAGTGAAAAAAAATGTACTTATGTAAATATTCCAGCCTTAAGGCAAAATTAAGTTTATTAAATTTATTGAAAATTGAAACAGTTTTTGAATTAATTCTCCTTTGATTAGCGAAAAATTAATTCCCTTGAGTCCTTGATGCTTCTAAATTGGAATGGCAGAGCTTATCAATATTCCCAATTTTCCTTTTAAAGTTGGAACTTAAACTATCTTGGGCATTTACATCAGCTCCCTTTTTGAAACTCAGCTTATTCTGTCTCCAGTGCCTATAGCTTTGATTCTATTTTTTATAGCCTTGCTGATACCAATTTTAGGTGGTTCGGTTCTAGAACCATCTTTTTTGTAAGGCCAAAAAATCATGTTCAAGTCTCTTTTAACTGAAGTCTATTGATAGCATTGTCAAACCTAGTGAAAATTAAATTGAGCACATAAAGTATAGAATTTTAATTAGATTCTAAATAAGGAAAGTTAATTAGCGTCTAGAAATGTTTTTCATAAAAATGGAGGCAATGCAAATTTACAAATTTACTAAGCTTAAGCTGAAATCTTCTTAAAAATACCTTTAAGAAGATAAAATGCATATAAATATCTCTTCATATAAATTCATTTGAATGCTATAGGAATATCAGATATAAAAAACTTTGAGATTTCGTTACTAAATTCTCTGGATTCTTTAGAAAATCAACAACCCATTGATAAATAATTTAGTAATTATATTAAATGGCAATTGAGTCAATCAGACAGTTTATTCATATCCTAGAAAAGAAGGATTTTATCAAAGAGGTCACAAGCATCTCTAAAAAACTTCAGCAAAACAACAGAGACTCAGCAGCAAAGCAAGCTTGGCAAAACTTATTAAGTAATTACAAAACCTATCACCAAAATTACAATAAAGATGCAGATCTCTTTTGCACAATGACGTATTGAGCCAAGAAGCTAAGCACGGATGACAACAAATTCTGAGAAATCATTGATAATCAAGCACCACTTATAATAGACAGCTTAAAAGGAAGGCCACTAGGACGCTTAGCATATGGGATTTCAGGGAGAGAAGAACCAGAAAAATTGGTTATCAACCATTTGATTAAGAATAGAGATAAGCTTTCTTTTCGAGAAATTTCAGAAATAGCTAAAATCATCCCCAAAAATGAGCTAATGGAGCTTCTTGTGAGTAAAAACCCAAGTTTCAAAGTTTATAGTGACCAAGATTTATTGTTCTATGTTAGTTCAGTAACAAATATAGGAATTTTAAAATCATTAGAAAGCAGCTTTTGTGAGTTACTTCCAAATATAAACGCTTTAGACACTTTTATAAGCATCTTGTATGAATTTTTCAAAAAAGACATTTTATTTGAGGCAAGTACCATGAATTTACTTGAGCAAAAAATCCTTGCTCTACTAAAGAATTTTGAAATAAAAGACCTTAATAATATATTAAAGGTACTTAACAGCAGTCAGATATCAGGCCGCTTATCATCTTCATTTTGGGATACTCTTGAAAAGAAAATTGAGAACTCCATAGAAGCTTTTCCTGTCTCTTCTCTTATAAATACTTGCTCATGAGGCTTATTTTTTAGGCCTAAACTATTTGAGACCTTAATTAATAATTGGCGATCTATTATTGATAGAAGAAGACAAAGGGATTTTTTTAGAGAAGGCTTTTGTTCTCTAGCGCTAACACCTTATTTTACTGAAGATTTGATGACTTGAAGCAAATACTGGATTTTAAGGATGATGAAAAAATTTGACGGTTTAGATATATTGAGTATTATGAGAACACTTGTTATTATTAATAATTATGATACTGAAATATGAAATGCTTTGACAGATAATCTATTTATGATAATTAAATACTATTTTTTATGGTAAATTTATATTTTCGCTTGAAAAAAAGGTTTGGAAAAAAGAAAATATGCAATTTGCTTCTATCAATGACATAAATTTTCACAAGAGTCTTATAAAACTTTAAAGAGAAAAGAAAAATCTGCAGCATTTTATATTGCACTTTGCCTAGACATTGATAAGCCAAGTGAATATTTGCAATGAAATAGAAAAATACTGGAACATATAGATGATGATTACAAAGTAGATAGAGTTGTGCATGAAAGCGACGAAAATGAAAATAAAATTCATTATTTTTTAAATACCCATGGCACTCCTGCTGTAAAGCATCTTAAAATTAATGATATTTATACTGCAAATATAGTTATACAAAGCAAAAAAATCATCATTGAATATTTGCCTGCACATCTTAACATTTCCCAGCATACTTCGCAACTAATCCCTAAATCTTTACAAAAAATCCGCCACTTAAGAGCCTTAAAATGGCATGTTATCTGCATCTCAAACACAAAAAAATGGCGACGTCACCGACTGATCCCCTCCCAGATCTGTTTCGATCTTGGGACCTTTGAAGCAGCCTAAAGCCAAACTAGGTAGGAAAAGGAGTATGCGGGTACTGGGCATTTGTGTTCCTGTTGGATTTTGCCTCCCTCGCCTGGCAATGAAGACTTTGTGTCTTCACGATGGACATTTGGGTAAAAATGCTTTTACTTCTAGAGACTTCTACTGCCGACAACGAAAGCATAGCTTGCAACTCCAAGGTTCAGAGACAGCATTAAGAATCAGACCGAAAGTTAGAGGAGAGCTATCTCTAGTGGTAATGCTGTCATACCCAGCGAGTTTCGCTAGCTACTGAGCGAGCCTTCTACGAAGACGATATAAAAGGAGGAAGAGCACTAGTCTATAATAATCTTAATGCTAATCTACATCTCTAACATGACAAATTTCGAAGAATCTCTGTCCCAAGCCATATCCACCCTTTCATCACAAAGAACTCCACACTTTATCCATATTATTTAACTAATAGTTTATTTAGTATAAGAAACTCCACCCATAAAAGTCCTAGGATCAGGGACATTCCCATTAAACTCTGCATTAGAAAAATCAAACCCAGGGTTTTCCTGTTGGAACCTTTCCAGCATTAACTGTTTCTGCACCTCAGTTTTGGTAAAAGCGTCTAGTTCTCCATGCCTTCTACAACAAGAAGCCCAGGTCTCTGCTTTTCTCATTTTTTGCAAATTAATGACAAGTTCGTCATTGTCTACCATTCAGTAGCTTTCTGATTTTACGACTGAGCCGCCTAGTTCTTCATTAAGGAAAGGAGGGTTAGGCCTGATCCCGATTTCTATATGGTCTCTTTCAATATTTACATAAAGCTCTGGAAGAGACTCACCTGGCTTTAAGTTAGCTCGCAGAGCTCGCTGGTTTTTAGGTAAAGCCCATTCTGGTGGGCGCAGATACATTAAGACTTCATCTAAATTCTGTTCCCATTCATAAATTACTTGGTCTCCGTGCTTAAACTGTTGGCGGCCTCGAGCTTTTTCTTTAATTTCTCGTGGAATTTCCATTTTCTAATACTTTTTTGTAATAGGCTAACATAAATCTTATAGAAATTAATATGGAAAATCGACGAAGACAGCCAAAGCAGCGTGTTGTAAATCCACAGTTCAAGGGTGGGATTAAAAATGCAGAACCAGAGGTCTTTGAAGGCTACAACATGTGATAGCTAAGGCTTAAATCAACTTCTTCTCCTTCAGCTCTTGATGCTATGGCCTTCTGAAGTAGAATTCTGTGGTAAAGTCTCCTTTGTGCCTTGTCGGCTCAGTGCTGAGTTATAAGGCTATAGAGTTCTGCGACTTGCTGATTGGGTTTAAAGAAGGTTGCCCACGTAAAAATCCCAAAATTGGAATTTTGGGCGACTCTTGCCAAAACTCAAAGTCTGAGGCGCAACTCTATGTTTCACGCTATAAGCTGCCCGAATAGCCGATGCATTTCCTTTAGATGATGCTGGGGCTTTCCCTTTCCAACTCTGAGCACTCCTCTTCCTCAAGGTAAAATCCATTCTGAAAGTGACTGGGCTCTTTTCTTTCCCATCTTTGCTTACTTTGCCTTACTGTTCATTTCTCTATTGGCAAAACTTGCAGGATATAAATAAATATGTGTTCTAGGCAATACCTGGCTGAAACACCATATTTATTTATGGTACAGCATGTATCCAGATTTGCAAAATGTTTGGTCACGCAGTGCTTTTCAAAATCCGCGGGTTAACGGCAAGTGCTTAAAACTTGGCTTGTTGGTATTTGGAATATTCCTTTTCTATATAAATATTAGGATTTTGCCTTAAATAGTTGTCATTTATATAGAAATACTAATATCTTTATCTATTTATATAGAAAAGGTATAACTCTTTCTATTTGTTTGACATACCAAAACATTTGACTTTTACAAGATTACACTGAGCGCGCTCGGCCAATTGAAATACGAACAAAAGAAATAGTTATGGAAGAATCCCTGTCCACAAGAAGGAATATAAAATGGTGAAATTGATGGAAGAAGGCACCGAGGCGCATTCCCTATAGAGTAGGTAAAACCTGTCCCGATGAAGCTGAAAAGTGCCTGCCAAGAGGAAAGTTTTTATATCTCCCAAGGTTTTCCCCTGTCAGATGGGCTAGAGAGACTGTACCTTCACTAAGTCTCTGCTTATCTAATCTAAAGGGCATCTGCAAGAGGTGGCTCTATCCTAAGTAGCTAATCCATAGCTTAGATTAGTTTACACTAGATTTCAGGCTTGTGGTTAATCCGCTTATGGTCTTAACTTAATTTAGCTTGTCTACAAGAGATTTCATCAACTACGCAGCAGACTTCAACAAAGCCGAAATCATCCTTAAAGAAACCACTCCAGCATACCAAAAGCCTCTTTTCAAGTTTATGAAGCAGAAAAATGCCCCCGAATTTGCTTTATCAGACATAAATTCCCCAGGCCACTGTTGGGCATTCCAAGGAGATATCGGGCATATAACCGTCCAACTAAACCAAGACATATACCCCAGGCATTTTACAATAGTCCATGCATCATTAGCTGACTATAACACCGCTCCTAAGCACTTCTGCATATACAGTGTGCTCCCAAAAAGCATAGAAGAGTTAGGCTGCTATGAATTAGACCTCAGCTCCGAATTAAATGCCTTCAAGCAAACATTCCCTTGTCTTTCTAACTGTGACACCCCTACAAGAAAATACAGACTGGAAATAAAGTCAAATTACGGCGCAGACCTAACCTGCCTTTATCAGCTACAAATCCATGGGGATCCAAATAGCTTAACTTTATAATAGCTTAATAATAAATTTATCTTCATATTTCTCATGCCGACAAGAGGGATACTTGAAGTTTTGATTCATTCAGAAAGCTTTAGAAATATCGATTTATACTACCAAGGCCTTTATTTTATCCAATTCACAGCGTATTTCAAAGACGAAACCTGCGAAGTCCATGCGATCCCAATACAAATCCAGCCATCAGAGCATATTTCGCATTCAAAGTCTTTGCACAATCTTTGACCTGCACAGATTGATGACGAAAACAATGCTTATATGACAAAAATTTTCCTTATAAGGTATTCAGACGAAACAGTCAAATGTGGAGAAGTCGGCATCTTTAGGGCAGAAATTGAATTTGACTTGACAATTGAGCAGATTCCGTTAATTATTGAAGCAGAACTGTTTTTTTCAGATTTAGAAGGAAATGTGGAAGCTGAATATATCAGAAAAATCATGAAAGACCCAGTGCTGGCACCTCAGTTTAAGTCTGTAGGAAATGCTCAGTTTAAAGTTGCGAACCCTTTTTTTGGAGTAAATCAGATGATTCCTGTGATTTTTACTGATCTTTATTCATGTGTGCTGAATACAACTATTCATGTTTTGCTACTGGATTATAAATTTGATGCAGACCATCAAGCGGAAAGTCTTTTCCCGGAAATCCAAACGAAACTGAAAAGCAAAGCAATTGATAGAGCGTATGACACTTTTGTGCTGTTATTAGCTACTGTGCATAATAATATAAGGAATTTAGTTAGCAAAGTGATGAAAGCTGAAGGGGCAAGATATAAAATTTCAAATATCAAGAAAAGAATAAAACTCCCTGTGCTGATTGGACTAAAAGAAGGACAAGAATATGCAAAAACTGATACAGGGGTAAGAAGAGCGCTTTTCAGTGAATGCATGACTGTGAGGAATAAACAAAGTGTGACTGATTTTATTATTAATGAAATTAAAGAAGTGGCTGCCAATTTGTGCCAGATTAAGTATGATTTAGGAGAGGTATTGAGGCATAATTCTGAAATTGTGTTTGAGATACTTCAGATTAAGTATGCTAAATTAAGCAAGACTTTTAATAATGCTCGCATAAACAAAAATGGTGATGGCAGACCACCTCGACCTCTCGGCCTTATTTCTTCAAAAGCAGCAGGCAAAGGCAGTAATGTTAGGGGATTAGGTAGTAGAAAGGAGTCGGCAATCCTTTATGCATGCCTGGCTAAGTTTACCTGGGAGCTGACCCCTAGGATTTGGGGTTTTTCCTCCTATCAAGGACTCATATAAATAGCTAACTTAATAATGCTCTAATTTATTTTTTTCTATGAATTCATTCTTAATAAATATACAACACAACAATGAGGGAAAGGTGAGGCGAAAACATATATCGTGCCATAAAGCCTCTTCCTTACACAGTAATCGCTGACCACAACACTCAAGATTCCCACAACAGTGTGGCTGAAGCTCGAAGAAAATCCAACTACATGCCATTTCTTGAAGCTTTAGAAGTAGAAGACCTAAAGGTATTTTTACGTCCAGATTTATCCACAATCCTCTTTGAAGACGTTTTTATCAGAGAAAAATTTCAAGATTCCTTTGATCCTATCTGCTATTCCACAAAATCTAAATTTGAGCCAAAAACACATTTATTTATACTAGTCCACGGCTTTATGGGCTCCTACTATGACATGAAGATTATCAAGGACACTTTGTCCTTATTTTTGCCAAATTCCTCATTTTTTAGCTCTAGGGCTAATGAAGGAAAAACAGAAGGTAGCATTTTTGATATGGGGTATCAGCTAGCTATGGAGGTTAAAAGTATTTTAGAAGAATTTCAGTATAGAGCTATTAATAGGATCTCGTTTATAGGACACTCGTTGGGAGGACTTATTATAAGAGCTGCATTGCCACATCTGTCTGAGCTGAAGGAAAAGCTGAATCTTTATATGACTTTTGGAAGTCCACATTTAGGCTGCATTTGTGGGTCGTCGAAACTTATTGATGCAGGGCTTTGGCTGCTTGCGAAGCTCAAGAAGACTATAAGTTTACAGCAGCTGGCAATGACTGATTCAAAAAACCCTAGGAAAACTTGTATTTATAGCTTGTCGAGGGCTGAAGGGCTAGGATGGTTTAAGAAAATTATTTTGGTTAGCTCTTCGCAGGACAATTATGTGCCATTTGAGTCTGCAAGAATTGAAGCTGGAAAAAGTGCTTTTGAAGGTGATACTTTGCAGCTAGAGATGGCTGATGGATTAATTTCACAGATTCGTGCAGACTTATTATATAGGATTGATGTGAATTTTGGAATGAAAGATGACTTGCTGACTCTTTGAGCTCACCTATGAAATTTTTTAGCTAAATTGAAATTTAAATGCTAATATCAGCTTTAGTATGCTGGAGTTCCTTGCAGCTTCTTTCAGCTGTAAAAAAAGGACGATCAGATCCCGATAGACTAATTTTTGAATATTTTAAATAATTTAAATGATTATAGTCTAAGAATTTTATTATTCAGCTATATGATTGATCGCTAAGCCTCTTAAATTTCATTTAGATACAAAAAATAAAAAATTTATTTTTCCTATTGGGGAGAGTAAGTAATATGATAGGAAGAACTGCACATGTCCAAATGCTAGATAATCCTCCCTTATTGAATATGCTTCTCTATCTTCATCCAGATGCATTTTGTTAATAATAATAGTTTATGTTTAAATTATCACTCTATTCCATAGCATTATTGTTTTAGATAAGGCATATCTGTAACTTTTCGAAGAATCTTTATGAAGGAAAAGCTTGGTCCCAAAGCCCACCCTTCGTGAGCGAACAAAAATAGTTTTTATAGAAAAATTTTTATGAAAAAATCTTTGATATATAAGTGATAATTAGTATAAGAAATCTCGAGCTAATTTTGTGTTCTAAAACATAAATTTTTAAAATTAAATTAATATTTGCTTTCCACTTTTTGTGAAGCAGGTTTTTTTTTTAATATTTCGAAAATAATTTTTTCTATAAAATTTCTATATAAATTTTTAAAAAAAATTAACTTTTGTGAGCGATAAAATTTTTTTTTTTTCGCTTACAGAGGGGGGTGAGTAATTTATCAGTGAAATTTATTATTTCTTTGATTGTCTAGCTTATTCGATTTCCTTTATTAAAAGTTTGTTGGGGCTATATAGATAGCTATTTAGATATCAAATAAAATCGATGCTATTAATTTTTGCATGAGCGAAAGTCTCTAACTCCAAACCAGTAGTCCTGCGTAAAATCTTGAATTTTTATTTTTATTGTTTGATGCATATGGCAGATTTTTACTTATCAAGAAATCTTCATTTACTAATTTTAGTTGCTTCAGCCTCAACTATCATTTCTAACAAAATATGCATCCCAAACCCCTTCTCAGTCTATTCAATTTTATAGGCTTAATAGTTCACAACAATATTTTAAAAGAGTTATTAAGGTTGACTCCAAATATAGAAGAGCATTGACCAATTAGTGAATTAAAAAAATTATCTTATTTAAATAGTGAATCTAAAGAACCTATAAATTTCAATTTTAAAATTTTTTGTTATTGGACATGGGAAGAAATTTAAGTCAATGAAAGATTTTTATGCATATATAATTGTAAAAGGGTAAAGGCTTTGAAAAGAGCTTAAGCATGACTAAGGAGCATCATAAATTTACAAAAACGATACTGGAATTAGGGTAAAGAATAGCTTGATTATAATTTACTTAATAAAGATAAAGAAAAAAAATTTACTCCCCTTTAAATTGGAACAAATATCATTTTCTGAGGCTTTAAAACCCTTTAAATTGGAAAATATTTTTTTTGTTGCGAAAATACAATTTATAAAATTAATTTTCCTAATTTAAATAAAAAATGCGCAATTATATTTTTTTTCTTTTAAAATTAAAAGAGCATTATTCCTAACAAATAATATAAGTAATGTTTAATAAATTTTATTATAATTTTTTAATTCAAAATTTAAAAAATCCTAATTCGCAAATTGGAAAGCAAATATTAATTTAACTTATAAAATTTATGTTTTAAAAGCAATTCGTTTAAAATTAAACAGAATTAATACTAGATTTCATTATACTAATTATCATTTATATATCAAAAATTTTTTCCATAAAAAATTTTGGTTCACTCACGGAGGGTGGGTTTTTAGGCAAAAAATAGCGATTTTTCTAATGGTTTTGTTGACTCACGGAGCTGGGATCTAGAAAAATCCCTATTTTTTGTCCAAAAACCCACCCTCCGTGAGTGAACAAAATTTTTTTATAAAAAAAAAATTTTGATATATACGTTATAATTAGTATAATGAAATCTCGAGCTAATTCTGTTTAATTTTAAACAAATTGCGTTTTTAAACAGAAATTTTATAAATTAAATTAAGATTTGCTTTATAATTTTTGCAAATTAGGATTTTTTTAAAATTTCGAAAAAAAAAATAGCCTCTGCGTGAATGAACAAATTTTTTTTGTTCACTCACGGAGGGGGGGGAGTAAGTTAAAAACTTAAGCCTATTGAATGCACTAAACCCCCCCCCCCCCTCCGTGAGCGAACAAAACCATTAGAAAAATCCCTATTTTTTTGGTCAAAAACCCACCCTCCGTGAGCGAACAAAAAATTTTTTTACATATAATTTTATATATAGTTTATTATATCTATATTTAATACAAATAAAGAGGATAATATTGAAAAATAATTATTAAGTTTGTTTGATATATTATTCAAAGGGTTAAAAAAAAGAATACCATAAGTGAAAAGGTTGAATTTAACAATTTTAAATTTAAGACAAAAAAATGAATAGAAGAAATCGATTAGATAATTAACTTCTTCATATTAACTTGATGGCTGAAAATCTTTGGATGATTAACGCCATAAGAACCCGTCAACTCAAATGATTTTCTGACAAGTTGAGGGCTTACAGCATCTCACGCCTTTGAAGCAATGTTTATCAGTTGCTGGCGATCAAGAGCTTTGAGGTTTCCAGTTCTTTTCGATCTTCTTTCAATCTGCTCTGTTTGGAATTTGATTCTGAAATCTGTTGTTTTTGATTTGAAATTTGCAATTACCAGTGCGTCAAGTGGTTGCAAATACTTTGTGCACCCTCCAGGGATCACAATTTTGGTTGCATCTAAATCTGAAATTGCATTAGAAATCATGATAGTTTTTATGACTTCCAGCCTGATCATAAATCAGCAGTTGGTTTTCTCGTCTCAATATTGTTCTGAGGTAGTCATTAAGAATCTGGTCAGAAATGTAGCCAGATTTATTTGATTTTATGATGACATTTTCTGGAATATTCAGTCTTTCTCTTACAAGGTTCGGGATCTGGCCATTTTTTCTCTTGAAAAATGAGCAAAGCAGGCATTTTTTCTCCATCAGCTCTAATCATAAGCATAACAGTGATAAAATGGTTCATTTTAGCTGATTGAACGCCTAGAATTCGTTGAGTTCCCTTGAAATCATAAGTGAACTTGCTTTTTACATCTCAATCAAATCTCGTTTCATCGAAATTGTAAATGTTAGATGGAACGAATTGAGGAAGCAATGACGCTAAATCATCTAGGTATTGCCTGACAAGTTCTGCCTCTTTTTCGATTGGCTTAATGCTTGAGGCATTGATTTTTCTGAAAGATAAATTATTTCTGGTCCTAAATCCTTGCCACCATTTATCTCCACAGCCGAATCGCGCCAATCCCATTTCTGCCGCCAAACTTTTTGCTTTCTCCTCAATCGTTGATCTGAGAACCTGAATACCTTGCTCACGGATTGCAGTAAACCAATGAACTAGTTCTTTCTCTAGCTCTGGAAATTGAGTGAAGCTTTCTAATTTTAATTTTTTATCAGATTTTACTGATTTCTTCAACTCATCAAGCTTATTCACCCATTCGGAAATCGAGCTAAAGGAGTTGACATGAAACTTTGCAGCAACATCTCTCATGCTCATCTCATTTTGGTGTTGAATGTAAAATTCAGCAATTTCAACTTTCTGCCAAATTTCAATGTACTTTCTTTTCCCTTTGTACATTTTTATTATGATTTATAGAGAATTTGCTTATTATATTAAATAAGAAAATATATAAAATATTTTAACTGAATGCATATATTTATTACTAATAGCTTTATTGATTATTAAATTATTGAAAAATTAAGCTGTGTTTTACCTTTAATCAAATGGTATTCTTTTTTTTTTTGGGAAATTCCCTTACTCTCCCCCCATAATATTTTTAAAATATAATTTTCAACTTATAAAAAAAATATTATTTTACAATTAAAAATTTATATATATAATTTTTTTTAAAAAATAAAATTAAACCCCCCTCCGTGAGCGAACAAAAATTTTTTGTTCGCTCACGGAGGGGGGGGGGGGAGTAAGTATAATTTTATTTTCTAATTTTTTACGAATTAAGGATTTTGTTGCAATAGATATGAAGATTGAGGTAGGGGTCATCGTTAAGTCCAACTGTTAGAAAGAATACTCTGAATCTAAATGTGAGCTAAAAGCCGGCCAAAAAATGCTTTATATTTAAATTAAAAATTTTATCTAGAGTGTAAAAATATAATTTATGGCCCTTTTTGTAAGATAATTACTTATTGGCATTAAGCTTGCAAGTAATCATTCTGCATAAACTGATATAAAGTATGGAAGCACACAAGTAGGCAATGACTATAGGAGTTAAGGGGTTTGGATCGATTTACCATACCATTTTAATGTATATAACTTATTTATATTATAAAAATAAGAAATAAATCAATTAAGTATTAATTAGTTTATATAATCTTAAGCATGATCATTAAGTAAACATAGAAATTTTTTCTTCAGTGAACGAGTGTTATTAGTCCAAATCAAATTTGACTCTCCATCATATTTTTGTTCTATAAAACGTCAAAGATACATTAAAAAGCTTATATTTTTTGTCTAATTATAATTATTTAAGTTATTCAAAATTAAAACATAAAAAGTCTGCTATTTAATCCAAAGTAAATAGTTCAGACGCAAATCAAAATTTAGGGAAGAGTAAAACTATTTGAATTCTTGAGGAGAGTAAAAAGGTGAATGATTTGCTTATTTATGACATAAAAATGACAAAAAAGAAGCAAAAGTCCAATACATTTAAATAATGGCATAGGCATTGCTCAGCTTCCAAACGATGAACTGTTCTGTTTAGGCAGCCGATCACTTTCTGGAGTTCCATTAGCAATTGACAGGAACTTGGGAGTTAGAAAGATTCCATCTGGTGTATTTATTCCACAGAAATGCCTATTGCTTCGGAGGATATTATAGAAATCCTGGTAGCTTGGCTCTTTCTTGAAGATTTGACTTGGACAAAAATCGATTAAAAAAAATTTAAAATTTCGCAATCTGATTGCACCAGCTATAGTGTATTATTTAATCGGAAAAGTTTAATTTGTAAAGATAAACAATAAAGTTTTTTGTATTCAATTTTATAACACTCTTACTAAAAATTCTTTACTCTCCTTTAAGGTGACCTTCACTGGGTCCGTATACACCAAAGTGCAAAAATGGTGCTAGTCCCAATTAAAATTCTACTCCTTGAGCTTTCTGGCTTGAATCGCCTAATCTAAAATTAAAAATTTTAGGATAGAGCTACCATCTCTAGGACGCCCCAATAGTCAGGATATTTAAACACTATGTGTTCCTAGCCAAGGTACTCCGACTAGTGGGTGCACATTATAAACTTATATACGCAATCTTAATCCTTAATCTTATCTTTATCATCTATAAATCTTTTATCCTTTTGCCCCTATATATCTCTGGGGAAAAAATTGGTGGTCTTTCATGATATTATTCAAAAAAAAAAATTAAGCCCTCTTTACAAACAAAAATTTTTATTAACTCCATAAGGGAAGTTAAAGAATTAACTTTCTCTAATCAAAGGATATTTAATTAAAAAGCAATCAATTTTTAATACATGATAGCCAAATGTGAATCAAATAAAGGTTTGTTTGTTTGTTTGAAGCTTTAACTCTTATAAAGCTAAAAAAATTATGCTGAATTTATATTTTTCAACCCATTTTTGGTGGCTTTATAATTTATACAGATCATGTAGTAGATATCAAACAACCTCCTAGTTCCAGAAATAGACTAGCTACAGTTATTAGCTCTTAACCGTGACTTTCTTGACTAAAAGTACAGTCATAGCTCCTTTTCTAGGAACAATAAAATTATTTTAACTCCCCCCCTCCGTGAGTGAACAAAACCATTAGAAAAATCCCTATTTTTTGTCCAAAAACCCACCCTCCGTGAGTGAACAAAAATATTTTTAAATAGAAAAATTTTTTATGGAAAAAAATTTTTATATAATGAAATCTAGAGCTAATTCTGTTTAATTTTAAACGAATTGCTTTTTAAAACATAAATTTTATAAATTAAATTAATATTTGCTTTCCAATTTTTGCAAATTAGGATTTTTTTAAATTCCGAAAAAAAAAAATTTTCTATAAAATTTATATATTAATTGTTTTTTAAAAAAAAAATTAACCCCCCTCCGTGAGTGAACAAAATTTTTTTTGTTCACTCACGGAGGGGGGTGGAGTAAGCAAGTGCAAATTTTAAAACATTATTATTTATGAGTCACAGCTTAGCATTAGTCCGAAATGAGCTAGTAATGGACTCTTGTCCTTTAGATAAAGGATTATGTGGAAGTGCGCTATCTATACAAAAAATCTAGGAAAATACCTTTGGAATATATAAATAAACTTAGCCAGGTATGATTGAGCTTAAAAGGCAAGTTTTCGGAAAATATTTTGAGGTGCATGCGCTGCTTTTAAGATCAGCTCAGGATTGAGACTAATTAAGCATTCAAAATGCTGCCTTGTTGGGCAGAATCATAAGAGAACTACAAATAAAGATGCTAAACTTTAACATGCAATTATGTTGCAAAAATTTTAAACAAATTTTCAAATTATTACGATTAGAGGAAACCCTTATAAAGATTGCTTAAACCAAAAAACTAAATAAAACTAAATTTTTTCTTAGCTCCCTCCCCCGTGAGCGAACAAAACCATTAGAAAGATCCCTATTTTTTGCCCAAAAACCACCCTCCGTCAGCGAACAAAAAATTTTTTTAATATTTATATGAAAAAAAAAATTGATATGAGTGATAACTAGTATCATGAAATTTCGAGCCAATTCTGTTTAATTTTAAACAAATTGTTTTTAAAATATAAATTTTACAAATTAAATTAACATTTGCTTTTCCCATTTTCGAGAGGTGGGGATTTTTTTAAATTGAAAAAAAATTTTCTTTAAAATTTATATATAAATTTTACAGAAGAAATTAACCCATCTCCGTAAGCGAACAAAGTTTTTTTGTTCGCTCACGGAGGGGGAGATAAGTATTAAATAGTTGCATATGTTCATTTTTTAACTTTATATAAAAAACCTAATAGAAATAAATGGTGGTGCCAGTGTTTATTCTTATCCTGATGTTTGGAGCTTCTGCAATGCAAAACAACATCATTGAGCACGAGGAAAGTTCTGATGGTGACTTTATTGCTCCTATTACAGATCCTGAGATTCTTAACCAGCTTTTCCAAAACAATGATAGCCAAGGATCTAGCCAAGAAATAAAGCCAAATGCTACAGAAAAAGAAAGAAGACTAGACTCACCAACCTGCACAAGTGATCAAGCTAATTGCCAGACTGTGCATCTGCAACACTTTGCGGAACTTGCAAAACAGCTAGCTATAAACTATATTACCTTGAATAAGCCCTATATGTGCTAATCAATTTTTTTATACGGAAAGCCATTTTACTCTCTGGCAGTGCACTATTTTATTTCTTCATAATGGCTCTTGCTGAAGAATATATAGGATGCTGATTTAAATAACCAGTAAAATGTTTTCAATTATATAATTGTATAGATTACGCTCTGATAGCGAGATCTATAGAAATCAATTAATAAGTTCTGTAGATTACAATCTTATATAACTGGAAAGCTAATTTGAAATAAAGGATTGCAAATATTAGCTATATTTATGGACCGCTAACTTTAAAAACTGTTCCAATTGATTTATTTTTTTAAAATTTAACAGGGCTATTTAATGTGCATGCTCATATTCCTGACATTAGTGGCGGATGCATCCAAACTCATGTGAAAAATTGTGCTATTGTTTCTTCCTATGATTCATGTAGTGTTTGCAAAGCAGGCTATTATCAAGGCTGTACATCATGCGATGACTTATCCCCTCTATGTTGCCGAACAAAATATTGTAAAAAAACTTTCCTGTGAGAACAAAAATACGAAAAATAATTTGGTATGATAATTAGTATGATGAATATCTCACTAATTCTGCTGATCTTAAAATAAATTTTAAATAATACATTAATTTTTGCTTCCAATTTTCGCAAATATTTAAATTCCTAAAAAAACATTATTATAATTTAAATTTAAAAAAATTAACAAGAGCTAACAAAATGTTTTTGGTCGCTCAGAGATATGGGAGCTAATTCCAGGTTGTAATGATTGCACTGATGATGGACAATGCATAACTTGCGGTTCAGGATATCACCTAGATGATTCGACTGCAACTTGCGTGGCTTGCAGCAATCCTCTTTGCGATTCTTGCCCAGGTGATACTTGCAGCAAATGCAAGCCAGGGTATCTCTTATACATGGGAGATTGTACACAATGCTCCAGTCCTATACCAAATTGCCAAGAATGCTGAGACAGCACCTTATGCACCAAATGTAAGACAGGGTATATTCTAAATGAAAATGACCAATGCACCGAATCATCAATACTAAATTGCCGTCGACTTAATTCTGGTGCAATGCAATGTACAATTTGTGCGAGCGGGTATTACCTTAGTGGTAGCTCGTGTACTTAAATTCCATGCGCAAGCAATCAATACTGGGATGATTACAACAAGCAATGCAAGGATTGCAGCTTAATTACTTCATATTGCATCGGTTGCTCCATAGATGGAAAATGCACTTTATGCTCAAGTGGTTATGCAATTAGTAGTGCTGGCTCATGCCTCGCTTCAACTCTTTCTCATTGCGCACTGGTTGATTATTCAGATCCAAGTAATTGCTTGGGATGCCTCACTGGATATATCAATGGCGGAGCAGGAGGGTGCATACAGTCTCCACTAATGTATTGCAACAAGGTCTCTGATGCTTATACTTGCACAGCCTGTTCTACTGGAGCAGCTAACGGCTGTGGCTCATGAACGCACTTAATACAATCCCTAATTGTGTTTGTGCTGCTCATGGCGGCTCATTTTGCATCAAATGCAATGATGACTCTATTCTTAATGCAGGCTCATGCACTAAAGGTATTTTTCTATTTAGTTTGTCCTTCTAATTGTGCGGATTGCACTTCGAGAAACGTATGCACTCAATGCAATTCAGGATATTTCCTATATTACGAGAGTGCGACTAAAATAAGCTGTGTTTGTAAGATTTATTTAGCATGTGCCGATTCGTGCAATTTGTGCACTAATAGCCCTATTTGCTTCAAGTGTGCTGACTTAATAGTCCAAGATGCAGAGTGGATAAAGTAGGGTTTCAAATAGGCTTTGAAGATCCATATATCGTTATTGATTTTGCTAACCCACTTTCGAAAACGGTAGTTTTTAAGTCTTTTACAGCTAAGAAAGATCAAGTTACTATTCCTACAGCAGGTTGGAGTATCAAATCATCGACAGTAAACCAAATCAAGGTTCAGACTGATTTGGATGAAAGTAAGTTTCCAATTGATATTGTGTTTACCTTTAAAGAGAATGACTCTTAGAAGTTAACTAGAGAATATGTTTTCTTTGGTCTTTCTTAAATTTTTTGTAAATTTTTTATCATTTTGACTTTGATTGTGCAAAAAACATAGCTATACTTTTTTATGATTACCAGATTCTTGCCCAAGTGGTGGTTGCGAAAATGCAAGACAGGCTATTTTGTAGAAGGTTACAGTTGCACAAAATGTTCCACTTATAATACAGGTTGCGAAGAATGCTCAAATTATAGCAAATGCACCAAATGTCAGACAGGGTATATTCTAAATGAAAATAGCAAATGCACCGAATCATCAATACTAAATTGCCATCAACTTAATTCTGGTACAATGCAATGTACAGCTTGTGCGAGCGGGTATTACCTTAGTGGTAGCTTGTGTATCCAAATTTTATGCGCAAGCAATAAATACTGGGATGATTCCAGAGTATGCTTCTATCACTGTGAGATTTGCTATTGATGTCCCTACAATTTTTCCTTTCATAAACAGTTTTGTTTCTCCTGTAACTAGCCTCTTTTTAAACAGTATTCCTACCCCAGAACTTCTTTCTGACCCTGGATTGTGTAGTCAACTATATCCGTCTATCGATGGTAGTAAATCTGCTTCAGAGCAGTGAGTTTCGCTGACGCCTAGTATTTCTGCATTTGTGTCCTCTAAAAACTGCTTTATTTGTTGTTTCTTCTGCTTGATTTCATACGCATTGACATGAGCGATCGTTGTCACCTTATTTTCCGCTCTTCTGGCTCACTTCGTCGCCTGAGCATCCATCCCTGACTCAATCGGTGTTCTTTTTCTAGGCCCATGAGTGTCCTCCTTTACCTGTATTTCCTGATTTTCCTTTTTCTTCTCTTCAAAGCTTATCAGGTCAGCATATGTAGAGTTATTATGCTTATCCTCTTCTAATTTCATTCTAAGGGCTAAAGTATCCGCAGCAGTTGCCACGCGCTTTTTCTTTTCTTCCTCCTTCTTCTTCCTCCTGATACAATCAATTCTTATCCTTTCTTGCCTCCTTTGTTCTATCTTCATGTGCCCTTCGCTGTTATGGCCAATTTGTCCGCATGTCTCACAGTATAGTGATGCTGCATGGTTAAGGTAGATTCTCTTCCCCCTTATGATGATCTCTTCTGGCAAATCGATTGCATCTTCCAACCTCCGGAATTCTCCGTAGATCTTGCATTTGGATTCTGGGCTAAAGTGAACTGCATATCAAGTGTTCATATTCCTTATGGTGTTATCGACAATAATCTCCACAATTTTGCATTTGCTACTCAATGCTTCTGTTACAGCTTCTATACCTACTTCCGCTGGTAAAGTCACCTGTATTAGATATTTGGCATAATTGATTTCCCCTTCTCTTCCAACTGGCCCAACCAGTACATTTACATTTTGGTTTCCTTGCTGGATCACTATCCTTCCGTACTCCAGCAGCTGTTTCCTCATCTTCTCATTAGTGAAGACCGCAATTACATCACCTGATGGAAGCTGCCTGCATTTCATCACGTCTCCTGGTCTTGTACTCATCTCTAATGCTACTATGAACGCTATATAAAGCTCTCTTTTCTCGTCACGATCCTCCTTGGTCTTGTATTTGGATAGATATATCTTAAGTGAATTCTCGAGAAAGAGTGATTCGTTAATTTCTGGCAACATTTGGTTCGGAGATGCAAATCCATAAAACGTCCCGTGTTCGCTTAGTGATTCTTGCTTAATTTCATTGATTTTTAACTTTTTTCAACTAAAATTTTGATTATGGCTTGTTTGGTTTGAGAGTTTGCTTCTAAAAGAAGCGGCTGAATATCATGAGAAAGCTCAGATGATTTTGAATGCTTAATAATGTGAGCCTTGCAAATAAGGGTGCGTGGAGAAGTGCACTTACAAAACCTTGGCTTTTTGAGTGCATTTCGGATAAAAACACATATGATTTTCCATATATATTTTAAAGATTTAAATTTTGATTTATTATTTTACTTTAAAAGATTATTTTAAATCTTTACCAATTTTTAGCTAACTCAAATCTATAACCTTTTTATTAAAAATCTTTCTATAAAAAAGAAATTTCATAATAAACATTTTTGGAGCAATTAAAAATAAGCAGCTCAATTGATAAAAATATCTCAATTTAAATTTACTTCTTTAGAATTAGCTAGTTCAGTAATGTAAATTTAAATATATTTCATATATAGAGATAATAAAATTAGCGCTCTGCTAAATTTTCTTTACTTTCTACATCATTTGGAACAAAATTAGTTTCGCACAAAACCTCTTGCCTAACTTTATTGATCTCCTTGGCGCTAACTTTTTTTCCAAAAGAAAATCTAACTAGCAGGCTGATATCGAATTGTTTTCCAGCATCAAGTAAGCTGGGATAATATTTACAGTTCATATATATTCCAGCGACAACCATTGATGACCACCCAAGGAATTGCAGCGCAAATCACAGTTTTGCTAGTTTATTAGGGTAAATCCAATATAAAGACGAAATAATAGCACTTCATATCAATGCAGAGTACGAAATATTTGTCCATAAATTGCACCTATGGTAGTTATAAAATTTTTTCTTCCGTAAAATCAGGAAAAACAAGATAAAGGATATAATGTAAATAAACCCATATAAAGACTGATTAAAGGGTTTTAGGATTTTACTTAAGATGACAATAATAACCTGAAGCATTGCTTTTGAAATCAGGTAAAGAGGAGAAGCTCTTATATTTATATGGTCATTCGAGTGGTTTCAATAGGGCTTCAAGAAAATTGCAAGTGGCAAGTAAATAATTAAAATAGAAATTGAGAGTGCGCCAATGTATAAATGACTATCTTTTCAGCAAAACACTGAGCAGTCTCATCTCACAAAACTATTTGAAAGTTCATTACCAATCGCTTGATCACACTGAACTACGCTTATTAAAAATGACACAATCGGCAGAAAACAAATATTACCAAGGATTAAGACCAGTATTTGAGCAAAATCTCCTAAAAAATAAAAAATAAAGAACGAATATTTCGCATCAACCGCTAAAAGAATGTTGAAGCTGATATAAATTCATGTCCCTGCAGCACCTAAAATTATATATGTAAAGTACCAAAATTTATTTCTTTCTATCATTCAATCTAAGTTCAAGGCAATATATCCAGCAAGTAAGCTGGAATATTCATCATATTCCTTTATATCAGGACTCATAGCTAAAAACTGTAAAAAGTTTATAAAAATGATCAAGTGTTCGAGATAGTCTTCAAATTTTGCTTGGGCTTTAACACTTACTCCCTCCGTGAGTGAACAAAAAAATTTTGTTCACTCACGGAGGGGGTTAAATTTTTTTTTTTTTTATATAATTTTATAGGAAAATTTTTTTTTCGAAATTTTTAAAAAAATCCTAATTTGCAAAAATTGGGAAGCAGATATTAATTTAATTTATAAAAATTTATGTTTTTAAAACTCAATTTGTTTTGTTCACTCACAGGGGGGGAGTTAGATTATTAATTCTAATATGCTTTCAGCTTTTCCATGCAAAATTGGTTGCCGTAGCTGCGACAATAAGTACAAAAAAACAAAAGCCATAAAGAATAGCTGCACCTTTAGTCGAGTATTCAATTAATTTTTCATCAAAAGGACATTCACCTTCCATAATCATATCAGACGGATAAGTAGTAGTCATATTATCATTTCATATTATTGTTTCATAAAAAGAAAAGAGCTGGGTGCTGCCTCAATCATATTTTCCGACAAGATAGTCGTCCAATGAGTTAATTAATTAATTTTAAGTATAACGCTTTACGTCCACTACGGGGTAGACTATCCCAGGCCTATCACTTGCCTTTCGCCGCATCGGGCCCACGGGCTGCTGGGCCAGCCCGCTTCGATCACCAAGGTGCGCTTAGGGCAAACGTCACCGGCTTCGACGGCTCATGAGTGAGCTACTTGCTTGTGTACATGGGTTGCTTTTCCGAAAATCCAAAAAAATGGATTTTCTGGTCGGCTCTCGGCAAAAAGGAAAAATATGCAGCCTGGGACGTAACGCCCAGTTTCACGCTAGGGAGTTGCCCGATTGGTCCTTAGGACTCTGCTGGGCTTCCCCTTTCCAACTGACATGCTTTCCTTCCCCATGAGGAAAAAACCAACCCTGAAAAAAGACTTGGGCTAGGCTCTGAACACAACCAGAATTACTTACCTAGCATTGCTGTCCATTTCTGAGCTGGCAAAACCTTGCCGGATATAATTAAATATGATTTGAGGCTGCATGGCCGAGAGGCCATGCCCAGACGAAGACGCCATATTTAATGATAGTCGTCCAATGAGTTTTGCTTTTCGTCCCACCTAAAATTAAATACACCCATCAGTCCTGTGCTTCTATCATTAGATCCAGGAGCAATTGAGACAGTTCCTGAGCAGCCTGTAAACTTTTGCTTTCTTAGATTTGAGTTGAGTATTGAGGAATCTTCTATATTCTTTCCTTGAGTAATTGTATACTTAATGCCACTTGCCAATAGCATTGCAGAGTCAAAAGAAAAGCACCTGTAGACTAGAGCATCTCCTCTGGAGCTGTGCTGCTTTTCAATAACGTTTTTAACCTGTTTCCCATATTCTCCCACCCAATCAATTTGATCAATAATTATACAATTATAAAATAGTTCATTTAGCTTGTGTATTTGGGTCGGGTCTGTTTCAGTTAATGTATAAAAAGTAACTTTAGCAAAGTGTAAAAGCAAAAAATTGTTTCTTCTAACTCCCCCCGTGAGTGAATAAAAAAATCTTGTTTGCTCACGGAGGTGGGTTAATTTTTTTTTTTAAAAAATTTATATATAAATTTTATAGAAAATTTTTTTTTCGAAATTTTAAAAAAATCCTAATTCGTAAAAATTTGAAAGCAAATATTAATTTAATTTGTAAAATTTTTATTTTTAAAACGCAATTTGTTTAAAATTAAACAGAATAACTAGAGATTTCGTTATAATGATTATCATTTATATATCAAAATTTTTTTTCATAAAAAATTTTTGTTCACTCACAGAGGGTGGGCTTTTGGTCAAAAAATAGGGATTTTTCTAATGGTCTTATTCGCTCACGGAGGGGGAGAGTAAAGCCAATATCATATAAATCTTGCATAAAATAAAACAGCCATGGTGGCGAGAATAAAAGAATATATATTCTGACGTTTGAATTGAGGGCTTTTTGTAGCCATGGCTTATACTTTTCAAAATCACTGTGCCTATAATTATAGCTAAAGCAAGCTATTAGCATGCTCAGCTGGCTTGGAGGAGAAACCAAGCTTATTAGCTTATCTGCAGCATTCTGACAAGCCAAACTCGATTTGGCACATATAGTCACGATGGCTTGTTTTTGCCAAAGTGAGTTTGGTTCATCAAAATGCATCAGAAAAGCCAATAAACTTGGCTTCTGCTCGAGGCCAGCTCTGAGTGCGCACTAATCACATACCGAGCTTTAGCATTAAGCATCCTTTCATTTCTATCGTTTTCAATTTTTATATTTGACTTATTCACCAAGGCTTCAAAATAGTCGTAGATTGCGACATTTGGAAGAGAACTAATATAATACACATTGATGTGCTTTCAATTGAACACTGATAAAAGACTGAATAGCACACCTACATTGAATCTTTGTTCTTTATAAACTCTCATGAATTCAGGAAACGCTGCCTCATCAGTTAGTTGTACATGTGGAGCAAACTCTGATATGGGGTTTCCCTTAGATAGGCTGTGGATTCTGGGCAGAATCCTTTGGAAAGTAAACCAACAAGTGAGTTTGCCCGACTAATGCATTGAGTTGGTTGGACCAAAGATTCCGCCCAGAATCCACAGCCCTTACAGGGCTATCTAGGGGAAAACCCTATACATGAGGGATCGAAACATTTAATTTTCGAAGGGTATTGATGTATCCTATACAAGTAGTTGAAGCGTAGCTCGTTAAAAAGCCTATTCCAAGGCGGTCTTTCACCTTGCTGAAGCAGTTAAAGGCGAAAGTTGCATTGTAGACATCTGCTCCACAATCTGTATGAGCAACCTGAAACTCAAATCCGTCAAAAAAATGGGAGCTTACTATATATTCTAATGCGTAATTTGCTCCTCACTTTATTACACTTCCATAACTACTGTTTGGAAAGCCTGGATTGGTGTCCCCATCGGCCATAGAAATGGGGATACTTGTAATTGGAGCGTTAGGAAATAGTGTAGAGTTTCCAAAGATAATAATAAATGGCTAAGATCGGAATTAGTTCTCTTCGAGAACTATTCCTTCCTTCACTTTTATTATGGTTCAGCTTTCCACGTGGACCTTTATCCGCAACACCAATATGGAATACCACATAGGGTATTTCTTTGGTCCAAGGGTATATGGTTTTCTGCTTGGCACATCCAAGGAGGTAACTCTTAGGCGAAACACGTGCAGGAGTCAAGTTCGGGCGAGGTCTCGCGACCAGTGCGGGACCTTCTGTCGTGGCGGGTGCGTCTTCTGGAATGCTTGCTAGATAAAATGGCTGCTGACATCACCAGTTGGGAGTTAAAAGGATGGGCTTATGCATGCCTAAATCATCCTGCTGAAGAGGGAATACACTTTAAATACCTAACTCCCCCCCCCCCTCCGTGAGCGAACAAAACCATTAGAAAAATCGCCATTTTTTGACCAAAAACCCACCCTCCGTGAGTGAACAAAAAATTTTTTTAATAGAAAAAATTTTAATGGAAAAAAATTTTGATATATAAGTGATAATTAGTATAATGAAATCTAGAGCTAATTCTGTTTAATTTTAAACAAATTGCGTTTTAAAACATAAATTTTGCAAATTAAATTAATATTTGCTTCCCCAATTTTTGCAAATTAGGATTTTTTTTAAATTTCGAAAAAAATATTTTTTATAAAATTTATATATAAATTTTTTTTAAAAAAAAAAATTAACCCCCCTCCGTGAGCGAACAAAATTTTTTTGTTCGCTCACGGAGAGGGGGGGGGAGTAAGTAGCATTAATATATTAAGTAGAGTTTCCAGGAAATATGATCTGGCTGGATATTGTGACTTCATTATGGAAAATTTCGCCTACTTTAACTCTTTTATTATTTTGGACATTCAGTAATGAAAACCTTGGAAGCGGATGATGCTCAAAAGTTTCTTTTTCTAAAAGATCTCTCAATGACACTCTATTTTGCCCTTCACTGAAATTTAAAATTAATCGAATGAAACTTATACAGCTTAAGGATTCATAGCTTATATAATCAAATGAGTTTTCTAAACCTTCCTCGACATATGCCAAAATACCATTTTCATCAGTGCCTCAAAAACTGTTGCTTCCCAAAACTATTCCGCTGCCAAAATTAAAAATATTTTTTTCTTTTAAACTTTGTAATAATCATTTTGCACTTTCCCCATTTGCCAAAATGACGATATTTCTTGTACCAATTTTTTTAATTTCTTTTCCCACAAATAAATCAGCCAAATTTTGGTCTTTAGTGTCAGCACATATAAAAATGCTGACCGTTTTATTCGGAAACTCATAGGAATTTTTTTTTTGCAATTCATCAGAAAGCACGATAAATTTATTTCAATTTAAAAAATCAACAAGAGCTGAAAGTGCATTTTGATGCGCTTTTGATGAGTAGTGGGTAAAAAACCTCCAATCACTGTAAGAGTTTTCAATGTTTTCAAGACTGATTACTATTGATTGGGTTTGACTCGCGAAGCTATTGATGCACTCGGCCAAAGAAAAGCTTGAAGTCAGGTCAATTATGGCTTGCATGTCTCCGTCTTGATGCAAAATGTCAGAGCAAGAAGAAGGAAGGAATAAATCTAGTTAGAGCTATATGTCAGCTTTATTTCCCAAATCTAGCTTATTCCGCATCTCTCGTCCATTTTATTCTCCAGAATACCCATCTTCAATGCGACTACGCTCAATAACTTGCATTTCCCCATTGTGGCCCGATGAGCTGTGGATTTGTTTTCATCTTGACTCAGACGATCCACTTCTCTTCTTATTTGAATTGTGAAGAGGTCTGCGTACCTTTCCTGCATCAACTTTGATGCCCGGTTCATCTCACCAGCAAGTCTATCCTCAGAACCAAGGTCTGTATACCTGATTATAGAGCATGACCTCAAGAAAAGCTCTTTCATATAAGCAAAAATCAAAAAAATTTTAAAAAGGTAGCTCTTGGTTGATCAAGCTATAATTTCTGGTGTTCTTATTTTTCTTCAGAGAAAGAAGTTATTAATACATTCTTTAGAGCTATTTGGTCAGCAAAAGTTTGCAACAGTGATACTGATAAGTTATTTGCAAGCTCTATGTCTGTCAAATTACTATGGAATAATCCTATGAGCATTTGACACCAAATAATTTGGAAGGAAAAGTAAAAAATTCAATAACCTTTCATTTTTGTCACATTAATTCAACGAAAGACTATTAGCCATTTTCAGTACGTAAAAGAAGTTTTAATAAATTGTCGGCTGATTCCTTGAAATTAAAAATCTTAAAATTGTGAAATTTTTTTATTATAAAATTAATAGTTTATGGATAATAAACTAATCTAAGCAAAAAATAATAAAAATAATCCTAATTTTTGGAATTAATACTTAATCTGGTATAAAAGCTTTTTTATATAAAGAAATAACATGGCATTTGTTGGAATTTCTGATAGCGCGACATATATAATTAAAATATATATGCTTGGATTTTCTAGTCTACTGACCAGAAGTATATTTTCAATAATTATAGCACCATAAATTTCTCTTGTCACTTCAGAGTTTATAATAATGAAATAATATAATTTATTAAAAGATAGTTATAAATACAATCCTTTCTTTGTACTAAATTTTAAAAAAGACTTTACCTTTTATTTAAGTTCGATCATTACCTTTTGGTCTAAATTAAATTTGTAAAATCCACTATTTGTCATGATATAGATGTCTCCTTTATTATATACACAATAATCTTGATTATGATAACAAATTTTTTGACTTTGCTATTTGCTTCCAATTATATTCATCTTCAATCCATCTTTCATAGATCAAGCCAAGCTCTAATTCGATCAAATATAGTCTATTTTCTGCATTTATAAGTATTTTTGGTACATGATATTCAAAGCAATAAGGAATGTTGGAGTAAGAGTCGGTGTCAATTGAATATAGAAAAATCCTATTGTTTTCATATCCAGAAACCAAAATTTTCCGATTCAATAATACACTATGGCAAGTGCAATCAGCTTGCTGCATTTGAATTAATTCCTTCATCGATTTTTGTCCAAATCAAATCTCAAAGACAGAGCCAAGCTGCCAGAAATTCTATTATATCCTCCAAAACAACAGACATTTCTGTCGAAATAGATATACTGGTTTAGCTAAATAGCCTTGCTCTAGAGAAATGTAAATCTTTATTTTATCATTCCAATTTAAATGAACGGGGATAGCTGAGGAATAGTAGCAAGGTACGCCAGATGGGTTTTAGTGATTTTTTGAATCTTTAAATCGGTGAATTTCACTAAAATAAGATTGATCTGAATATATCAGCACAATATTAATAATAAATAAAAAATTAATGTTTTTAACCCTGATGGAATCTCTCTAACTCCCAAGCTCCTATCAATTATTAATGCAACTCCAGAAAGTGTGAGGCTGCCAAAACAGAACAGCTCATCATTTGGAAGCTGAGCAATACATGTGCCATTATTTAAATGTATTGAAGTTTTCAAACTTTTTGCTTCTTTTTTGTCATTTTCAGTGTCATAAACAAGCAAATCAGTTCCCTTTTCACTCTCTTCAATAATGTAAAGAGTGTCTCTTCCCAAAATCTTGATTTGTGTCGGAACTATTGACTTTGCTTCAAATAGCAGGTTTTTTATGTTTTGGTTTTTGAAATACTTTCATAATTATCGGATACAGAAAATATAAGCTGTTTCATGAATTTTTGACTGTATTATATAATAAAAATATGACGGAGAGTCAAATTTGATTTGGACTAATAATACTCATTCACTGAAGAAGAAATTTGTATGATTATCTAATAATCATACTTATTATATATTATAAGATCATATGGTAAATCGATCCAACCCCTTAAGGGAGAATAAATTAAAAAATTATCATTTTTTAATATTTGATAGCCAAATGTGTATTAAAATACAGGGCTGCTTCTTTGAAGCTTTAAAATTTTAATTACTCTCATAGCTAATATAATTTATGCTGAAAGTGTGGAAATTGTTATAATTTCGAGCCATTTTTGGTGGCCTTATAATTTATACAGGCCATGCAGTAAATATCAAATGACTTTCTTAATTCCAGAAATAGACTAGCTTCAATTATGAGCTATTAACAGTGAATTTTTTGACTAAAAATACAGTCATAGCTCCTTTTCTGAAACAATAAAATTATTTTTAGCAAGTAGAAATTTTAAAGCATTATAATTTGCAACAAATTAAATAACTTTAGTTCAATTGATGAATTTTCATAAAGCTAATTCCTTAAGGCTGAAATATTCACATAAGTCGAAAATTTTTTCCCTTTTTTAAAATGGTTAATAAAAATATATGGTAGTGCCAGCGTTTATTCTAATCCTGATGCTTGAAGTTTCTGCAATGCAAAACAACATCATTGAGCATGAGGAAGTTTTGATGGCAACTTTAATACTCCAATTAAAGATCCTGAGGTTCTTAATCAGCTTTTCCAAAACAACGATGGTCAATTAGTGAGCAAAGAAATAAGGTCAAATGCTACAGTAAAGAAAGAAAACTAACACCAACCTGTGCAGAAGGTCAAAATAATTGCCAGACTTGTGCATCTGCAACCCTTGCAGATTTTGCACAACAACTCTTGCTATACATGCATAAATCGAAGACTCCAAAATTCTTTAAGGGAATTAATTTTCTCTAATCAAAGGAGAATTACTTAAGCACTATCAATTTTTAATACTTGATAGCTAAATATTAATTAAATAAAGGTTTGTTTGTTTTAAGATTTAAATTTTAATTACTCTTATAAAACTAAAATAATTTATGCTGAATTTATTCGAACCGTTATATTTTTCGAGCCATTTTTGGTGACTTTATAATTTATGCAGGCCATGCAGTAGATATCAAATGACGTTCTTAATTCCAGAAATAGACTAGCTTCAATTATTAGCTATTAACTGTGACTTTCTTGACTAAAACACAGTCATAGCTCTTTGCCAGAAACAATAAAATTATTTTTAGCAAGTAGAAATTTTAAAGCATTATTGTTTATTTACAACAGCTTTGCATTAATTCGAATGGGCAAGTAATGGACTCTTGTTTTAGATAAAGGATTATTTAGAAATGCGGTATCTATAATAGAGATCTAGGAAAATACCTTTGAAATATATAAAAAACTTAAGCTGGTATGATCGAGGCAAGTGCTTAGAAAATATTTGGAGGCATATGCTGGTTTTTAAGATCAGCTCAGGATTGAAAATGATTAAGCATTCAAAATGCTGCTTGTTGGCGAGAATCATAACAGAATTACAAATAAAGATGCTAAGCTGCAATTTTATTGCAAAAATTTTAAACAGCTTTTAGAAATATTACATAAAAAATTCAAAACACTGAATAAACCTAAATTTTCCCTTAAGGCTGAATTGTTTAATCGATTTTTTCCACTTAATTTAAAAGCTTAATAAAAATAAATGGTGTTGCCAATGTTTATTCTTATCCTGATGCTTCAAGCTTCTGCAATGCAAAACAATATTATTGAGCATGAGGAAAGCTCTGATAGTGACTCTAAAGCTCCTATTACAGATCCTGAGATTCTTAATCAGCTTTTCCAAAACAATGATAGTCAAGGATCTAGCCAAGAAATAAGGTCAAATGTTACAGAAAAAGAAAGAAAACTAACAGCAACCTGCACAAATGGTGAAAATAATTGCCAGACTTGTGCATCTCCAACACTTTGCGGAACTTGTCTGCAAACTAATGCTATTCCTGACATTAATGGAGGATGCACCCAAACATATTTAAAAAATTGTGCTCTTGTTTCTTCCGATACTGTATGTAGCTCTTGCAAAGCAGGCTATTATCAAGGCTGTAAATCATGCAGTGACTTAATTCCAGGTTGTACTGCTTGTTCTGATGATGGGAGATGCGTAACTTGTGGTCCAGGATATCAACTAGATGATATGACTTCAACTTGTGTGGCTTGCAGTAATCCACTCTGCGATTCTTGCTCAAGTGGTTCTTGCAGTAAATGCAAGCCAGGGTATTTTGCAGACGCTGGCACTTGTAAAGAATGTTCCAGTTCTATTACACGTTGCCAAGAATGCTCAAAGAGTGACCAATGCACCAAATGTGCGGCAGAATCAACATTAAATCACAATTCCCAATGCACCCTTGATTGAAAATCAAACTGTATTGTACTTAATTCTGGTACAATGAATTGTATAACTTGTGAGAGTGGATATTACCTTATTGGTGGTCGTGTGCCCAAATACTATGCATAAGCACTGAATACTGGGATGGCACAAGCAAGCAATGCATTGCATGCAGCACAATTGATCAAAAATGCATCGCTTGCACCTCAGATAAAAAATGCACCTCATGCTCAGGTGGTTTAATAGCTAGTGAATCAGGCTTTTGCTTCATTTCATCTCTTTCTAATTGCGCTATGGTTAAAGCTACAGATCCAAATTATTGCGTGAAATGCAAAACTGGATATATCTCTAACGGGGCAGGAGGGTGTATACAGTCTCAACTAAAGTATTGTGATGCGGCTTCTGATGCTTATACTTGCACAACCTGTTCTACTGGAGCTGCTAAAAGCTGTGGCTCATGCAACGCAATTAATACTCTCACTAATTGTGCTTGTGCTTCTCAAGAGGGCTCATTTTGTGTCAAATGCAATGATGGCTATATTGTTAAAGCAGGCTCATGCTCTAAAGGTATTTTCTATTTAGATTGCTCTTCTAATTGTGAGGATTGCACTTCGAAAGACGTATGCACTCAATGCAAGTCAGGATATTTCCTTTATTATGAAAGTGCGTCTAAAACAAGCTGCGTTTGTAAGATTTATTTAGCATGTGCCGATTCGTGCAATTTGTGCACTACTCGTCCTATTTGTTTTGATTGTGCTGGCTTAATAGTCCAAGATGGAAGTTCGTGCAGAGAGGATAAAGTAGGGTATCAATTGAGTTTCGACTCTCCATATATCGTTGTTGATTTTGCCCACCCGCTTTCGAAAGCGGTAGCTTTTGATTCTTTTACTGCTAAAGTTAGGTTATATGAAAATGCGCAGCCATTAAATGCCTCTCTCTGGGAGATACATCGCTTTGCGAAGAATTGGCAAGTATATCTAACCAACACAGTCTATTAGTTCTGCCTTGAGGTTTCAGTCTTGAGTAGCAACTTATGAAATTTTGATGCTAATCAGCTGAAGAAGTTAAGGTCGCCTTGTAATTTCTTGTTTCTGTTTCCTGGACATAGATACTACAATTAATTAGGCATTTAAGGTGCCCAGCTTCAAATAAATAGCAATATGGCAAACCAGCGACGTCAGGGCGCATTGCTGTCGCTCTTGTCAGAATCAGCTTCTGCGCTTGTTCCTCCTAATAGTCACCTCCTCAGATGTGCTGATTAAAAAACCTTAGCCTCTTGAACGCACTTAGGAACAGTTCCTCTAACCTTATATGATAAAATTTAACCTAATTCCTCTAAAACCTATTGTAATTTTATTTATGTTTGCTGAATAAACATTCCTATCTTTTCTCTAATTTCATCATATGGGTTCTTCTTATTCTAATCCTACTTGTGAATTTTACAAAATTTTTATTTTCTTGCAACCATAATTACCCACTATCGAAATTGAGTCCTTCAAAAAAGCCACAGTATTTAGACTATCTCTTAATTCTGTGTGATACCAAAAATAAAATTAATTTTTTACAGCTAAGAAAGGTGAAGTTGTTGTTCCTACAGGAGGTTGGAGTGTCAAATCATCGACAGTAAGCCAGATCAAGGTTCAGACTGATTTGGATGTTTCTCAGCTTCCAATTGATGTCACCTTCAGCTTTAAGGAGATTGACTCTTAGAAGTTAATTAACTTTCTCTATTCTTAATCAGATGATTAACTAATTTTTCTGGCTCTGCTTTTATCTGAAATCCCATATGATAAACGTCCTAATAGCCTTCCTTTTAAGCTGTCTATTATAAGTGCTTTATTATCAATGATTTCTCAGAATCTTTTGTCATCTGTACTTAGTTCTTAGCTTAATACGTCATTTTGCAAAAGAGATCTGTATTTTTATTGTAATTTTGGAGATAATTTTGAAATTACTTAATAAGCTTTGCAAAGTTTGCTTTGCTGCTGAGTCTTTGTGGTTTTGCTGATGCTTTTAGAGATGTTTGTGACTTTTTTGATAAAATCGTTTTTTCAAGGATATGAATAAATGCCTGATTGACTCAATTATCGTTTAATATATATAATTAATAAATTATTTATCGATATGCATAAATTGTGGATTATTTTGTTGATTTTCTAAAGAACTCAGACTTTTAGCAATGGAATCTCAAAATTTTTCATTTCTGATATTCCTATAGCATTCCAGCCTAGTATATTATCTATTGCCTAAATTTCTGATCATGCATATGCATGTCATTTTGAATTTGGTATGTAAAAACCGAATATGCGTTTCAAAACGCAGATTTTAGTGCGGCAAATTCTTAATTTGAAATTTCATATGGAAATGGCGCGTATAACGTCCATAAGAAATTTTGCCAACGGATTATATCATATTATGTGAGAAATACGCCAAGGGCGCCCTAAAAATTCAATGATAATTTTCTTTTCAGGCATTATTAAATCCACCTCCTACAATTCATTAATTCTGTAATTTGCTGCAACTTCAAATACCTTGTTCAGGTCTTCATGTTTCTTTTTATAATTAAATAAATCCATTCTTCTTAATAAATAGCATTATGAATTCTTTAATTTCTTCATCAAAAATAACTTTCTTTAATAATTTTAATTTAAAACCAAATATTCACTAAATGTTGATTCTTTTAAATCTTCAAATTTTAATTCATAAGAGTCACGGTCAAACGAAAATAAATTTTTACAAAAAATGCAATTCATCGAAGTTATTAATTTCCTATTGTGATCATTAAGAAAATAGCACAAAATGACTTCACATAAGAATTGTAACTCTTATTTGTAAGAGGTTTGAAATTAAAAATTATGTTTATAACTTTCGATCAATCCACTTCAATGAACTTTCCTTGATTTTCTGAAAATATAGATTTTTCTCTTTTTTAATTCTTTTCGAGTTGATGATTTCAGTAGTTATAATAAATTCTTGTTGTCTCGGAAGTTTCAATTATCGGATTGTGCATTTTAAAAATTGATTTCTTAAGGGAGAATAAATTAAAAAATTATCATTTTTTAATATTTGATAGCCAAATGTGAATTAAATACAGGGCTGCTTCTTTGAAGCTTTAGAAATTTTAATTACTCTCATAGCTAATATAATTTATGCTGAAAGTGTGGAAATTGTTATAATTTCAAGCCATTTTTGGTGGCCTTATAATTTATACAGGCCATGCAGTAAATATCAAATGACTTTCTTAATTCCAGAAATAGACTAGCTTCAATTATTAGCTATTAACCGCGACTTTTTTGGCTAAAAATACAGTCATAGCTCCTCTTCTAGAAAAAAAAAAATTATTTTTAGAAAGTAGAAATTTTAAAGCATAATAATTTGCAAAAATTAAACAACTTTAGTTCAATTGATGAATTTTCATAAAGCTAATTCCTTAAGGATGAAATATTCACATAAGTCGAAAATTTTTTCCCTTTTTTAAAATGCTTAATAAAAATATATGGTAGTGCCAGCGTTTATTCTAATCCTGATGTTTGAAGTTTCTGCAATGCAAAACAACATCATTGAGCACGAGGAAAGTTTTGATGGCAACTTTAATACTCCAGTTAAAGATCCCGAGGTTCTTAATCAACTTTTCCAAAACAACGATGGTCAATTAGTGAGCAAAGAAATAAGGTCAAATGCTACAGTAAAGAAAGAAAACTAACACCAACCTGTGCAGATGGTCAAAATAATTGCCAGACTTGTGCATCTGCAACACTTTGCAAATTTTGCATAACAACTCTTGCTATCATGCATACATCGAATACTCCAAAATTCTTTAAGGGAATTAATTTTCTCTAATCAATTTTTAATACTTGATAGCTAAATATTAATTAAATAAAGGTTTGTTTGTTTTAAGATTTAAATTTTAATTACTCTTATAAAACTAAAATAATTTGTGCTGAATTTATTCGAAACGTTATATTTTTCGAGCCATTTTTGGTGACTTTATAATTTATACAGGCCATGCAGTAAATATCAAGTAACGTTCTTAATTCCAGAAATAGACTAGCTTCAATTATTAGCTATTAACTGTGACTTTCTTGACTAAAAACACAGTCATAGCTCTTTGCTAGAAACAATAAAATTATTTTTAGCAAGTAGAAATTTTAAAGCATTATTGTTTATGCACAACAGCTTTGCATTAATTCGAATGAACAAGTAAGGGACTCTTATTTTAGACAAAGGATTATTTAGAAATGCGGTATCTATAATAGAGATCTAGGAAAATACCTTTGAAATATATAAATAAACTTAAGCTGGTATGATCGAGGCAAGTGCTTAGAAAATATTTGGAGGCATGCGCTGGTTTTTAAGATCAGCTCAGGATTGAAAATGATTAAGCATTTAAAATGCTGCTTAGTTGGTGAGAATCATAACAGAATTGCAAATAAAGATGCTAAGCTCTAGCATCTAGCTGCAATTTTATTGCAAAAATTTTAAACAGCTTTTAGAAATATTACATAAAAAATTCAAAACACTGAATAAACCTAAATTTTCCCTTAAGGCTGAATTGTTTAATCGATTTTTTCCACTTAATTTAAAAGCTTAATAAAAATAAATGGTGTTGCCAATGTTTATTCTTATCCTGATGCTTCAAGCTTCTGCAATGCAAAACAATATCATTGAGCATGAGGAAAGCTCTGATGGTGATTTTAAAGCTCCCATTACAGATCCTGAGATTCTTAACCAGCTTTTCCAAAACAACGATGATCAATTATTGAGCCAAGAAATAAGGTCAAATGCTACAGAAAAAGAAAGAAAACTAACAGCAGCCTGCACAAATGGTGAAAATAATTGCCAGACTTGTGCATCTGCAACACTTTGCGGAACTTGCCTGCTTTCTAATACTATTCCTGACATTAATGGAGGATGCACCCAAACATATTTAAAAAATTGTGCTCTTGTTTCTTCCGATACTGTATGTAGTGCTTGCAAAGCAGGCTATTATCAAGGCTGTAAATCATGCAGTGACTTAATTCCAGGTTGTACTGCTTGCTCTGATGATGGGCGATGCGTAACTTGTGGTTCAGGATATCTACTAGATGGTATGACTTCAACTTGCATGGCTTGCAGTAATCCACTCTGCGATTCTTGCCCAAATAATATGTGCATAAAATGTAAGTCAGGGTATTTTGCAGACGGTAGCACTTGCAAAGATTGCCCCAGCTATATGACAGGTTGCCAAGAATGCTCAAATAGCGACAAATGCACCAAATGTGTGACAGGATATATACTAAATGAAAATTCCCAATGCACCCAATCATCAATACCAAATTGTATTGCACTTAATTCTGGTACAATGCTATGTGTAACTTGTGCGAGTGGATATTACGAGAATGGTGGCTCGTGCACTCAAATACCATGCACAAGCACTCAATACTGGGATGCTACCTTAAAGGAATGCAAGGGATGCAATACAATTAATTTAAGTTGCATTACTTGCAGCTCATATCCAAGATGCACTTCATGTTCAGCTGGAAAAATAGCTGATGATTATGGCTTATGCACCCCTTCAACTCTTTCTAATTGTGCTATGGTTAGAGCTACAGATCCAAATTATTGCGTGAAATGCTCCACTGGATATACCTCTAACGGAGCAGGAGGGTGTAGATGGTCTCCACTAAAGTATTGTAATGCAGTTTCTGATGCTTATACTTGCACAGCCTGCTCTAGTGGAGCTGCTAATAGCTGTGGCTCATGCAACGCAATTAATTTATTCCCTAATTGTGCTTGTGCTTCTCAAGAGGGCTCATTTTGTGTCAAATGCAATGATGGCTATATTGTTAAAGCAGGCTCATGCTCTAAAGGTATTTTCTATTTAGATTGCTCTTCTAATTGTGAGGATTGCACTTCGAAAGACGTATGCACTCAATGCAAGTCAGGATATTTCCTTTATGATGAAAGTGCAACTAAAACAAGCTGTGTTTGTAAGATTTATTTAGCATGTGCCGATTCGTGCAATTTATGCACTAATAGTCCTATTTGTTTTGAGTGTGCTGACTTAATAGTCCAAGATGGAAGTTCGTGTAGAGTGGATAAAGTGGGATATCAATTGAGTTTCGACTCTCCAGATGCAGTTATTGATTTTGCTCACGCGCTTTCGAAAGTGGTAGCTTTTGATTCTTTTACAGCTAAGAAAGGTGAAGTTGTTGTTCCTACAGGAGGTTGGAGTGTCAAATCATCGACAATAAGCCAGATCAAGGTTCAGACTGATTTGGATGTTTCTCAGCTTCCAATTGATGTCACCTTCAGCTTTAAGGAGATTGACTCTTAGAAGTTAATTAACTTTCTCTATTCTTAATCAGATGATTAACTAATTTTTCTGGCTCTTCTCTCTGTGAAATCCCATATGCTAAACGTCCTAATGGCTTTCATTTTAAGCTGTCTCTATTATAAGTGCTTTATTATCAATGATTTTCCAGAATCTTTTATCATCTGTACTTAGCTTCTTAGCTCAATACGTCATTATAATAAAGAGATCTGCATTTTTATTGTAATTTTTGAGATAAGTTTGTAATTACTTAATAAGTTTTGCTAAGTTTGCTGCTGAGTCTCTGTGGTTTTGATAAAGCTTTTTAGAGATTTTTGTGATTTTTTTGATAATATCGTTCTTTTCTAGGACATGAATGAACTGTCTGATTGGCTCAATTACCGTTTAATATAATTAATAAATTATTTATCGATATCCATGAATTGTGGATTATTTTGTTGATTTTCTAAAGAACTCAGACTTTTAGCAATGGAATCTCAAAATTTTTCATTTCTGATATTCCTATAGCATTCCAACCTAGTATATTTAAATGGCGGATTTTTGTTGCGTTCTCGGGTCAACTTGCACATTATGAGAGAAATATGCCAAGGGCGTCCTAAAAATTCAACGATAATTTTCTTTTCAGGCATTATCAAGTCCACCTCTTATAATTCATTAATTCTGTAATTAGCCGCAGCTTCAAATTCCTTGTCCTTCAGAAAATCCAAGATTATCCGCTCCCATTTTCCTTTAATTCTATTATCCGGCACATTCTTATAAGAATCCGCAATATTTCCTATGATTTTTTCTTTCCATTCTAAATATCCATCAGGCTTGCCAATATCAAAACAAACAGAAACATTGAGTGCAGACAATTTTTCTTTATCATTGATTTTCTGATAAATATATTTAGAAAATCTCTCAATAAAAGGATTCCAGATTTCAGGATCATAATTACTAATTAGCGTAAGCGCTTTCATTATAATTACTGTGCCATATCCAGTGAATTTATTCATCATTTTCAATATATGATGCTAATTTTACTCCTATAATCCCCCAAGTAATATATGGGGTATTAGCTAGAGCTGTAAATCCTTCCCTAAAGACCTCGACTTCTGTATATAATTCAACTAATATTATCTGCATATTATTAAGATCAGATAGCATTTCACAAAATTTAGTTTCTAGATATTCTAAAACTCCAGGATCATTAAAGGCTGTCACATAAAACAGCAAATCCAGCCCGTTTCCAATTAAAATTTTGGTATAATCACTTGCAAAAAGATTCAATAGTTCAGAGTTTGGTAATTTTTTTACTATCTAAGCTAGTTCTCTAGGTAAGAGCTCATCAATTCTTCTAATAAAATGATTTAAGATAGTTTTCAGCTTCAGGTCTTCCAACTACCCCATGGGCCAATAGCGCTAATGATTTTCCTCTAATGATTTCTAAAGCGTTAGGGGTTTCTTTATCTATTAGCTCTCAGAGCTTATCATGTGATCCAATCTTGTTTGCCCAATAAGAAAGTGTACATAAAACTTCTGTGTCACTATTAAATTGTAAATGCACATCTTTATAGTAATTCACTTTATTTTGGAATTTCCTTCTTACTTGAACATTACTTGGCTCATTTTGTGCAATTTTTGTAAAGTACTTGATATCTTTATTAGCTTGATGAAAAAATCGCTTAAAGAGAAAAGTTAATGTGATTTTTTTTAAAAATAAATCAATACCCTTCAAATTGGAACAGGATTTTTTGTTCCAATTTAAAGGGGGAAGTTACTAAAAGGAAGATATTCTCAAACCGGATTACCTAAAATTGGTATTGGCCAGTTTATAAAAATAAAATGCAAGGCTTAGCACTGGAGACAGAATAAGCTGAGCTTTAAAAAGAGAGCGGATGTAAATGCAAAAAAATCTGAAGGTAAAACTCCACAGCATTATGCTTGAGAAAAGAGTGATACGGAAATGGTTCGAAATCCCTCAATTAGGTGAAGAGGGACAAATCATTTGATGATTAGACTTAGGAGATTGGTAATCTGAATATTTAAAAATATCTATAGCTTATAGAGACTTTAAAGCTAAATTAAATTAATGGAGATATAGCCATATTTATAAAAATGAAAGAATTCTATAAAGTAGCCAACTTTAAAAGGAAAAGCGGGCATATGGCATTAATAAGCTCTGCAATTGCAATTTAGAGGCATGTAGGACTAAAGGGCCAACCCCATCTGTGCAACCAAATATTTTTTGAGTCTATCTATAAGGAGAGTAAAGAGTAAAGAGAATTAATAATTCGCTAATCAAAGGGGAACTAATTAAAAAATCATCAATTTTATATTTGATAGCTAAACGTGAATTAAATAAAGAGTTGCTAGTTTAAGGCTAAAAAATTTAATTAATCTTTATAAAACTAAAGTATTCTATGCTGAAAGTGTTGAAAATCGTTATAATTTCGAGCCATTTTTGACTGGCCTTAAACTTATACAGAAAATGTATTAAATATTAAATAGACAAAGCCATTAAGGCCTGCCTAAATATTAATCGAGGTGCATGTGCTGGTTTTTAAAATCAGCTCAAGATTGAGATTGATTAAGCATTCAAAATGCTGCTTAATCTGTGAGAACCATAGCAAGGCTATGAACAAAGATGATACTAGCAGCAATTATATTGTAAAAGTTTGGAAATTTTGCAATAAAAATTAGTTGATAAATTTTTAATAGATTTAATCGGCTACTTTATCTATGGCCTATTGAAAATATATGGTATTGCCAGCGTTTATTCTTATCCTGATGATTGAAGCTTCTGCAATGCAAAATAGCATCATTGAGTATGAGGAAAGCACTGATGGTGACTTAAAAGCTCTCATTACAGATCCTGAGATTCTTAATCAGCTTTCCCAAAGCAACGACAGTCAAGGATCCAGTCAAGAAATAAGGTCAAATGCTACAGAAAAAGAAAGAAAACTAACAGCAACCTGCACAAATGGTGAAAATAATTGCCAGACTTGCGCATCTGCAACACTTTGCGGAACTTGCCTGATTTCTAATACTATTCCTGACACTAATGGCGGATGCACCTCATCTTCTTTAAAAAATTGTGCTCTTGTTTCTTCCGCTACTGTATGTAGCATTTGCAAATCAGGCTATTATCAAGGTTGTGCATCATGCGGTGACTTAATTCCAGGTTGTACTGCTTGTTCTGATAATGGAATATGCACAGCTTGTGGTTCAGGATATGGACTAGATGGTTCGTCTGGAACTTGCAGGGCATGCAATATTCAACACTGCAATTCTTGCACTGGTAGTAATTGCGATATATGCAATCCAGGGTCTTTTGCGAACAGTGGCGGCACTTGTACACAATGTTCCAGCTCTATTACAAATTGCCAAGAATGCTCAAAGAGCAACCAATGCACCAAATGTGAGGCAGGATCTGCAGTAAATCAAAATGACCAATGCTCCCAGACATCAAAACAAAACTGTATTGTACTTAGTTCTGATACAAGTCTATGTGCAACTTGTGAGAGCGGGTATTACGTTCATAATGGCTCGTGTGCCAAAATTCCATGCGCAAGCAATAAATACTGGGATGATTCCAGCAAGCAATTCAAGGATTGCAAAGATCTTGATTTAAATTGCATCGCTTGCTCCTCAGATAAAAAGTGCACTTCATGTTAAGCTGGTTTAACAGCCAATGAAGCAGGCAAATGCGGCAGTTCTTCTGTTTCTAATTGCTCTGTGATTAAAACTTCAAATGCATCTTATTGCGTAAAATGTTCAACTGGATATATCTCTAACGGGGCAGGAGGGTGTATACAGTCTCAACTAATGTATTGTAATGTGGCTTCTGATGCTTATACTTGCACAACCTGTTCTAATGGAGCTGCTAAGGGCTGTGGCTCATGCAACGCAATTAATACAATCCCTAATTGTGCTTGTGCTTCTTCTGACGGATCATTTTGTGCCACGTGTAATGATGGTTATATTCTTAAGGCAGGCGTATGCACTCTAGGTATTTTCTATTTAGTTTGTCCTTCTAATTGCGCGGCTTGCACTTCAAAAGACATATGCACTAAATGCAATTCAGGATATTTCCTTTATTATGAAAGTGCGACTAAAACAAGCTGTGTTTGTAAGATTTATTTAGCATGTGACAATTTGTGAAATTTATGTCTACTAGTAATATTTGTTTTGAGTGTGCTGACGTAATATTCAAAGATGGAAGCTCATGCACAATGGATAAAGTAGGATATCAAATAAGCTTTGAATCTCCATATATCGTTATTGATTTTGCTCACCAGCTTTCGAAAACGGTGGCATTTGATTCCTTTACAGCTAAGGCTAGACTACAATTGAAAGACGTTAGTCTTATAGATGGCGCAACCACAGGATGCCTCTCTCTGGAGATTCATCCACTTTGCGGAGAATAGGATAGTAGATCTAGCTGCAACTGATACAGTCGTCTGAGGTTTTAGCTTTGAGGAGCAATTTATGAAATTTCTGATGCTAGAAGTCGAGTTGATGAGAAAAGAGCCTAAAATCATCAAAGGTCGCTTCAAATTTTCTGTTTCTTGGATAAAAAGACTACGATTAATTAGGTATTTAAGGTCCCAGTGCCACTTTAAAATAAATAGGAATAATGGCAAACTAGTTGTGTCATGAGCCCGGGAGGTTTTGGCTGCTTTCATGTTGTTGGAAATGGAGTTACTCAGCAACGTCCTTTGGATCCGAGGACCCATGGGCATTCCTCTACCGAGAAACTGGGGGTTTCGGCCCAGGCTACGGGGAACAGTTTTTTTTTGTAGCTTTCGAAGAAAGGCACTTTGAAACCCAATAGACTCGAAGAATCCTTGGAATCAAGCTATTCAATCACCCGTAGCAGGGCTTCAGAAATCCATAAGCCGCCCACTCAAGACTGAAGCCTCAAGGCAAGGAGGAGACAGAAGGTGCCGAAAGGGCACTCGTAAGAGGGGATCAACTCTCTGGGCCGGAGTTGAAAAGCGGTGAACCACCCGCACAGGAGGTCTCTGGTGACTTCGTCACCATATGGCTAACGCCTGACTTTTAGTAATCCTAATCCTAAAAGCTGCTCACGAGCGTGCTGCTATCACTCTTGTCAGACTCAGCTCCTGCACGTGTTTGACCTAAGAGTCATTCTCTTCAGATGTGTTGAATTAAAACCTAAGCCTCTTTAATGCACAGAGGACCAGCTCCTCTAGCCTTACATGAGAAAAGTTAGATCGCTATTGATGTGCAGAAGTTCTTCAGGAAAAACCAAGCCCATAAAGAAAATTTCATATTGGAGATAAAATTAGGAAAGCTGATTCCTTTCAAACCAAATGCCATTTTATTTATGTTTCCTCCGCTCTTTCTCCCTGACGCTTCAAGAATTATCTATAAAGTTCGCTCTGATATAGCTTGCGGAATATGGGGTTTTGTAGCCTGTCAACACGGAGCTTCCTCTTCTTTAGTTCCCCTGTTCTTGTGTTCCAGTCCCAGATCTTCAAGGTGATCGGTAGATGATCACTTTCAATCGGGCAATCCCCATCCACATCAAAATCTATAAGTTTATCAGCTAATCCCCTGTTTACAGCTGCATAGTCCAGACAGAAAGTGTTGCCTGCTGAGTGGAGGTTAAGTTGCAGCAAGTCTTGATCTCACTGTAGGCACATCGTTCTTAGTCTGTGTCCGTTTTGGTTTGTGTCTTTCGATCATCAGCCTTTTAAATGTGCATTAAAATCTCCCATCAATATTTCCTGTTTGTTCATCCTTCTGCTCCATGCTACAGCTGCATACAGTCCATCATAAAATGCTTCTGTTTCTTCTTCATAACTGCTTTCCACCGGGGAGTATGCCACAATAAGGGCAATCTTACCAAACTCTATTGCTATCACCCTGCCTTCCATGAATGATCGAACTTCCCCTACTTCGACTTCAATTTCCTTGTTAATAAGAATTCCAACACCTGCACTTCTTTCCTTCCTGGGCTTGACACTCATTCATAACCTGTGATTCTGGGCAGATCCTCATTTTTTACACAATGGGTTTCACATATTCCCATTACATCAGGTACTACTTCCTCTATGTATTTGCTTAGTTGTTGGCCCTTGCTCCTAACTCCTCGTATGTTAGCGTGCGAGGTAGTCTTTATTCTACTTTGTTGCTCATGCCTATGTCTTTTTGCTGATGGTAGTCCAAATCCGGCCTCAGTCATTGTTCTCCTCTTCGGAATTTCGCCGATCATCTGATCAATCTGCTTAGGCACCTCCTTCGTCTTAGTCTTTTCTTGAGTCTTTTTTTCTTCAGGTGTTCCAGCCTTACCAGTCTCCCCATTTTTCTCATCTGCTCTGCCGCAATCCATCTCATTTACTCCTACATACGCTAATCTATTTAAGTTACCTGACGTTTCAATTTGCATCTTGCTCTTCAGTTCCTCTACTGCATAGTTACGCATTTTCTTTCTTCTTCTTCTTTCTTCTTCTTTCTTTTCCTTTATGATTCTTTCTTTTGCCTTCCTTTCATTTCTTCTCTCAAAACAACTTTTATTTTAATGGAAGATTCGGAAAGTAATGTTTCCTATTCTTCTTCCTTTTGTGAAGAGAACGGAGCTTTACAGGATGAATTTTTCGAACTTTTACTATTAAATGAACTTATTGATACAGGATTACTTGATAATTCTGAATCAGAGTATGAATGAAATGATAGTGATGCAGAAAATGTTGATACAGATGACAAAATATTGGAGTTTTTAAGTCGTTTAGATGGAAAAATACTAGATGAAATAGATCCTATTCAGGAAACCTTCAAATATAGGAAGACTGAGGTGATCATTGATGATAAGAAGACAATCGATAAGAAAATCCTGAACACCAGAAAAATAAAAATTAGATCAGATTCAAATTTTATCAGAAAAATAAAATTGATATCAGAATCAAACATTATCAGGAAAATAAAATTTAGATCAGATTCAAATTTCATCAGATATAGAAAATTCATATCAGACTCAGAAATCGAAAAAATCGCGGATTACGTGGGTTCAGAAAATTTTACTAAAATTTTATCCAAAGATTTTAGAAAAGAAGAAAGTTAAAAAATTTTTAATCGGGACATGGCCCTGAAATAAAGGCCTTTAAGTAATAAAGATTTCTCTCTCTCTCTCAAAAACTTTGTTGTGACCTTTCGCGTTGTGACCAATCTCTTGACATTTTTCGAAATAAAGGCAGGCTGCATGATTAACCCATATCTTATTCCCTTATTGTGATCTCATCGTTCATATCTAATGCCTTTTCCATCGCGTCAAATTCACCATACATTGTGTACCTGGAATTCGCATTGAAGTTCACAATGTAGTTGTCATTTCCTATGCTAACTGTGTTGTTTGCCACTATCTCTATGATCTTGCATAGCTTGCTGAGTTCTCCTATTATCTCCTCGAGCGCCACCCCTGCAGGTACCATCACTTGCATCTTGTATCGCACATATTTGATCTCTCCACCTTCCAAAACAGTCCTGATGGAACCGCTAGCTTGTTTCCTTGATGTTGAACCATTATCTTACCTCTTCCCTTTAAGTCTTTCCAAGCATCCTCCTCTGCAAATGTGACCACTGCGTCACCAGATGGTAGTCTAAGGCTTCTCAGTATGTCTCCCACCCTAGAGCATGTCTCCAATGCTATGATAAAGGATCCATGCAGACTAAGTTTTATCTCTTCGTCACCCTTCTTGAGGAATTTTGATAAATAGAATTTCAGCGTAAAGCCCAGGCATTCTCTGTCATCTATTTTAGGTAAATTAGTGACGGGTGTGCTAAAGCCGTAACAAAAACCACCTCTGCCAAATCCCAGGACTTGGATCTCCTCATCCTTCGCGGCTTTGAGAATGATTTGTTTTTGCTTGCTACTGCCATCTTCGAAAATTAAAAAAGTACTTTGCTGGTGAGTCTCTGTAGTTTTCCAAAGCTTTAGAGATATTTGCGACCTCTTTGTAAAAATCATTCTTTTCTAGGTTATAAATAAACTGTCTTATTAACTCAATTATCATCTAATATAATTAATAAATTACTTATCGATGTGTATGAATTGTGGATTATTTTGTTGATTTTCTAATCCCCCTCTGCAAGCGAAACAAAAAAATTTTGTTCCCAAGGAGGGGATTAATTATGTTTTTTATAAATTTTATAGTTTTTTTTTTTGAATTTATAAAAATTGAGAAATAAAAATTAGATTAATTTGTAAAATTTATGTTTTAAATTAACTTGTTTAATTTTTTTAAATAGAATTAGCTAGAGATTTCATAATGCTTATAGTTACTTATATATAAAAATTTTTTATAAAAAAAAATTAATGTTTGCTTACAGAAGGTGGGGTTTTGGAAAAAAATAGGTATTTTCAATAATTTTGCTCGAACACGGAGGGGAGAGTAAAGAATTCAGAGCATTTATCAATGAAATCTCAAAATTATCCATTTCTGATATTCCTATAACATTCCACCCTAGTATATTCAAATGGCGAAATTTTTGTTGCGTTTGCGGGTCAATTTGCATATTATGCTGACTCACCACACGCCGTGACCGAACAAAACATTTTTGTTCGCTAACAAAGGGAGGTTAATTTTTTTTCTTCAAAATTTAAAAAAATCCTAACTCGCATAAATTGGAAAGCAAGCATTAATTTAATTTGTAAAATTTATGTTTTAGAATTCAATTTGTTCAAAATTAATCAGAATTAGCTAGAGGTTTTATTATATTAAGTATCACTTATATATCAATTTTTTTTTCTTATATAATTTTTGTTCGCAGAGAGGGATTTTTCCAATGGTTTTGTTCGCTCATGCAGGGGGTCAGTGAGAAATATGTCAAGGTTTCCCTAAAAATTCAACGATAATTTTCTTTTCAGGCATTATCAAGTCCACCTCGTACAATTCATTAACTCTGCAATTAGTCACAGCTTCAAATCCTTTGTCCTTCAGAAAATCCAAGATTATCCGCTCATATTTTCCTTTTATTCTATTATCCGGCACACTCTTATAAGAATCACCAATATTTCCTATGATTTTTTCTTTCCATTCTAAATATACCCCAAACCCTTTATAGATTTATTTATTGAACAAATTGTTCTGAGCTATTGAATGACAAAGATTGACTCTCTCAAGGGACGAGCTGGATCTTATAAATGTCAAAAATGGTTAATAAGTGGGGAAAAAAAGTTTGCAAGCAAACGAGCCAATTTTTAACAATGCTTTATTATTAAGATACCCCCTTTAGACTGGAGATAATAAATAAATATAAAACACTATTTATTTTAAAAATTTATTTCCGCAAAAAAGCTGCTCGATTGATAAGATTTTAATTTTTAAGTCAATTTAAATTTGCTAGTGAGCATTAATATAAGCCATTAAGAATCTAATAAAGAGCAACGGACATTACTACAAATTTTGGCTTTTTATAGTTATTAAAATCAAATTATCATTATTTATTTGAAATTTTATCCTTCTGCAAAAAAAAGCAGCTCGATTGATAAGCTGTTAATTTTTAAATCCATTTAGATTTGCTAACTCCCCCCTTCCATGCCCGAATATAAAAATGTTGTTCGCTCATAGAGGGGTTAATTTATTATTTAAAAAATTTAAATATAAATTTTTAAAAAATCCAAATTCGCAAAAGTTGGAAAGCAAATATTTATTTAATCTGCTAAAATTATGTTTTAAATTTAATTTTTTCGAAATTAAACAAAATTAATAGAGATTTCATTATAGTAATTATCACTTATATATAAAATTTTTATATTAAAAAAATTTTTTGTTCGTCTACGTAGGGTGAGTTTTTGGGCAAAAAATAGGGATTTTTTCCAATGGTTTTGTTCGCAGAGTTATTAAGAACAAAATGAGTTTAATAAAAATTTTGGATTTATAGAGAATTTTATCATAAACAAATTGGCATTGTTATTTTAAAATATAAGCAAGATTTTAATCAATGTCACTCTAAAATGAGTATCTTAAATTTAAATATAATTTAATAATAAAGTTATTTTTTAAAATTTTTGAGTTTTTCGCAATTATTAACGATTTTTTGACATGCCACTTTTTAACACTTCCTGGTATAGAGATTCAGTGGCCATTCAAAAGTCCATTACATTTTGTTCGATAAAAAACTTATATAATGATATAGGCTATACCCATCAGGCTTGTCAATATCAAGACAAACAGAAATATTGTGTGCAATCAATCTTTCTTTATCATTTATTTTCTTATAAATATATCTAGAAAATCTCTCAATAAAAGGATTCCAGATTTCAGGATCATAATTACTAATCAGTGTAAGCGCTTTCATCATAGTAACTGTGTCATATCCATTAAATTTATTCATCATTTTCAATATATGATGCTTGCTTCACTCCATTAGTCCCCCAGTAAAATATGGGGTATTGGCTAGGGCTCTAAATCCTTCTCTAAAGACCTCGACTTCTTTATTTAATTCAACTTGTTCTATTCATTTATTTTTTAAATACTCAAACAGTGCTGGCCTGAAAAATAAGTTTTTTGAGCAATAGCTCATTACAATAGCGATTGGGAATTTCTCTGAAGAATTTTTTACAATTTCTTCAAAATTGTCCCAGAATTCTTTAGAAACTATTCCCCAAAAATATTTTTTTTGGAATAATTGTAAGGTGTGGTTAATGTCTTTCAGATTTAAATCTTTAGCTGAATTAATGATTTTTTGTTCAAGCAAATAAACTGTTTCATACTTTATTACACGCTCTTTATTCGAAAGCTCATAGACGATACCTAATATTGTCTGCATGTTATTAAGATTAGGCAGCATTTCATAAAATTTAGTTTCTAGATAGTCTAAAACTCCAGGATCATTAAAGGCAGTCACATAAAACAGCAAATCCAGCCCATTTCCAATTAAAATTTTAGTATAGTCACTTGCTAAAATATTCAGTAGTTCAGAGTTTGGTAATGTTTTTACAATCTCAGCTAATTCTCTAGGTGAGAGCTCATCAATTCTTGCAATAACATGATTTAAAAATACTTTTTCAGCTTCAGGTCTTCCAATTACCCCATGGGCCAATAGGACTAATGATTTTCCTCTTATGACTTCTAAAGCGTTAGGAATTTCTTTGTCTATTAACTCCCAAAGCTTTGCATCATGCGATCCAATCTTGTTTGCCCAATAAGAAAGTGTACATAAAACTTCTGGGTCACTATTAAATTGTAAATACACATCTTTATAGTAATTGACCATATTTTGGAATTTCCTTCTTACTTGGACATTACTTGGCTCATTTTGTGCAATTTTTGAAAAGGACTTGATATCCCTAACTCCCCCCCCCTCCGTGAGTGAACAAAAAAATTTTGTTCACTCACGGAGGGGGGTTAATTTTTTTTTTTTAAAAAAATTTATATATAAATTTTATAAAAAATATTTTTTTCGAAATTTAAAAAAAATCCTAATTCGCAAAAATTGGAAAGCAAATGTTAATTTAATTTATAAAAATTTATGTTTTAAAAAGCAATTCGTTTAAAATTAAACAGAATTAGTTTTAGATTTCATTATACTAATTATCATTTATATATCAAATTTTTTTTCCATAAAAAATTTTTCTATAAAAAAATTTTTGTTCACTCACGGAGGGTGGGTTTTTGGGCAAAAAATAGCGATTTTTCTAATGGTTTTGTTCACTCACGGAGGGGGGGGGAGTAAGAAAATCTTGCTTATTAGCTTGATGAAGAAATCGCTTAAGTCACATGACCATTTAATCTTTATTAATAAAAATTTTAATTGTGAATCCTCAAAGACAAATGAAAGTTAACCTTAAATGATTTGACGAGAGCTAAAACAGTTTCTTATGCACTATGCTAATTTTTTCGTCAATCAATTTTTAGGTATAACTAAAATTGCAATTTATTGATATTAATGAAGTGTTTATTAAAAGTCAAAAATAGTCAGACATTTACTATGAAGAGATATTGATATGCATTTATCCTCTTAAAGGTATTGTCATAAAAATTTCAGTTTATGCTTATTAAATTTGCCAATAAAATAAAAATAATTCATTATATTTCACATAGGGAATTATTTAAAATAGTCTAAATTTATCTTTTAAATTAAAGTAGAAAAATTTAATGATTTTTTATTCAAACTTGAATGTTAATTAAATAAAAAGACATTGTTATTTTTTGATAAATGTTATAATAAAGAGGAAATTAAAAAAGATTATTCAATTATAAGTCGCCAATTAAATGCATATAAAAATACTTTTTATTTATAAGGCAAATTAATTATCATCATATTGCAAAATTGCTATATAAAATATTAAATTAATTTCTAAATTTATTATATATATGAAAATCTTAATAAATGCTATTTATTTTAGTTCTATCTGCTGCTTTTAAATCAAATCTTAAGCTTCCTGCCTAGAAGGCAAAATATTACTATAAATTTATAAGGTTTTTTCATTCTTATAATGGATATCTCCCATGGTAAGAATTCCAATTTAAACTCTCCTCTTATTCAAAATTATCCACCAATAGTTACATGCAAAATTCATAGAGATGCTGATGAAGACTCGATCATCCAGCAAATAGACCCTTTTAAATACAGCAAGCTTCGTGGATTCATGTTTTGGATTCTGGTCATTTTGACATGTGGGATATTGTATTTAGTCGACCGCTGATTTCTTAACGTTCATCTTGCATTTCGCTTTAGCCGAACTGTCCCAGCAGAAGCCACTCACCTTTTAGTGAAAACTCAGCATTTTTTAGAGCTTGTTCCGACAGCCACAAAGCATTCTAAAATCCTAGGCAACATCCTTACCTTCCAGCACCACTATTTACAGTACTATTTTGATGGCAAAGAATTCCTGCCTCTTTACTTCGATGTTAGCTTGAGCTACAAGAAAATGATTGATAAATACAGCCATGGATACATAGAGAGCGAAGAAATTTCTGAATTGCGGTCACTCTTCGGCATCTGCCAAATTATTGTTCCTCTAAAGACTATTTTCCAGCTTATCTGGGAAGAAGTTTTGCATCCTTTCTATATTTTCCAAGTGTTCTCAGTTGGTGTCTGGTATTTCGAACAGTATTTTTTATTCTCTGGGGCAATTATTTGCATTACTTTAATATCGTTAGGGACCAGCGTATTTCAGACAAGACGGTCTATGAGTGCTATACATAACCTTGCTAAGCGCAGTGTGCAGATAAATGTACTTAGGGAAGGGAATTGAAAAACTATACAAAGCCCAGAACTGGTCCCAGGTGACGTAATAGAAATTCCACAAGGCGGAGAAATGCCTTGCGATGTAGTGCTTACATCAGGTGGCTGCATTATGGATGAAGGGACACTTACTGGAGAATCTATTCCAGTTATAAAGGATCCGTTGCCTTATCTTGAAGAGCCCATCTATAATATTGAGCATGATAAAAGACATAGTTTATATGAAGGGACGAAGGTGATTATTAAACTTTAAAAATAATTATAGAGAAATCCTCTGTAGGCTTGCAGGCCACTACTCACCTCCGGATAGCGTTCTAACGCTTATTTGTCAGTCTGGACACGGCCATCTATTGTGTGCTCCTCATGGACGAGGGCTTGCAATCGCTGCCCGAGACCTTAGAGGAATTCGAAAAACGAATGGTTTTCGACGAAGATAAAACTCAGAGCCCGTGGTAGAATGCCTGATAGCGTGCTAGGAATTTTGGCCAAGTGACATCCTCTGGCCTTGTTGGGTGTCCCCTTCCAACTCCCAGCGAACCATCCCCCGAAGTAAAACTTTGACCTGAATTTGAGCATGCGGCCAGCTAGCCCGACGTTGCGCTCCACCAAAACAAAATAAACCTGCCGGATACACATTTCCGAACGCTGTCCTCCCATTCAATTAAGAGTGCAGTGACTCATCACTCATTTTAATGTATTTGAGCGAAGGTAAATACAGACTCGCAATTATGGAGGGTCTAATGTGGTAGGCGTGGTTACCCGTACTGGTTTTTCTACGATGAAAGGAAAAATGGTCAGGTCTATTTTGTTCCCAAAGCCAAATAAATTTAAATTCTATAGAGACTCCATGTTGTTTGTAGGAGTTTTATCACTTATAGCAGTCACTGGATTTCTAATATGCATGCCGATAATGATTTATATTGGGTTGCCATTAGGTCAAGTATGGATAAGATGCTTAGATTTATATTATTCCATAAAACCATTTATTTTTAATAATAATCCTCCAATATTCCCTATTTACTATAAAAATAATAATAACCATTACAGTTCCTCCTTCGCTTCCAGCTTGTATGAACGTTGGCACTGCATTTGCTATAAACCGCTTAAGAAAAAGCCACATTTTTTGCATCGCTCCTCCACGTGTAAATGTAGCAGGGAAAATCGACATCTATTGTTTTGACAAGACAGGGACTTTAACTGAAGATGGGATGATTTTAATAGGAGTCCAGCCTTGCAATAACCGCGTAATGGACGTTCTATATGATGACCCAAAATCAATTGAAGGGCATTCTAAAAAGCTTGTGGAGTGTATGGCTTCTTGCCATTCTTTGACTACAGTTGACAACAAAATTGTAGGAGACACCCAAGATTTGCAGATTTTTAACTGCACTGGATGGATTTTTGAAGAGCCTGATGATGAAATATATGAGCCTGCAGTAAAAGCAGTAGTTAGACCAAAAGAATCAGGAGAAATTCCTACAGTTTTTGATGAGCAAGGCAATGTGGTCGGTATGATTGAGGCACCTTATGAGCTGGGAATATTACATACTTTTCATTTTACGTCAAAATTAAAGCGTATGGGAGTATGCTGTTTAAAAATGAATTTTATTAAAAATTTCCATTAAAATATAGCTTTTTTCTCTATTTTTTTTTTAGAAGTTTTAACTAAATATATTATAATCACCAAAAATCTCAAAGAAAATTCCTTCCAATTTTACATGAAAGGCGCTCCTGAAGTCGTTATGGAAAAATGTGCGCCAGACTCAATACCGGCTGACATGAAAGTTATATTAGGGAACTACACATGTGCAGGTTATAGAGTTCTTGCATGTGCTTATAAAGCTCTTCCTCCTATAAAATTCTCTGAGTTAAGGTCTCAAAAACTAGAAGACTTAGAAACTAGCTTAACCTTTTTAGGGTTAATTATCCTCCAAAACAAGCTGAAGCCAGAAACTATGCCTGTTATCCGCAGTTTGCATAAAGTTGGCATAAAAACTGTCATGGCCACTGGAGATGCAGTGCTGACTGGGATTTCTGTAGCAAGAGAATGCGCCATGATTGACCCTGAAGTCACTGTATATTTAGGAGAAATGCATGGAGAAAGACTGCTATGGCAGATTTTCAGATCAGCTTATCATGAAGGAGACTCAGAAGAGCATGAGTTAAAAGTAGAACCACCATGAAAAGACCATGGATTTGAAGTAAATTATGCATTAGCATTAACTGGAGCCTCTTTAGCGCACATGGCAAAATTGGCAGATCAAGGAGACCAAGATGCTGTGATTGGCTTTAAAACTGTACTAGAAAAATGCAGGGTTTTTGCTATATTTTCTACATATAAATATTACAAACTTCATTAAAACTTTTTTCCCTTTTATTCACCTATTTATGCAGAAAATTTATTTTCCTTAGATATAGAATGTCCCCAGAGCATAAAACCCTTCTAGTCGAAAGAATGCAAGAACTCGGCTACCTCATTGGTATGTGTGGAGATGGTGCCAATGACTGTGGTGCTTTAAAGTCAGCTGACATCGGAATATCGCTAAGCGAAGAAGAATCTTCTATTGCCGCCCCTTTTACTTCTAAAGTTTCCAATATTTCTTGTGTAATTACAGTCCTCAGAGAAGGCAGGTGTGCTTTGACGACTTCTACCCAGTGTTTTAAGTTCATGTTTTTATATTCCACCATTCAGTTTATTACAGTAAGCATGCTTTACTCTATGGGAACTGGGCTTACTAACAACCAATTCGTTACTTTTGATATGATAACTATGCTTCCTCTTGCTATCACCATGAGCAAAACAGGCCCTTACCATAAACTTTCCAAGCGCCACCCTACCGCATCCCTTATGTCAGTCGCCGTTTTAACCTCTGTCATAGGACAAACTGCTTTAGAAACCTTAGCCCAGGTTATCACCTATTTTATTGCCTCTGACATGAACTTTTTTAAGCAAAACGACTACAAGGCTGGTCATCCTATAACGGAATTTTTCCATTGTGACCCGAATACTGTTCTGTTTTTAATGAGCTGGGTTGAGTACGAAGTAGTCTGCTTTGTGTTTAATATAGGAAAGCCCTGGAAAAAGCCTATGTACACCAATTTCTGGTTTACAATTCTTCTAGTTTTTCTCTTTGCGTTTACTTTTACGACGATTTTATTCCCTCCAGAATTCATTAAAGATCTTTATGATGTGAATTCAATTAAAAGCGGGCAAGCATCCTAGCCTTTGCCTCATTTTGGCTCCAAAATAGCCGCCTCCAACGTCCCGAGAAACGAAATGGGAAATCGGAAGTTGCTATTTTGGATTTCCGGTCTTAAGCACCTCTCCAAGGGACCAGCTCCCTAGGGCAGTCCACTGTCTGTAAAATTTCTTGATGGTCCCGAAAAGTTAAGAACATGTTGTAAGCAAAACCTGTCTACCCCATCTGGCAGGGACAGAAAAACTTTTGTGAGAAAAAAAAACTTTCCTCTTTGGCGTCCCAAGCCTGAAGGTCTACTTCAAAAAGGGATAGAGGTCCTGTTTTTAGCTTAATCCGGATGATTCTTACTTTCTCAATAGGGAGTGCGCCTCGGAGTCCAATTTCTGTTAGCGTCATCATTTTATTTCTCTTTTATGATGTAAGGAATATTTAGCTTACCTACATGCCTGGGTATTTTCGAGGGACGCTAGTAGGGATTTGTGTGTGCTATGGTATTGCGGCGTTTTTGTTTGAAAAATATATAGTGCATATGGCTGATGCTTATTATAGAAAAAGAAGACAGGAGAAAAAGCATGCAGCCAAGGTGAGGGATTTGTCGGCGAAAAAGAATTTAGATTAATTAGGTGTAATGGAGTTAAAATATTAAGGCTTTGTAGCTTCAAATATATACTGGCCTGGGATTTTCTTAACGTTGTCAATAACAAATCCAGGGTATTCAATGATTCTTCGGAATTCTTCCATATTCCTTACTTTGGCCTCAGAAATAAAATGATGACGTTGAAGGAAATTGGACTTCAAAACTCACGCTCTATGGAATAAATAAGAATCCGATTAAGCCCAAAATAGGGCATCTATCTCTTTTTGAAGTCTTGGGGATACCTTACCGAAGAGAAAGTTTTTTTTTCTCTCGTTTGCCTACCACATAGTCTAACCTTGTTGGGATCTCACTCCCCCCCCCCTTTAAATTGAAACAAAATATAGGGTAAAATTCCCTACTTTTTTGGGAAATTACCCCCCCTTTAAATTGAAACAAAATTTTATTATAATAGAAAATTTTATAGGTAAAAAATCATTATTTTATATGTAAATACGTTAATACCCTATTTTAATATGCTTCAAACATATAAGATTTAGAAATTAAACTCTATTTTGTCCAATTGTTCAATTTATTGTCTCTTTAAATTTATATAATTTATTTTCTATAAAATTTTATCTCTGAAAAAATTTTTTTATATATAAATTTTTTTTTATAAAAACATTTTCTTAAACCCCCCTTTAAATTGAAACAAAATTTTTTGTTTCAATTTAAAGGGGGGGGAGTCAGAGAATTCTATAGACGATGACTCTGCTCTAGGGAGTTGATTCCTTGTTAAGGCTCTTCAGACCGGAAATCAAAATAGCGGCTTCCGATTTCCGCATTCGTCTCTCGGGATGTTGGAGGTAGCTTTTTTGGAGCAGAGAGGAGGCAAAGGCTTATGGTCAATTTAATTGTTTAATTTAATTTTTACTTTGGCCTCGATTTCTGAGATATCTATCAAGTCCAAATACCTAACTTCTCTATAGTTTTCATCAGTTTTTACTAATACGTGCTCAATGATGATAAGTTTTTTGCCACTTTCTAAAGATCTATAACAGTTTTCTAATATTCTTGAAGCAACTTCATCAGTTCAGCTGTTAAGTGTTTGTTTAAAAATGATACAATCATACCCACTAGGGACTTCTTCTCTGAAATCTCCACCTAAAAAGGTGATTTTTTCTTGTAAGCCATAGCTTTCAATGTTTTTTGTTGCAATTTCACTTATAGAAGCCATATCTAGCACAGTCCCTTGGATATTAGAATTTCTTTTTGCTAACTCACACAGTAATGTCCCATCTCCTCCTCCAGCGTCTAAAATTCTTATTGAATTTTTAAGATCAATTGAGTTAAATAAGCTGTCACCTGACATTTTGGTATAGCCTACGCAGACTTATAACTCGTTATGGGAAAAATGGTGGCAGAGTGCACAATAACCGTTAATTTTTATATAGCTCACTGGATTGTGGCCTAAAAATTGAAAATTAGCCTATAATGCCAATTTCAAGCCATAGTGAATTATAAGCTGTTTTTAGCTATATACGCTCCTAAGCCTGTCTGAAAATAATTATTATCTAAATTCCTGTGTGCTAGCTCATCATAAATATTTCTTCCAGTTTGAAGTTCGCATGAAGAGCGGTCACACTGTAAAGCATCAGCGAAACGGAGAAGAATTTCGTATTGAAAAGGGACACAGCAAAAATAAATCGCATCTCTGAAGGCCTGATCGAGAAACAAAACTGTTTTTCCTGAATTTGACCATTTTTGAGACTGCTCGTCAAAAGAATAGTATCCAAAAGCTTCGAGGGCCAGGAGCGTTCTTTCTAATTTCCCTTTAACTGCTGATGTTTGTTGAGCTAGTTCATCAATAGTTTTTGGGTTTTCCAGAAGCTTTGGGATATTGAAGGCTAATGTAGAATTTAAAGCCATTGCAATCAGAGGTGACATGGCGAGATAGTAGATTTCGTCTTTGAATTTGTTACTTTCATCTGGCTGTTTCGGCTCCATTTTATATATACGTTTTATTAAATCTACTAAAGCATAGCATGATTTTTAAGGGCTGATTTATGCGATGAAGATTTGTAGCATCTACGATTACATTTTATTTTAAACGCTATTTTTTTATTTAAATATGATAAAATAAAGAAAAAAAGAATAAAATGATACTTGCTCCTGCTTTAACATGAAAAATAAATTTGTTTCAATGTAAAAAGGGGTTATTTAATAAAAAAAATTATTATAAAATTTAAAAATTCATAATATTTATCGTTGAAGTACTAATTTTAGTTAAATACCATTTATTCCCACTGCCACCTTTAAAATAAAACAAATTTTAATTTGTGGTTATATTAAATTCAGTACCAAAGCTATTTATCTAAAAATTAAAATTCAGTTTCAATTTAAAGGGGGTTTAATATATTTAAAAATTGAAATTTTACCAATTTAATTAAAGGAGTCAAGCAAATTCTCATAATATGCTTGAATCATTATTCCAAATAGTCATCACAAACTTTGAAGCTCTAAAATGAAGTAATTATTTATAATTTATTTATTGCTAATTGATAAGTTTTTAGTTGTCATTAATGGCATTTACTTTTCCACTATCTATAGTTTATATAAAGCTTTCAGCTGTGAATATCTAATATTACTAAATATTTCTATCAATTTCCTTTTATCCTAAGTAAATAATAGCAAGCACATTACCATTGTACAAATTTAATGAAAACTTAAATAATAAAATTATCTCTTAAGCTATTATTATAATCTATACCAATCTTTTTTGATCAAACCTTTGTTTAATCTATGCTATATGGCAACCTTAAAATTTTTTATTATTTACTAACACAAATTTTATAAACTTCTGAAGCCAAAAACCTAAATAATTAGAAAATACGAAAAAACGCTTAATTAGAATCGTTTAAATTTTCAGTAATCTTATCCTTCATTATAGATGTCAAATATGTCAAGTGATACCAAGATAGATAGACATGGCTTTATTTCTTCAACCTCACCTCACAGCTCTCCAGAAACAGTAACCCGAGATAATGCACGAATACAAAAATGACAAGACATGCTAACTAGATGGGACTACAATATAAAACGTCGTAGAGCTTTTCTTAAGAAAAGAATCCGCAAAGGGATCCCAGACTGTCTTCGAGGAGTTGTCTGAACAAAACTTGCGAATATTCAGACTATAAAAAATGAGTACACTGAAAATTATTATAAAAATCTAACGGAGCTAGATTCGAATACAGTAAGCATCCAAGATATAACTAGGGACTATTATAGGACTTTTTCTGGACACGTCCTTTTTAGAGATCATGGTCTATGCCAAGATTCTCTATATATACCATTTATATTAGCTGAATCTTAAATTTTAGTCTGCACTATAAGCTAAAATTCTTATTAAATATAATAGAATTTTAAAAGCTTTTTCTCTACACGACCCTGATCTAGGGTATTGCCAAGGAATGGGAGTCCTAGCAGCTACATTTTTAATGTATATGTCTGAAGAAGACTCATTTTGAATGATCGTTTCTTTGATGAGAAATTATGATATAAGAGATTATTATTTGCCAGGAATGCCTGGAATTTATAAAGCTTTTTATCAGATCAATGGAGTTTTCCGACAAGTTTTGCCAGACCTGTGGGATCATTTTATGGAAATAAGCGTGTATCCGTCAATGTTCGCTCCAGGGTGGATGATGACGCTGTATATGAGCTATTTTAAGTTTGAGATTTCTTTGAGAATTTTTGACATCTTTTTAAATGAAGGAAAAAAGATTTTGTTCAAAGTTTATATAGCATTATTTAAAAAATCAAAAAAAGAGTAAGCGGAAATTTTAATAAAATTATTCTTGCTCAAATCCAGATTCTTGAAGTCTTAGCTTGATTGGCAGCTCTAAATAAGGCAGGTAAGACTGGCCTAACCGTCAAATGTCATGCCCCTAAGTCTCTTAGGACCTCTACTAGCCAGTCTCAGTATAGATCATTTCTCTTGATGCCAAAACTCTCAAGAAGGCATAAACTTCTCTCACTGAGTTCGGCCAGGACCAATATACCTGTTCCTAATCCCTTAAAAATTGTTAGAAAAGAGTTAATAAGCATGCCGTGTGATGTTTTATTGGAAAAAATTCCAAATCTCCATGAAGATTTTACAGCAGATTCTCTGATTCAGTCATCACTGAAATTTACTTTAAAGAAGAAAAAATTACAGTTGTTCGAAAAGGAGTATGAAACAAATCCATCTCCAGAACTTAAAAATTGGTAGCAAGGTACTCATATCTAATTTAATATAAATAACTTTTTTACCATTTTCTCAATTTACTAATCTTTCCCAGCTCAAGCCGTCTAAATATTGCTTAAGCTATCTTTTTAGCTCTTTATGGAATTTATAAAAGTCAAAAAAACGATTTTCATGATAACTGTTTATCATTTATTTTTCGCAAATTTATTAATTAAATAGACCAAGAGTGCAAGCCCATTATATTTATTTTAAATTAATAATTTCTGTGGAGATAGTCTAAATCCAATATTTTAAAATTTTAGAATTTAATATCAAGAAACGAATAATTTTGCACATTTTTATAATTTATGGAAGCGAATTGGGCCTGGTATCAATTGATTATAGTACTTTTCATTGCAGCAATCATTATATGAAGAATTGTTCTGTTTATTTTCCCCAAAATCAAAGAAATGTATGAAGAAAAAGCAAGATTGGAAAATCTTAATCGAGAGAAGGAAAGGCTACTAGGAAAAAGGAATGAAATTCAGTATCATGTAGATTGGGCGACTTATAATAATGATTTATCAAAAGCACAAAGCTTGACACCTAGCTTAGAAAAAATCATGAATAAAATATCAGAAATTGATGCATCATTATCTGGTAAAAAATCTTAATCTTAATTTAATTTATTTCAGCTGGAATGCTGAATTTTAAGGCTATTTCTTCTTATTGCTCCTATAGAAATTCTGAGACATATAATTTTCTTTAATTGTAAAAAATCAAATTTTTACGTATAATTCTCAACATTAACTAAATAGAGCCTAATTAAGAATTTTCCATTGCATGACTGTTTGGTCATACCCGCCAGTTGAAAACAAATATTCGTCATTACTGCTCCATTTCACATTAGTAACATGTTCACTATGTCCTCTATAAGAAGTCCCTTTCGCTCCTTCTCCATTCGGATTGTTGAAAAGCACTACATTTCCCCAGTCATTGCCTACTGCAAAAAATCGCTTATTCTGAGACCTATCAACGCAGTTTACATGGGTCATATCTACAACCCCTTCATAAATCCCTTGTACATTCCAGCCTAATTTCGCTGTCCACGTAGTCCATTCTTCATCTCTATAAGCAGTTCCTCCACTTTTTACTTGTTGTCCTGAGTTCGTGTCCCAAAACAGCAGCTCATAAGCCCCACAATTTGTATGGAGAGCTGAGCCATCAACGCTCCAGTCTAAAGCAATGATAAAAGAAGAATGGCCTTTAAGCTTGTGAAGAAGCTTATAGTTGTTTTCCACGTTATAAATATAAATAAAGTTATCATGAGATCCAACCGCTAATTTTGAGGAGTCTGGGGAATACGCCATAGACTCAATTCATTCTTTTGGGTCTTTTGCTATATGGATTCTCCTCAAGTTTTCAATATTTTGAAAAATACTTATATGCCCATCATTATGTCCAACTGCCACATGGCCATTTCCGCCGTTTATACATACAGCTCTAGCTTGCTGGTTAGGTGAATTTGTAGCTAGTGTGCTTGCCCCTTCTCCTGGCCTTCTTTGTGGTCCTGGGTTTTCTTCCAAGATGGCTGTTTTCACACATTTTCTTTGTGCCATATTCCAGACTTTGATCGCATTATCATCGCCTACAGTCACAACAATATTAGCATTTGTAGGGGAAAGGGCGAGGCCCCAGACTTCTCCATCACTATGTGACTCCATTAATACAGTCCTTCTATTCCCTCCTGCTTGGTATTCAGCAATTGTCCCATCTCTTGTCCCTGCTAGAACTGTATTTCCATTTACATCAATTGCCCTTGCGAATGAAGAAGTCTCAATCCTGCCGATTTCTGTAAAAGATAAGTCAAGAATGCGAATTGTATTGTCTTTGGAGCCTGAAAAAATTTTTTCATCAACAATAGCGAGGCTGTGTACAGTTTGGCCTTGTGGATGGATTTGGTAAGCTTTTTTAAGATTTTTGCCAGCCCAGTGGTAAAGTTGGCCATTTGTGGCACCAGTTACACAGGTGTTGTCGGGCATGTACTGGACACAGGTCATATTGCACATGGCTTCGACACTGCCGAAAATGCCTTTTTCTTTGCGCAGCTGGATTCCTGCAGAGTTAGGGTTGTAGGTCCAAAAACCCATATGCTTGATTCCACAGGTGCAAAATGTGAAGTCACGAGGGCTCCAGCATAAATCAAGGATTCGATCTGGGCCTCCTTTGTCTTGGGCTATCAAAGTGCCTTTTTCTCAATTCCAGATTCTGACATTATGGTCATTATGTAAATCTGCTGATGCAAGTATTCTTCCATCATAAGAAAATCCAAGGGCTGCAACAGCTCTTGAATCTCTGCCTTGTCGGAATTCGCTGATTGATACCCTTGGATCACTGCTTTTCCATATACATATTTTTGGGTTTTTCCCTACTTCTCCCGTAGCTATTATATACTATTACTAAATAATTAATGCATTACCTCACAATTATTTTTGCCTATAAAATGAATAATATTTTTATCTATAAAATAGCATATCTTTATCAGGATGAATTGCTAAAGACGTAATATCATCTGTATGGCCAAACTCCTGATTCACAAGCCCTCCTCCAAATAACTTCTGTGTATTCGTCTGTTTATTCAGCACAACTCCTACTGCAGCAGTCATATATACAATTTCTCGATTTCTGGTATAAAAAAGGTTTCTTCTTGAGTCAAAGCACCGATATCCATATACATATTCCAGCTCCATCCTGATATTAGGTGGATTATTATTTACTCTTGGTGGATTTGTAGGAGCTCTTAAAGCGCCAAGCCATGGCTTTATAGCTAGCATTTGGTCGCCAACTCCTACTTCTTCTACATCAAAAAGCCCCACTTTGACTTCTTCATTTGTATGAGTCGGCATTTTTGAGATAGATTTTCCTTTGCGAGAAACAGCTGCAGCTTTTAATTCTCTGTCAATGTCTTCATCAAACTGAACATGCTCATCTTCATACCGGGGCTTTGTATTGATTTCCTGACGGGGACGAGCAGCCGGCTCTGGTGGAGGTCTTGCTTCTGGGAGTTTTACGTTGTGAGTTGTTTCTCTTGAAGCTCCGCAGCCCATTTTTATAACTGTTTTTATGGAATTTTAAATTTTAGATTAATGCGAGAATTTACTCGTTTCTTTTTAAAATATTTCTCAAGCTTCGGCTGGAGCTTTATCTGGCTTTTTGAATTTTCGAGAGAAAGTCGCTGCTTTCCTGGGGTAATTGAGCTGGATTTTTTTATGTGATTTGTGGTGTGCTGGCTGGTTGTGCTGTCTAAGCTAGATAAGATTAGATTTGATTAACGATGTGCATTTATAGTCCAAACTTCTTGAGTATCATGCGTTTATGACGGGAGCTGTGGGCGGGTATATTAAGGTAGCTTGAGCACTTGCTGAACCTCCAGTGTTTTATTAGAGGAATTTCTTCCATGGTCAGAGTCATACAGACTTTGCAGAGAGCCATCATTTCCAACTTAAGCACCATCATTATCCAATTCTGCTTACTCCCCCCCCCTCCGTGAGTGAACAAAACCATTAGAAAAATCGCTATTTTTTTGCCCAAAAACCCACCCTCCGTGAGTGAACAAAAATGTTTTTAATAGAAAAATTGTTTTATGGAAAAAAAATTTTATATATAAATGCTAATTAGTATAATAAAATCTAGAGCTAATTCTGTTTAATTTTAAACGAATTGCTTTTTAAAACATAAATTTTGCAAATTGAATTAATATTTGCTTTCCAAATTTTTGCGAATTAGGATTTTTTTAAATTCGAAAAAAAATATTTTTTATAAAATTTATATATAAATTTTTTTAAAAAAAAAAAATTAACCCCCCTCCGTGAGTGAACAAAATTTTTTTGTTCACTCACGGAGGGGGGGGAGTTAGCTTAGGCTAAATTGGGACACTTTATAGAGAAACTTATACCCTAAGAGTGTTCGTCGTCGAGCTTTACCTTCCCCTTTTCCTGAATCAACTCCAAATATAAAAACTAAACAGCTTGCGCAATTTGAGGCAGAACCACTAAGCAGATTAGCCAGGTTGTCGCCCTCCTCTATAGAACGCCCAGCCTGCGCGTGGAGCTATTCGTAAAAAGATGGAAAATATCCTTTCATGCCAATTCACTGATCATCGGAAATAGTTCTGGGCTCTTGCATGAAGGTTGATCTAACTCTTGGACGGCTCCTTTCACCACAAAACCATTCCGGATATCCATAAGGCCATCTCCACAGGTAGGACAGGTCTATCATCAACAGCAATTTTATGTATATGTGCTGTCGAAGGTAGAAAATAAAATGTTTTTAGGTAAGGGATGCAGCTGTTTTGAATTATTTTGGAGGGTCTTGAGATGAAAAGAAGATGATTTTGAGAGTTGGGAAAGTGAGGGAAAACGTATAAGTTTACGCCGAATATTTTGGTGGGTATCTTGGCTAAGCTGATTAGCTTGCACTTCTAGTAGACGATTATATAGTTCTTTGAACTCAAAGCGAACTCCATAGCGATTATCAACAGTCGATTCATGATGCATAGGAATTTGAAGACTTCTGCGCAGATTGTTATCGTCAAGCATTAAACCGGACAGAATGGATTTATTTATTTCATGTGTAAAACCATAATGATGAATAACAATAAAGAAATAAGAAAAAATTGCGAATTTAGAAGTTAACTAATTTTCATAAAAATTTGTGACATAATAACCAATTTCACTTTTGCTATGTGAATAGAGAATTTTTGGCAAGGTAAATTGCGTAATATAAACCCTTTAATACAATAAATGGAAATGGAAATTATTAGATTAGCATCACTTAATTATATTTTTGAGTGAATTTTAAGCATGAATATAAAGCTTTTCTTTACTATCAAATATTTTTGGCAATTTTAAAGTTATTTTTTGTAAAAATAAAATTTTGATTGCAAATAGACTTTCAAGAGGAGCTTTTTGACCTAAAATTTTTTTGATACAATATAAACAAGATAAAGATTGAAAATATAATTAAAATATTTAGTAAAGATAAGAAGCAAACACAGAAACCACACAAAACATAAAGTCATTCGAATATGAAAACCATGCCGCATTGTCAGTTTCTTCATCCCAAAAGCATTTTGATCCCATTCTCACGCCTTGTCCAAGCTTTTCACCTACTACAACTTGCACCATGATTTTATAGCGGTTTGCGTGTCCTTCTTTTAAGGCTGCTCTTACTTCTTCTGCTATAGCGAGAGGAAATGGGTTTACATTAGTGTTATTGCGGCCTTGATATTTATCTTCAGGACCTATCTGTCGCTCCACGATTTCTTTAATGATTTCTTTAGCCTTAAGAGGGCAAAATTTGTCTTTGTAGGAAGGCTTTGACGAGTAAGCGTCTAATCCAAGTCCAATGCCTAAAGTGGATGATTTCATATTGAATATTATAATTTGCTTTACTCCGCCCGTCCTTGATCGAACGGCTCGCAAAGGATAAAAAAAAATTTTTGGGAAAAAAAATTATATATAAAATGAAAAAGATATATATAGATTTGTTTTATTTACTTTAAATAAGAGGGTTAAGAGTATTTAATAATTATTTTTACAGCAAAAATTTGAATAAATTTCATAAGAATACCAATTTTTTAATATTTTGATTTTGTGGTTACCCCTTTAAACTGTATAAATTTAGTTTCTTATTGAATTGCAAATTTTAAATTTTAAAGAATCTCTATTTTTTAGATTATTGAGTTTTTTAAGCCCAGGTTGATGACTAAAGCGCTTCAGATGGTTGATTCCGTAGTTAATTTCATGTATCAATATTATAAATTAAATGTCAAATTTCAGATAAATATGTAAGCCAGTAACTTTTTAGCATGCTTAATTAGATTCTTAAGTGTTTAAACTTATAAAATAATATAAATTTTCGAGTTTTAAATTAATGCTCCAATCCACCACAACGTAAGCTTATAATCCAGCCTAAAGATTATTAAATGGTTATCTCTTAAAATTTATCCAAACCTTTTGAAAAATCTATTTCTAGTAATTTTTGATTTTTTCCCTCAAACGTTTTAGAAAAACTCAAGAAAGTTATGCCATCAAAATCTGTTATTAACAATGCTCTTATAATATAAAAAATGAACCTTTTTGAAGATAACTCTACAGATTATGAACAAGACATTACAGAATGAATATGCGAAATCCATGAAAACCTCAATAAAATTGCATCAGAAAAATCAAATTACTATGGTTTTAACTTTGAGCTTGATTGCGTCAAAGATGACTCATCATCAATTTTTCAATGGGAAGAGTCAACAGATTTATACAGAGCTAGCAAAGAGAAATTATCAATCAGTCGACTCTCTCAAGCTCGGTCAAGTATGTCAACTTTGACATCATTAGACGCCGAGCTTGCTGAAGAAATTCCTAGTATCTTAGAGAAATAAAATTGTTACGTTGATGGAAATTTCTCCGAAGACACACTCCCTATGGAGTAGGTTAGGCGGCTCCCAATGAACCTGAAAGCAGGGCCTCTATCCCTAGCCCTTCAGGCTTGAGGATGCCTTGGAGAAGAGAAAAATTGTGTTTCTCCCTAAAGTTTTCCCGTCCCTGCCAGGTGGGCTTTACCTCTAGCATAATCATCGTCTATAACTATCGGGGGGCATCCTACAAAGTTGGCTCTAACTTAGGTAGCAAATCCTTAGATTAGGCGAGTAGCACCAGAAAGTTCAAGAGGAATGAATTTTGGTTGTGCCTTACACCATTTGCACTCTGGTGTATACACACCCAGCGTAGGCAAATTTTCCTGGAGTCAAGCTAGTCTGGCTAGTAGGGAGCCCACTTTGTCTGTATAAATCTAATCTTAGCATCTTAGGCCTGGAAAAGATAATTTCGTTAGACTCAGACATACAAGAAAAATTAGGAGCTGTAAAGAAGAACCATTAGGGATGCTTTTTCAGCTAAAATTTTAATTTTAAATGTAACTAACGACAAAATATTTAACGAAAGATTTTTTTGGATATTTTTTTGCGCGTTTAATTGGAATCGCACATAAAAGCGCTAAATTAAAGATTAAGTATTTTGGACTAGTAAAGTGCGGAATAAGAATGGAACAGAATCATCGGGCTTGAATTTAGCGCTTTTTTCCAAAATTGAGGACATATTTTCCCATAAAAGTTAGTTATGCTTATTATATTGTTAATAGGAACATGTCTAATCTGTACTTCGCCTGCCGAAAGTTCAGCAGCAGAGAAGGCAAAGGTCTGATGGTCTTTATTGATTTTGCTGGCCACCTGAATTTCCAACCCCCAACGCCATCCAGATATGCAACAACCCTGTACTAAGCCTACACCAGAACTTTGCTCTCTCGGCAACCATTTTCAACTTGACTGACCCCGTTTCGTCGTCTAATTTACCTCCCCTCTTTTCAGATCATCCCAAGAAAGAACTCAACAGCTTTTGCCATTCGGAGCAAACCACAGTAGCAGCTTAGGCAGGTATGTCGCGCTACCTCATATCGGCACAAAAAGCTGCACTTAACTGCCCAAGGAGTCAGGACCAAAAACAGCAGCTTTCGGTCTCACGTTTCTCACTTCTAGGCGACTGACTATAGCTGGGCCATAAACACTGTCACAGAGGGACAGGTCATTCATCTCCGGCCATTTTAAGTATCCATAAAAGTTAGAATTGAGTAAATAAAGATATAAGCTTATTTATATAATTTTAGCTTCAAAATATGTGAAAAGCGATAATTAATATAAAATATTTAAATATAAATTTTTTCAGAATTACCTCTACCAGTTGTTATCATCCCTTTTTAAAATTCTTTATATAATTTGATTTCCTTCAAAACAGTTTTTTAACAGTAAATTAATTTTCTTTCTAAATCTCTTATAAAAAATCCCTATTTTTTATTACTCAAAATTTTTTACAAATTTTTAAGTTAAATGTTAATTAACTGGCTTGGCAAAAATGCTAGTATCAGTACTTCAATTATTTTCTGTTTCTACACAAATTCCTGACATCTTAGCATATCAGTTTCAAATCCCTCATTTCTGCCCTTTTTAACTTGAAAACTCGACGAAAATTTAAATTCGGGGTCAATTTTTTTGAAGTATTTGTTCGAGTTTTCTTCTTTTATTGAGTAACTCGATGGATTAGTCCAATTTGTGCTTTTTTGCAAAAAGTTGCAAAAATCATTTCTGCTTGATTTATTAGAAAAATTTAATTCTTTCCAATTTGAGCTTGGGTTTTCGAATGGCGAAGATTGTTTACGATTTTTCTTAAAAAATCCTGACAAATCTTCTGTGTTTGTAAAATTATTTTGATCTTGAGAAGAATTTTCGTAGTCTCCGTTGATCATTTGCTTTTTAGTAGCTTTGCTGTGTTGTATTAATTGAAAATTTTCAATAATTTGTTGCTCTTTGCTGTTTTCTCTATAGTTAATTTCGATGCTCATTTGAATTTTATCTTTATTAAAAATGGGATATAGAACAGTGCAAAATGGAAATATATATAGATTTAATAAGGAATTTTAATATTATATTTTCTTAGATTTTTTGCTATTTAGGGGTTATTTTCATGAATTCTGAATGGATTTGCATGATAGCTTCTTCTCGAGAATTCTCTGCCTTCAGAGAATCTTGGCATTGGGGAAATTTCTAGGTCAGAATTTGGTTTTTTAAAGTCCCTAGCACTTGATTTCAAGAATAACGATCTCCTTCCTTCTTCTAGCTTATAATTTTGAATTGCGAAATTCTTAACTGGGCTTTTCCCATTAATCAAAGTGGAAATCCTTTTCCTCATATCTTCCTCCTCATTTTTGCCTTTTTTCTTTTTTATTATCCCAAGCCAATTTTCCCAAGCTGTCTTTTTAGTTATAGGGTTGCTTCTTACATAATCTTCATAGAAATGCACAACTTGATTTTTATAGTCTTGGTCTGCGTCATCCTCTATCAATTTATAAAGTTTTATTTTTCTTTTACATATATGTCTCCATGGGAATAAAAAGTACCATGCTACAAAAGATGTGAAAAGTAAGGGAAAATAAACGTTGTCTTTTTTCATTATATATTGTGTATAGCAGTTGGAAACCTATTTATAAGTTACTGAATATATAAAAATAATTATTGGGAGCCAAGACTGCATTGAAATTGATAGACCTTTACCAAGCTGTCTAGGCCTTGAACTTCTGCGGAGAAGCAAATATTTATCAGTCCAGTATTGGAAAAATACCCCACAGAATGCGATAACTAGTCCGAACGGAAAAAGTGGGGCGAAAATAAAAGCAACGATCAGCGTTACTATGATATTTGGGTATAACTGTATTATATCAATAGGTGGGTTTTCCCAAATTTCATTAGCTCGTGACTGAGTTAGCCCTAATGTTCCATCTTTTTGGTTTTTGACTTCTCCTCTTCTCCATAGTGTATAGATCCAAATTGGGTGGAAAAAATAAACCACTGGATTGAGTATAGAAGTGGCTGTTAATAAGAAAAATACATCATTTACTAACCCATATGGTTTGAATAAATCTTCAGTAGAGCTAGCGTTCACAATTATCAAAATAATCGCTGAGTTTAATGATAATCCTATTACAAGCTTATGACTGCTTGCTTTATAAAAGTTCGTCCACGTGTGGTGTTTTTCTTTGTATGATAAAACTCTTACAAAAGCATCAATAAGCTGATTTATCGTCAAAATTGATAAAGACACTAATAGCGAAAAAGCTTCTACTTCCATGAGACTTAAGGTCGTCCTATTAAGCTCACTTTTATTTGTGTAGTCCTTATAAATTTCACGCTGCCTTGCCTTTAAAAAGTACACAGAAGTAAGAGACCCAGCCAATAGCAAAATTGTTGCTAATGCTGTTATTATTCTACGGCAATTTCTTTGGTAAGGATTCAAGCTTAAATTTTCCCATATAATATCAGATGGCTCTGGAGCTTGTTTAAGTGATATATGTTTCCCTTTAAATGACAGCCGGTTGTCATACAAGCAATTGCACAAAGTATGAAAAAACCTAAAAAACGCCCCTTGATCCCAATGCTCAGCAACAGCTTTTGCGTCAGATTTTTTTTGAAAAGTAACAAAGCAGACACCAATGTTTTTTAATCCATCTAAAATATTTTTTTCTATAGCTTTATAAGTTTGTTTTTGGATTTCAATTTGTAGCTTTAATTCTCTTTGAGATGGGTAATCTATATTTTATTTACATTTACAACAAATCATGCTTGATTGAGGGTGCGTTCTGTATTTTTCAAAATAAGCTTTGGTGAAAATCAATTTTCTTTGGTATTTTTCATATCGTTTTTTAGCCCTTTGGAAGCTTCTTATGTCATAAGCTGAGCTTATATCGTAGACTTCTGCAAATCTGCCGTCTTCTCTTCCATTGTCTTCTAGAAAAGTTTTGAGTTCATCTCTATTATAATCTTTATCAAGCCCTCTTATTCATACTGCATATCTTGCAGGTGAAAAGCTTAAAATATCAATGTGCCGGGTTTTTTTACCTAGAAATCTTCTTAATTGAACATAATTGCCGTTAGGCAATGTGGCGACACGTTGCTGTACTGCGACAAGAAAAAAAAGAATCCAGAATTTGGGGTCACAAATTAAAAAAAGTGGCCCCGAAGGGCCACGGGGTCGCTGACGGTGATTGTCCGTGGTGGGTGTTGGCTTGGGCTGACTGGGCCTCTCCTCGGCCCACAGGCGAGAAGACCGACGGCGTAGTACCAATCGGATACTTCTGGAGGAGCAATATGATGCCTGCAAATGGCAAGGGTAGTTCCAGAAGAAGGCACGGGACGGTCTCTCATGCTCTGAGCACTACTAGGGGTTAAGAGAGTCCTTTGCTGCAATTTTTTGTCCAGCAGGTGCGGGTGAGTCTCCCCGAAAGATGGCGACGTCATTAAAAATGGTGACGTCGACAAAAAAAGGGCGTTAGGTGGCTTTAGTGACTAGCGCCACATGAAGCGCGAAGCTGAAGCTCGACTGGCTAGGGGCTGAAATAAACCCCGGTTAACCTCTCTAATCTAAATCTCTCTCTCTTTCTTAATTGAACAGTATTTAAAATCATAACTAAGCTGCAAATTGAGTGTAAAATTCCTTGCCATTTTGGGACAGATGAAGAGTTTCCGTAAGCTCCTATAGAAAGGTCAATTTCCCAGCTTTCACTTCCTTCTCCTCAGTCTCCAGAATGCCCGGCCATTAAATTTGATACCATACAAGGGATTGCTGCTATAGTGATCGCCAGAGCTAAAATTATCATTGCATTCAAGGTAAAATAGAAATATAAAGGAAACCCAATGCCAAGCTCGCTTAAATTTTTAAGAGGACATGTAATAGGAAACAAAGGTGCGTCCTAATTTATTTTTACAATTGGAAGATTACAACATTCGCACATATCATATTCATCAATATCAGGGAAGTCTAGCATTCGAATCATGCTTGCATGCTGAATGGAGCTTACGTTGTGTTTTTTAGCTAACTCCCTCCCCCCTTTAAATTAGAACTAAATATTGGTAAAATTTTAATTATTTGGGTACTTTATCTTCCCTTCAAATTGGATTATTTTTTAATGGAAAATTTTAGGTGAAAATATTGATTTTTATGAAATTAGTTTTTTAACCTAATTTAATGAAAAAGTGCAAGTATAATATTATTTAAACAGTTTTTGCATTTAATTGATAATTTTTTTTAATTAATTCTATATTAAAATAATTTTAAATTAAAATATTGCTTTCAATTTAATTTTTTTAATTTTAAAAAATAGATATTTTTTTAAAAACAAATTTAATCCCCTTTAATTTGGAATAGCATTTTTGTTCCAAATTAAAATGGAAGGAGTAAGCGTAAATCTGCATATTCATTAATAAGAGAGTCCCTTGATGATTTGCTCTCTTCCATGTCTAGAATTTTATTAAATGATATTCCTGTTTCGGTAATTAAAATCATGTTTTATCACACCGCCAAATAATTTAGTTTAAGAAAATTAGCTTGAAAGGTGAAAAATTTGATTTAAAAAGTAAAGAATCATTAATCTTAAACAATTAAAGAGCTTTTTTTTGAGAACGCTAATAAGTTAGATCAAAGATATGACGCTTGCAATGATATTGAATGGAATATATTAAGATTATTTCACAGAAACGACGTCCTGCAATAAAGTTCTGATCAAATTTTCATTCTTCAAAATCTGGGCCTTAGTATGGTTAATTTTCAATTGTTTTTCCTTAATTGATTCCTCCACCTCTGCTAGTTTATCATAAAGTGGCTGTAGCTGGTCTTCAGTGATTCTTTTCTGTTCTTCCATTTTTGCATTGGCCTGTATATATTGATTTTTCCATTTTTCATACTCTCGCTTCATGCTTTCTATATCATCATTAACAAAGTCCATTGATTTTCCTAATGGATTTGTGCTTTGGACAAGCTTTTGGATCGAAGTCTTGAGGGTATCAATGTCAGCAATATCAACTGGTGCAGCTGGTCTATCTCCTTTCCTATTGCCACCTATTCTACCTAGCTTGATTTTTTTCCCTTGATCTTCGTTTAAATCTGATTTTTCACGATCAATTACGACTTTTTTGCTGCTTTCTTTATCTTTTTCCATTGCCTCTCTAACAAACTTTCCATGCTCTTCTGCTTTTATATTTTCATATTGAGGATTTGTTTTGGAGGGTTGTTGAGAAGTAATAGGGATGTCTTCATCTTCATCTTTATTGCTTTCAGAAATAATGTGAGTCGGAGCAGAAGGTCCTTTTACTTCTTCTACACCTTTTGGCTGATTTTTTGGAGGCCTTCTCCCAGCTGTTGTAGGTCTTTCTGCCTTTTTTTGAGGTTCTGCTTTAGGTTCTTCTTTAGGCGGTTCTTGCTTTGGTGGTGCTTTTTTCTCTTCACCTCTTCTGCCTTTTTCGTCTCTTTTAGGCGGCTCCTTTTTGTCTTCTTCTTTCTTAGGCCTTTCTTCCTTTTTTCTGCCCTCTTCTCTTTTGCGGGACTCTTCTTTCTTTCTAGCCTCTTCTAAAGCTCTTGCTTCTTGGGCTTTAGCTTCTTCTGCAGCTTTGGCTTCCTTTGCTTTAGCTTCTTCTCTAGCTTTTTGTTTTGCTTCTTCTCTAGCTCGGTTTTTTGCGTCTTCTTTGGCTTTGGCTTCTTCTCTTGCTTTGGCTTCCTCATTGGCTTTGCCTTCCTCAGGGTCTCTGGCTTTTCTGTCTTCTTTTCTTTTGGCTCTTGGCTCCTCTGCAGGAAGTGCTTGCTTTTGGTATTGCCCTGTTGCTGCTCTATAAAGGCCTTGCAAAAAGATGTTTGTGCTTTCCCATTCTTGGCCGGCAACAATTTTGCTAGGCTTTGCAGCGATTTGCTCGCCGATTGTATTGGAAACGTGCTGGATAATTTTTTCTAAGAAATTTGTTTTTGCATCTCGCTCCGTCACGTTTGCAGAATCGCATTCTTGCTCAGTAAATAACCCCTGGGGATAGCCTGTAGCCGCCATGGTTGCCATGATAACGTCATGAAGAAATCTAAACGGAGGCTTCTTAAGCAATTTATCGTTCATTTTAGGCTTGCTTATTAGCGAGCTGTACATCTCAGCCGTTACCTTCCAAAGGTCTTCGCCCATTCAAAATAATTATATTCCATTTTTCATATTTCTTAATTCCCTGCTATTTTAGAAAATCTAAAATAAACTCTATCAAAATATTTGTATTTTATATAATTTATTGAAAAAAATGGACAGGCTATCAGAAAGCGATCCTGAAGAAGAATATGTAGATATTAGTGATGATAATTCGATAGAGATTATACCCAAAATAGAAAATGATGATGATACACAAATTTGTATCGAAGAACCCATAATTGTAGAAAACAGCTATGTGTTGTACCCTATTGTTGGAAAAGAAGCAGATGGAAAATTTGAGTCAAAAAGAAGGTATAGGGAATTCATCGCTTTGAGAGAAAATTTAAAGTGCCAATGGCAAGGATGCTATATTCCTCAGATTCCTCCAAAAGTATATATTGTAATTATAACCATAGGGAAATCTATGAAAAAATGTAATAGATCAAAGAAAGAAGCTCCTAGAAAGCTTTCTTCAAAAACTTATTAAAATTCATCATTTATACCATTCAGAACTGGTCCAATGCTTTTTAAAATCCTCACAAGAAATTCCAAAAACTCCTTATAAGTGCTCATATTTTCAGCTTTCTCAAATTTACGAAAATAGTTTTCCTGATTACTCTAATTTTATCGCAAATCAAGAGCATATCCTGATGCTAGAAAACGAAAAAATATATTTTACTTCTCATTTAAAAGATTTACAACTTTTTAAATATAATTGCTATGGAACGGCTTGGAGTTTTGATCAGTATAATGAAAGATTGCAAATAATGTATCAAGGGCTGAAAGGCGTCTCCAAAATTTATGCTAAAGATAAAGATATAAAAACGAATATAAAAGTTCTCGAAAAGAATCCTTATTCAATATTAGAAGATTGGGCAAGTTCTGCGATACTAGATATTGAGGCACTTATTGAAGCAATAACATGCATTGATGCATTTAAAGCAGAATTAATCAAAATAGAAGAAAATCGAGAAGAAGAAAAAAAAACCCTTTATGAATTGGAGAGAGGAAACTTAGGGATTTTCCAGATGCTTACAATGAAGCCTAAGGAATATTATATTGAAGGATCAAAATTGCAGCTAAATAGAATAGACAAAGAAGCTTCAAGCTTACAAAAGATCATTAATATTTCTATTGGCCAACTTTTGAATTATGAAATTCCAAAAACCAAAGAAGGAAGAGAAAATTTTGAATCTGCATCTCAAGCATGCCTGAACTTGAGTGTGGACAATTTAACCGCGCTATTGCAGCAAAAAACCCGAATTAAAAAATGCTTCAATTAAGGACATTTCAAATAAAGTAACTTCTATTTTTTCATTCTAAACTTTTATTATATGCTATAATTATTCTCACTTGATATTAATAAATAAGATACTATAATTCTTATAACTCAGGTTGAACAATTTTTAAAAAATGGAAGATATAATTGAGGTAAAAAGTGAAACAGAAGAAACCAACCCAAATGTCGTAGAATCTGACTTTTCTTACCCCAATAACCAAAAACCAAACCCAAAATACAAACCTCAAGGAGACATCCAAATTTCTGTTGGAGATCCTACTATAAACAACGCCTCAATAAGAAAATATGCGTTATACCCTATCACTGGAAATGATTCTTCAGGAAATTTCCAAATAAATCGCCGCTATAAAGATTTTCGCGCTTTAAGAGATGTTTTATCAAAGCAATGACAAGGCTGCTATATTCCTCAGATTCCTCCCAAGCAAATGATTGTAAATTCTATATAGGGAAATTTACAAGCAGATTTCCTTGACCAGCGCAAAAAGCTCCTGGAGTTTTTCCTTATAAAAACGGCCAAAATTCCTTATATTTACCAATCAGAAATTTTCCAACAGTTTATTAGAGGTCCTCAAGACTTTCTTAAATGTGTAGGGCATATAGGCAGACTCCCTTATACAAAGCAAGTTAACATTTATAAAGAAATATTTTCAGATTCAGCTAATTTTATAGGAAATGAAGAAAGTAATAGAGAAATGAAAGAAATTCAGAAGGAACTTGCTAATTGCTTGACCAATTTGCAGATGCTTGAAGGAAAGTGCAAAATGACAGTGGATTATTTTGGTTTCTATCAGAAAGAGATACAAGGAATGTTTGGAGATTTGAAAAATGTTAATAAATTATATTTGGATGATATAGAAATTAATTGCGAGACAAGAAAATTAGAAAAAAATCCATATATTGGTATATTGGATTGGGTTAGGACAGAAATTTTAGATTTATCAGGACTTGTGGACGCAATCCAAGACAAATTTAATTTAGAAGCAGCCCAACTAAAAACTGCTGAAAAAATTGACAAAGAAAGGCAGCATCTTTTGAAGCTTCAAATTGGAAAAAGAAATTTTTTTCAAATAATCTGCCAAAGTCCTAAAGAGCATTATATAGAAAAATCTAATAGAGACATCGCGAAGTTTGAAGAGGAGCTCCAATGCATAGAAAAAATCACAAATATTGTGGCTGGGAATTTATTGAATAAGACAATACCAAAATTCAAAGAAGGAAAACAGCAAATTTATGATGCCATGGTAAGGGGATTTACAAGTGCAAGTATAAAGGAGCTGGAATTTCTGGTGATGCAAAATAAACAAGTTGAGCAGTGCTTTAATTAATATTATTTACATGTATATTTAAATCGATTAATTTTTGCAAGGCAAGATCTTATTTATGTATAAATTCCTGGTAAAAATTTTTAAATAAAATGGTATAAATTGAATTAATTATATTTCTCCATCAATATCAATCGCTGCATATGGCTGGTTTTTCTTTTTTGGTTTTTTCTGCTTAATTCTATAAACAATGAAAACTCCTATAATCCCTAATAAAACTGCTGCTAAATATGCAATTGCAAACCATCCAAACCATCGTATGTGGCCTAGATCACTTTTTCCTGTAAAGTCAAATTCTTCGTCTCCTGGCTTTGTAATAATTCCCCACGTGCTCTGCTCCTGATTTAAGTAGCAAGCTACAGTTGTGTTATGTAAAGTCCTTATAGCTAAATACCTAATAAAATTATAAAATGGGCACTTGTAGTTTCCACAGGTAGGGATAACCACAGGCTGATCGTTATAATCTAAAGTCACAAAAAGGTTTTCATTTTCTTGTATCAATTGAAAAATCAGCTGAGAAGCAAATGGAGGCTCAAAATCTGCAGGAAGCTGCAAGCTTGCTAAAATATTTAGAATTGTCCTGTCTTGTCCTGAATAAAACGAAAACCTGGTTTCCATAGACTGAGTTTTAGCAAGCTTAAACTCATTCATTAAATTAATGAGAAACCCGCTCCCTGCATATTTTGCAAGCGCGTCTGGAGAATAGTAAACATTATATATATATTCTGCATAAAAATTCGTAGCATTTGTATAGTAAGATCCTGAGAATTCGCTCGGAACTGAGTAGCCATGGAATATGTTACAGTTCAATGAGTCCAACAATTTTGGGAAAATGTACACAGCATATTGGTAGCTACAACTGAAAGATTTTTGGATAGTGGTAAACAAATTTTGGTTATCCAGGATTAGTTGATTTACATCTTGGCTACTATTTCTTACTTGGACTAAATACTCATATCTGTCACAATCATAAGCAGGCAAAAGTAAAGCCTCTCTGCTTAGAAGATCTGTATGAATAGAGATAACTTGTGTGTTATTCGGTAATGCTGAATATCCCAGTTTATTTATAATAGTTTGCTGGTTTTCCACCTCTATAGGTGGAACTGAATTGTTGAGTTGGAATTTATTCCTTAAACTTGGTCCAGTCCCAGGTGGGTAAAGGCCTAAAAGTTGGCTAGTGGCGCTTGTTAATGTTCTATCATTATCAGTCGAATAAACCTTTATTTCAGGTGTATAGAACCAAGGACTTAATAATTTTGTATTATTGACATATCGATTTCTAAGCTCAGCCCCTATTAAATAATGCTGCCTCATCCCAGATGGTGAAAGTTTCGCCGGGCCTTGAGGCCATTTCTGCAAGTTATCCCAAGGCATGAACTGTAAAGGTGCCCTGGCGCCTTCTCTGCTTACTTCTACTACATATAAAATTGTGCATTCAATAAGTAGAGGCAGCAAAAGTTTCACAACAATTCCCATTTACTTATAATTATTTTGTAAAAATTATTTTCTCCTCTTCATGGCCCTTTTGTCTTTTTTCAGCCTTCTGTCCACAAATTTCAAATTTCTTCCTCCTTTCCTCAGGTTTTTTCTGTCCTTATGGAAAACTCTGCTTACTATATATCGCTTCTTGGGCTCGTTTCTCTTGATTTCTTTTCTGTATAAGCTTTGCAGCTGCTTTACTTTTAGTGCTTCAGAAATATCTGTTTGGTTTGCGATGGCTTCAGCCTTAGGTTTCAGATTTTCTAACTTGTGGGCGAGTTTTCGTTTTCGCCTGCCTATAGCTTCTAGAACTTTTTTAATAGGTCTTTTGTCGTTTTCTTTGACTTGGGCCCAAGCTTCTTTCATCTCTTCGGGAGTTAGGGGGAGAGAAGCTTGATAGTGCTGCTTTTGGTCATCTACAAACCAATCAGGGAGGCCTTTTGGATCTTCAAAATTGTATCTGTTATATGTGGAGTCCATTATTTCTCTCCTGCGTTTTTTCCTTACTCCCCTGCAGTAATAAGTAATTTCTTGCTTATTGTGGGGTTTTGCACGAATTTCAAATAGTAAATTTAATATGAATAGATCGAAAATTGCTTATTGGGCAAAAATTGCATTATCTAAAAACACTTATAATAAGCAATTTTCGATCCGTTCATATTTTATTTACTTTTTGAAAAAATTTGTAAAAAGCCCATGAATAAGCAAGAAATTGCTTATTACTAGAGGAAAATTAGCATTGCAGTGCCTAGTGCTATAGTTTCTGCTAAAGCTTCAGGGTCTTCAGCTTCTTTATACTCTTGTGGGACGACTTCGAAATCAAGCTTGTTCTCTTTTTCCTTTTCTTTCAAGTCTTTTTTATTTCTTCTTTCTTTTTTCTTTTTCTTTTTCTTTTCTTGAGGGATTTCTTCTTGGAAGTCAGTAATGTCTTCGAATTCTTCTCTTTGGAACCATCTGCTTGCGGTTTCCTTTTTCATGCTTTCTTCAATTATTTGTCCTAGGCCTTCTTCTTCATTGACTTCTCCTTCAGCTTCGTTTCCTTCTTCATCTAATTTTCTTCTTTTTCTGATTTTATCATCTTCATAGGCGGCATTTAGTGACTCCTCCATTTGTTTGATTCTCTCAATTTTATAATTAAAATATGCAGGTGATGAATTTCGATGGGAGACCAGAAAATTCGAGCGATACCATATTTTATTTATGAGGTTTGGTATCCTCTGGTGAATTTATCCCAGATGTGCTAAGGAAGAAAAGGCCAGGTGGTCTTTCCTACGGACTCCTGACTTAGGGATCGGAATTTCCAGAAGTGTGCCACCTATCCCAGGCAGTCGAGAATGGACCTTTAGGGTTCTGACGAGCACAAGTAGATAGCTTGAACTCAAAGAGGAGTCATCAAAGCCCAAGCTTCAAGACTGGCCTCTTTTAGTGATCAAGATCAGAGATGGCCATACCTTTGGCAGGCCCGAGAAAATGGCGTGAAATTAGCCCCAGAGCGGTGCTGGAGGTAGCTTTGCTAGCAGCCTAGTAGTGAACATCAAACGAGTGAAAGATTAATTTAGATTTAGATTCTCTCAGTTTCGTCTTCAAACTCCATGTCTTGATCTTCTTCATAGAAAAGATCCTCTTTTTCCTCTTCTGGGTCTGTATAATCAGCCTCTTCAATATCCATGTTGCTAATTGTAGGATCTTCAATTGTGAATAATTGTTCTTGGCCTTCATATGGGTCATCTATATGAATTTTTGCTTTTTTTGATTTTTTTTCGTTTTCAAGCTGCTTTTTTAATTTTTTCTTTTCTTTTTTGTTAGCTTTTTCTACAAGTTCATCGAGTTCTTCTTCAGAATTAAGCTCATGCTCAGGCTCTACAACAGTTTCTGTAGCCTTTTCTCGATTAAGAATTGTAACAACTCTTGATCGCCATTTAAGTAAATTTTTTAGCTCAGAGCGGCCTAGGAGTTTGGTATCTTTTATATAGTCATAAAAGATGGACTCTGGAGCTTCTAATTCTAAATACCTTTTGGATTCTTCATCATTAATAGTAAACTCATTAAAATCGGCTATGAACTGATAAGGATTCTGACAGTCAACAAATTCAGATAATGGAGCTTTTCTATGTTGCCCCAAACCTTTTTCAAGGTGCACAGAAATGCTGTGCTTTTTGACAGCTTCAGGTAGAAGCTGCCTTAGTGAGTGGATATTATTTTTATCAATGATATCTTCACTTTCCATAAATACGTATTTTGAGTCAAGTAATTTTGGGTCAATGCTTTTAGGTGCTTTATATTTTTGACATACCACAAAAATTTCAGCTGAAGTGTTTCTACTTGCCATAGGCTTGGTAGCTGTGACTCTCCTATATTTTTTAATTTTTTTTATATTTAATTAATTTTTATAATAAAGTTTTCTATCAAACTGTGACTTTTTCAAAGAGTTTTCCAAAAACCCATAACAAAGAATTGTAATCGACTGACCTAAAGACCTTTGTTACAAAAACCCCATCTTTTTTAAGAAACTGTGTAGCAAGTTTAAGTGATGCTAAAACAAGCTCATTCTGTGTATAAGCGTCTTGTTCCCAACTGGTACCGACGTTTGGTGCTCCATCATGGATAACAACATCAGCTTTTAGATGTTTTATTTCAGATTTCAGCCTTGCGACACATTGTTTGGACGTGATATCGCCTACAAATGTAGTCACCCCTTTGATTGGTTTTATAGGGACAAGATCTACACCAAGGATCAGGCTTGCCACAGGCATGTTATTAGCTGCCACTTGTAGCCACCCACCTGGGGCTGCACATAAGTCAATTAACACATGAGCAGCGTTAAGGATATCGAACTTTTTATTCAATTGGATTAGTTTAAAAGCTGCACGAGATCGGTAACCTTGTTCTTTGGCTAAATGATAATATTTGTCAAGCCTGCTTTTTGCCTTTCCCTTTTTTACCATTTATAAGGGATCCTAGCCAGATAATTTGTAATTTAATTTGATATGACTTTTATCTCCTCTATTTGGGCTTAAAAACGTATTTTTAATAATTTCAGCCTGGGAAAATTGAAAAAGATAAGCCCTTTTAAAGCCTTAATAACCAGACTTAATGCCTTAAAAATTAATCGAAGACTTCAGATTTTTAATAATTATGGTTAAATTACATAGCTTAAGTATTTTTCGTATGATCCTACCCATTCTTTAAGGAACTTTGGTAGCACTCTTAATGTGATTTTATCATATATAGGGTATCTCAACAAATACAATTCCCATCTTCCTTTGTCAGCTAAAATATCCAGGACGAGACTGACGAAAAATGGCTTTAGTGATCTTCTTCCCCATATTAATACTGCAACAATATATAGAAAAGGCCGAATAATCCTGAAAAAATTGCGCATATAGGCAAGCAGATTTGGTAGGTTTTTCTCTAATGGTCTGTGAGCTTTATTTTGTGGCTTAAGCCCTGCAATCAGTTTTGGGATTTCTGCAAGCATAATTAATTGGTACTGGATATGGGAAGGAATTTTTTTCTTGGTTAAAAGGTCGAGGAGTTCTTGGAAGATTTCAAAAGCTTTATATAATGCATGCTTTTCACCTTTAAGACTTGGGAGTCTGCTAACTGCTCCCCTCCGTGAGTGAACAAAACCATTAGAAAAATCGCTATTTTTTGCCCAAAAACCCACCTCGGTGAGTGAACAAAAATTTTTTATGAAAAAAAAATTGATATATAAGTGATAATAGTTAGTATAATGAAATCTAAAGCTAATTTCTGTTTAATTTTAAATAAATTGCGTTTTAAAACACAAATTTTATAAATTAAATTAATATTTGCTTCCCAATTTTTGCAAATTAGGATTTTTTAAAATTTCTAAAAAAAAATTTTCTATGAAATTCATATATAAATTTTTTAAAAAAAAATTAACCCCCTCCGTGAGTGAACAAAAATTTTGTTCACTCACGGAGGGGGGGAGTAAGAAGAAATAAAGCTTCCATTTATAATAAAGATCGTAAAAACTCTAATAATCATAAATTTCTTATTAAATTTAAATGTGCGGCTTATTAGAAATAAAAACTATTTGTATATCTATTAGAACTAAAAAATCTAATTTATATGAAAAAGCTAAATTTTATTGACTCTAGTGGTTTCTAATATTGCAGTAGCTTAATACTCTCCTTTACTATACAAATCTATCTAATTTTTTGTATTTCCTTCACCATTAATTCGATTTTCATATTTAATTACTCTTAATTTTTCCTTTTGCAGCCATTTTAATCAGCTTATAATTAAGAAAATTTGAATGCGAAGACTTTCAAAACCCAGCCGTCATGAAACTTCTTCAAAAGACACGTCTCCCAAAGACCGCCGAATTTTTTTCAAAAAATCTCCTACAGTAAAAAAGCCTACACATCCATTAAACAGTTCTCAACATGCAACCCCTCGCCGATCTACCAAAGGAGCCACCATTGAGCTGAAGCCAAAAAAAGCTGCAAAACGAATAAACCTTAATTTAACAGGTGTGCCTACCTTACAATTAGGGAAAGTTACATCACCAGCAGTCAGCACAAAAAAGCATCAGCTTTCAACGACTAGGGTTCATAAAAGAACCCTCAGTGACGGTGTGCCTGATTTCAATGCGACTGAAAGCTCTTTGCTTAATAATACAGTAAAGAGTTTTAAAAAGCCGTCAACTTCAAGAAAGCCAGGCACTAAGCAGGTTGATTGAGGAGCTGCTACACATTCTTTATTAAAAAACCATGCTTTAATGCAAAATTTTATATGCTTTTTGGGTTTAAATAGATTTTTTTTTAATATGAAATGTCGTTTTCACCAAATTTAACCAGCACAATATAGAAGAAAATCCTGAAAAAATGTGGAAAAGTCTTAAACTCCCAGCAAGCCCAGGAACTATTTTAAAATCATTTATAAAAGAATTAACCACATATGAGCAAGGTGAAATTTTAGGATATCATGAAATATACTATATAGGAATTGGGGCGAAAAAAACTAAGCCAGACCCATCCTCTTGCTCTCCTAATGTAGGCTACGATGATGAAAGAGGAGATTATAATATAGTTATAGGAGATCACATAGCCTTTCGCTATGAAGTTGTAGACGTTTTAGGCCGAGGTAGCTTTGGGCAAGTCCTAAAAGTCCTTGACCACAAGTCAGGTGACGAATTTGCCCTAAAAATCATCAGAAATAAAAGCCGATTTCACCAGCAAGCCGCAGTAGAAATTGAAGTTTTAAGCTATTTAAAAGAAAAAGATCCAAAAGAAAGCCACGCGATTGTCCATATCCAGGACTATTTTACATTTAGGAAACACATTGTAAATGATATTTAGTGTATTGCTTTTGAGCTTTTGTCAATCAATTTGTATGAATTTATCAAAAGCAACCAGTTCAAAGGCCTGAGTATGAATTTGATAAGAAGATTTGCAGTGCAAATTTTACAAGCATTAGAGCTGCTTGAGAGGTTACAGATAATTCATTGTGATTTAAAGCCAGAAAATATATTATTAAAGGAGTCTGCGCATTCTGCTATAAAAGTGATTGATTTTGGCTCTTCTTGTTTTACTAGTAAAAGAGTATACACCTATATACAGAGCAGATTTTATAGGGCGCCTGAAATTATTTTGGGTATTTCTTATTCGACAGCTATTGATATGTGGAGCTTTGGCTGCATTTTGGTGGAGCTTTATACTGGGTATCCATTATTCCCAGGCGAAAGTGAAGCTGAGCAGCTTTTATGCATAATGGAAGTGCTAGGCCTCCCATCAGAATCAGCATTTGAAAAATCTACTAGAGCCAGGCTATTTTTCGAAAAAAATGGAGAGCCAAAAATAGCCCCGAATTCTAGAGGAAAAATTCGCTATCCAAATAGCAAAAATTTGGATAATATTTTGAGAGGAGCTGATAAAACTTTTATTAGACTTGTCAAGCAATGTTTTGAGTGGGATCCTGATAAAAGAATAACGGCTTCTGAAGCTCTCGAGCATGAGTGAATTCAAGAAGCGTATAATAAGAACGGCTCAAAGCATAATACCAGCAGGGGAGGCAGTGCACAGCCGCATCAAGGCCATACATCTAGGCATATTTGCTTACTTAAATTACTTATCGGGGAAATTCTGCAGACACGAATACTACTATTCGCATCTTCGCTTGCAAGTCTGGATACAGTCTTCAGCTGTTAGCCTCGCAGACGAGGGACCATATCGCACTCTATATTCAGAAACGCTTGACATGCCACGAGTCAAAAGAGCTAGCTTTCCAAAAATTAATTTTCAGGTCGAGTTGTGGACCAAAATGAAACTCGAAGCCCAAGAGACAAAGCCTATTATTACGCTATGGATTGTCAATTGGCAAAAAACCTCCATCTAGCCCTTGCTGGGCATCTCATTTCCAACTCTAAATTCCACCTCCCCTCGGCAAGGGCACTGTTTGGATGTGAGTTAAAGTTGTCCAGCCAAGTGCTGTCACTCCATCAAATTCGCCAAAACTGGCCCAGACACAAATTTCTGAATACTATTCTCTCATCAGCAAGCCTTCCCGGCAACAGGTGTTAAAAGAACAGGTTGGCTCGCCATTTTAATATATATTACATCAAGACATGCATATAAAGCAAGTTTAGGTGAAACTACAATTAACCCAAGCTTCCAGAATTCGATTTTAACAAATCGAAAGCCAAGGCTTCAGAACTCGTTTTTAATACCAGGATAAATGTATTTTATGCGTATTTATCATGTGTAATAACTAATATAAGCAGGAACGCTTTTATCTAGCACAATAATCATCGCACTAAAGCTTCCCAATTGAGCGACCTTTATAATAATAAGTTAAGGCACATTAGGTTATTATCTTTATATGAAATCCATAACGTGCAAAATAATTTTATTTAAATTTATTTACTTTTAACAGTAGATTCTGCTTAAGAATTATCTTTAACAGCTTTCATGCCTAACTATACACTGATTTTTATTCAATAAATCAATATAAAGTTCTCTATAATCCTTTTCCTTTACTTCTTTTTCTTCAGTCCTGACCTCATTTTCTTCTTGGCTTGTGACAGCATTTATGCTATTTTCTGTCACTTTAATCAATTTTTTTGATAATAAACCCTTAATTTATAAATAAAATAAACTTCAGTCTTCATCAGTAGCTGCTGTATATAATAGCAAACCAATAATAATTCTATTGGAAAAGTATCACTTAAATCGCTAGCAGTAAAATGATGAAACTTCATATTCGCCAACAAATGTGCATCATTATATATCATGACTGGATTTTCTGACAAAATTCTTATTGAGTCTTCTTGGACATCAATATTCATTTCTCTTCCTCTTACTACTACACAAGGAAGCAGAACGTTTGGTTTGGTCTCTTGGGCCATATTTCGATTCAGAAGCTTATGCAGAGCTATAAAATGCAGCAAATTTTCAGTTAAAGCTTTTCTTTTTTCTTCAATCATAGCTTTTTTGGCATTCAAACTTCCTCGAACTGACCCGATTTCTTTGTCATTTGATAATCCTTGATAGCTGATTTCATTACGAATTTTTGAAATAATATTTAAGGCATGGAGCACATTAAGTGCGTCATACACTCTTCGTTGGATATTCTTGAACTCGACTTCATAAGAACTATCAGAGTAATCTTTAAGGATTTCTTTAGCAATTTGGTTGCCTGTAGTGACGCCACCGTTTTTTACTTTTTCGAGCACTTGGCGAGACAAATTCATGAGTTTTTTGCTTCTGTCAGGTGTTGCTATAATAGAGGCGGTTTGATTATCCATAATTTTATGCACCGCCTAATATTTAAGATGGGAAATTTAGAATGATGAAGAAAAGAATGATTTTATAGAAAATAGCAAGGGATTATTTATTAAGCAGTGTTTAAAGTTTCGGCTTTATTATTTGCATCAGAGTGTTTTTGCTTAAATCTTGCTAAAAAGATTGATGGGTCCTTGTTTAAAAGAGATTTAAGCTCTTTTATGACTTTATCAAGAGGGGCAAGAGTCATATTAAATTTACAATAATTATCGTATCAGTAAAGCATCATTCCTGCGCTGATAGAAAAAAACAGATCGCTTATTTTTTCAGAAGACTCGACAATTATTTTATTGAGAATTCTCTTTTTTAAAGCTCATAGGCTGATTGTGATTATTTTTATAGCAAGATTCCCGATTTCAATTCTGTTTTTTAGCCGCTTTTGAGCGGCAAGAATTAAGTCAAATTCAAACTGATGATTTTCACATAAGAATAGCATTAATGTAAGCCCTAATAAGGAGCATTCTTTTTCTAGCTCTTTTGTTATTACAGTGGATCCAAAACCTAACTCATTGGAACAAAATATCCATTGGGTAAATTAAGCGTTTCAATTGGAAAAAAATTCGAAATTTTTATAGGTGAAAATAATAATTTTCATAGAATTAGTTTTAATGGGAAGAGCGCAAGTAATACTATTTTAACACTTTAAGCACAGAATTGATTAATATTCTAATTTAGTTCTCTGTAAAATTAAATTAGCATTCAAAAATATCGTTCTAATTATTATTTAATTTTTTTTTAATTTTTTTTCAAAATAACAGAATTTTTATTCTAATTTAAAGGGAATAAATAAATCCAGTCTTCAGCAGAAACTGAAACTTTTTTCGTAATAGAGTGATGAACACTCATTAATATTTTTTTATGGAAATAATTGTAAATATTAAATCTCAATTTTGCAATTTTTCTTAATGAGCAAATTTCTTTTTTCTGCGATTTTGATGGACAAAACTTTGAATTTTTCTTACAGCAGCAAAAAAATCTAGACAAGCAAAATTTCGAGCTTTGTTTTTCTTCAGGAATTGAATCTTTGATAGGATTTATCATCCTATCAATTACTCCTTTATAGGTGTAGTATAAGTCATCACTTCTCCCTAGTGCTGTTACATTTAAAGGCTCAGTCTCTTCAAATTGCTTACTTCCCTCGTTAATAACACATTTTTTACCTATAAATTTTAATATAAAATTCTTGTAATTTACTATTAATAGAGTTAGAGCTAGGCATTTCAATATCAGGACCTTCTCTGAGAGCAATTGGGTTTATAAATGGTGACCTTTCAATAGAATTTCTTTGAGAGTCTATTTTATTATGCCGAGGCTCTAAAGAAAATAAAGACTGCGGGCTAATTGGCGAAAAGAATTTTGATGGAGATTCCATTTGCGAATGAATACTTTCTACTTCTGGCATTGGATAAGCATCAGGAAGCAAAATTTCAACCTCATTTACTACAGAAAGCTCTGTAGTTAGAAGTTTTGTCTGTGCAAGGTTGGAATTGCTATGCCTCCTAGAAAAAGTTGAAAGCTGAGACTTACATGAATTCATCCTTTCTATATAATCCTCTATATCTGAATCAGCTGACATTTCTCCTCGTGGAGTCATAAATGCAGAATTGTCATGCAAAGTCGAATTTTTTGAGCGATTAGCTTCTTTTGAGCTTGATCTTGATTTTTTTTCGACTTCAATTGTTAATGATGCTCCTTTATTTGATTTTGTCCTTCTTGGAGAAATCCCAAGTAGCAGACTTTCTGATTTTCTCTCGTTATATTCAGTAAAATTTTCTCTCTCAAAATTTATATTAAAAATAACTGAATATAGAATTAAATATTATTTTTAAAACAAAATTAATGATAAATTTATATAGGCTACTTCTATTTTAGGGATAAGTTTTATTTTTCTTGGTTGCTCAGAATTTACTTTTAAAAGAAGAGGAGGTTCTGGCTCTTCATTTTCAAGCTGCTCATTTTCTTCTATTTTTAGAGCAATAATGGTTTCACTTTTATTCAGATCTTTTGTATTTTTTCTCTGTAGAAAGTTTTGCTGCTCTAAGTCAGCGAATTTTTCAGAGCTTGTGCTTTGGAAGTTTGCCCTTGTGGAGTCGTCTTTTTTGGAGTCGAATTCTTCTAATTCAAATTCTATGTCATTAGGATTTATAGAGGGATTTTCAATATTTTTCAAGCTTTCAAGCTTTGCGTTTATTTCTGGGTTATCATAAATTTCTATACAAATTTCAGCTATATCTTTGTTTTCCTTGCTGCCTATTTCTGTATGTTTAATAATTTCGAGGCTTCCATGCTCTTCTGAATGCATTTTACAGCGACAATTATAATGGTTTAAAAGATCTAGATTTATTATAATCAACATGAAGATCAAGAATTAATATTTCGAGAGAGAAGTTTTATGATATAGGTTCTAAAAAAGAACTATATCCATTGGCAATTTTATTGATAAATTAATCTATATGGATCTTTATAAATGGTAATATTTGAGAGAAGTTTGCATTATATGCATAAAAAATAAAAAACTAAAATAAAAAGAAATCATTCCAATTAGTCTTATTCATCTTTTTTCTCATTTTCGCTCATAATCATTTCAATAGTCGGAATTACATTATCAGGAATATCACAAACCTTAAAGCTCTTCAGTCCCCATTTCCCAATTCCATTTCTAATTAAAGCTCTTGCAAACGCTCTAGGTGTAATCCTTGGCCTTTCACTGCTTATTTCTGAAGCTTCTCTTATCAGCTGCATCATTTTTTGCTGCGAAATGGTGCGATCAATTTTTCTAGCTTCATACTCAAACTGGCTTGGATCTAAATAGTCATATTTCCCTACAATATTCATAATAAAGGCTGCATCTCTTCTTTGTCTTATCATAAAAACTTCGGTAAGAGCATTTAAAAATGACGATTTTGAAATTATATATTTCCCACTTTTATTTTGGTTCGTAAAAGATTTCATGTTTACCATGGATAAAAAGGTTTCTTTTCTGAATTTCCCTTCATTATAAATGTCAAGTTTTTCAAAAAACTTTTTTATTCCATCTGGAGTGACCCAAAGATCTAAAATTGTTCTGCAGCCTTTAATAAATTCAATACAGTTGATTGCACAGTCTCCGTTTTTATCAAGCAGCCCATATAGGCCTTCTGGAGATTTGCCAAGTTTAGCCATTTTATGGAGAAGCTTATAGGCAACTAGCTCTTCTATAGGAATATTTTTAGGCTTCATTAGTTCTAGTGCTAAAGTGCCTCCTTCTCTATCACCAGCAAAGGCACGATAAATGTACTCAAAAACATCTGTAAGATAAGCATAGCCCCCTGATGCTGCATACTCTAAAGCTTCCCCTTTTTTAACTACTACTTTTTTCCCAGTTTTATGCTCCAGAGCGATTTTGATTTTTTCATATCTGTCATTCATGACACAAAAATCGCCCCTCACTTTGACAAGATATAATGCAAGATATATAGTAATCTATAAATAAGCCACGATAATAGCTGATTAATACTATATAAAGCTGATTGTTTTCCTTTTGGCATTTATGGATTATTTATATTAGTCAGTATAAAAAGGAATCGGCTGAGGATGAAAAATTTGCAATAGTCTGCAATAGAGCGTTCCATAAGAATTTCCTTCTGCCAATTGTTGTTGCAAAGCTGGTATTAGTTGTGACAAATTTTTCATGGCAAGCTTTGGAATTCCAAAAACTCTTGTTAAATGTTCTATTAAAAACTCAGTCATTAGCCTTGGTTTTCTGCCGTCTGCAATATCTTTTAAGTCAACCTTCAATTTGCTGTTCATAAGCTCTTCTAAAAATTTAAACATGTTAGCGGGTGGCATAGGTTTTTCATTACTTAAGTTTGCTTCTTTTAAAGCACTTATTATTGCATTGTTTCCTAATAAATAATTAGCTTCTTCTTCTATAAGTGCAGTGTCTTCTACATCATGGAGAATAATTTCATCTTCTTCGTCTAATTCTTCAGGTTCTTCTTCTGCAAACCATCTCCATCTTTTAAAAGCAGTATCAAGGCTATTTGAAATAAGTGAAGCTAACCTGCTCATAAATAATTTTTTCATTTTTTCAGTTGATTGACTATGCAATTCGTCATATTCTTGATTTATTATATTTAAAGAACTTTCACCAGCTTCTAATTTTTCGTTTAATTCAGTGATTTTGGTAGTCAGAGAATTTAAAATTTCTTCTTGGTCTGATAAAGCGCCTTCTATATGGACATTTTCCCAAAATTTTACGTTTTGGACTAATACTGCCTCATGCTGCTTAAGCTGTATAATTTTTTCTTCGAGGCTTTCACATATTTTAACTGTTTCCAATGACTCTTTATGAATCCTTTCTACACTATTTTTTTGTTGTTTCTTCAAGAAAACTTCATTGATTTTGTCATTTAATTTTTCTTCAAAGTCCTCTATATCTTCTTGGGTCACTTTGTTCTCCTGACAGTATTTTTCTAAAATTTTTATATCATTGCTTATTTCTGCTGTTTTATTAGCTTTTTCTTTTATAGCAGCTTTATATTGTTTTATTTCTTCACTATCAAATTTTCCATCAGGTCTTTTTTCCAGCTCCCATTTATTTTTGATGTCTATAGTTTCTTGTTTTATTCTTTCGATTTCTCTTTTAGCTTCTTCAATTTCATCTTCTTTTTCTTTCTTTTTTTCAGTGTAGTTTTGAAAGCCTATTTTTCTATTGAGAACTTCGAATTCTTTATCGAATTCGCATCGGGATACTAAATTCATAGCTAAATTTTTGAAATCTTTCGAGCTATTGCTGCTTAGGTTCTCTTCTTTATTTTTTAGCTGGGTTAAAAGAAATGATAAATATTGGTCAGATCCAACAGTTTTCGAGTATTCTTGAAGTTTAGAGTTAATTTCCAATGATTTTTCTGAGTTCATTTTTTCGATTCATGAGAGAAGATCAACTAATTTGCAGCTTATTGTGTCTTCTACTTTATTTTGAACTGAAATGGTGTTTGCTTGGCTAATGATGAAGGAGACTGGAGAAGTCGGGTCGAATAAATTGGTTTCTCTGTTTATAGGGTCTGTCATATATTATAATGAAAAAAATAAAACGAAGAATTAGGATGTTTTGGCTATTTTATACTAAAATTAATTAATAATTATATCTAATCACATAAAAGATATATTAAATTGAAGATTATTCACTATTTTGAATAATTTTATTTTTCAATTAGGCTATTAATTATTCTTTTAATATTTCTTTAAACTTATAAAATTCCAAATTTGCCATTTATTGAAATAATATAATGCAATAAATTTAATCATCATGGCAATGCTATCATTTAATAAAATCACTTGGAAAGAAAGATTTCAACACTAAGTTCTACCAGCAAGCCCAGCTGGTTGCTGAATCAGAACTGTTTCGTCATTTATTTTTAAAAGATAAGCTATGATTAAGCTAAAAGGTGTCTGACAATTACAGAATTTTATTTTGCGCATCAGAAAAATCGACAGAATTAGGTTACAGCTATAGTAAACCCTTAGAAAATTAAAAATAATGGATAAAAGAAATCAAGGAATAATGATTTTTATAAATTGTACGACAGCTTTATGAAGAAGAAAAAATTTACTTACCCTACCCTACACCAAAAGCAAAGGTTAGCACCAACACCAAACGCCAACACCCAAAAAAAAATCGCAAAAACCGCCTTTGTCGGAGCGACTCAAAATTAATGACAGCAACTTTTAGACCCTAAAAAAAAAAAAAAACGCAGCGACTTTCCTGCCGGCCGCTTCTTAAGGAGGCTAGTTGTCTGTCCCACCTTTATGAGGAAACTAATAAATTCATTTAATTTTTGAAATTCCTACAGCTTAAAAATCATCAAAAATATCTATTCATCATATAAATGAGGAGTCTTATATTATATTAATATTAATGGAGCAGAACAACACAAATACCAATAACGAAGAAAATATATCAGTGGTGCCACTTGTCACAAGTAATTTCACTGATTACTTTGAAGACATCCTACATAATGATGCAGCTTCTCTACTATTTCAATCAGAAGTTGACGAAAAAGATATCAAAATATTGTTGAAGCAAATTAAGCTTTCCCTCAAAGACCATAATCTTTCTACTAGAAATAAAGAACTATTATCGCAATCAGGTCAAATTAAATGCAATGATAAGTCTTTCTCAGAAGATTTTGATGGTTTTGAACCCCCAGAATTAATTTATAACGAACTTAGTAAGGTCGGATATACCTTTTATAATTCGGATTCAAAAAATAAGTGAAAAATTGGCCATGTATTGACGAAAATTGCAGCGGAAAATGGTAATGGAGAAGCCATGCACAACTTAGGCATTGATTATATGCGTGGTCTTGGATGTGAAAAGAATCTAAAATTAGCTTGCAAGTGGCTATCTAAATCATCTGTCAAAGGAATTGGCTTATCAAAGTCAAAGCTGGAAGAAGCTTTAAGGATGGCAAAAGCAGAAGAGGAAGAGAAAAATTCGAAATGCATGATATTTTAATAATTAAATATAAGCAATATCACTCTCTATTTAAACATGAGCTGGGTGACCTTAAAAATGGTTGAATTCCAGGTGCTGCATTAGGAATTAGAGTGATTTAATTCTGATTTGATGTGTTTTCGTGCTAATTTTTGAAATTCTTGCTATTAAAAATTTTAATCATATATCAAGAAAATTATAAACAAATATATGATCATAATTATTTAAATATATTATTTAGTCTTTACTTCTCCCGCCATTGTTCAAATGATCAAGGATCGTGCACATAAAAATTCTAAGCATTAGTGATAAAAGATAGAGTACTCAATATATTAGCGAATATACTAAAAACCATAATAAAATTGATGAGAAGAATTATATAGCATAATCTTTTATATTCGCTGCTATCGAAGATAGTGTTTTACTATATAAAAATCTTAAGATCAAAGGGAGGCTAATTTCCTATTTTTAGAAAATAATAATTGAAATTGTTGAACGAGGATAGGCGAGTTAGATATTGCAATAGACTTGGTTAAAATAGCTTTTTATTAACTAATCCAAGAATATTTTAAATGTTTTGAATTTACAGTTTAAATCACAATCCTTTTTTTAATGCAAATAATCAATTATGATTTTAAGCTTTTGCCCACTATTTTATCATAATGCATAAGGTTAATTTCACCCATTTTTAAAAGTCTTTGTGACGTCTACTCTTTCTTGGCAAAAATTATATCCAAGCTTTTTTGCTTATTTTGCTTTATTAAGGCAATAAGTATATGAAGCGAGAATTTATGTACTCAAAATCCAATTCCATGCAATTTCTTAGAAGCCCAATGAATATTCGTTATTCTAATCGTCAATACTAGAAGCCCATACCCTTCCTTATATAATCTTAAGCCTGCCCTCTACAATTTAACTTAATTTTACCATCAAATTTAGATTAATTTTCTCTTCTTGAATTAAAAATTATATTTTCATACTTCTATTCAAACTTGTTGAACATATTCTGATCACCAATATGGGCTGTCATAATAATAAAATGTCCAAGATTTTATTCCTTTTCGTAGCTTTCGTCGCTCTATCCAGTGCCGAAGTTGAAGTCCCAGCCTCACTTTTCAATGGAAACTACGACGGCTTCAAAACCTTCGTAGGCGCCTTCATGAACGGTTATACCAACTCACAGTACACTCTCCCAGCTACCTGCTTAGACCAAGCATCTCAAGGCAAACTTGACGCTGATATGGTCAATATCATCACAGACGTTCTTAAATTCCGTCCTATGGAAACCTACGATAGTCTTGTAGTCTTTGCCAAAGACCATATACATTAAAATGACACACATGCTAACTTGCCCTCTTGGTATAGCAGTCCAGACCTTATGGCTACGGCGAACTGGGAAGGACTCCGAGCTGAGAATCAAATGCAGGCTCAAAAGGTGTGTATCCGGGTAGGTTTTTGCTGCTTTCTTGTGGTTGGAAATGGAGGTGCTCAACAACGTCCTTTGGATCCGAGGACCCTTGGTATTCCTCTACAGAGAAACTGGAGGTTTCGGCCCATGCCAAAGGGGAACAGCCTTTTTCCTGTAGCTGTCGAAGAAAGGCACTCGACAACCAATAGACTCCAAAGATCCTTGGAATCAAGCCTCTCCAAAAGCCTGTAGAAGGACCACATAAATCCATAAGCTCTCAAGACTGAAGCCGCAACCAGGAGGCAGAAGGTACCGGAAGGGCACTCGCAAGAGGGATAGACCCTCTGGGCTGGAGTCGAAAAGCGTAGAACCTCCGTACGGAAGGTCTTTGGTGGCTGTGTCACCAATATGGCCAGCGCCTGACTTTAATAATCCTAATCCTAATCCTTCGCCAAAGATCTCGAAACGATGGCCTCCACCTGTGGAATAAGCCAAGTTACCACAAACTTAAACGCTGACTTAAAGAACAAAGGCAGCTGGTACGTTGTAGGAAACCTCATATTAGAGAAAGACGTAATTGAGTCTTACATCGCCGCTTCAACATTGGAGCTCATTGCCTTCAAGTTTGACAAGGCAGGAAAAGACTTTGGAATTGCTATGAGACATATGGTCCCACCATACACTGGAAAGTCCATGCTATCAAGCACATCTAGCCCAATTACTGAGCTCACCCAGTTTGGAAAAGGACTTCTTGATGGCTTTGAAGGTCAAGTGTCAGCTACAGGTGCCTGTTACAATGACATCACCAAATTCTTCGGAATTTTCGAGAATGGCTATGCTACCATTGAGAAAATTCTCCAATTCAACATTGCAGCTATTGACGACTTAATTGTTGAATTTAAAGAAATCGAACCACAAATGAAGCAAATTTCAAGCCAATGCCCATTCGAGACCTTGTTTGCTTCAGTTCTTCAGAGCTTAACAACTGAAAAAGGACTTAAAGCTTTATATGCCAACTATTACAACTCACTTACAGTGATTGATGCAGACATTGAAAACGTCCTTAACTGCTCAGCTGACCTTTATACCTGTGGCAAGAGCTTAGGAAATGCCATTGACTTATTATTCAGCTGGAACCTTGAGAAGGCAAGCAAAACTCCAGGCTTTCTTCGTTTCTAAATAACATAACAGGCTGCTTAATATAATAATAAAATTGTCTTTAAACTAAAAATTGTGAAATTAGTTTGACTTTATAGTAAAAAAATATTTTAAATTTTATTTCTTTTTAGGCTTCGCTTTTCCTTTTGATTTCGGGTCTGGCTCTTCAACATAATTAGCGTCTTCTTCAATCGTTCTGATACAAAATCCATCAATTTCATAAGGGTTTACGTTAGAATCTGGCTCTACAATTACAAGCTGGTACACAGTTTTGTTATTTAAAAGAGTTATCGCTTGGTCGTCTAGTCTTTGATTCAAAAATTTTCGATTTCCAGTTGGATCTAAAACATCTACATCGCCTGGCGGATTTTGGTATTTTTCTTGGAAGCTGGCTAACAAGTGCAATTTTTCATTAATTTTTTCGACTCTTGCAGATAAATCAGAAATTTGCCTTCTTAAATCCTCTTTCAATGCATTAATTTTCTGCTGCTTTGCTTCTTCAGGGGTTAATTCTTTGGCTTCTTCAACTTTTTTGCCTTTTTTGGTTTCTTCTTTTTTAGACTTTGCTTTTTCCGCTTCTTTTTTAGCTTCCTCAAGTTTTTTAGCTTCTTCAAGTTTTTTGGCTTCTTCTATTTTTTTTGCTTCTTCTATTTCGGCTGTTTCTTTCTTTTTTTCTTCTTTTCCAACTCTTCTCCGTCTGCTATAAGCAGGTCTTTCCACAGCAACAGGCACTTTTTCTTCTTCAACGGGTGCGTTATTTTCCAATCTGTTTAACTTTTTCTGTTTCCCTTCAATATTTTTTGTGATATCTTCGATTTCTTTTATAAATTGGTTCTGCTTTTGAGTCATCAATGCAGCTATGTCTGCATATGCTTGTTTTTTGATTGCATCTATTAACGGTCCGGTTTGGCAGTTAATGTTAAAAACATGCCCTTGTTTGTATCCATAGGCGACTTTAATAAACATTTTAATTTAATAATCTCCAATTTTATATTGGGCAGTTGTCCTGTCTACTACCACTTTAGCCTTTTTCTCGTTTCTTCTCCACACGAGCTCTGATTGCTGTTTATGTATCAAAATTTTGGCAGCTTCTCTTTGTTTTTCTAGCTCAGTTTGTGTCTGAATGGCTACTGAAAGCTGAAACTGGACAGACCCTCCACTTTGAGTGCTCAGCCCATACCGATTTACCACAGATTTTTCTCCTTCTTCATCAAAGCTAAAAGTGTTGCTTAATTCCCATGGATTTTCTATACGGACGCTCCCTCCTAATTTTCCTCCCTCCGTGAGCGAACAAAAAAATTTATTAGCTTACGGAGGGGAGTTAATTTTATTTTATATATAAGTTTATAGTAATTTGCTTTTTCAAAATTTAAAAAAAAATCCTTCAAAATAATTTTAAAGCAAATATTAGTTTTATTTATAAAATTTATGTTTAAAAATGCAAAGCTTTTTAAAATTAAACAGAACTAGCTAGAGATTTCATTATAATAGTTATCACTTATTTGTCAAAAATATTTTTTCATAAAAATTTTTGGTTTGCTCACGGAGGGCACCTGATATTTTTTATGGTTTTTGGTTCGCTCATGGAGGGGGAGTAAGTAAAAGGAATAAATTTCTGAGCGCAATGATTCAATTGGCCTTCAGGTTTGAAGCGAAATTTTGTGAAATCCAGGAGTATTAGGGATCTCAAAGAAGCCGTAGCCTAAGATATGGTGGCGGCCATAGTCGTCAACTGAGTTAACTTGGACACAGACTTGAGGCCAAGCTCGAAATAGAGCATCGTCAGTTGCTATTAAATTTCAAGCGACCGGGAAACAAAAATGAGATATGGGTTTTCTATTTTTCCCACTGGGGACAGCTCTTGAACAATGCGTCACTGACTTCCCACGGTTAATTAAGTCGCTTACATCTGTTTCTGTAGCTCTTGGGTCATAATAATCTTCTAAATTATATTGCCAATTAGGTGGCAATCTTGAATCCATAAAAATATACAAATTATCATCTTCAAAATCTTTGGCAGACAGTAATTCTCCCATTACAAATACTTTTGCTCCGTTATAAGGCGGCGAAATAAAATTTTCCCCCGCCAAATTTTGCAAGAAAATTTAAAAACAAATTTTCTGGCAGGTTGCCAGCCAAAATGGATCTTGTATGCAGGACGAATGCCTAATATCGCCTGGGGAAACTGCCAGATTGGCTATTAGAGTGCGATGGCTATGCTGGGCCTCCCTTTTCCAACTCCGAAAATCCATCTTCCTCGGAAATAGCATCTTTACCTGAATGCGAACTGCGATCGGCCTTTTCCGACATAGCACTCAACTAAATCAATCAAAACCCAATTGGATGCATATTACAGACTGCCATCATCATTTTCAGGTGCTAAGAGAGCAGACTGGCTAGCCATATTTAATATTTGCCTAATTTTGCCTTACTCTCCCCCCCTCCGTGAGTGAATAAAATAATTTTGTTCACTCACGGAGTTGGCTATTTTTTTTTTTTAAAAAATTTATATATAAATTTTATAGAAAAACATTTTTTTCGAAATTTTAAAAAAAATCCTAATCTGAAAAAATTAGGAAACAAATATTAATTTAATTTATAAAATTTATGTTTTAAAACGCAATTTGTTTAAAATTAAACAGAATTAGCTTGAGATTTCATTATACTAATTATCACTTATATATCAAATTTTTTTTTTCATAAAAAAATTTTTGTTCACTCACGGAGGGGGGGACTTAGTTCAATTTCTTTTTGGATAAAAGCAAGATCAGCCATTTTAGAATATATATATGAAAGAGTCGTATATTGCAGGGATTGTTTCCTTTATTTTAATATGTGTTTGTATTGCAATATTGATTATGCAAGTAATTTCTAAAGGTGATAAAGAAAAACTCGGAAAGTTCTCGTTAGTTGATGGAGAATTTTTAAGGGCTCATATTATTGGAGATTATGGAGAATTACGGAAGAGCCATGAGCTGAAAAATGGGAAGTGGTATGTAGAGTATGTGGCCGAAAAAATGAGAGAGATTTCTGATACTCAGCCCATTTCAATGGTAATTTCAGTTGGAGATAATATCTATAATAAGCCTAAAGGAAGCTTCGATGAAAGAAATTTTAAACTTATGGATAAAATTTTTAGTGAAGGCTCTATTGGGATGAAACCATGATATCTTGTGCTCGGAAATCATGACTGCAGGTCAGATTATTCTACTGAAATCGATATGAGTAAGCTCTACCGTAACTGAAACATGCCTAAGCCTTATTGAAATTCTACAATCAATATTGGAAATTCTAAAAAGGTCAGTGTCATATATCTAAATACTTGCGAAATTGGCTGCGAAACGACAAAAACTTTTCCACACCTCCTTTCTGAGTGTGAAGATAATAAAGAAAAGTATTCAAATAAAAAAATAAACAAGCAATATTCCTGGCTTGAAAGCACTCTTTCTTCATTATATAAAGACCCTTCGATTTCTTGGCTTATTGTTGTCATGCATATGCCAATGTTTTCTGCCAGCAAGGCTCATGGTGATAATGAACAATTAAAAACAAGGCTATATTGCTTCTCCATGTTTGCCTAATAGATAAATAAGTTATTTTTAAGAGAAAATCTTTACTCCCCCCCCTCCGTGAGTGAACAAAAAAATTTTGTTCACTACGAGGGGGGTTAATTTTTTTTTTTCTAAAAAATTTATATATAAATTTTATAAAAATTTTTTTTTTGAATTTTAAAAATATCCTAATTTGCAAAAATTGGAAAGCAAATATTAATTTAATTTATAAAATTTATGTTTTAAAAAGCAATTTTTTTAAAATTAAACAGAATTAGCTCTAGATTTCATTATATAATAATTATCACTTATATATCAAATTTTTTTTCCATAAAAAATTTTTGTTCACTCACGGAGGGTAGGTTTTTGGGCAAAAAATGGCGATTTTTCTAATGGCTTTGTTCACTCACGGAGGGGGGGAGTTAGAAAATTAATATATACCCTTTGTTGTTTAAATATAACGTAGACTTAGTATTAGCAGGCCATGACCACCTGATGCAATATATGGCAAACAAAAAAGCCTCTGAGCCTACACCTTTTGAGCCAAAGGTCAATGATACTGATAGTCTTGATTGCGGATATTTGGAGTATGTGCCTTATCAGAGAGAAGTGGAATTCGATAAAGGAGAATATTTACACCAAGTTGTAATGGGAGCTGGAGGAGGAGACCTTGACCCAATTTGCCCAAAGAGAGTTACAGATATGGCAGAGTTGCTATACGCGAATACTAATTATGGGTTTGCTGAGCTGTATGCGGATCCAGATTTACTCAGTATCAATTTTTATTCTTATTAAAAATGAATAATCCATTAGCTTGATGATTAAAAAATTGCTAAGTTTTGATATGTAGTATATTGCTTTTTTATATAAAGGGCTATTTTTAAAAAGAATATTAGAAGATCATAAAAATTCTGAAAAATTAAACGGAGAAAAGTTTGGAACTAGGCTAATAATTAATTTTTAACTAATAAATCATAAATCTAAAGGGCTATTTAGTATTAATGATTATATGAATATAATAGCTCACAGCCTGTTTTTACAGCAAATATCCATAGCTACAACTTAACAGGTGTCTCAAATCTCCAGAAATCTAATTAATAGAATTCTTGATATCTGTTTCCCCCATTATAAGAAATTATTTGGATTTTTCTATTTGTACTTCATTTAGCAATAAATATCAATACTCCTAAAACCGACTTTCACATATTTTATTTCCTCTTTATTAAGCTAATCACCTTTTATTGCGAAAAATAATGAATTCGCAATCTTTTTATTAAATTTGTCATTTGTTGATGAAATAAACTAAAAATATGAAGGAGAGGAACATTATTGTCATTATTACATGGATTTTGATTACTGTTTTTGCAATAGTTCTTATTGCCCAAGCAGCTTCAAGTGGTGGTAAAGAAAAAATCTCAAAGTACCAGCTTGTCCAAGGCAATTATTTAAGAGCCCATGTAATAGGTGACTATGGTGAAGTAGAAAAGTCTTATAGACTCCCTAATGGAGAATGGCATGTAGAATGAGTAGCAGCTGGCATGAGAAATCTAGCAGACATTCGTCCAATTTCTATGGTAATTTCTGTAGGTGACAACATTTATAATCAGCCAGAGGGCAGTTTTGATAATAGAAACTTTAAGCTGATGCATGAAATCTTTGATCAAGGCTCTATATCAATGAAGCCTTGGTACGTTGTATTAGGGAATCATGATTGTATGTCAGATATTTCTGACGAACTCGATATGACGAAATTATACCCAAACTGGAATATGCCTGCGCCTTATTGGAATACAACGGTTAGTATAGGAAATGACATGAAACTAGGGCTTATTTATTTGAATTCTTGCGAAATTGCATGTGAAGTCCCTGATCTTTATCCTTATTTACAAGGGGAGTGTGAGTCTATGAAAGTACATGCTACAGAGAGTAAGGTAAATAAACAATATGCATGGCTTGAACAAGTTTTGATTGATCTGAATAAAGATACAACGATAGCTTGGATTGCTGTTGTAATGCATATGCCAATTTTTTCTGCAAGTGTGGAGCATGGAGATAATGATCAGCTGAAAAAGAGACTTTACCCAATTTTATTCAAATATAACGTAGATTTAGTGTTGACTGGCCATGACCATCAAATGGAGTATTTCTATTTATAATAAAAGCTCATAAATATTTTCTACAAGAAGTTAAGGTCCTTATATTATTTTACAGGCTTTATTCACTATATAATTGGTATACAATAAACAAATTTATTTTTGAAATTAAATTATTTTTTAAAAAAAGAGGAAAAATAAAAATAATACTGTATTTAGCTAGTAAAAAGAACAGTGAGCCTACACCTTTTCAACCTAGTGTAAATGTTACAGGATTAAAGTGTGGGTATATGGAGTATATTCCTGATCAAAGAGAATTTGATTTTGACAAAGGAGACTATATTCATAATATTATTATGGGAGCTGGAGGAGCTTCTATTGATGAAATTTGCCCAGACAGAGTAACAGATATGGCAGATTTGATATATGGGAACACAAAGAATTATGGGTTTATGGAGCTATATGTGGATCCAAGTATAATCAGCATTAATTTTTATGAATATAATAGCACAGAACCTATTTTCACATCTAATATTCATAATTATAATGCTACGACAAGTAGTGAAGAGTTTAAAATATTCTAATTTATTTCCATTCTATAATAAAAATTTATAAGATGTGCTTTATTTAAAATGGAAAAGGAAAATAAATAATAATTTATTGTATAATGGAGTAAGGGATATTATTAATCGTAAATATTTAGCTATTAAATACTTGTTATTTAAATTACAGCAAGCTATTGCTGATAGCATTTTTATTTAGCCTATAATAAAATGAACACACCAAATATGCTAAGACTCCAAGAAAATCCGACTTTTTTAACAAAATTCCAGAAATACACAGACTCAGAAGTATTAAGAGACATTTCTAATATAGAAAAAGGATTTGTAAGTGCATCTCAGCCTGAAACTTCTGTACATAATGAGCACAGAGTTCTTCTCAAGGATTTTCAAGTTAAACTAGCAAAAAGACTAGCTGTAAATAATGGAGAATTTAAACCCGAAAATCTGAGATGGTTTGATAATTAATTGATATTTTCTATACAAAGTAATTGAAATCATAAACTTTTAAAAAATGTAATTTTATAAAAATGGACTAAAAAATCAAGCGGCACTTCGAACACATAATTTCTACTTCATCTATATCTTGAGAATAACCTAAACACGAATTATGGTAAATTGAATAGCAACCAGGACATGTGAAATAAGGCTCGTCTGGATTGAAAATTTTATTGCATTTACACACCCTTTTCCACTCATCTATGCTTGGCACAATTTTATTTAATTGTGGGCTGAAAGTTGCTCTTGTAAAAAAAACGTCTTCTACATCTTCAGTCCTTACAAAGTCATTGTATTTTAATACCAAAATTTTTTCTTCAATCATTTCCATTTCAATTATTTGCTTTTCATCACTATCAAAAAGCTCAATTTCACTGAAGCTTATATAATTTGCAATCTCTAACTCTTTTAGTGTTAATTATTATTAATATTTTTTTTATTTTACATAAAAAATTTTTACTGATGACAAAATTTATAGAACTTGTATTTAATTTAATTAAAAGGAGCGAAGTTAAGTCAATTGCTCGATAAAACCACCTGATAAGCAGTTCCCCACAGCACAAATCGAAGTTTCATCATATCTTTTCTATAGTGGCATATGCTGACTGGTTATCTTCAAGTCTTACTGAAATTGTGTCCCCAGACTTGTAATACTCATTATCAACTTTGATAAAAGTTCTTTTTACTCTTCCGTTGTCAGGAAGGCGCTTTGCCTTCAAAAATTCCATTATATGGGGGTATTTTAATAAAATTAAATAGTTACTTCTCCCTCATTAATCAAGCAGAAATTTTTGCTGCCATAAAGTAAGTTCTAAAAAAACTTCTAAAATTGCCATCTTGGCTAAAATAATTCTGTAAAGTAAGTTAATTTTTTGCGAAAATAAGCCAGAAATCAGTAACCAGCATTTACCTACAAGGGCTAGAAAATCTTACCCTTGAGAATCGCCCTTATGGGTGAATTTTTAATAAGATGGAAATATCTATTCTAGGTCTTCCTTCATGCCGTTGAGCCTTGCCCAATTCAGTCCGCTCCTATGCTCCCTTACAAACTTTGAAAAATTACACCAACTAGAGCAATTTATTCCTGCTAGAGCCTGCGTCCCAAATGATTGGTCTCTTCCACTTAAGGTTCTTTGATCGTAAAAGGGCTCTTAAAAACGGCAAGCCTGAATCCAAAAGAGGGTTACTAAAGTTACTCATAGAGATCTCCGCCCTGTGCGATACCTATTCCATATGTGAGATCTCTCAAAGCACTCCTTATTGCCAAGAGCTGGTCAATCCTTTGTAACTTGCTGGAGATTTTCCCTTCAACTCAAGGTCCTTTGGTCGTTAAAGGGCTCTTAAAAATGACAAGTCTGAGCCCAAAAGGGTTACTAAAGTTACTCATAGAGTTCTTCACCCAGTGCGACACCTATTCCGTGAGTGAGATCTCTCAAAGCAGTCCTTATTGTCAAGAGCTTGCTAATCCTTTGTAACTTGCTGAATATATATTCCATGCTATGTACCGACCCAAGGTCGATTTCGAAAATAAGCCAATTTATAAAATTGTTTAAAATTCAAGGACAGAAGAGATTTTATTGTAATATTCATCCCATTTAAATAAAAGATGTTCTTTATCTCATGCTCATTTTTTCTCAAAAATTATATTTTAGAATGTTTTTAATCGCTTATGGGAGAGTTAATAAATGGATCATTATAATTTATTTTTATAGTATCTTCGAACATTCTTTTTCATAATTGCAATTCATTTGAGCTAATAAATAAAATTCCTGCAAACTCAATTGAATCATAATAATAATTAGACAGGGAAATATCATTAGCAAGCCCATTACACATACTCTATGATAGTGCAATTCATATAAGGCAAACCTTTTAATCCTTATTATTTAATTTCATTATGTAATAAACAATGAACTATCGCATACTCCAATTTGCTATTGTTATGGAATTTATCTAATTTTTAGATTGATTAATGAAATATCTCTGAGTTCTTAAAAGCAAAGATTGTATAATTATTACCATTCCAAATGTATGTGAGATCCGTCACAAAATGGCCCTGACCTTTTGTCATTATGCTTGCATCCACATAAATACCACATTTTCTGTTTTCTTTCAACTGTGAAGGTTATTGGCTGAAACTCAGTACCTATGTGAGCATCGTCACAAAATGGCTGGGTTTTTGACAATCCACATGTACAATATCTGTATTCTTTTCCTGGCTCTAAGTCATCTATTCTATATGGGTTTGGAGCTGCAATTCTTGGCAGTCTTTCATTTTCTCCACTGGCTTCTTTGGACTCTTCCATGTTAAAAATATTAAGAAATTACATGCGATCTCAACATAGAGTTCTTAAGTGAATTTTAATTGTTCGCATGAGCCAGGCCCTGCAGTTAATATACCTGTAGATTTGTTAAGCTAAGCGCATAAAACGCTTACTTGACCGTCTGACAGGGTTAACTTTAATCCGTCATTTTATTTATTATTATGGTTTAATGCATATCGTTTCGGTCATTTTAATTGTAAAATTAAGCTTGATTAATTTTAACTAAAAATCATAAATTATAGGATTAAATAAATTCTTAGGATCTTTTATAGGTTTTTGCTTATGATTTAATAAGCAAAAGTTAAAAAAATAATATGCTACAGGACAATTAGCGGCGCTACCTAACTCCAGGAAAGGTAGCCGATGCTGGGTGCAGTATAAATCAGAGTTCAAATGGTGTAAAACTCCACCTTTTTGAATTTTCTGGCTAGACTCAACTAGTCTAATAATTAGCTCCCTCCATCTGCAGAATGCCCTGAGAGAGGACCATATGATAGGATGCCTGTCTAGCCCATCTGGAAGACCCGAAAACCCTTAGGTGACAGCAAAGCTTCCCCCTTCGGCAAAGCACCACCAAGCCAGAAGGCTTACTTCAAAAAGGGACAAAGTCCCTGTTTTTAGCTTCATCGTTGAGCTCTACCTGCTCCATATGATTGCGCCTAGGATCCCAATTTCCGTCAACGCCACCATTTTATTTCTACCAGAATAAGCAAGGAGCTTGCAATTAATTTACACAATTAAAATTGGCAAAGTGGCAATCCAGCATGCAGCGAGTGAAGGTCAGTGTAAATAAGAAGCTTTAATTGAAAGAAATTTCAATTTGACCAGGTCTAATGATTCTGTTTCTGAAGTCTGCAAGAGCGCAGATTGATTCATTTCTGGACTAGGCACTCATGATGGATAGATAGTTTGCATTATGGTAGGTGCAGAGTAATAGGATATGCCTAGAAAAAATGCAATGTCATTATGCTTATTCTCTTATTTTATTAGATAAATGGATTATTAAATATTTTACATTCTTTAGCACTCCTATTTCCAAGCAAATATATCAGTTGCCCATCTTCAAATATGGAATTGGATTTTTCTGGTATTGGTGACTGAGAAATAGAGAGGTCTCTTTGAAAATTCTTTTTTCTTTTAACTTCTCGAACTGATCTTGCTCTACTGTTGAGCAAAGGTTTATATACTTCTCCTGGCGTCCTTGCTCTTAACGGACTATGAAATTCTCTCTTACTCCCCCCCTCCGTGAGTGAACAAAAAAATTTTGTTCACTCACGGAGGGGGGTTAAATTTTTTTTTTTTTAAAAAATTTATATATAAATTTTTTATAAAAAATTTTTTTTTTTCGAAATTTAAAAAAATCCTAATTCGCAAAAATTGGAAAGCAAATATTAATTTAATTTATAAAATTTATGTTTTAAAAAGCAATTCGTTTGAAATTAAACAGAATTAGCTCTAGATTTCATTATACTAATTATCATTTATATATCAAAAATTTTTTCCATCAAAAAATTTTTCTATTAAAAAAATTTTTGTTCACTCACGGAGGGTGGGTTTTTGGGCAAAAAATAGCGATTTTTCTAATGGTTTTGTTCACTCACGGAGGGGGGGTTAGAAGTATTTTTGTTTCTATTAAGTATAGGATTTTCTCCGAAGCTTTCATTTTTAGCTGTTTTAACAGTAGGCGTCTCAGATTTCCTATGCTTGATGATTCTCATATTTTTTTCTTTCGCAAACATCACCAAGCTGAAAAAGCTCGCGAAATTTGGCTTTATCATTTTCCTCTCCAGAGTAGTAGGCGTGCTATCAATTTCATTTGCCAATAAATTTGGGCTGTCAATTTTCACATCGGAAATTTTAACCAAAAGTTTCATTTTTCTTCTTTTGCTTCTCAGCCCTTCAATTTTTCTTTGCAAAGCAGATAAATTTCTCTTTTCCTCCAAAATTTGGTTGAAATTTTTTATGTTTTCTGAATATTTTCTTCTCTGCATTAAATTATAATAAATATATGAGCAAAAAGCACAAAGACTTAGATATCATTTTGGGTCTTGATCGCAACGATTTTGACATTGCGCACGTTGAAAATGACATTTCTCCTGAAGGAGATTCATGTGTGGCAAAAATCGCAGAGTATTTAAGCAATAAAGAATTTGATGAGAGCATCCAAGAAGAAAGCCAAGAATCTGATACAGTTCCAGCTCCTACTGCAAATGCTCATAAAAAGATAAAGAAGACCAAGAAAAAGCTGATCACGCCTAAAAGCAGTTTTAAAGCTACAAGCAACCATGACATAAGCAAATCTCCATCAATGCAAAGCGTAAGTGCCAATGAAGATGTAGCGCTGCTGACACATAGAACTTCTCATGATGCCATAAAATCAATATATTCGCTTGTTACCTCAAAAATGCCGTTTTCGAATAGCTCGAGTGTAGATTTTTCAAAAAATGATAAAAGAGATATACAAATTTATTTTCAAACCAAAACCAAAGAATTTCAAGATACCCTTATACAGAAATTAAGAAATAATGTGTGAAGTTAACGTATGAAGGACTCCAAGGCACACTCTCTATGAAGCAGGCAGGACCTATATGATGAAGCTGAAAACAGTGCCCCTGTCACTTTCGAGGAGGCCTTCAGGTAGATGATGCTACCGAAGAGGGAAATTCTATTTTCTCCTGCTTATAACTAGCTTAATTTTTGACTAAACTCTACTTAACTTATACAGGAATTAGGAAGAAGACCGCTCACACCTTATGAAATAAGCAAAAAAGAAAAACTGCAAAAATGAAATAATAAACTGGATAAAAAAAGAGAAGAAATTTTAGCGAAAAAGCAGCAGGAGGAAATTGAAAGAGTTTGCAAATCGAATGAAGTCACAAAAATGAGGCTTCAAGAAAAAATTGAGGCTCAGACACAGCGAGCTGTTAGAAACATTAAAAGAAATCTGAAAATTGAGAGAAAAAAGAAAAAAAGTGAAGCCAAAAGTATACACAAACAAGAAAAAGGCCTGATTTTAGAAAATATTAGAAATTTTTATAGAGATAGAATAAGTTTATTGAAAGAGAAAATTGAAAGCGAAAAAATAGAGAAAAAAGTTGTGGAATTTGAGCAGAAAAAGGTATAAAATAATTAGATCTTATCAGAAGCAGTTAGAGAGAGAAGAATGAGAAGAAAACAGTACATCGAAGAAGCAAAATCCATATTAGAAAAAGAAACAGAAAAGCTTCAGTCCGATTTATTAGATTCTACTTTGTGTTTAGAAGAAAAACTGTTGAAGATTTATCGAGGATATGTAAAATAATTAGTTTAAAACGTAAACATGGGGAAATTTGTGAAGAATTTTCTTGATAATTTCTACATCTTGGTCAGTTAAAGTTTTCCCTTCAAAATTTTCATTTGAGGAGAAGTCGGAAGAAAAATAAGTTTCTAGCTGGTCGATCATTTTTTCGCAAGAGAGCCCTTTATTATCATTTACATCCATTTCAACTGTAGCAATTTCAATGCTTTCTTGACCTAAATTCATTAATTTATAGTCTTGAAGGCAAATTATTCTTTCAATTAAGTCACTTTTCTCTCCGACAGAATTAATCCCACTTGTTTTGCATTTTATTTGCAAAAAATGCATGTCACATAAATTAAGAATTTCTCTATAGACATTAAAAAATTGGTTAGTGCAAGGCCTTGAGTCATACAATATAATACTTTCTAGGCCTGATAAATATTTACTCCCCCCCCCCCTCCGTGAGTGAACAAAAAAATTTTGTTCACTCACGGAAGGGGTTAATTTGTTTTTTTAAAAAAAATTTATATATAAATTTTATAGAAAATATTTTTTTTTGAAATTTTAAAAAAATCCTAATTTGCAAAAAATTGGAAAGCAAATATTAATTTAATTTATAAAATTTATGTTTTAAAAAACAATTTGTTAAAAACTAAACAGAATTAGCTCGAGATTTCATTATAATAATTATCACTTATATATCAAAAATTTTTTTCCATAAAAAATTTTTCTATTAAAAAAATTTTTGTTCACTCACGGAGGGTAGGTTTTTGGGCAAAAAATAGGGATTTTTCTAATGGTTTTGTTCACTCACGGAGGGGGGGGGAGTTAGAATCGTAAATATTTTTTTCATTTCATACTTTTAATACCCTTAAGCATTCACTTATTATATATCTTCCTCATGCCTTTTGTGTTTTTATATACGAAGCGGTGAGAAAATTTATAAATCTTATAAGACTTTAGGCAAATTTATATTAAAAAATAGCTAAATATAATACAAATTTCTTACTCTTCCATTTTAAATTGAAAAAAATTCTTTTCCAATTAATTATTTTTAAAAAAATTAATATATTTAAAAAATTAAAAATATAAATTGAGTGGCTATTTTGAATTTTAATTCATTTTTATCAAAAACTAATATAAAATATTAATTAATTCTATTTAAATAGCGCTCTAATTGTGGTCCCTCCATTCTATTAGATCAAAAATATTTTTTAAAAAAATTAGAATATATAACTTTATAAAAATTTTCAATTGAAATAGTTTTTTATTTTAATTTAAAGGAAATTAATTTTTCCTAAAAAATGGAAATTTTATCAAAGCTTTGCTCAGATTTAAAGGGAGGAGTTAGAATAATCATGCTGATAAGGGGTAAGATTTTTAAGTATTTCAAAAGCCTTTGGCAATAAAATTTCAAAATTGGATCTATACATTCAAGCATATTGAATATCAGCTGCATTGCAATTGTGCAGAATATCTGAAATTAAGTACAATATTGATATATAATTAGATGGATTTTCTTTTAAGGCTTCCAAAGCAGCAACAATTAGAGTTGATATCTGGTATGACTGCTCTGAATGATTTATTGAAAAAACCATAGCTTCTTTGATTTTTTCACGAGATATCGTCAAAGTTGATAGAATATCTTGAAGAATTCTTTTAGAGTCATCGCCTAATTCGGGTTTCCCATCTTTTTGCATGTTTATTTAGTTCAATATTTTAAATCCTTAATCTTATTAAAATAAAGTTTAGCTATTATTTTTCAACATTCAATTGCTAAAGGTATCGATGCATTTTTTATTAGATGTGATTATAATTTATGAACTTTTATATGCTATCAACCCTTTCTCAATCTTGCTTTCTCTTTATTGCTAAATTAATTATTTTTAGCTTCTAAATCCAAAAGATAGAAAAAAAATTATTAGATAATTAGCCCTTTTATAAATTTATGCAGAAAATATGGTATTTGTTTGCCTGGTTAGATTCTCTAATTCTGAAACTTCAAGCCAGATATATATTAACTTATTAATATAGCTTTTTTGTCTAAATAGGCACTTAAAAATTTATAAATTCCATTAAATTTTCAAGATGATCTTTATAGCTACTTTGGTGGCATAATCATGATGCATACAAACATATTTAAATTTACCAAATCAAAGAAAGTATTAATTATAAAGAGAATATTTTTAGAAGCGCACAGCAACAAACTTCTGACTAATATTTGTCTATAATAAGGACGAAAGAGATGCTTTAAATGGTATATCTTGTAAGCTTATTGACCAGTCTTATTAGTTGAATTAGCTTGCTCAGAAAAATTGGTTTGGAAATGATTGAAGACATACATTTTAATATTAGAGGTTGGTTAAAATTCAGTGATAATATAATTAAGAAAAAATTAATTATCACCATAAATGCTTCACGTCGCAAATTACTTTAGAGACTATCTTTAGATTAGATTAAAATATACTGGTTTTTATAATCCCCACCTACAAAGGCACTGCTCAGCAAATAGCCCCAATGCTGCCCCATGCGGTTGCTAAAGCATGTAGGCAGCTTCTACCTTAGCATGAGTCGGACTTAAATTCTGATTTCTCGGTAGAATACCCTAATTTGATGCGTATTATGCCAGAATCTCATTTACAGCGATGGCCTGAAATAAGTTGCCCTGTTCTTATCGGAAAACAAAGCCGTTCCTGGTGCTTCAGGTAGTAAAGATCTAAAACCTGCAGTTCAAATCAGGCTGCTAATCAGCCGAGATAATATTGAACCTATCCTCGATGCTAAGTCGACACTTGGCAGCTTTTTGCACAAAAAATCGTATCTAGATATACACAAGGACACTTATCATAGGATGTAATGGTCAATCATCACGCAACATTTTTTTGTAGATACAGAAGGCTATCTTAAAGCAATTAATTCAAGATATTTCCTATAAAATATTAATTTATTGACCGATGAAATTAATCTAACAGAAGAAACGGACTTAAATATTAGCATAGTCAGGTATCTCGCATTTTTTGGCAGGCAGATCAATTGAGTCCACACACTCTTTCAATGCATTTGTTTGTGAATAAAAGGAGTCAAACATTGGAGAGCCAAGAATTTTATTGTTGAAACTCTTTGTCCAAGGATGACTCTCGCTTTTAATATTTTTTCACGATGAAAAAGGTTTTTTTTCTATATGACTCCATAAGTTCTTACGAGCTGTTTCTGAATATTCTGACTCGATAGCTCTAGAAATGGAAGAAAGACATAGTGTTCCTTTCATTTCTTTTGTGAAAGCGTTATTTTTCTCCCCAATTTTTTGTTTATACCAGCCAAATAAGACTTCTAAAATGTATGTAGAAGAGTAAGTTCTATGATATTTCTCATTTAAAGGCGCAGAGTCCATTACTTCTTTACTCGCTTAAATGAAATTGAAACTAAAAAATCTGTTAATTTAACCGAACTATTTTTTGATTTTTCATTATAAAAATTTAGCGATTCAGCGTTCTAACTATTTTAATAGCATTCTAATTTTTATTTTTGCATCAATTGGTATCAAAGTTATGTATAAATTATTATTTTTATCTAAAAAATTAAAATTTTTCTTCCAATTTAAAAGGGTTGATTTTCTAAAAAATGGAAATTTTGCTGATATTTTGTACTAGGTTAAAGCGTGAGTTAGATACTTCACAAAGAGAAACTGTAAAGTCTTCAGAATGATATTCTGGGTATTCATTTATTGTAAAAAAAAGCTGTGTGTATGCTATTAAATGTAGCATATCAGCAATGCCTGTGTTTTTCCATACTCTTTGATTTTTGTCTTTACTCCTCAGAATGTCCCTGATTTTCAATAAATGACGTCTAGCTTGATCTAAGTTTAGACATTTCTTCCTTAAAGCTTTATCGATAGGTGAATTTTTACACCAGCGATAACTTAGCAATTGACTTCTTACTGAAAATTCTTCATCCCCTCACAAATAGTTGAAAGCTTCTTGCTCATTTACTCCTCTCTTTTATATTGGAAAAAATATAGATTTTTTGGGTAAATTAAACACCCTTTATATTGGATCAATGCCTTAAGTTTTAAGATTGAAAGAATAGCGTTTAATTTAAAGGTTTTATAGCCAATTTAATATCTCAAAAATAAATTAACCTTTAGCTTGTTTTATTTAAAGTGGAGATAAATAGAGTACTTTTAGCAAAGTTAGCATTTTAAGTCGATGCATTTATTAATTAATTTTTATAAACTTATATGGATGTTATCTTTTCAACAAAAAATATTAAACCCTTTAATTTGGACAGATTCTAGTTCTAATTTAAAAGGCTGGGTTAGCATTTTTAAAGGTGGCATGTAGCTTTCTGTTTTACTTAAGCAAAAATTTATTATGAAATATTGAATTTATAAATTATAAACAAATTAATAGCGAACAAAATTATTGCATACTTATTGGTCAGAATGTTTTAATATGCGACTTTTCTCTAACTCCCCCCCCCCTTAAATTGGAACAAAATATCGGTAAAATTTCCACTTTTTTGGTAAATTAACCCCCTTTAAATTTGGAACAAAATTTAATTTTATAATAAAAAATTATATATAATTTTTATCTAAAAAGTTTTGATATAAGTTTAATGTTTCTTCTTAACTAAAATTAAAAATTTATTTATATCTTGCTCTTTTTTAAAGAAAAAATATAAAGAGCTTCTATTTAAATAAATTTATTATCCTTAATTGGTAAATTTTAAAAAAACATTAATTTTTTTTTTTTTAAAAATTTTCAAAAAAAATTTTTGTTTTTTTTTGATAAAAATAATATTTTTTATTTGGATAGTTTTGATATAAATTCAATCGGAATTCTTTATATAATTTCAAAATTTACTTATTTCTTGCTTTATTTTAAAGAATAGAGTATACATAACATCTTATTTAAACAAAATTAGCACTTTGATCGATAAATTTTCCACAATTTTTTTTTTTTAATTTTTTTTATCAATAAAAATAATAATTTTTGTGTAAATAATTTTGATACCAATTAATAGTGGCATATTAACTAATAATGTAAATATAGTTATATCTTGCTTTTTTTTAAAGGATAAAGAGTAAATAGCGTCTTATTAAACAAATTTATTGATCTAATTCGATAAGTTTTTGAAATTTTTTTTTTTAAAATTTTTTTTTATTTTTTATAAAAAATTTTACATTGATTGGACAAAATTTTTAGTCCCAATTTTAAAGGGGGGAGTAAGAATTTGATCAATATTTATGGTTTTTTTCTGCAAAGACCAAGTTTCCAAGTAAAATCACATTATAGCTCAGGATGATCTATAAATTCATCTTGGGCTATATAAAACACTCCGATTAAATAAAATGGACCGACAAAACTAGTGTTCGCTATTGAATGAGGGAGCTAAGATATTCCTTTTATAATAAATAGAGGCTTTACTATTGACTATTCGATTCCCTATTCATTATATAATATAGAAAAAATTCCAGATAGTATCAGTGCTCCTATTCTTATAAAAGGGTATATATTTTATCTTGCTGACACTTATAACTAAATTCTGAAGCCTTGACTCAAAAGTTGATTGGTAATCTTCTTCAATCATTTTTGTCTGTAAATCTTTAATTTCTGTATCAATATCTTGAGCTACCAGAGCAATTCAGACTTTTAGTCATTCAGGGCAGCCATCTAATACTGCACTTTTTATATGGCTTTTATAGCAAATTTTTTCTATTCTGTTCTAAATTAAATTAAACCATCATACACTATAAAAATTTTAACTCTAAATAAAGAAAAATTGTTCTATCCTGACCAAAACTGGATAAGTCTTCATCGAAATTTCTATCCACACATTGCAAGACCCTTGAAACTCTTTGGAGAAAGTTATGAGATCTTATAGAATTCATAGACGTTTTTGCAAGACTTACATAGTAGCTCCTGCATTTCATATTGCAGCATAGGCATACACTATTTCTGGACTCTAGAATGCTTTCTGTCACTGAATTGTAGTCAAAAGTCAGTTCATCTAAATAACTGATATTCTTTAGCGCATACATTCCAACTGTGTATTTTCCTCAATTATAATAAAATGGCGACATATTGGAAAAATATTTAGCGAATTTTCCTCTCCTGAGTTTATTGTATTAATAGAGTTCAATTTAAATAGGGAATCAAAATTTAGCAGTGCTAGGTGAGTAACAGCAAGAGATGAACAGCCTTACAGCCTGGTCAGAAGGTGATGGGATGCTCAAAATTTTATTGCTCAGCACTCCAAAGAAAGGAAACATTAGCGGAATATGCACAGGAGCAGAGTTTAGAGAGCGGTAATGTGCTGATCAGATGGCAGACTGCTTATATAGGATGCCTCAGCCATTTTGGTGTGAGAATGCTAGCGACTTCACTCTTACCCTTAGTGAGTGCTTGCGTTAGAAGCCTTAAAAACTATAATTAATAATGGATTACCGAATATTTTCCTCCAGAAATCATAGTAACAGTTCCACAGTTAGGATTACAAGAATGACTTAATCTGCTTGCGAAGTTTCCTTTTAACATCGGATCAATCATAAAAATATCATACCCAGCAGGATCCTCTTTGTGCCTCTCTAAATAAATATTATAAAAATCTGGGATTGACCCTGAGATTTCTTTAGCTTGAATTTTTTCTTTCCTGATTTGCTTAATGACGTCCTGTCTTTCATACCATTTAGCAGAGGTAAATATTTCACCCAAATATTCATGAATTAGAGATCCTTTTTCGATTCCTTTTTCTCTTAAACAAAGAGCTCCAGTGCCTTTCGGATGAATTCTGAAACTGTTTTCAATAGCTTTTTCATCAATTTTTCTTAGAGCTTCTATAGCATTTCATAATTTTTTTGCATATAGTTTATCACTATCAGTAAAAATATTTTTTTCATTTTTTCCTATAGAAATTAGCACTTCAGTTATTTTTCAATTGCTATTCTCTAATAAGTTGATGGCTTTTGGGAGGGCTTTATTTATAAATATTTTGATGTTTTTATCGCTTGGGTCTCCAAGGAGGTATACTATTTTTAAGCGGGTTTGTATATCAAATCCTCAAGTCGGGGTCTCTTTTAGGTCATTTTCAAGGGATAAATAGTCTCTATTAGCGATCTGCCTGTTTTTGCAAGTTTCTGCGTCGCATTTACATTTTTCAGAGCATTCCATATTTTCTGCTCTATCTTTATTAGTTGACTGCCATCTGCATGTGCCAATGTCATAAATGCCTAGTGTAGCCTTAGTATCACACCCAATTCCATCACATTCACCAATCTTCTCAGTCATGATCATAGAAGTGTTATAAGTATCATCATAATAAAATATGATGTCTCAGCCCGAGCATTGCTTCCTGACAATGCAGTCTCGAACATATTTTTATTTATATTTGTCAAGGTTTTGATAACTAGAAAAAAAATTAGGTAATGTAAGCAATTCTGGTAATGTACAAGCCTAGCCCTAGTACACTTTCAGGATTGGATTTTATCTCGAAGGAGAGTAGCTCAAAGTTGAAAGGGGATGCTAAATAGGGTCTGCAAGCAATGCCTAGACATATTAGGGCAACTCCTTAGCTTGAAAACGAGACCTTCATTCAATCCTAGCAGAGTTGCGCCGCCGTGCCGTATGCTAATGGAGGTTACCGACTGTTAAAACAGTTGAACTTTTTGGTCGATCCTCGACCAAAATGGAAACTTGAAGCCAAAGAAGTAACCCTGGCTTCACGTTGGGAAAAACCTTGATTGGCTCGGACTATCGCCACTAACTCTGCTGGGAGACCCCTTTCCAACTTCCGGATCCATTTCCATGCTTGTGATCGACTAACAAGGCATTGCGCTTTACCAAACCAAGAAAAACCGAGCCGCCGAATGCACATTCCCCAAACGCTATCCTCCCTTCCTCAAAGTCCCTGCGCACCCCCTGTGGGATGCCAGCTGCAGGAGTTAAGATGGCGGGCTAGTTAGCTACTCCATTTTAATGAATATGGATGAGAAGCTATATAAATTTTAAGTTTAAACTATAAGTATCATCAGCTGGTTCATAATCCTGAATAATTTCATATTTTCTTGTTGAATAGTTAGTTTTATTTCATTCCCCAAGCACTGTTGGGTAGCTTGCAGTATTTTTCAAGATTTCACTCCACTTATGAACTATAAACTTTAGCTATGACTAGCCCGGTATGAGCTTAGGAATGGAGAGCTTCTCTCTTCAATTGGTCTAGCAAGCAGGGGAGCTCAAAAATAAGCCTCTTACAGCATAATTACCAATTTTTCAGTCGGTTCAGCCAATCTTCACTTGTACAGCCGACTGGAGTGAATATCCCTTGCCTAAGTCCATTGGGCTACTCATAGGCAAAGCCTATAATGCATTTCACAGAAATTCATTGTAATTTTTAAGAATTTTTTTAGCATTTATCCAGACATTTGAAATACTACGATTAATATTTTCATCTTTTGATATAGATAGTTTATAGTCTACCAGTGCAGATAAATCTTTTTTAACCTGCTCAGCTGAAAAATAAAGGTGTGCAAAGTTCTTGAGACAGTCTAAGCTTCTGATTGTTTTGTCATTGCCAGGAAAACTAGGAGTAGCTTTTCTTCCTCTTCTTGTTGTTCTTTTTTCTTTTTTCTTACCTTGTGGCTTAATTCTAAAGCCATCATTGATAAAACCATTTAAGCTGCCATTACTGCTATCCTCAATTTTGAGCTTTTTAGTGCATTGATCTTCTTGATCCTCACCTAGATATTGATTTTTATCTAGATCTGCTACTTCGTCCAAGTATTTGTTAACTATTTCCTGTAATGATAGCCCAGCAAACTTAGAAATATCTTTATGCTCTATTGTGTTCTTTGGTGTTTCATTTCCCAATGCTTTATTTCTTGTAGGCTTTCTGCCTCGTTTTTTAGGCAATTCGCAGCATTCGCAACTTGCTACACCTTTTTCATCCAAGCAAGCTATATGTGTTTCCTTTTTGCAATTTGCACAGTTGATGACAGCAGATGATCTTGAATTTTTACATTTGGAGCATGAAGTCTTGTGCATTTTTCTAGGGATTGTAATATTAACGCTTAAAGAAAGGTCTTCATTCATATTTTCAGTCTTGGTATAAGTATTTCCCGCTAATTTCCAGAATTCTTGTTTGCTCATTAAATTTGTGTAAAAATCTTATAGGAAATATATTTTAAATTTGAAAGAAATGCTAATTTTAGCTGGGTGTTTTAATTGAAAATTATTAATTTCTTCTTAAATCAAAAAAATGTTTATAAAAATTATTACTTTAGCATAAATCTTTAAAAATATTTTGCTCTCTCTCCATATGGAGCAAGTCCTTCAAAGCCATCATGCAATTATAATGGATTCAATCTTCACCATTTGCTCTTATCATTATACCATCGCTCTTTCTGCATGCAGTGCACTTTAGTACTGACGGAGTTTTCTTTAATTTGCAAGGAAGACACTGGAATTTGTCTAATTTTTCTTGGCACATTAAAATGGTGTGGGCGAGATACTCATCTTCTTAACTCCTACAGTTGACGCCCGCAAGGGAGCACAAGACCTTGGGTAAGATAGAATGGCATTCGGGAATGCTTATACCGCCAGGTTTTACCTGATAAGACTAAGCGCAATTTCGGTTTTAACGATTGCAAGCTTAATATAGATCAGGGTTTTAGCCTGGATCAGAGAGGTGGTTATTTTTGTAGGCCATCGGGACTATTACCAGCGTGAAGCCAGGAGTTACGCCTTGGAAAATGGATTTCCATTGTTGCAGGATTCGCTAAAAAAATTAAACCGATTTGAATTTGCATGACGAGCAACTTTTTTTAATGCCTGGCACATTGGCACAACCCTTCCAACTGTCGAGCAAAAAGTGCAGGTACTTGCCAGGCTAGAGTAAACCTTCAAGATGTCGTGAAATGCGAGCTGGTAACCAAGCGGGAAAGAGTTAGGAAGGGGCTAGTACTCTGGGAATTCAGTGAACTTTTCTATAATTAATATTAAAATAAGCTAATTTTACTTGAGAATAAATATATGACTTGCAGCTTTTACAGCAAATTTTGTTCATTATTTTATTTAAACATTAATTCCAAAGAAAAAGGGGACACTGCATTAAAAAACAAATACGAAAATCAAAAATTATAAGTCTCTTTTATAATATCTACAAGCCAAAAAAATTAATTGACAAATAAGAAGCATTATTCTTTAATTTTACTTTTATATAAGAAATATTTTAATGCAAATATTGTACCAAAATAACTATAATTTCTTTGCTCTTTTCAAGTCTCATTGATAAGCCTATTTTGCCTTCTCATCTCTAATGAATTATACCTAATTACAATAAATAAAAAAATTCTAATGGCTAGCTCTTATCATATCTGATATTTAAATAGGATAGCCGTTGCCAGTAGATATATTTTTATTAATAGTAATTAGGTATATATTATTAAGTTATAGCTTTCTCCTTGTTAATCCTAAATTTATCATTAACTTTTAGTATATAAAAACAATGAATTTTATAAAAAGTCTATCGTAAAATATGGGCGGGCTTCATGATATAAATATATAAATGGATAAATACACTTTTCCTCTCTTGAGCCCAGGAGATATTTACACTCATTTACGCAATTCCCTTGGCTTTGCTGCACTTTCTGAAGAAGATATAACCAAGCCAAAATTTGACACTATACGTGAAATTTATGTTCATCTCCTGCAAGTAATTCTCCACAAGCCAAAAGAGGAATTTCTTCTATCAAAACCTGAACATTTGCAAATAATGAGAAACCCTGAACTTTATGATAATTCGATTCCAACAGCTACTATTTACACAAAAGTATCTAAGATCCTTAATAGAATTGGCTGTAAAGATGATCCTTTTAAGCTCCAAGACTTATTATTTCCTGATTTTAAAAGAACCCGAAAATTTTTATCAGCATTTATAAATTACATCAAATTTATGACTGAAGAACAAGAGCTCATTTTTGATAAAAACCAGGAATCTATACTAATGAGAGTGGCTACAGAAGACTATTTAAGAATTAAAGAAGAATACGAAAAATCATTGGCAGAAGTACAAACACTTAAGAGAAAAAGACAAGAAAAACTGCCTGTAATTGAAGAAAAACAGCAAAGAATCATGCTATTTGACCAAGAAAAACAAAAAATTTTAGAAAAAAGAGAAATGATTGAAAAAAATATTGAAAATTTAGAAAAAGAAATAAATGAGTGTGAGCAGAAAAACTCACAGTATGAGATCAAGCACCAAGAACTGGTAAAAGAAATTGCAATGGCAAATAAAGAAATAGTAGAGTCTCCACATAAAATAAAGCTTCCACTAGAGCAGCTAAAAGAAAGATTGCAAAATGAAAGAAATGATTTTGATGAAGAACAAACAAAATCTAGAGAGACTGGAAACAAAATCGATATAATGGAAAAAATCATGGTATCTGTAAAAACAGCTGGCTCTCTTATAGAAAATTGTGCTATTAGTATGGGCAGATACAAAGAATTGGAACGCCAAGTCAACCAACAAAAGCAGCGATCTTTAGAATTGGAAAAAGAAATTCGGCAAAAAAAGATGACCCATTCAGGCCTTGAAAATGATTTACGGGCTTTAGAAGACAGAGTTAACTGTATTATTAATAAAATGGTGAGGAATTTTATACTTCGCCCGCCTTCTTTATGGTGCTTTACCGCTTTTCCCTCTTATATAAAAGATAGAACTCTTCAGGTTGAACAACGCTGGAGGAAAATCGGATAGAGCGAGACAGAGTGCCAAGCGCTAGTGTTCCCGCACTTCTGGATTCCCAAATAACTTCAATGGACTCGCAGGAGCGAGTTCAACAATAGCTCGAGAGCAGCGACAATATGGATAAAAATGACGTCTCCCCACGCTGCTCAATAAGAGGCCTAACTGGAAATTAGTTAAATTAAGCTAATTGTTGTTAGGCTAACCGTATCAATAAGGCTGCTGAAAGCAAAATATTTACTCTCGACAAATCAATTGACCAAAAGCAAGGAGAAAAATCAAATTTGCTGGAGCAAAAAAGAAACACTGAAAAAATGGTCAAAGAACACCAAGCACAATTATCAGAACTCATAGTAGACTTCGAAAATAAACAAGCAGAGCATAACTCGCAAATGCTTTATTTAGAAAATGAGCACACAAAACTGATAAAACGAGCTGAAGAGTACAGAAGAAATATAGAAGGAATGTTTGAAAATTTTGATGAGCAGCTGGATAATAAAGAAAATTTTATAAGTAAAAATAATTAATAAATTTTGTATAAAAATGGGCAAATCTTCAAAGAGGTCTAAAGATGTTTCTCTGACAAAAGTGAAGCCAAAAGGCAAAGAACTAAAAACAAAAATCATTGACCAGTTTAATGAGTTTTTATCCCAGTTCCCGACTGTTATTGCCTTCCAATATCACAATTTTAAGACTCATCCATTCCAGGAGATCAGAGAGATGTACACAAATAGCAAATTTTTGCTAGGAAAATCCTCTGTGTTGAAAAAAGCAATAATCCAAGCACAAAAGGCTGAAAATAGGCCAAATCTTGATGAGCTGGCAAATCATATGGTTGGAAGCTGCGGGCTTATGTTTACCAGAGAAAACAAAGATGATATCATAAGTCACTTTTTGACTTGGAGAGAAAGCTCAAGCTTAAATCCAGGCCAAGTCGCTAGCGAGGATGTAATTATTCCTGCAGGCGCTGGCACCTTTACAAAATTTTCTAACACAATTGAGCCTTATTTAAGAAATTTAGGTCTTCCCACAAGACTCCATGAAGGTGTAATTGAAGTCCTTAAAGACTTTACAGTTTGCCGTGCAGGTGAAGAGGTTAACCCTGAAAAATGCAGAATTCTAAGGCTTTTAGACATAAAGCAAGGTGAGATGAGAATAATACCGAAGGGCATTTGGGAAAATGGCCAATATAAAGAACTTTAATATTACAAGTTGAATTTAGGAACTACGGATAAGGTTACTATTAATTAAAATCCTTTTTTTTTCTCAACTTGTAAGCGAGAGCAGTGTCAGCTCTGAATAATGGTGTAGATGAATCCAATCGATAAAATCTAACTACCTCAAGCCTCAAAAGGACTCTCTTATCGGGCCATCAATAGTCTTTTAAGTCCAAAGCCATCAAATAATTATTGGTTCCTCTCACCAGGACCGCTAAAAGGGAGTTTGCCTTTTAAGAGCATGCCATTTTAAATTATGAGTTGAATTTAATCTTTTCTTTTGATAAAGTTTTAGGTTTGCCGATAAGTTTTAACATCCCTTCTTCTGATTCTCGCAAATTGAATTTTCTTTTGTTTACACTTTTAGCTGAAAGATCATAAAATTTATGCAATTTTGGTGCAGTAGGAGATTTTGGAGACCTTCCTAAAGTGTGAGCCTGAGGAAGTGAAATGTTTAAATCTGGGGTATGCGTTTCAACCATTAAAGGATTAGATATTCTTTTATAAAATAACGGAGTTTGGCTTCTTTTGAAATAGCGTGATACAGCTTTTTCAGAGTTTTCTTGTTCTTCTTTTAATTTGTTTAAAATATGCAATGGGCCTTCTTTGTGATTTTTATCTCTTTCTATTTGTATTGCAAGTAGTTTGCTAAAGAGCTCATTATATTCAAATCTGACTCCATATTTCGTCGGGTCTCGAAGTTTTCTTTTTCTTTGTGTTGTGTCGTTATTTATCATTATAAAAATTAATTAAAAAATTATGGAATAGCATTTTTGAGCTCTTCCATGCTTATTATAAAGTTTTGATGCTTTTGCTTCATTGATGCATTATTTTGGCTTGAAAAATCGATTTTTATAGAGGTTTCATCTTCGTCAAATGTCACTTCGGCTTTTAGCTTTTCTAAATCTCAGAAGCTTTTAGTATTTTTCTCTTCATTGCTTGTTTTGTCTTCTTCGTCATTATTTGTTTCTTGATCAATTTTTGCAAATTCACTGCCTTCAAGCCTTGTCTCGAGAATCTGTACCACTTTCTCTTGAATCCCTGATGCTAAATTGCTGATTTTATTTTTCCTTTTTAAATTTTCTGTGATCCTCTCTAATTCTTCTACAGGTGGGAATTTTGTCCTTGTGTTTGGATCTTTTGGGCAGTCTTCTTTTATATGTCCGAATTCTCTGCAGCTCTATATTAAATTTACAGTACACAAATTTGATACAGTTTTTGTCTGATTTAACTCAAACTCATCATCTTCTTTAGAAATATGCTTACTCTCCCATTGTAAATTGGAACAAAAAAATCTATTTCATAAAACTTAATATATAAGCTTTATTCAACTGTTTAAATAATATTCTAATAAGTTTTCTAGTTAAAAATACAAAAATATACAGTAAATTTTCGAATTTGGCAATATGAAATTAGACATCAAAGCTATTTACATAATTTTTTTTCTCTTGTATAAAAAATAATTTAAATGGTTAATTCACCGATATTTTGTTCCACTTTAGGGAAAAAGTTAGAAGTGACACACCCAGATGCTTCTTTTCCTATTTTCCCACAGCAAAATCATATATCATCTATAATCTTGCTTGGATGTGTTCTACATGATCAATTGAAATTATCTTTTTCTGTATAAGGCCTTTGGCAATTTTTGCAGATTCTTTCATCTGCTTCAGAGCTAGCAAAACGATGCTGAAAAGATTTCAGTCTCATACGTAATCGGTTATATTCTTGATTCAAATCTCCAAATTTTTTTTCAAATTCGCTAGCTTGAAGCTTATATTTTTCTCTTTCCTGTTGGGCAGTTTGCAATTCTCGCTGAAAATTTCCTGCGTTTTCTTTAAAAGTCCTGACTATTCTGTCACGTTGGTTTTTTAAGTCATCTTTTACGATACTTAGTTCTTGAGAAGCTTCAAGTAAAGAGTCTTTAACCTTAATAATACTATTAAGTTCTTCAATTAAATTCAGGTTAAAGCTTGCAAGGAAAAATAAATTTTTACGGAGAATTTCAATTTCATTTTCAAGCTGAGAAGCAAGTGAAGCATTCCCTGCAATATGGTCAAATGCTGTAAAAAGACCTTTTAAGCGCTCTCCCATAATTTCGTTTTCAAGGACTAATAAAGAGGCACCATGCTCGAGCTGAATTGCTTTATTTCTTAATTTATCATTACCAGCTTTTTCTTCATGCAGCTCTTTGCTTAACTTTTCTTTAATTTCAAAACATTGGTCATATTTTTCTTTGTATTCTTCTAGCTGCAGTTTCATAAATGTAAAATTAATTGCTAAATTACTGCAATCGTGCTGCAATGATAAGCACTGCAAGTTTAATGCAAAAATCAATTAAAAATGCCAGTTAGGGGTAGGACTTAGGCCCTAAATCCGAGTTTAGTGAGAGAAGTCTACGGCTTCTTGTGAAGATTTATTTTAAACTTTAACTTAAATGCAAAAATATTGGTTTCATTTTGGATATTTTTCTCTTTTAGTTTTTCATACTCATAATTAATTGATTCTTTTTCTTGCGTTATCTCATAAACTTTTCTCTGCAAACTTTCATTTTTTTCTCTTAACTTTTGTATTTCGCGATTTAGCTGGGTGCTTAAATTTAATTCAGCATATACAGTTCCTTCATGCTCACTGAAGCTTTGACTCCTCTTTTCTTCATCTTTTAGCCCAAATACCCTTTTTCTAAGTTTTTCCGTCCTATTTCGGTTATCATAGTTAAACATAGGTATCAAAAAATCTTTAATTACTTGGGCAGCTGTTTCTGGGTTAACCTTAATTCCATTTCTCATCGTTCTGTTTTTAATTTTATACAAATTTGGAAAATTTTGTGATGAATTTAAAATAGAATTTTTAGTATCTGTAGGAGTGCTCATTTTTCTTTTATGCCTATTTGAAGATGCTGGAGAGAATGATCTTGATATAGACCAAGCTAAGGATGATGAGATTGTCTGAGAAAGATTTTGTGCCTTCGACATTATGATTACCTAACGATTATTCATCATATTTTTATTTACTTTATTATTTAGAAAAATAATGAAAATCATGAGAGCTATGGGAACATTTATCCCTAATAAATCACACAAATTTCCAAAGGACGGAAAATTGCTGATTTTTTCGACAGATTTGTTTAAAACGATGAACTTTTTCACTGGTGTTGGAGTATTAGGACAGATAGGAAGTTTAGCTTATTTTCAGTTGGTGAATCCATCTTATTTTTCTATAGCTATATTTGGGATAAGTTTATGAGGCAGCATTTGGTCTTGAAGAGAGGCAAATTATGCGGTGGAAGATGTTAAACTTTTAACGGATGGAAAAATAATTGAAATAAGAACATGCAGCTTTAGAAAGAAGTATAAAATCATATATTTGCCAATTATTGATATTAAAGGAAGCCAAGATAAAGGCTATTATTATCTCTTTCATAATAAGTGTCGATATTGGTTGGATAATAGTGGAACTATATTCCACAAAGATTTATTTGACGCAATACTTAAAGGATCAGAAATTAGCACAACACTATTCATTAAAGAATTTAGGAATTACTAAAAGTAAAATAGTAGCTTTATATTGATGATATAGAAGTTTCTTTTCAATAGCGCGATAAGGCGCATTCCTAGGTTTTACCGGATGATCTTAAACATATGAAAACTTGCTATTCTTTATTCATGGGGGAGAAAAACAGCCTAAATAAAGAATTCTGCCTGATCAATCTCGAGAACTTGAAGAGAGGCTGTGTGAAGAATTTACATTTTGGTTCGTCAAATGAATCTGACGAGCCAATTCTGGCCAGTACTTGAAATGAAAAATGGTGTTGCCAGAATTTTATTAATTTTTTGATGGTGAGGATGATCAGAATTTTAATAAATGGCACAGGATCAGACAACTTATTCCTTTCAAACCGATCTAATAATTCCTTTGGTAATAATTATAACTGCTTTATAAAAGCCAAAGTTTGTGCTAAGCGCTTATTGTTCTTTACGAAATTACTAATGACTAACTTGGTTTTCGTTAGAAAATTAAAATGGAGTTAATAATTAAAAACTTGTTGATCGAGTTGTGTTTTTGCGGAAGGATAGATTTCTAAACAAATGATGCCAATTTAATTATGATTAACTGCTTTATAAAAGCCAAAGTTTGTGCTAAGCGCTTGCTCTTCTTTCCGAGCTTACTAATGACTAACTTGGTTTTCGTTAGAAAAATTAAAATGGAGTTAATAATTAAAAACTTGTTGATCGAGTTGTGTTTTTGCGGAAGGATAGATTTCTAAACAAATGATGCCAATTTAATTATGACTAACTGCTTTATAAAAGCCAAAGTTTGTGCTAAGCGCTTGTTGCTCTTTACGAAGTTACTAATGATTCATATGGTTTTCGTTAGAAAATTAAAATGGAGTTAATAATTAAAAACTTGTTGATCGAGTTGTGTTTTTGCGGAAGGATAGATTTCTAAACAAATGATGCCAATTTAATTATGATTAACTGCTTTATAAAAGCCAAAGTTTGTGCTATGCGTTTGTTGTTCTTTACGAACTTACTGATGACTCATATGGTTTTCGTTAGAAAATTAAAATGGAGTTAATAATTAAAAACTTGTTGATCGAGTTGTGTTTTTGCGGAAGGATAGATTTCTAAATAAATGATGCCAATTTAATTATGACTAAATGCTTTATAAAAGCCAAAGTTTGTGCTAAGCGCTTGTTGCTCTTTACGAAGTTACTAATGACTCATATGGTTTTCGTTAGAAAATTAAAATGGAGTTAATAATTAAAAACTTGTTGATCGAGTTGTGTTTTGCGGAAGGATAGATTTCTAAATAAATGATGCCAATTTAATTATGATTAACTGCTTTATAAAAGCCAAAGTTTGTGCTAAGCGCTTGCTCTTCTTTCGAGCTTACTAATGACTAACTTGGTTTTCGTTAGAAAATTAAAATGGAGTTAATAATTAAAAACTTGTTGATCGAATTGTGTTTTTGCGGAAGGATAGATTTCTAAACAAATGATGCCAATTTAATTATGATTAACTGCTTTATAAAAGCCAAAGTTTGTGCTAAGCGCTTGCTCTTCTTTCCGAGCTTACTAATGACTAACTTGGTTTTCGTTAGAAAATTAAAATGGAGTTAATAATTAAAAACTTGTTGATCGAGTTGTGTTTTTGCGGAAGGATAGATTTCTAAATAAATGATGCCAATTTAATTACGATTAACTGCTTTATAAAAGCCAAAGTTTGTGCTATGCGCTTGTTGTTCTTTACGAACTTTACTAATGATATTAAAATTTTACTCTTATAATATTTTTAAATTTCTTTCAAATGTTAAAAAATAAAATTTTAAAATAATTATATCAATATAAATAAATTTTTTATAAAAAAATATTTTAAAATAAAATAATAATTTTATCTTTTATAAAATGGGGCTTTAATTTTAACAATATTTTTTAAGTGGGTTGTCCTATCCTGTGCCATTTATTAAAATTCTGATCATACTTGCCATCAGAAAATTGATAAAATTCTGGCAACTATCATTTATAATTTCAAGTACCGGCCAGAATTGGCTTGCCAGATCCATTTGACGAACCAAAAGTGTAAATTTGCAAATAGCCTCTCTTTAAGCTCTCGAGATTGATCAGCCAGTACTCTTTATTTTCACTGTATGACTCTCTTACAAAGAAGGAACATCAGATTTTCATGGCCCAAAGACCTTTTAGTCAAACCAGGAAGCACGCCTTATCGCGCTATTGAAGAGAAAGTTCTATATCTGATTTTAATTAAAATGGGTTATGAAGTCGAGAGATTTATTGAATCTGTCAATGCTGAGCTGATATGTGAAATCTGTTCAGACGTTCTAGAGGATCCTATGGAATGCTCAGTTTGTCAGACAAATTTCTGTAAAACTTGCATCGAAGATTGAAGTAAGCGACGAAATGAGTGCCCAAAGAGGTGCAAGCTTGCTCTACAGAAGCCACACAGGTTTTTAAAACAAATCTTAGGGAATCTGAAGATTTACTGCCAAAATAAAAACGATGGATGCGAAGCTGTGATTAATCTAGAAAATCTGGTTAAACATGAAAATGATGAATGCCTCTTCAAGAGAGTTAAATGTCGGTATTTAGATTGCAATGTATTTCTAGCCAAAAATATTATTGAAGAACATGAAAAAGATTGCGTCAAAAGAACTATAGCCTGTGGAGATTGTGGAGAAGAATTTAAATATATCGACCTCGACAGCCACTCTTGTGTCAAATTTTTAGCTGGGATCGTCCAGACATTATCTCAAATCTCGAAAGAAAACGAAATAAAAATCTTTGAGCTGGAAAGAAAAATGAGAGAAAATGGAATCGACCAAAATATGGTACATCCAGGAGTCATATGTAATAATTGCCATGATGAGCCAATAGTAGGTACGAGGAATGTATGTTTGGACTGCCAAAATTATAATCTCTGCTGAAAATGCAAAGCTTTAGCCAAGCATCCTCATAATAATTTCTTTCAGCTTGCTCGAGCTGGAGAACATGAAGGAGTCACTTGTGATGGCTGCCAGATAACTCCGCTTCGTGGGATCAGATTTAACTGCAAAATCTGTGAAAATTTTGGTAATTTTTATATAGATTTTTGCCATGACTGTAAATTAACTATACCGCATAATCATGATTTTAATATTTGGGCACCTTATTTCATATTTATTCGGCCTGTCGGAGAAATCCAAGTTGCTTTCAGAACTGGGGATATCATGATAAGGACATTTGAAATTGAAAATTTAGGAAACGAACCTATAAAAGATATTTTTATGAACTGCGTTGCTGGGGAATCATGCAGTATTTTATAATTAGTTCGGAGCTATGGGCTTTCTTTTAACCTTGAAATCCCTTCAAAGACAGTAAAAATATTGACGATAAAAGAAAAAATCACCAAAGTTGAGCCAGGGAGCTATTTGGGATTATGAAGACTATCCACGATGGAAAGAAGGGCTTATTTTGGGCCTGAAATAAAGATAGAAATAATGATTATCGAATAAACTGTTAACTACTAGGTTTATATTCCAGTATTAAAAGCTTCTTATACATTTCACACATTTCTCTAGGGCAGTATTTATGGAGTTCTTGTACAGGGTATAGAGTGTGAAATAAACTTTCGTCTTCTCATTCCACTTCTCCTAAAACAACTTGATTTATATCATCATATAAAATCTGAGAAATTCGTTTTACTTTATCATTTCGATCGAAACTGCCTTGGATGTTTTCGACTAGGTTGGTCTTATGAGAAATGTCATATTCTTCGTAAAGATCTTTACAATTGCTAAGATTTTCAATCGGTTCCCAAGAATTGTAGGAATCATCAAAATTTTTCCATTTAACTAAGTAAAAGATTGATTTTCTAGTGATTTTTTTGTCAAGGATGGCTTCGACTTCATATTCTTCTGACATTTATAAAAAATGCCCAAAAGAAATAGATCGAGGTCAAGCTCTTATTCACGCTCTCGTTCTCGTTCTAGATCGTCGTCTTCATCATATAGTAGCTCTCCTTCTCGAAGCCCATCTCCCACATCAAGAGCTATGGTTCCTATGCCAGATCCAGATTCATCTTTAGTTGTAGACTTTCTTCACTCATTTCAGGAATCTAATGCTGCGAGATCAGATAAAATTGACTCAAGAATTTATATACTGCTGATTTCAAATACCTTTATATCTTTAATATTTCTGCTCCAGTTTTATAATTCATATTTATTATCACACTATAAAGAAATGGCATGGAGATTAACTACAGTTAGAATATCGATAATTTGCCTACAGACACAGATGAAGCTGAATTCACTGACACTTTTATATCCTCTATGAGAGCTTTAGGACTTATAACTCGCCAAGGTAGCCCTTTATTAAATTCGTGGCGACCTAAAAATAGCACATTTATTTTTTTCGATTTCCGCAGCGTAGAAGAAGCTAATAATGCTCTAACACTCCAAGGAATGACCTATAGAAGCAAAGAAATAAAAGTTTCCAGGCCCAAACACTATACAGGCTCTCAGCCAATGAATGCAAATGCCATGAGCACACTTTTTGGAAATTACGCCAATAAAAATATCCAGAAAATGCCTTTAGAAGAAATTTGCAAAAAAAATCTTCCAAGCACGAGAAGAATAGATCCAGTGACAAAAGTTTTAGTTTTGAGGAATATTATAACTGCCTCAGAAATACAAACAGATACAGAATATTTAGATATTATAAGCGATCTCAGATTTGAGCTTGAAAAGCATGGAACTATTTTATCTTTAAGTGTGCCAAGGTGTGGGGAAAAGGGGATTGGGAATGTTTATGTAGAATATTCAAACGTAACTGAGGCATCAAATGCAAGAAAAATAATTGCAACGAAAAGATTTGCAGGAAAATGGGTTGATGTTAGATTTTTCCCTGCTATCATGTACGAAAATAAAGATTTCAGGGAGTCATGGGAAATTAATGCTATAACTAATACTTAAATAATAAGGACATTTTAATGATCAAGAAAGCCACTCTCTTAGGCCTCGCTGGAGTTTCGATTTTTTTCGTTTTTCTTTGTCATTCCTTAAGAAACAGTGAAAAAAATGATAATATTTCATATATTTCAGTAATATCTATTTAGAATCTAAGCACTGTTGGTAACGCAAAAGTCAAGAAAATTAATTGTAAAAGATTTCAGTGCCCTTGGCTTAAATACTTACCAAATGATAGATGAATAGAAAATTACCAAAATAAAACAGCTTTGAAATATTATGATGACGTAGAATTGAAATTTGGCTCTGCAGAAAAAAACCTGTATTGCTTGCCGCAATCATTTGGGTATGATGAAAATGAAGCAAAAATAGTTTTTCCTTTAAAAAATTACCCAAAGTGCAGAGAAAAGTACCCAAATCTCAAAGAATCTATGTTTATGAATATAAAAGAAAATACTTTGACAATGAACTGCACAGGAAATTTCATGGGAAAATATGTGCTAGGCATGAATTCTTATAACGAGTCATTTATATTGGAAAGTGCGTTCAATAACCCAATCCGGCTATATAATGGGCCAGTAACTCTGAAAAATAACGAAGAATGGGCTTTAGGAACCTGCGAACCAGATGGAGAATATTTTGATCAAATACAATATAAGTTTCGTTATAAAATGGAGACAAAAGAAAGAGTTTTCTCCAAAATGTTAGAAAATCATAAAAGTAGCTCCTCTATAGAAGCGCCCAAAAAATTAATTATTCTTTTAATTTCAATTGATTCTGCTTCAAGGAGGCATTTTTATAGAAAACTCCCAAATACAGTTAATTTGCTAAATTCCCTTAATGATGAGGAATATAAGGTCTATGATTTTAAAATCCATAATGTCATAGGAGATAATTCAGTGAGAAATGTAATTCCTCTATTTACCGGGAGTTCGAGAATATATCATGTAGGAGATAAAGAGGATGAATGAAACATGAACAAATTTTATCATGGAGATGCATTGGGAAATTCTTCTATTTTTTGGTATATGAAAGAAAGAGGATTTGCTACACTGCTAGGATTTGAATTTTGTTCGCATTATTTTGCTAACTATATGGGTGACAAGCCAGATATTGACCATATAATGGGGAATTTTTGATGTGGCGCGCAAAAGCATTGCGGCTACTCCTATGAAAAAATAGCTATTGGGCAAAGATGTTTGGGAACTAACATGTCGCACAAGTATATGTTTGATTATTTATCAGAGTTTACGTCCCAATATAATGAACTTAACCAATTTATTTATCTTCATGTAACGGCAAACCATGAAGCATCTGGCACCCTTATTGAAACTTTAGACGATGACTTATCTTCTTTCTATATTTAAGTTTATTGAATTACTCTAGCATTTTAAATGCCTATAAAGTCCCCTTGCTTGAGATTCAGCTAAATTAACAGCTCTGAACAACGATAGGTGAACCGGCCTAACCGTCGAACCGTTAAAGTTAATAAGCTCGTTAAGACTTCTCTAGTCAGTGCCAGACATAGCAGTGACCCTTCTCTTCAAAGCCGAAGCTCTCAAGAAGATTGACTTCTCGCACTGAGCTCGGTATATAGGTCCATCCTGTTCGAGCAGGAGCTAGGACCTATTCCTAACTGACATTTTTAATATTTGTCTTTTCTATTAAATTATTTTTCTATTATTAAAGAGACAGGCCATGAGTTGGCTTTATTTTTGCATGGAGACCATGGGATGCGCTATGGTGAGTGATATAGAAACCCAGCTGCTTTTCAAGAGCACCGTCTTCCAGCTTTATTTCTAATCGCAAGCGATTCCATTCTCAAACGATTACAGTATTCTTACGATATTTTATTACACAATTCCAAAAGATTAGTCGGCAAACTAGATCTTTATTTGACGCTAAAGCATCTATCGAATCTTCCATACTCTTCTGACATATCCCAATATTCTTCTTTGTATAAAGACTGAAAAGCTGAAACCCAAGACAGCTCTATCAGCTTATTATTAGAAAAAGTTCCAAATAATCGTGGGTGCATTGACATTGGCATTTCGAACTTTTGGTGCTCTTGCATGAATATGGATATTATAGAAAAAAATGTTATTAATAGTGACTTTTCTTTAAAATTTTTAATAGAAAAGCTAAGCGATTATATGATCGAGCTGATCAATGAAGAAGCTTACCTAAACTTCAAAACTTATAAGAATTCTATATGTAAAAAAGTAACTTTGAAAGAAGTCATCTCAGTCTACGCACAAAAAATTAAAACCACAACTGATGCTTATAAACTCGAGTTTTCAATAAATGAAGATAAAAATGCGGTTTTTGAGGCTTATATAGTTATAGGAAAGAAAAGAGGATGCAAAGAAAATACTGGTGGTTTTCATGCAATTCCGATATATTATAAGAACAGGAAATTAAGAGCTGTAGCAATGTTTTTGAAGAGGATAGATAAAAATGAAGAAAGATGTGAGCATGCTGCAAAGGAGATAGGAGTGAATCCAGATTTTTGTATTTGCAGAGACTAGGAAGGTTTTTACTATGATTTATCTTAAGTAAGTTAATCTAGGTCTTTCTGCTTCTTTTTGGAGCTTAGTTAAATAGCCATTAAAATTCAATCTTAAAAGCAGCTGACCTAAAGCTGTATGTTGACCCTTTAAACTACTCAGGACGTTAAATGCAAAAAGCAGCTGTTGCTCAAAAGTGGTTCTAACCATTTTCAAATCACCCCCTCGCTCCATCACTCCACACAGCTCATGGCAGCATCTAGAAATTTCTTGTATAGATTTCACGATTTTAGGAAATTGCAAAAAGCAAAGATAAGCAGTTTTCGCTACGTATTGATCATGGTAGCTTCTGACTTCTTCAAAATCTTCACTTTCACTTACTTTTTTCTTAAAAAGTGTAAATTGTGTTTGAATTATGTCAAGCTGCAAATAAGATATCAGATTATCAAGCAAAAAATTCATTTGAGCCCTCAGCTGTAATGCTTCTCTTGGTATTTCGCTCATAGACTGCAACTGTGGATTTCTTTTTTTTACTAAAGTAATTCATGATCTTTGTAAGGTAAATTGTGCTCTTTTTAAGGTAAATAAAAATCTAAAAAGTGCCATATATTTGTCTAGAATTTGAGGAGAAAGCATCAGATTTAATGGCCATTCTGTACAATATTCCAATGTAAGGCCACTTCAGCTGTCGAAAATAGCTGTTTGCATACCTGTTCCAGTCTGGATAAATCCTCAGTTTAATAGCTCTATCCCAGTTTGTGAGCCAATGCCTATATATGCAGAAGTTCCAACATCAAGCTTAATTCCTTGAAAGTTTACCTGTGAGTCAATGCACACATTACCATTTAATTCCACCTTAATAAAATCCGATTCATAAGTCAGCCCAACTTTTATAGTTGTGAGCTCACATTTTTTTTCTGACTCTGCAACAGTCAACTGATTAACCTGTACGGCGAATCTCATTATTCCTTCATTTATTGTGACTGCGAGAACAAGCCCATTTTCTATTTCAGGCGGAGATATTGGTGCTTTGCTGTATTGGCCAGAGATTTCTTTTTCACTTTGAAGCATTAAATAAGCATAGCAAGGAGAATTATATTTAAACGTGAATTGGCAGGTGAAGCCTGGCATGATTTGCTGCTTGCGAGAATGCCAGACTGCTCCAGGTCTTCTTGTGAATTTATTTTGTACAAGAGAAATTGAGTTTTTAGAAGTTTGATTAGCATTGCTGAGTAATGATAAATCTTTGATACTTGAAAAATCATTATATGTAAAGCCTGATTGTTTTATAGACAGCTTGAAATTGGTAAGGTAGGGATCTTCTTCTAAAGATGACTGAGCTTGTGCAAATGGGCCTTGATTTATATCTTGGGCTGCTGTGTCTGGCTTAGGAGGAAGTGCCATTATATCCATGGATTCTTCAAGAAATGTTAAAATAAATTCTCCTCTGGAAAGAAGGAAATAATTCTTTAACGCATTGATATGCCCCATTAAATCAGATTTTACAACCACAAGGTTCCAAAGACGATTTCCTACAGATTTCCTCATCCGTTCAAGAATTTGAGCCAAAATTAATTTTGAAAAATTACTTTGTGCTTGTCTTAGAGCTTTAGCAAAGATTTCAGCTTCTTCAGTAGGTAAAGAATCACCTAGAACTCTTACAGCTTTTCCAATAAAGAGTGCTTTTTCTGCTAATTTTGTAGTGATACATGATTCTGGGATCATATCTAAATCTAAGCTGTATTTGCTTGTCCATTCATCACCTTCTTGCTGCCTTACAAAAAATTCACTAAACGAATCCAATAAATTCCCGTATACAGTTCATGCAATTAATTGATGGAAAAATACCTGTAATAATTTCACATTCATTCTTTCCATTGTATCTCTGAGTGCTGGACATTGTTCTTCTTTAAAAACTAAATCTAGTAATTGTCCGCCTCTAAGCCTCTGTGTTTCTATTTGACGAGCAATTTTGGCAACAGCGGCTAATTCGTCATTTCTTACCAAATCTAGCAAGCTTGGAATAGTCAAAGTGCGGCCTTTTAAGTATTCTTGCTCTATTGATGCAATTTTACTTCTGTATTCTTCTAATAAGTCTTTAATCCCTCGGCATAATGCTTTTAAATAAAGTCCAGGTGATTCTTCGTCATCTGAGCCTCTTAAATTTACGATTTGGGTTAACCCAGCGTTCATTGCGCCATATCTTGTAGAAAACCTTTCAAGATATTTATAGTGTCCTGCAACTCTTAAGATTCTGTTAATTAACTCTTGCTCAGATTTATTTAAAAAATAGCAGTCTTCACGAACCTGAAAAACTCCGTTAACTTCTTCAATTACGCCGCCAATTTCTCCTAGTAAACCTAATAAAATTTCATGAAGCATGTTATGATTTAATATAAATTTTATAATAAACTTATAATTGTAATAAAAGCCCTTGTAAAAATTATAATAAAATAACTTGCCGATATATGTAAAAAAATACTAAAATTATCAGAAAGAGCCATCTTTATGATCTTAATTTACATTTAAATTTATCCAAAATCGTTACCAACAAAAACAGTTAATTACTTAACTTAATAGGCATTTTCCACTGAGCAAGCAAAATTCCTGGTACTGCCATAGACGTATCACATTCCCGGTTCTCCATATAACTTTCCTCTGGCAAAGGAAGATCAATAAGCTCAATATCATCTTCAGTCCCTGTTTGCTCAGATAAAACCGATTGTTTCATTATAGGAACCTGGAAATTATTTTACTAAAACTTTATATACATAAAAATGGTGACGACAGACCACCCGATCTCTCGACCCTATTTCTTCAACAGCAGTAGGCAACGGGCCCAGTGTTAGAGATTTAGGTGGAAAGGGCCGGCAATCCTATATGTATAGTCGGGCTGGGTTTTCCTCAGCCTCAGGGAGCTAATCCCTGGACTTAGAGTTTTTCTCCGGTACAACCATTGGAAAGGGCAAGGTCGGCCAATGACTGATGGGCAATATGACCCTCAGACCCTGAAGACGGTATTTACCTAACGAGAAATTAGGAGTTTCGACCCAGGTGGTTGGCCCTTAGACTCCAGGAGCTATGGAAGTCAAGAATAGTCGCGAATCCTTGTTTGCAGCAACAAGGAAGAGTGTCCGCTGGGATCCCTCAGGGATGATGAGCGTGTAGGGGTGCAAATCCCAAGCCCTTGCGAAAGCGAATGGCACAATCTAATCTAATCTAATTTACTAAAACTTTGGAGATTCTTTTGGCTTCATTCTCTTCTGTAGATTTTGTTGCTATAATTTTCGAAATATCTGTAGACGGTATATAAATAAAATATGGCGTCTTCGTCTGGGCATGGCCTCCCGGCCATGCATACTCGACTTATATTTTATTTATATCCGGTAAGGTTTTACTACTTCAGAAATGGACGGCAATGCTAGGTAAGCAATTCTGGTTGTGTTCAGAGCCTAGCCCAAGTCTAAACTCAGAGGTGTTTTTTCCTCGTGGGGAAGATGAGCACGGAGGTTGGAAAGGGGAAGCCCAGCAGAGTCCACTGGACCAATCGGGCAACTCCCTAGCGTGAAACTGGGCGTTACGTCCCAGGCTATCGAGTTCTACCTTCTACCGACAGTCGACCAGAAAATCCATTTTTTATGGATTTTCGGAAAGACAACCCATGTTGGTGCGAATCCCTTGTTTGAGGCAACAAGGAGTGGGTGTCCGCCGAGGCCTCACCATAGGCGATGAGCGTGAAGGGGTGCAGATCCCCGGCCCTGCAAGTGCGAACGGCTAATCTTAATCTTAATCTGTAGACGGTCTGACAACGTCTCCTTCGCCAATAACAAGTTCGCCTTTTTCAGTCTTAATATTTCCACAACAACCCATTCGGTAAGATATTAAATAATATATTAAGTGATTAATAGGGTTACTTTCCATCTTGCCCATTATCAACCATGCATTTAGAATATAATAACAAGTATGAAAATAGAATAGACTTTTCCGTTTATCAATTTTATGGCTTCATGCGGCGTATATTCAAGATTTCTTGATTCTTAAATCTTCCGAGAGTTTTATTCCTTAGAAGATAATTTGGTTTTGCTTTTTATCTTTTAAGTTTTAAGAAACTAAATTTATTTCTGTTTAAATTGATGAAAATAGAATGCCCAATAAGCTGATGTTCTAAACAAGTAATATTTTCATATGAAGATTAGCTTGCAGCATGCTCGAATATTTTAGAACTTATGCTAATTGATTAGTTATTTGCACAATGATTAATTGATTTTGTAATAAATGTGCATCTCCTAACATAATAATAAATAGCATATATCATATCCAATTTAGTATTATTTAATCATTATAATAAAATGGGAAATAATGCTTCTAATATATCCCCAAACAACAGATTAGGTATCTCAATTACAAAACAAGTCTCAAGCAACACCCGCTTTCCATCCTCTCAGCGTGGTTCGATTCTTTCTGCTTTTATAATCCTCCCTGACCTTTCAGAATGATCTGAAAATTCTCGACTTTATCATATTATTTTAGTATCACCCCGAAGTATTGACATGTTCTGCTTATAATTAAAGTATGACGTCGCTCGAATTTTCTGGTCTAAAACCGAAAATCATCCCTTGCATATTTTAATTATGAGGTTTAGTTTCCCCTGGTGAATTTATCTCAGATGTGCCAGGGAAGCAAGAGCTGAGTGGTTTTTCCTACAAAACTCCTGACCATAGGGAATTTTCCAGAAGGGTCCACTACCTCAGGTGGTGAACTATGAACTTTAGGGTGCCGATCAGACCAGAGTAAGTGCCTGAGCTCAAAGAAGAGTCGTCGAAACCCAAACTTCAAGATTTACGTCCTTATTGGTGAGCAAAGTCCAAGATGCCACACCTTTGGGGTGCCCTGAGAAAAAATGGCACAAAATTCGCCCTAGAGTGGTGTTTTTAGGATACTAAACGTGCTATTTATAATTAAGATAAAGTTATGTTTTGCTTACTAACAGGAGATGCTCGCATTCAAAAATACCAGCCAAAGCGCGGAATTCACATTATGAGCGCTTGCCACTCCAAAGAAAGCATTCGAGGCAATATCATTGTTGTAGCAGAGTCTGATAAAATTTTCAAAATAATTCACACTTATACTTTTGCAATTCTTTCAGAAATAAATTCCCATTCCACAAGTAAAATAACTTGTATGATAAACCCAGCACCTGATCTAATTTACGCAGGGTTTCATGACGGGTCAATAAAAGTTTGGCATTTCTCTCAGGAGTCTCCACAATTTTATTTTCATGAAGACTCGATAGTTCCGAGTGTGAGGACAATTGAATATTCCCATATACAAAGATTTATTGTTGTGGGGTATGAAAACTCATATCAAAAAGAAGACGGGAGCTATGTTAAACTTGATAACAACCCGCTGAGGATTTATTATGCAGCTGCTAATGAACAAAATAAATCATTATTATTAGAAGGATTTTTAGGGGCTTGCTTATCAATTGTACTAATAGAAAATAAAAATCTTGTGATAGCGCTGAGTTCTGTACAAAGCGGAGTTTATATATGGGATTTTATTACAAGGACTAAATTACTGTGCTTTAATGTCCCAATTATGAGCCAAGCTCAAGATATTGCAAGTAAGCTCACAGCAATTGAGATGCCAGGCATGAGTGATATTTTATTGATAGGGAAAAGCGATGGGTCAATTTTAGTTTCACAATTATACTCTATCGGCCTAATTTGATTATAAAATATACTAGGCATTTACTTTTGAATATTAATCTGAGTCAGGATAACATTTAATGAAGAAGACACAAGCCTAACATGAAGTCCATTACAAAAAATTCAGCCAAAAATGTACCAAGTGCAGAATGAAAAAGAAAGCAACTGAATCACATATCTAAGCTATGATAAAAGTATCGATGCAATTATCACTGGGGATGCCTCCTGCAGTGTTAGAATAGTCTCAAATTTATTTGATGAATGTTTAGGAATAAAACAAATAGCACATGAGTCACAGGATGTTGAACAACTAGATAAATCTTTGGAAGAGGAGAAAAAATATGACGAGTCTTTAGAAGAGCCAAAGAAAAATGCAGAGGATAATTAAAATAATCTCCATAATATATTTAAATAAGGCTATTTGAAACCTCCATTAAAAGAAATTGATATATATCAGTAATAATTACTTAATGAAGCCTGGTAAAGTGATCATCCTGCTAATTGTCGCCTTTATTTTATTCTGGGCGATGAGTTTTTGCCCAAAGCGTCTCTTTTCTTTCCATCGTAGAGCTCCTCAGAAATATCATCCAAAAAATAAAGATATTCAAACAGTCACTCCTTCTTATAAAGTAAGCTCTATATAGCCAGGAGGCGCAGATGATTTTGTCGGCCGCAAGCGCTTGTGCTTTCGAAGCTGCTCATGAGATTCATACACAAATAATCAAGATTTCTTATCAAACCACCCTTTGAAAAAAGAATTTTTTATTAACGACACTGACAAACTAAGAGACATAAAAGACCAAATGCATTGCTTTCCTGAAGTTTTTGGCTACTCAGTCGAGGCAGGAGAAAAAATTTTCCCTCCTCATGAGTATCCTAGCTGCGAAAGCTTAACTTTAAATCCACCAAAAATGGAGATGAATTTTACTGAGAACAAATTAATTATGGAATGCGGAGGGAAAGCAAAAGGCTATTATATTCTTGAACCAAAAGAATCAAAAAATTCTTTATATTTATTGCAAGAAATGAGAAAAATGTGGGAGGTTAAAGAATATGATGGGCCAGTTAATTTAAAACACAATGAAGAATATGCTTTAGGATCTTGCAATGGAAGTAAGTGAAATGGAGCTATTTATATGCCGAGATTTAATGAGGAGGCTTATAACAGGACTAAAGAAAAAATAAAAGAATTATCTGAAAAAACTGGAGTGTTTCATAGACCTCAAATAGTGTTTATGCTTACTGTAGACAGCTTTTCAAGAAGGCATTTTTTCAGAAAATTGCCAAAAACAGTTGAATTTTTGAACTCGCTTGGAGATTCAAAATACTCAGTTTTTGATTTTAAGATTCACAATATTTATGGAGATACATCTATCAACAATATGGTTCCGGTGCTTGGCAGTAAGTTATATATAGACAAAACGCTAAAAGTGCATAGAAAACCTCCTAAAGTGGATTACATAGGCCCAAGTGCTTTGTGAAATCAGTTTAGAGAGATGGGATATATTACGTATCTGGGGTTTGAGGACTGCGATTATTATTTTCCAAAGTCATTAGGTAGATACCCAGAAGTTGATCACATCGCAAGATCATTTTATTGTGGAGGGTTTGAATATATGGACCTTAAAATGAATAAAAAGCACACTACACAGCGATGTATGGGAGATCACATGTCTCATTATTATATTCTTAATTATACATTTGCCTTCACAGATATGTATAAAGATATTAATCAATGGATATATATTCACATAAATACAGCTCATGAAGAAACAGGACTTCACGCCGCAACCCTTGACCCAGACTTAAGTTATTTTTTAAAAGACTACTTAAAAAAATATGAAGATACCCACGATGTAGTAATATATTTGCATGCAGACCATGGAATGAGATATGGAAAATGATTCACAGATATAGAAGCTTATCAAGAAGCCAAGCTTCCAGCATTTTTTTTGATAGCGTCAAATTCTTTACTAGACAGAATCCCGAACTCATATGACAGTTTAACTTATAATACAATGAGATTAACCACAAAAATTGATTTGAGAACTTCTAGCTTATATCTTTCTGGACTACCTTATGACATACAGTACCCTGTGTATCAAGAAGACTACAACAAGCCTTATTTGATACTTTTTACAAAAAAAGTGCATGGAGAGCGCACATGTGCCAAACTTGGAATTTCTCCATTGTATTGTTCATGCCTAGTACTTAAAGATATTGATCCTTCATTTTATGACCTAAACTCTGATAATGAGCTGAATTTATTGTTAAGAAAAATAGTAATTGAAACCATTGCAGCCATAAACGATGAAGTTTTCACCCCTTCAAATTTACTAGGAGACTCTATATGTAAAAAATTGTCATTAAAGTCCATTCAAAAAGCTTTTGGGCTTCAATTAACATCTGTCCTAGAAGAAGTCCAAATACAGTTTGATGTAAACGAAAGTGAGACGGCACTTTTTGAAGTTTATGCGCTTATAGGATCAAGCCCAAGAACTGAGATATTGAGAAATGCTGGGGGGCAAGGGGCAACTATACCTTTTGTGTATTTAGGTTATAGAGTTAGAATAAAAACAATAGGAATTAAAAGGAAAGATGCATATGCAGGACCATGCGAAAATTTGAGCAGAGCAAATGGCATTAACGCGGAATATTGCATTTGCAAAGAATTCGAAGAAATTAAGCAGAAATTTCCAATATTATTTCAATAATTCATATTTAAGTAAAAGCAAATATTAGAAATAAAATAAATATAATAACAAAAAGTTCAGATATAGTGATTTGAGGAGGTAATAAATTTACTGGCGAAAGCTTATAACTAGTTTTAATGCATCGATGTGAATACATTTAAACAGTCTTTTTACTATATAAATCAAGCACCAGCTTATTAACACTTGGCTATATTTAATTTTTGTAACAGCCGATCAATTTAATTTCATAATAAATATAAAGTTAGAGAAAATTTTGTTCTAGCTAAAAATATGGGTAGAATAAAAAGGGATTTTAGATTTCTTGCTTCTTTTATATTAAATCTCATATTAATATAAACCAATATTTATCATTAAACTTTTCATATCTTTTCTCTCATGTTATACAAATTAATCCATAATTATTTTGTCATTTATGGAACCAGCAAAAGTGATAACATTTCTAATTGCTATCTATGTTATTTGGCTAGTGATTTACGTCCCAGAACCACTTGAATACTTCCGAGAGCGATTTCCAGAAAAATATAATGCTTCCAATAAAAATATCCGCACCACAACTCCGTCTTATAAAGTAACTTTTATTTAGAAAGGAAGCATAGATGATTCTCCTAATCAAGATCCTTTGTGCTCAGAGAATTGTTCATGGAGTACGTACATAAGCAACGAAGAATTTTTAGCAAAAAATCTAATACAGAAAGAATTCTCCATAAATGATACTGATACGCTTTATGAAAGCCATGAGGGAGCTTACTGCATACCTGAAATTTTTGGATATTCAGCAAAGGAAGGTGAAAGGGTGTTTCCTCCTCACGAGTACCCCACCTGCGATATTTTGACTGAAAATGCACCGATTATGTCTTTTGATCTCTCTCAGAACAAATTTACTATGGAATGTGACGGGAAAAGCAAAGGATATTATATTTTAGAGCCAAAGAGGTCAAAAAACTCTCTTTATATGAAGCAAGAAATGACCAAAATGTGGGAAATTAAAGAATATGATAGCCCAGTTACACTAAAGCATAATGAAGAATTTGCTATTGGATCTTGTGATGGCAAAAAATGAAATGGCGCTATTTATATGCCGAGATTTAATGAAACAGCTTACAACAGAACTAAGGAAAGAATGAAAGAATTATCTGATAAAACTGGGGTGTTTCACAGGCCTCAAATAGTTTTTATGTTAACTATAGACAGCTTTTCAAGAAGACATTTTTTCAGAAAACTGCCAAAAACAGTCGAATTATTGAACTCGCTTGGAAACTCAAAATATTCAATATTTGACTTCAAAATCCACAATGTATTTGGTGCCACATCAGTTGAAAACATGGTTCCAGTATTTGGAAGTAATGCTCTATATAGATCATACCAATGTAAAAATACATGATAATCCACCCTTGAAAGACTATCTCGGCCCAGCTGCCTTGTGAAACAAGTTCAGAGATATGGGATACATCACGTATCTAGGGTTCGAAGACTGTGATTATTATTTTCCAAAGTCAATAGGAAGATATCCTCAAGCTGATCACATTACAAGGTCATTTTATTGTGCAGGGTTTGAATTTATGGATCTCAAAATGAGAAAGCAAAATACCGTGCAGAGATGCATGGGAGAGCACATGTCCCATTATTATATCCTTAATTATACCAAAGAATTCACAAATTTGTATAAGGATCTTAATCAATGGATTTACATTCATATAAATACAGCTCATGAAGAAACAGGGCTTCATGCTACAACTCTTGACCCAGATCTAAGTAATTTCCTTAAAAATTACTTAAGAGAATACGAAGACACTCATGATGTGGTAATATATTTGCATGCAGACCATGGAATGCGATATGGAAACTGGTTCAAAGATATAGAAGCTTACCAAGAAGTGAAGCTCCCTTCTTTATTTTTGATCGCGTCTAATTCACTGCTTGACCGAATCCCATACTCTTATGATTCTTTATCCCACAACGCAAAGAGCCTTACTACAAAAATTGATCTGCGGCCTACCAGCTTATTTCTTTCAGGGCTGCCATACGATATCGAGTATCCAGTATACGATGAGCCATATAGCAAGCCGTATATAGTTCTTTTCAATCAAAAAGTCAATGGAAATAGAACTTGTTATGACTTAGGCATCCATCCTCTTCATTGTTCATGCTTAGTCCTCAAAGAAATCGACCCATCATATTATGATCTTAATTCTGACAATGAGCTAAATGTGCTGCTAAAAAGAATAGTCACAGAAACTATCGTGGCCATTAATTCTGAAGTTTTCACACCTACAGGAATTATAGGAAACTCTATATGCCAAAAATTGACCTTAAAATCTATACAAAAAGCTTTTGGGCTGCAATTGACATCAGTTTTAGAGGAAATTCAAATACAATTTAATGTGAATGAAAGCGAAAAAGCATTGTTTGAAGTGTATGCTCTTGTAGGATCAAGCCAAAGAACTTCGATATTACGAAATATAGGAGGACAAGGTGCAGCAATACCTTCTGTATATTTAGATTATAGAATTAGAATTAAAACGATTGGGATCAGCAGAAAAGATGCATATGCAGGACCATGTGAAAATTTGAGCAGGGCGAATAATATTAATGCAGAATATTGCATTTGCAAGGATTTTGAGGAAATTAAGCAGAGTTACCCTAAGCTATTTGATTAATATTTTAGAATAAATAAAAGTGAAAAAGTTAATAAAGCATTACCATATTAATGTGTTAACGTCCAAAGGCTTGAAATCACGAAATACGTTTGAGCATACAGGAAACTCTCGAATTTCTACATTATAAAATAGAATTTTCATCTTGCAAGATGAGCAACATCTCGGCTCGGCGATAGAAAGAAAATTCCCAGAATTCAGCAGTTTGAAAAAATAAAAATGGCCGGAGGGCTAAGGGGTCGCAGATGGCAATTCTCCGGGGTGTGGTGCAGACTTGGGCTGACTGGGCTTGTCCTCGACCCGCAGACAAGACACCGACGGCGCAACATTAATCAAGCACTTCTGGGGAGCATTATAGTGCCTGCGAATGGCACAGGTGGTTCCAGAAAAAGGCATTGGACGATCCCTTCATATCCTGAGCACCACCAGGGGTTAAGAGAGTCCTTGTCGGAACTTTTGATCCCAGCAGGGTCGGGTGAGTCTCCCCGACAGACTGAGGACGTCACCATTTTTGGTGGTTCTGAAGAAAAAGGGCATGAGGTGGCTTTAGTGATTAGCGCCACACGAAGCGCGAAGCTGAAGCCCGATTGGCTAGGGGCTGAAATAATCCCTGTAATCCCCTCTAATCTAACTCTCTCTCATTATAAAACTGAGAAATTGAAGATTCAAGATTTCCAAGAACTTCTCGATGAATCTTGGCTGGCCTCCTCCATTCAAGCATCCAGTAGGACAAGCCATAATTTCTACATACGAATAATCAAGCTTTCCTTGCTTAATCATCCTTACGTATTTTGGATATTCTGAAATCCACTTGCAAAGCAAAATTTCAAATCACGATACTCCATTTCTAATAAATCTCTTCTTCGAGTTGTTTTTATTTCAATCGTTGGGATCTCACCATAGAGATTTTCACAAGCTTTTATAAAAATAAATTCTCCATAGCCAAGCGATCCAGATTTATGCTTTGTAGAGGAATAGAAAAGAGGTGCTTCAGGATCGGGAATGGCGTTTAAGAAGTCATTTTCATTCAGAAACTCTAACAACTCAGTAGTTGTGAGCACCAAATCGACTCCTTTTTCCATTACCGCTTCTAATTTTTTATCAAAACAAGGCATCACAGTCACATTATAAAAATCCTGCAATGAATTTATCTCAATTTGTATCATCATAGGTGTTTTTATTCTTGAAAGACAAGGTAAAATGCACTCATCTGTTTTTTTCTCTGCAAAAAGCACAAATCCTGGGCACTCAGAGCATAATATCGGTAATCGAGATTCTCTAAACCTTTCTAAGAATTCTTGAGATGCTGCATTCAGTGATATATCTCTGGCTAAATTCACATTAAGGACCCTTTCGACTCCCAAAGATTTCAGCTTCCCTGAGATTTTATTGAAAGCCTCTTGAGGGGAAATATTGAAATATTTAGAAATTGCAAAAATTGTTTGCTGAGATAGGGAAATTGCCATTCTCATTTGGCCAAGATTTTTTCTAAAAATTTCTAAGGAATGCTGCTCAAGAAAAACAGCACTAGATTAAGTAACGCAGCCGCTGCAAGCTAAGCAATCACTTAAACTCACCTGAGCTGTCTGAGCTGGAGTCGAAAAGCCGTAGAAGCTTCCGTACGGGAAGTCTATTCAAAAAGCTTTTGGACTTCAATTAGCATCTGTCCTAGAAGAAGTCCAAATACAGTTTGATGTAAACGAGAGCGAGACAGCGCTTTTTGAAGTTTATGCGCTTATAGGATCAAACCCAAGTATTGAGATATTGAGAAATGCTGGGGGACAAGGGGCAACTATACCTTTTGTGTATTTAGGTTATAGAGTTAGAATAAAAATAATAGGAATTAAAAGGAAAGATGCATATGCAGGACCATGCGAAAATTTGAGCAGAGCAAATGGCATTAACGCGGAATATTGCATTTGCAAAGAATTCGAAGAAATTAAGAAGAAATTTCCAATATTATTTCAATAATTCATATTTACGAAAAAGCAAATATAATAGAACTAAAATACATATAAAATTAAAAAATTCAGATATAGTCATTTGAGGAGGTAATAAAATCACTGGTGAAAGCTTATAATTAGTGTTAATGCATTGATATGAATATATCCAAACAGTCTTTTTACTATACAAATAAAGTGCCAGTTTATTAATTTTTAGACTATATTTAATTCGTGCAACAGCCTATCAATTTTAACTCAAAATAAATATAAAGTTAGAGAAAATTTTGTTATTGCTGAAAATATGGGTAGAATAAAAAGGGATTTTAGATTTCTCACCTCTTTATACTAAACCTCATATTAATATAAACCAATATTTACTATTAAACTTTTCATATCTTTTCTCTCATGTTATACAAATTAATCTATAATTATTTTGTCATTTATGGAACCAGCAAAGGTTTTAACATTTCTAATTGCGATCTTTGTTATTTGGCTGGTTATTTATGTCCCAGAACCACTTGAATACTTCCACCGACTCCGACTTCCAGAAAAATATAATGCTTCCAATAAAAATATCCGCACCACAACTCCGTCTTATAAAGTAACTTTTATTTAGAAAGGAAGCATAGATGATTCTCCTAATCAAGATCCTTTGTGCTCAGAGAACTGTTCATGGAGTACGTACATAAGCAACGAAGAATTTTTAGCAAAAAATCTAATACAGAAAGAATTCTCCATAAATGATACTGATACGCTTTATAAAAGCCATGAGGGAGCTTACTGCATACCTGAAATTTTTGGATATTCAGTAAAGGAAGGTGAAAGGGTGTTTCCTCCTCACGAGTACCCCACCTGCGATATTTTAACTGAAAATGCACCGACTATGTCTTTTGATCTCTCTCAGAGCAAATTTACTATGGAATGTGACGGGAAAAGCAAAGGATATTATATTTTAGAGCCAAAGAGGTCAAAAAACTCTCTTTATTTGAAGACAGAAATGACCAAAATGTGGGAAATTAAAGAATATGATAGCCCAGTTACACTAAAGCATAATGAAGAATTTGCTATTGGATCTTGTGATGGCAAAAAATGAAATGGCGCTATTTATATGCCGAGATTTAATGAAACAGCTTACAACAGAACTAAGGAAAGAATGAAAGAATTATCTGATAAAACTGGGGTGTTTCACAGGCCTCAAATAGTTTTTATGTTAACTATAGACAGCTTTTCAAGAAGGCATTTTTTCAGAAAACTGCCGAAAACAGTCGAATTATTGAACTCGCTTGGAAACTCAAAATATTCAATATTTGACTTCAAAATCCACAATGTATTTGGTTCTAATTCAGTTGATAACATGATTCCTGTGTTTGGAAGTAATGCTCTATATAGATCATACCAATGTAGAAATACATGAAAGTCCACCTTTGAAAGACTTTCTCGGTCCAGCAGCCTTGTGAAACAAGTTCAGAGATATGGGATACATCACGTATCTAGGGTTCGAAGACTGTGATTATTATTTTCCAAAATCAATAGGAAGATATCCTCAAGCTGATCACATTACAAGGTCATTTTATTGTGCAGGGTTTGAATTTATGGATCTCAAAATGAGAAAGCAAAATACCGTGCAGAGATGCATGGGAGAGCACATGTCCCATTATTATATCCTTAATTATACCAAAGAATTCACAAATTTGTATAAGGATATTAATCAATGGATTTACATTCATATAAATACAGCCCATGAAGAAACAGGGCTTCATGCTACAACTCTTGACCCAGATCTAAGTAATTTCCTTAAAAATTACTTAAGAGAATACGAAGACACTCATGATGTGGTAATATATTTGCATGCAGACCACGGAATGCGATATGGAAACTGGTTCAAAGATATAGAAGCTTACCAAGAAGTGAAGCTCCCTTCTTTATTTTTGATCGCGTCTAATTCACTGCTTGACCGAATCCCATACTCTTATGATTCTTTATCTCACAACGCAAAGAGTCTTACTACAAAAATTGATCTGCGGCCTACCAGCTTATTTCTTTCAGGGCTGCCATACGATATCGAGTATCCAGTATACGATGAGCCATATAGCAAGCCGTATATAGTTCTTTTCAATCAAAAAGTCAATGGAAATAGAACTTGTTATGACTTAGGCATCCATCCTCTTCATTGTTCATGCTTAGTCCTCAAAGAAATCGACCCATCATATTATGATCTTAATTCTGACAACGAGCTAAACATGCTGCTAAAAAGAATAGTCACAGAAACTATCGTGGCCATTAATTCTGAAGTCTTCACACCTACAGGAATTATAGGAAACTCTATATGCAAAAAATTGACCTTAAAATCTATACAAAAAGCTTTTGGGCTGCAATTGACATCAGTTTTAGAGGAAATTCAAATACAGTTTAATGTGAATGAAAGCGAAAAAGCATTGTTTGAAGTGTATGCTCTTGTAGGATCAAGCCAAAGAACTTCGATATTCCGAAATATAAGAGGGAAAGGAGCACCAATACCTTCTGTATATTTAGATTATAGAATTAGAATTAAAACAATTGGGATCAACAGAAAAGATGCATATGCAGGACCATGTGAAAATTTGAGCAGGGCGAATAACATTAATGCAGAATATTGCATTTGCAAGGATTTTGAGGAAATTAAGCAGAGTTACCCTAAGCTATTTGATTAATATTTTAGAATAAATAAAAGTGAAAAAGTTAATAAAGCATTACCATATTAATGTGTTTACGTCCAAAGGCTTGAAATCACGAAATACGTTTGAGCATATAGGAAGTTCTCGAATTTCTTCATTATAAAACTGAGAAATTGAAGATTCAAGATTTCCAAGAACTTCTCGATCGAATCTTGGCTGGCCTCCTCCATTCAAGCATCCAGTAGGACAAGCCATAATTTCTACATACGAATAATCAAGCTTTCCTTGCTTAATCATCCTTACGATATTTTGGATATTCTGAAATCCACTTGCAAAGCAAAATTTCAAATCACGATACTCCATTTCTAATAAATCTCTTCTTCGAGTTGTTTTTATTTCAATCGTTGGGATCTCACCATAGAGATTTTCACAAGCTTTTATAAAAATAAATTCTCCATAGCCAAGCGATCCAGATTTATGCTTTGTAGAGGAATAGAAAAGAGGTGCTTCAGGATCGGGAATGGCGTTTAAGAAGTCATTTTCATTCAGAAACTCTAACAACTCAGTAGTTGTGAGCACCAAATCGACTCCTTTTTCCATTACCGCTTCTAATTTTTTATCAAAGCAAGGCATCACAGTCACATTATAAAAATCCTGCAATGAATTTATCTCAATTTGTATCATCATAGGTGTTTTTATTCTTGAAAGACAAGGTAAAATGCACTCATCTGTTTTTTTCTCTGCAAAAAGCACAAATCCTGGGCACTCAGAGCATAATATCGGTAATCGAGATTCTCTAAACCTTTCTAAGAATTCTTGAGATGCTGCATTCAGTGATATATCTCTGGCTAAATTCATATTAAGGACCCTTTCGACTCCCAAAGATTTCAGCTTTCCTGAGATTTTATTGAAAGCCTCTTGAGGGGAAATATTGAAATATTTAGAAATTGCAAAAATTGTTTGCTGAGATAAGGAAATTGCCATTCTCATTTGGCCAAGATTTTTTCTAAAAATTTCTAAGGAATGCTGCTCAAGAAAAACAGCGCTAGATGAAGTAACGCAGCCGCTGCAAGCTAAGCAATCACTTAAACTCACCTGAGCTGTCTGAGCAGAACTTGTTTTAATCATTGAAGAGTGTACGGAACAATTTGCTGAAGGATTCAAAAAATCGTTCAGATCTGTGATTTTAACAATCCCTGAGAACTCCATAATTTGCAAATTATTTTAATATTAAATTAATGATTGGAGAAATATGAATTTTTAAATAAATTACAAGGATTTTTAGGATTATTAAAAGTCATGCGTTAGCCATGTTGATGACGCAATCACTAAAGACCTCCCGCACGGGATGTTCTACCGCTTTTCGACTTCAGCCCAGAGAGTCTGTGCCACTTCTAGAGGAATATCTATGGGTCCTCGGATCCAAAGAACTTTGCGAGTGCTTCCATTTCCAACCACAAAAAAGAAGCCAAAACCTACCCGGATACGCATCAGTTGGGCTTGCACTTGATTCTCGGCAAAGTCCATCCCAGCTGCCGTAGCTATAAGGTCTGGACTGATGCGCCAAGAGGGCAGGTTGACACTGGTCACTATTTTAATGTATAAATAAATTACAAGGAAGTATTAAATATTTTTTTATTTAATCAAATTAAAACAAAAATATTCAAACATCATTATATAACAATAATAAACTTACTAACTCCCCTCCATGAGTGAATAAAATTTTTTGTTCGCTCACGGGGGGTTAATTTTTTTTATATAAATTTCTTTATTTCAAATTTAAAAATTCCAATTTGTAAAAATTGAGAAGCAAAATTTAATTTAATTTCCGAAATTTATATTTTAAAACGCAAGCTGTTTGAAATTAATCAGAATTAGCTTATATATCAAATTTTTTTTTCAAACACAATTTTGTTCGCATACGGAGGATGGGTTTTTGGACAAAAAAATAGGGATTTTCTAATGGTTATGTTCACTCACGGAGGGGGGAGAAAGAAATAAAAAATGATTAGCATATGATAAAATCTATCCCTTTTATATAATTAAATATTCTCTCCATATCTTAAACTAGAAATAAATATTTCTTAAAATTGAGTTGTTAACGAAAATGGAAACAGAAAGTGCAATATCTAGAGCTATCGATATCCTTCGAAAAACTCCTGAATCAAGATCACAAGACGATATAAACGAACTCATGGAAGCTACCAAATCAATCAAGCTTTTCAGTTCATTAGACAACGAAGATGGAGAATCGATTCATCGAGGCTGTTGCAAAGTTCTTGTTTACGCGGAATACGAAAGAGGTGATTATATTTTCCATATTGGCGAAACTGGGGATACTTTTTGTATCGTCATTCGTGGAAAAGTGAGGATCTTGGTACCGCCTACTAAAAAGTTTCCAAGATCGGCTATAACCAGCTCTCTGCCTATTTTTAAATCAGACAACCTGCAATGTGTAGACACTATGGGCCCTGGATCATCATTTGGGGAATTGTCGTTACTAAGAGGAATGCCACGATCAGCAAGTATTCAATGTGCAGAACCTACCATAGTCGCGATTCTTAAAAAATCAGATTACACAGCTCTGATTGGAACGATTCATGAAAAAAGGTTCAATGCAAAGCTAAATTTTTTACAATCATTACCGGAATTCAAAAAATGGGCTAAAAATGCTCTATCAAAGCTGAGTTATTATTTTAAATATGAAAGTTTTTACAGAGGGCAGGCGGTATATAAAGAAGGAGATACAGTTGACAAAGTTTATGTAATAAAATCAGGAGAGTTTAAATTTACACAAAAACACACAATTTCATACGAAAAAGAACAAAAAGCTGGGGAGTATATAAATCCAAGGCTGGAGATGGCACTTAACCTATTAAAGCATTCCCCAAATAAAGTAAGAAAAAATAAAGACCTCCAAATACTTGTTAAGCAGCAAGGCGAATTTTTTGGCTTAGAAGATGTCATTAATGAGCGCCCTAAACGGCCTGTTACTTGTATGTGCAACTCACTTCTTGGAGAAGTATATGTGATCTCTGATAAAGAATTAAAAAAAAGGATCCCAAACCCAGAAACCTGAGGGTTTTTGGGTACTCAGCAAGATGCTCATGAGGAATGGCTTTCTAAAAGAATTGAATGTTTAAAAGAAATAGAAAAAAATAAACTTCAACGGCAATTTACTACAATAAGTGCCAGAAAAATATTAGACAATGCTGGAAATATACGAAAAGACCCTTATTCATATAGAGAAATGGAAAGCAGATGTGCATCTAGACTTGAAACGCCAGAAAGTCGATGCCAATCAAGACTTGAGACATTAGAAAGTAGATATGGAACTAGATTAAATACCGAAGAAAATAAAAGTGCAAGGTATGAGAGCAAAAATAGGTTATATACACAAGAATCAAGCACTCGAGCTCATAATGCAAGCTTTATTGATAATAATGAGTCATTTACAAAGCTGTTTCCAAATGAGAGTAATGCAAAAATAAGACCATCTACATCTTCAAGATATTCTCAGTCAACATCTCCATCAAAAACAAGGCTTTGCTTAACCCCGGAATTAAGTGGGAAAATTTTAAAGTCTCAGGCTGGTAGGCTAGGAAGGAAAAACTTTTTGTAATTTTTTAATTAATGATAATTAGCTAATTATCTTTTTTAAAGATTAATAAGACTAAATCCCCCTTTAAGAAATGAGCAAGGTTTTTTATATACTCTTAAGGATTTAATTTGATTTTCAAAAAAATTTTGTTTTGTTTTTTTAAAAAAATCCAATTTGCGAATATTTGGAAAGAAAAATCTAATTTAATTGATAAATTTTATGTTTAAGAATGCAAGCTGTGAAAAATTTAATAGAGCTATAAATTGATCTTGCTATAACGATTATTAAATACATATAAACAGAATTAATTTAGAAAATTTTTTTTCTTGCTCTTAAAGGGGGTTAATTTTCCTAATAGGGATTTTTCTAGCTTTGCTTGAAATAAATTTTTGGACAATTCAAATAAATTCATTTTATCATAAATTGGTATTATTAAAAATTATAAATTTTCATTACGAATATCTATCAAATTATCTATCTATGGATAAATTATTAAAATCAAAAGCAATTAAGCAAGCGAAAATGACTGAATAAAACAAGAGAAAAATATTTCATATTAAATAAATATAACCTTGAGATAGGCAGCCGTGCAACTTGAAATAGCCTGAAATGCAATTATCTATTAATTTAATGACTGCAAAATACTTATTATAAAGCTCATAAATTAACTAAAAAAGATTTCTTTAAAACATACATTTCTTATTACAAGAGATCTTTTACCTATTTGATGATCATGTTTCAATGATTATTATCAGTTCATTTTAGCTTTATTTAGCAATAAATCTAAATGATATTCATATATATAAAATTCTCTCTCCATATTAGTTTAACTATGGAAGCATCAAACTTATTCTATGGAGTGATAGACACTAAATCTTATTTAAACGTCGACGACATCAATGGAATAGGTCTCGGTAGCTTTCCCAAAAAATTCCAAGACCCCTCAATAGACTTCGCACTCTTCAAAATCGCTACATATGCCCAAACCGAACTGGTACCAGAAAAAATTAATTTTGTTAGAGAAATTTCAGACACTTGCAGAGAGCTTGGTCCTTACTCTGAAGAATTTATAATTCCTATAATAAATTCTCTTACAGACGAATCAAGCGAAATAAAAATTTTACTGGCATCAAAAATTCCTGATTTAACCTCATTTTTTGTCCAGGAAACTAGAAATTTTCAAGCCATTAACAAAGGGATCATCCCAGTAATCAAAAAACTGCTATCAGATGAAATTGATGTGTCAAAGGCGATGGTTGATAATTTATTGTCAATCGCATCATTAATGAGCTTTGAATTAATTCAAAGTGAGCTGTCTGACATTATTAATGAAATGCTGAAAGATGAAAACAATGAAGAAGATATCGCAATTGGGATTGATTTAGTAAAAGGGTTAATGAAAACACATGGAATTGGGGTTTGGCAACTTTATATTGCTGAAGTGCTAGAAAGGCTAATACAAAGCAATTCAATTAAAATTAAAAAGAGCTTAATTGGAGTACTGGGGACTGCATGCGAAACTTTTCCTTATGAATATGTGAAAGATGAAATAATCCAAATGTTCTTAACTCTCTCACAAGATGGAAATTGGGGAATAAGAAAAGCTTGCTCAGAAGCAATTATCCCCTTTTTCAAGGTCTGTGATGCAGAAACCCTAAACAAGTTCATTTTACCAGTTTTTTATAAATTTTTAAAAGATAAGTCAAAATGGGTCCAGCAAGAATCCCAAAATCTTCTCCCACAAGTAATAGTCTATTTCAAAGGCGAAATCCCAGAAAAGCTAATAAAAACATATTGTACAATCCCAGACGCAACTGATGCAGCTTATTTCCGAGCATTTTATTTCCCAGGGGTTTTGTTGAAATTAGGTAAAGAGTCTTGGAATGATTTGAAAAAATTATTTATGAAACTCTGCACATCAGAATTTAAAATAAAAATGTGCATTGCTTCTTCTTTGCATGAAATAGCCAAAATTTTAGGATCTGAAACAACAGAAAAAGATTTACTCCCCCCCCCCCCCTCCGTGAGCGAACAAAACCATTAGAAAAATCGCCATTTTTTGACCAAAAACCCACCCTCCGTGAGTGAACAAAAATTTTTTTTAATAAAAAAATTTAATGGAAAAAAATTTTGATATATAAGTGATAATTAGTATAATGAAATCTAGAGCTAATTCTGTTTAATTTTAAACAAATTGCGTTTTAAAACATAAATTTTGCAAATTAAATTAATATTTGCTTCCCAATTTTTGCAAATTAGGATTTTTTTAAATTTCGAAAAAAATATTTTTTATAAAATTTATATATAAATTTTTTTTTAAAAAAAAAAATTAAACCCCCCTCCGTGAGCGAACAAAATTTTTTTGTTCGCTCACGGAGGGGGGGGGGGAGTTAGTTGAATTTTTAGAAGATTTTATTAAAAATGACTCAACAAAATCTAAAGCCTTGACTATTCTAGCTAAATTTTTAGTAGAAGTAAAAGACTCAAGAATCAAAGAAAAGTTTTTGGTTTATTTTAAAGAAATGGCGGACTCAAATAACTGGAGGGTTCGTGAACTTTTAGCAGGGGAATTACATGAGTTGATTCCTGTTTATAATAGAGATATTCTTAATGGGGAAATTTTCAATATAATTCAAAATCTATGCAGAGATAGTGTTAATATTGTAAGGAAAAAAGCGTGCAGAAGCTTAGGAAATATTGCACTTTTTATGATAAACCAAAAACAAGGAGAAAACTATATAAATTTAATCAAAAATATTGCAAAGGATTCAAATTGCCATATAAGGATTGGCTTTGTTGAGGCAGCAAAAAGTTTATGCATGGATTATGAACTTTTTATAGAGAATTTTAAAGAAAATATTGAAGAAATTTCAAAGGATCCTGTGAATAATATAAGACTGGCTTGTACAGATCTCATAAAGCTTGGAGTGAAGTATAACTCAGCAGAGTTTTGGCAAGAAATTAAAGGTGAAATGTCAAGAGATTATGATGAAGACGTCAAATACGAATTAATTGGAAAGTATGAAAAATCTCGTGGGGTTGAGCCATTAGAGCCTGGCCATGGAGAAAATTTCATATTATTCCCACCTGTATTTAGGTCAATTCATGCAATAGAAACAGTAGATAAAACAGAACTGATTTCTCCTGTTGAAGCGAAACTAGTAGCAATATCAAGCTATATTGAGTTAGAAAATCACATGCCGAAAGATATAGAGCTATCAGCATAAATAACAAATAATTAATATAAAATTTCATAAACTTGCTTATCAGCAAAAATTTAAATTGATTATGAATTTGAAATATACATTAAAATGATATGGCTAACCAATCCACCATAAAAATCTTGTAGCTGACACCTCACAGAGAGGATAGTGTTCGGGAATGTGTATCCAGCAGGATTTTCTTGGTTTGGTGAGCGTAATGTAAAGTTGGCCAACTACAAGCTTTACTACAATGCCAAGTTTTTACCTCAGTGGGAAATGGGTTCAAGAGTTGGAAAGAGATCTCACAGCAAAACCAGTGATATTCATTTTGACCAATTTGGACTGTTTTCCAGAGGTTACGTCCTGGCTGTGACTAGACCAGAAAATTTGATCATTTGAATGCAACCCTATTTAATGTGCGACACGACGACAAAACTCTACCATCACCGGAGAGCGAGTGTAGGAGCAACTTTTTCGATGTCCTGAAATGCCAACTGGCGAGCAGGTGGAAGGCGTTAGTGGTGGATATAGCCCTTGTAGAATTATATAGAGCTTCTCTATAAGCATTAATAACTAACTTGGTTATGGATTTAAAATATCAGACTTTTTCAACACCATTTTTTTGTTATTTATTCATATTGGTATAAACTTCATTTATTATTAAATTAATATTTGAATTAAAGGTTTCATCAGTTTTTTCTTCAAAAATATATTGCTAACTTTAGATAGGCTGACTTAGAATTAATATAGCATGATTCTTATAGAGTGCAAATCTTAGCTATTCCGGAATAATCAGACAGCTATTAAATCGTAATTTTCGATTTAATTATTCGTTAGATCATCGAAACAATTTAATGCTGTTTTATTAACTTCCCAAGGCTTTTCTGAGATATATATCTATCATTAAGCAGCTAAAATCTATATTCTGTTACGTCGAAATTAAACCAATTATTATTCCGACATTATTTTAGAAAGTTGGCGATATTAGACTTATATTTATAAAATAAGAATTTAATGGGAAACAACGTAGATGCAGTCCTAGAAGGAGGCAAGAATCATCAATTAATGAAGCCCTCTGACTTCAAATTCCATTACCTCATAGGTAAAGGAGGGTTTGGCCGTGTGTGGAAAGGAGAGTTAAAAAGAACAAAGCAAGTTTTTGCAATAAAAGAGATGCAGAAGTCACGAATTGTAAGCAAAAGAAGCGTTGGTTCAGTTATGAATGAGAGGAAACTGCTTTCAATCATAAAGCATCCTTTCATTGTCAACATGGAGTATGCATGGCAAGATATAAACAATTTATATTTAGCCATGGACTATGTACCTGGTGGTGATTTAAGGTACCATTTAATAAAAAATGAAAGATTTACAGAAAAACAAACAAAATTTTTTGTAGCGTGTATTGTTACTGGATTAGAATATATACACTTGAATGGGATTATCCATAGAGATATTAAGCCTGAGAACTTGGTGCTTGACTCAAGAGGATATGTAAAAATAGCAGATTTTGGAATCGCAAAGAGGATTGGCCCTTGGCTTGAAAGAGAAAGTTCTGGGACACCTGGATATATGGCTCCAGAAGTAATGTGCAGCAAAATGCATGGATTTGCTGCAGATTTTTTTGCATTAGGTGCGGTAACTTTTGAATTTATGACAGGTTATCGACCCTATTGGGGAAGAAACAGAAGAGAATTAAAAGATATCATGTTAAGCCAGCAAGTACAGCTGAAAAGAAAAGACATTCCAGAAGGATGGTCTTATGAAGCTGCAGATTTTATAAATAAACTTTTAAAAAGGAAACCTGAGGAAAGACTTGGTTTTAATGGCCCGCAAGAGGTAAAAAATCATCAATGGCTTCGAGACTACAATTGGAAAGACCTATTTTCTAAAAAAATTGAAGCACCTTTTAAGCCAGGCAGAAAAGATGATAATTTCGATAAAACTGCTCACCCAACCCCTCCTTAAGCGAGCAAAAAATTGGAAAATCCCTATTTTTGCCTAAAACCCACTCGTGAGCGAGCAAAGATTTTTTAATATAAAACTTATTTTGATATATAAATGATTGTTAGTATAAAGAAAATTTCTAGCTAATTCTGTTTAAATTTTAAACAATTGCATTTTAAAACATAAATTCTACAAATTTAATTAATTTTGCTTTAAAATTATTTCTAATATGGATTTTTTTAAATTTCTAAAAAAATTAACCCTCAGAGAGCAAACTAATTTTTTTTTTGTTTGCTCACAGAGAAGGGGAGTCAGGAAGATTGGCTTGACGATATGGACAGCAAAACCTTTAATACTTCTTTGCAAGACCTATTTGAAGGCTTTGCTTTTGACAACAAAAAAAATCATGGAAGCGATGAGAATACTCAGCTATTGAGTTAATTGCTAAAATAATATTATTGTTAGTTAGGATGACTAGCACGGGTGTTTTTTTGGCTTGCCGATAAGCCAAAAACCCCCGTGCTAGTCATTCTAACTAACAATAAATTAAATATTCTCAAAATTATCATTCTTAAACCTAAACAAGCTATTTATTTTATTTTCGAGCAAAAACTAAAAGACAAAAAACGATTCTCAAATAATGTTTCTGATTAGGGGCAGAACTCATTTATTATGAGATTAATTAAATTAACATTTTAAGTAGCCATGCCTAATGGCAATCTTAAATTCTTTACAGCATTCTGTTACTGCTTGCAGGCTTTAAAATCAATTTTATTATGAAAGATAATGGGCAAAATATTAATTATATAAAACTGAGCATCTTTGGTTTAGGATCTAGTAAATATAAAATAGAATAAATCGATTTAATTCAAATCTTATCTTATCTTCAAAAAATAATACCTTTCTGAGAAATTAATAAAAATTATTTTCAGCTTAAATTTATTGCCTGCAAAATTATTATTGAATTTTATTATCTTATTTACAATAAACTAAAAATGAAATCATTATATATCTTAATTGAGGAATGCCCATAGGTCCTCGGATCCAAAGGACGTTGTTGAGCACCTCCATTTCCAATCACAGAAAAGCAGCCCAAAACCTACCCGGATACGCATCTCTTGGGCCTGCACTTGATTCTCGGCTCGGAGTCCATCCCAATTTTCCTAGCCATAAAGTCTGGACTGCTGCGCAAAGAGGGCAGGCTGACACGCGCCGCCATTCTAATGTACCGAGAAACTGGGGTTTCGACCCAGACCACAAGGAAACAATCTTTTTCCTGTAGCTACCAAAGAAAAACACTTCAACACCCAATAGACTCCAAATCTCCATGGAATCAAGCTACTCCAATCGCCCGTAGCAGGGCCGCAGAAATCCATAAGCCGCCCACTGAAGACTGAAGCCTCAAGGCAAGGAGGAGACAAAAGGTACCGGAAAGGCACTCGCAAGAGGGATAGATCCTCTAGACTGGAGTCGAAAAGCGGTAGGACCTCCCATACCAGAGGTCTTTGGTGACTGCATCACCAATATGGCTAGCGCCTGACTTTAATAATCCAGATCTTAATCTTAATTCAGACTTTGCAAGTACTCCAACAGCCTTTGATTTTGAGGGCTCATTTTTGCACCTGTAAAATCACAATTACAAACTATTAGTTCTCCGTTCATTGATGACCAGATCAAGCTTGACTTTCGAGGTTCTGAATCTGCACATGAGTCACATCCAGAGTCTTTACAAGTCTTTTTTGATTCTTTAGTGTCCTTATCACAATTTTTACATTCGCTTTCCATATTTTATAAAATTAAATCACTGATTTATCACGAAAATAGCCGAGTGCAACTATATTGAAAAATACAAGAAGCAATCAGCATAGCAATACATCACATAAAGCACTCTAGTCTTTTCACTAGCTGGATGGGAGCACCTTTGATACTTTAATATTCAGAATGGGAAAAATGAAAACATATAATCGTTTTATGCTGGGAAGTAATATGGACAGTCTAGAGAGAACAGTCTTAGCAGGGAGGTGAATGTAAAGCCTTCCTAGGCATGGACTGGAGTTATAGCTAGAGTTCAGGCTCGAATATTTATCCATGGGAGGAGGACGAGAAGCCCACGCACTTATAACATTCCCATCGAGATCGATTAATCTGGATTTTTCTATTCATGGGTTGGGTCTATTCCTGGAAGTAGATTCTCGTGGTTCGAAGCGAAATCTCCATGTAGCAGGGGAAAATGGCTGCCGGAACTTGGTCCTGAAAAATGCAAACTTAGTCAGGCTAAGCGCAATGAAAAAAGACTAATTCTATTCTTATCTAGTGAAACTTAATACAAGCCAAATGGGTCCAAGCAACTATTTAAGAGAGCCAAAAGAGCTGACCGACAGAGATTGAGATCTAAAGATGCAAATTACTGCCATGAATTCACAAAGTTTGGATGGAAGAAAGAGATGAAAAGGAAGAGAAACCAAATATAGGAATTATGCTATTATGAAAATTTTTCCAAATTAGCTTATGATAAATAAAAAATAAGGGCACTCAAGCACAATACCACGTAATTTATTATAATTATAATTTAAATAATGATTCTGTTTTTATATTTTAGCAATCATTAAATGCTTTTCCGCATCAATTTATGTTTAAGAGCCAAGATCAGGAGCAAATTTTTGAATTTCATTAACAATAAAATATGCAAAAAGTTAGCCAAAAAGAGCAGCTTCAAATAGAAAATCGAGAACAAAATAAAAATAATAGAGAAGCTGAGGCAAAATTCAAAGAAGGAAGGACCCTTCTTCGTGACGCTAGAACTCCCGAACAGTTTGAAGAAGCAGCTCAATGTTTTTCTGACGCAATAAGCCTAAGAGAAGACAAAGGAATTTACTGAGCTTATAGAGGTATTGCATTCAGAAATATAGGCTGGTTTCGACGTGCATCCTGTGATTTTTCTATGGCCATTCAGCTGGACTCAGGATATCCTCAACATTATGCTGAGCGTGGAATTTGTTATCAAAAAATGGGTAGGCTTGAAGAAGCGCTTGAAGACTTTAATGAAGCTATATATTTAGAGCCAGCAAATGGACATTACTATTACTCGCGTGCTATCGTGTACAGTAAAATGGGAAAATACGATCAAGCAGTTGACGATTATACAAAGGCCATAACTGCTTTGCAAGACCCATTTCAAGCTTTATGTAACCGTGGAAATTGCTACAGGAGACTTGAGAAAATGGACTTATCTATTTCAGACTTGAAAAAAGCTGTCACAATGCAGCAAGACAACGTGAATGCTAGAAATAACCTTGGACTGAGCTATTTTGAAAACAAAGAATTTGACCAAGCTCTATTGGAGTTTAACAAAGCTATAGAAATGGATAAAGAGAACCCAACCTTGTACTATAATAGAGGCATTGTTTTTTATCATATGGAGGAGAATGAAGCTGCTTTAAAAGATTTCAATAAAGCTATAGAGCTAGACTATCAAGACCCAAATTATTATTTTAATAGAGGAAACACATATTTGGCTATGGAAAATTATAATAAAGCCTATAGTGATTTTGATAGAGCAATAGGTCTTGCCCCTCAAAATCCTAAATTTTATCATTCAAAAGGTCTTGCCTTCCAAAAAGAAGAAAAATACAATGAAGCTATTGAAATGTTTTCTAAAGCTTTAGACATAGCTCCCGATCATGTTGCTTCTAGATACCATTTAGGCTTGATGCTTCATAAATCAGGGCATTTTCCACAGGCTTTGCAAGCCTTTACAAAAGTTTTAGATCTTGTAGGGGAAGATAGGCTTGTTTATGAAAGTCGTGGAAGGCTTTATCAAGATATGAGAAACCATGAAATCGCAATAAGAGATTTCAATAAAGCAATTTCAATTGACCCACATAGTCCTGATGCATACATATTTAGAGGAATTTCTCTGCTGAAACTAGGCAAGCCAGAAAACTCGATAACAGATTTTGATAAAGCAATTGAATTGAACTCTGAAAGTCCATTAATAGATAACGGACTAGGTTGTGCCCACAAAGCATTGGGAAACTTCGAAGATGCCTTAATTCATATGTCAACAGCAATTGACAAAGAGCCTTCTTCAGTTGATTTTCTAATGGATCGGGCAGGCTTACATTGTGATATGCATCATTACCCAAGTGCTGTTGAAGACCTTACCAAAGCTTTAGAACTCCATCCAGAAGATCCTCAGCTGTTTTATAAACGTGGCCTAGCTTATTATAAAAATGAAAACTATGAAGAAGCTATAAAAGACTTCAAGCAAAGCTTGTCCTTCCACCCATTTCCTACCTATAAGCCAGATATTCATTATCATTTAGGCCTTGCCTATGCATGCTTAGAAATGTTTGAAAAAGCTATAAAGCCTTTCACAAAATGCATTGATTTGTGTCCAAATGAAGCTGTCTATTATCACGAAAGAGCAAAAGCTTATCAAATGGTCGACAAAAATGCAGAAGCTCTTGAGGATTTCGGCAACGTTATTAAGCTGCAGCCTAATAACGCTCATGCCTTTTTTAGAAGAGCTTTTAGTCAAAAAGCTTTGAAATTCTATCAAGAAGCTGCTGAAGATTTTAGTAGAGCTAGAACTCTGCAACCAAAAAATCCAGCCCTGGTGATTAATGCTAAAAAAGTGCATGGGGTGAAATGCATTGTACTTTGTAAGCCTGGACAAGAGCCAAATTTTAACTAATATTTTAATTTTATTACTAGCAGAATGTAAAAACCCTATTTAATTTTAAATCTTAAGGTCCTGCTGCAAACTTCTTCGCCAGTTCAGGATTCTTTGCTAGGGCTTCTCTCAAAATCTGCTGATTTTTCTCTTCGTCAAATGTTGGAAGTCCCATTTCTTTTCTTTGTGCATCAAGAAGTCCTTTTTCGATCACTGGTCTGGTCTCTTCATCAAATATTGACAAATTGGTGTTTCCAGGGTCTACTTTGGTTGTATCAATTTCAGGCTCTCCTTTTAGTGCGCATTTCCACCAAGTCCTTACAGCTACCTTATCCAAAGTCAGGACAATGCATTTTCTTCCCTCAACAGTATCGACCATCCAGAGAGGATCATCAGGCTTAATAGCATCAAAGAAATCTCCATCTAAAAACATTTGGCCTTTGTGAATAATTGTTATGTGGTCTGGGCGAAGGTTTACTTTAATATATTTTGCTTGGAAATTCTCTGGGATATATGCTTGCTTATAATAATAAGACTATAAAGCAAATAAGATACTTATCGGTGTATTTTATATAAGAAAGTATAGAAATTGATAGTCAGGTCGTTTAGTTGTTGTGTCCAAAAATAGCGATCTGTTTTACCACCATTATTTATAGGCATCAACCCTTTAGACTCTCCTTTTGTCTCTTCTACTGGAGGTGTAGATCCTGCAGGGAGCTGGTTTTGTGTAAGTTTTGGTGTCAGCTTTTTCTTTGGAGGAGACTTAACTTCTTCTTGTTTAGGCTCAGTTAGCATAGCAGCTTGCTCGTCAGTAACTTCAACAACCTTCTGCTGGCTCAGCTGAGTTTCAAGGTTTTTCTGCTCTTCAGACTTGCTCTCTTCAATGATTCTGGCCTCTTCTGCTTGTCTTAATTCTTCGGCTTTGCGTTCTTCTTCAGCCTTTCTCAGTTCTTCTTGCCTTTTAAAAGGATTATTAAATGGCATGATCTGACTTAGCCTCTGGTGATCTGAAGTTGATCCATACATAGAGGAGAAGAGCCAAGTTAGGGTAGTTTTGCAGGAAGGTTTTTTTTTCAGCCATTTAACTGGCTTGCAGATGTGCCTGCCGGTATAATATCCTTATGCACTCCATAAGAGTATTACTTAGCCTCTGATATGGCTCAAACAGGCCATGGAGGAGGCAAAGGCGGTTTACCCCAAGCCCTGTATAGAGGGTGAGAGAGCTTTTGTAATTTTTTGGGACGCAGAAGATGTGTAAGGTGATCTCCCAAGGCACATCCTATGCCGCCATTTTTGGCATCGTCAGGAGTAAAAGGGTATGAGGATGGCACTTAGCGTAACGCGAAGTTATCTATGGGAGGCAAAGGGCTGAAATAACCCTGAAGACCTGCTAGAAAAATTTTAACCTAATCTTGCCTTTTCTCTTCTTTGATGCGGAGTTCTTCATCTCTCTTTTTCTTTTCTTCTTGCTTCTTTTGGAGGTATTCTTTCGCTTTATTGAAATAAAGAAGATTGGCTTCGAAATGATCCAGAAGCTCTTGCTTGGCTTCTGTTGGGGTGGTGAAGAAATCAGTTCGGCGCCTTAAAAACCCGTAGAAGCAGTTTAGAAAGCCATCGATGCCACGCTTGGTTTGCACACACTGCATGAAGAGACCATCAAATGACTCGTCGTCCATTAATTTTTATAACTAATTAAAATAAATAAAAGTATCTTTACTGATAAGTCTTCTATATTTACGATTTAGATTAAAATAACGGCAGCGAGTAATTTAGCATAATGAGGGTATATTATAATTCTATAGATTTTAGTTATAAAATGAACCCTCAAAATGATTCGTTTGATATCATGGCTGAAGAGCATAAAGATAAATCTAGCCCAGAAGAAATCCCTGGACTGAAGGTCGATGATATTCATTTTGGAATTATGGGAAATGATGAATATGTTGCCCCATTTCCTAATTCCCCTCTATATGTACAGACAATTTTATATTAATTATTATTTTTATATATATAATAATAATGGCTATGATAAATCTCTAGTAAATGATATTAAATTTTAGAAATTTTAAGACACATTTAAATAAATTTAAAATAAAAAATAGCCATCTTGGCTAGCAAAAAAGCCTTGCTAATCTATGAGGAAAGTAAGAAAACTCTTTATTGTTCTATTGCTTTGTTTATAGTTGGTAGTGTTTTAGTAATAGTCGGCTGTGTTGAGCTATTAGTAGTTGAAGACAAAACAAATGGTTTGGCGTTATTAATTATAGGTGCAATTGCATTTATCCCCGGGATGTATTACTCTTATATTTTTTATAAGCTATACCGAGCTAAAACACAGTCAGAAAGAATGAGAATTCTGCGAGAAATTCCAGAAATGTAAAACACAGTGATTTACAATACTGAAAATTAGATAAAAATTAGAAATAATAATTTGATTATAATAATGAGAAAAGCTCCTTTCTTTATTGGATTGTTTCTTGGAGCATATACTGGCGCAATATTCAGAGAAGAGTATTATTTTCCTACGTCTGAAAGAATAAAGCATGCAATTGCGGTATTTAGAAAGAACCAAGAAGCTATAATCGAAGCCACAAAGTTGCCAAATCCTGGTCAAAACCCTGAACCTATTGTGGAAAAGAAGGAAGAACAAAAAAAGTAATCTAATAAGCTTACGTAAAAAAGAAATCCTAAAAATGTGTTTAAAATATCTGCATTATAAAAGCTGAAGCTGCTTAGATAGCAAATCTTGAGCTTTTTAATTAAATGCAAAATTTTATATCGAATAGTCAAATAATTTAAGTTATTCAAATATTCAATCTTCATCTTTCCTCGTAATTAGGTCATTATAGCCAACAGTTTGGTTTGGAGCGACGAAAATTAAAAAATCCCAAAATTTCGGCCAGGAAAAAATAAAAACTGGCTGGAAGGCCACGGGGTCTTAGGTGGCAGAATTCCGGGATGGGGTTCGACCTGGGTTAGCTGGGCCTCCCCTCGACCCATGTGCAAGAAGACCGGCGGTGCAACACCAATCGAGCACTTCTGGAGGAGCATTATGTTGCCTGGAAATAGCAGAGGTAGTTCCAGAAGGAACTACTCATACCCTGAGCACTGCAGGGGTTAAGAGAGAGTCCTTTGCTGGATTTTTTGGTCAAAGCAGATTTCGGGTGAGTATCCCCGAAAGATGTCGACATCACCATTTTGGTGACATCGATAGAAAAAGGCGCTAGGTGGCTTTAGTGCTTAGCGCCACATGAGCGTGAAGCCTAAGCTCTACTGGATCAGGGGCTGAAATAAACCCCGTTTAATCCTCTCTAATCTAATCTCTCTCATCTTTCCTCCAGATAATTTATGATTAAAATATAATTTATATCAAAGATTTAAGTTTAATCCTGATTGAAAAATTTCATTGATTTCAAGGCTTTACTTATTTTTTAATGTCCTATTTGTATTTTATTAGCTTGATTAATTAATATTTTTATTATTTCTGATGCTTTCTAAACACTCTAATTTGCAAATTTCACTATCCTTGCTTATGAAAATTAAAAGTTTAAGTTCATGTTTAATAGATTATTCTTCAAGCCCCGTTCCCTAATTGCCTTAACTTGTACCAGCAGCTCTGATTAATGATAGATGAGGCAAGTCTAATCGCCGACCTGTCTCTATCTCCAAGCCTCTTAAGACCTCTTTCTCTACACCAGCCTCAGTTAGAATACTTCTCTTCAAGCCAAGACTCTCCTCAGTTTAGGACCGTAATCCTAGCCCAAAATGCCATTTTAAATTCTCAAATAAAAGTAAAAATATATCAAAAAGCCCCTCCTAATATAAATTTAAAATGTCAACGTTCGCAAAAGCAAAAGGAAGCAGAGGAAAGGTTGCAACCCCAGGAAAGATGTCAAGATCTCAAAAGGCAGGCTTACAGTTCCCAGTTGGGCGTATCTCAAGATTTATGCGGCATGGAAAATACGCAGAAAGAGTAGGTGCAGGAGCTCCAGTTTATTTATCATCAGTCCTTGAATATTTAGCTGCAGAGCTGTTGGAGCTTGCTGGAAATGCAGCAAAAGACTTTAAAAAGAGCAGAATTCTACCTCGTCATATACAACTTGCTGTAAGGAATGATGAAGAGCTAAACAGACTCATGGCAGATGCTATTATATCTAATGGAGGGGCAGTTCCATTTATACATCAAGCACTTCTTCCAACTGGTCCAAAAGAAGAGGTGGATCAAGAACTATAATTATTATAATATTGAGATTTATTTCCCGTATAAATTTAGAAACAATAAAAAATTTTATAAGCATGAAACCATATTCATTTTATAAATACGCAAACAAATTAGAAACCTTAACCAAAATCTTTTTTTTTAGCTGAGGTACATAAAAGTAAAGGCATGAAAGCTAAATAAAATGCCAATATTGAAAAGTTGAATCAAAAATTAATTTCTTCTAACCCTCCTTCTTAGTTAGCGAACAAAAAATTTTTATAAACAAATATTTTGATATATAAGTGATGGTTATGAAAATGAAATTTCAAAAAATTTAATATATATAAATTTTTTTAAAAAAAAATTAATCATTGCGGGTTGTTTGCTCATAAGGAGGAAATAATAAAATTAGCAAAAAGTATTAAATAAGTTAAAAAATTAAAAAAAAGACTTTTGAGATAATATCGTTTTATTACGTTATGTGATATCTTTCACAGTTTTCTATCTTAAAAATCAGCATATTTTATCAGATCCTATTTATCAATTAAATTAAATTAAATTATTTGTTTAAAGTTAGCCGAAGATTTTTACCTGTACAATTTTATCAGTCTTGAGGAGTTACCTGCTGACACCAGCAGCTTCAAAGAGGCTTTGCCATACCTGACTAGCTCCCAGGGCATCCATTTGCTATGGGCTTCTATCTTGGGGCGTAAACTCCCAGCTTCACGCTGAGCACCTGCTGTCTTCAGGCTCCTAATTCGAGTAGCGATGAGAACTAATCTCGAGAAAGATGTCTGTGCTCCTTAAAACTCTATTCCAGGAGAAAAAAATCCCATGCCCCAGGTATTATACCTTGTAGCATGAGAAAAACCTCTGCTCGAATGCATTAAGGATATCGTTCCTTTTTCTCGACTTGCTTCCTCCTTGAGATTGCCTGGAGATACTGAGGAAATTGTATCGTGTGGTTGCCTTCGCATTAATGTATTTATTTATCAATTAAAAATGGTTATTCAGTCTTCAGCTTTTTATTCTCATCAAGTGCTTCTTGAAAGTGCCTCTTTAGAGATTGGCTAGCATCCTCAGACTCGAAGCTATCCTCATCAGTTTCTGAAGTATCTTCATCAGACTGCCCATCTTTTACAATAAATCCTTCCAAATCGCTTTCATCTTCATCAGTATCACCATCCTCAGATGAAAGTCCGATTTCTTTTCCAAACTTATCAAGGTTATTGACAGCTTCTAATTTTTCAAACATTTCGAAGATTTTTTTGCTAAAATCAGGGAATTCGGCGATAGGACACCCATAAAAATCGAGTCCTATTAAGCTTGTAAGTGAGATAAGTGGAAGAAGCGCTGTGTAGTCAGATATTGGATTTCCAGCTAAAGACAGTGAGCTTAAATTGGATAGTTTTGAAAGCGGCTCAAAGCCACTTTTTAATCGGTTGTCGCATATATCTAGAGTAGTCAAATTCCTCAAATTGGGAAAATTTGAAATATCTTTTAAGCCGCAACCTGTCATAGAAAGAAATTCTAACTCTCCCCCTCTGTCAGCGAAAAAACCATTAAAAAAATCCCTATTTTTTGCCCAAAAACACACCCTCCGAAAGCCAACAAAAATGTTTTTAATAGGAATATTTTTTATGGGAAAAAAATTTGATATATAAGTGATAACTATTGTCATGAAATCTCTTAGAAATGGGATTTTTAGAAATTCTCAAAGATTTTTTTTTTTTTTAATATTTATATATAAAATTTTTTAAAAAAATTAACACTCCCTCCGTGAGTGTTCGCTCGCGGAGGGGGGAGTAAGTTTACGAAAGATTCAAGAAGGGCTTTTTCAGACAGTGAAATTGAATTCCCTCTCCACTTGTCTAAGACTAACTCGTAAACTTCGTTGTTTTGAATCCCTTGGGTTTGAATTTTTATCAAAGCTTCCATATGTATTTAATTATTTTAATGTTTTTTATTCATCAAAAAAAAAGCAACTGATCTAGACACAATGAGAATGAATTTATCAGAATTAACGGCATAAAAACGTATTACATATTATGCAGAGACACTCCAAAAAAATAAAGTAAAAAATTCTGTCCTGTTTAAAATTTTTTAAAATTTTAGCTTGTTTTAATCACTAAATTATTTGATTTATTGAGGTCTATATAATAAAAAAAAATTATTAAGCTATCAAATAAATAAGACAAGCAATTAATATCTGAGCTTGAAAATTTTTTGTCGAATGTTGCAGTTCTCTTGATAGCTTTAATATTATGAATACAACCCATTCACTGAATTTGCTGGATAATTAAATATCACAATTATTTACTTTTAGTAATTTAAAACCTTTTCTGGTTAAAAACATTTCTGGTAAAACTGTATAATATCTGATGTGCAAAATAAAAGCAATCATTTCTTATTCGTTTGTAATTAAGTTTTAAATAGCTAACTCTTTTAAGTATAAATGTTTTGCATTAAATTATAAAATAAGGGGATTATAATTTTATATTTTAATATAAAGAATAGTTTTCTTTACATTTATAAAGAGGCAATAAATTAAAACTTACTCCCTTCCCCCCATCCTTGATCGAACGATTGACTGTAAAAAATTCCTAAAAATTGGGGAAATTAACCCCCATCCTTGATCGAACGATTTTCATATCATGAAAATTTTTTTATATATATAAAAATATATTAGTTATCAAAAGCTTGGGAAGATGCACATAATGAAGTTGCTTTCAGAGACTTTAAGACGACAGAAAGCTTCGGAATCAACCATTCGAAGTGATTTAGTCATCAACCTAGGCTTAAAAACTCAATAAATCTAATAAAATAGAGATTTTTTATTCTAAAAAAAAAAATTAATTTAATAATAAGGAACAAATTAAAATTTATACAGTTTTAAGGGGTAACAAATAAATCAAAATATTAAAAATTGGTATTTTTATGAATTAATTCAATTTTTTGCTGTAAAAATAATTATTAAATACTCTTAACCCTCTTATTTAAAAGTAAATAAAAAACAATATATATATATATTTTTTATTTTATATATATAAATTTTTTTAACCCCCATCCTTGATCGAACGATGGCGAGTCGTTCGATCAAGGATGGGGGCTTAGCAAAATTTATTTAGTCTTAAGCAAATTTTAGATAATATAAGCTGTATTCAACATTGAAGCTTTTTTTTTGAACACTTGCTTTAGAGGACGAAGCCCATTTCGATATCATGCATATAAACGAAGCAAAGTGAAAGATAATAAAAATGCTGTTTAGATTTTAAAAAAAATTTAATTTTAATAGGCTCCACTAATTGAGGAATTGAATGCCTTGCATTTGTTTTAATACCAATAACTTATATTATGGTTATAGATCTTGCTCTCTATTCTAAATCTCATTGCCTTCAATCAAAAATGCAAAAAATTGAATATCTGTATTAATGCTCAAATTATTGCTTATATATTTAATTATCAGCATATTTGATAAAATTAAACAGTTATGTGATAAATTTGAAAAATTAATTTTAATTGGTGTGAATTTTAAGCAACCAAAACGCGAAAGTAGGATCTTATTTGTAAAATAACAGATTTTGTGGATAAAACATGTAGACTAAAAGTAATACTTGAGATAAGCCTTAATGATAAGGCATAATTATTTATTATTTATTTATTTATTTATGTATTTAATTATAATCTATATCTGCAAACGATTAGAATAATTTAATAATTCAAATATTCACTGCTAGTTTTTACCAAAAGAGCATCACGATAATATGCTACGCTTTCTTATATGATTAATCATATAGGAAATAACTCAAAATTCTTAAATGCTTTTCTAATATCAAAAAACCCTAACTCCTCCATTTAAATTAAAAACTGTTCCAATACTAATATTTTTATGAAAAATTAATTTATTATAATCGAATTGAAATTCTAACTTTGTTGAATATTATTATAGTTAATCTCACCCTTTTAAACGGAGCAAGCTATAATTCGACTTTGAAGTCTTAGAATAGGTGTCAGAGCTATTTACATAGAAATTATTATTTTTATCAATTAAAAAGGTGCTAATATTAAGAAATGAAATTTTACATTAATGGGATGAGTAAAGAAATTCCTTCAACTTGACTATTGAAATTATGAGACCATAAATTAATATGGCTCAGCCAGTCCATACTCATCTTCCAAGAGTGGAAAGTGTCCAGACCTACGGCAAAAAGAAACACGCACAAGCAGTTGCTCTTATCACTAAAGGAAAAGGAATGATCAGAGTTAATGGAGTTCCTCTTCATCTCGTAGAACCACAAACATTAAGAGTAAAAGTATTAGAACCAATTCTCTTGCTTGGTGAATCTCGTTTTAGCAAGGTTGATTTCAAAATTAGAGTCCATGGAGGTGGCTATGTTAGCCAAATTTACGCTGTAAGGCAAGCCATTGCAAAAGGAATTATTGCTTTTTATCAAAAATACGTTGATGAAGCTTCAAAAAGACAGATAAAGGAAATGATTTTGGCTTACGACAGATCCTTGCTGGTTGCTGATCCTAGAAGAAAGGAGCCTAAGAAGTATGGTGGTCCTGGCGCAAGAGCAAGAAGACAAAAGAGTTATCGTTAAACATAAAGCTTTTGAGGAAATAATGATTTCAATAAAATTATGATGATAAAAATCTATCTTTGATAATATATAAGGAGAAGTAAAAAATTGGAAAAACAGTATTTTGATGTTTAGATTATTTGTATTCTACTTTATGCTTGAATAGACTAAAGAAAAAATATTCAAGTCGTAAATATTTTTAGAAGCGCTCTATTCGATTGAAATCATCATTTTTTGTTGTATTTATAAAAACTATGGACATGAGCTATAATCAAATTATTAATTGTATAAGACCTCTAAATAAACAAAATCTGCAAGTTTCCAATCAATTTTTTAGCTTAATAATCTGAAATTTTCTTACTCCCCATTAAGAATCAGCAAGATTTTGTTTTTGCTCATGAGAGATATACTATTTTTGATGGACTCGACGCCCTTGAGGCCATCGGCTCAACTAATACGATGTCCATAATTTTAAGTAATTGTCAGAGCCATTTAAGAAAGAACTTATTTATCCTAAGCAAAAGCTCTACTGGGATCAAAGGGCTGGTCTTGCAGGTGGAATTCATGCAAAAAATATCCGATGTGCTGAAGTAAAGCATAAAGGCTGGCCTTATCATGGTTTCCAAGTGCTTGGCATAGCGGGATCTAAGTATCAAATTTCGATCTGACCAGGCCATTTTTTATCTATAAACATTTTCAGGATAGCAATAGCCATTTATATAGGACTAAATAGCCTTTTATCAAACCGATCATAATTTTTATTTAATAGCTTTTTTACCTATTTAATTTTAAGCATTTGAGAACTACTATAAGAAAATATTATTTGCTTTTATAATTTTAAAAGAATAATAGCCATAGAAGCTTAATTTTCCCAACAAGTAAATTTTAATATGATATTTCATAGCGGTGAATTTAACAAAAAATAGAGCTTTTATTGCTTTTAATATACGATAAAGATTGATTTACTTCATCTAAGTAATATTTAGCAGTCCTATTAAAGTGAATAATTAAAATTATTATCTTAAAATCTCTCAAGTTCTTTTATTGCATTTCTGAAATCAAATATTCTTTTAATTCTTCTCTTATCAATACTTCTGAGATAATTGAAAAATCTATTCCATATGAATTCTTTAAAACATTCCAGATTACCAACAACTCATAGCAGATGTTTTGATCTTGTGAATGAAACATTTAATCTTTTTATATCAGAAATAAATTCATATGGAGGCTCTGTAGCTACCGAAGAAAAAATTATCGCATCTTTCTCCTGACCTTGAAATCCGTCGACTGTGGATATCGAAATATTTTCTAAATCAAGATTTTCTTGGTTTTGATAAAAAATGGTGTTTTATTTAGCTATTTAATTTTACTTACTCCCCCCCCCCCCTCCGTGAGCGAACAAAACCATTAGAAAAATCGCCATTTTTTGACCAAAAAACCCACCCTCCGTGAGTGAACAAAAATTTTTTTAATAGAAAAAATTTTAATGGAAAAAAATTTGGATATATAAGTGATAATTAGTATAATGAAATCTAGAGCTAATTCTGTTTAAATTTTAAACAAATTGCGTTTTAAAACATAAATTTTGCAAATTAAATTAATATTTGCTTCCCAATTTTTGCAAATTAGGATTTTTTTAAATTTCGAAAAAAATATTTTTTATAAAATTTATATATAAATTTTTTTTAAAAAAAAAAAAATTAACCCCCCTCCGTGAGCGAACAAAATTTTTTTGTTCGCTCACGGAGGGGGGGGGGGGGGAGTTAGTTTTTGAATTTCTCAGATGCTCGATACGATCTATTCCTGAAAAATTAAGGAAATATTTGAAATCTTCTATGGAATCGAAGCCCCTTAATAGATTCTTCCGCTTCTTTTTCTTTTTCAATTTTTATTTAGGAATTTGAGAATTTCATAAAAATTTCAATTCTATTATTATTTCCATTAAATGCATTGCTTTAATCCTAAAAAAACTGTTTTTTAAAATATTTTAATAAAAGCTGTTCAATAATTTATATTCCACACTTATCACATTTATAAACTCCGTCCTTTTTCTTTAAGCAAATCATATGAAATTTATGATTGCATGAAATACAGATAGCAGGATGTATATCGACACTAAATGGCAGACTGCATTCATGACAGAGTTCGGTTATTTCATTCAAATTCATAGTTGTTACTTCTTCGAATGTATGTCTTGCAAAATAAATATTATAAAATTAATGAGAATAGCTTAAATCAATCAAATTATTATTGCAATTAAATTCGTGACCTTATTTGTACCTCATCAATAGACTTCTTAAGCCATCTTATCAGAAACTCAAATCTCAAATATTTCTGCCCTGCTGAAAATGATTATAGATAAAAAATGGCCTGGTCAGATCGAAATAATATTTTACAAGAAGTATTTGATACTTAGATCCCCGCTATGCCAAGCACTTGGAAACCATGATAAAGGGCCAGCCTTTATGCTTTACTTCAGCACATCGGATATTTTTTGCATGAATTCCATCTGCAAGACCAGCCCTTTGATCCCAGTAGAGCTTTTGCTTAGGATAAATAAGTTCTTTCTTAAATGGCTCTGACAATTTCTTAAAATTATGGACATCGTATTAGTTGAGCCGATGGCCTCAAGGGCGTCGAGTTCATCAAAAATAGTATATATTTTAATGAAAACAGTTTCTGACCCAAGCTTATAATATTCAGAAAAGTGGCCGATTTTATTTAAGAAAATTTCATTAATTATATATGAATATTTGTTAAAATATTTGATATACTCATTGATGATAATCTCACACACTGCTTAAATTCATCTAAAATGTCATGTCAATTTCTCTCCATTTTACACTTTTCAAATGTCAGAAGAGAAATTAATAGATCAGCCAGATTATTACGAATTTATTGAGAAATCTCGATCCTTCAGCACAGCCTCCTCGACTATTTCCAACGAAATTATGTCCCGATATTGACTCCATTTCAAGCTAATGATGTGGAAGCAATATGTTGTCTTTAAGAGAAACTTGAAATCCACTTTATTCCAAATAGGAACTCCTCTTATTATCTGTGTTTTTCTAGTTATCCTTCAGGAAATTGCAAATTATTCAATAGAGAGCATGATAGTAAAAAATCCTGATATAGTAAATCTCCATACCACGGCGTTGTTCAAATTTGTTGGTCTCCTGGCTGAAAGTTATTCTTTTTCATTTTTCATATGAGGTTTGGCTTCACCCAGCGAGTTTATTCTGGAATGGAGGAGCATTAAGTCCAATGATGCATAGAGCTGGACACCATTTAAGAGAAATAGAATTTTCTAAAAGTGTACCAACAACGCAAACCATGAAGACTGGGATCTTTAGATAGCCAGACGGATTCAAGTTGGTTTTGTGCAAGAACTGGAAGGACGGCCATCTTAAGAGTGGAATATTGGTAGAAGAAATCGCATTGGTAATAAAAATGAGTTGGATTCGAAAACTGGCGAATTTTATAGGTAAAAGCACTGAAAAGCGATGTGGCAGACATTATAGTTAAACGGCAATAAGTAAGTAAATCTCCATAAAATTCCCAAATGCTGAGGAGATGGATGCGTCACTGTAGGCGTTGGGCTGACTAATGAAGAAGATGAGTTTACAGATTGGGTGCTAAGATATGTGGCAAAAAAAAATAATCTTGAGTATGGAAAAGATGTGAAGATTCTCACAAAGAATGACCCGATGAATTTGATTAACTACTTGTCAAAATACGAAAATAAAACCCAAACAGCAATTGTATTGTGCACTGGGCCTTTTATTTTGCCATCAAACCCAGTATTGAATGGGACTTTTGACTGCAGAGGAAATGACACAAGCTATACAGTTAAGATGTATAGCATAATGGTAAACTCAACTATTTTGAATAGCATGTTTATGGCTAGCTGAAATGCGCCTGCACCACTGGATTATCCATCAACTGCAGTCAAAGTTTCTTTTGATGAAGCAATTCTGGCTTATTATATTAATGAAAAAGGGATGCCTAACTATGATATTCAGCTAGATGCACAAAGCTATCCTGAGCCAAAAAATAGATATTTTGATGGCTATTCGATTGTGACTGAATCTGGAGCATTTTATTTTTTTATTCCACCAATGGTCACTTTTGTTGTGCTTTTAAGTGAAATTGTGAGGGAAAAAGAATATAAATTACGGCATGGACTTAGTATGGCTGGAATGGGGCCTTCTGCGTATTGGCACAGCTGATTCATTACTGGGCTTGTTTTTTCGCTTATAGTGAGCAATAGCTTAATTGTAAGCGGACTTATCTGTGACTTTGACCTCTTTTTGCATTGCCCTTACCCTATAATTTTGATGCTTTTTACCTTATTTTCTATCGCAATGATGTTTTTAGCATTTTTGGTCTCGACTTTTCTGAAAACCACGAAAGCAGCCTACACAGCCTCTTATGCATTTATTTTAATTGGCTTAGTGCTCCAGTTTTTTATGTCGAATATCTATATAATTTACCTATTTTATTCAGAGGATGTTCCCAACTGGGTAGTTGCCATTCGCACTATTTTAGCATTATACCCTCCATTTAATTTTTCTAAAGCATTCGGCGATATCGCCTTAAAAGCGTCATCTCATTACTCAAATAGTGCTCATCGTTGGGTATCTGGTGATGATTATACTTGGCATGATTTTGTTAAAACAATTCATGGAAAAGTATCAGGAACTAGCTATTCAGTTCCCCCCACAATTGTTACTATGGTCACTTTAATAGGAAATGCCTTTATGATATGCATTTTGGCTTGGTATTTTGACCATGTAATGCCTAGTAATAGAGGCTGTGCTGATCCTTTTTATTTTATGTTTACCAAAAAGTATTATGGATGTAAGAGGAAAAAAGTTGCTAAAAATATAAATATTGAAATCAAGCATTAGCATTAACATTAATTAAAGATTAGGGCTCTTCCCCCTTTTACGTCTCACCCTAGAAGACTCGTTCAACTACTAGCGAACATCCCTAGGTATTTCAGCATTTCCACCAGAGATAGCTCTCCCAGGCTTTCGGCCTGTTCTTAATGCTGTCTCGGAACCTTGAAGTATGCAGGCTTGGGACTTGACGGCTGCTTTAGTAACTAGAGCTTCAGCTAGGAATAAACTCGGTAGCTAGTATCAGTACCAACTGTGCCTTCATCATCAGCACTAGTAGTCTCTAGAGGTAAAAAGCCTTTTTTCCCAAATGCCATCGGGAAGACACAAAGTCTTCATTGCAGGACAAGGGAGGCAAAACCCAGCCGGAATACAAATGCCCAATAGACTCCATTTCCTGCTTGGTTTGGCTTCAGGCTACAGCAAGGTCCCCAAACTCGAAACAGATCCGGGAGAGGACTGGTCGGTGACGTCTCCATTTTATTTGTGTTGTTGAAATCAAGCAAGATTCAAATGATCCTGTTATGCATGAAAAAATAAAAGTAAAGGAACTAATTGAAAAAAATGTCCCAGCAAAAGGGATAAGATTAATTGGCATTGACAAAGTTTTCAAAAAACACAGTTACCCCTCAAATGATGATATTCATGCAGTCAATAATATGTTTTTAGAAATTCCTAATAGACAGCTATTGACTTTATTAGGACACAATGGAGCTGGAAAATCTACGCTAATTATAATGTTTCCTATAGGTTGCCCAAAAATATTTTATATGCCGATGTCCTATTTAGGTCTCTTTATAGAACAAAATGTAATGGAAGTTGAATGGCCAAGTCAGACTCTATCAAAGGGATGAGCTGGATTTCTATAGTATGAAGGGTTAAAAAGTGGCATGTCAAAAACTGTTGGCAAGCGTGAACAAAGTTGATAAACAAACGTGCCAATTTTTTTAAATGGCTTGATTATTAATTAATATTAAATTTAAGATACCTTTTAGACTGGCACTGATAAGTCTCGCCTATCATTTGCTATTTTCTATCGAATTAAATATTATTGATATAGATAGGAAGTTAATTTTCTAGCATAATTCCAGAGTCTTTACGGCCTTAAAGGCTACAGAGATAGCTAATAGAAAGATACTTATGTTTCAATTATGATTGAAACTATCTATTAAAAATTTGATCTTTGAAGTACAAACAAAAAACCATATAAAGATGGTATTGCATCATAGGAATTTATGTTAATGAAAATTAAGAGTCGCTAGGACCTATAAAGTCAGTAAAGAGCACTAATTAGAGTAACGCTTATGTTGCAATTCTCATCGAAAATTGTCAATTAAAAATTTAATTTTTTAAATTCAATTAAATACTATATAAAAATGCAATAAATTCTACAAATAATTATTTTAAATAAAAATTAAGAGCCACTATCATCTTTAAACCTTAGATAGCACTATTAGAGTAATAATTATAGAGGCTGCCTTTGAGTAGCGCTCTAAGCGCCCGAGACTTCCCGACGAAGTCTGGGCGGTGGTTTGACCAGCTGATGTTGGTCAAAACCAGCATCCAATTTGACAAACCTTCTGTATGAGAAGAATTTGTCATTTTGGATGTTGGTTTGATCAACATCAGCTGGTCAAACCACCGCCCAGACTTCGTCGGGAAGTCTCGGGCGCTTAGAGCGCTACTCAAAGGCAGCCTCTATATGTTTAATAGCAATTGAAAATGATCTATAAAAATTTGTCACTATCACTCTTTAATACCTTAGATAGCATTATTAGAGTAATAATTATGTTTAATAGCAATTGAAAATGGTCTACAAAAATTTTTGAATTTTTAAATTCTCTAGGAAAGTAATATTAAAACTGGAATTATATGTTGTATTTAGGAAGATATCATAATTTTAGTGTTTTAAAAAATGAAGGAAGAAATAGGTAATATACTATCAGTGCTAGTCTAATTTAAAATTAATTTTATATAAAAGGCATTTTAAAAATTGGTGCGTTTGCTTGTCAACCATTTTTTGACACGTCACTTTTTAAACCTTCCTGCTATAGAGACCCAGCTCGTCCCCCTTGATAGAGTCTGATTTGGTCTTTCAATCTTCTATTACACCTTTTGATAAAGAAATCTAAAATATGGGTATGGGCTATATCTGTTTTCACTAGTAAGTCTATATAAAATAGCATAATATTTTAACTGGGCTCATAAGCTCTTCTGGAGGTACAGCCAATATATGCGGCTTCGATATTAACGAAGACATGGACGAAATTCGAAATGTTTTAGGGGTATGCCCTCAGCATGACATATTGTGAAATGAACTTACAGCAAAAGAGCATTTAGTTCTTTATGGAAGAGTTAAAGGAATGAGCTATCCTGCAATATATAAGGAAGCTGAAGAGATTTTGAAAAGAGTCAATTTATTAGAAGAAGCAAATTCATTAGTTGGCACTTTCAGTGGAGGAATGAAGCGTAGACTTTCAGTTGCTATCTCAGGCATTGGAAATCCAAAAGTCATTATTTTAGATGAGCCTACAACAGGAATGGATCCAATTAACAGAAGAGAAGCTTGAAAGTTTATACAGGAACTCAAACAAGGAAGGGTGCTTATTCTGACAACTCACTCTATGGAAGAAGCTGACGTGCTCAGTGACAGAATTTGTGTTATTGTCGACGGGGCCATAAAATGCATAGGAACTTCTCTATATTTGAAAAATCAGTATAGCCCAAGGTTACTTGTAGCTCTTTCTGAGCCTTATTTAAGACTCCAGGCTCTGTAGAAAAATTAGCAAATTGTAAGCAAAGGCAGCAGTTGGTAAATCACCACTAAAAGCAAGATATAAGCAGCCTTAAGCTATATGGAGATGGGTATAGAATTACGATTATTACAAAAGATCCCGCTCAGGTTAACGAACTAATCCAAAAAGTTATGCCATCATCAGTAAAAATTGACAGCAGCGGAGGAAGCATTGTATTGGGAATTCATCTAAACGATATAAAAGAAATTGGGGAGTTTGTAAAGCTGATGGAAACCAAAGAACCTCATGAATTCGAGAAATTGAGAGAATTGATTGATGATTGGGGTTTATCTCATACCACTCTTGAAGAAGTGTTTATGAGGGTGACAGGCAAAAAGCAATCAAGACTAATGATATCATAATAGCTTGAAAATACTATTAATTGCATTTCCTTCTTATCACTTTTTTTTTGCAATATTTCAATTTATATGAATAACTTAAAGAATTATGTCTAAATTGCTAAAATTTAGTTAGCCACTGCGAATTTTCTTTGTGGGAAATTCAATTTCTTTTTCAAAATACGAAGCGGTAACTTCTTAGCTTGTTCTTTTGTCAATCTTAATCTGAGAGCTCTAGTGAGTTTTGGCCTAATATCGAAAGCGAGGTATTTCTTTCCTTTGTTTGCAGCTTTGATCTGGTCTCTTTTCTTTTCGTGAATAATGGTTAAAACTTTAGCGACATCTTTTCTGAAGACTCTGATTTTAGATAGTTTTGATGGGGCACCGCCAGCGACTTTAGCAACTCTTAGATGGGAAAGCTCAGTTTTAAGTTCTTCGAGCTGTTTTTGAAGCGCTTCTGGGTCTTTCTTTCTGAGCTCGTAGGCCTTGACTTTCACCATTTATCTAGCTAATTATAAGGGTTTTACCATAAGAAAACTTTTCAAGCTTATAAACTCATTTTACGTTAGTTTGAAAAGAAAATTATACAGTGAATAAATATATTAAGGAGATAGAATCAAAGAGAGGGTTATAATTACTGAAGTTGATTATGTTTAAGATGTTTAGAAATGAAATGCATAAAGCAGAATAAAATCTTACTTTTCCTCTGTCTAATAAGAATTTTTGGTAATTGAATAAAAATTTTTAATTATTTACGATAAAGATGTTTAAATAATTTTATAATAATATTTCAATATTTTAAAAATTTAAATTATTTTGCTTTTTATTTAGACGCCTCATTCCTGAGTGTTTCTTTTTATTAAATTTGAGAAGTGAGTTAGAATTAATTAAAATTTTCCAAAAATCGATATAAATATGCTCTTTTATAATGAATAGAAGCTTTGGTACTGATTATCATTTTTTATTTTATATAGTGAATATGAACAGGCTAACCAGTACCAAAGTTTCTATTAATTATAAAAGTTTATATCTTAATAATGAAATCTGTTTATATTGGATTTGGTAAAAAGATATAAAAATAAATTTCAGCTAACTTTCAAAGCAGCAATCAAGTAAAAAACTTTGTATTTAGACCCTTTAGGTTTTTAAAATCCTGAATCTTAGATTGAATATTTAAATTTGTGATCAAAATTCTTGTTGGTAACCAATCAGAACGATCGAGCTCACCCTAGGGAGTCGTCTGATAACGTCTCAACTACTTATGGCTTCCATTCTTCTCTCCAGTTGTTGCCTATGGCAAATGACTGCCCGTGCCATTAGAGTATGTAGATTTGGGACTTTGTTTGCCGCTTGCTCAATCTCATCCTTCACTGATTCGGCTCCATCTTGTTTGTCTTAACCCTCTACAGGACACTCATGTCAAGTGCTGCAGCAGGAAAAGCAGTCAAGCCCACCTGCAGAGGAGATAAAAATCCTGAATCATTTAAAACACAATCTATAAATTAATTCTTGCTAAACATAAAATAAATACAGTTAAAATGTCTTCTATAGTTCCAGAGTCTCCCTTCAAAACCAAACTTTTAATTCCTCATTCAAGCCATCTATCAATACATTCTATCGACTCCCATACAGGCTTAATAAAAGTGCAAAGTCGTGAAAACAGTGACGATCTACCAAATTTTTATGCATCTCCAATGAAACTATTTAGGCCAAACGCCTGAAAAGAAGTCTCTCTATCCAATTCAAGGCAAATGTCAGAGACTTCTAAAATAAAACAACCTGAATCTTTAAAAGACCAAATAAAACGGCAAGAAATCTCAGTTCTTGAAGAGCTTGAAAATGGTAATTTAGAAGATGCGAAAAAAATCATGGAAAGTTGCATGAAAAATATCAAAAAAGTTTATGGTACTTATGATTTGGAAAATATCTATAGTATGTATTTATATGCTGATGTGCTAGCAAGAGCTGGGGATATAGATCTTGCAATTCATTATAGTGAAAAAGCTTTACATACAATTGAAGAGCTCCCTCCTCATATAATAAAGGAGCCTCAAGTGATACAGTATCAAGCTATGATTTTATATATGGCTGGGGTGTTATAATCCCATTAGAGAAATTAGGAGTAGATAATATGCTCAATGTATTGATTTTATAGAAATATCTGGTCAAGCACAGGTAGCAACCCTACACCCCCTAAAAGTGGTACCCCCAACCCCCTTTTTTAATGGTACCCCCCAGCCCCCCCCTTTTAGTGGCACCCCCCCCCCCCCCCCTTAATATAGTATAGATATATCACAAATGCTAATTTAGAGCAGGCGTAATAAATAAATTATTATTTTAGATATTAAAAATTACTGATTTATACAATATCATATAGCGTAGCGCAATCGATTAAGGAGTAGTGAAAATTCCTATAACTACTAAGAACCCCACATCTGAAGAAATTTGCTGACAAGCATAATGACCTTTGGTATTAATTAGCAGTATATCCTGTATATATTTATGAACTTTGTGGAACAATGGCTAAAGAGTCCATTTAGAGATCTAAAAGTAAAATTGACAATAGCAAATACTATTTTTATTAGCACATTGCTTTTCAAATGAAAGAGATGCTCTATATAAGTTAGGCAGTAGAGAATAAGATATGGAATGCTATAAATAAGCTATCAGAGTTGATCAAAATTATGCTGATGCATACAATAGCATAGGAGTTATCTTCTATAAAGAAAAGAGTTATGAAAAAACACTAAAACATTGTAACGATGCAATTAAAAAATCCAAACTGTGGAGATTATTATTATTATAATAAAGGAAATGCTCTTACTCCCCCCCTCTTTAAATTGGAACAAAATATAGGTAAAATTTCCACTTTTTTGGTAAATTAACCCCCTTTAAATTGAAACAAATTTAATTTTATAATAAAAAAATTATAATAATTTTTTATGTAAAAGGTTTTGATATAAGTTAAATGTTTCTTCTTAACTAAAATCAAAAATTTAGTTATATCTTGTTCTTGTTTTAAAAGAAGAGAGTATAAAGATCATCTTATTTAAATAAATTTATTATCCTTAATTGCTAAATTTTAAAAAAAATTAATTGTTTTTTTTAAAAATTTTTCAAAAAAATTTTTATTCTTCTTTGATAAAACACTTTTATTTTAATGGAAGATTCGGAAAGTAATGTTTCCTATTCTTCTTCCTTTTGTGAAGAAAACGGAGCTTTACAGGATGAATTTTTCGAACTTTTACTATTAAATGAACTTATTGATACAGGATTACTTGATAATTCTGAATCAGAATATGAATGAAATGATAGTGATACAGAAAATGTTGATACAGATGACAAAATATTGGAGTTTTTTAAGTCGTTTAGATGGAAAAATACTAGATGAAATAGATCCTATTCAGGAAACCTTCAAATATAGGAAGACTGAGGTGATCATTGATGATAAGAAGACAATCGATAAGAAAATCCTGAACACCAGAAAAATAAAAATTAGATCAGATTCAAATTTTATCAGAAAAATAAAATTGATATCAGAATCAAACATTATCAGGAAATCAGATTCAAATTTCATCAGAAATAGAAAATTCATATCAGACTCAGAAATCGAAAAAATCGCGGATTACGTGGGTTCAGAAAATTTTACTAAAATTTTATCCAAAGATTTTAGGAAAAGAAGAAAGTTAAAAAATTTTTAATCGGGACATGGCCCTGAAATAAAGGCCTTTAAGTGATAAAGATTTCTCCCTCCTCCCTCTTTGATAAAAAATGATATTTTTTATTTGGATAGTTTTGATATAAATTCAATAGGAATTCATTATAAATTTTAAAATTTACTAATTTCTTGCTTTATTTTAAAGAATAGAGTATAAATAGCATCTTATTTAAACAAAATTAGCACTTTGATCGATAAATTTTCTAAAATTTTTTTGTTTTTTAAATTTTTTTTTTATCAATAAAAAATAATAATTTTTGTGTAAATAATTTTGATACCAATTAATAGTGGCGTATTAATTAATAATGAAAATTTAGTTATATCTTGCTTTGCTTTAAAAGATAAAGAGTAAATAGCATTTTATTAAACAAATTTATTAATCTAATTCGATAAGTTTTTTGAATTTTTATATAAATTTTTTTATAAAAAAAATTAACCCCCTTTAAATTGGAACAAAATTTTTTGTTCCAATTTAAATGGGGGGAGTTAGATAGTTAGGAAGAAGAGAAGAAGTTTTGGAATGCTATAAAAAAACAATCAAAAAGAATAATGGCAACTCAAGATGTGATATAGGGCATGGTATGTGTAAGAAAATATGAATATAATTAATACTTGAATTCGCAAAAAATTTTATTTTATGAATTGATTACTTTTAAACCTACTATTTAAGCTAATTATCCATCTTCTGCATATCCTGCATTAGCTCATATTACATCCATCTTGAAGTTACCTACACTGTATTCATCTTCGCTGCACTCTGTAGTTATTGTATTGTGCTTGATTCATTTAATAATTACTGACATTATCAATATCTTTGGCATTGTATTTATAAATATAAAAAACAAATTTAATATATTTCCTAATTAATTTTTAATTAATTTGAATTTATTAATTAATCGTAATTATTAAAGCAATTTATAGACTTCATTTATCAAAATAGCGCTTTTAATTGGATTATATTTACAATATTCTTTTTGAGGGAGGGGTGGGGGTGCCATTTTTAGGGGGGGTGGGGGTTCCCTTATTGGGGGGGGTGGGGGTGTAGGGTTGCTACCTATGCTTGATCAAATATCCTCATTTTTCTAGGTAATTATACTTGATAATTGGGATATATAAATTCAGCGCAGCCATGCAAAGGAATTCATGCTTTACAAACTTTATCAAGTATCCTTGAAAACTACCAGATAGAGTCTATAGAGGTTTCCTCTATATAGCGCTGAAAGTGCAGATATTTTCCCAGGAGCTTTCCAAGTTCGTCGGACCAAATCGCTTTTTGGTCCGACCAAGGCATTGATTTGGTGCAACCAACCGATAAATTCCGATCAGAATTTATCGGCCTTTACAGCGCCAAACATAGGAAACTTCTATATATCTATGGTGACTGTAAAATTAACTCTTGGAAATGCATATATACAGAAACAGAAATATGTTGAAGCCCAAAGGGTTTTTGATATTTGTAGGCAAGCTTATACAAGTGATGATCCCATGTATCACCAAATTTTAATTAAGATGCTCCAATGTGCAATGTCACTTAATCAATTTAATACTGTGGAAGGGTATTTAAGCGAAGCAAAAGAGTATTTACACATTTTTATACTTCTTAATAACTTTATATGATAACTATATACTTATTTTCCTATAAAACAGACTTCTGATTATCAATATAAAGAGAAATCTGTCTAGAAACTAATAGAATTATATGATGATACAGATAAATATACAATTCTTAGTAGTGCTGCCTGGTTTCACACTCACAGAGAAGAATATCCGCAAGCTATCGAATATCTAATAAAATGCATGGAGCATTTAAAAAATACTGACCAAGAATTTTCTAATGAAATGGGATGGGTTTTGACCGAGCTTGGCAACTGCTATATTTTTATCAACCAATTAGATGATGCTTTTGAAATTACTTGCTATGCCAAAAATGTACTAGAAAAATCAGTAGGACCTCACTCAAAAGAAGTCGCTAATGCAGTACAGCAGTTAGGAAATATTAAGTTTAAGCAGCATGAGCTGCAGGAATCAATACAGCTATACAAGCTTTCTAAATCATTATTTATTAACGCTCTTGGCCCAGTCCATGACTCAACAATTCAAGTCTGCTTATGCATTCTTCATGCATATTTGCAGATTGGCAACTCTTCGGCAGCATGAGAAGTATTAAGGGAGCTCAATGCTCAAGAGTATTCATACCCTCCTGAAACAGCAGGACTTGTTTATAACGAAATGGGAAACGTAATGCGTGAATGTGGATACTTTACTCAAGCCTTACAATATTACGAGTCTGCATTGCGAGGGTACTCAATGCTGGAAGAAAATAACCCAGATTTAGGAAAGGTCCATTTTAATATAGGAAGTTTAAATCTGCAGATCGGCAGGATGAGTGAAGCTACTCTGCATTTATCTAAACTCCCCCCCCCTCCGTGAGCGAACAAAACCATTAGAAAAATCGCCATTTTTTGACCAAAAACCCACCCTCCGTGAGTGAACAAAAATTTTTTTAATAGAAAAAATTTTAATGGGAAAAAAATTTTGATATATAAGTGATAATTAGTATAATGAAATCTAGAGCTAATTCTGTTTAATTTTAAACAAATTGCGTTTTAAAACATAAATTTTGCAAATTAAATTAATATTTGCTTCCCAATTTTTGCAAATTAGGATTTTTTTTAAATTTCGAAAAAAATATTTTTTTTATAAAATTTATATATAAATTTTTTTTAAAAAAAAAATTAACCCCCTCCGTGAGCGAACAAAATTTTTTTGTTCGCTCACGGAGAGGGGGGGGGGGAGTAAAGCAAAAACTATTAAAGAGGCTTGCTTTGGCAAAGACAGCATAGAAATAGTCAGTGTCCTTGAAAAATTCGCTGAAGTTTATAAAGCGCAAGGACGAACAAAAGATGCCTATGAGATTTTGAAAAAAGCTCTAAAAATATGTGTAGGCTGCAAGTCAAACAAAGAAAAAGAAATCCGCAAGCAGATTTCCAATTTAAGGAATCATAGAAATAAGTAATATTTAATTATTTTAATAAATGGGAATCATAAGTTCAAAAAATTACTTCTGCATGGGATGTGCTGGACAAAACTATTCGAGCTTTTCTGAAAACTCGAGCTTCAGCCAGTTTCCTTTATCTACATCCATGACATTATTTGCGCCTTCAGTCGCATCGGAAAGTCATTTTGATTTAAATGAAGAGTTAGAAAGCAGAGAAAGCGTATATGACTTCGATTTACCAGAATTACCATTACCAGAACCTACAGAAGAATGCATCCCTGATGTTTTGGAAAAAGAAATCAAGCTATGAGACGAAGAAAATAAGCTTATAAACGATTCTACTGATGAGACAAGCTTGTATAAAAATGAAACTCACCAGATTTTTTTTAAAGGGATATCTGAATTGTCAGATTTAGAGACAAATAGTGCAACGTGAAAATTTAATGAAGGGGAATTGAAAATGCCTTATACAAGAGGATTTTCAGATATTTCTGTGGAAGAGTTACTGGAAAGAGCTGAAAGTAGATTAACAGCTTCTTCAAATACATCGATAAATTCTGTTAGCAAAACCCCAAGAAAAGGCTCATTGGTTGACTATAGAAATGAGGGTGGAAAAAATATAGTTGAAGTCATTAGGTCTCAAGGGGGAAATAAAAAAAATGAAATAAACGCATTGAGGATTAAAAATGACAAGATAAATCTTTCTCTCACAAATAGGCAAGATAATAATAAGAGAAAAAACGAAGGAAATAATTTGATAAGGAGTCAGAGTATAAGAATGACACAAAAAAGAAAGCTTTAAATGATATATTTTTGGTAATAAATATAATTTAAATTTAAAAGCAATTATCGTTAGGTTTATTAGCTTTTCAGTTAAAAATTTCAATAATATAGCAGAAGATCCTTCCATATAATTCATCATCAAACATTCAACAGAGCAATATATGAAATTCTCATTTAAAATTTACTATAATTTCTTAGAATCCAGGCTTTTACAAAAATATAATTCCAATAAATTTTAAATTTCTGGATTTTTATCCAAAAGCCTTAAATTTTAGCAATGGTAACTTCCCTATAATTTTAAAATATAACGATTTCTTTGATATTAGATAATTTTTCAATATGGAAACAGAAAGATTGAACTTGAAATCTTTTCGACACATCGCGACATCTCCTCGATTTACACCTCTGCAATCTCCAAGACTTAGAAAACTTGTTGTTCTCAGTCCTGATCGCGAAAATCCAGACTTGAATTCTGGATTTAACAGCCCCAGAATCGTGCGGGCATCTCATGTATTCAAGCCTTCAAATGCATCTTCTTTAGCAACTCCAAGAAGACAAGAACACCAACATAATGAAGTTTTTATTGGGAAAGACCGCAGGCTTATTAGCAGAAACCTATTGCTAGACAAGTACAAATATGCAGAAATGCAAAACTAATGCTTTGTTATCTAGTTATAATTTATGTTATAGATACAATAAGTTTCAAATAATTTGATTTGTTAGGAAGAATAGATTATTAATCAGAAAATAAAATAAGGCTATTAGGTAAAAGCTTTATTCAAATCAGAAATTATGATAATTATAACTATACAAATGGCAAAAAATTTATTTCAATATGCACAAGTATCAAAAGATATTGCGATAAGAATTATTATGAGCAGGAACAATTAGCTTTATTTGCTTTTGAGTTTAAATTGATTTAATAGCAAAAATTATTTTTTATAAATATTATTCATAATAATCAGTAATAAGAGTATTTATTTGCTCTTTATTTATGATAATTTATTAGCATAAATAAAATTCAATGGCATTTTGCAATATTTTTTTCAATTATTGTCCTTCTATTGAAAAGCGCTATTAAAATTGATAAGTGAGGGCTCAAACTCTTTTAATCAGCAAGTGAAAGACAAGGAAAAGAGTTTTTTTCACTTCAGCAGAGACTGAATTACGCTTTACTATTTCTCATCAATACTATTATTGCTATGGAGATACTAAACGATTTAGATTTTACTGGTTATTAAATTTATAGTCAAGATAATTAAATAGAATTAGAATTAGATACGGAGATACTATTAGATTTTTTATATACTTAGATTGAGAACTTATGAGAGGTAATAAAATTTGCAAATTCTTAGGGAGAGCACTATAGGGTCTGAAAAAATAGACTCAGGAAAAATGGAGAAAAGATAATTTAGTGTATTTATGTGAAGATATTGATGAAGATCTTGAAGAAGGTGAAGATAATGAAGCAAAACTTGAAAGTGTTCGTGTAGATTATAATTAGCCAATTTTATGATAAAAAAAATCTGAAGTAGATAAAATCATTGAAGTAAAACCTGGGGTAATTCATGAAAGGCATGTGGATTCTTTTATGAAGATCTTGGTGATGACGATGGAGAAGATCCAGGAGTGGAACCAGGATTGAAAATGGCAATGACCTATTACTAAAGGAAAAAATTATGAAAATATGGAAGAATAGAAAAAAAGAAAAAAAGAACTTAAACTAGGGCAAGCCCTGCAATAATGGGTTATAAGCAATTAATAATTCTCTATCTATTGAAAATCAACCTGCAAATATAGGTTACTCTTTATTTATAAATTGAAATAGCTTTATTAATTTAATCTTCTCAGTTAATGAATATTCCATCATAAATAAAATTTTTCCTTAGCCGTTATCTTTAATAAAAGTTTTTTCCTATCCCATTTTTATATGCAATGATGACAAACTGTAAAGAATTAATTGCTTTAGTTATTGATATTTATATTTTCTCCTTCTATTTACTTATATTTTTTAGTTTTGATGGAATCATGCTCTATGTATATTTAATTATGATTTTATTATATATAAGCCATTTTTAAGATTACTTTTATCAACCATCAAGCAGAAAGGATTTAAAATTAAATTTCCACACAAATTGCACATTACCAGCAATTATAGAATTTGAAAGCAATTAATCCTGATTATTTTTAATATTAATAATATTTGTTATAGCCTGATCCTTTGTCTTGCTTTCTCGTCTAAATTTTTAATAACTAGAAGAGTTCTTACATCGTTGAAGTCGATTTTTTCTTTAGTTTGATAGAATTAATATGGTGGTGGCGAAGAAATATGTCCTGACGGAGGTCGCACCACTCCTGGCGCCCAAAATGGCTTTATAGCCTAAACCAAGGTTCAGGCCCTTTAATTCTAACCCTTAGCTTGCCTAGAGCGGCCGTATGGGGTGGGTAAACCTTGGGAGTCAGCTGGTGGCCATTCCAGTCCGAAGTGTTAATTATCCGGATGGGTTTTTGGCTACGGGTTCTTTCCCTACCGGTTCCGGAGGGCCGTAGTCTTTTACCTGGCCGTCACCTGACCTCAGGGTGACCGACAGGAGGCATCGGGCTAACCTTTGCCTCCAAAGCGGCCTAATGACGTGAAGCACGAGGAGTCTTTCTAACCCGTCGATACTCAGGGTAGACTGTGCAAGCCCAGTTCCGAGAGAAGACAGACGTTCCACAGGTGCTGATGGGCACCCTGGCAAGCAGGTGTCGGCTGTCGAAAGCGTGCGGAGGCATCAAATCTGGAAGACTTTAAGCCCCTTAATCTTAACCTTTAGTTTGATATGTTTTTTGTAGCTCAGCCAAGACTTCCCACAGATTTTTCAGCTCTTGTTCCTTTTCTCTAATTTTCTGCTTAAAAGCATCAATTTGAGTCTTCAAGCTCATTTGACCTTCCATGCTTTCCCCTTGGTTTCTATCCATTCTTACAGCTAAATTTTCATTTTCCTGTGAAGCCAACACCAATCGCTCTTTTAAGTCTTTAATTTCATGCTTAAGACCTGTATAGATTTCAGCCCATTCGTTTTTTTGTTTAATTCTGTATTTTTCTTTATTTTCTATTTCAATCAGCATTCTTTCTCTTTCTTGAGCCATTTGTTTGTCTTTGTCCTCTAACTTCCCTCTCCATGAATGAATTTTTTATGGGAAAAATTTTGATATATAAGTGATAAAATAATATAACGAAATCTCTAGCTAATTTTGTTTAATTGTGAGCAGCTTGCATTTTAAAACATAAATTTTATAAGTTAATTAATATTTACTTTCCATTTGGTTTGGATTTTTTAAATTTTGAAGAAAAAAAACTACTATAAAGTTATATATAATTTTTTTAAAAAAATTAACCCCCTTCCTGAGCGAACAAATTATTTTTTGCTTGCTCACGGAGGGAGTAGGGCTTTCCGTAGCATAAATACTTCTTGATCCCCATTTTGGATGAGATTTTCTTTTTGGTCTCGGAGTCTCTGGATTTCATCTCTGAGCTCTCTAAATTCTCGATTTTTCTCTTCATCGTCTAACTTAAAGCTGTTTAGTCTTTCTCTGAAATCTTGGTCAGCTTTTGTGAGTTCCTTTTGCAGGCGAAGAATTTCTTTATCTTTTGATTGCTCTAAAGCGACGATTCTTTCATTCGCAGATATTTTTGACTGCTCGAGCTCTCTCGTTAGTGCTTTATATCTCTCGTTTAAGTTTTGGAAGCCTGCACCATTGTGTTTCATCTGCTCATCAAATTCGAATTGCCTGGATTCAAGGATTTTCTGCATATTTTCAACTTCGTTGTTAAGCTTTTCAATTTCTTGCTGTTTTCTATGCAAGTTAACTTGTAAGTTTCCAACTTCTGTTGACTTCTTTATCAGATTTTCAGTTTTTTCTTCTAATGAAATATTTTTCTGCTCAATTTGCTGTTCTAGCTCTTTAAGCTTTTTTTTATATTCATATTCCACATCAGTAGCTCTTGGCAAATTTGATAGCTTGTTATTAAGTTCTTTTAAAGCTTCTATTTGTCTTTCATATTTTTCTCTTTCTTTTTTTAGCTCATTTTCATGTGATAAAGAAATTTCTGTTTTTAATTCTTTAGTTTCATGTAAGGAAATATGACCAAGTTTTTCAATCTGCCTCATGCAATCGTGGAGAGATAATAGCTGACTTTCTAAGTCAGAAATTATTTTCTCATTCACGCTTTCAACATCGCAAACTTGTTGCACTAGATGCTCTCTATTTGTAGTTACTTTTATGGTGCTTAAAGGCTTCATTTGAGACTGTAATTGGACAATAGCGCTTTCTATGACAAATCTTCTTTTCTTCAGCATTTCTTTGACTCTTGAAAACTCATTTTCTTCAGTAATCTCTTCATCTTCGTTCTTTTTAGCTAATTTTCCTTTCTTTCTTTTTATAGTAATATTTTTTATATCAGTTTCTTCTCCTGCCCTGATTTTTGGCTTTTTTTCAGGTATATTTTCTTTCTTGGCCGCTTTTTTCTTTTTCATCTTGTCGAAGTGATAATCGACCATGCTTTTAGTTTTCTTCCTGAAAAATCCATAAAGAGAATTTGGCGATTCACCGTCCTCTGTGCTATCTTCTTCGAAGTTCAGTAATTTTTTCTCAATATTTATCTCACTTGGGGATCGTTCCCTGATAACGGCCATTTAAAATTTTAAATATGAATTCATATAGTCAAACAAAATTTTCAGCAATTCGAATAGATATGTAATGGCTATAAACTAAGATTATTTAAGCAGCAATAAAAATTATAGAGTATTATAAATATCAAAAAAAATTAAACTCTAACACTTAAATTAGGCATTTCTATGTTCCAGCTTTGACTGCCAAAATCAAAACAATAAAGGTATTTATTTTTTGAAAATGCATAAATCTTGCTACCAATCGTCACGATTGGGTCAAAAAATATAGTAGATTCTGAACCGTCTTCTGGGATTGGTATATCATTAATATATTGGAAATTTAATCCATCAAAAATATAAGTATTCGGAATTTTTGTTCCATTTTGGCATTTTCCTCCAAAACACAATAATTTATTACTTGGAAGTGCAACAACCCCGAGGCTTGAAACCCCAAATGGATACTCAACGGATAAAATATCCCAGTGGTTTTGAGCCATTGAATAGGCTTGAATTAAGTATAAATTAACAGACCCAACTTCTTCAACATATCCTCCTATACAAAATATTCTTCCAGCCATATGACAAGCTCCAGGTAAAAAGGTAGTTGAAGGCAAAGGCTCAATGTCAATTCATTGGTTTGAATCTAATAAATATTTTTGGCAGCGGCTTTGAGATGTGTTGGGGTCTATAATTTCTACCCCTGCTACAGCATATATTTCACGTCCTACTGGGACTAATCTTAACCCGTATTGCTTATATTTTAGTTCTGCAATATTTTCTGAATGCCTTGATTGAGGATCTAGAGTCCAACAAGAAACTGTACCTTCTGGAGCGTCTTCTTTGAGACCTCCTGCAAACATCAGCCTTCCATCTCCAAGAATGCAAAGTCCTGTGTATTTGTAAAAATTATGGAAACTTGCAGGTCCAGTTTTTCTTGATGCTTTGTTGTCTAAGTTATATTCTATTCCTTAATGCATAAATAGCTATTTATTATGCAAATTATCCTTGTCTTTATTTTTTTATTTCCTATTAAATTAAAATCTAAAATAGAAAACCTATCAAACCATGACTTAGATTTTTTAAGGATAATAAAATGATTTGATTATTTAAGCCGATGTCTGAAAATAATAAAGAAATTCTATTTTATCCATTAAATTAAATTAAAAACTATGAAAAAGGTATAAAATTTCGCATTCAGTTTGGCAAAAATGATACACATATTTCCCTTTTTCCCTATTTGATAAAACCGGAGGATCTTTTCCAGTCATTTTTTCTTCAATGTCAAAATAGCTTCAAGATCCGCTATTTAAATCATATGTAAATAAAGTTTCGTCATCAGAATACAGCAAAACTTCTTGTTTAGCATATAAAGGAGTATCAGAAAATCTCAGCTGCCCTACAGTAGGTAAGTCAGATAAAGCTTGAAATTCTCTACCATTAAACATATAAGTATTTTTCGATTCATCTGAAGAATAATGCTCACAAGGGTCATGCCCTCCAATAATCATGACTGCAGTGTCTGTCAAAACTACACAAGAGGGAAGTCCATGCAACGGAGGCGTTGTAATGCTGCTTTGAGCTCATTCGTGTGTTTCCAAGTCAAGCTTCAGCATTGACCCAAACGGAGTAGGCTGATTTGGATAATTTAGAAATCCTCCTATTAAATTTAACCCTTTTCCTATAATAAAGCTCCCACATAATGATAGATTTACAGGTATTTTTGGCAATTCTGATCATTTATTAGTTTTTACATCATATACCAGTGGTGGCGCAGGCTTTTCTAAGCCATCAGCTTCAATGCATAGCGATCCAATTACATAAACCTTGTTTTGATATGTGTGGCATCTCCCATATGCCAAACTCATGGGTGGCCCATTAATTTGGCTAGTTTTTCGTTCAATGATATCTAAAAGGAAAGCAATTTCCCCATTTTCTACGCCTCCAATACAAATATATAGACCTGATTTTATTTTTCCAAATAAAGCTCCAGCTTGGAACATGAAATCTGTATTAATTTTCACATCCCAAAAAGCACGATCTGAAGGTCGGTAGCATATTAAAGTAGAAGAGCTGCTCTTTGGCTTGTAATAAAGACTGTCATCTGTTGTTGCCATTCGTTCTAACATCTGGTTTCCATTTGCTTTGTTTTTCTTTCCAGAGAAGCACCCTCCCATATATGATTAGGTATTATATAAAATATAAATTTTAGTCTTTATTTTTCAGTAAGAATTTTATATATTTTTTATATAGGAAAATTTTAGGCTTTTGAATATAAGAAATATAGAAGAAAATAAGTAGTCTGAAGACTTGAAGACGAATGAATTAGATTATAGGAATAATTAGCCATTTATATAAATTAAATGTTTTTTCAATCTTTCCATCGCCAACCTCAGCATCACACGTATTTTGAGATGTATAAAGCATTTCCAGCAAGCTTCTTTGGAAAAACAGAAGTAGAGAAAGGGAATTTCAGTATTTTATAAACAGTAATTTTGCCAACCTCGGCTGCTCAGACTTTAGTTAATCTAAGAATTGACTATCCTATGCTATTCAAACTTACAAAGGTGCTTAAATAATCTTATGAGGCTTTTAACCTCATCGCTAATTTTAGGTAAAAATTAAGAAAATATGTGCAAATCTCCTCATCCTTACAAATACTCAACTTGGTTTATTTACACACTGTGGAGTACTTGAATTTACTGCTGAAGAAGGAACCTGCTTGCTTCCTTACTGAGTATCTCCTATATAGCTTATGAACCATCTCGGAATTTCTGAAGGAGGAGATGTCACAATAGAAAGTGTCAGACTACCCCGCGGATCCTTCGTCAAAATCCAGCCTCATACAACAGCATTTATCGACCTTCCAAACCCTAAAGCTGTCTTAGAAAATGCTCTGAGAAGCTACGCATGCTTAAGCCAGGGTGATACAATTTCTGTGCAATTTGCAGGAAGAAGTTTCGAAATTGATATTATTGAGACCAGGCCTGGACCCGCTGTAATGACGATTCAAACTGACCTTGAAGTTGATTTCGCACCTCCTAAAGACTATCACGAAGAAGCTCCTCAGCTGAAAAAAGAACCTTCTCTTACATATGAGCAAGAAGAAAAAAAACAACAGAATAAGACTGCAACTTGGCAGGGGACTGGGAATAGACTTGATGGAAAGCCTATCACCAATTCTATACCTGCCCGGAAAGAGTCTACAGATAAAGCTTCAAATGAATATGACCCTAGAAAGCATCGATTGGTGAATGGGGTTAAAAAGACTACAGGAAATATGAAAACAAGTTATTGGGATACCTTAAGCTCAGGAAATTCGATAAAGAAATAAATTATTCTTAAATTGATTAATAAATCTATTATTAGGAAGGTTATTGCAGGATTATTGAGGAAATAGGGTGCTAGCTTTGGGTGTAAATATTTAAAATGGTATAGTTAATTTTTGATATTTAGCCACCTATGAGTCAGTATTTCTTGTATTGAAATTCTTTCATCTGGGTTTTTTGTCAAAATTTTCAAAAGTAGATCTTTGAAATCATCAGAAAAAGATTCATGAAGAGTAAGCTCTTGGTTTTGAATAGAGAGCTGAGTCTGGATTTCGCTTTCGTTAGACCAAAAAGGTAAAAAACCTCCAGACATCATAGCATACATACAAATTCCCATAGCCCAAACATCAGATTTTTGGCCTGAAAATCCATTCCCTGAAAACATGCTTTCAGGCGCCTGAAAAGGTGTCGTCCCTGGCGGGTTATAACAAAGTGTCTCAGGAGTTTCTAGCTTCTGTGAAATCGTAAAATCAGTTAGCTTTGCATTGCAGTCCATACTACAAAATAAGATATTATCAGGTTTTAAATCTTTGTGAATAACATTTCTAGTTGGATTTTGCAAATATTCAACCCCTTGAGCGACCTGGCTGAAAATTATTTTTGCAGTAGCTTCTCTTTCATCAAATTTTTCATAGACTTCTGGGTACTTTTCTCTTAGCCAGCCCACGACATCATTGTTGAGCTCATATCTTTGTTCATCAGATTTTCACTTCATTATTTGTCCGCAATCTGCGTATTCAATCACTAGGTATACGTAATCGTGGTTTCTATCATCAATTACTTCGTAAAGGCGGATTATATTAGGATGGCAAAGGGTTCTTCAAATGCTTATTTCTGTTTTTACTTTTTCTCAGTTATTAGCCATTTTCATGGTATTTGTGGAGTCGTAGAGCACGCATCTTTGTTTTTTCAGTGTCGGCTTGTGCATTTTTTTGATAGCGTAAATTGCTTGTTCTTCATTTCCATTTTCATCTCGAAAAATTCTATAGCTTATTTTATATTTTATTAGTATTTTTATAGAAAATTGAGCGTATATATCAAAGCTGGCTATTTTGCTAAAATTTTAATAAAATAGCCAATAGACTATATAAGATTGTTTCACCTTGGAAAAGCAGCCTCTCCCTATTGTTTTTTCCAAAATAAATTTCGACCCATCATTTAAGCATTCAATGACTTTTCTACCTTGAGGGTTACGGCTAATAGCAACTTCTGTAGTATCATAAACGACGAAATCCGGGTCCATGTTTTTTATTACTTATTAATTACCTAAAAGGTTGCTGAGAATTCATGTATTGTCCCATCATCATTCCAGTCATGAATTGGTTATATGCCATCATTGCTGCCATAGGGTTTACACCTTGCATTTGATTTTGCATATTTGGCGGCATGGCTTGAGCTCCTATTTGAGGCATTCCTAATGGAAATCCATTAGGCTGCGAACTACTCTGTGGGAGAGGCTGCTTGCTAGTCTCTGGCCTAGGTGAGACAGCTGATCAGTCAAAAGTATTCGCTTGCGGTTGGCTTGTTTGGGATTCAAAAGGGTTGTTGCTCATCCCGAATTGATTATTATTTGCGAAAGGGTTGTTGTTTGGCTTGCTTTTGTTTGAAGGAGTACTTATGTTACTTGTGAAAATGTCTGTAGGTAATGTGGAAATTTGATATGGAGCATCTAATAAATTTTGTTGATCTTGTGGCTTTTTCACTTCTACATCTTCATTTTTAGGTGGTGGAGGGGGTGGAGAGGATACAGGAATATATTATAATGGATTATATATATTATAAAAAAATATGCAATTGGTTTAAATCTTAAACAAATAAAGATATTTCTAATTTCACAAAGTATCAAACATACCCAGTTAAAGCATGGGCCTTCTTTCTACAACTCTAGGTGGCTCGCTTCTTCTTGGAGTTCCGTACAAATCTGGAGAATCCCTATCATTTTTCCTGGATTTTGAAAAATCTTCATATCTTTCCCATACCTCATTTTCTTCCTGATTTTTCCTGAATCCATCAGCTCTTATATTTCCTTCATATCGATCTCTCCTTTCTCCTCTCAAAGAATGCCTTGAAGTGTCTTTATTTTTAAATGGATCGTCATAATCATATGAGCTGTCATTAAAAGGGTTATCTCTATAAGCTTGTGGGTCTCCAGCCTTTCTTGTATAAAAAGGATCATTTGCTTCTTCTCTATATGGAATATTTGGCTCAGTATCAAAGTGGTATTGTTCGTTATACCTAAAATCGCTTTGCGTTCTTGTTCTTAGGTAATGACTTTCAAATGAATAATTGTCTACTCTTAAATCAAAGATATGATCTTCTTGCTCATAAACTAGAAGATTGTGACGGCCTATTCTTAGAGGATAGCTTCCATATATTGCTGTTTTTTTAGTCTGAATTTTAATATCACCATCAACTAACACTTTTCGCTTTCCTGAAATCTTGGAAACATACAGATCAACTGTATGTTCATGTCCATCAAGCTCAAATTTTCAGCTGTGACGTTTTTTAGTAGATTTTATATGTTTTCCTACATTCAAGCAGTCGTACAAAAGTGGCTTAAAATTTTTGGACATTTTTATAGTATATTATCAGTTTATAAATGAGTGAAACTCCTTTAAATCCTTTTAATAATGAAACTTAATTATTGAAAGAAATTAATATTCTACTGTTCAGAACTCTTTTATTTTTAATATTTATCTAAAATAAGAGAAAATCCAAGGCTTTCACAGTAGTTTTAATATATAAATTATAAATTCGTAATTATATAATAGATTTTAAGCTTTATGCTATTATTTTGAAATTCACAATAAATCGAGGAATTATGTGAAAGGAATTTGCAATTTTTTATTATCAATAATTAAGAAAAGGCTTGCAATAACTATATGAAGAATAGATCATTATCATATCTCATATGTGTAGATGGATCACCTTCGTCTATTGATTTTTTTAACAATTTTTTGCATGAGCACATAGTTATGGGAGATCGAGTTTGTGCATTGCACATCTACAATTCTTCTAATCCCAATTTTTTAATATCTCCTGAAGATTTACGATTCCAACTTGAATGCCAACTCCTAATGAAAGTAATTCTAATTCAGCTTCCTGGCAATGACTTTGCTTTCAAATTCGAGCAAAAAGTGGAGAAATTCACAAGTATTCAAATTGTAAAATCAATCCCTGTTGTAAATCCAAACCTTCTCATATTATCATTCAACGGACCAAAAGGACCAAAAAAGTAAACATAAATTAGAAAGCCAGGAGAAATAGGATCATCTATCCAATACTCATTATATAGATCACCCATTTCAGTCCTCTACATGAAAATCCTTGAATTCAGATCAAGACTGCCATATAGAGGCTACACCTGAATGGTATGTGTTGACAATTCCAATCGAGCATTATCAGCTTTTCATTTAGCTGTTAGGCTGCACAATACAAATTTTGATAGAATAGGAGTCATTCATATAATTAAAAACACAGAAGAGTCTAAACAAGTTGAAGAAAAGTATAAAAAAGCAATTTATGAAAGCGGAGTATTATATATGATAGGTTAATGGGCAATTTTTCCAATTAGAATGCAGACCAGAAGGAAAAGGAGTGCATAGTATATTAATTAGACATTTATGTGCAAGAGATGTTAATGTACATTTTGTGCTTGTAAAATATATGTAGTGCGGAATTGATGGGGATAGGGCTGAAGCGGAAGGAAAAACAGGAATTGGCACAGTCCCAGTTCAGCTTGTGATGAGAGCTCCGTGCAATACTTTAATAGTAAAGTAAAAATTCAATTATTATTTTGCAATAACCTTTTGCATTTGCTATAATATTGGCAAAATCGCGAATATTGAAATATATAATTTTGCTTAATTTAAGCAGAAAAATTAGTCTAAAATGCGAAAGAGAACAAATAAATTGCATCATTAAATTCGACCTTTCAATTACATAGCAAAAGAATAAATTTCCTATTATTTTTAGGCTCGCTAATATTTTTTATTGTCTCTAATTATGACCTTTTTATGAATTAAATAATTTATATTTTAAGTTATACTTACTAAATAGCCTATCTTTTTAAAAATTAATCAGCTATTATTAACAAAAAATAAAATATTAAAATTCACAAAAGTTGGTGGAATCCCTGATTATTAATCTTACTGATAAATTAAGAAAATTTTAGCCAAATTCTATATGGTAGATCAGCAGCGATGCTGGCCAAAGATTGATCATTATATAGGAATACTAGGGGATCGATATACTGGGAAGACATCAATTATCAAGAGTATTTTAAAACAAGGCTGTACCGATCATTTTAACACTTACTTTGGACTAGCATTTATCTTAATCTCCCACTTAGCTAGCATAATATTTTTAATAGCGTTCAAAATTTTATGTAATTTTTTTTTTGATTTTTAAATATACAATTTTGTAAAAACAGAAATGAAAATCAAATTTATTAGGGCCCAGGCCCTACAAATTTTAATAAAATTATATGAAAATCTCATTAATAAATGATTCACTAGCGAAGGGCTATTTTCCAATGGATTTTCTCGCTAACTAAAGGGGAGCTAAAAAACCCAACCCCAGGGATTGGAGAAACCGGTAAAGTTCTTATTTTTTGATCCTGAGGAAGGAGGAACTCTAAGATTGCTGAATCCGAAGCTGATTGAAAAAATGAGTTTAACTATAGTAGCATATGACGTGATGTCGAGAGAAAGCTTCGATCATATTGATTTCTGGGTTAACTCAGTTAAAAATCAAATTGCCTCTAAATTAGTGCTTGTTATCGGAAATAAAATAGACATGAAGGTAAAAAATAGAGCTGTAAAATATGAAGAAGCCCAAGAAAAATGCTTGAAATTGAACTGTTTTTATATTGAGCTTAGTGCTAAAACCACCCTTCATATTCATGCTATGCTAAGCTCTATAATATGTCTATCTAAAACAGACGCTAAAAAGAGACTGCCAAATTAATGTAGTATTTAACCAAAATTGATGTATAATGCCAATTTCTATTTAAATCTTGCTTTTATTGTTTTTAAATAAGATTAATTTTTGAATTTAATTACAAATAATTTGACATCATTATTTTCTATATAAATTTAGAACCATGCTTACAACTTTGCATTTCACCTCTCATGAAGATTTCGCTGGGGCAAATAATTCAGAAAAGAAGCCTGAGCTGGATCATAAAATTGTTTTCCTTGGAAACGCAAAAACTGGCAAGACATCAATTATCTCTAGATTTTTGCATAACACTTTTTCTGAAGAGTACGCATTCACAATAGGTGCTGCTTATACCAAAAAGGAATATTTATATTTAAACCATGTTATTAGGCTTTCTATGTGAGATACTGCAGGTGAAGAAAGATATATGTCTTTGATCCCTATGTATTTGCCAAATTCTGATGAAGTTGTTATTGTATTTGATGTCACAAACAGAAAAAGCTTTGAGGATATTGAAAATTGGATTTCGTTTGTTAATTCAGCAATAAGAGACCCCATGATTTTTGTTGTTGGGAACAAAATAGAAGAGGATAGAGTGATAAACTTTGATGAAGCTCACCAGAAGTGCTCTGAATTAGGCTGCTTTTATTTTGAAGTGAGTGCGAAGTTCAATGTTCATGTACAAGAGCTGTTTTTGGTCATGGCAAAAAAAACTAAAACTTCAATTAAAAGTGGAAAATTTGGAAAGAGGGACGATGCTATTAATCTTAATTATCTATAACACTTAACGTCCACTACGGGGTAGCCAACTCCAGAGCTGCCACCATATTTATTCACGTGTCGGGCCCAGAAATCGCTGGATCGATCCCTTTTGATCGCCAAGGCACGAGTAAATAAGGCGTCCCGGCTTCGACGGGCTTCGCTGCTGCCACAGCTTTGTTTCGACTCACCTCCTGCGCGTGCTCCGCCTGAGGGTCCATCTCCCTTTGGATGTGCTGAGGGGTAAAAACTCCAGATCTTGATTGCACTAAGGAGTAGTTCCTTTGGTTATCCCCAAAGTTAAACCGCTATTGCTGTGCAGAAGTTCTTGAGGTGAAAACCCAACCCTATAAATAAAATTGCTTGAGTGAGAGAAAGTTAGCGGAGCTAACTTCGCTTGAGCGAAAGCCATTTTATTTATGACAATGCTATTAATCAAATGTAATAATTTTTTAAATTTTCAAATTTTTTATCATCATATCCCCTTCTAAACACTAAAGAGGTTTTAAAATTTTTTACTTGAGAAATAAATTACTTTTATTCTATAATATTTAAAGCAATTAGAATATTAGGCTTATCTACTTAAATTGCTGCTAATCCATCATTGCAATAAATTGATCAAGCTACCAATCCTGTTTCATCAAGTTGATATTTTTATTTAAATCCTATCTTGATGTCTTTATTATGATGGAAGACTCTCAATTTATATCTATTTGGAGTTTTACAAAATATACAGAAAATTCCAAAATCCGATGAAAAATTGTTGATAAGCTAGCGATTAGAATTGATGCTCAAGCAGATAGCGAAGCAGCCTATAACAATCAACGAGAAGTAAAAAAATAAGAACAGATCAGGAATCTTTTTTTTAATTTTTCATCTTATAATTTTAGATATTAATACAAGTAAATTAATGCAAATAATTTTTTGCTTGATCAATTAATTATTATCTTGAGCTTGCAACTAGTTTAGAATAAGAAATGCTAATCATGATGCTATTTATTTCATTTTCTTAAGTTTAAAATGATATCTCACGTTAAAAAGACTAACGCTTGATGAAATAAAATTAATAAGATGTTGAAATCATCGTTTTATTTGATAGAATTAGTTTGATATTCGAAGCTATATCTGAAATCTTTTCCAAGCTTGAATAATTGCTTTTAACAATGACCTATATTAAATCAAAAACTAGCGTTTTAATTTTAGACTTTTAATATAATCTATTAATTTAAAAAGAAGTATTAAAGTAATATGCAGCAAATTTTTGTTTCATCTTTGTGTCGTTTAGAGATAGGGACCAATATTCCATAAACTGAAATCCAGTTTTTCTTTTAGATGTATTTTTTATATGTTAGAAGCTTCAAATTTTTTTTTAAAATGGGAAACCGCTAAAAAAATAAATCTTCTCTGTTGTAAAATTGTATAATTTTTACAGCCAAACTATGATTAAGGAAATTATTAATTTATTATTGGAATAAGGGGAGGCAATGTTGCATCTTCCAGTTTGAAAGGACTTGAGGGAATTTCATAAGTCATTTTTATATCCGCCTTCATTAAAATATTTAACCAAAACGCTTTAGGTAATTTTTTCTTTTTTTTATCTATTTTTTGATGCTGCTTTTTATGGACAGATAGTTGACTTGCTTGTCTGTATTTTTTCGAGCACCCTGGGAACTTGCATAAGTAAGGTTTTTCTCCTGTATGGCAGTAGCTGTGATCTTTTAAGCTCTGTGCTGAGCATAATTTCTCTCCGCAAGTAATACACAGAAAGCGTAGATTCTTATGCGAAACATTTATGTGCCTATCCAAATTATATTTTGTTGTATATGTTAGGGTACAGCTTTGGTAAGAGCATTTAAAGTATTTCATTTTTATTTAAGCCATTGATAGAATTTAAAAAGTCTATGCAAATATGATATTTTTAAAGCAAAAAACGCAAATAGCTGGCTTTAATTATATGAGCAGAAAATGGTAAGAAAAAAAATTTTAACATTTTACAAGTTTATAATTCTTTTATTTACAAAAATGTATAGGAATTGATACGATTCAATAAGAGAGGATTCATTATAGTATAAAAATATAATATAATCATCCGAAATTGATGTATTTTATTTTAATACAAATCTTGAGTAATTGTATATACTATTGAAAGGGCAAATCATTATTTCTATATTAAAAATGTAAGATTATATAAGCATTTCGTATTAATTTCAAATAGCAGTGCGCGATTTTCAAATAAAAAATTTAATTAGAAGGAATTATTAAACTTCGATAAAATCTGCAAATATATTTAACAATTTATTTGGAAAATTTGATTTATTTTTAAGACTTGAAAGCAAATTTACTGTAATTTGAATCGAATTCAAGGAATTTTATATACTAATAATAGCTGCATAAAATCCCTCGCGAACTACATATATTTATCCTCTTAAATATTAAAAAATTAATAGTTGAATTTAAAATTTAAATTTATTCGGTTAAAAATTAACTTATGAGTTATAAATTTTACATTTTTCTTTAAAACTCCCCCCGTTATGGGCTCCGTGAAACTAATTTATTATTTGCAATTAAATTATTACGTTTATATTGCTAATAAAGGAAACCAGATCATATCTTCTCTCCTGAATAAGCTAGTAGGAATTTATATACCTTTATTTGTTCAGCTTGTGCCAAATATTTACCCATAATTCAGATAAGGTTTGTCTAATCTTTTTCGTTTTTAAAATATAAAATTATTATACTAAAATTTTCCTTATATAAACAATTTTACATTCTAGATATTTGATATAATAGCAAATGTGCTAGAAAGCACATTAAAACTGTCTAGAAGCATTATAAGGTGGTAGCTCTCAGGCTTATTATAGTTAAGATATGTAGTAAGATTAAGGAGGTAGGAGATTAGATTTCAAGCTGACGATATGAAATATGTTCGATAAAAGACCAGTGGCTATCCAATTTTGGGTAATATATATGAAAATTGTTCTATAAGGGTGTGGAGTCATATGAATTTATATTAGAGACTTATGCTTAAGCTACAAAAAGAAGCTTTTTGACTTAATATCATCTTAATTGAGATAAAGCAAGCCTATTTATTAGCATAACAAATGTAAAACTATAAAGTTTTAAATAATAGCACAATAAAAAAGGTCAAAAAAATTTGAAAAATAACTATAATATTAAGTTAATATCCTTGAGAGGTCAATTTTTTCCTAATCTAGCAAATTCACAAATAAATAAATTCCTTGACTTTATGCTTATGATCTCAGCCTGATTTCTATAATTTTCCTTCACTATAATTTCAAGCCTACAGAAGCTCAACAGTATCATAGTCAAACTCACTCTATCAAAATCTTAAGCATTCAATAATTTATTGTCTGCTCTCCTTAAACAAACTACACACTTCTTTTACATGCAATTCATCTTCAAATTTCATGTCAGCAATACTAGCATTTAGGCTTCTCAGCTAATTGCAATATGTATTTGCAGTGATTTTAAAGTTAAACCATATTCTAAATCCAAAAATTGTCCTAATGGTTCAGAACCCTTTAAAGTTTATAAAAATATCTATTAAAATGATGTGAATACACTGCTTCGAAATTACATTAGCTTTTAAAATAAATAAACATCGCTTATAATTTGTTCAAGGCATTCAAAGACCTGATTCTGATGGATAATTAATTAAGGAAGCCATATTTTAAGCTTTTAATGTATCTTATAAGGTAGTATGCAAATTACACAATTAACTTAAAATTTCTTAAGAATTGGTGATAAGTTGATTTCCTCAAATTTGATTGGACCTGACGGCATCTGAAATAGCTTTGGTTCATTTTCGTCAAGAGTCAAAATAATCTAAATAGCAGTTACCTTCAGCTCTCTAAAGTAGTCAGGCAAGGCTGAATTCATTTTTGCATGCTTTTTCTTATGCACAGAAAGCTGGCTTGCTTGGCGATACTGCTTCGTGCATCCGTGATGTTTGCACTTATATGGTTTTTCGCCAGTGTGACAGAAACTATGATCCTTCAGGCTTTGAGAAGAAGACAATAGTTGCCCACAAGTATTGCACTGAAATCTATGATTTAAGTGAAATACTTGTATGTGCCTTGTTAGGTTGTATTTAGTCGTATATGTTTGGTTGCATTGCTCATAATTGCATATAAAAGTTTTCATATTTTATTGCACCATTGTTTTTATTGGTTTTTTTTTATATTCTAGTAAAGTTCCTCTATGCGGTAAATATTTTTTATATTTTTATTCTAAAATTCCTAAAAATTTGGCGTCAATACCATTTTCGTTCAGCATTGATCTGCATATAGAGTCAGATAATTAATTATTCAATTTTAAAGAACATTTGACATTGCTATAAAACATCATCTCTTCAGCGAAGAAATGACCTATCAACCTCAAATGTATCTTTTTAACTTTTCTGTGATGATTTGTAAAAATGAAATGCATTGATATTATGCAATTGCTATAAAATTTATGCAAGAGCTATTTAATTAATAATCAAAAATGAACATTTCATGTATGATCACTTCTATTGGACTGTATTTAGATCCCAAAGATGTATTTTTATCGTTATCATTAGTTTGTAAAGAGTGGCACATAGAATTATCAGGAAATTACATAGGGTTTTGGCTAAAATCTTACCTATCTCTCAAGACTCCATTCTCATTAGAAGACGCCAAGCGCAATATATCTAAGCTTTTCAAGCAAGAAATTCTGAGGTTTAACCCATGGATTTCTACAGGCGGAATGAGCCCTTACGAATATGGAAATTCTTTTCAGAACATGTGAAATTATAATGGACTTCCATATTCTTCTTACTACGCAAGGCAAAGTCCAGGACCTTTCAAGAAAAATTTGAATTGCGTAGCTTATTATGGAGGAGGGTTTCAATCTCACTATTTTTACGACTCAGGCCATTATGATTGGTACTGTACGTTTCAACAAGGAAATCTTCCTATTGAACTTTTGGATTTTGAGAATAACAACAAGCTTGATATGCTGACGCTTGCCCCGCTCTTCCCTGAAGAAAATATTATTGATCTTGATGAGCAAGCATCGGTCCCTAAACCTTGAGACCCACAAATTGACTTTAAGTCAGGACGAATAAATGGAAAAATTCAATTTCCCTATAATCCTTGTAGAACAGAGCTAGCATTTGTGAATAAAATTGCTATAGCACGTCCTCTTTATTTTACAGCACCCATCAGAACAGTAGTGATTTTTTTTAGCCAAAGTGACAGTGAAGAAATAAATTTGGATCGGTTTGACATTGCAAACAATTTAGTGTCGATTGAGGATGCAAAATTACTAGGAATCGTTGATAAAGAAGTCAATGAAGAAAAAATAAAGTATTTGGAGTTCAAAAAAAGAGACGAGGAATGGTATCCTGCAATATGAATTCAATTTCAGACGTGAAAATTAAGCCATTTTGAAATTGATTTGCAGAGGATCCATCAGGTAGAGAGAGTAATGGTGAAATTAATAGATGCAGATGACTGTAGAGATAAATACGAAGCGGAGTGGATGGACCCTAATTATGATATTTTGTATTGTTTGTTTTTGGGAACTTCAATAGCAAAGGAGGATAGTGAAGAAGCAGAAGATAAGGAAGAGATATATGAAATAGATAGTAATGAATTTATTTTATCCTAACTCCCCCCTCCCATGAGTGAACAAAAATTTTTATGGAAAAAAAAATTTGATATATAAATGATAATTAGTATAATGAAATATAGAGCTAAATCTGTTTAATTTTGAACGAATTGCTTTTTTAAAACATAAATTTTATTAATTAAATTAATATTTACTTTCCAATTTTTGTGAATTTCGAAAAAATTACTTTCTCTTTATATATAAATTTTTAAAAAAAAAAAAATAATCCCCTCCGTGAGTGAACAAAATTTTTTTGTTCACTCACGGAGGGGGGCGAGTAAATAATTAATGGAATTCTGGAATACAAGTTGTGTCTAAGACAATTGATATTCAATTTGCACCATTAAGTCTACATTTTCTTTTGTTTAACAACAGACGCTATCAGATATAAAATGGAAATATCGTGTGTTATTCCTTCAATTGGGTTATTCTTAAGCTCAAAAGATACCTTTCTTTCACTGTCATTAGTTTGCAAAGAATGGCATCAGCTACTATCAGACAACTACGTGCTGTTTTGGCTTAAGTCAACATTGAAGACATCTTCGCTAATTTCTCTCGAAGATGCCAAACTCCAATTTCCTGGCTTTGCAAATCCAGAAATTTTGAATTTTCAACCATGGTTTTCTGAAGGTGGAATCAGCCCAAAAGAGACAGGAAATTGCTTTCGAAACATATGAACATACGATGGGCTAACCTATTCAACCTATTATGGAAGTAGGACTAATTCATATTTTAAAAAAAATATCATTTGTTCAGCTTTTTATGAAGGAGGTGGATATCAGTCGCACTTCTTTTTTGATTATGGACATCGTGATATATTTTTAGCAGAAAACTATTACTTCCCAGAGAAATATCTAGATTATAATAAGTACAACATTCAAGAATTGTTAACTCTTGCACCCTTATTTCCCGAAGAAAATATATTGGATCTTCAAGAATATGATCCAATTCCTGATCCATGAAATCCTATATTCGATCATGATGGTTGTGAGTGAGAAAGAATATCTTATCCTTATTACCCTTGCCAGGCAGAGATTGCTTTTGTAAATGAAATAGCTGTAGCAAGGCCTCTTTATTTTACTTCAGCTATAAAAACAATGGTGATATTCTTTAGTGCTAAAGTCGAAGAAGAGATGGACACCAAATTGTTGGATATAGCAGATGATATAATTTAAGAGCCCTTATAGATTCTTTAGTAGAAATACATTGCCTATTTAATAGGCCACTTAAATGCCAATATTTCTGAAATGGCTTATTAAAAATTGACAAATATGAGCTAAATTTGCATTTACCAATTTTAAATTGTACTTATCAGAAAAATTGACATTATCGTAGCCTATTCAATAGGAAAGGTATTGCTCCTAAACGAGGGAAAAGTGAATTGGTGTTATATATTAACAATTGAGGACGCAAAACGCCTAGGACCGATTGCGGCTGAAGTTGATTTAAAAAGAGAAAAATATGTCGAATTCCAAAAAGTTGACAAAGAATGATATCCTGTAATATGAATCCAGTTTCAATCTTGGAAGCTGAATCATTTTGAAATTCCTTTACAAAGCATTCATCAAGTTGCAAGAGTTGCTATAAAAATGATAAACACTGATGATCTCAGAGAAGAGTTTTTTCATCCAGACGGTGACCTTAATTTTGATATTTTATACTGTTTATTTTTGGGCAGATCCATTAAATTAGTGGAAAATTTAAATAATTAATATTTTGAGCTCAATGATAATTTTTATTTTAAAGAATCAATTTATAATGCTTAATTTGCATAACTTCCACCATTATTGATTTATTTAACTATCTCTTTACTTTATCAATTTAAAATATCTTATAATGATAAATATACTAATAATTAATATAAATTTAGACCGAATACAAAATTTTTAATCAAGGATGAGACTTTCTTTTTGCAGGCTCCTCTGTTCAGATTTGACAGGAATTGTTGAAGTCACTGTTTCATCTTCAATAGCTCTGAAAAAGTCATGCCTGAGAAGCTCTCTTGCAGAAGGCCTTAATTGAGGATCTCGATTGAGACATTTTAATATTAAATCTTGAAGAGATTGTGAAACTTTAGGGATTGTAGGAAGACTGTGCGAAAGAGAAATTAGCCTCAGAACTTCCTTAGCGTCTCTTGTGAAATCAGACCAAGGCGGACGACCAGATGCTATCTCTATCAGTAAACATCCATATGACCATATGTCTGCACTATAAGAGTGCCCTTCTCTCATCACAATTTCTGGAGCCATCCAATATGGGCTTCCTTTGAGGCTTTTTGAAACTTTTGTCCCTAATTCTTCAAATTGTCTAGATGATCCAAAATCTGAGAGCTTAACTTGCCCAGTAGAAGCAATCAGAACATTAGCAGACTTTAAGTCTCGGTGAATAACAAAGTTCTCATGAAGATAAGCAAGCCCTTCAAGCAGCTGCTGGCCATAGTGCTTTATGATTTCTTCACTGAGGCCTCCGTATTTTTGTAAAATTTTCTGTAACGATCCACCTGAAACATACTCCAAAATGATGTCAAGCTCGTCCATATCTTCTGATAAGTCAGTTTGATAATATCTTACGATATTTGGGTGGTCAAGCATCTTTAATAATAAAATTTCTTTTTTCAAATTAAGGTACTCTTTTTCAATTTTTTTGATGTCTTCTGTAGTCTCAAGATGTTTTATTGCAATCAGTTCTCCAGTGTCTAAATTCATCCCTTGATACACTTTTGCATATGCTCCTTCGCCTATGAGATCCCCTCTCCTTCATTTTATCATTTTGCCCATTCTTGAAGAACTTACATCAGCAAACGTAGATTCAGAGCCTTCGCTATAAAATAATTGACTTCGCTTCATTTTGGCCATATCAGCAACAGAGTTTCCAGTATTCGAACGTTTTAATGTTCTCACTTTATTAGGAGAAACTTCAACAGCGCTTTTTGTACTGCAACACGATGATCCCATTCTCTCTCCAGATTAGAGAGGTATAATTTATTATCAAATTTAGAGTAAATTTTAATTGTTTAATTAATTGTTTTAAGCTGGTTTTGGGATTTAAATAATGCAAGCATTTTATCTTATAATAAGCCCTTTGATAAGCTGAATTTATGTCTGCCTTTATAAGCAACTTTTTAATACTTTAGGTTTATAGTAACTTTATGGCGTACAGGATGCCATTTAATAATCAATAGCCATCATGAAGCAGATCATCAAGACCGAAAAGCTTAAGGTTGTCGAAGGTGTTAAAATCACAGTAAGAGCCCGCAAAGTTACTGTAGAAGGCCCAAGAGGAACTCTCTCAAGGGATTTCAAACACCTCGCCTTAGATATCCAAGTTTTAGATGATGGAAAGATTGTCAAGGTAGACTGCTGGTTTTCCGACAGAAAACAAGCCGCTTGCGTTAGAAGTGTGCTCTCAGCTATCGAAAACCTCATGATTGGAGTCGTGAAAGGATTTGAGTATCATATGAGATTGGTCTATGCTCACTTCCCTATTAATGTCCACATACCTAATGATCACAAATCTATTGAAATCAGAAACTACATTGGAGAAAGACAAGTCAGAAGAATTGCCATGTTGAATGGAGTGCTCATTGAAAAAAGCGACGCAATGAAAGACGAGCTCATTTTAAGAGGAAACGATTTGGAGCTCGTGTCTATGTCTGCAGCACTTATTCAACAGTCCTGCTCAGTCAAGAATAAGGATGTCAGAAAGTTCCTTGACGGGATTTATGTGAGTGAAAGAACAAATATCGTTAAAGAATAAACATAATCCTAAAGGAGTTTTACTCAGTGCTTAGAAATTAACTCTCATTTAAGTAATTTATGATATCTAGCTTAGAATTCCCAAGTTTAGAACGCATTTAAAGTAAATAAAGTTTACTAAATATAAAATATATAGACCTTAAGCTACCCCAGAGCTGTTTTATTTATTTTAAATTATATAATTTAATTTTTTTCTTTTTCTGGTAATTTAAGAGCATGAGATGCTCTTTTTAAAAGATTATAACTAACATTATTATTTATAGTATTTAAATTTAATATTTATTTCTCTTTAGATTTCTTAATAGTCTCTCCAATTTCATATTTTCATACCAGGTTTACTTACAAATTCTTATTCTCAATCAAATTTATAAAATGGGAGATTTTGATAAAACTCAAAGACCTGCAACAACAAACTTCTCTGATCTCGGCACAGCTAACATCAGCACAAACCTCGACATCCAAGATGACAAAGAGCAATGAAAGCGTGAAAAGAAATGCCACATTTGCCAAACTCCTTTTGGTATGGTAGGGCTTGTTTATAATAAAAAATATTCCTGCAAATTCTGCTGCCACGCAGTCTGTTCCAAATGCTCCCCACAAAAAGCTCCACATCCAGAGACCATGAGCATGGCCCGCATTTGCAGCATATGCTATCAAAAAGCTATGGAAAACCACTTCACAGAAGGTTACAACCAAGAACTCATAAAAACCAAGTCAGAAAAAGAAGAGCTCCAGATCCGTCTTGAGCAAGAAATTAAAAAACGCCAAGCAAAAGCAGCTAAAAGGAAAATTCTCGAAGAAAAAATCCAACAAATAGAAAAAGACGCAGCTCACCAAGCTTCAGAAAATAAAGCGACTATAAACTCGTTAAAAGCACAAAAGCAGACTTTATTGGCTAAGGCACAAGCACTTGCAGCAAGAATTAAAGAAATTGAGGCAGAAATTAACCAAAAAGACCAAATTTTGAATGAATTAGGAAATCAATTAAAAGAGCTTAAAGAAAAGTACGAAAATGATAGAAATGAAGTTAGCGAACTGAGGAATCAATTAGCAGAGCAGCAAGATGAGAACGTAAGGCTTCTTAGAAAATTAGAACAATTTTCAGCACCGCCTCCAGAAGAGAACAAAAAGCAGAAAAAGCAAAGAGAAAAAGAAGAAAAAATGAGGTCTTGCATAGAAGAGCTGAGTATCCAGCACAACGAATTAGTTGAAGAAAGCAAAAGATTGGCTGCAGAGCTCGTTCACACTGAAAGTGAATTAACTAATCGAGACGAGCAAATAAAGCAGCTACAAGACAGGCTGGGTGAGCTTTATAGCGCTTCTCAAGACGACTCTGAATACCCCACAAATGCAAGCATCACTCAAGAAGAGGAAGAAAGAATAAAAGAACTAAAAGAGCAGCTTCAGGAGCAGCAAAACCTAATTGAAAAGCTCAAAGCAGAAGTCGAAAAAGCGAGAGAAAGAAAAGAAAACGCGTTTAATTCAGTCAACATCAATGATGGCCCAGAAATGACGAGGAAAAATTGTGCAGACTGTGAAATCTTTTAATAATAGGATATACATTAATATTTTTTAGGAAAAACTTCTCCGAGTTTCCAAGAAGGCGAGCTTAAAGCTTTCCCTTTGGTTAAGTTTGGAAGGCCTGTTTTTTCACTCTTCCAAAATTTGGATGTTCCAGACATTTCTCCTAAATTAGATGAGATGAAGCTTTGGTGGAAAGAGCGCTCAGGCTTAGGGTAGTTCTTTGGGCCGCTTTTTTGAGACACAGAGCGGTTTCTTTCTTTGGAAACTTCAAGGGATTGGGAATTTGAAGAGGAGCGAGGCTCTTCTTTTTTGTAGTGAGGGGTTTGTGTGGCTTGGTCTCTGACTTTTTTGCCAGCTGCGTTGTAGTATGGCTGGAATGCTGAAAACAAGTTATTGTTTCTTGACAAATTGCTCAGGCGAGGCTTTGGTTTTTGAGCTGGGCTTTTGCAAGTATGCCCTGGAGCCATGTTTTCTCCACAGTTAGCACACTTTACTATTTCAGGTTCTTTTTCTTTGGTTTCTTGAGGCTTTTCTTTAGATGTGGGAGGATTAAAAGACCTGATTGAAACATTTCGTCTTTTATCTGAGCTTGGTCTTTTTTTGTCCTGCATCATTTTCTTCCTAATATTCACAGGCATTATTTCTGCATATTCTTCAGGCTCTAAGTTATCCTCAGATGGGTCTGAATCACTTCCTGAGCTGTCACATTCCTCATTGTCTTCTAGCAATTCTTTAGTATTTTTCAGCTCATTTACTATATCCCCTTTTTTGAGGAGTCCTATATTATTGCTATATTCTCCATCAGGAGAAGGCTGAGGGTCAGGACAGAAAGGAATATCGATTTCTGAATAAACTGCTAAGGCTAAGCACAATTGTTTCCCCATCTCTTGTAGCTGCTTTGCTGTATGATGGGAGCTTGCATATGGACCAAAATTTGGCCCACAGAAGCTTGCTTCTAATGTATAGACGTTAGGGACTCTGGCTTCTTTGAACATTGTAATCCTTAAGGTAGCGTCTTTAGATTTTTGCATACGAAATGAGCAGTAAGAGTATGAAAAAAATGGAGAAATTTTGGATAAAATGAAAGGGAATGTGCGAGTCACTTCTGGACGACCTGGGTAGTTGCACCCATACATGAAGATGTTTTTTCTTCTGGAATGCCCATGAAGATCGCAGACTAGTTCTAAAGGTCTTTCCTTCCCAAAACACTTGATAAGCCTTTTGGCAGCAAATACAGTAGGTTGAAGAGATTTAGAAGGAGTTTTCCACCTTCTGTTTAAGTCTTAATCTTAAATTATAGATGGGCGAGGGCCGTATTGGTAACGCATCAGCAAGATCATTAAGGGTTCATCCGCTTTGAGGCTCCACACGGCTCGGAATAGGTGAATGAGATGATGGCGAAAGTGTTTTGATACAACCTTTTTTCTCCTCTGGAATTCACCTAATACCAGAGCTAAATGAATTGCACAAGGGAGATCGTCTCATCCTTGCCTTTTTAGGGCTTCAGTGTTGAGTAGGCGGGTATGGATATCTGCACCCTACTTCAGGAGTATTATAGAAGTATTTTGATAATATGAAAAACGCAGAGCCTCAAAAATATTGGGTGCCTGCCTTCAGCATTCTTCTTAATTCTTAATTATATGTTATTGAAGAGCTCCCGGCCAGGACCGTAGATCCTTTTCTTCCTCCTTTTGGTCGCTCGCTTGCTTTCCTTGCCCTGCTCCCAGTGTACACCTAAGTGCCACAGGCTACCACTCGGCTCCTTCCGGTCATGGGGCTTGGTCATGAAATTCCGGAAGTAGGCGGACTGGGTCACCATGCTTCACGTCGTCGACTAGGGTTAGAGCTAGAGATTAACTCCCTAGCTCTTATCGGCATCTGCTGTGCCGTCCGATTTGGGCACCAGCAGTCCCTAGAGGAAAACCCTTTTTTTTGTCCCATGTCCCGTCGGGACGATCCGAAAATCGTCATTGCTGGACCGGGAGGGAAACCTAGCCGGACACAAATACCAGTACCCATACCAGACCTTTCCCTGAGTGGATTGGCTTCAGGCCGCAGCAAGATCCCCAATCACACTACAGGTTCGGGAGAGGACGGGTCGGTTTCGTCGCCATTTTATTTGTGTTGCCTGCCTTCAGCAGCTTCAAAAAAATACTTAATTTCTAGGTCAAGGTCGTAACTCCTGGGTATCGCACTGAAGTCCACCTTCATAGTCCCGAAGTATATTGTCAGGCTACTTATTTCAAACCACAAGAAATAATTCAAAACCTACTCAGATATACATAATTCCATATTAGACCTGAATCTCGACTGATTTTTCTCGCCCAATTTGCCTTGGCCATAAGGTTGAGAAATTTGCATCAAGAGGTCAGGTAGCCTTAGGTCACCATTTTATGCATATCCTTCTGTTTAAGTCAACGCCCGATAGGTTGCATCTGTAATTTCCATTGATGACGCCATCTGGGTTCATCATGGGTATCAACTTAAACACAAAAGCTTCTCTCAGCATTTGGGCTTCAATAGAAGTTCCAGTCAAGAAATCAATGACCCCTTTCATCATCCAAGATCCAACACTTTCTCCAGGGTGGGCTCTCGCTGAAATCACTACCCCTTTTCTCTTTTTAGTCTGTTCTGGCGTGCCCTGTGCTGTAATTGTTAAATATTCGCACCTATTCCCTGCTATTGTGTAACAGAGCAGTCTTCTTGCCATAATTTGACTGACATAATAGTTGTCTTCCAAAGCTTGCAAATCCTGCATTAAATCTGTATATGTATAAGGAAAAGAGTAAGCGAAAAAGACAGTATCATTCGTATATTTAAATTCATATGCAAAAGTCATGGTATAAAACATTTTTGAACTCCCTGGTTTCCTTATGCCATTTGCATAGTAAGAAATGTCAGTCCCTCCTCTAAACCATCCTGGGTTTGTCTTATTTTCGCTTTCTGAATGAATCAAAACCTTCATCCCTTCGTTGTACAAAGAGTCTTTTTTCCCTAGATTAATAATATTAAATCTGACAGCTAAGCCTTCTGTAGTGTTCGTAACTCTAAAATAGAACCACTGTGTATGTCCTTTTGTATTGATATCATTTTGTAGTATCAAATTATACTCATTGTCGCTGATTTTAATGGCCATCGACAAATTCCCACTCTCAAATCTGCTTTCAAACACCAAAGTTTGGTCCTCAGAGGTCGGGGTATAATACGGTTTAATTGAAGTATTTGGCTTTACAGGCTCCATCCTGGAGTTTTCTTGGTTTTTCAATAACTTCCTCAAATTAAGGAGGTTTGAGTTGTAAGGCTGCCCTGAAGGCGAGGGGTCTTTGACATATACAATATTGTTGTTCCTGCTTAAAAATCACCTTGAGTCGCATATAGAAATAAGTGACGTACTTGCAATAACTGAGTTATTAGTAGGACTAGTCCCTGGCCCTTGGGAGCAGAAGCCTTCATGGTCTGTAAAACGTGGTAAAAACCTGGATAAATGTTACAGCATGTCTTGATGAGATCTTGGTAAATCATCAGTATAGCGATTTTTAGGTACCAGTGGCATGGGTGGTTGAATGTGTTTGTACAACTCTTCGCTCATGCTGAAAGGGGTTTCTGTTGCTGAAAAGGTATCAGAGATTTCAATAAAACCTCCACTTTCGTCGCTTTCTTCGCCAGAGTTACTCATTTTATTCGTTAATTCTCTCCCCATTTAAATTGGAATAATTTATAGGAAGGTGCTCCATGTTTTGAGTACTTTAACCCACTTTAAATTAGAACAATTTTTTTTCAATAGGAAATTTTAATAGTTGAAAATACTAATTTTGACTAATTTAATGTAAAAAGTGAGAGTATAATGCTATTTAATAGCTTTCACACTGAATCTATTAATTCTCTGAACCAAAATTTCATAAAATAAATTAAAATTCAAAGTATTGTATTCAATTTATATTTTTTCAAAATTTAAAAAAAATTTTTTTGAACACCCTTTAATTGGAAAACGATTTTTTGTTCCAATTTCAAGAGGGGAGTAAGGAAAAATTATTGATTTTTAAATTACGAGTCAATTAATTTATCCTATAATAGAACTTATTATGTGTGTTTATATATGAAAATTATTATAAATCGAGTGAAATTTGAGATATTTTTTAAAATAAATTATCCATTATTTATATTTAGGCAGTATAAATCTAACTAGCATCTTCATGGTCTGAATCCCAGACTTCATCTAAGACTTCGCTACTTTCAGCATTTTCTTCTTCCATCGCGAGCCTAACATATTCAGCCAGCGCATATCTATCCCAGTCAGTGAAGTTTGGATTCTCAGTCTGCTCATGCTTTATAGTGAATGGGTCGCGCTGCTCATAATTCACAAATTTATTAAGATTCAGCAAGCAATTAAAAAATACACCAGAAATCTGTTTCTGAGCTTTGAAATCCTCTATCTTGAACTGATTTTCAACCTTTGGCTTTATCATGTCAGCCATCTGGCAAAGCACATCTTTAAAAGGTACAGCTTCTTGATTTAAATATTCCAAACGATGGAGCTGTTCTTCATAGAAATATTCCATTTCATAAGCAGTGATAATGCAATTTTGGTCAATGTCAACTACTTTAAATCAATACTCCAGCGATCTTATCGAAGTTTTATCTTCTTCATTTATCATGAACCATATGAAATCTTCGTAGTTCATTTTTTCAGGGATATCAGACTTAAATTTCCTAGGAATTTGTTCAAAAATTCGGTCTATTGCTTTACGTGATAAAGTATGCCCGTCATATCTAGAAAAGTCTTCTTTATCGATGTAAAAGTCATGGTCTGTGTCTATTTCCCAGAATTTGCAGTATAAGACGTAGAAATGCTCATAGGAGAAATAATCTTTGATTTTATTAATGTCTTCTTCTTCGTCAAGAGACTGCATAATTTCAAGCAAATTGCTTCGTTTTAGTTCTCTCAGTGTAATTTTACCATCATCGTTGGTATCTATTACATAGAAAATCCTCTCCACAACGGTGTCAGCATATCTGTCTTGGAACTCTGGAGTTGCCTTTAAAAAATCAAGGCCAGGGTGAGTATCCATGAGAATCCTCATCAGTGGCTTGAAATCATCCCTTTCAAAATAATTATTCTGTGGCTTTTTCAGAGTAGCAAATAGCCTTTGGATGGGTTTTTTCCCTTCAAATTCTGCTTTTCAAAATTTCAAGAACATTTGTTTGGTCACTGAATCTCTACCTTCTCCTGCAACCATCACAAACACTTTATTAACTAAAACCTTGGGCAACCCACATACATCTTTTACAACATTTACAAATTCGTGTAATTTTAGAGACTCTTTTATAAAAGCTTGCTGAATGGCTTTCATGTCAGCGTCAGATTTTTCTTGCAAAAAAATTTTGTTTAGGAGCAAATACTTTATCTAATTTTGCATTTTTAATTGAAATATTTCTTACTCCCCCCTCCGTGAGTGAACAAAAATGTTTTTAATAGGAAAATTTTTTATGGAAAAAAAATTTTGATATATAAGTGATAATTAGTATAATGAAATCTTCAGCTAATTCTGTTTAAATTTAAACAAATTGCTTTTTAATACGTAAATTTTATAAATTAAATTAATATTTGCTTTCCAATTTTTGCGAATTAGGATTTTTTTAAATTTCGAAAAAAAATTTTTTCTCTAAAATTTATATATAAAATTTTTTTAAAAAAAAAAATTAACACCCTCCGTAAGTGAACAAAATTTTTTTGTTCACTCACGGAGGGGGGGAGTTAAATAAAATACTAGAATGTGGTAAAGAAAATTAATTGTTTTAGAGCAATAAAACTGGGCCGATTTTTCTACATCAATTGGTTTGCCTTTAGGAAAATAAAATTGAGGAATAGCCGGACGCACAGGAACTGGAGGTTCAGGCTTTGGCTGTTGAGGATTAGAAGTAATATGTAGACCATCAGGAGGCAAAGATACTGCATGAGTAGAACTAAGCTTATATGATGCTGAAGGGGATAAGGGTGGAGCTAATGAAGAACGCTTAGGGGAGGATATTGAAGGAGAATTTGTTGTACTAATCCGGTTTTGGAAAATCGGGCTAGGATGTGTTTGAGATTCTGATAATGGACGGCCGGATTCTTCAATTAGTTTGTGGATTAATTGAGTAGTTGCAGGGATACTAAGTCAACGCAAGAAATTTTCATCTAGTTTTTTTTTAGCTAGCTCATATCTAACACTTTCTTTATAAGCAGAGAATGCTTCCATAGAATTATTGGCATTTTGTGAAAAATTAACTTATCCTCTTGGAAAAATTAAAGATTAATGAATTATTGCTCTATTAAGATATATTTTTATAAAAATGAATTTTAGTATAAGAAGTTATTAATTAAAGAAAGATGACAATGAGCTGCTTTTAAAGCCATCTAATAGATTTGCAACTCGAGAAAGTTCATCTTCAATCCATTTCTCATGAGATGGTATCATTTTTGCTGTAGGATGTGTCGGGTCTCTTGGTTTTGTGGTTCGTTTTCCTTTGAGTGCTCGTATAAAAATTGCGAAATTTCCTTTTTTGTCTTCTCTTACTTGCTCTTTTTCTTCGTTTATTATCAACTCGCTCATTTTCTCTTGTAAAATTTTGACTTCTTCTAGTAAAGACCTGATTTCTTCTTCTTTATCCTCGATTCCAGTTTCAAAAGGTGAAACGTGTACGATTTGGCAAGGAGAGTTCAAAACAAGTGGCAAAAATTTTGGCCTTCCAGCCATCTTTCGGCATTTTATACTATCTATATACATCAGCATTCAATCTCTATTATAACTTTTCGCAAAAACTAAACTCAAAGCGTCAAGCTTTACTTTTTTGAATTTTTTCAAAAAATAATAAAGCTTTTGGATTAAATAAAAAGAATTTTCCTTACTAGCATTCTCTAAATTGAGCAAAATATCTTTAAAATTTCTATTACTTGGCTCTTTAAATTAGAACAAAAATTATGTTTTGATACTCCTCAAAATCAAAATTTGCATATAATTTGTTTTTAAAGGGTTAGTGCAAGAAATACTATTAAAACATTATATTAATTAAAGTGTTTAAGGCGTCTAACGCTACACTCCAACTCATGGGACAGAGCCAAAATGGTGACGCCACAAGCATTTTTGACCGAGAAGGGCAGACCATCCCAAATAAGCGATCAACCACCCTGATCAACGCTTCACATCTGGCGCTACTGTTGCTGCTGCCTGACTCAGCTCCTGGAGCATGTCCCGCCTAAGAGTCAACCTCCTCAGATGTGCCTAAGTCTGCACTGAGGAGTAGTTACTCTGGTTATTCCAAATTTAACGCTTTTGCTGCACAGAAGTTCTCGGTCGAAAAAAAACCTCCATAAATAAATTCTATAAGGGAGAGAAAATCAGCAAAACTAATTTCTCTTTAATCAAATGCTATTTTATTTTATGACTACTATTTCAACAAAGCTAGCACTTTAAATTAATAAATTGTTTTATAGAAAATTATTTTTCTAAAAAAAAATAATCGCCTTTATTGAACACACTTTTTGTTTCTGGAGTTAAGCCTTTCTTTATCCAACCTACCTAAGCCATTCTTCATCGTTTTATTTTGTAGAGTTGGTGTAGGGCTTTGTGCTCGGATATTCGGTAAAGAGTTTCTAGAGGTTGAACTCAACTTTAAATTAAATTTTGGCTGGAAATTACAATGCTCAATTTCGAAAGTTTTTTTTTTCCTGTTTCAGTTTGTTTTTATTAAATTTTCACTTGAAATGTATTGCTGAATAATTTTATTTCGAAATTGCAAATATGTCGATTCGCTCACTATGGAATTTTCTGAAATTAACGAATAGGACTGAATTGTTGAATTTACCATATATTTAGCCTCAGCAACAGGGTTTGAAGTGTTTTCTGCAGCTTTGCCTCATTTTTTAGCAATTGAGTGAATTCCTTCTTCGTTTAATAAACTCTCAAAACATAAATCTCCATTTAGTTTATTGTGCATATAAGCATTGCTGGGAAACTTAAACCCAATAATAATTGTTTCAGGAACTTGTATATTCAGTGGTGCTACACTATTTAATTGAAATAAAGTTAAATAGCTTCATAGAAGTGTATGGGATATTTCAGCATTTGAATTCTCAAAATTATTATACGGTTGAACTTCTTGGTATTCCATTTTCAAAATTATTTTATTGATCCCTGTTTATTAGAAGAATCAACTTTTTAGCAGGATCATCTGGCCATTTGGCTTACGATAGGTACACAGAAAAAACTTTTGAATACTTTTCTAAAATCTGGCAATACATCTGATTAGAAAATTAAGCTCTATTCATTCATAAAAACTTAATGTAATGACAACTTAAAATATTTCAGTAAATCAAAAATATAAAAATTTCTGAGATTATATCAGAATCCATTTTAGGCTGAATTCTAAGGCCATTAATAAGAAAAAAATTATTGAAAGAAATAAATTATCTATTCTTAAAAAATTTTTTTGTTGTTGATGGATTCACCGTTTTAGCTTGTCAAAATTTGTCGTTCCCTAATTAATAGGGACAAAAACATATGAAATCATTAAAAAGTATTATAAAGGAGTGAAAAGATATAATTGCAATATTTTCTAGTGGGCAAAAATTATTAAAAAGACTTTATATATAAACTAAAGAATTTAAATAAGTAAATACATTTTTATTTAATTTCCTGTTCTCATCTGATGATAATATTATTAAAAAATTGAAATTTGATATTACAATAATAAAATGAAAGATCTTTATTACAAAATAACTGAGAAAAAAGGCAGCAAAATTAAACTTTTAGCTGGAGCAGCAAACACTTTTAAATTTCAATGGGTGTGAAAGCAGAGCTTTTGAATATACTTTTTAAAGATTGGCAATTCATCTGAAATAGAAAATCTAGCGCTCTTTCCTTTATAGAGCTAAATGTTAATTTATAATGTAAATTATCTTGAAAATCTTAGTTTGTTAGTTAATTTACTTTTAAACAATTGAATTTTATATTATATATAAATTTGTATGATTGTTCTTAAATTTTCAAAGATTTGTCTCCTGATCTAGATATATAAACACTTAAAAATAAGAATGCATAGCTAGAGAAAATTAATTTTTTAATTTTGTGAATAACTTTGTGATATCTAAATCTCTCTGCTTTCTACTAAGCCAACAGTTTTGAGTCAAAAGCTTTTAAACAATAAAAGTGGAATAATTTTATTATCAATAAAGGAAGAAAGCAATATGGAACAATTTTTAGGGGGCATTAAATATAAATAAGAGGCACTAAAGCAGTTAAATCTATACTTGGCAATGAGAGTTAATTGAAAGCATTTTAAGAACTATTTAAAAATGTATCAGACAGAGAAATATATTAATTTAGTGAAAAAATTCAAAATTTTAATACTGCTATATAGTCATATGATGGGCTATTAATAAGTAAAAGAGAGTATTGATATTCTTTGAAGTAACGGAGAAGTCACAATATCATTTCAAGTAAAAGATGTTAAAGTTAGCACAATTATTGATTCAATTTTAAAATTTTAATTTATCTTGGAGGAAAAAAATTCTCAACTTTTTCAGAGCATATTCCTCCATATTTACACTCCAGCTGATTTCTCGGTACAATCTTAAGTAATTCATCCTTATAATTTTTATTTTTTAAGATCACTTTCTTCAAAAATGATTTCGTGAAAAACAAGCTCAAGGCTTTTCACAAAACCCTGATAAGTTTTGGAGTGTTTATCATGATCATTTTATCAAGTCTGCATGGATAATATAACGACATTTCATCAATTATGTGCTTGATTTTTGACCTTGGGTAACTAAAGGCATTCATCTTGTCTAAATCAACAATCAGTAGCCAAGTTTCTACCCTTCCAGGTATAAGTAACTTATTTTTTATATACTTTAATAAAATATGGCAAGCTTTAACCAGCGCATGCATCTCAATTTTTGAGTCCTTGATTTTCTTCATATTGATAACAATAATTGGTCTCAGGTCTTTATCTCTACCAAAGGAATACATCATGCCTGAATTCTAATTAGTTAGTTACTAGTATTTTCTCAGATTCTTCATCAATCGAAATTTCTTTATTTTCCCATTCAATTATGGACTTTATCCTTTCTAATGTTTTTTGGAAATCTCTTCCAGTAGCATTTAAGCACTTTAAAGCTAATAAATTGGAGACATTGAAAAAATAGAAAATTGCAAAAATAAAATGTTTTTTTGTTAAAACTAAAAAAGCAAAATATTGCATTTTTGTTGTGGTTTTTTTGCATGAGTTTTTGCAAAAAAACAATTGATTTTTGCATTTTTGCGTTTTTTGTTGCATGAGTTTTTTGCAAGTTCTCCCTAATAAATCTCCTTCAAATATAGAATTTGGGATCTTGTCCTCATCATTAGACAGACCCAAAAAATACTTAAATCTTGATAAAACTCTTTCTTCTTCTGGGTCAAGCTTGACACCGCTGTAAATTTTTCTAACCCCGTCTTTCATTATTTGTTCTGGGTCCATAACTTGCACTTTTTTATGCGCGGCTGATATAAACATTTTTTGAGAATTTCTGCGAGTTTCTCGAGGAGAAGCTATGGAGCGGCTTCTTCTTTTGCCATTTGGATCATTGATTTCGAAAGAATAGCTAAATTAAGAATACCTCATAGATCTATTTAAAAGAGAATTCTCGTCTTCGCTTTCATCATCTCCTCAGATAATATTTGTTGCTGCTTGTATTAAGGTGCAGTTAAATGTATTTGTATTTTTATCATAAATTTTAGGTTTATTTACAGAAACTGTTTGTGTTCTGTTAGCATTTTCTTCTTTTGAGGAATAAAATATAATTAAACAATTATGCTGGCCATAAGTGGACTCTTAGGAAATCTTGGCTACAAAATGTCGCTATTTCGGATTTCTGACCTGAAATGTCCAAGTGATCAACTCTCTGGTGCAGAGCCACTGCCTGCAGAGTGCCCCGATAGTCCCCCGATGAGGAAAGGCCATGCAGTATGCAAAGGGCAGTGACTGGGAAAATCTTCTCTGGAGAAATAAAGCTTTCCTCTTCAGCAATGCATCTCCAAACCCGAAGGCCTATTTCAAAAAGGGACAAGTCACCATTTTATCTCTCTTTTTAGGAATAAAGGAATTCTTCTTCAAATGGGGATGAGGTTACCTTTGGGATTTGCTTTTTTTGATTGCTTTTTTGCTTAGAGGGACGGGCTATTGGAGTATATTTATTTTCTTCTTTGTCGTGAATAGGGAATATATCTTCATAGCTCTGAACGTCCATAAAATTCTTTATGGTTGAATAATTTACACAGAATTGTAAAGGAGCCAGGATGATATTTAATAAAAATATTAATAAAATAAGTCACAGGAGGGAAGCATGCTAGAGTTAATAACAATCAACTGTTTCGTTGAGACTTCCACTCATTTATATTCGATAAAATAGAATGATGGTAAAATTCTATATAAAAAAAATTAAATCTTATTTTAGGCTCCTGATGATCCTATTTGTTATATTAAATTAGCTTTCTTTTCATCATTTGTCGATTTTATTTTAAAATTGTAATAAAAAAAATCAGTGTGGAAACTATAAAAACACTATTGATATTGAAATAATTCAGGCCAAGCTACAATAATAATTAAAAAAAACCAAATAGAAAAATTAAACTTTAAGCATGCTATTGAGGTAAATCAGAATAGATATGCCAAAAATCAGCCTTCATATCTAAAAATAGGCATTTTGCTAAAAAATTTTAACCATAACTGCTTCTGCTTATTAATTAATAATTGTTTAATTAAAGTCAAAAAGACGAAATTTAAAAACGATTTCATGTAAATTAGTTTAATGATATATTAAGAATAAGCCTCTCAATATTCCTTTTATAATTAGCTCAATTAATAATGCATAGATATACCAATATTTCATAATATTAGGACTCTTGAGAGTCGCTACAAGAAATTTTAATTTACAATAAAGTGAATTATATAAACAGCTCAAAATTTTATACAAATATATTGAGTTATTATGATTAGGCTTTTAAGCAATCTTTAAAAACTTTGCACTGCTTAAGCAAAATATAATTTGATTAAAAGTTCTTTTAATATAAAGTGCATAAATAAATGGAACCCGATATATCCAAGATTATTCCATGCGCATCTTCAATTTGGTCATATTATACTTTATTTACTCTAAATAGTGTCTCTCCTCTTACTCTCATCGTCCCTGAAACAATCATAGTTGGTTTTGGATTTTCTTCTATAACATATATGCATAATCGTAGTGATGGATCGTTATGTTTTGAAGAAATATCGAATGAAGCAACGATTAAACGGATCATAAAGAACTGAGACCAACCAAAGAGCAACGGTCAAGCTTTTGCAATAGTAAAATATCTAGAAAATACAGTTGCCAAAATATTACCTTTAACTCCAGACCTGTCTTCCCTTGATGAACCAATTTTTTTACAAAATAGAAATAAAATAATTCAAGAAAATATTCATTTCCGAAATAGTTCAGAAAACCAAAAAATTAAAGTTAAATGAAAACGAAAACAACACTCCTTTGAATTTAAGATTAATAGTCCATTAAATGATTTTTTAGCTGAGAGAGCACCTAATTCCTACTCACAAAGAACTTTAGCTACAACAAGAAGATCATCTTCGAGCTCAAGTATTGCATTAAGAAATGATTGAATAAGAAAATCATATAAAGATTATCTAAAAAATTTGTCATCATATATCATAAGCAATCTTTACACGCTCATGAAAAAGTATTATAAAGAAAAGCTAACTCCCTCCGCCTCCATGAGCGAACAAATCATTAGAAAAGTCCATATTTTTTGCCAAAAACCGACCCTCCGTGAGCGAACAAAAATTTTTTTAATGGAAAAATTTGATATATAGGCGATAATTAGTATAATGAAATCTCTAGCTAATTCTGTTTAATTTTAAACAAACCGCGTTTTAAAACATAAGTTTTTCAAATTAAATTAATATTTGCTTTCCAATTTTGCGAAGTGGGATTTTTTTAAATTTCGAAAAAAAAAAAATTCTATAAAATTATATATATAAATTTTTTTAAAAAATTAACCCCCTCCGTGAACGAACAAGATTTTTTGTTCGCTCACGAAGGGCGGGGAGTAAGCATGATAGAAATTAATTATGAACAAGGAAGCAATGGAGATTGATTTTTTGTGGATTTTGGAAAAAAATCACATAAAAGATTGAAAGGAAAAATAAAATTAATAGATCCTCTATATAATACTCCATGCTTGTTTGTTGAGAAAAAAATTGTAATAAAAGAAGTTGAATCCAGACCACTTCTTGATGAATTGAAAAAATTGGAAGAAAAGATGAAAGAAATTATCAAAAAAAGGATTGATGAAGACACAAATAAGGCATCGTGCTATTCAGGATTTATAATGAATTTGAAAAGAAGAAACTCAGCAGATCAAAAAGCTGAAAATGAAAAGTTAGGCTATAAAAATCGTTTGCGTTTTCCTACTAATGTTGACAGAGAGCTAACACGAGTTGCAAATTTATTGGATAAATATAGAGATAATACAAAGAGTAGAAAATCAAGTGTTTAGATTGTTTTCGAAGATTATTTATTTTTTAATTAATAAATTTAAAACTTAATTTATGTTTAGTTGAAAATTTAATATCTCATTTTTCTGTTAAAATCAAAAGTAAATGCATTTAAAATGTAACATCATCATTTTTAAATTATAAATTAATCTATCAACATACTTAATTTACATTGAATAACATTATTTATCTTCACTTGAATATGAAGCTACTCATTAATTAGGTGATTAACTTAACGGGTGTTTAAACTGAACAATAATTGCAGTCATATTATCGCAGCCTAGCCCTGCATTCGCCCCCACACTTGGTGCAAGGCATCTATCAAGCATTTCTTCAATGATTTGCTGCAAAGGTTTAGTATTGATTCTTTCTCTAACGAAGCTCACACACTGCTGTGACGTAAGCATATCCCACACCCCATCGCATGCAAGGACCATAAATTCATCATTAGGAGTAAGGGTTTCTCTTCTAATATCTGGGTAAGCACTTATAATTTGATCTTTTGGTGGAATAGACCGATTTTGCTTATATTCTAAATCCCCGATGCATCTGCTTAGGTTTAAATTTCCCATAACTCTCCCATCTTCCACGTTCCCACCTGCTCTGTAAATTCTGTTTTTTTCTTCAGGCATGTCTGGCTTATGATCAATAGAGAGTTCTACTGCTTGTCCATTTCTGCACAGCACACATCTAGAGTCTCCTGCATTTGCTACGTATAGTTCATTCCCTTTAATTAATGCAGTCACTGCTGTACATCCAGCTTGGATTATCATATCATTAGCATTAACTGGGGTGCTATCAGGTATACTATGATAATAATTTTTCATTGATATTTTCTATAATTGTATATAAACTTATATTGAGCTAATTTAATTAAGCAAGATATAAATCTTTTGAAATCCTCACAAGTTCTTTCATGCCATCTTGGGTGACTTGCAGCTCATCTAATCGCAAATAAGTCTCTTGTAGTGCAAGATCAATACGACCTTGGCGATAATTAGCATTTTGAAGCAGCTCCTGGCTCAAATGCCGAGTTACGAATTGAGCAACTTCATGTCCACCGTGCCCATCATATACTCCAAACAGCTCAGATGAGGCATCGAAGTTAATATTTGTGATTTTCGCATCCTCCATTGTCATGCGCCAGCCTTGCATGTCAGAAGCTGCATAGCGAACGCGAGAGTTTTCAGAAATTTGGGTGCGCTTTTCTGTGCGAGGAGCAGATAAATAAGGTCCCATTTATATAAATTTGGCAAAATAAAATGACTGAAGTGCAAGGATAGAAAAAGCCACAGAGCCAAATAAGACATGTAAATAGCACAAAGAATTTTCACTCAATCCCATTTGTTACACCTATATTGGATAGGCATAGATTATATACCGTTGCAGAAACCTTAAGAAATTCAATAAACATTAGTTCACCAATTTCTTATTTGACAAAAGTTAATTTGAAATTATTTGAATGATTAAAAATTGTTCCTTACATTACGATTATTTTGTTCCTTTCAAGACCTCCTTCGATCAAAAGCCCCTTAATGAAATCATTATATCCTGAAGGTCCACAGATCCAGGCGTTACTTGCTTTCATTCCTGCATATTTCTTAACCAAATCAGGGAAACTCATTTCTTTTGCTTGCTTATCAATCACAGGGATGAACTTGAACTTGTCTTCTCCCAAAGCTCTTGAGGTAGCCTCCAGTATATCAAAGCAGAAGGAGTCTTCCTTTGTTCTGAATGACGCAAATAATGTAAAGCTCATAGGCAGAGGCTGGTCTTTTGTGGACCACAAAAGATAAGCAACATCCAAAAATGGAATTAATCCAGTGCCACCTGCGAAGCCTAAATAATTTCCAGAATAAGCATTAAGCATTAGGCCAGGGCCCAAAGGTCCTTTTAATTGAAGCTCGCCACTATCTCCTTGATTATGCATATGCTGAGTCATTTTCCCTTTTGCGTAAACTCTATATATAAGTTGAATGCTTCCTTTTTTGCATTCTGGGAATTTAGAAGAAAGGTTTAGCTCAGATGCCCAACTGTGTAGGTCTGCAAAAAATGCACTATAATACCTTGAAGTTAAGGTCCCACCAATTTTTGCGGTTACTTTAAAATGCTTTCCAATCCAAAACGGCTCCTTAATGTTCTGGCTCATTTGAAAATGAGGTGAGGAAAGAGAAATTATCTTTGTGCTAGGATTTAGCTCTTGCTGGAAATTGATTTTCCAGTTCATGTGGTTATTGTCTCCAGAAGAATCTGTTGCATCTAAATATCCCTCAGGATATGGAACTCTTGCTATTGCTAACTTTTTGGTATAGTCAAGTGCAGGTCTTGAATGAGCGTATGGGAGTAGGTCTCCGTTTGTGCTTGAGCATCCGACTAGCTCTCCCAACTGTCAGTAAGCAAAATTATTTGTTTACAGAATTTATATTAATTGTTTGAAGTTTAAAATAATCCCATATGGCAAATATTTGAAATTAAATTTTATATATTTAGATCCAAGCTGATAATTAATCGAGATTTATTTTATTATAATTATTATCACTTATATCTTAAAAAATTTTTTAATCATTCACAGAGGAGGATTTTTCCAATGTTTTGCTAGCTTATGAGGGAGAATAAGTACTTTCCTGCATCTTCTCCAATTGCATCTTCAAGCATAAAGCCACCTCCTGGATGTGAAGTAATAAAATGCTTCACATTCATCACCAACTCATCGTAAAACATAATTTTGGCATTTTTTTCGACGATCATATCCATAGCTTCTTTATGGGTCATAGCAGGAAGTGTTCTTCTGCATAACAAGCCAGCCCACCAATAAGAAATTTGGTGCCTAACTTCGAAAAGAGCCCATATCCCTAATACAATCCCTAATCCAGCATGGTAAAGAGAGGCGCTTGAAAAGATATCCCAACCATATGAATTATTCAAAAGTCCTCCAATTACCATGCTATATCCAGTAACTTTATGGATTCTTCGGATTTGAGAAATCAATCCAAAGTGAGAAGACTTAGATTGAAGAAATCCACAAATCAAGCCCATAACTCCTTGCCCAACAACTAGGAAGGTTAAGCAAAGCCCTAGTCTTGAGTGATGCCTTGGTTTGCTAGTTCCTTGGATATATGGTGTCTCATGTGCATGATAAGTCAGTGAAACACTTATAATTGTAGCTGCAACTGCGACTCCCAGTAAAATTAGGTGACAGAAATACCAACACCTCCAGTGTTTGCAGTATCTAGCAATAGCAATGCCAATAGGTGCTAGAATCAGCCAGCAAACTGTCATAACAAGACCATGCATGCCAAATCCTTCATGGTCACTGTCCTCTGTAGAAAAACTTGCATCTTCTTTTCTTGTAGTAAATTTAATTGTTCCCTGAGAATAGTCGCTATGTTCTTTAAACCCTGCATTTGCATTATTAGAATCTCTGAGGTAAGCCCAGTTAATCTTCATTTTTCTTCCTGGTATGATAACTGTATCCCAGATATCTCCTGTATCTAAAAGTCTTTTGAAAATGACGTTGATAAATCCTGAGCTTCCTGTTGTATTGCTAGGATAATAGTATCCGTATTGTTCGATAATACTATACTCGCCATTCCAATACTCAGAATCTGCCTTTGGGGTGTCATGGTTTTCAGACCATAAGTCTAGCATTGAGGCTTTAATAGTAGATGAGCCGCCTCCAACAGCTACATACATATCGCTCAGATACATTGTGTTTGATAAGCCAATGCCACACCAACTTGCTTCACACTAAATAATGCTTACGAGGAACTGGAATGTTATGTACTCCCCACTTATTTCCCAGCCTAGGGTCATATATTTGTCCAAAGCCTGATATATGAACCCGGTAATGGGACTTGAGAAAAACCATAGTAATGCTAATAGTGATTGCTTCATTTATAAGAATGTAACGCGTTTTGCAAAAAAATGCTTTAACGCATGGATCACTGGTGGGATAAAATGGCAATTCTTAGTGATCTCAGGAATGAAATCTTTCCAATTATATTTTAACTTTTAATTCTCAAAGCAGAAGTAAGGTTAAATGTGACCAGAGCCAGCTTGAACTGATTTTTGTGAAAAATGAAAAATTTTGACTAATTTGAGCTAATTCAATAAGAAATGCTAAAGAAAGTCTTTTTTTGGTATAATTGATACTTTTAAGTGGTTTAGTTAATTAGTTAAAGCTAAAACAAATCATGATTGATTATTTCATGCTTATTTAGATGTCATGAAGCTTAATCCCGAAACAATCATAATTAGCTTTTTTTAGATCTTCTTGAATCGCAGGAGCGGTTGAGTTTTTCTTCCTAGGAAAAAGGAAGCAGCAGTCTCTCCGGTTAAAGGACTCCTAAAGGGTGATACAGGCGAAGGGTGATAACCAAGGCGGAGTAACTAGGCAGTCTAAAGGATAAGTTGGAAATGGTGGCTCCTCGTAACGTTTTAAACACAAAAGGGAAATACCACTATTGAGAAATCAGGGGATTCGCATGGTCTTGGAGTATCAGAGGTGGAAGCCATGCAAAGCTTGAAGCGAAGCTGATTGGATCAAAAGAAGATGTCATCATTTAATTCGAATACAGCGATAGAACAGAAGAAGAGTGGCTTGCAGACATGGAGAGGGGAAAAAATGTGCGGCTGAGATGCAAGTAAAAAATAATGATGATGGAAAAGTGATTGGACTAGAAAGCTTATAGAAAAGGTAAAATAATAGATTAAGGAGATTATGATCTATTTGAGCTATAGGGTTCCAAAAGGAGTCAAATGATTAAAGGAGGGAAAGAAGCTTTGAGGATAAAGATCAAATGTAAAAGAGCAAAATGAAGGGGATATTATGAAAGGGATTGAGACAAACGCATGGAGGCAAAGATGAAGACTGAAATGAGCTAGAAAAGAGTGCATTAGGGGGAAAAATTAATGAGGAATCGTGATAAGGAAGAAGAGGAGAAATTGTGATTAAGGAGAAAACTGGAATATTAAGAAATAAAGCGCTGGAATATGTAATTCATAAGGATTTTTTGCTGTGTAATCGCCAGAAGGGCATGATATGATATAAAAAGGCAGAACCCTTAAGCCGAACAGGCGATGGAGGAAAATCTGATAGAGTTAGGGAACGCGCCAAGCTGCTAGTGTTTCTAGTACGTCTGGGGTTTTCAAGCTGCTTCACAGAGACAAGGAGGAGCGAGCTGAGCTGCAAATGGTTTGATATCAGTTTCGAGAGTAGTAATTAGACAAAGAAAAAAACGTCTCGCGATGCTGAGCATTTAAAGACCCCTAGAATTCAGTTAAATTAAGTTAATTGATTGATTAAATTAGTTGATAATTAAAAATATTATTATTTTTGCATCATCTCTGGTGTTTAATTGTTTTTTAAGTCAATATTAAAGTAAGTCTAGGTGTTTACATTACTTATCATAATAAGTAATTTATATATTATCTTCGATGGTCTCCTATTAAAGCGATTAACTTTCAAATAAATTATATTTTTGCTTTGAAAAGCAAGAAGAATTTTTAAAAATTAGTTAATAAAACGATATAAATATCAATTTTTACTTAAACCCTCATTAAGACTTCTTAATCTATATGAGACCTCCTTGTAAATAATATCAAAGCTGTGTGCATTGTTCAATTCTTAAATATTTTGAAACCATTTTTTATTATGCAGTCAAAAGAAACACTCCTATGCCTGGAACTCAAGTCTAACTATCTATTTTATAGCAATAATTATTAAAGATATCAAAGATAAATGCTTATCAATTATAATCATATTTGCAAAGATACTGCATGTTGTGTCTCTTATCATAGTGCATAAAATTATAATATAAAAAAAATTCAATAAAATAAAACATTATATAATTGATTAAACGATGGTTCGTTCAATCAAGGAAATATGATTTAAAAAGAGAGGCTCGGCAATTAATTTAATTTATACTCATCTAATTAGCACAAAAGCATTTTAATGCTGGAATAGTAAGCATTTGCTTTCCAAAGATTCATGATAACTTTATTGGATATTTTTCTAGTTCTATTCTTGAGTTTCGGTAAGTATTTTTAAGATAAGGAAAGCATACTTCTTTTTTCGATCTCTTATATAAAAATTTAATTTGCATAAGGTAAAAAAAATATTGAGATAATAGTTTTTCATTCAGTTGCGTTTATAAAAAGATGCTATTTTTTGAGAAAGAAACCTTTGTTAATACCTTTATCCAAATTACTTATAGATATCGACTTATAAATTTTAATTGCTTTTCATAATATCTAGATTTATCTGCAAGAAAGAAATTGGATAATAAAGCCTAAAATTCTTTCAAAATTTATAACATAGCTAAAAGTTTACATTTTCAATAGAGGATAGAATTTAACCACACAGCCTTTCAGCCATTTATGTCTGCTTTGATCTGTAATGAACCCAGTAAACATTTATACCTTATCTATAATTTTCTCCAAAATCTACCAAATGCCAAGAGTTCTCACTTGACTCTCTCTTCTCTCCTAGTTTTATTCAGTCTAAATTGTTCTGATGTGAAGAATAACTCGATGCATAATTAAGATATTGCTGTTGCAAAAAGAAAATGTTTTAAAAGTCCAGAATAGAGCAGGTAATTATACGACGAAAATAATGGGACTCATTAAAGACAAGAGCGAACTATTTGGAAACTGTTGCTAAATTTATGATAAGATTTCATGCAAGATCTACTGATATAGATTTATTCATGCTACTTATAGGAGAAACTTGATAAGCAATCATTTCAGAGGCTAATCAGAATTCAACTTAAAGAAATTGATGAAAGGTAGAGGACCTAATGAGCCTAATAAATATGGGGTTTTTTATTTAGGAGATGATGCAATCAATTTTACAACGAACCTAGGATTTAGCTTAGAAATTAATTATTCGATGTGTGACACTTTTAATCATTATCGGCAAAGAGTGGCCCATTAGCTTTATATGCATCATTCTGTATGTTGAAGCCTACTTTAATAAACTTCTATTCTTTTATTATTTTTACTCGCCATTACAATAATCAATAAAATACATATTTAATCAACACATAATTACTGGACGATTTATCTAATTTTTCATTCTATATTAACAATGACCAAGATATATCTTTTGATACTTTTGACCTTCTTGGCCTACGCAGAGCTGATTTACCAAAAAATCGATAGCGTTATGACAATCGGTTGGGAAATCTCAAATGACGAAATCATATTCAACTTTAAGGTAGCATTTATTTAGTGCAAAGCTGATTGGTGCAGCATAGGGTTCGCTAATTCCATGTTTGGATGTGATATGATTGTAGCCCTACAAAAAAAGTCTGCGAATTCCACTGTAGAACTGATGGACATCTGGTCAGAAAATCATGACACTCCTTACTCAGATACTGATCTAAAAGGAACCAATGACATAAAATATATCAAAGGAGGCTATTCAACTTCACCAGGTAGACTAATTGATGTATATTTTAGCAGAAAATTGGACACTGGAGATAAGTATGACAAGGTTATAGTGCCTGACCAAGTCATGGACATTAACTGGGCATATCAAAAAAGAACAAGACGCTTTGATGAGCATGATGAGTACGGAGCATCAACCATTGTATTTGCAACAAAAATAGAGAAAATAAACTACCAAATTGATGAAAATGATTTCGAGTATTATGCAGCCCATGCATTGCTTATGATAATTTCATGGTCTTTATTAGCTCCTGGAGCTATTATTGTTGCCAGGTACTATAAAAGCTGGAAACTTTGGTACCCTTGTCATCTAATTTCTTTTTCCCTGGCTATTTTTTTAACCCTATTTAGTGTTGGATTAGCTTTTTATAAACATCCAGTATCTTATGAAACCTTTACAGAAGTGCCAAGATACCACGCCAGGCTTGGATTTCTCTTAGCAGGAACTGTTGTAGCCCAAGGCATTTCTGGCTTAATCGTAAGGTGGCTTCAGACTTCTTCGACCAGCTTTTCAGCAATTTCCCAAACAAGAAGACTTCATAAATCAATTGGATGAATTATGGCAACTCTTGGCATCCTGATCAATATATCAGGGTTTTGACTTGTGGAAAGCGAATTAGATGAGGTCAGTGGAATATTGTTCTGGACTGCAATATGCACATTGATAATAGTTTCCTTTGAAATTGATCATAAATGGATAAATCTTATTCCAGCTCAATTCGTTGTATGGATGAAGCTAAAACTCTCCAAAAGATTCCCATTCCTTTATAAGGCAAACAGGAGCATGACTCATAGAGCAGCTCTAAAAGAGATGACAATGAAAAATAAAGATTACATGTTTTATGAAGAATTCGTGATTGATATAACTGATTTTAAGTTCTCCCATCCAGGAGGAGCATTCATGCTGAATGATTCTATCGGAGAAGATACAGGGAAATACATGATTGGGTGCAGCAGTGCAAATGGAGAATTAGCGCCATATACCCATTCGCCTGAGTCTTTTGATCTTCTTAAAAAGCTTGTAGTTGCCAAGATTCCATATCCAGATGAGTTTTTAATACCTCTTAACTATGAAGAATTGATGGATTCCATGACTTGGAGTGTCAAATCACAGCATGTTATAAGCGAAAATACTTATTTACTTGTATTAAGTTCTAAGAACTTCAATATGAACTCGAAATGCAAAAATCCTTTATGGCTTGGCAAACATTTTAGGATTAATGCAGAAGTTGATGGGAAAAATGTATCAAGATATTATAGCGCATTCTTTTGCAACTTGAATTCATGGGCTATTGAATGCCAAGAAAGTGGTTATAGAGTTAGCACTTATCCAAACGTGAAAAGTGGTAGATTGCAGCTGATTTATAAGGAATATCCTCAAGGAGTCTTAACCCAGCATTTGAAGTCTTGCCAAGCAAAAACTAAACTAAACCTCAAAGGTCCATTAGGACCTGGACTCTGCTTATCAGAATTTTCTGGTAAATATGTAGCCTTTGCAGCTGGTACAGGCTTGGTTCCATTTCTGGACATAGTCTGCTATCTTTGGACTATAAGAAATAGCCCACATATTCAATTTTCTTTTACTCTTATAGTTTCTTTTAGGAATTTGAAAGACTTCTTTGGCTTACTCTTTAATTATTTAAAAAAATATAAAAGCCTGGTATAATTTGTTATTAAATAATTTTTTTTATTTTTAAATTGAAGAGCTAGATCTTCTTGAAGCTACTGCAAGTGCTTTAGGAGAAAGTAGATTTAAGCTTGTTATCCTCACTAATGAAAGACGAGAACAACTTCCTGGATTAGTCAAAGAATGTGGAGAGCTCAAGTCAGATCTAGCTTGGGTTTGTGGGCCTTCTGGGTACAATAAGTTTATTCTTGATTCCCTGAAGGCTGGAGGACTTAGTAGAGATAAAATTATCGTGATGTAAAGACTCTATATCCATAACTTAGAATATTTTTATGATGAAATTAATTAATTTCATAAATATAAAATAGCATCAGAATTCAGTTAATATAATAAATAAGATAATAATTTCATAGAAACTATTCAAATGACAAGTTTGAACAGTTTTTTGATTGCTTTAAAACTTGTTTCACAATAAAGAAAATTATTACCAAAATATTATGATAAATATTGTAATGTTAAGAGGCTAGCAATAGTTATATACACTAACTACATTCAATTTTCGCTCGCTTCGGGGAACATTCTACACAAAAGAATGTTTCCGGAACTTCGTACCTCTTTAATCCTATACATTCGCTGTGGAATCATTTTCCACATTCATCGCAAGCAATCATTTCACTATCCCTAATCCTTTGTTCATAATCCTCATCTGTCTCATCATTTCTCTTTGGCGTGGCTTCAACAAATGGCTTTCTGCACAAGCAATGAAGCTCTTGACTTACGAGATCTTCAAGAACAGGCTGCTTCGGCTTCCTTCCTCTTTTGGCTCCTCCTATAGGCTTAATATACTTTTTCAGCTTAGCTTTTTCTCTTAATGTTGGCTCATAAACTACTAAAGGCTTTCCTAAAATTTGAATTTCCTTTTTAATTACTGGGAATATTGATTCATTGTAAAATTTATAGCAATCTTGGTATTTTCTCCCTTGTAAAGCAATTTTTTCTAGCAAAATCATTTGAGGATGCAAAACTGTGTATTGCAAAAGTTTTTTGGACATAATAATAAAATGGCTCAGTGCGGAATCCTTCGCTTTTATTATTATGGGGTTCAGTTTTCCACGTGGCCTTTTATCAGCAATACCAATATGGAATACCGCATAGGGTATAGAGGCTGCCTTTGAGTAGCGCTCTAAGCGCCCGAGACTTCCCGACGAAGTCTGGGCGGTGGTTTGACCAGCTGATGTTGGTCAAACCAGCATCCAATTTGACAAACCTTCTGTAGGAGAAGAATTTGTCATTTTGGATGTTGGTTTGACCAACATCAGCTGGTCAAACCACCGCCCAGACTTCGTCGGGAAGTCTCGGGCGCTTAGAGCGCTACTCAAAGGCAGCCTCTATATTTCTTTGGCCCAAGATACTAAGAAGAACACCTGGTTTGCTGCTTGACACACCCGAGGAGGGTGACCCTTAGGCGGAACACACACAGGAGTCAAGTTCGGGCGAGGCAACGCTGCCGGTGCGGGATTTCTGGCCCGTTGGGGATGGCACTTTATAGAATGGCTTGGTCGGGCTAGCCGGTCCAAGATTGCTTGGTGACGTCACCGGTGGGAGTTAAAAGGATGGGCTTAAGCATGCCTAAATCATCCTGCTGAAGAAATCAAAACACCTTAAATACCTAAGTAAGTAAGTAAGTAAGTAAGTAAGTAAGTAAGTAAGTAAGCAAAGGTTTGGACACTTGCACGCCTCCTCGCAACTTTTTCTGAGAGCTTGCTTTGGTGAAGGCAAATTTAAAGCCAGGCTTTTCTTCTTTTGCAAGCCTTGCTTCAACGATTTTTAGCAGCTCTAGCTTTTCTTCGTAAGAAAATTCTCCACTTCTCTTTCGTTTAACTTGGGGTGGAGTTTGACAGGCTAGCTGATTCTTTTTGACTTTTCTAGCTTCAAATTTCTGAAGAGCCCTTCCTAAATACAATATATCTTCGACAGCCTTTTTCTCAAGGCTTTCAATTTGCTTTCTCAGCCTAAGTGGCCGATGTTTTGAGCAATAACAATTCATATCATCAAATCCTGTTTTATCCCTGGTGCTAACTCTTGCCTTATTTAATAGAAATTTTAAATTTTGAATATTCTAACTCCCCTTCCATGAGCGAACAAAACCAGTGGAAAAATACTATTCTTTGCCCAAAAACTTACCCTTTATGAGCGAACAAAAAATTTTTATGAAAAAATTTATTTGATATGCAAGTGATAAGTAGTATAGTGAAATCTCTAGTTAATTCTGTTTAATTTCAAACAGCTTGCATTTCAAAATATAAAATTTTATAAATTAAATTAATTTTAAAATTTTTTTTTTTGTTGATATACTATAAAGTTTATATCTAAATTTTTTAAAAACAAACCTCCGTGAGCGAACAAAATTTTTCTGTTCACTCATGGAGCGGGGAGTAAGCATAAACTTAATAAAAATAAAATTTTTGGCATATTCTACAGTAAGAAAATTATTTTTAGCACATAATGGATGGAATCCCACTGTACACCTCCCATGATGACACTGTACACAGGCTCCGTTTTTTGTGTTGCATTTTTGGCATTTGAGCTGAAATCGGTCCTTGTTGATTTTCGAAATATCAATTTCTGACATCAATTCTTGATCTTGGAAGCAAGAAAAATCTAAATGCATAACACAGAATACATGAGCCCAAATTTGTTCAGGTTCTCCTGTCCATGGATAATTAGGATAATCAGAATGAAGAGAGGTAAAAAGAACAGTTGGCTTTATTGCCCCTCCTTTATTTGGACACAACGCACATCGGATTTCATTTCTCTTTTCTGACTGTTTTTGGCAAGCAATGCAGTATCAGTCAGTGTCTGGAACTACAAGAATTCCATAGCATTTCATATGAACTCCTGTGTTGCAGCCAGAACAAATTACGATCAAATCGTCATCTTCATAATCTCCGTCCCCACAAATTTCACAGGAAAATTCATCGTCGTGCACTGGCGGCGTTGAAGGCTTTTCGACAATGTTGTCAGATTTAGATCTTTTTTCTATGTAGTCTAAATAAGCATTTAGAGTCTTTCGGTGCTCGATATTTGTAATTTCTGACAAAACTATTTCGTACTCACTGAGTAGTTTAGGGTAGTTATTATCAAGCCCTTTTTTTTGTTCCGGAAAGATTTGAGATACATCGTTTTCACATTGCTCTAACTCAGCTTCATACTTATAATTCAGGCATCGTTATGAACTGACTTTTAACAGCCCTTCCATGCTACCAAGCACCTGGGTTCATGATATTTTCAAATGCTAATTTAATTAATTAAAATAAATGTGGGGCACTTTTCGATAAATATTTTGACGTTTAATAATTTTGGGACAGCCCGGTAAGGGCTACAGTGGAAAATATGCCAAATAGCAAGCAGAAGTGGGGCTCGCTATAGTAATAAGATTATTAACATAAGATTCGCTGTCAAAATGATCATATTCTAATTCGATATCAAGCTTCATGTCAATATTTGGAAGTTGCGCTGTTGCCGACGCGCTTTTAAAGTATTGATTGTTAATGTAAAACCAAAGCATATTTCCTATGCAGATGTCCTTGGACTTGTGTTGGCTCTGGGCAATCTTGATTGTTTTTAAAAGATCACAAAACATTTCTAACTTATTAGAAAAAAACATAAACCTAATATGGAATTAAATATCCTCAGATATTAATAAAAAATAAAGGAATTCTTATATATAGACAATCATCAATTTATGAGGAAAATAATAACCAGTAAAAAAGCCAGCGGGTGGATAGTTGGTAAAAATTTGAGTGAAATCTTTATTTTTTTATCTAGCATTTTATTTGTCTCACTTTAATTAATTCAGAATGACAAGATTAAAAAAAAAGCGGTTTTAGAAGTTTTGCTGCATTTTAACATTTTTTTTATTAGATATAAAGAATTGATTTTTTGATTGTAGCTATCAAGCTAAAAAGAAATAGAAATTGTAGCATTACTTAAAATAATAAATATTATAATCAGAAAATTTGAAATTTTTTTAAGTTATTCAAAATGGATTTATTATGGATTTGCATAAAAATTTTATATATTAGGTATTATAAATTGTGTTAAAAATCAGTTTTAGAAGTCAGAAATTCAATAAAATATAATTGTTATATTTTAAAAAATTTTTCTTTATGATAAAATTTAAAAATTATAAACCCGAATAAAGCATTGTTTAGGTATAAATATATATTTAGCACCAATCTTAAAGATAATCTAAACTATTACAAAAAAAGCAATATTTCCATAGGTTATTATTGAAATAAGTATAAAATATATTTAAATCAACCCTGGAAAAAAGTGAAGCTTTTTGAAAATTTTAAAATATATTAATTTTTATTTCGAAATTTAATATGCAAAAATTAGATTATTTAGAATGCAAGCTGTTTAAAATTCAATATATATGCTTTATATTCATTATCAAGGTTGCTGCAATCAAAATTATTTTACAAAAAATTTTTTATATTAAAAAATAATTTTGCTCGCGCATTAATGATAGTTTTTAAAAAATAGTATTTTCGAGTGGTTTTGCTCGCTGATAGGGAGAGGATTATATTTTATTAAAGCCTTTGCTAAAAACAAGATTATTGGATAATTTATATTGGCTTTACATCAAATAGTTATTAATAAATAATTTGTTTATAAATTTAAAGCCTTTTATTGCATTAAATAATAAACTCTCAATTAATAAATATTAATATTAATTCATCATTTTATCCTTAACTAATTTAAATTCGTTAGATATTTTAGGATCTGGTTTATTATTATAAGCAACAAAAATAAGCGAACAAAATTGCAAGAATTTATATAGCAATCAATAATTATTTAATAACTTAAATCCTCCAAGGCCCTTTAAACCAGTCCCAAAAGTAAAAAATCGATACAAATAACTCCAAGCAAATCCCAAAAAGTGATATCTGCCAGACATCACTCATATAAGAATACAGTCCCAAAATAGCGATATGTTGGAACAGCTGAGGTACATTTATGACGGTCAAATTATACAAGCTTAATCTTTCCAATGGAAATCTAAACGCATTCACATTCCCCAGTGTCTTCGCATGAGTTGATACAGGAAGACCAAAGAATCCACTATACAATATTCTTATAAAGTGAATCCCAAAAAGTAACGATAAAAACCTTGTAATCCTATACGACCATTTAAATTTCTGAGAAAATTCGTCTAAGGCTGCACTGCTTTCGACCAGTGGATCTAAATGCAGAATTAAAAACATCATAGATAGCACACTTGACCCAGCTATAAATGAAGCTGTTATCCCTACAAGAATTGAAGCTTCTGAGCCCTTATCAACCCATAGGAAAATTAGGAGAAATATTCTTTCAGTAAATTCAATAGCACTGAACATAAATAAAATAGTTGCTTTTTGTAAGTACATATCTGGGCTTGCGAATTTTGCAATTACTATAATTATTAATGCTAGTAGAGTTTCTCCTATAAGCGCATAAACAGCAAAAGCAGAAATCCCACTTGAAGTAACAGTAGACTTGTTCACTGGGGGAATAATGATTTGGTCTTTGTCACATGTCAAAGTGGTGGAATTCGCGGTGTAATTGCTTGGGCAGGTAATTTGGCAAGAATGATCTGGGTTTAAATAATAAGTAGATTTACTGTCAGAGTAGCAAGATGTGCAGTTGTAAAGTGATGACCCGCTGCAGGTCTTACAACTTTTATCACAAATATCGGTAGGGTTTGTAGGATTTTTATCACATAGTAAAGTAGTTGAATTAGCTGTGTAGTTTTCAGGACAACTAGTCTGGCAAGAGTTGTCCGGGTTTAAATAATAAGTTGAATTTTCATTAGAATAGCAAGATTTACAGTTATAAATTGATGACTCATAGCATGTTTTACAACTTTTGTCGCATTGTTTGCAAGTGGCTGAGTTCCCATATAAACCATCAGGACAGTTGCTGTAGCAAACATTTTTATATAAATAAGGAGAAGAATCTTTGCAGGTGATGCAAGTGGATGGATTATTGCTATCACAAGTTTTGCATCCTGATCCGCAAGGTTTTACACAATTCCCATCTTCAATTATTAAGCCATCTGGACATTTACTATAGCATTGCTGCTGATAATAATAAGTTCCATCAGGACAGCTTGAACAGTAGTTTTCTCTAGTACAAGTTTTACAGCTGATATTACAAGGCTTGCAATAATAATTTGAGGTATCTTGGTAGTACTTATCAGGGCAAGAATCAATGCACACTTTTGAGCTCGAAGATTGATCATAGTTCCAATAATCAGGGCCACAAGTAGACACGCATAACTTTTTGCCCTTGAAAGTATAAGTAAACAAGTTTGATGGACAGACAGAAACGCACTTAGAATCTGCTGTCAAAAAAGGAGTGCTTCCTGTTAAGTTGCATGATAAGCAATTACTAGATATAGAGCCATTACATGTGACACAGGACTGATCACAAGCTAAACAACTTGAGCTATCACTTGTTATATAATAGTGCTGGCTTGGGCAGCTTGAGTTAGAGATGCATGTAGGCTGATTGCTGTTATCTGGATCATAATATTTTAATGATGGGGATGGACAAGAATTTTCATAGCAAAGTTTCTTTCCTTCAAGAGTATATACGAACTGAGTAGAGTTACAATAATTAACGCATTTGGAGTCTTCAGTTAAAAATGGAGAGCTTCCAGTCAAATTGCAGGATAAACAGCCATTAGAAGCTGTACTGCTACATGTCAGACAAGTTTGGTCACAGGCCAAACAGCTAGAGCCATCTTTTGTGATATAATAATGCTGACTAGGGCAAGATGAACGAGAGATGCAGGTGGGCTGGCTATTATTGTTTGGATCATAATAATTTAATGAAGGAGATGGACAAGAATGGTCATAGCACAATTTCTTTCCATCGAGGGTATATGAAAATTGAGTAGAGTTGCAATTGCTTATGCATCTTGAATCTTCTGTCAAAAATGGAGTGCTTCCAGTTAAGTCACACGTTAAACAACTGTTAGATGTTGTGCCGCTACATGTAAGGCAAGTTATATCACAAGCTAAGCAGCTTAATTTATCACTTGTGATATAATAGTGCTGACTAGGACAACTTGCATATGAAATGCAAGTAGGCTGATTATTGTTGCTGATATTATAATATTTTAGTGATGGAGATGGACAAGCATTATTATAGCACAGCTTCTTTCCTTCGAGAGTATATACGAATTGAGAAGAACTGCAATAAGCTACACATTTAGAATCTTCAGTTAGAAATGGAGTGCTTCCTGATAAATCGCACGTTAAGCAATTATTGGATGCAGTACCATTGCATGTTAAACAAGTTTGATCACAAGCTAAGCAGCTTGAATTATCGCTGGTTATATAATAATGCTGGCTGGGACAGGTTGAATAGTCAATGCATGTAGGCTGATTATTGTTATTTAAATCGTAATAAATTAGAGAAGGAGCTGGACAAGAATTGGAATAGCATATCTTTCTACCATTGAGAGTATATAAATATTGAGTCAAAGTGCATTTCTGTACACAAAGATTGGTGTCTGTAATAAAAGGCGTTGATCCTGACAGGTCACATGTTTTGCATGTGACACCATCATTGCAAGTCAAGCAGCTGCTCATGCAAGGTAAACAATAATTTGTGGGCGAATCCAAATAATAGTTTGAAGGACAGCTAGAAATGCACTGATAAATGCTAGAAGTTGTATTATAGTAATGATGAGTCGGAGAAGAGCACGCAGAAACACACTGGCTGTCTGAGGTAAAATACTTAGTTCCAGAAGTTGGGCAGCTTAAACAGCTATTAGAGGAAATCCCACTGCAAGTCTGGCATGATGCATCGCAGGGTAAGCATAATTTGTTGGTTGAGTCAACAACTGAAATAAGATCAGGGCACTTTGAAACACAAGTATAGTCTAGCTTGTTTAAATAAGTTTCTCCATAAATGGTAGGGCAGCTATTGCAATGAGTAGATGCAGAGAAGCAATCTAAACAGTTATTATCACATTTTTGACAAATTTTGTTGCTGTCTTCATAATATCCTGTAGGACAGTTATCATCAGTCAAAGTTTCTTCTGCTACACAATTTCCTCTTTCTCTATACAAAACTGGGTAAGAAGACACACATGATAAACAAAATGTAGAGCTTGTACTGCAGGTTGCACATGGGCTTTGACAGCTTCCAGTATTCACACAAACTCCGTTAACTTTTTGAGTACCTGAAGGGCAAGAAGTCACACATGAATTATCTGATTGCAAATAGCCTGAAGCGCATGAAGTGCAATCAGTTGATTGTGGGCCGAGACATGAGGCACATGTGAAGTGGCACCTTAAGCATGTGAGGTCTGAATATAAAAAATAGTCACTTTGGCATTCAGAATTGCAAGAATACCCTTCAAGCATTGGTGAAGACGAAGGAACGTTGCAGGAATAGCAAGATATTGAGCTTCCTGCACAGTGCTGGCATTCAGAAGAGCACGAATTGTCATTAATTGATGAGAAAAATGATATAGACATAGTTGAGTCAGTATCTATCACAAATCCCGTTGAATCTAGCGTAGAAATTGCAAAAACTCCATATGATTTTGCGGAATTGCCATTTGTGATGTTAGATATTCAAAATCCTATCATTACTGGTCCTGTAAGCTGAGACTGGAAACCATTTTTCAAGGTGACAGTATTGCTTGATACAGTGCATTGTAAAGTGGTATTTGTATTGATATAAGATGTGCAAGAACTGAGAGAAGAAGAGATCGAGACTCCAGATGGGAATGCTACCGATATCATTGCCCCAATCGGAATGTTATTTTGGGAAGTAAATATGATTCTGTAGTTAGTTACAGCAGACACTGTTGGATTATAAGGATGAATATCAATATTTGTCAAGCTCCCAGCAATAAACGGAGCTAAAATCGTTGAAACATCGTTTATGCTAGCTACATCGCTATTATACCCATTATTAGACGTATAAATTGACAATCCGCCAGTTATTGTGATCACATAATCCATATTTTTGATTCCAGCCATTGCAAACCCAATACTCCCTCCTTTCTTGCAAGTTGACGAGCAGTAGTTTGTTATTGTAAGATGGACTACACTATTTGTTGATGAGTCAACTGTCTTTAATATATTCAGCTCTACATTATCAGAAATCCTATAAACCCTAAACGTCGTTTGAATGACAACCATATCAATTGGAAAAGTTATATCAATATATCCTGTACTCGCTATAAAAGTTGAATAGTTAAATGAAATGGCCATCGAAATGCTTGATTTAATGTTATTATTTGTGCGGGTTGCTGTAATCCCTGATATAGTACTCGTATTGATGCTGTTTAAATTTGCAGTACTTATGCCGCCATTTTCAATTATATATCATGCACTTGTGTAGGCTGCAATTTTTCATGATGAGTCAAATGGAGCAATTGTATTGGGATTTTGAATGTTTGAAACCTGTAGCACTATTTTCACTCCTTTTGTACACCCACTTGGGCACATATTTTCAAAGGTGATAGAAGTAATTGAGCCGCTTGCATTTTGTGTATAATTAGAGCAGGTAGGGGTGTTGCTGTTTCCATAAGAATTCCCAATATTAGTGCACTGCATTGAATTCCCATTGTCTGCAGCGAATATTGAGTTAGCTGGAATTGTAAAAACAATCATAGCATTGCTCATATAGTCAATAGTAGGGGTATAAGATAAATTATAAACTGTATACTCACCAACAGTGTCGTCACTTCTATTCAGTATTGCATCACTCACTGTTCGTGCCTGCAAAGCAGGAGTAAATTGGAGGCCTGATGTGACATCATCAATTAATCCTGTTTTATCAGGGTTCAATGTATATATTTTTATTGTCGTCCCTAGATTAGGATTAACATAATATGGATTTTTTACTCCTCCAATACTAATTGTGAGGGTTTTTCCAGCACTGCAGCATGAAGAGCAACTTGTATCAGTTGATGAGCATCATTCATTCATAATCAATTCATAAGTGCTGCTATCAGCAGGGCTCGAGGATTTTGTGCAAATATTTGAGGTGGATGTGACTCCGTTTATAACAGTATTGCAAACAATTCCACTGTCTTCCCATAGCTCTGCTATTGGCAAAACTATTTTTACCCAAGAATATGAAGGCATCTGTGTTGAGGTTGTAAATGATAAAATATAAGGTCCTGAATCACCAACATATGCACTATTCCTTGATTTTTTTACCACATTTATTGCATTTGGGGTTGCTGTGAAAGTACTAAACGTGGTATTTTGGCATATTAGAGCTCCTCCAGAGGTATAAGTTGATATTTTAAAGTAATCTGTAGTTTTAGTATTTGGAGGGTTAATAGGATAATTGAAATTAATCCCAATATTAGTTGTGCTTTGAGTCACAGCCGTAGTACTTAAAACATTGGAGTTCTGTGAGCAAGATATTGAAGTATCTGAAAGCCCTGAGACAATTGAGCAGCTTACAGAATTTATAGTAAAAGTTGAAGGAAAAGTATATTTTATAATAAAAGTATTGTTTAAATTTGCATCAAAAATGTTTGTTTGGAAAAAAATTGACAAAGAGTTTTGAAGATTTACAGTAGTTACTGTGTTATAAAGCAATAAATAGCTAATAGGGCAAGGTGAGCTAGATCCTTGATATATAGTCATTGAGTCTATTTTTTCGTTATTTGAAGTTGTCGTAGAAATCACTATAGAAGAAGTTCCTATATATCTTATATTTCTTAACCATCCAATTGTAATACTAATTGAAGTCACTCCAGCTGCTACAGTCAAATCAGAGCTAAATAATCCAGTAGCAAAAAGCGTATTACTACTGATAGTTGGCGTTAAACTTTCACTTGCACCGCTGCCTATCTGCCCAGTAACTGGAGTATTTGCAGGAGTGCTTAACCCAAAATCGCTTGAAAACACAAATTGGATTTTTCCATCCTGTGGCACATTATGCTGAAGAGTAAATCCGAACGTGTAGGAATTCCAAGCGCCTACTTGAGTATTTGTCTGTGAAAATGATGAGCTTGTAAGTGTCCCTGGGTTAAAAGTCCCACTTGTAAAACTATATTGAATTTGATAGTCAGGAGATGTGCTTCCTGGGTTGTAGCCATAAAATTGAATTGGGCCTATATTGGCTGCATTTAAGGAGGCGATTGGGTTTTGAATGTTTCCAATTAGAAACTTTAAACCAGCTGTCATTTGTTGGGGGGTGATTAAGGTATAAGTGTTAGATGCAGAAACCCCACATTGCCCATTTTGGGGGTTTGTTGAGCTGTATGCAGAAGTTAGAGCGATATCAGGCGAGACAATTAAAAAATCTTTTAAGATGCATGTGCTTGGGAGAGAGTTTATAGGATCAACAACTTTGAATTGGGATGGCAAGATCATTACCGCCTTGAACCCGGCAGGAACATTTGGAAGTGATTGGGTTAAAGTGAGGGTAGCTAGATAAGTAGTTTGTTCATAGATATTTGCAGAGCTAGGATTTACTGTGACACTTGAAAAACTTAATACATTGTGGAGCAGGAGGAGGAAAAAGGCCGCGGAATTTTTCATATTGAATTATCATCAAAATGAGTTAAATTTAAGTTGTTGTGAAAATTAAGAAAAGATCTAAAATGGCCAACATTATTATTCCAACACCTGAAAATCTGACTAATGACAATCTAAGAGGAATTCTTTTGGCTATAACTTCTCAGTTAATTGAAGCACAAATTCAACAAAAACATTTTTCTAAAGAAATTGAAGAAGAGTTAAAAACGCGTCCAACCCTTCAACAAACAATTTCAGCTTTTGCTGAAACTCCACCCTCAGTTCAAAATCCAATGATGTATGTAGATATATATTCCGTTCATGGAATTGTATCTGGACTCACTAATAAAATTCTTACAAAGTTAGAAGAATTATCAAAAAATTCTCAAAAATATGAGCAGTTAGCTAATGATTTGATAACAAAAGTTGATACTGCAATTAAAGCTATGAATTTAAAATGTAAAAAATCCAATGATATAGCAAATCAATCACTTCTTTATACTCGCAGAAATTTGATACAGCTTACCAATAAGAAAAAACTTGGATTAATTTTTCAGGAATTAAAAAGAAATGCCGAAAATCACATAAAGGCGAGGAAGATTATTCAAAACAGACTTAAAATTATTGAAAAGATACCTTTAAAAAGAGCTTTGGAGAAATGAAAGAAAATCCCGAATTCAAATAATGCAATTATATTTAAAGGAGAGTTAGATAGCACAGCAACAACAATTCGAAGACATCAAGATTCTATTGATATGCTTGAGAAAAAGTAAAGCTTATACAGGATCTTCAACCTTCAGCAATCTAAAGTTAACAATGAAGAGATTTCTGATATAAAAGAATTTGCCTTAAAAGCAGATCTAAGGGTCTTATTTCAAGATCTTAAACGAATTATTTCAGTCCATTCTCAAAATACAAAAACTGTAAAACCTATATAGAAATGCACATCACAAATGGCCACTTTTCAAGATTCTCTTGAAAATCTTAGAGAAGAGTTTAGGAAAATTTGTGAAGAACTTTCTGAAATAAAAACAGCAGAAATGACAAAAAAATTGAAATCAGAAGTTGCAGATTTGAATAAACACTATGTAACTTTATCTGATCGAATAGTCAAAACTGACCAATCCAACAAAGTTGAGGAGAGTGATTTTAGAATTTCTCTAATAGATAGAAAACTAGAAGCTTTAGAGCAGAGAGTTTCTCAAGTGCAAGAAGAAAAAAGTATGGAAGGAGCTTTTTCTAATGTAGTAAAGGGGATTTACTCAAATAAAAGGCCTACTTCATCATATCGCAAAGGACTTTCAAGCTCTATGATTCTTTATAATACTTCTCCAACTATGGACCAAGAAACAACTACAACTACTCGACCTCCAAGAACAGCTCCTGGAAAATCCCGAGCTCCAACCTTATTTAAAACTACTTCACGTAGAAAAAGTAATTTTTAATTATTATTCATATTAATTTCTGACTCTATTGAAAATTCAGGAATTTCATAAGCATCTTTCGAATAAATATCCTTTTGCGTTTTAAAAATAACCTGTGCTGAGCCATAAATTTTATTAAATTCTCTTCATAGATTTTGGTTTAAAGCAGAATAATGCTTTCTGTACTTAAGATTTTTTTTGATTTCTCCATTTTCAAAGAGACTTGAATTGTCAATAAATCCTGGCAGCTCAGGAGTTAAAAAGTTGCATTTTGGAGTTCAATTGATGAAATTAATTCACTTATCGATTCATGAGTTTGATACAAGATGCCAAGGCCCTTCGTAACTATTATCTTCTTTTAAATTTTTAGCTAACTTTACTTCTGTAATTATTCTGATTTTAAAATCATCGATTTCTTTAGAACAAAGCTGGCATACTTCAGACGAAACAAATGGAGATCCTTCTAGCCCAAACTGGCTTTGTAGTGTCTGAAACTGAGCCCTGCTGATAGGAAATAGCGAAGTTTCTTTTAAAAGAGGTGACAGGTTTCCATGCTTGCATGCAATTGCCTGAAAATCAATTTTTCTTGGAATAGCCATAGTTTGATATTTATTTACCCATTCCAAAGGTATAAAAACCTTATCATTTCCTTCACATTTTTCTAGCATCGCTCTTTCATCATAATTCTTCAGATAAAACGCAATATACGCTTGTGCTTCTAAAACATCTTCTATAGTACATTCAGTGACTTTTTTATCATTGAAAATATATCATTTTCCGTCTTCTTCATTTTTACAAAAAGCTTTATAGTGTCCTCTTCCTGTGCTCCCTTTATGTTGGATTATCCCAATCAGTGAATAATCAGCATTTTCATCGTTGGCTCCAAAAGTTTTCATATTTATCGTCAATGGTAACTGTACATGAATCCCAATCTTTGAGCTTCCATGCAAATATTTAAACCTTTTTACACTGAATGCCATCACATTGGGAAACTCTGTGATTTTATATGACATTTCTATAGGGCATTTCTTTTGGCAGGCTTCACAATAATATAAATTATTTACATCATTAATCTCTTGAGATTTAAAATTTGCGATAAGGCAATCATATAAAGATACGATAATTGATGATCCTTTTTGGCAAAATCTAAGTAAAAGTTACTCTTTGAACTTAAGTCAAATTTTTTGGGAATTTTTGTGGTATTTTTTCTTATCTATAGCGTTCATCATCAGTTTTGATTTTTTGTGTAAGCTTGGAAGCTCTTTACTTTTAGGTAAAGGCAATAAGATGTCAAGAAAATTATCGATTTTTGTTGTTTCGGTTTTGCATGTGTTACAAGTAATCTTCGTTTCTAGCTTTCCCTGAAATGTATCAGCAACAATTGAAGAGGAGCCAGGAATAATAGATTTTATTCCTGTATCTAAGCTATTTAATAGATTCCTTAAAAATTCTTGTGCGTCTTGTTGAAGATCTTGATGATAGTCCTTGCTTAGTGTGTAGGCATTTCTTACAAAGTTTTCAGGAAAGATAGTATCAGTTCTATTTCATAAGTCTTGAATAAGCTCTTGAAAAGGAATCAATACACTGATTATTTATTACTTTGAATCTGGCTTTACTGCATTAGACAGGTCTTTAAAAATACTTTGGAAGTATCACCGAATTGGAGGAATATGACTTAAACATTGAATTGTTGAATTCAGATAGCACGTATTTCCCAAATTTGCGAGACCTGACTTCCCAATAGTGGGTATGTTACGAGAAAGTAGCTCAAATCTTCTTTCAAGTTTATTAAGTTGAGATATTTCGGTCATATTTAAGTATAGAATTTTCCCTTAAATAGCGCAGTTTGCCCTTGATTTGCCCACTGAAAATTTTTTTTTGGTTTGACCAAACCATATGGTACTGGTCGAACCAAAAAAATTTTTTCAGTGGGCAAATCAAGGGCAAACTGCGCCATTTAAGGGAAATTTCTATATCTATAATATTAATTATTGACAAGGCAAATGCAAGATTATTTTTGCCCTTAGCTGAAAATAAATTTTCAGCTACATTAATCTATATGCAAAGAAAAACTTGGAAGCTAATCCGAGATAAAAAGTCTTACTCCTCCCTCCATATCGCGTGCGAGCAATTTTTTTGATTTTTGGAGGAACTATTTTTTTAAATTCCTAATATAATTGTAGGTGACTAGAGATATATCCTCTATAGCGAGTGCCCTTATATATTTGGACGTGATTTTTGGAATAAAGAGTCGCCCAAGTCCTGAGTTCGCCTCGAGGTGAGAGGATCAGTGCTATTTCCGCTGATTAACGGCTTGGTTCGAGTGGCAGCTTTTTGAGTCTGATTATGCACTGCCCCAAGGCCCAATGGTTGTCTGAGAGAGAAAGAGCGACATACTGGTGTAAGCTGCTTGGTGGTCTAAAATTGAATGGGACAAAATGTTGAAATTTTCTTTTGGTGTCACCAGATAAAAATAAGGAAAACTGCCTCGAGAAAACTTCAAGTTTTGGTCTCTCCTGTTAAAGGGGCCTAAAAAGGGACAATCTGGCCAATTAGTGTCTTTCAGGATATACAAGTTGCCCGATGATGGCCCTCAATGCGCCATCATCTGGGAACTAAAGTTCAGGGTCCATACTGGAAATGGGTTCATAGTGGAGCCCTTTTTGGCACGTGAAAGTGAGGATTCTCCACGTGTCAAAAAGGGCTCCACACGTGGAATCTATTTCCAGTTTGGACCCTTAAAACACATTGCCTGATGATGACAAAGTGAGCCCCATCATCGGGAATTTTCCATAGCCGCAAGGATAGAGACTTCTCTAGGATGTAAAGGTTCCTGAAATTCGTTTGCCACCAGTCTCTCACCCACCCTACCTATATTCTACTTATCTATATAATAAATATTAAAGATAGTTAATTTTCGTGATTTTTAGCAGATTTATCATGTGTATGATACCTTATTTTCTATCTTCATTGCATGGGCCACTTTAATAATCTATAATCTCTATTGTTTTTAGTGCTGACTTCTAGTTTTTGTATTTAATATAATCAAGATACAATATTGCTTTGAGTTTAATCAAGATTTAGCCATAAACGAGCTTTGCATAGCATTCGGAAAGCAAATAGCCTAAAGAGTATTACTATTATCTGATGAAGTCACAATTAGATTAGTAAGGCTTACTTATTATCATGTAGCATAATAACAATTTATTTTTAATAATTAGTAAAATTATAAGACAAAGAAAAGAGATTAAACTTTATCGTTATACCTTGAATAAGTAAATAATCCTGTTTTAAAAGTGGTCTTAATATAACTATTATCATAAAAATCTGTTTTACCTCATTACGCTTGATTTAATTTTTAAATTATATTTTATAAAAATTGCCAGTATCTTATTCCTTAATTAATATTTAAATTTGTTTAATAATAATTTATAACTATGTAGAATAGAGATTGTGGATAAGGTATCAGATATATCGATAAATCTGCTAATAATCATGTCTTAATGACAAATTTATGTATAAACAGTATTGGAATGCAGCTTGTGTAGAGTAGGGAACTGTGTGAGTTGATCACCATAAAATAATAATATTTGTACGACCGCTTTGCTCTTCATGAAGGAAGGTAATTATATTATTTTTTATATATAATGCAATAAATAAGAATGTTCTTTCTATAAAAATATAAGTCTGTTTAACCAACTCATAAAACTACTATTAAGCAAGCTTTTTTAACTTGATTTAATTAATATATCTTTCTAGATAATCACTCATCTCCCCAAGCATATTCGTTGTAAGCGCATTTAAAACACACTCATCAAAGCTTAAATTTACTGGATAAAATTTCACATACGATAAAGAATTTATCAGCTTTTGGTAAGCATTGTCATCAAGCATTTCTTTAGCGCAGATTAAATCCTCTCTTCTACTTGAATTGCAATTTTGAATCTCTTTGCTTTTATGCCAGTTCATTACCTGCTGGATTGCAAGCTGCATTGGTTCATCTCCTTGGAATAGTGGGCATACTCCTGTCTCAGTTTCATGATGTTGACAAAAGCATCCGTACATGCTCTTTGTTTATGATTTTTTCCAGGCAGCCATTTTCTCAGCAAAATCTGGTGGGGAGCTTTTTTATTCTTACTCCCCCCTCCCCTCCGTAAACGAACAAAAATTTTGTTCGCTTACGGCTTACGGAGAGAGTTGATTTTTTTAGATTTATTAAGATTTAAAAAAAATCAAATTTGTAAAAACTGAGAAGTAAAAAATTAATTTAATCTGCGAAATTTATGTTTGAAATTGAAAGCTGTTTAAAATTAAACAGAACCAGCTCGAGATTTTATTATCATAATTATCACTTATCTCAAAAATTCTTTTTTCATAAAAAATTTTTGTTCGCTTAAGGAGGGTGGGTTTTGGGGCAAAAAATAGGGATTTTTCAAATGATTTTGCTCGCTTATGGAAGTAGGGGGAATTTAACATTTTTCCAGAAAAAACTGTTATTTTTCAACAAATGTCTAATAAGAAAAGCTTTGATCAAATGGTGCTGAGGAAATCGCTGCAAGAGAAAATGCTCCCGAGGAAAAGGCATGAGTCAAAGCAATTATGCGGAAGAAATCTTTCATAGAAATCGTCATACTCTGAAAGACAGCATCCATACTTTTGACAATTGCTGTCTATACTGCAGGTTTCTGGAAATTCTGATTTAGATTTCACAGGCTTATTGCAGAAAAAATAATCTTCATCTGTGAGTAGACTTGCACAAGTTCCATACTGACAGAGTAAATTGATGCCATAACTGCACTCATAAACTCGAGTGCCGACTTCTAAAGAGCCAATTGGAACACATCTTTGAATTTCTGTCATGCATAGAGTCCCATATTGGCACTCCGCATCGTTTTCGCAGGAAGATCCCATACTTTTAAGCGGCTCACAATAGCCCTGTGGACAAAAACGTCCTGGATTGCACTCATAAGAATCTCTACATTTTGAATTCGTTCCTACACATCTGCCATTATAGCATGCATATGTGTTGCATTCGCTACTGAAAGTACACTTTTGTCCTGAATGCTTAAGTTCTGATACACAATAGGAACTTAAAGCTCTTTTTTTGAATTTGCAATATTTTGTTTTGTCTTTGCAGCCTCAAACGGAATAATCATCAATTTTATTTCTAGATGCACATTGATCTCGAAAAAATGTTTGATTTGCTGTTTTGCATTGAAAAGAAGGACAATAAGGATCTCCATATGAAAAATGAAGTGCTGAGATAAAAATTAAGCAAAGCTAGCTTCTTGATGTCATTTATTATTAGTGGTGATTAATAGGCTAAAATGGTGAATAAAAAATATATCCAAATGCATGTCTAAAATATTATCAACTTCTACATTCTTGGATTTTCTTTAAAATTTTAAATTGGTATGTAACAATTTAATTATTTAAATTATTCTTCAATTGCACTTCGTACTTCCTCAGCTGCTGCAGAAATCCATAATTTGGCTGTATCCAAGGTCGCTTCGATTTCACAAATGCCATTGCATCTTTCATGCTCATCTTGCTATAAGTCATTAGATACCCGATCACCACCGTCGACGATCTCGACACACCAGCAAAGCAATGCACAAGCACAGTTCCTCCACTTGCAATTGCTTCCTTAATAAACTCAAAGCACTCCTTAAAATGAGCACTTAAGTTTTCCTTACTCTTCGGTAGTGAGAAACTTTGTCTTACTTTTTAGAAAAACTAAATCCTTTAGCGAGCGAGTGAAACTGTGTTTTATATAAATATTTTATATATCATTTATCGTTTTTCATAGTAGCATCTTAAGCTCATTTTATAAAAAATTTTAAACCACATACCTTTTTAAGCAAAATTCATCATTCTTAATTTAAATTGATTTTTCTTGAAGAAAAAATTGTAATATAAAATTAAGACTATAATTTTTTAAAAATTAAGCCATGCTAAATAAGCACCAAAATTTTGCTCTCTTATAGAGGAGAGCTAGGGTCATCTATCACATTCACCACTTTATATTCAAACTCTCCTGGGAATTTCGGTGGCAAGCAGTCACAAAGCGTCAGAATATGTGTAATCTTTAGTCTCTTTAGCGTAGCCAATGTATATGCAGCTCCTACAGATCCGAGATACAATTTCTCAAGGATCTAGACTATTCGAAAATTACCTTCTGTGGGTTTGCATCTGATCTTTGATATTGGGAAATATACATGCGCTTCATACGTTCCCATACATTGTCCACTTGTAGTGGCTGGGCCTTTGTAATATTCCTTTGCGTTGGGCGAGTTGCTGTTCGAACTACCATTTTATTTTTATAAAAATGATAAAATTAATGTTTCAAAATTACCTGAAGCTTCTACTTCCCCCCTCTCTCTCCGTGAGAAAACAAAAATTTGCTCATCCACGGAGGGGTAATTTTTTCGAAATTTAAAAAATCCCAATTCACAAAAATTGAAAAGCAAATATTAATTTAATTTGTAGAACTTATGTTATAAATTGAAAGTTATTTAAAAATTCAACAGAATAAGCTAGAGATTTTGTTATACTAATAATCACTTATATATCAAATTTTTTTTGTTCGTTCGCAGAGGGTGATTTTTACCAAAAAATATGGATTTTTCAAATGTTTTTTTGTTCGCTCACGGAGGAGGTGGAGCTAGTTTGTTTTTCAAATTCCCGATGTTTGTATTCAAAATGTCGATTTCCAGCTCAAGTTCGTCCTTACGGCGTTTGTTTTGTGCGTTGTTAGCAATTCGATTGTACTCATTTTCAAGGCGCTGTTTATCTACAAGGAGCATATTTAGTTTGCTTTCCATGTTTGCCATAACGTCAATGTTGTCATTTTTTGGGCCAGGTATTGGGGAGACGTCTGGCTTTTTGGGCTCTTTTTTGATGAATTGACGAGGCGGGGTTTCCCAGTTCAATGCGTTTTCAACACATGCTGAGTTATTAGTCCTAGACATGTTTCTTATTAGAGGAGAATGAGACTCTCGGTTCTGATTTTGGTTTCTTCTAGGCTCTTCTGCTCGAATAGGTCTTTCTTCCTCTTCTCTTTCATAATATCTAGGATTTTCATCAATATCTTCTCTAGAAGGCGCTTTTTTAAGCTGGTTAATTTGGAGCTTAAGCTGATCATTTTCTAAGGTTAGCTGCTTTATTTGTTGGCTGCATTTCTTTTTTGATGATTCTAACTCAGCTTCAAGCATTTCAATCCTATCTTCTGCTCTTGCCAAATCTTTTTCTGCATTGCTTGTATTTTTATTGCTATTCACTCTATTTTCCAGCTCTTCAATTTTTTCTCTTGCTTTATTTAGCTGCCTTTCTAGCTCTTCAATGCTTAAATTTGCATTTTTCAGCTCCATTTCACTTTGCTCATACCTTTCTTTATACCCATCGCTGTTTTTATTTCCTTTTTGCAATTGCTCTTCTAAATATGCACATCTTTTTTGTAAATTATTGAAGTCTTCTCCATTATAATTGCCTCCATTCCTCACTTGGTCTTCAAGGTCCATAATATCATACTTTGCATTTTCTAATGCTTTTTTTAGTTTTATGATTTCATTGTCTTTTATTGAAATAATGTCTTGAAGCTCTTTTTTTTCTCTTTCAAATTCTTCTTTGGATTTAATGTCATTTTGGTGGAGGAATTGAAGCTGAGATTGAAGAGCTTCGGTTTGTTGACGAAGAATCATTTCAGAATATTGCATTTGAGGAAATATCTGAGGGTACATTGAAGGAAAATATGATGCGGGAGGAGGCATAAATTGTTGGGATGGGAATTGAAATTGTGGATAATGAGCAAAGGAATTTTGACGAGAAATGTCCACTTGTGGGATATAGGCTGGAATGTGCTGAGAGTAACCTTTTATTTCGCCGGAATCCATTGATTGGTATTGAGAAGATTGAGGGGAATCTGGAGATGGCTGGGAAAATTGTGGGATTTTGCGTTCTCTTAACGGACTTTCATTTTTCAGCTGTGGAGGTGGCTGAGGTGGCTGAACTTCTTTTTTAATCTGAGTCTGCTTGGTTTCTTTTTCTACCACAACTTTTTGTTTCGATTTTTGAAGCCTTGATTCTTCTTCTAGAAAGCGTTTAAATAATCGACTGTTCAGATGTTTGTCTATGTTAAAATCAGATGGCATTTCAAATAAAGCTTTATTATTGCTTTTGTCTTTTAAAACACCTTCTTGATTTCGGCTTAAAATTTCTGAAGCTTTATCTACACTTTTGCTTCGATCTTGGGCTGCTCTTCTTTCCATTTTAAAAGGGTTTAATTAACAATTCTTGACTGCTACTATGACTTATTTCAAATTAATATAGAATTACTACTAGCTTGTCTTCATTGAATTTCTAAGTTATTGACTATTCATGTATTGAATTTGATAAATTAATTAAACATAATAATTATATATTTAACATGCTACGCATTGAAGGCCTGCAAAATTGTTTATATTAAAAAATTTATCAAAAGAGTTAATTTCTCTAAAAAGGTTTTTTCCAATATTTTTGCTCTCAGGGAAGTTAGAATAAACTATTATGTTCAAGTTGCGTAGATAAATCAGATTTAATTTTTAAATTTAAAAAGGGGATTTCAAATTATACTGATTTAAAAATATCATATATTTATTGCATAGATTTAAAACATGGGTTTTAAGTTGAATAAGCACTTCTCTTTCTTATCAAACATGCCAACCAGAAATATTTATTAATGAAATTTTTGAATGAATATATAAGAGCTGAGTTTCAGATATATTTTAAAATAAACTTGATATGGATATAAAAATTCAAATTTTTTAAATAAGCTTACTCCCCCCCCCCCCCTCCGTGAGCGAACAAAAAAATTTTGTTCACTCACGGAGGGGGGTTAATTTTTTTTTTTAAAAACAATTTATATATAAATTTTATAAAAAATATTTTTTTCGAAAATTTAAAAAAAAATCCTAATTTGCAAAAATTGGGAAGCAAATACTAATTTTAATTTGCAAAATTTATGTTTTAAAACGCAATTTGTTTAAAATTAAACAGAATTAGCTCTAGATTTCATTATACTAATTATCACTTATATAGCAAAATTTTTTTCTATTAAAATTTTTTCTATTAAAAAATATTTTTGTTCACTCACGGAGGGTGGGTTTTTGGTCAAAAAATGGCGATTTTTCTAATGGTTTTGTTCGCTCACGGAGGGGGGGGGGGGGGGGGGAGTTAGAATTCAAGTTTATATCTTGCTCAATTAAACAGCTCATGGCGTAAGATCAAATTCTATTTTATTATGAAGCACAGTACTTGAATAATTAAGATCCCAATTGCCATTTACCATACATCATTTTGTATACTATTTCTGGTGACCATTATTAATATGACGACATCATTCTTCCCTCTAATCTTCGACAGCATAAACGTAGGAAGACACATTAAAGGAACAAAAAAGCGACTAACATGAAAATTTGAGCTTGACGGGAAAGAGCAAACAATCATTATGTTTATAAGCAAGTTCTCAGGGAAGCGGAAAATACTTTTAAATGGTGACATAAAAATTGAAACAAGAAAAGCAAGCTCATACGCGACATATCCTTTACGAGTAGGAAGACATTGCATAATCCTATATGAACAAGAAGATGGTATTTTTGATTTACGGTGCGATAATTTGTCGTTTGATATGATTATGAGGAAAAATCGTTATAATTCATCATTTGGTGAAGCTCAAGAGTATAATTTGCCGAAAGTTGACCCTTTTGAGCAAGAATGCTTTTCTCCTAAAAATATGGCTAATGATTATGAAGAGCATTTAGGAAGATATGATCCATATATACCGAAAGAAAATGGCCAGAAAAATATATGAAATACAAATATAGTTGGTTTTAGGAGATCTGAAGCTCAGAGAGAAGGGTTTTCGACTGAGAAAATTGAATTTCAAACAGCAATTCATGTAAATAGTATGCAAACTAATAAAGATACTCAGAATGTAGCAAAACCAAAAGAGAGCAGCCTTGATATTCTAAGCGCTCCTTATACAGTTTCTTCCCTCCCAACTGATTTATTTACAAAGCCACTTTCAGAAAGCCATCCTCAATCTTTTACAATGAACACAAATCCCTTTGAAAGCGGGACAGCCTACCCATATATTGATAACACTCCGAAATTCTCAGAACCTCCAAAAGAAGACCTCAGCTCCATAGTTGACCTCGACAATTTATCAAAAGGTGACAATTACTCCCCAGCAGAAGTTCGCAAGTATTATGAAACCCACAAAGCTTTTTCACTTCCAGACACTCCAAATGTGCCCATCTACCAGCTTCGCACTTCTCAGACCCAAGCCCCAGCAATTCCAAATACAGAGCCTCAAAAGATGTATTATCCTTATTTGATGATGAATCCATACACCCAATATCATCATTAACATAGAAAAAATTAGATTAATTTTAAGGAATTTAAGTTAAGTTAAGATTCAGGGAAGATCACGCTATAAGCTGAAAGGGATTTATAGCTGAGTTTGCCTGCTGCAGGGATTCGTTTGGTGAAAGTAGGAGGAAGCTGCTTGTAGTTCTTTGGGTCAAGTTCTTCGAATGGTAGATCTGAGAGAGAGTTAGGAGGGCAGAGCTCTTCTGGCTTTATTTCTGAAATTCTGGTAAATTTGGGACTCCCAACGATTTTTAGAGACATGTTGTCTCTATAGGTGGTAGAAAAACGACCGGGGTGAGTGCATTGATGAGGGTTTTCTTCAGTGAGGCTTGGAGGCTCGGATTCAGTGCCTGGATCAGGGTATTTTTCTGCAGGAGTGACACAATCAGTATCAATTTGTTGATCTGGAGTTATTGTGGATTGGATCGGCTGCCTATTTAATGGGGTTTGAACTTGAGGAACTGGAAGTTTGTTTTGTGGAGGTGCTAATTGAGTAGCTTGCTTCTTAGGCATTGGTGTAGCTTGAACAAAAGGAGGTGGGGATGTATTGACTTGCTCTTCTTCATAGCTTATTTCAGGGACTTCTCTTCGCTGGCTTGCTAATGGAGTTTGTTTGCTGATCTGAGGACTATTTTGGCTTTCAACTGTCCTTTTTGGTAAAGGCTGCTTAGTTTTACTGCTTTGTCTCTCTACTTTAGTTTTTTCTTTCCTCACAGACCCACTTTTCACAGTATCCAGCACTTCTTCTTCTTCCTCTTCGTCTTTTTTGTCTTCTTCAAACGATGAATTCGGTGTGCTATGAACACTCTTAAAAGTCTTGACCTCATATAAATTTGGCTTAATTATTCTCTTAGAAGGTGTATTTTTCAGCTCAGCAATAATTTCGGATCTCCTTTTCAGTTCTGCAACCTGCTCTTGTGATAGCCTATCCTCGTCCTTGCATTTTCTAGGAGGCTCAGGAGATCGTGGCTTCTTCATTAGTCCGCGCATTTCGGTGTTTTTATAAACTTGGGCATACTCAGGGTTATTTAAACCTTCATGGGGAGCAATGTTGTAGGTTTTCATATAATCTCCATATAAATAGCCACCTTTTACAGGGTTCACGTTGCCTTGGCCGTAGTTTGCAAATGCTGGCTTTCCGAAATAAGTGGTGAATGCAGAGTTCGGAAGCCAACGAGTAGTTTGATTAAGTTGTTTAATTCGAGCATCTTGGCGTTCTTTTCTTCCGTCATCGTTGTTTATTACTTTACCTGAGGATGCTGGTCTCTGAAGAGAGTTTGTAGACTTAGAAGCACTCAAAGGTCTTTTTGGGGCACTTTCCTTTGGTTTTTGCTGCTGTGCGGGTTTCGGTTTATTGACTTGTGACTTTATTATAGCCTTTTGCTGAGGTTTCTTGCTGGTCTGCTTCGGAGTTTCCTTAGGTTTTTCTTCTGCGGTGTCTGTTTGCTTCACTTCCTTAGCAGCAACCTTTTCTTCTTCCTGATTATCCTCTTGAATTTCTTCTTGTTTAGGCTCATTTATTTGGTAATTCAAATAGGTGCTTGCGGTCTCTGCTTTCAATCTATAATAATTCCTATCAGCCGCATTAAAAAAATACCCACGATACTCATCTTTGGCTTCAGAAATCCATTTTTGCTTCTCATTTTCCTTTATCGGATAATTCAGTTCTTCTTCAAACGCCAAAAGTGATTTTATTGGCGGATCCTGTGGCTTCCTAACTGGCTTTCCAAAGACATCATCTTTGGCTTGGACGATTTCGAATTCCCTTTGTGTAGAGAGCAGGTCATCTGGCTGAAAAGAAAGCTTCATATTTAAATTCCTGAAATAATTGGTTAATTAAATTATCCGAATTTCTTGAAAACTAAAGATGTGAAACAGGTGCTATCGTAAGAAAAACTGTTAGTGATAGCATGTGTAACTGGAATTTCGAGTGGTTGGGTTGAGATCAGCTCGATTGCTTTAGTGCAAGGAGATATAAGGTTATAAAATTAAACGATTAAATTGGCTATAAGCATCAACCGCCTTTACCTTATCTCAGCTCAAAAAAGCCTCCTCCCAATCTCTACAAGACAATCTTGAATTTTAGACCTGAATCACCTGTCCAGGGATTAGCTTCCTAGTGCAGAGTGCCGCAATGGAACCAACAAGATAGGACCATATATATAGGCAAAACTTGTTTAGTCCTCTGGCAGGGACAGGAAAACCTCCGGGGAGAAACAAAACACCTGCTCGGCAAGGCATAGTCTATTTCAAAAAGGACAGAGGCCCGTTTTCAGCTTCATCAAGATGGGTCCTACCTGCTCCATAGGTAGTACGCCTCGGGGATCTAATTTCCGTCAACGTCACCATTTTTTTTCTTATGATATAAGGTTAGGAATCTGAGGAATTTTTGAGTGGTAAATTGATAAGGCACCTTCAACTACTTGAGCAGCTCCTGAGGCAGCTTGCATGTGTCCGAGGTTGCCTTTGTTCGAAGTAACTGAGCAATCTGGGCATAGTCTGGAAATTGCTAGAGCCTCAGCTTCATCCCAATGTTTCCATCCAGGCGCATCAGCAACAACTAAGTCTACTTCGCTTCCTTCTACTTTTGCTTGTTTTAATGCAATTTTCATAGCTCTTAATTGCCCATTTCCATCTCTTTCAGCTGATTCTGTATCTGCGCAAGATGAGCCTCCGGCGAGTTCAGCATAAATTCTTGCTCCTCTTTTTTTGGCATGTTCTAGCTCTTCCAATACAACAGCTCCTGCGCCAACGCTATAAACCCAGCCATCTCTGCGTGTTTCAAAAGGCCTGCAAGCCAGCATTGGATCTTCTCCTCTTGATAAGAATCCTGATTTATAAAAGCTCATCAGCAAAGCAGTATCAAACTCTACCTCAGCTGCTCCTGCAACCATTACGTCAGCTTCTCCTATCTGAATTATTCTAAATGCGTCCTTTATAGCTACTTGCCCTGTAGGAATTCCAGCAGAACAAGAATTAGCATAGCCTCTTATTCTTACTCCCTCCTCTTGAGCAAACAAAACCATTGGAAAATCCCTATTTTTTGGCCCTCATGAGCGGACAAAAGTTTTTTTAATATAAAATATATAGAAAATTAATTTTGATATATATATGATAATTATTATAATGAAATCTCGAGTTATTTCTGTTTAATTTTAAACAGTGTGCATTTTAGAGCGTAAATTTTCAAATTAAATTAATTTTTGCTTTGAAAAAAAAATTACTATAAAATTTTTATTAAAAAAATTAACATGGAGGGGGGAGTTAGGGGAATCCCTATAGACCCAATGGATTGTGAGGCAAGGACTTTAGGGATAATGAACCTATCCAGCTTGGCATAGCCTCCTTCTTTGACTTTTTCATGAGTTCTTCGAATATCCATGATTGATGACCTATCACAGCCAAAAATCAAGCCTGTTCTTTCACTTATTTCATCAGTTAAAATTTCATGGCCAGAGTCCATTAAAGCTTGACTGCAGACTGCAAGACTTGTTGCGTTATAGACGTTTTTAACAACTGTGAGCTTTTTTGTTCAGCCTGCCAAATTAAATGAGGGAGGTAATAATCCTGCGAGTTTTACAGGCAAATCGTTTATTTCTGGGTATTCTTTGGTAGGTATTTGGGTGATTCCTACAGATCCTTGCAATAGACGATCAAAAGTAATGTGTGCAGTATCTCCTAAGGGGGTAATTAAGCCGACTCCTGTGACTACGACTCTTTTAATCATAGTTGTAAAACGGTAAATATATAAATAAATGAGAATTTGCAAATGGTATAAGTGCTCTAGTTATGTGAATAACGTGCAAAGTAAGATTTTTTACATATCAATGTATAGGCTTATAGAAAATATGATTGCTTATAGAAAATATTAGCATCTCCACTGGCTGTAATTCTCTATTTTCATTCAGTAAATAGGAATATGACTAATTATTAAGAAAGTTTCATTCATTATTAAGAGAGATATGCAGACTTATTAAGAATTTGTATTATTACTTTTCTTGAAATATGCTTAGTCTCCCCCTTTAAATTTGATCAAAAATGTAGGCAAAATTTTCATTTTATACTTTAATCCCCTTTAAATTAAATAATATTTTTTTAATAGGAAATTGTTAGGTAAAAATACTTTTTATAAAATTATTTTTTACCTAATTAAATGGAAAAGTGCAAGTAGAATATTATTTAAACAGTTTTCACACTAAAATCGATTAGTTTTTTGAATTAATTCTTTAAAAAAGATTTCTTTCATTTATATTTTTTTTTAATTTTTGAAAATTGGTTTTATGAGAAAAGTTATATAAAAAAATTTTTAAACAAAAAATAACCCATCTTCTTTAACTGGAACATTTTTTTTCCAATTTTAAAAGGGAAAGGGAGTAACAAAAGCGATCTAATAATTTATATGAATAAAAAAGCATAATAATAATTTAAATTTTGTAGCAATATACAAGAAAATAAACTCTAAAAATGCCGACTTTGTTTAGCTTAATATGTTTTTTATAATTTTCACATTCAAGTGATAAACTTATGCCTTTCTACTAAATTCAATTATTTAATTTACACTCATGAAAAATCACCATTTCACTAAAAACAGCAAAAAGTTTAGTCTTCAGCAACTTGCTTTATTTCTTCTAATTTTAACGCTGGAACAGGACTTATTCTTTTTTGCATAAACAAATCATCAGACAAAAGCATATCAATATTTTTTAAACATTCAAGCTCTTTGCTTTCTTCTTTTATCTGCCCTGATGATAGCAACAAAGCAGGAACAAATACAGCCATTGACCCTCTCCTTCCATTCATATCTTTATTAGCTTGATCTTTAAACTCCTGCAAAACCTTTGTTGTTATTCCTCCTTGCTGTTCTACCAAGCACAGAGTACTTGTCAATTTAGCAACTTTTAAAGTCAATTCGTCAACTTCAGCTGTCAGTTCTCTAATCATTTCTCCTTTTTTCTCATTTTCATCTAAAATCAACTTAGCCTCCACGCTCCCTTTGGAGAAATCTATGCCTTTATCCTTTACCGCTCTTCAATTTTTAACTTCCCTATTGAGTTCTTCAGCCTGATTTGAATATTTTATATTTTCTTCTGACAGAGTTTTTAATTTGCTTTCTATTAAGCTGTTACTGCTCTTTAATTTAGAAATTTCTGATTCTAATGATTTTATTTGCTGCTTCAATTTTAATACTTGTGGGGTGTTTTCATTTTCCGATGAAATGGAGAGAAAGCTGTCTTTTAGTACTTTGAATAATTCTAAAAAAGGAAGCCTTGTAATGATTTCGTTGAAGGCTCATAAAATTAATTCATTCGGGTTTATTTCTTCATGCCGCTTCTTAGTTTTAGCAGTTTTTTCTTTGAGAAGCTGCAAAATCCAGTCAAAAGTGCTTCCTAGATAATAGTCATTTTTATTTGCTTTTAAAGCGTCAGTTTTTAATAAAGAAGACACTCTTCTTTTAGGTGCTTTAGGTGTTGGCTCTAAGTATGAGGAATTTGAATGGTTCATAATTGTGAGGGATTTATTTATGCTGGCTTTTTTTGGCTTCAGGATTTCAACTTTTAAAAGCGAGGATTTTCTTCTTTGAGCAGCACTGGGAGTAGAGTCTAAGCAAGAGGTGCTTAAACGGTGCATTATGGTAAGAGATTTGTTCAGCTTTTTTTCGTTTGTATTAAATACTGGATTATTTTTGGATTTTTGATTCATTGACTTTTGAGACTTTAAAGGAGTTTTAGGCCGAAGAGATGTTGTAGATCTAGAAATCGGGGATAAATAAGGACTTGTTTGCTGCTGGCCAACTTTGCTTTGATCTTTTTTAGTTAAATTATGAACACTTAAGAATTTGGAATCTTGTGCACTAGTCATATTTTTCTTAATTTTCAATACTCATTGTGTAGTAATAGAATGTTAAATTAATTAATTTAAATTAATTTTCGAGTGCTTTTATGTGAAAGTTTTAGAAGAATAAATTATGATTTAGTTTTGTTATATATAATGTTTTAGGTAAATGGTGCTATATTCCTAGGCTAATTGAGACAATTAACTGCAAGAAAGAATTATAGCCTTGAAAGCCTATTAAGGTATTCTTTATCTTTTATTTCAACCCTAAATGTTTTTTGGCAATATCATTTTTAAGTAAGTCGAAACTTATTTAGTAAATCTAATATTTTTGAAATTAGTATCTTAATTATTATAGCTAAATTCATTCTATGAATAAGACTATTTTCTAAAATCAAGATTCAAAAGCAAGCTACTAGAATGTGTAGACAGTATCAATTGCCAGTTATTAAAATTTTTCCATTTCAAAGCAGAATATATTATTATGCGCTGGAATAAAAGCAGAGGGTCTCCACATGTCGGGAATTTTCCTACATGCGGTACCCGAATCCCACATGTGGAGCCACTTAAGTTCGGAAACTCCACATGTGGGAAAACACCCCGACATATTGAGACCATCCAAAAATAATGCTAGAGCTTTTATAAAATTAGTTTATGATTAGCTAATCCGAAGAGATGATACTTCATGAAATTGAGGTCTCGAAAATTTCTCTTTTACAGCTGTCAAAGGATGCCTAGGTGCAGCTTGAAATAATATAAGCATATCCTTCGCACAGCACTTAATCTCTTCATCTGAATACCCAGTATCTTCAATTCTCCAAGAATAGTCTCTATTCAATATTTTATGCCCCATATAAGTCGCAGCTACCGCTTTCAATGAAGGCTTATATTTTAGCATATGATATTCAACCAATGCTAACTCCAATAAATATTGCCCTACACTTTTACCTTGGGAGTTTAAATCGCTTATTCCTCCATACCTCTCAAAAAATCTTCATGAGGTCGGCAGGGTAATATTAAAATTCAACGTATTTAAAATTTCCTTTTCCATTTTAACGACTTGTTCTCTGGTATAAGCCCGATCTGTAATCTGAACAAAATCTTTAAGCTCAGGTGGATAAATCTCCTCATACTTTGATGAGAGATACAAACTTGTGACCCCGACCAACTGCAATTGTTGTCTAGTCACTGCTCGCTTTTCTAAATATTTATCAATAATCGTGACTGATAAAAATAAAGTTTCAGGCAAAAGCTTAAAACGCTTATGGGCGCTCACAATCCAGTCAATTAAGACGGCTCGTAGTTTTTGATTTATTTCAGGCTGCAGCTTCATATATTCTTGTGAAACTTGGCCTGTCGGCTCTTGCTCGTGAAGATTTTTGAAGATCTCAGGAGCATAATCAATGAGAAGCTGAGGGTTTGTGGGATTGGCTTCTTTAGAGGATGGAGAGGTATTGAGGAGAGAGGAGATGTTCAGGGATTTAAGAGCGTTTCGTGAAGAAAAGACCTTGGTGTTTTTGGGATCGAGTTGCAGATTTTCTTTGGAAGTGTCAGTTAAACTCATGAGCTATTGTTATAGAGCCTGGAACTGCTTTGGGTCGCCCTGGAACTGCTTTTGGTCGCCCTGAGCGACATAGTGCCGCCTAGCCTGCGGGGTTCACTCAGGGAAAAATCAGTTGCCAAGTCAATCCCATAAGTTTGGTAAGTGAAAACTATGCAGACGTGCACCAACTTATGGGGTTAGCTTGGCAACTGAGGCTGCCAGAGTCAACAACAAAGATTGATGAGGCGACGTGTAGCCCAGGTGATCCAAAGCAGACCCTGGATTATAATTGTTATTAGAAAAGATATCGATAAAGAAAATTTCAAAAAAGTAATGGAGGATTTAACGGTCATGTTCTAAATAAAGTGATTGCAATTTTGAACTTTGGGATTGTATGTAATTCTAGAGATGGGTTCAAATGAATTGAAATGAATTTAAACATTAAATTATATTATATATTCAATAGAAATCATCCTTAGATTAACAATTGGTATCATCGAGATTAAAAATTTGACTCTTTCAAAAAATTTAAATAGACTAAATACTTTAATATTAGGCTTTTAAAATTTCATTGCATAAATTCTTCTTAATCCAAATTTTAATGAGTTCACTTAATAATCTTAAAAATAACCTCTTTATCAATTTTATATAAATTTGATTTTTTTGATCTCAGAAGGCTCCCAGAGCAAATTTCACTCTCAAGTTCAAATAAAATTGCTTATTTTTTTAATATTTCTGTTCTTCTCATAAGGTTTTACTTTTTCTAATTTTAACCATTTTTGGCCTAACCAGCAACAATTTAATTTAAATATTTTTAAAACTTAACGGATGAATTCAAAAACCACAACGCACCGCGGACCTTTCGAAAATCGTACCAACGGTCCCTACCTTATCACAATGACTCCTTCAACTGCTAAACCTCATTACCAAAAGTCAGATTTAGAAAATAACACCAAGCCTTATGAAACTCGCCAACAAGGCCGTTGGAAAGTCCCATACAAGCCAGCTGAGCCTAAAAAGCAATTAGAAGTTATTGACTGTCCTCTTTCCAAGCAGCAGCTTCGTGATTTCATGAAACCTCTAAAAGACCTAGAATCTCAAGGTTTTTATCCCGTTTTCCACGCTGCTTGTGATAAACTAAAAAATTCTCCCCAAACGCTCCATTGGAGAGTCTTCGTTGAGCTCGCAGATTTAGCCAAAAGAGACAACAAGATCGATGAAGCCCGAGCTTTATTTGCAATGGCCACACAAATACAGCCTTATGCTCACCAAAGCTGACTCGAATACAGCAAGCTTGAAGAAGAATGTGGAAGGATTGAGCTTTCTCGCAAATTACTGATTCTCGGGCTCCATTTTTGCCCGTTAAGCGACCAATTAGCAGTTAAATTTATAAAAACTGAAGAAAAAAATAGCGAGCTTGATGCCGCCAGAATGGTTTTAAGTAGCCTGAAATCTTATCCTTTAGATAAAAACTGGAAAATTCTTATGGAAGGAGCATTGATGGAAGCCAGATCTGGCAGTATAGAAATAGCAAGGAGCATTTTTAATCATTTAATGGCTCAATGTGGGAATTTCGGAGCGATATTTTGGCTCAGCAAATTTATCCAAAACATCAGGAAGCTGGCTTTGAGAATTTCTGAAAGTCGTTTTAGCAAGAAAACCATGAAGTCTGTTTTTGGAAAAAATAGTTAAGTCGAATAAAAATAAACTTTTAATAGAAAAATTTTAATCGACTTGCAATGGTTTCATTTAATAGACATGGATAAATGGTATGAAGTCGGAGAAGCAAAATACTAGCGTGACTGAGAAATGAAAAATAGCAGAGTTTGAGATAAGAAATCTGCATAAGTCGCGATCTTAGGTTATCGGCAAGTTGGTGCTAAAAATTAACGGAAATTTTGATGAACCCTACCAAGTCTTCAATATATAATAATAATTTTTACGTTTTATCACGCCCAAGGCGTCTTAATTTTTTGCTTTTCGTAATTATCTTGATAAATTCCTTAGCATGAGCATCAATTTCGTCAACCTGACTCCTTGTCAATTCCAGTTCGTTCTTTTTTTCTTCATATCTTCAAGAATCCAGCACAACATCCATCAAATTCAAATCTTCATCACTATCTATGTATGTCTTCAAATTCAAGTCTTCAATATAAAACCAATACAAGTCGAGTAATTAAAATATGATCAGATCAATTAATCTAAATTTTAAAAAAAAACACCATTTTCTTATATTTTTTCGATAATGTAAAATATATATAAATTTCAGTGTCATAATTATGAAACCATTTATAGTAGAGAAATTAAAACTGTAGCAAGTAGGCTATGAGAAATATTAGGAAGTCGTTGCGAGTTTTAGTATCCAATAAAATAAGTATAGTCGATTAAAAAATATAATTAAATTAAAATTTAGAGATATTTAAAATTTGTATCAATGAGTCTATTCTTTCTGGTATATTTTTTAGTTTGAGAAGCCAAATAAAAAAACATACAGTAATTATCCAAATCTTTTTCATTTTTTGGGCGAAAACCATTTCTATAAGCCTTTAGTCTTTTTAGCCTGCTCCAAACGTTTTCAATATGATTAGTTGTTTGCCTTCCAATTCCAAAGTCTTGATTATGAAAAACAATTGAATGGCGATATCCTAATGTTGGAAGCTATCTGTAAGCTGCTCAGCCATCTGTAAATACTTCTGTAGCATTCGTTTGATCGTTTGATACTGCATTTAGAATATATCCTGATAAATTTTCCCAAGTTCTATCGTTGCTTACATAGTAAAATCTATAGTCTTCTGTTCCTCTGTCAAAAATTCCGAATAGCCTTTTGGGATCATGATCCATAGTCATAATATGAGTTTCATCAAGTTCTACAGTTGGATAATCTTGCCCATCTTCATCTTCTATTCCAAGTTGATTATAAGTAAAATAAATTTTCAATACCATGTTCACTTATTAAAGCTCTCAGCTTTTTAAACAGCTTTATAAAAGCATCTTTTGATATTTTATGTCTTCAACAATAGTTATCATGGACTGTTCTCGGACGAAACAATGGAAAATTAACCTAACCATCTTGCTTATTGATAGTCTTGATTGGGAAAATATGGATCTTCTTCGAATTGAAAAAACTTAAATTGCATAAAGTACAACGTAGAAACATAGATCCTCCATTTCAATAAGAGAGGGCATGGATTATGGCATATATCACAAATGTTTGGCTGCATTATTTTCACTTCTTGGCACCAATTTATTGCGTTATCTTCAGTTCTGAGTATCTCTGCGAAATTGCCGTAAAGAGGGTGAGTAAATCTTGGATTCATATTTAATTTTATATGCCTTATTTTTAAGACCGCCAATCAAAGATTTTAATTTAATTATATTTTTTAATCGACTATACTTATTTTATTGGATACTAAAACTCGCAACGACTTCCTAATATTTCTCATAGCCTACTTGCTACAGTTTTAATTTCTCTACTATAAATGGTTTCATAATCACGACACTGAAATTTATATATATTTTACATTATCGAAAAAATATAACTCCCCCCCCCCCCCCCCTCCGTGAGCGAACAAAACCATTAGAAAAATCGCCATTTTTTGACCAAAAACCCACCCTCCGTGAGCGAAACAAAAATATTTTTAATAGAAAAAATTTTAATAGAAAAAAATTTTGCTATATAAGTGATAATTAGTATAATGAAATCTAGAGCTAATTCTGTTTAATTTTAAACAAATTGCGTTTTAAAACATAAATTTTGCAAATTAAATTAGTATTTGCTTCCCAATTTTTGCAAATTAGGATTTTTTTTAAATTTCGAAAAAAAATTTTTTATAAAATTTATATATAAATTGTTTTTTAAAAAAAAAAAAATTAACCCCCCTCCGTGAGTGAACAAAATTTTTTTGTTCGCTCACGGAGGGGGGGGGGGGAGTAAGAAAATGGTGTGTTTTTTTTTAAATTTAGATTAATTGATCTGATCATATTTTAATTACTCGACTTGTATTGGTTTTATATATGAAGACTTGGTAGGGTTCATCAAAAATTTCCGTTAATTTTAGCACCAACTTGCCGATAACCTAAGATCGCGACTTATGCAGATTTCTTATCTCAAACTCTGCTATTTTTCATTTCTCTCAGTCACGCTAGTATTTTGCTTCTCCGACTTCATACCATTTATCCATGTCTATTAAATGAAACCATTGCAAGTCGATTAAAATTTTCTATTAAAAGTTTATTTTATTCGACTTAACTATTTTTTCCAAAAACAGACTTCATGGTTTTCTTGCTAAAACGACTTTCAGAAATTTCTCAAAGCCAGCTTCCTGATGTTTTGGATAAATTTGCTGAACCCGATATTTTTAGAAGCTGTGAAATTTGAAGAAAGATGGGGCAAAGATATATATTCTGCACTTGATAACTGTGAGAAAGGATTAGCTAGAAATCCAAGGTATGGGCCATTGTGGTTTTCATATTTAAGACTGCTAGATAAAATTGAATTTTTACAAAGCCAAGGATCTGCTGCTAGAATTCCAAACCACGAAGTTTCTAGAAGAAAACTTGATTTGATTGCAAAAGGAGAAGAATCACTTACAAAAGAACTTGTGTGGAAGCTTTATTTAGAATATGCTTTAGGGCTCGAAAGAGCTGGGAAACTAGAAGATTGCAGAAGATATATGAAAGACGCTGTTGTTAATTGTCCTGACAATTTAAGATGGAAAGCTTGGATGGTAGGCGCCAGAATTGAATTGAAGGCAGGGAACTATAAAATAGCTATGAATATTCTTAATCAAAGCTTAAATGAAGTCCCTTGTAAACAGAAATCCATTGTGCTTGTTGAAATGAGCAAAGCTTATGAACTCATACAAAATAAAGAAAAGGCCAGAGAGCTTATGATAGAAGCTTGTGAAAACTCAAAACAAGACTGAAAAGTCCACTTAGAATACATCACAATGGAAATGAGGAACTCAGACTTTTCAAGAGCTACACAAATTGCTAAAGACTCCATAGTAAAATATTCTAATACTGGCAGACTATGGTCAGCATTAATACAGCTTCAGCATACTGATAGAAAATTAATTGAACAAAAATTACATTTCAAAGGATTTTTATTAGCCTTAAAAGAAGTCCCTAAATCAGGCGAAGTTTGGTGTGAAGGGGCTAGATTAAGGCTAAATCCATTTACAGAATACTATGACTTAGATTCAGCTGATTAGATTAGATAAGTTCAGTTCTATCGGATCTCAAGGAATTATTTCATCCACTACCTAAGGCTCGAGTGACCCTAATCAATTGCTGTCACACAATGCCATTTATGTCAACACTAAAAAAATTGGTCTGAAAAAAGCCTTTCATGGATTACTGACCAGGGAAACCCAACTCTGACTATCTAAGAAGATGGGATTAATTACCTAGGCTGCTATCAATTCACCAGTCATTACAGACCTATCTCAACTCACCATCATTAAAAAAGTAGCTTCAGCTGAAGATTATTTAAATTATGCTATACAGTTTACACCTCAATATGGAGACTCTTTCATAGAAATGCTGAGAGTTTATATGCTTAAAGGGACATTTGAGAAGATTTCTGAGCTTAAAAGATTATGCATCAATGCAGATCCTAATTATGGAATGCTATGGTTCTTTTGCAAGCAGAACCCTCTGGAAGGGCCTGCTGAAGTCTGGAAAAGAGCCAAAAAATTAGTTAAAGAAGAGCTGTGCGCGATGAAATTAGCTTATGATCACCCGAAGCCGAGAGAAGAATTGTATATTGATTGTATGTGGAGCGGGCTTACACAAGCCAATTGGACATATTCCAGAAGCGATAATTTAGACTTGAATGGAAGATGGAGACTTATATATGGAAGCGAAAATATAACTATTTAATTTTTATTACCTCTGAATTAATTTTTATATATATGCATTTTTGTAAAATGGGTATTTTAAAGCAATGGGCAAAAATAAAATTCATTTTTATAAATAAATATTGCTTATAAGAATTGCATGAGGTCTTTTGATTAGTTTTAATTTGAAAGTTTTTAAATGTTTAGAGTATACCAGAAAACAAAGATAATAGTTTTTTCATAATTCTAAAATTTATTTAATAATAATAACTGTGCATGCTTTTTCCTGGACTTAGACATTTCCTTGGAAAATCTGTTCGAAATTTTCCTTCGTGAGACATTTGATTGAAATTTGACAGTTTATCCGAGCAAATGTCTCACGAGGAGAAAATTTTTCGACCGAATTTCCAGAGGAAATGTCACACAAGCCAAAAATCCCTATCAAATGACATTAAGACAATAATAATAGATCCTACAATGCTTTTAAATACTATTTATGGCTCTAGGTATAATTTCTTCAGTAAAAAACCCTTTTAAAATTTTGAGCCTGTAACTGTCATAGAAAACAATAGAAGTTAAAAGCACAGTTTAATTCAAATGTAAAGATCAATTGAGCTATAAATTTAATTTCTTTATTTTTATGTTTCTTACTCCCTCCCTCCATGAGCGAAAAAAAAAAAATTTGTTCGCTCACCTATGGCTAATTTTTTTAAAAATTTATATAGAAATTTTATAGAATTTTTTTTTGAAATTTAAAAAAATACATATTCGAAATAATTTTAAGGCAAATAATAATATAATTTGTGCAATTGATGTTTTAAAATGCAATCTTTTTGAAATTAAACAGAATTAGGTAGAGATTTCTTTATTCCTTATATATAAAAATTATTTTTCTTAAAAACAATTATATTAATTTTACTTCCTGATGGAGAGTATAGGGTTTAAGCCAAAACATAGGAATTTTCCAATGGCTTTGTTCGCTCCCAGAGGGGGGCAGAAGTTAATATATTTTCTAAAAAAACTAGCTAATGAGATTATCACCTTAAATATGAAGCTCAAAGCAGCTTCTGTTTACTTAACTATAATTACTAAATATGAAGCCAAATGGTAACTATAGCTTATCTAATTTCACCGAAACAGACCTTATAGAAGCTTACATGTTTAGCAAGCCTTCTATATCCTGCAAAATTTTACTTGCCAATCCTAAATTATTCAACAAGACACACGAAAAGGTGAAAAATATTTAGGTAAACGCTTCAATCTTATTTCGAGCGGTCTTAGAAGAAAACATAAAACTCGTAAATTTTTTACTCTCTAAAGGTGTAAATCCCAATATTACTAACAATATAGGAGAAACACCCTTACACCATGCTGCTGATAACTCTTTATTAGAGATTGCTACAAATCTGATACATTATAGCGCGGATCCCAATAGTGAAACTATTGATGGTGAAACGCCCTTGCATAATGCAGCGTTTAGAGGTGACAAAAATATGGTCGAGTTGTTGCTTTTGTGCAGTTCTGATCCAAATAAGAAAAATAATTTTCTTGGCAGGACCCCACTTCACTATGCAGCTGAATGCAATTCTGCTGACTGCATTAAATTACTACTAGAAAGCTTTGCTGATAAGTCTATCAAAGATAACGATGGAAATAGTCCATATGATTTAGCTTTTAATGCAAAAATAAAAGAGCTACTGGAAATTGACGACAAAATCAAGAAAGAAAATCACACAAAAATAAATTCGCTAGCTGAGACAGATTTGTCATCAATTATAAAAGAGTCGCCTAATTTAATACCTGATCAGGTAGATGGGTCAGATTCTGAGGAGATGCAACTCACAACACAAAGTTCGTTAAATAAGCTCTATGATTTTCTTAGCAGGCATAATCTTCAAGAGTATTTTGAAGTACTGCAAAATGCAGGATATGATGACTTAGAGCTGATATATCAAAAAACGAGAGGAAATTCACCAATTAATGAGGTCATTCTTGAAAATATAGGGATAGAGAAGGCTGGACATAGAATTAGACTTATAATGGCCCTAGAAGAAAACTGCTATAGGAATCAAAAGCTTAATGATGATTACAGAGATAATAAAATGAATGAAGAAATTTGTATTTCAGTCCAAGAGTGGTTGAATATAATTAAGCTTTCTTTTTTAGCAGAAAATTTCATAAAAGCTGGCTATGATGATATGGGATTCTTGATTAAACAAATGAGGTCTAAATATCAATTAGGACATAAAGAACTTGAAAATATCGGAGTCGATAAGTTTGGGTATAGATTGAGGATATTGGGGAAGCTTTATGAAGAATCTGATGTAATGCAAGAGACTATAAGGTGTGATGAAAAGGTTTGCAAATCTCGCTGTGCTCTTATGTAATTTAATGTCAAATATTTGTTATAGGCCAAAATTATTAGAAATTAAAATGGTAGATTATTAGCTTTCCTGAACTTTTTCAATTGTTTTTTAAATCCGTTATTAGGATTCACGCCGGGCCTCATTCTTCTTACTCTGCTATTAGCATTATTAGTTTATAATAAAACTTAATATAGATTATTAGAGATTTATGCGAAAAGCAAAATTAACTTATTTATATATGAGTTAGGGCTTTTAATGCTGTGTATTCGTTATATCCAAATTTTATGATCATATAAGCAATTATTATTGAGGGGCTTCGAGACAAGCCTGCTCTGCAATGAACTAACACATTTCCTCTAGCTTTATGGCTTTCATCAATAAAATCTAAAGCTCCCTTTAATTTTTCCAAAAGATTTTCAGAGCCATTATCTTTAATTTCTATAAAATAATATGTTATTAAAGGGAGCCGTGCACATTCATTTTCATTTTCTAATAATTGAACAACAAAATTTATATTCTTTTCTCTAAGGAGTTTAATATTTTCTGCATCATGGATACTCCCAAGATATAAATTTGGGGTTACCTCAGTTATATCAAGTTCAGTGCCAAAATAGGCTCCGCTGCTATTTCATTGAGTGCAATTTCGTTCATTTAGGCATTTTGTATTTTCACACTTACTCTTAGTAATATTTAGAAGAGAAGCTTCAATAAGGGTTTTGGATTTTAAATAGTTTCTGAAAAGAGATTGTATTGAAATAATGACATGATCTATAAAAATTTTATGTTGATAGCTCTCTGGTGTAAAGCGAGCTATATTATGAACTTCTGGAAAACGAGAATCATTTGAGATCTGATCACCACTGACATTTTTATCCATTTTAACTTTTGCTTATTTTGGGTTTAGCATAATATGTAAATGCATGGTAATAAGATAAGAATTTTAAAAGAGCTTTAGTTAATAGGATTAAAGCTTGAAAACCTATAGCTTGTAAGATAATTGCTCATTTTGCCATATAAGTTCGTTGTCAAAGCACTCTTAACGCACTTATTAAACTGTAAGTTTATCGGATAAAATTGGACATATGATAAATAATTTATCAGGTTTTGATAATTAACCGAGTCCCACATTTCTTGAGCACAACTGATATATTCTCTCTTATCCGAGTTACAGTTTTTAATAGCATCACTTTTATGCCAATTCATTACTTGTTTAATTGCAAGTTGCAATGGCTCGTCTCCAGGGAATAGCGGGCAGACTCCTGACTTTGTTGCGTTTGAGGTGCAAAAGCAGTTTTCAGTTATATTGCTAGGAGAAAAAAAGTCATCATTTGTAGAATTACAGCACCCACCATTTCCATCGCAGCTTTCAGGAAACTCTGATTGTACCTGCACAGGTTCAGAGCAATAAAAAATACTATCCTCTTGATTTTCCATGCAAGTTCCAAATTCACAAAGTAAATTAACATTATTTGAGCATTCGTTTACTTGTGAGTGAACTTCTAAGGAGCCAATAGGAACACACCTTTGAATATTTCCCATGCATAGCGAGCCATACTCACAGTTGAGTCACTTGTGCAGCGCTCTCCCATTCCTTTAACTCCCCTTTCTGTGAGTGAACAAAAAATTTTGTTCGCTCAAGGAGGGAGGCGAATTTGTTGTTTTTAAAAAATTTATATAGAGATTTTACAGTAAATTTTTTCAAAATTTAAATTTTAAGATTAATTTAATTTTTCAAATTTATGCTTTAAATGCAAATAGTTTTAGAATTAGCTAGAGATCTCATTATACTAATAATCACTTATATATATCCAAAATATTTATTGTTCGCTAACGAAGAGAGAGTAAGTGGCTTACATTCATCGCTTGAACAGTAAAGTCCTGGGTCACATTCAGCACTTTTTTTACATTTAGAGCCTTTTCCTCCTCCTTGGCAGACACCATTTGCACATGCATAAGTAAAGCACTCGTTACTAAAAGTGCAATTTTGGCCAGGATATTTTATTATTGGTACGCATGTAGCATTTTGTAGTGAGACGAAATTGCAAACTGTATTTGAATCTGAGCAAGCTTTCACATAAAAATTCTGATTTCCATCATAAAATACGCACTGATTACTAGCAAATACTTGGCTTGCTGTCTTGCATTGGAAAGAAGGACAGAATGGGCCAGTATTTGAATATTGTAAATATTCAGGCATAAGCGTTTGAAGAACACACAAAGGAGTATTTTGGACTTGACTATAATACCCTACATTAAGGAAATAATTCATAAACGTAGTAAAATTTTTATTGTCCCATCAATTTGATATGCACGCAGTATCAAATCTATCCACCGTATTGCACTTGTTTATTTCAGGACTCATTATTCATTTTTGATATTGATTTAAATACTTTAAATATAGTGCATCGCCAGGAGACAAAGGGCAGTAAGAGATTCCGTTTGAATTTAAGCCACAAGAGCAATACCCCTGTAAGCTGAAAGGTGGATTAAAAAAGGGATCTGAAGTTGACAAGCAATCACTATTTGACAAGCAAGAGACTGGAGTTGCGGATGCTGATAAAAGCGGAATTGTACACAAATATTGTTGTCCATTAGAAGCGCAGCTAATGCTGGAGCATAATGAGCTTTGGCCTCCATTACAAAGTCCAACATACTGATGAGGTGGAATCGAAAAATATGACAAACAGCTATAGAAGTTTCCTATGTTTGGCGCTGTAAGGCCGATAAATTCTGATCGGAATTTATCGGTAGGTTGCACCAAATCAATGCCTTGGTCGGACCAAAAAGCGATTTGGTCCGACGAACTTGGAAAGCTCCTGGGAAAATGTCTGCGCTTTTAGCGCTATATAGAGGAAACCTCTATACCTAGCTGACCGTACGTAGAATTGCATCCTGCCGTGTTTACACAATCGTAATCACTTCTGCACCCATAGCCACCTATTGGAATTTGCGCAATGCATACGTTATTAGAAGAGCAAGCTAATCCTGGATTACACTGTAAATGGTATTGGCAATTTGAATTCAAAGATATAGAAATTTCCCTTAGATGGCACTGTTTGCCCTTGATTTGCCCACTGAAAAAATTTTTTGGTTCGACCAAATCGCTTTGTGGTCCGACCAAGGCATTGATTTGGTGCAACCTACCGATAAATTCCGATCAGAATTTATCGGCCTTACAGCGCCAAACATAGGAAACTTCTATACCCCTAAGCATATGTTGTTGGTGCAGTTTGTGCAATATTGGCTGCAGTCTGCAAGTGTGTTACACTTTTCACCAGGATTACTTCCAGAAAAATAAGGTGGAATTATACAGGTGTAATTGACAGGATATTGCATATCACAAACGTAGTCACTGTTGCACTTTTGTACGTAAAAACTCTCCGTAGACTCATTCTCATAAACGCAAGTGCCTGTTGTAAAGACCATATCATTAGGTTTGCAAAAGTATTTTGGGCATATAAGTGCTTCATTGCCTCGTGATTGGATATAATTATTTAATGTCATGGGAGATATATCTCTCGGAAATTGTATTTTTTCAACTTTCAAGCTATAGATGCTTGGCATAACCTTCAAAGACTATTCCTCTCTATGTAATAATATGTTTTAACTCCTTAATGAGTAAAAAACAGCAGCAAAAACTACTTTTTTGGAATTTTATAAAAATATATTAAATATCGTTGATAGTCATCGTAAATAACCTTATTGAACTTTAGCAGCAGCTTGCTTTATAAATTATAAGCTCTATAAATTAAATTAATTTTTCTTTTTAGTTTTTGCTATTTTTTAATTTGAGAAAAATTACTATATTAATTTTAAAAAAATAGCCTTGAATGGATAAATTAATTTTGCTTTCTATCAAAATAAAGAGAGATTAAGAATTTATTTTAGTATAGTTTTAAAAAATAGAAGAAAAATTAAAGATAAAGTATATGATATCTTGAAAGTTTTGGTGAGGCTGAATAGATAACATTTTCATTTTTAATAAAATCAATTTTAATTTTATATATCAAAGATAGCATGAACGCGAAAAAATCAAAGCTCTATATTTTCTTCACCCAAACGAGCGTAGGCGAAGAAAATACAAAGCCAAACCTTTAAAAGCATTTTTTATTATGGCTAAAAATGATCAAAAATATCTATACTTATATTATCATAAGAAATTTAATCCTCAATTATAAATAGCGTTTAGTCATGGTATTCTAATTCACACACTTTGTTAAAAATAAAATTAGGAAGAAACTTATCAAAATTTTTATTTGATTAAGGTAAATACAATTTTACATTAGGCAGCTCTGTATTTTCTTTTATTTATTAAAAGGATATCTGTTGAAATGTTAATGTTGATGCATTTATTACCTTAAGAAATTGATTATTTTCCTTATAAGCTATTTATAAAACCATTTTTAAGATATTGAAAACTTAAGCTTTAACTCATTTAGCTTTGATTTTAATTATTCATTAGTAAAAAATTACTTATTATTAAATAAAACAGGCTGTTCTATCTCAGATTTCATTTAATTTTGATATCATTATTTGTATTTATTAGAACGATGCTGTTAGCCTAAGCCTTTTAGGCTCCAATAAAAAATTATGCTGCAAAAATACAGCAAAAATGGTCTAATCTTGAAATAAGCGTATCATTTCTCATTGGCTTAAAGCAAATATTTTATCTTGATTACTTGAGCTAAGATTTTAAATTATTGAATTATGAAATTAAACTCTTTGTAATAATGAAATCAGCTCAATTCCGAACAAAAATTATTTAAAATTTTCGAAATATAGTTGCTCGGTCATTTTGTGCAAGTAGCCTTATATTAAATCCATTTAATTGAAAACCATATTTTATAGCTCTAAAAGATTTGAATCTGGTGACCTCTAATAGGAATTTTTACAGTCAATCGTTCGATCGAGGATGGGGGGAAGTTAGCAAATTCAGGTGGCTCCTGAAATAGGTGATATAAAATTCAAAGAAAAAATACAAAAAACCAGAATAATACTAATAAAAACATTGGCTTTGAAATTTATTCTATATTGATTAATTTTTCTTCTTACTCTCCCTATCCCATTGTTTGATCAAGGATGGAGCTAAAAAAATTATTGGAAAAAAATTATATAAAAGCATATATTTATATATTTTAGTGTTTTAATTTATTTTTAATTATTTAGTAAAAGCATATTAACTCCTATCCAATTTTAGTACTAATTTAGTATATTTCTAAATATAATGCATACACAATTCAAAGGTTCAATTTACAGAGTAAATTTCACCAAGGGATTTAGGAAAAGATTACCTAAAGCTCTTTGTGCATAGTGCAACTTTCCAATTCTTATTTATTAATTTTACTGCAATAATTAGCATGGTACTTATGATAAGTATTTAAGGAATTTAAAAGTAGCCATACTAAATCTAGATAATAGCTTAAGAAAATTTAATCTTTTTAATACTTATTTTGAATTCTTAAAGTCTAATACTTTCAGATGGCAAAAAGAGATTGATTTAAAATACTTCAATCATTGCTTATATGCTATTGACCAATTAGCAAAACGGTATTATTAATATTGCTTGGTATCATTAGAAAAATTAAAACTTTATGGCTATTTATATTTCAATAAAGCCTTAATAACGACAACTAAGCTTAAAATGGTAAACAGAAATGTCAAGGAAATTTGATGAGCACATTTGTGGATGCTTTACTGAAATGTGTAGCTGCTTAATCGCATTTTGTATTCCTTTTGGCACTTGTGGACTCCAAGCATATGCTATTAATAAATCAATAGGTGAGGGGTATGTCATTCCATTCGTGATCCCAATTTTTGGATGATGCATTGGCTCTGCTATCAATCGTGAGCAAATTAGGAAAAAATACCATATAGAGAGCGATTTCTGTAAGGATTGCTTGTTTCATACATTCCTTAATCCATGTGAAATAAAATGGTGACGTATGACGGAGTTGAGCTCCGAGGTGTCTCACCCATTTTTGGCAAGGCAGGGCTCCACAAAATCCATTCGACCGAAGTATGACCGGGTTGGGGTCTAGTAGGGCATGGAGAAGGAGTCTCTTGTCCTCCATGGGTGAAGTTTTATTTCTCCTCGTAGGTTTGCCCAGCCCAGGCTGGGTTTTGTCCTACCACCTAGTCCTTCTCTGTCGGGACTAGCGGAGTGCTCAGATGCGGGCGAAGAACCCAGGTGGGCTAACCCTTGGGTTCGAGTGGTTCAGACCGGAAAACCAAGTAAGCAATGGGAAGAGGAATTTCCCGCTTGGAGCCGAGACGGGGCAAAGGCTAGTGTGCAAACGCTTATGGCCAGTTTAACAATTTAACTAACTTTAACTTAATCCATGTGAAGACGTAAAATAGTGATTTGGCTGAAATTGGCCTCCGGGGCACACTTTATGACCCGTCCTGATGAAGCAGAAAGCAGGGCCTCTGTCCCTTTGAAGCAGGCCTTTAGGTTTGTGGAAGCTTTGCGGAAGAGGGAAGTTTTGTTTCTCCCCCGAAGGTTTTCGTATTCTGCAAGTGGGCTAGACAGAATTTGCCCCCCACTAGTCTTCGTCCATCGGTTATCGGGGTACTCCACTAAGGTGGCTCTAACCTAGCGGCTGATCCTTAGCTAGGTGACTCTCGCCGGAAAATTCAAGAGGGTGGAATTTTGGTTCCCCTTACACCATTTGCGCCCTGATGAATACGCAGAAGCGTAGGGCCACCTTTCCATGAGCCAAAGTAGTCCGGCTAGTGGGGGTCCTAGTTATAGCTGTATAAAATTTAATCTTTAATCCATGTGCAGCTGCTCAAGAATATCGAGAAGCTGTTAAGGTGGAAGAAAGAAGGGTGTAATATGACTGAAAACTTAACTAAAACTGAGATTTATCGAGATTTCATTATAAATTAAGCTATTTATTGTAGACTATGAAAGCTAATTGTCTCAATATATTTTATAATCAATAAAATTCATTAGTTTTTAATAGAAATGCTATAATGTAATTAATTATTATTAGCTAAGACTTTATCTACAATTATTATTCCATCCGAAGCCTTTTTTATGCATTAACCCAAGCAAAATCCTAACTCTCCCTTTTAAGAGAATAAGTAAAAACCTTACTCGCTCTTAAGGTAAATCTTTTTATTTTATTTGGATCGCTCTCTTTTCTTTGCCTATTTCAAGAACTCTTTTTATATGATGACAAGTACAAAGGATCTAAAATCGCTTTAAATTCCTATTTGAAATTAATGCAAATACCTGCCAAATGCTTACACGCAAGAAGAAGTCTCACTCTAAAACTTTTATTTATTTCAGTATAGCCGATAATACAGATTACGTCGATAAATGCACAGATAAGATATATTCACAATGCAACTTATGTCATTAGCCAATTCTATATGCTCAATAACGCTGAGAAACCCAACGAGAGAATAAGATGGCCAGATGAAATTGAAGAAATACTTCAAACTGTACCAAGGCTTATTGCATGCGCAAAAAATGAATTTGTATTGGGGAGCCCAAAATGCTTCATGTGCCTGCAGTGAAGACTAACTGTGTGAACAAAGCTGGATGCAATATTCAAGTATTACCAAGCCCAAATCCTTCAAATAGATGATATCATATTTATAATTAAAATGGGGAAGTCCGAAAGAAGTACCTGGATAGCTGTTTTCCAATATGAGCTAACCGAGTTGGCGAAAACTACTGAAGTTAACCCAGGGCAATCAGTGCCGTAAAATTCTTGGTCTCCCATAGCATACACTGGCTTTAGGCGAAGATAAGCTAAACGGTACGGGCAAACTTCTCGGTAGGGTTCCCAATCATTTTGATTATTCCTTGGTGTGGAAAGAGAAGCCATTGTGGCACAATATCCGGAGAAGGCCTCTATGACAGGTTTTATTCTCTTATGGGATTTTTTGTCCTGCATGTGATGGGCTCGGGCAGGCTGCAGTTTGATCCCTAGAGCAGCGAGTTGAGTTGACTCGTTCGAAATACGCTAAGACTCGAGTTTTAGGCGGTGCAAGCTGAAGGGGCCGACAGATTCAAATTTCATCCTTCGGGAAGCAACTTAAATTATCTTAATTACTTAATTACATATCATATTACTCACTTCAACCAGGAGAAATCGAAAATGCTTTTATAGCAGTAATCTGCTATGCTCTTCAAGTGTCTGTCAAATTTCAAGTAGGAATTAATTTTTTGTGAAGTCACTGGCATCTGATGACCCAAATTTGCTAAATTCTTGTGGGCCTAATTTAATCTGCAAATCAGCATCAGATCTTTGTTTTAGCAAACCCTTACTCTATTAGCTTTCTACGCATACATTAACTAAATGCTAAAGGAATTGCTTATCCTCCTTTCTTCCCTGAAGATGCTCCATATTTCAAACTTATCTCGCTAGAAAAAAGGGCATGAGACCAGATTTTCATAAATGCCATTCTATGAGAAGATTTGCTAATCGCTGTAGAGAACAATACTGGGATAAAGAGGATTATAATGCACCGAACGATTATTATGAATATATATATAATTTCCCTGAAATCCAAGCTCTGAAGACTGTACACTTCAATTATTCCAAAGCGAAAATCTCAGTAAGAGAAAAGATTATAAAAGTGATTTTACTTTTATGTTAGAGATACCTTCAGCTTTACTAGTCTTTTACTATTAATTATTAATTTAACTTCATAATCATCAATGCTATTATTCTTCATCATTGCTTAGAATTTCCATCTTGCAAGATGGAAATCCATTTTGGCTCGGCGACAGCAAAAAAAATCCCAGAATTCGGCCGTGCAAAAAAAAATAAAACGGCCGGAAGCAGATGGTAATTCTCCGGGGTGGGGTGCAGGCTTGGGCTGACTGGGCTTCCCCTCGACCCACAGACAAGATACCGACGGCGCAACATCAATCAAGCACTTCTGGAGGAGCATTATGGTGCCTGCGAATGGCACAGGTGGTTCCAGAGGAAGACAATGGACGATCCTCTCATACCCTGAGCACCACCAGGGGTTAAGAGAGTCCTGCCGAAATTTTTGATCCAGCAGGGTCGGGTGAGTCTCCCCGACAGACTGAGGGACGTCACCATTTTTGATGGCTCCGAAGAAAAAGGGCGCTAGGTGGCTTTAGTGCTTAGTGCCACATGAAGCACGAAGCTGAAGTCCGACTGGCTAGGGGCTGAAATAATCCCCGCTTAACCTCTCTAACTAATCTCTCTCTCTCATCATTGCTTAGATTAAAAAAATTTTCAATAAAATCCATGCTCAGAAATATGGGCTTACTTATGAGCATATGTTTCTTACTTTCTCGCTCCAAAGTTCTACTTAGCGGTACCTACAGTAGACATGAAAAAAACCTATGAGGAACTATTTAATACTATTAGTTCACAATATAATATTTTTTGAAGGTTTTTTTTATTATATGATAAATAATAAAAATCGACTGTAGGGCTTTTTACAGCATGGTTTAAAAAAATTGGGTATTTTCTTCAATTTATAATTATTTTATAGGCTTCGCTATAACTCACCCATCAGTTTTTTTCCATGATTACCCAGTACCTACACATCTTCCAATACTTTTGAAATCGATTATACAAATGATATTGCGGCTAGTTACATTTATATTGAACTGCAAAATACCTCTCTAGAAATTCCTTTACTCTCTTCAAAATTCGGAAATTCTCCTAATGTAGTTTGAAATAGTCCGAATTCAACATGAATTTGTGATGCTGATTATATTGATTGAAATTCATGAATCATGAATAAGACATATGGACATTTACTTATAAAACCTCCGAATTTGTCTGCAAGCAAAACGTTATATATAGCTGTAACTTATTATAGTAATTCTGGTGTCCAATATTATTTAAATGTCAGTTCTTATAGTAATAAATAATTAGCGACCCCAGTTTGCCCAAATTCATGCTCTCATAATGGAAGCTGCCAATCAGGAAAATGTGTTTGCAATTATGGATATGGGGATGATGACTGCAGTGTTGCTCTAGCAGACTTGGAATTAGAAACTGCATATGGGATCATCACTATAAACCAATACAAATATATGGAAATAAAAGATGTAGACGGAGATTCTTTAAAGTGCAAGCTGTTTAAATCAGATAATGGCAATGTAACTGTTTATTTCAAAAATTCAGGGACAGGGATCAGTAGTTTGCCAACTGCGAGGGATTACTCAGAAATCTGTCAATTGAAGTATGCAATGGATCATGAAACTTGTATTATCTCACTTTCTGAATATGATAGCTCATTATGACTGATTTCTGTGCTCCTACATGTAAAAGATTCAAGTGCTATGATTTCAATTGCATGCTCTGCTCAAGGTAATGAGCCACCAGTTTCTGTTTTATTTTGGGTTTTGCTCAGCTTGTCAATCTTGCTTATTTTGATAGGGATAGCGCTACTTATTATAAGAAAAATAAAATTAAGAAAAAACCAAATAATGCCTTCTTTCAAGCTATATGCATTAAAGTGGTGTATAAGCAAACCAGCCCTCTTAACTCCTGAAGCTGCCATTCCATTAGCTGCATTTTTCATTATGGGCGACCTTTGCTGGCGTAGCGCACGCGATTAACTAAATTACCAGTGAGAGAGTTTAAGCACTCATCAGGAAGGAGCAGCCCTTGTGAAGCCGTCCACGAACTGGTGAGCAGGCGAAGAGAGCGTTACGGTGAGATAGGCGTTAGAATTGCAGCGGATTCTCAATGATTATTAATAACTAGTTAGCCTTCTTTGGAGCCAAGACCAAGGCAGCCAGATCCTAACGAAAGACAAAAACTGCAAGAAAATTACCCTTGCGTTTCTTTTGAAGACCTTAAATTAGTCAATGAAGAAAAATGTAGCATCTGCCAAGAGTCCTTTATCAGCTCCTCAAAAGTCAGGAAACTAGGATGTCTGCATGTTTTTCATCAATGCTGTATTGATGTTTGGTTTGACACAAGTCCACTATGCCCATTGTGCAAGAAAGACTACAAAGCATACTTAGACCAATATGAAAGAACTCATACTGATATGGCAGGAATCTCAATAATGAATTTAGACGTGAGCGAACGATCTTGGCTAACTCAATAATTTTTGTATTTATATATAAGCCTTATTTTTATAAGAATTAGCCTATTAATACAAATTTTTCTTCTCGAGCTCCATTTCCATATTAAAATGTCTAATTGCTAACAATATTCACAAAATGGGCAAAAAGCAGGTGAAAGAAGTAGAGGAAGAAAACTCGTCAGAAGAAGAAAAAGTTCACACTAAAGCATCAAAAAAGAAATTAAGCAAGGATAAAAAGAAAAAGAAAGACGAAAGCTCAGAAGAAGAAATAGAAGAAGTTGTCCCGAAAAAGAGCAAAAGAAAATCATCAACTGCTTCATATGAAAGTGAAGAATCTCAGCCAAAGAAAAAAGCAAAAAAAGACAAGAAGAAAAAGGATAAAAAGGATAAAAATGATTCCGAGGAAAGCGAAGAGGAGATTCCAGAAGAAAAGCCGAAGAAAAGCAAAGGAAAGTCAAAGAAATCAAAAGAGCCAGAGTCTGATGAAGAAGATGAGGCTCCAAAAAAGAGAAAAGCTTCAGATAGCTCAGAGCCAGCTCCAAGTAAAAAGCATAAAAAAGAGGAATCCAAAGCTGATATCGAATCTGATTTCCAGCATAAAGTCATAGTTTCAAACCTTCCACCAGATTTTACTCAAAAATCCCTTAAAAAGATCTTTAAAAAGTGTGGGGAATTCGCCTTCACAGTCCCACACGAGTCCCAAGGCTTCGCAGTCGTAAAATTCAAGGACGAATCAGACGTCAAAAAAGCTTTAAAACTAAACAAAGCCCTCTATAAAGAAAAAGAGCTTCTAATCAATACCCCAGATCAGCTGCCAGCAATCCAGAAGCGAGTTGAGAAAATTTCAACCATTTTTGTGGGAAATCTTAACCCAACCACCACCTATGAACAAGTTTCCAGCTTCTTCTCAGGCTGTGGCAAAGTAAAATCTGTCAGGATGTCTACAGATCCTGAAGGGAAAAACAAAGGGTTTTGCCATGTAGATTTCACTAATTCCTTTGCCGCAAATCTTTCGCTCAATCTGATTGGGAAAAAACTGAATGGCAAACCTTTGAAAATTGATTTAAGTGCAGATAAAAGAAATAATGAAGCAAAGCCAGCCCAGCCAAGTACTTAAATAATTTAGGAAAATAAAATCTTTAGCTTAAGTTTAGGAATGGGTTTGAGCTTTTCTCATCACCAATAGTTGTTTCAGGTCCATGTCCTGGGATTACTCTTGTATCATCAGGCAAAGTCATTACTTTTTCGTGCAGAGACTGCATCAGCTGCTGCATGTTTCCTCCTGGCAGATCTGTTCTGCCGACTCCACTCATAAATAACGTATCACCTGTACAAACGAGTTTGTCGGCTTCAAAATAAAAGCAAAGTGATCCTTGGGTGTGGCCTGGGGTATGGATAACTCGGCCGTTTCTTACTTGCAAGATATCCCCGTCTTCTAAATTATTTTTAGGTGGAGGGCATTTTTTGGGAGCTTGGACGCCTAAAAATAAGCATTGCAAAGAAATACTTAGTCATAAATTTCTGTCATTTGCGTTATAATAGACTGGAGCTCCTGTATGCTTCTCTATCTCTGGTGCTGCTAAGATATGGTCGACGTGTCCATGAGTAATTATGATTTGTTTGATTTTAAATCCACGAGAATCAATAAGCTGGATGATTTGATCAGCATCACCGCCTGGATCTATCAAAACAGCTTCTAAAGTGACCGGATCTGCAATGATTACCATATTGCACTGAAGTGGCCCTACAGGTAAGGTTTCAACTATTGCCATGATTTTATTGATACTATAAATTTTATCAAACTTTTATTGTGAGTTGATAATGCATTGATAGAAAGATTGATCTTAAATTGCATTAAGAATAAGAATGCATAAGATTCAGTTAAGAATTTTTTTATTGAAGAAAATTCTTTTATCGAAATAGATAATATTGTCTGAAAAATAAAATATATAATAATAAGTTATTATATTAATAGAAATCTCGATTAAAACGTGATAATATTAAATTCACACTTGCATTTTTATCAATGTCTCGAGTCGTGACGTCACAAAAATGTTCCCGTAGTAATCAAAATGAACATTTGAAGACTTTGTAAAGAGTTGGCAAACTCAAAATTTTGTTAGCGATAAAAAGTTTAAATCACTCTAATTGAAATTTATAATCATTTTTCTATCCTTCTCCTAACTTCCCCCCCTCCGTGAGTGAACAAAAAATTTTGTTCACTCACAAAGGGGGGGTAATTTTTTTTTTAAAAATAATTATATATAAATTTCATAGAAAAAATTTTTTTGTTGGAATTTAAAAAAATCCTAATTTGCAAAAATTGGGAAGCAAATATTAATTTAATTTATAAAATTTTTATGTTTTAAAACGCAGTTTGTTTAAAATTAAACAGAATTAGCTAGAAATTTCATTATGCTAATTATCACTTATTAATCAAATTTTTTTTTCATAAAAATTTTTGCTCACTAACCGAGGGTGAGTTTTTAGGCAAAAAATAGGGATTTTTCTAATGGTTTTATTCACTCACGGAGGGGGGAGGAGTAAGATTTCTATTAATATTGTTTGAATATAAAAAACAGAGAGAAAAAAACGCTCATGATTGATTGATAATCTCTTTTTTAAAAACCAATTTATTTCTAATTTTTCTTTGCAAATAGTTTACTACTCAAAAATATAAAATTTCTTGGCTATATTCTTTTGACAACACAAAAGAATCACTTAATTATCAATTTAACTGACCACATTTGGACGTTTTTACTTTAAGTAATAAAAATGATGGCCATTCTAGAAAGCTTGTTTACCACAAATAACATCATATTCACAGTCATCATTCTTCTCTATATTCTTTACTATCGTAAATACCGCTATTACAAGTTCGAACAAAAACTGCCATTCACGAAAGGACGTCGACTTATGGGAAAAACGCTCCCAGCATTTCCTAATGGCTGGTTTATAGTCGCCCGCTCTTCAGAGCTTAAAAAAGGTCAAACAAAATCAGTAGACTATCATGGCCAAAATATTGCTTTATTTAGAGGAACGGATGGAGTCGTATATGCAATTGATGCATATTGTGCACACATGGGCGCCAATCTTGCAGAAGGAGGAGTTGTCAAATATTCCAAAGGTCTTCAATGCCCATTTCATGGATGGGTATTTGACGGATCAACTGGAAACTGTGTAACTGGTCCAGACATGAAACCAAAAATGGGTGAAAAATACCTTTATAGCCCAGACAGCTTTTAGCCCGCCTTAGGCTTGCAACTTTCTATGATGTTGGTTTGGAACCAAAAGATGTCAAACCAACTCTATGAGTTAGCAAGTGAGTTATACTTGTATCTTGCCAATTCATGGAGTTGTTTTGCGACTTTTGGTTCCAAACTAGTTTGAGAGAAAGATGCAGGCCCAAGGCGAGCTAAAGTCAGACCTGGGCTATATTCTTCTCAAATCGGCGATGCCAATTTCACCGGGCCAGCACTTAAACTTGACAAAAAAGAGATAATTAAAATCAAGAAATGGCAAGTAAGAGAACTTGGTGGATTTATATTTGTATGGTACCATGCAATTGAAGAACTTAGAACTAAAACTCCACCTTACGAACCATTTGATCTCACTGAATACACAAACAAACTGTCATTTCGAGGAACTAGCATAAATAAAGTCCAAAGCCATATTCAAGACATCCCTGAAAATGGAGGAGACTTGATGCATTTCTTTTACGTCCACTATTCTTTCCTTCCATTTACCGATGCTTTTAAAGCGAGATGGAAAGCTAATTGGAGCAGAGCTGACAACCCAAATCTAAGAGAAGAAATGAAGCATGAGGTCGACTATATCAATGACTTCAAAATGAGGCTTTTCGATAAATATTTGAACGACGATAACAAGCCTTATATAGGAATTATCACATTAGACAGCTATTTACTTATGCCAGGCTGCCAAGAAATTTTCTTCTTCAATGCAACTGGCTTCCAGCTAGGATCTGGGCTTGTGTATTTATTTTTGAAAAGCCCGTTTTTCGAAACAATATTTTTCCAACACTTAGAACCTGTTGAAAAGTATTACCACAATATTTATCATGAAATTTATGCAAGTAATTATCTGCCTTATTGCATTACTGCACTAATGCTGAGACTAGAAGCCCAGCAAGTTATGAACGATGGAAAAATCTGGGACAATAAACAGTTCGCAATGTCTACGTATTACAATATGAGTGCCGACGCTGACAAGCTACTTTTCTCATGGAGAACTTGGTTCTCGCAATTCTACGAAGGCTGCAAAGAAGCCGAAGAGAAAAGAGAACAACTATCATGGTAGTCTTTTAAAATAATTTGCCCTTTAAATTCACTTACTCCCCCCTCCGTGAGTGAACAAAACCATTAGAAAAATCCCGTTTTTTTGACCAAAAACCCACCCTCCGTGAGTGAACAAAAATTTTTTATGGAAAAAAATTGATATATAAATGATAATTAGTAAAATGAAATCTAAAGCTAATTCTGTTTAATTTTAAACGAATTGCTTTTTAAAACATAAATTTTAGAAATTAAATTAATATTTGCTTTCCAATTAGGATTTTTTTAAATTTCGAAAAAAAAATATTTTTATAAAATTTATATATAAAGTTTTTTTAAAAAAATTAACCCCCCTCCGTAAGTAAACAAAATATTTTTGTTCACTCACGGAGGGGGGGGGGGAGTTAGTAATATTTTCCTAAAAATGATTTTGAAACGTCTGATTATAATTTTATAAGATATGAATGTCATCTTATATAGATTTATCATAAAATTCGTTACGAATCTAAATTTTCATAGCAATTAATTAAATTTAGAGAATTTAATTAAATAAACTTATAAATGTGATTGATAGTCTTTTTATTTTCAAGCTTCTCTTGTGAGCTAATTATTGAAAGAATTCCCTCTACAAATCCTCCACCTTACTACAGATCGTTTTCCTTAATGGAGAGCTACCCAAACCGTTACTTTATCATTCTGTATGGAGGCTTTCCAGACCCATCTAGCATTTTTGGTGACGTATGGCTTTTCAACACAAAAGATGAAATTTGGAATAAACTTGTCCCATCAAACGGCGTTATCCCAGGTAAGTTTTATTTTAGCTGCAAGGTATAATGGAGGATCATTTAAAAGTCTAGATGACAATGAATTTTATATTTTCGGCGGCCTTTCAACGACTGGTCCGTTAAATGATTTGTGATGTTTTGAAACGTTTGGGCTGATGTGGCATCAAATTCAAACATATGGAGATGTCCCATCACCAAGAACAAGATTTGGTTATACTTATTATCAAGATAAGGAAGGGACACTCTTATTTGCTATTTTTGGAGGAATAACTGCGACTGGATTGAGTAACAGCCTTTATCTGTAAAATTTATTTAGTCTAAATACAACAAGTTGAAAGTGGAAAAAGATGCCCTCTGAAGGAATAGTTCCGAAATCAGTTGCAGGGCCCACGATTAATTATTACAGTAATAAAATTTATATCGCTGCTGGAGAAGTTTTGACGACAAATATTACAATACAAACACTTTTTTATTATGATTTGGATGCAAATCAATGGGTAAATGTGACTTCTAACTCCCCCCTCCGTGAGCGAACAAAACCATTTCCTATTTTTGCTTAAAAGCCCACCCTCTGTGAGCGAACAAAAAATTTTTTATGGGAAAATTTTTGATATATATATAAGTGATAACTAGGATCATGAAATCTAGAGCTAATCTGTGTTTAATTTTTAACAAATTGCGTTTTAAAAAACATAAATTTTACAAATTAAATTAATATTTGCTTTCCAATTTTCGAGAAGTGGGATTTTTTTAAATTCGAAAAAAAAAAATTTTCTTTAGAATTTATATATAAATTTTTTAAAAAAATTAACCCTTCGTGAACGAACAAAAAAAACTTGTTCGCTCACGGAGGGGGGAGTAAGAACACTTATACAGCGAGAACTCATCATGGTAGTGTTATATATGAAGATGAGCTATATTTGATGATGGGGTGATCACAGATTGAAAATAATCATGTATTGGATTGATATAAGGTGAATTTAAAAGATCCTAATTATGATTGAAATAAAGTAAGCTTGACTGATGACACCACTGGGTATTTAAAAACTAGCAGCTACGGAAGTACTTTATATCAAAATTCAATATATCTTTTTGGAGGAAATCAATATCCTCCAACAACAAATGAATTAGTAATTTTTGATATGGCAGTTTCTCCTATTCCACATAGAACATTTGGTAAAGACCTCTCACCAACTCCTCGAATGTATCACTCAATGCAACCAATTGGGCAATATCTATATTTATTTGGAGGACTGGGCGATAATGGACATCCTTTAAACGATTTTTGATCTTTTGATTGTATTAATGAAAACTGGAGCTTAGTAAGTTCATTCGGAGATCATCCGCTTCAAAGATATGCCTACGCTTCTGCAGTGGATGGAGATCTGTTGCTAATTTGGGGTGGATATGGTTCTTTAGGATACCTTAACGATGGGTATGTATATGATATTACCTCCAATACATGAACTATTCTGGAATATACAGGTGTAGCGCCAAGCCCAAGGTCAGGAGCATGTGCAGGTATAGAGGTTTCCTCTATATAGCGCTGAAAGCGCAGACATTTTCCCAGGAGCTTTCCAAGTTCGTCGGACCAAATCGCTTTTTGGTCCGACCAAGGCATTGATTTGGTGCAACCAACCGATAAATTCCGATCAGAATTTATCGGCCTTACAGCGCCAAACATAGGAAACTTCTATATGAGCGGTCCAATGATTTTTATATATGGAGGTGAGACAGAATTAGGCTTATCTGATGAAGTTTGATATTATGATTTTACAGTAAAAATGTATACGTTATTAGATTCTGACAATCCGCGAGGCCCTGGACCCTTAGTTTATGCCAGCTGTAGAATAGCTACTACATCAAATACATATTTATATGTAATGTACGGAGAAGCTGAAGACAATATAGCTACTAATGCAATTTATGGATTTTTTGCATTGACTGGAGAGTGGTTTAGCTATATTGATAATCCAGATAATCAAACTTATAGTAGAAGCAGAGCTGCTGTCTGTAAACCGCAAGGGAAAATTCTTATTGCTGGTGGAATTGCTACAGGAGGATACCCAAATAATGATATTTTTTATTTCGATACAAAAAATAAACAGTATAGTACACTTGGTTCTCTTCGTGATAGTGTTTTTGGCCCTGCTTCAGTGTATTTTCAAAACTATTTTTATATTCACGGAGGAGGGAGCGCTGTTTCTTACCTTTTGAGGTATAATGCTCCCACTAATAAATTTATTCGTATGCATTTGTGGTCATCTTGCTCAAATAATGTGACTTGTAGCTTCGGCTGCAGCCCTGGGAGTTATAGAACTGCGTCAAACTGTGAAATATGCCCCCAAGGAGCTTATGCGGATCAATATAATATGACTGAATGCACAAAATGCCCTAAAGGCAAATATGGGCCTAACTATGGATCCACTTCTGCAGATATGTGCTACCCATGCCAAGAAGGAACTTATAACGCTTTAGAAGGGCAAAGATATTGCCTTGCTTGTCCTAGTGGATCGAGCTGTAAAACAGGAAGTTCTTATTATAGTCATGAAATAGAAGATTTTTCAGACAAGTCTATACAGCCTGCAATTTATTCAGTCAATATGTCTGAAACAAATAGGAATATTAGATTAGCAGAGTATGTTATTGGATTTATAGGACTCGGCGTAATCCTTATATTTATATTTGTCAAAAAAGCAAAAAAATTGCTAAAGTATATTGATTTATACGTCTCAAGCCATAATTATATCCTTGGAGATCCAATGATTTTAAGAAGTACTCAGATTGGAGGAGTTTTTAGTTTGGCTTTTATATTTGGAGCAATCATTATTATTTTTATATCCATTTTTCAATATGCTTCAAATAATATATATGAAACAAAAAGCTTGGTTCCATTAGTTGTGCTCGAGCAAGACGTATCAGAGGTATTTATTATTTACTCCACTATCTTAATAAAATGCCATTTTATAAATTTAAATTGGGCTAAGTTAAAATAAAATTTTGATAATAATTCCCAATTTGGGATATTTATGACACTCTAATAAACATTTCGATACAGTTCTCCATTTTCTACACTGAAATAATATTAAATTTTTTTCATTAAAAAATTTTACCAAAAGCATTAATTATAATAATCATTTATATAATATCCATAAATTTTATTGGCTTAAATATATTGCTAGTATTAATTAAGAGTTAGTTTACATCATATTTTTTATTAAATGTGACGCTGAAAAATTATGGAAGCACTTGTGCAGGAGAAAGTAATTCGTGCTATCATGCAATTTTTTATGAAATAAATGGGATAACCGGAGAATGGTCTGAAGAAAGTTGCAAAGAAATACCTAATGGAGATTGCCAAATATCAATGGTTTGTAAGCACTGTTCAATTCCATATGAAGGAAGTATTTTTTTTACAATGGACGACACAAATGCTTATACAAGTGGCTACACTGTTAATTTTACTTCTTCCTCGTCTATCCCTGACAAACCAAGTAGCTATCAAACTTCAGTTTTGCCTTCAAAAAATTATGTGTTTTTAGGGACGACTCCTACCAAAATTTATTACACTATGATCCCTTCATTTTACGACGATAAACCAAATGATGTAAATCATACTGGTTACCATGTAACTCTTGGAAAGCTTCCAGATAAAGGATCACAGCTCAAATCATATGAGTAAAATTTATATAGGCTAGGAATGGGTTTTATCAATTATCTATCGATTGTATTATCTATTGATAATAGTGGCCTAGTTACAACAAGAAATGATAATCAAACGTTGATTGTTTTGCTAACAACACTTATAGGATCAGTCTTTGGAATTTTGAGTGGAATTGGGGGAGTGATGAACACTGTAGAGCAGAGGTGGATCAAGTTCAAGAAAAAATCGAAAATGCAAAAGCATTGTGTTGGAATGGTAGAAAATATAAAATATATAGAGAATTCATATGTTAAAAAATTAGGGACCAGATCTGAGGGAGATACAGGTTTAAACTCTAATGATGAAAGCGGCAATCGACTTTTACGGTTAATAGATAAATACTGCTAATTTTTGTATTTATTACTAAATAGATTATTCACGATCTAAATAATTTTTCAGTCAAAAATAAGTTTTTTAAGCTCAAGCTATATAATATTCTTGACTTTAAGGCATATATTGCTGGTGACAGCCGTTTTTATAATGATTTAACATATTAAAGTTTATTTAATAACATTCCCAAATTTTTGGTAATAAAATGGTTATAAGAAGTTACATACAGCTAAATATTTTTTAATTTTCTGTATTTAGTATAAAATTTTATAATCTGATAATGTTCGATTAATTTTCAAAAAGTTTAGAGCCAATAAGCATATAAATGATTTTAATAGTCATTTTACTTCTCAGCTTGGCTTATGGACTCACTGTAGAAAGAATTCCTTCCACAAACCCACCGCCTTCCTATCGATCGTTTTCCTTGATGGAAAGTTACACAAATCAGGGTATCATAATTGTATATGGTGGTTTTGCAGACCCTTCAAGCATCTTTGGAGACGTTTGGCTTTTCAACACAAAAGATGAAGTATGAAATAAAATTGTTCCATCAAACGGCGCTATTCCAGGTATACTCTATTTTAGTTGGGAGGTACAATGGTGGTTCTTTCAAAAGCAAAAACGAAGAACTTTTTTATATATTTGGAGGCTTGTCATTGACAGGCCCTTTAAATGACTTATGATGCTTCCAGACACGTGGAATTTTATGATATCAAATACAAGCGTCTGGAGATGTCCCATTACCGCGATTAAGATTTGGTTTTACTTCTTATCAAGATAGAGACGGAACATTGCTATTTGCTATCTTTGGTGGATTAACTGTAAATGATTCCGATAACAATCTCTATATGTAACATTCCTATATAGATTAAATACAACAAGCTGGGTTTGGAAAAAAATGCCCTCTGGAGGAATCGTTCCGAATAAAGTTGTAGGGCCTACAATTAATTATTACAACAATAAGATTTATGTTGCAGCAGGAGAAGATGTAACAATGAATACTAGTATTCAAACATTTTTTTATTATGATTTAGATTTAAAGCAATGAATAAATATTACTTCTGATGAAACTTATTCGGCAAGAACTTATCATGGGAGCTTTATTTATGACAATGCATTGTATTTAATGATGGGGTGATCTCAAACAGTGTATAATCACGTTGTGGATTGATATATATGCTTACGAAGAATGGTCCACTAACTCCCCCCCTCTGTGAGTGAACAAAAAAATTTTGTTCACTCAAGGAGGGGGTTTAATTTTTTTTATTGAAAAAATTATATATAAATTTTATAAAAAAATATTTTTTTTTCGAAATTCAAAAAAAATCCTAATTGGCAAAAATTGGAAAGCAAATATTAATTTAATTTATAAATTTATGTTTTGAAAAGCAATTCATTTAAAATTAAACAGAATTAGCTCTAGATTTCATTATACTAATTATCATTTTATATATTAAAAAACTTTTTTTCAATAAAAATTTTTGTATTAAAAAAATTTTTGTTCACTCACGGAGGGTGGGTTTTTGGGCAAAAAAATAGCGATCTTTCTAATGGTTTTGTGTTCACTCACAGAGGGGTGAGTAAGGAATCTTTTTATTAGCCAAATTTATTTGGCTTGCGAAATAGCATGACTTGACAAATTATTTGCAAGTCAGCATTGCTTGTTTTACCAAATAATATCCTTGGGGTTATTCACCGTATACACGCATATAAGGTGAGCCTAAAAGATCCTAACTATGATTGAATTAAAGTAAATTTGACTAATGATATCACAGTCTCTCACTCAAACTGGAGACCCTAGTTGGGCAAGGATGAGATGTACCTCCCTTGTGCGTACTCAATCCGTCCTGGAGATGTGGCGGATTCTACAGAAGAAGATGACTTGACACCAGCCGTCATCAGTTCGTTCACAAGGTGTGGACGCCGCAAAATGGATGAATCCCTAGGGTCCTTGGTGACTTCGTAAATCAATACGGTGCTCATCCACCTATTAATTAAGGTTAAGATTAAGACTAATGATACCACTAACTATTTAAAAACCTACAGCTACGGGAGTACTTTATATGAAAACTCAATATATTTATTTGGAGGGAATAAAAATCCTCCTGCAACAAATGAATTAGTGATTTTTAATATGACAGCTTCTCCAATAGAGCATAGAATATTCGGCGACGATCTTTCACCTTCTCCAAGAATGTATCACTCAATGCAGCCAATTGGGCAGTATCTTTATTTATTTGGAGGACTTGGCGATGGTGAATACCCTTTAAATGACTTCTGAGCTTTTGATTGCATTCGGGAAAGTTGACATCTGGTAAGTTCACTTGGGGATCATCCACCTCAGAGGTTTGCATATGCTTCTGCAGTTGATGGAGACTTATTGCTAATTTGGGGTGGATATGGTAGTTTAGGATATCTTACTCTGCTTCATTATAGAACTTTTTTGGGATACTATAAATATATTATTTAAAAAATAATAAGCAATACTCACTTATTTGTTAAATTTACCTTCTGGGATTTTATTATAGATTTAAAACAACTTTTATAGAAGTATTAATAATTAATATAACCAATTAAAAGTATATTAAAATCTGATACTCTCCAAAAGTTTTGTTTTTTGTTGTAAGTTAGTGATGGCTATATATATGACATAACTTCTAATACATGAACTTTACTTACTTATAATGGCGTTTCACCAAGCCCAAGACTTGGAGCATGCGCAAGTATGCGAGGACAAGCTATTTATCTTTTTGGAGGACAAACAGAATCCGGCTTATCTGACGAAGTTTGATATTATGATTTTACGGAAAAAACATATACACTCTTGGATTCTGACAATTTATCTGGCCCAGGGCCATTAGTTTTTGCAAGCTGCCGAATAGCCATTACACCTAGTAAGTTTATATATGTAATGCATGGAGAAGGGCCAAATAATATTGCAACCAATGAAATTTATGGATTTTCCGCATTGACTGGAAAATGGCTTAGATACACTGATAATCCAAGTAATTCAACTTATAGCAGAAGAAGAGCTGCCGTTTGCAAGCCTTTTGGGAAAATACTTATAGCTGGAGGCATAACTCAAGGCGGATATCCAAGTAATGATATTTTTTATTTTGAAACAAGTAGTAATGAATATTTCATGCTAGGTTCACTTTTTGATAGTGTTTTCAGTCCTGCTTCAGTGTATTTTCAAAACTATTTTTATATCCACGGAGGAGGGAGTGCAATTTCTTATATCTTGAGATATAATGCACCTACAAATAAATTTAACAGGATCCATTTGTGGTCATCTTGCTCAAATAATGTGACTTGTAGCTTCGGCTGCAGCCCTGGGAGTTATAGAACTGAGTCAAACTGTGAAATATGCCCCCAAGGAACGTATGCGGATCAATATAATATGACTGAATGCACAAAATGCCCTAAAGGGAAATACGGGCCTAACAATGGAGCTACATCTGCAGACATGTGCTATCCATGTCAAGAAGGAACATATAACAATAAAGAAGGCCAAAAGCGCTGTCTTAATTGCCCTGCTGGAACGATCTGTAAAGCAGGAAGTTTTTATTATAGTCATGAGATAGAAGATTTTTCAGATAAGTCTATACAGCCTCCAATCTATTCAGTTGATATAGAAGAAATAAAGAAAAATATCAGAATAGCAGAAATAGTTATTGGACTTATTGGTCTTGGCGTTATTCTGATATTCATTTTTGTAAAAAAAGTCAAAAAATTTTTGAAATATCTCGACTTATACGTATCACTCCATAATCATATCATTGATGATCCTATGGTTTTAAAGCGCACTCAAATTGGTGGAGTTTTTACATTAGTCTTTATAATCGGTGCATTTATAATTATATTTATTTCACTGTTTCAGTATGCTTCAAATAACATTTTTGAAACCAAAAACTTAGTCCCACTGGTAGTTCTTTTGCAGGATGTATCAGGGGTATTTTTTATATAGTTTAAGTCGAATTTCATGATGAGCGTCACGCTAAAAAACTATGGGAGCACCTGTGTAGGAAATGGTGATTTGTGTTTTCAGGCAATTTTTTATGAAATAAATGGGATAACAGGGACTTGATCGAGAGAAAGATGCCAAGCGATGTCTAATGGAGATTGTCAGATATCGATGCGTTGTGAAGATTGCTCGATTAAATATGAAGGGAGTATAGCTTTTACAATGGATGATACAAATGCATATATTATAGTTTAGAAATTTTATGAATCGTTTTTCATATTTAAATTTATTTTTATATGAAAATTAAAAATTTCAAAGGTTTAGTATGCCAAAAATATTTTTAAATGAAAAACAAAATTTAAAAAAAATAATGTATATACAAGTGGCTACACCATTAATTTTACTTCAACTTCCTCAATTCCTGGCAAAACAAGCAGTTATCAAACTTCAGTTTTACCATCCCAAAATTACGTATTTTTAGGGACAACTCCAACTACAATTTACTTCACAATGATTCCTTCATTTTATATTGATAAGTCTAATGATGCAAATTATACAGGATATCATGTGACTCTTGAAAAACTTCCTGATAAAGGCTCGCAGCTTAAATCTTATGAGTAAAATTTATATAGGCTGGGAATGGGTTTTAGTAATTATTTATCGGTCGTATTATCTATTGACAATAATGGGCTTGTCACAACAAGAAATTATAATCAAACGTTGGTAGTTTTGATTGCAACACTTATAGGCTCGGTATTTGGCATTTTAAGTGCAGTAGGAGGAGCAATGAGACTAGTTGAGAAAAGATGGATCAAATATAAGAAAAAATTAAAGTTAAAATCATACTCCATAGGAGTTGAGAGCATACAAAATACAGAAATAGGATCTATCAGAAGATCAGGCTCAAGGTCGGAACCAGATACTTGTATGATTTCAAGCGACGAAGAACTCAATAAATTCAAGCTATTCTTGAATAAATATTTCTAATATTTTTTCATATTTGAAAAAATTGTTTAATTTTGATAACTACCTTAATATAATTATTCCCTGATATCAATAAATTAAAAATAACTAATCGATAACTTAAAATTTTTTTATTTTCTATCAAAGAATGAATAGATTAGATTTAGAAAATTGAAATTATAAACAATTTAAATTAATGAGTTTTTACCATTTGGAAATTTTTGTTATCTTTTCTTTCTATTAATGATTGATTTCATTTAATTTTCAAATTTTTAATTATTTTTTAGATAATTGTGATATTCATAAGTACTCAATTGTCATCCACAATAATATGTTTTGTTTTTGTACAATAGAAAACCATAGCAATATTTTGTGCATAAAAAGATGCTCAAAGAGTTAGATGTATAAAAGAAAAATTCAACTAACCATCGGTTTTACTAATAAAGATGTTAGAAAATTTAGATTTCCTGTTTTCTACCAACTATATCATCATCACTATAGCAATAATTCTTTATGCTCTCTATGTACGGAAATACCGTCACTATGTATTTGAGCAAAGTCGTCCTTTTACTAAAGGCAGAAGAAGCATAGGAAAGACTTTACCACCTTATCCAAATGGATGATTTTGCGTGGCACGATCATCAGAGATTAAAAAAGGTGAAGCCAAGCATATTGATTATAATGGGCAAAATATCGCTGTATTTAGAGGTACTGATGGAGTTGTTTATGCAATAGATGCTTATTGCGCTCATATGGGAGCAAATCTTGCTGAAGGAGGCAAAGTTAAGTTTACAAAGGGTCTCCAATGTCCTTTTCATGGGTGAATATTCGATGGCTCAACTGGAAATTGTGTCACTGGCCCTGATATGAAGCCAAAAGAGCTAGATAAATACGCTTATACAGAAGTAGTTAATGATGCAGGGGTAAAATTGCCGATGCCCAAACTATGTTGCAAAGAGCAAGTTAAAGTAAAGAAATGGCAAGTAAGAGAGATGTTTGGGTTCATTTTTGTGTGGTATCACGCCATTGAAAACCTCAGAATAGCCCCACCATCTTATGAACCTCTAGATATTTCTGATTTTACTAAAAGATTATCATATAGAGGCCATAGCATAAATAAAGTAAAAAGCTTTATTCAAGATGTCCCAGAAAATGGAGGAGATTTAATGCATTTCCTATATGTCCACTATGCTTTTCTTCCTTTTACAGATGCTTTTAAAGCAAAATGAAGGGCTTCTTGGTACAGAGGTGATGATCCAGAATTAAGAGAAAAAGTTGCCCATGAAATAGGATATATAAATGATCATAAAATGAGACTTTTGGATAAATATTTGGATGAAGGAAATAAGTCAAATATAGGGATACTCACCTTAGACAATTACATAATTTTGCCTGGGGGCAAAGAAATTTTCTTTTTAAATGCGACAGGGTTCCAAGTTGGATCAGGAATTGTTTACTTATTTTTAATAGGACCATTTTTTGAAGGGGTTTTCTTCCAGCATTTGAGGCAGATTGATAAGCATAATCTAGAAGTCTATCATGAAATGTGGGCAAGCAACTATTTGCCTTATGGCATTACTGCGATTATGCTGAGAGGAGAAGCACAACAAGTAATGAATGATGGAAAAGTGTGGGATAATAAACAATTCGCCATGAAGCCTAACTATAATATGATGGGAGACCCAGATAAATTGCTATTAAAGTGGAGAAATTGGTATGCTCAGTTTTTTGAAGGATGTGAAGAGGCAGAAAAAGCAAAAGAAAAGCTTAGTTGGTAATTTCTCTAATTTAAATATTGATTTTGATAGATTGCTTTTGAATAAATTTGCATAAATATAATGCTTATATTATGATCTTGCTATAAATTAATTGAAATAAAGAGACTTATTGATTTTTGAGAAAAGGTAACCTTTAAAGAGACTTGGCTTAGACCTCAGCAAATTCGAAGTCAATTGCAATTGGGAGATCGCTTTCTTGAATATTAGGAGCCTCAATTTTGCATTGTTTCACGCCTGCTACGCAGCCAGTGAAAGTCCATCCACTTGTTGAGATATCTGCACCTGAGTTTAAGGTAGCTTTAAATGAACTTTTCGACAGTCCAGTTGAAAGTTGATGAGCAAAGTCAAGTACGATATTCGGAACGTCGAGGCTGACCTGGAATCCAACAGAATCTTCCCTACAAGTAGTTCCTGTTTGAGTTATTGCTGTAGCACAAGTATAGCACTCAGGACCTGGCTCGCAATATGTGCAGGAGTCGGTACAATCTAAATAATATCTTACAAATACAAGATGTTGAAGTGGGACTGTCATCATTGAGGAAGTATCCAGCTTCACATGCATCGCATTGAGTACTTATTTTTGAGCATTCAGCACAATTATTGTCTAAGGCGCAACCTAAGTAGAGATTACAGTGATAATTTCTAAGTACATTTCCATCACCAGAATCCTTGCAATCCAGGCAATATTGTGCCTCTTCTCTAGCTGAATCAGGATCGCAAGTAGTGCATCCGTTGGTATCACAGGCGGTGCAATACTGTAATGATGATAAGCATATTTTGCCTGTAAGACTGCCGAAACTTTGAGCGCACACACTATCAATGCAAGTTCCACGATTGCAAGGAACTGCTATACTTATGTAACTACTGCCATCGAATAATCCTATATTATCAAAAGAGCTATTTATGCTAGCAGAAATTGTAAGAATAACCCTATGGAACTTTCCCTTAATTGAACTTCCAAAAAAGAATTCTCCATTAGGCATATCAAAAGCAACAACTGAGCTGCCTGAATTTATGGAAATTACGTCATAGCCTATTCATACAACCTCAAATTGGACAGGGTTTGGGTTAACATTAGCAAAGTTAAACGCAATAAAGAGCCACTTGCCTACATAAAAATTACTTAAATGCACAGTTATAAAAACGTCATTAGCTGAATCAGTTGTTTCAGAGGCTGAAACAAAAGAAGCTTTTAAGATGCCATTCTCAGTTGATGAGACGATATAGTGTGGGCCGCCGCTAATTCCGAATTGAAAAACTTTTGTGCTTATAGTTGATTCAAAGTTTACCCAAAATCCAACTGCATGCCCCGTAGGATTGACTAAGCTGGATCCGTCTGTTGTTAAACTCCAGGTTTGATCACCGCTCAGGCTCATTGAGCTACAGCTAACATACGAGCTTAAATCAATATTAGAATCTGCACTTAGATAAGGATCGGAACCACTTTGACTATTGATAAAGCGAGAGATTATATATCCCAGAAAACCAGTTTAGATGGTCCTGGGCTTGGAGAATATGACTCAACTCAAGAATTCGTTCTTCAGCTTGAACTGGAGAATCAAATCGGCGAGTTGCTCTGCATTCTCCCAGCCCAGGGCCATCATAAAAATATTTCAGAGCTATATCTCCTGTTGATTTTGTTAGACTTCAATCACCTAGGAAGTCAAAGCCGTTAGCAAATGATAAGAGAGCAAGGACGACGAGAGTATTTAGTGGTTTTGAATAAACCATTTTTATTTATAAACAAATTCATTTCACTTTTATAAATGCATGCTAAGCAATTTTAATAGTAAATTTTATCAAGAAATTGTTTGATTGCTTTTTGAATTTGATGGCTCAAATAAAAATTATTAGCAAGCCAGCAATTTTCAAATAGCTTTGATTGAAATAAAGAACAAAAATCTAATAAATTTATGATTTTAAGGATTTGAACTTCTTCTTGGGAGAAATTACAGTTCTTCTAAAATTAGCACTTTTTACCTTCCAAATAAATATCCTTATATGCATGGAAAATCCAGAAGAATGAACAGCTACCTTAATAGTTAAATCTTCCTTATTTTATTATAGCTTACTAGAAGTTAGATGGCTAATTTATGCCACTTTCTATTAATCCAAAATATTTACGATTTATTATCATATCGATGAGTTTATCAATAGATTTTTCTTCCAAAAATAATTTGCTAGATATAAAAGTAGCTCAAGTCTCTCAAATGACCTCTAGAAATATATTTCCAATAATGCATCTTTGTCATCCCTTATAAAAAAACGGTAATTTTTTCCTCTGATCAAAAACTTATCACGTCAAAAAACTTCAAATTTATTATCAAGCATAAGTATTTAGGATGAAATTATTAACTAAAGTCCAAAACTATCCAAATAATAGAGGATATATGATTTTAAAAGATCTAATAATTTCAAGACCAATTTAATTGAAATTAAATTAAGCTAAGATTATAATGGGCAAAATATCGCTGTATTTAGAGGTACTGATGGAGTTGTTTACGCAATAGATGCTTATTGCGCTCATATGGGAGCAAATCTTGCTGAAGGTGGCAAAGTTAAGTTTACAAAGAGTCTCCAATGTCCTTTTCATGGGTGAATATTCGATGGCTCAACTGGAAATTGTGTCACTGGCCCTGATATGAAGCCAAAAGAGCTAGATAAATACGCTTATACAGAAGTAGTTAATGATGCAGGGGTAAAATTGCTGATGCCCAAACTATGTTGCAAAGAGCAAGTTAAAGTAAAGAAATGGCAAGTAAGAGAGATGTTTGGGTTCATTTTTGTGTGGTATCACGCCATTGAAAACCTCAGAATAGCCCCGCCATCTTATGAACCTCTAGATATTCTGATTTTACTAAAAGATTATCATATAGAGGCCATAGCATAAATAAAGTAAAAAGCTTTATTCAAGATGTCCCAGAAAATGGAGGAGATTTAATGCATTTCCTATATGTCCACTATGCTTTTCTTCCTTTTACAGATGCTTTTAAAGCAAAATGAAGGGCTTCTTGGTGCAGAGGTGATGATCCAGAATTAAGAGAAAAAGTTACCCATGAAATAGGATTTATAAATGACCATAAAATGAGACTTTTGGATAAATATTTGGATGAAGGAAATAAGTCAAATATAGGGATACTCATCTTAGATAATTACATAATTTTGCCTGGGGCAAAGAAATTTTCTTTTTAAATGCGACAGGGTTCCAAGTTGGATCAGGAATTGTTCACTTATTTTTAATGGGAACATTTTTTGAAGGGGTTTTCTTCCAGCATTTGAGGCAGATTGATAAGCATAATCTAGAAGTCTATCATGAATGTGGGCAAGCAACTATTTGCCTTATGGAATTATAGGGTTTTACCCTCAACAGCCCGATAAGGGCAGATAAATCCTCCGCGGAATCATCTGCCCTTATCGGGCTATTGAGGGTCAAACCCTATACTGCGATTATGCTAAGAGGAGAAGCACAACAGGTAATGAATGATGGAAAGGTGTGGGATGTAATGAAGCCTAATTATAATATGATGGGAGACCCAGATAAATTGCTACTAAAGTGGAGAAATTGGTATGCTCAGTTTTTTGAAGGATGTGAAGAGGCAGAAAAAGAAAAGCTTAGTTGGTAATTACTCTAATTTAAATATTATCTTAATTAAACTATTAAAAAATTCTTGCATCATTTTTGCATATACTTATGTTAATTTTATTATGGCAGAGCTCGTAATACAAAATTCAATAATTAGCCAGATTAATTTTAGATGAATTTAAAGTCAATTACGTTTGATAAATAAATTTATGGGTATTTCTTCTATTCAAAGGTGAAGTATTTTTTAACATAAAAAGCAGCAAGTTTCTTATGTCCTAAAGCTAGTAGAATTGGATGTTCTTATCATCATAAAAAGTTGCTTTAATTAAGGTAGCGCTAGGAGACTGGATGCGATTTTTTTTGAGTCTTAGACTGAAGTGTTATAAAACTAATAATTTATTATTGGTGAATTAAATAATATTGTCCTCAAAGCATTTTTCGCACAAAAAAGTTTTTCACCAAAATTATCTCAAATAGAGATTTATATAATTTTACTTAGATAAAATATTTGTATTAGAAGCCATTTCTTTATTAGAAATTGAATGAATAATGGCGTGAGTTGTGATCAAGGGTTATATTCGCTCAAAAGGACAAGCAATTTGAATATCCAAATCCTTATCACTATGTAAGCAAAAAATTAGTTTTAAATATAGGCCAACTTGGCGTTCAAAGATAAGTTGGCATTTTCAAAGATAAGTAATATTACAAATATTTTATTAGGGATTTTAAAGAAAGGCTGAAGCTGCGCTATAGTAATTTATAATTTCTATTCTACCCATCCAATTCATAAATTTGAAAAATAGCCAAAGCTTTTCTTAATAAAATTTACTATTAAATTCCTTAACAAACATTTATAAAAGTGAAATAAAAACAAATATAAAAATATGGTTTTTTATAAACCACTAAATATTCTCGTCGTCCTCGTTCTCTTATCATTTGCCAAGGGACTTACACTGCTAGGTGATTGGACTCTTACAAAATTATCAGCAGATACTTTACCCACTGGTATTGCCAATGCTCAAAATGGCGGTATTCCTGCTATAAATGCAGATACCGCTATTAGCATAGACCCAAATGTTGGCTGCAGCTCAATAAGTCTGAACAGTGAAGTCTGGAGTTTAACAGCAGACGCATCCAGCAGTTTAATCACTCTTACAGAATACGCATTTGGATTTTGGGTCAACTTTGAATCAACTATTAGCAATAAAGTTTTTCAATTCGGATCTGACAGTGGCGCACACTATATTGTCTCATCAACTGTAGATGGCACCTTAAAAGTTTCCTTCTTTTCTGACGCTACAACAACTGATTCAGCTAATGACTTCTCCATAACTGTCCCTTTAAGTAATTTCTATACAGATAAGTGGTTCTTTATTGTGTTTCACTTTTTCGATAATTCAGGCACTATTACTTTGGAGATTATATTCCCTGGCACAGCCCTAATTTCCAAAACTTCAGGAAGCTCAGCTGTTGCTTTTGCTCTGCCTGGCGGGCTCTTTTATTTTGGAATGTCAATTAAGGGAAAGTTCCATAAGGTTGTTCTTACAAAGTCTGCTACCATAAATGCTTCCTTTGATACAATAACATTAAATGATGGCTCAAGTACGGAAGCTATAGCAGCGCCTTGTACTCCTGCTGCAGATTGCATTGATAGTGTATGCTCTCAAAGTTTCAGCAGTCTTACAGGAAGCATATGCTTATCATCATTACAGTATTGCACCACTTGTACAGCCAGCGGATGCATTACTTGTGATCCTGATTCAGCTAGAGATGAAGCACAATATTGCCGAGCTTGCAAGGATGATGGCACTACTAATGAGCTTAAAAATTATCACTGTAATTTCTACTTAGGTTGCGCAAAAGCTAATCATTGTGCTGCATGCTCGACAAAAAGCACTCAATGCGATTTATGTCCAGCTGGATACTTCCTTAATGACGATAGTGTTACTTCTTCAACATCTTGCATTTGTAAGATTTTATTTAGCTTGTACCGACTCCTGCACAAATTGCCAGCCAGGTCCTGATTGCTATACTTGTGCTACAACAATAACTCAAACAGGAACTACTTGCAGGGAAGACTCTGTTGGATTCCAGGTCAGCGTCAATCTTCCGAATATCGTGATTGACTTTGCTCATCCACTTTCAACTGGACTGTCGAAAAGTTCATTTACAGCTACCTCAAACTCAGGTACAAATATCGCTACAAGTACATGGACTTTTGCTGGCTGCACAGCAGGCTTGATGCAATGCAGCATTGGAGCTCCTAATCTTCAAGAAAGCGATCTCCCAGTTACACTTGACTTCGAGTTTACTCAAGTCTAGTCTCTTAAAGGGTAACTAACCTTTTCTCAAAAACATTAAACCTTCTATTAATTTATGTCAAGGATAATAATATAAGCATTTTATTTATGCAAATTTCTTGGAAAAGCAAATATCTTTTTAACTCCCCCTTGTGAAATCAGGAAAATCCTATTTTTGGGATGGGAATTAATAAAATGTATTTTTAGATTATAATGATAAAATTCATTCAATTCAATAGGGATATAATAATCATAACCTAAGAAGTCCATATATAATATGGACAACATCTTCAAGATCCTAGACAAGGACAGCGACGTGGAGCCTGTATCAATCCAAGAAAAGGTAAAAGAAGCCAAAACCATCACCAGAAGCCACATTGATAAATCTGAAATCCCAATCAATCCAAAGCAATCGTAGGCAAGAAGTCAAGGATGCTCAGAAAAGGAAAAGATAGAGATAATATGATCGAAAATAAGTACTTAAAAAAGCAAAAGAAGAATTCTCTGCGACAAAAAGCCAAGCATTCCTATTAAGTAATAACATAATATAAAGAAATGCCCATCACACTTTTAAGAAAATATCTGGCAAAGGAAGAAGACGAGCCAAGTGCTGCTGAAATTCCTGTTAAAAAGAAAAAAGGACATTTGAAGAAATCTATACTGACAGATTTTGAGGCCTGAAAAACAAATTAAAAAGAGAAAGTACAAAAAATCGAAAAAATGCCAAAGCAGTTTAAGAGTAAATTGGAGAGAATTGAAGAAAGTGACATCTGGGTTGACCCGAAAGCAAAATATGAGCAAAACTTAGAAGGAGTCAATACTTAAAAACTTTCCTTTTAGAAATATAACAAAAAATGTCACTTATCTTTTTAATCAATGGGTCATTAGGACATTGATATTTTAACTATATAATAAAATGCCAATTTTCTTTAAAATAACGCTTTTAAGACCCTTTGGCATATAAAGCTTTCTTCTAAAATTATATTTATCATTTTATTACAGAATATGATTTTTCATATTAATTAAATGTTAAGAGCTTAAGTAGAAAAATTAGCTACTATCTATTGTATATATAAAGATAAAAGTAAATTTCAATTTCGTATATTTGATAAAATAAATGAATTTCTCAAGTAATTAAATTGCTATTCCAATAACTTTTTATAGTTTCAAATGCCAAATTCGTCATTATGCAATAAATTTAATATGAGATTATGATATGCAGAATAATACTAACTAAAGATTGTAGCTAATATTATTTTATAGTAAAATAGTGTAAATTATTAAAAGATGTTAAAAATACATCAATTTTGGTTCTTTCTACAAGGAATTATAGCTATTACTATAGAGCGAATTCCCTCTGGTGAAGCATAATACCACCCCACATCCTCTCAATACCAAACTACATAACCTTGGTAATAAGAAATATAAGAGATGTTGCACTATTTTAGTTCCTATGCTATTAATAGTATGCTTACACGCATATTTAATACTTTATTTCATATCCCTTCTATATACTTAATTTTATATGATAGCATATTTTGAATTAAATTTAAATGAGATATTATGCAAAATAAGCTATTAAGCATATTAAATCAGCTAAAACACATTAATTTAACGCAATCGATGCTAGATATTGTACGTGCCTATGATACAAATTATGCTTGGATTATTTATTTGTGTCTATCAATTTTAAAGCAGGATTCGACTAGATTAATGTTTAAATGCGATAATTAAGCGAAATCCAGCGTATTTATGTATTAATTCTATTATTTATTAGTTTAAAATTTGTATTTTATAAAAAATTTATATATAGCAGGATATGAAATAAAGCATTAAATAGATTTGTAAATATACTATAAATAGCGTTTTAATAGCACAGGAGTAAAAATAATGAAATATCTCTTATAATTCATATTACCCAGAATAGATATTGTATCTTGGCCCTTTTTTGGCACAATTGCACAGGCCAAGCTTATGATCTGTGCACTTTTGCCGAAAAAGGGTCAAGGCACAATAGTTTGTTGTTGATGGGGGTGGATTTTATACTTTATCGTCCCTCAACAAATCCTATACCTGGATCTCGGCAGATGTCTTTGGTGGAGAGTTTTCCTGATTTAAATATTTCTTTACTCTTTGGAGGCTACTTAGATTCCTCTAATTCCTACAATGACCTTTGAAGCTTTAATATTGTAGATTCTCTTTGGGAAAAAATATCGCCTAATGATAATAAATTTCCAGGTATCTTCTATTTAGTTGCTCGGTATTGCGGAGGATCTTTTACCCTACAAAACTCTTCAACTTTCTGTATATTTGGAGGAGGAACATCATATGGTCCTCTGAGTGATATTTGGTGCTTTAATCTTTCAAAGTCGTTGTGAGAAGAAGTTGAAACGTGAGGTGATATTCCTGATCCCAGGATTCTATTTGGCTATACTTCATGAGTTGAAAATGATATTTCATATTTCATTGTTTTTGGAGGTAAAACTTCTTCAGGGCTAAATAATGATTTATTTACTGCCTCTGGGTAATCAAACAAAGCCAAGAAATTTCAACTTAGCTTACAAGTAAAAATTGATTTTTATTAAAATTTTTGTCTATAAAGGGGAACAAGTGAAAAAAAAATTTTGAAATTGGAAAAGTTTTAAATAGACTGAAAATCCAAAATTAATATAATAAAAAAGTATAAACAATAAATATTAAAAGATATCTCTAATTGAATAATGTTTTAGTTCAAAATTTTGAAATATTTTTTTAAATTTCAATAGAATATTTGAATATAAAATTAAAAGAACTGAATCTTATAAGCTAGCAAATATTTTTGTTAGAATAAGAGTTAGGTAAAATTTAGATAGGCTTGATACAAATTCATGGACTTGAACCAAGATGGGTCAGTATGGAGATATTCCTCCATCAACTACTTATCCAAACATTGCATATCAAAATAATACCTTATATGTAGTGGCAACGGAATTGGGACAATTTTATAAATATGACTTGAGTTCTGAGACTTGAACAAATTTAACATCGAAAAACAGCTACGCAGCTAGAATTATGTCAAATTCATATATCTATAATGATGAAATCTATCTGTTGCCAGGCGATATAGACAATCAAGATTATCCTGAATGATATAAACTCAACTTAAATGACCCACTTTATGAGTGATCAAAAGTTGAATTGAATCGAACAGATTACGGGGTAGATAGCTATGGCTCTACGATAATTGGTTCTCGAGTTTATATTTTTGGAGGATACAGAAGTAGCTTAGAAGACATTGTAAATAATTTTGCAATATGCAACTTAATCTTCTGAAAAATTATAATTAATCAATAAAAAATAATATTTTAATTTTTAAATGAAAAAATTTATAAATTTGGAAGTTAGAAAAAAATCCAGTTGGATTGCAAGTTCATGATCAAGAAGTTGCTCCAGAACCTCGAATGCATCATAAAATGCAATCTGTTGGAAAATATCTTCTACTATTCGGAGGAATTGGGGGAAATGAATTAATATTTAATGATTTTTGAGAATTCGATTGTGATAAAGAAAAGTGGAAAGCTCTCAGACCTTCAGGTGTTAGTCCAACAGGCAGATATGGCTATGCTTCTTCATCATACTCTGATGTAATGATGATTTGGGGAGGGATAGGCTCTAATGGCCTACTAAATGATGGCTATACCTACGATTTCGCAACAAATACGTTTTATCAGTGAAGCCATTCTGAAAATGTCCCAAGTCCGCGTCAAGGAGCTTGTCTTGCAGTATACGGACAGTTAGGATTAGGATTATTAAAGACAGGCGTTAGCCATATTGGTGGCCTAGTCACCAAAGACCTCCCGTATGGGAGGTTCTACCGCTTTTCGACTCCAGCCCCGAGGGTCTATCCCTCTTTCGAGTGCCCTTCCGTAACCTTCTGTCTTCTCCTTGCATTGCGGCTTCAGTCTTGGTGTACGGCTTATGGATTTCTGCGGCCCTGCTAGGGGCGGTAAGTAGCTTGATTCAAAGAATCAGCTCCTTGGAGTCAATCTGGTGTCGAAGTGCCTTCCTTCAACAGCTACAGGAAAAAGACTGTTCCCCTGTGGCCTAGGCTGAAATCTCCAGTTTCTCGGTAGAGAGGAATGCCCATAGGTTATCGGATCCAAAGGACGTTGATAAGCACCTCCATTTCCAACCACAGGAAAGCAGCCAAAACCTACCTGGATACACACCTCTTGAGCCTGCACTTGGTTTCTCGGCTCGAAGTCCATCCCAGTTCGCCGTAGCCATAAGGTCTGGACTGCTGCGCCAAGAGGGGAGGTTGGCACGCATCGCCATTTTAATGTATATATTATACGGACAGTTAATTGTTATTTATGGAGGCATGACTTCTGCTGGGCTTTCTAACGAGCTTTGAGTTTATGATTCAGCAAAAAAAGTGTATACTCTTTTAGACTCAGGAAATTATGATGGCCCTGGAGCTCTGAGTTATGCTTCTTGTGTGCTAACCAAAGATTATGAACTTTATGTCATGTTTGGAATGAGAAATGACGTTTCATTAGGCGAAGTCTTTAAATATAACTTCTCTAAAAGCCGCTGAACAAATATGAATAATTATAAAACGTTCCAGTCTTGAGCTAGATCACTTGGCGGTGTTGTAAAAGTGAATGATAAGGTGCTTGTTGTTGGTGGTCAGCTTTATACCACTAACGTAAGCAAGGATATATTTTATTTAAATATTACCTCTAACAATATTGCTAACTTAGGGAGCCTTAAAGAATATTCATATTCCTTTGCGTATGCCTATTATCAAAATTATTTTTATATTCATGGAGGAGGGACTGCAATTGGCGAAATTATGAAGCCAGGAATTCCTACTAATAAATTCTATAGAATTCACCTCGGCCATGATAGTAACTGGATTTGCAGTCCTGGGACTTATCAATCAGAGAAATGTGAAGTATGTCCTCCTGGCACATACAGTGAGGATTTTGGAGTAAAACAGTGCACAAAATGCAGAAAAGGGTATTATAATCCTAATTATGGCTCTAGTTCAGGTGATAGTTGTTATCCGTGCGAAGAAGATACTTATAATGGTATTGAAGGAGCAGCTCAATGTAGGGATTGTCCAAGCTCGTCTTCATGCAAAGCTGGAAGCATATCTTATCAAGTTGCTGATGTGAACGAGAGCGATATATCTGATCAACCGACTAATTATAAAGCTGACATGAAAGATGCTGACACAGCTGTTCTTTCAATACAAATAATATTAGGGCTCCTCGGATTATTTATCATTATTGCAGTAGTTACATCAAAATCCAATAGCAATTTACTTGTGAAAATTGACTTATACACGACTTATCATAACAATACAATAGGAAAAGCAATGTTTTTATTAAAAACGAAATTCGGAGGAGCATTTACTATAGTGTTTATTATTATTGCAATTATAATAATGCTTGACGCACTTGTTAACTACTCATTGAACAATATTTTGGAGTTGAAAAGCATGATTCCGCTTGTAGTTCTCGATGGCATGACTGAGGTAAAGTATATTTAGTTTGAAGGAAATTTTCAAATCAAAACTACTCTAATGCATTACGGAGGGAATTGTTTAAAAAATGATGAATGCTCTTCAGAAATTGGTTATACAATTAGCAATATTACTGGTGATTGAAGTGGTATAACTTGTGAATATGTTGATGAAGAGGACTGTATTGTTTCAATTGAATGCAAAAACTGCAAAATTCCAAATCAAGGACAGCTGAGTTATCAATTGATTAATACAAATGGCTTTACTTCAGGATTTCGTGTCCAAATAAACTCTTCTTCATCAATTCCAAACAAAATCAGCAGCATCGAAAAAACAGTATACCCAAATAAAGATTATATTTTTATTGGCCCAGATCCAACTACAATTTATTTTTCGCTAATACCTTCTGTATTTTCTATTTACCCTTTCCTTTAATTCGAAGAAATTCTTAGAAAGATGCCTATTTTTGGAAAAATCTACCCCTTGAAGAGCAAGCATAAAAATTTTCTAATATAAATTTTTATATATAATTAATAAGTAGATGAATTCATTTTAATAATTAAAGTTTTTCTCTCAATATTTGCAAATTTGGCAAAAACAAATGTTTAGTATATAATTTTTATATAAAAAGATTTAGATTAATCAGAAAAATGTTGATATCTCTTAAGAGGAGGAGCTAGTGATTCAAGGATGAGAAAGATGGGGTTTCTTTTTCTGGCTTTCATATATCGTTAGATAAGGATTCATTGCTTGGCTCAATGCATAAAACGAATGAGTAAGACATAATCAGAGTCGGAATATCTTATAACTCATATCTTACAATTGAATTTAACAAATCATTAAATGGACTAGTAACTAAAAGGAGCATAATCCAAACTTCGACTGCTTTGCTAAGTTCTCTATTAGGCTCAATATTTGGCCTTATGAGCAGTATAGGAGGAGTAATGCAAATTGTTGAGAAAAAATGAAATGATATTGAAGCAAAATATTTGCAAAAATCACCTTTTGCAATTGCCAAGAACAATTCAAAAACTATTTCCCAAACTTATGAAGAGTCACCATATGAAAATTCTCCAACTAAGCGAGATCGCTCGAATACGATTTCTGATTCGCCTTTAACATCTAGCTATATGATTATCTAAAAAATTGCTTCAGAGATCAGTACTTAATGAGGCTTAATATTTATCGTTTAAAGAGAAACTAAAATATAATTTTAAATTATGATTTTTAGAGCAAAATAAATAAAACTGTTATAGAAATGGAATTTTGTTGCATAGTTTTGAAACTACTAATTTTTCGATATCTTAAAATTTAAAATTCAACTTCTTTCTATAAATCAATTGTTATCAATTATTAATATGTGATGATACTGATTTTTAGTAAGGTTGTTTCACTTTCAAGTTTCTTTACAATTTAATAAAAATAATCCCAAATAATGATAGTTTATTTCTTTATCCTACACTTTATCAAGGACTCTCTAGCGCTTTTGATTGAAAGAATCCCATCAACAAATCCTTCGCCTGATAAAAGAATGCTGCCACTCATGCAGAGCTTTCCAAATTTAAATCTTACACTTTCATATGGAGGCTTGCAGAGCCCAATTAATGTTTTTAATGATATCTGGTCTTTCCAGACAAATAATGAAACATGATCAAAGCTTGTTCCTCTAGACTCAGTTTATCCAGGTAAAATTCAAATTAGTTGGGAGATATGGAGGAGGATCTTGAAAGGATCAAGATAGTTATCTATTTTATATCTTTGGAGGGATGAGCACTTATGGCCCGATAAACGATATATGGAGTTTCCATGCAACTAGACTACTTTGGACCAAAATTTCAGCAACTGGAGATATCCCATTGCCTAGGGTTAATTTTGGGTATACCTCCTGAACAGAAAATGGGGCCGTGAAATTCGCTGTTTTTGGTGGGTCATCCTCTATAGGATTTGATAATCATTTATATATGTAAAAATAAAGTAGACTTGACACAGACAGCTGGGTGTGAACAATGATGCCAAGTAATGGCAGTATGCCTCCAAAATTAGAAAGCCCTTGCATAACTTATTATAGCAATGCTTTATATATTGCAGGAGGCCAAGCTCCTTTAGAAGCAAATCCATATATTAATGGATCATATAAATATGATTTAGACCTTTCCGCATGAGTCAATATTTCTTCATTGAGCACATATACAAGTAGATATTTGCATGGCTGTGTTATTTTTAACGATGAGTTATATATGCTATCTGGCTGGTCAATGGAATGGAATGATCAAAACTCTGAATGATATAAACTAAATTTATCCGATATAAATCATGACTGATACAAAATAGATAAAATTAATTTATCAAACAATGATTATGGCTTTACACTAATTGACTCAAAACTTTATATTTTTGCAGGTTTTAAAGATAAAGGGTTTCATAATGCTTTTTGAATATTTGAATTATCTGCATTTTCGCCAATTCTATACGGCTCTTATGATGAAAATCTATCTCCAAGCGCCCGAATGCTCCATTCTATGCATCCAATAGGAGAAAAACTTTACTTGTTTGGAGGCTTAGGCGAAGATGGAGAATTATTTAATGATTTTTGGGCTTATGATACAATTAATGAGAAATGGAAAAGCATTGAAGCTGCAGGAAGTGCACCGTCACCAAGGTATGGGTTTGCTTCAGCTGAAAATTCAGGAGTTATAGCAGTCTGGGGAGGGCATGGGTCTTCAGGATATTTGAATGATATTTATATGTTTCATATCGGCACTTTGCAATGATATTTTATTCAAAACCCCACTTCACCTCCAAGTCCAAGAGAAGGAGCCTGCTTAGCAGCTATAGAGTCACTTATTCCCACTTGGTTAGTGAGCAAAAAAGTCTGTTCACAAGAAAGAATTAATTTTTAGTTAAAAAAATTATATTAAAATTCTAATTTAATTTATAAAATTAAAGTTTTAGAATGTAAGCTATTTCCAATTAAAAGAATTGGCTGGAAATTTTCTTATCATAAATAATTATTAGGATAAATTTTTTTTCTCTAGCCAAGGATATATGGATTTTTCTATTGGTTTAGATTCAAACCAAGGGAGAGTTATTATTATATATGGAGGCATGACAGCTTCTGGGCCTTCTGATGAACTATGGCTCCTCAATATAAGTGAAAAAACTTATATACTCCTTGACTCAAGTAACCCACAAGGGCCAGGGCCTCTGTATTATGCCTCATGCAAAATTGTTGATAATTCATTTTATGTGTATTACGGAGAATATGATGGAGAATATTCATCGAATGAAATTTTTAGCTATAATTTAACAAGCAAAATATGGGAAAAAATTTATCACAATTCAAATGATTTGCAATGAATTAGAAGTAAAGCAGGCTCTTTAAAATTAGACGACAGGATTTTAGTCTTTGGAGGAAATATATTTGGAAGGTACCTTAGTAAGGACATATTTTACGTTAACTTGACCACAAGCGAATTTGTAAAAATAGGCCAAATCCCTGATTATACTTTTGGCTTCGCTTGGTGCTATTTGAAGGATCATATTTATATTCATGGAGGAGCAACAGTCTTAATCTTAATTAAACTTATAGAAAAGCCCGAACGACTCTGCATTCTAAAATTCTCCTGTCATCTACCCAGTTCGTGCTTTGACATCGCAAAGGTTGTTCATGCTAGATGAGGGCCTGCACTCATTACCCGATAGTCGGAAGAATTGTGACACTGTACCCTGCGTCAACATAGATTACCTGCCATGAAAAGAACTTTTTGACTAACTCTCAAATCCGAAGCAAAGGCGTAGATCCTGGATTTACGTTGAAAAACAGTCCCGATTAGACAAGGAGCTCACTTCTGGCATTGGTTGTAGATCTCTTTCCAACTCTCAATTACATTTCTCTATGAGGAAAACTGCCACCATATTGAGCTCAAGTAGATCAGTTAACCGCTGCTGCTCTATAGCGCTTTCCCGAGGATGGCGCGGAATGGCGCCATCCTCGGGAAAGCCAGGAAGGCATCCACACGGGAACTGGGAGTTCCACGTGTGGATGCCATTTTGACATGTGGAAGTTTGGATCCCATATGTCAAAAATGGCATCCACACGTGGAACTCCCAGTTCCCGTGTGGATGCTTAGTTGACTTTCCCGAGGATGGCGCCATTCCGCGCCATCCTCGGGAAAGCGCTATACTTGGTTCCAGGAAAGCCTTGCTAGATACAAATTCTCAAGCACATCTTCTTTTCTCAAGGCTTTTCCCCAAAACTGTAAAGAGGTTGGGCCGATCCATAGCGCCATTTTAATGTATATAGATAAGCAACAGTCTTAGGAGAGCTTTTAAGATATGAAGTGCCTTCAAACAAGTTTTTCAGGATTCATTTGCAAAGTGACTGTGCCGATATAGAAAGCTGCTATTGGGAATGCAGCCCAGGAACTTATAAGCACAATAATGAGTGTTTATTATGCCCGCCTGGAACTTACTCTGATAGTTATGGAAACTCTGCATGCACTAATTGCTTGGAAGGATTTTTTAACCAAATTTATGGCTCTGCATCAAGAGTTCTGTGCTATCCATGTGAGGAAGGGACATATAATTCTATTGAAGGAGCTGCCCTTTGTCTGAATTGCCCGCACTCTGCAGAGTGTAAAGCAGGTAGTGTTACTTTTGAAAGAGAAGTCTTTTCATTCAGTGATTTGTCTATTCAGCCTCCATTATATAAAGCTGATCAAGACAAACTCGACAGAATTATCCTCATTGTAAATTTAGTATTCGGACTATTTGGGTTTCTCTTGATTATATTTATTTTGATGTTTTTTGCATCAATCTTATCAAGAATTGATATATATAGGTATATCCCTAAGATAGCCCGATATGGGCGAGGGATAGAGGCCAAAACTTACCACTTGGTCCGTCAACTCGAGCTGGCCGAACCAAGTGGAAGGAGGCTCATTTGCCACTTACCACTTGGCTCGACCAACCTAAGTTTGCCGGACCAAGTGGGAATTTTCGCCTCTTTCCCTCGCTATATCGGGCTATCTTAGGGATATGCCTATATACCTCAAGCCACAACCATTTGCTGAACGTTTCAATGATTCTGACAAAAACAAAAATCGGAGGATTCTTTTCGATTATTTTTGGGGTCCTTGCAATTATATTGGTTTCCGATAGTATAATCACTTTTAAGCTAGACAATATCACAGAGCAGAAAAGCCTAGTTCCTCTTGTTGTGCTTTCCCAAGACATATCAAAGGTACTTTTTATTTAGTATACAGGAGATTTTGTGATCTCAACTACTTTTATCAATTATGGGGGAAACTGCTTACTCCCCCCATCCGTGAGTGAACAATAAAATTTTGTTCATTTACAGAGGGGGGTTAATTTTTTATTTTTTAAAAAATTTATATAAATTGTATAGAAAATATTTTTTTCGAAATTTAAAAAAATCTAATTCGCAAAAATTGGAAAACATATATTAATTTACTTTATATACAATTTATGTTTTAAAAGCAATTTGTTTAAAATTAAACAGGATTAGCTCTAGATTTCATTATAGTAATTATCACTTATAGAAATTGCCTGAGGATGGCACAAAATAGCGCCATCCTCGGGCAATTTCTATATATATCAAAATTGTTTTCCATAAAAAAATTTTCTATTAAAATAATTTTTGTTCGCTCACGGAGGGTGGGTTTTTGGGCATAAAGTAGCGATTTTTCTAATGGTTTTGTTCACTCACAAAGGGGGGGAGTTAGTAAATCATGCTTGCTCCCCTGAAATACACATTTCATTTAGTAATATATATGGGAGTTGGTCTGAAATGAGCTGCCAATTAAACAAAAGAGATTGCAACGTAATCATCAAGTGCAAAAACTGCCAAATAGAAAGCGAAGGTGAAATCTCTTATGAAATGGCATACACAAACGCATTTTCTTCAGGGTTTATTATACAAGTTAATTCCACATCTTCAATTCCAGATGAGATAAGCAGCTATCGCACCGTTATACTTCCAAATCCAGGCTATGTTTTTCTTGGCTTTACAGCAACAACTGTCCATTTTGCATCAATTCCTTCTGTAAACTTTAATGCAGTGATTCCAGGAATCCCATAAAGATAGGTCGTATACTGGCTATCATATTTCTGTGGAGCAAAGTCCAGAATATGGCTCACAATTTCACACTTATGAGTAAGTCCTATTTAGAATGGGACTCGCCTATAATTTGTATTTGAATCTTCAGTTTAATAATGGCTTAAACGGGCTTGTTACAACAAGGAAACAGGGGCAAACATGATTAACTTTGCTTAATCCATCCCCCGGTGAGCAAACAAAAAATTTTTAATTTTTCTTTTTATATTTCAATTTAATTTAAAAAATGCCAATTATAAATCAAAAATTAATTAATTTTTAAAACTTAATTTTAGAATGCAATCTGTTGAAAATTTAATATATGAGATTTCATTATAATAATTATTACTTATATATCAAAATATTTTTTTTAAATTTTTAAGCCTATATTTTTTAAATTTTAATTTATTTTTTATAAAGAATCTATTCAAAAATTTTATAGATTCAGTGTAAAAACTGTTTAAATAATATTCTAATTGTACTTTTTTCGTTAAATTAGAAGAAAACTTATTTTATAAAAGTTCTTATTTTTACCTATATACTTTCCTATTAAAAAACATTTTGTTACAATTTAAGCAGGGTTAAAAGAATTCTTTTCTTACATTTTTTTCTCAAAAATTTAGGGATTTTCCTAATGGTTTTGCTCATTCACGGGAGGAGAAGGAGTTAGTGTACTATTGGGGTCTATATTTGGACTATTGGGAGGTGTTGGAGGAGTGATGAGTTTTATTGAAGGATGTTGAACAGAAATAGAAGATGGTTTTAGGGAAGACAATCCTTCAGCCCTTATTGAAAAAGGCCATAAAATTAGAAATCAATTTGATTCCCATGCCAAGCTAGCAAGGTCAATGGATTCAATGTCAAAAATAAATCCTTTTTTGAAGTTCAATTTTTTTTAAGCGCTCAAAAATGTCATGTAATAATGATAATTTATTCTCCTCTTTATGATGCTATCTAGCTTTGGTGATTGAACTAAGAGATCATCTAAAATTTTTTTACAGTGTAAAGGATATCTAAATAAAAAATGTATAATAAAGAATATAAATTTTATAATTGCTAACCTTTTGTATTTTCTATAAAAAGAGAAGTACAAAATAATCAGGATTATATATAAACATTTTTATATTTAACAAAAATAGGGCAGTTATTAAAAAGATCTACTATCAAGATTAATGCACAAAAAAATTGTTGTGTAATCACTATCAGCATAATGATTGTTAAGTCCGATATACATTAAAATTGAGTGATGAATCAATCCACCCTTTAACTCCATTAATCGAAATACCACAGAATGTGCGGGGACCTTGAGGAAGGAAGCAATTCAAGTCAGCGTAAGGTATGATGAAGTATAGCCAATAAGCAGGCAATGCTTTGCCCCTCACATAGTCTTCTTCTATCGGGGCTACCTACAGTGGGTGGCTCTAAACTAGGGAGCTGATCCTTAAGTTAGGTGAGTCTCTCTAGAAAATTTAAGAGAGTGAAATTTGGTGGTGGCCTTACACCGTTTGCACTCGTTTATATATGCGTCCAGAGTAGGTCAACTTTCTGGGTCCCATTTGTGGCTGTATAATCTTAATCTAATCTATAGCATTCAATAATTAAAATGGTGAGGCTGACAATATAAGGACTCCGAAGGCACTCCAGATTGAGTAGGTGAGCCAGCACGATGAGTGGCAAAAGTACTAATAGTGAGCGAAGGAGACTATATCAACGAAAGCCGGCTATAACAGGAAGTTTGGGTTCTTCCCTGAAGGTTTTCCTCTTCCTATCAGATCGGATAGTTTTGCATGCGGCACATTTTCCTTATCAGGGCCATCAAGGCGCTTTTCCGTACGGTGGCTCTGTATTAGGGAGATAATTCCTTGAGCAAGAAGCTTATTCTGGAAATCCTTAATGGCAGCCTCTCTTTTTCTCATTTGAACTTATGTCTATGGAGACTGAGTTTTAGAGCCGATACAAGATGACAGTTTACCTCTTATGGCCGATAATCTTTTTCTTAATTTAACTATAACATTCAACTCTAATTCTTGTCTCAAAATTTGAATTAAAATATCTGGCTAATGCAACCAAGCCCTTAAAGGCCAAATTTAGCCTCAACTAAAAAATAATTTTATTAGTTTTGACTCAGCTCAAAAGGGTTATAAATATTCAAAGTTGCTAGTAATTTTTGTATAGCAGCAGCCCTATGTCGGCATGCAATTTCTAAAAAAGAAAAATTAATCCTAGTATTTGAATAATTAATATAAAAAGCCTACATGATTAATAATTTATCATCGAGATCAAATTTCCCTTTAAAATTATTTTATCAAAATCCTAAAAAATTCCATTACTGCAATGAATTTAGAATATTTTTGAATCTTGAATTTAAAAATTCCTGCCCTCTCAAATAATATTCAGCACTTGTATTCATAATTTCTAATTTGCTAATCATTTCATAAGGCATTATCGTTTTCACCGTCTTTAACTCATTTTTCATCTCATATCTTGCATTATTATACCGTTCTAACCCACTTCTTCAATCTTCATAAGCCATATTTTCTATTTCTCTTTGCCTCTCCTTCAGCTCTTCAATTTCTTTTCTGCTCGCATTCGGATTTTCCACACAAATTTTTTCTAAATCTTTCACCTTTTGGAATAAAATATTATTGAATTCTTTGACTTCTTCTAATTCTCGTTTGGCTCTTCTTCATTCCTCTTCTTTGTTATTATTTTTATTTTTCTTTTGAATTAGGCTTGATTTCTGCATATTTTCAACGTTTCTAAAAAACAGTCCTTTTCCATTACTTTTAAACTCATTAAAAATTGGAGGAACCGGAAATCGGGGCCTATTTAGATTTTTACTTATAAAAGGGGTTTCCAAATATAAAAACTGCACAAATTGAATGCATTATAGGTCTTAATGATTCTGAGGATTTCAGGTTGTTTTCGGAAATGTCGAGTTCTATGATACTTAATGATGATAAAGAATGGAGAGATTCTATGCAATTTGAAGATGCGTAACAGTATTTGAGAGAAGGCAATTGAGATAAAGCACTGATATCAATAATTCGGTTATTTGAGATAATTAATGTTTCAAGCCATGGCATTCTTCCAAAAGAGAGTCTGCTTAAGTCATTATTTGATAAATCTAAGATCAATAAATTTAAAGGCAAAGGCCAAGTCTCTTTTAAAGGGTTGTAGGTGCATTTAAGAGAGCTGAGAGAGTCCAGATTTAAAAGCTCAGATGGGAGTGTAATTATTTGTAATTTAGATATATCCAAATCTACCTATATGGATTTTACAAGTTTTTCAAAGCGCTTTAGAGCTGAAAATGAAGAGATTTGCTTACCCCCCCCCCCCCTCCGTGAGCGAACAAAACCATTAGAAAAATCGCCATTTTTTGACCAAAAACCCACCCTCCGTGAGTGAACAAAAATTTTTTTAATAGAAAAAATTTTAATGGAAAAAAATTTTGATATATAAGTGATAATTAGTATAATGAAATCTAGAGCTAATTCTGTTTAATTTTAAACAAATTGCGTTTTTAAAACATAAATTTTGCAAATTAAATTAATATTTGCTTCCCAATTTTTGCAAATTAGGATTTTTTTTAAATTTCGAAAAAAATATTTTTTATAAAATTTATATATAAATTTTTTTTAAAAAAAAAAAATTAACCCCCCTCCGTGAGCGAACAAAATTTTTTTGTTCGCTCACGGAGGGGGGGGGGGGAGTTAGACGATAAATTTAATGACGAAATTTGTAGCGGGTCTGTTACTTCAGATAGCTGGAGCAAGAAGTCATTCATATTTAAATTTTTAAGAATAATTTTCTGATTTATAACGAAAGAAAGTTTCTTATTACAATGAAAAAATCTATCTAAACCATTCAAATATTGTAATTTAAGTGATATTAATTATTTTAGGCTATTCAAAGGTTGCGTAAATAAATCCTAAAATTGGTCCTCCAATCCTGTTATTCCCTCCATATCTAAAAGGCATTTCATACGTAGGTTCGCCGACTTCAAACAATATCCTATTTTTTTCATCAACTAGATAATCCAAAGATGCTGGCTTACCATTGAAGTATTTTCCAGGAGTGAGCACAACAGATATTGTATAATCAACATTTGGTTCCATTAAAATTTCATTTGGAAAACTAACTTCATTTACTTTATTACGGATTTTTTCCAAAAACTCAAACAAAAAGATCAGCCCAGTTGTTGTTTTCTTCGATTTCGTAATGCTAATCTGCTTTATATAAGTTTCAGAGGAGTCACTTCTACCTCCTATTAATAATCCATATAAAATTGCATATTTTGATGATTTAAGTGTAATAGCGTTGGCTTGATTTTCTTCAACTACCCACGATTTTAAAGAAGGCCAATACAAAGGATAAATTTCTTTAAACCTCTCAAATGTCTTTTTAATAAGATAGTAGCTTGAGCGGGTTTTTCCAAGCCTTAAAGACTCAATGGAATCCTTTATATCAAAAATCAATGAAAAATTGTTTGATGATAAAGACATAAGTGCTAGTGTCTTAATTTTCTCTTGAAAAGAAAGCACCTTGAAATCATTCATTTTATTTTTTAAAGCTACAAGATATGTATTGGTGAATACAGGCAATTTTTCGTAAATGCAAGAAAATGCACATTCTAGAACATCTTCAATTACTTTTAATGATCTCGTAGCTTTACAAGGTAGTCTGTTGACCTTTCTTGCGCAGTTCTCACAAAAAAATTTTACCCCATAAGAAGAAAATGTAACAGCTTGCTCGTTGTGGTCTTCACAATTGACTTCTATAAAGGTCAAATTATTAATCAGTTTTCAATCTAATTTGGCATTATTAAGATCAGTTCGAAAATAGCATTTATGGCATTGAAAGTCGTATGGGTTTTCTGCAGAATTCTTGCACTCAAGACATATATAATGATAACATGGGAGTTTATAGGGTTTCTTGTCTTGTGTATTGAAAAAGCAGCTTCCTTTGCAGCATAAGGGAAAATCATATTTTTGAGGAAAATGCTCAAATATAAAGCCTGATTTATATATTTGGGAATCCAATGAGCAACATTGAAAAGATGATTCTTTAAGACATTCATAGCAAATAACATGCATTACATTTTCGCACGGCAGCCTTATTGGTGTTCTATTTCCAAACCCTAATTTTTTCAAGCAGTTTTGGCACCTGGAGTCTGCAGATATTTTTATTTCTGATGTATTGTAAATAATGTCCCGAACTTCTATAATCAAACTATTAAGATTTTCTATTTCTCTGGTTTTCATGAATCTCAAGATAAATTTATTTAGGATTCCAATGTCGGAAGTCCCAATAACTTGAATAGCGGCCTTTTGAACTTCTATTTTAAAATTTTCGGAAATTGGCAAAAGATCTGGATAATCTTTTGAACAGAAGGTACAAAAAAGGGCCATTTTCCCTAAATCTATAGTTTCTGCATCAATTCAAGGATGATTGACGCATTTCAGAGTGCTTGATGCATAAGTGTTCAACCAATGATAAACATCTAGCATTTCTTTATTTGTTTTTGATAAAGTGTGCATAATTCACTTTCTTCTCTCTGGGCATAAAGATTTTTTTTGCGAGTTAAATAAAGGAAGAATTGCTTCGTAAATTATATTATTCAAAGCTTTACTTTCTAAGTCTATAAAACCTGAAGTATTAAGTTGGGAAGAACAGGTAATGCAATAGGCCATAAAAGTCGAGACATCAAAATACTTTCCAGGCTGGCTTTTGCAGAAGAGGCAAGTTAGGTTATCTCTTTCTTGTTTAAGCGATTTTTCTGCTCTGCCTTGGCTATTAGATGCTATAAAATTGTTAGAGTATTTTGACATTATTCTATTATTTATCATATTTACTTCAAAGAGTTCAAAAGTCGAGCTTAAGATTTAATTAAATCCTAAAGAATTAAATATCTTTACTAAGCTTATTATTTCTTAGGACATAATACAATGAAACAAATAATCTTTGAAGCAGATATTTGACTTCATGAGTAAACAAAATGCTCTTTTTTCGCTCCATGCTTTTTAAACTTTTATAGAATCTTATGTTAAATGTTTTTCAAAAAATTCACTTAGAAAGTTTATATCTTCGAAGTTATCTTAAATTAAGTGATAATTGAATTTAAAAATCTAGTGAAATGAAAAATTTAAGATAATAATTTAATAAAGAGAATTAGTTATCCTTACTTAGGCTTGATTGAATTCCAAATCAAGAGTAATTGGGAGCTGGCTTTCTGTAAGGTCTGTCTCAATAATGCACTTAGTTGCTCCTGCTTTGCATGCATTAAGCTTCCATCCAGTTGTTGTCAAAGGCATTGAAGGAGAAGCATCTGAAGAGGCCTTAATGGAAGTTATAGTTAAATCAGTACTAAGAGAGCTAGCGAAGTCGATTTCGATATTTGGTTTATCGAAGCTAAGTTGGTAGCCAATGCTATCAACTCTGCAAGTACTTCCGACTTGAACGATTGATAAAACACATTGAAAGCACTGCGGATTTGGGCTGCAAAGAGTGCAGGAGTCAGTACAAGCTAAATAGAATTTACATATGCCTGATCCATCATCGTAAAGGAAATAGTTTGGTTCACATAGAGTACAAGCATCGCCTGATAAGGGTGAACAATCAAGGTTCGATTAGATATAATTGTCAAGGAAATCCTTATAGCATTTCCAAAATCGCTTTTTATATCTTCCTATTATTATAAAGAACTTGAAAATTTAGCTTTATATTCTTTATTCTTTAATCGAATGCTTAGTTTTAGCAAAATAAGAGATTAAATATAATTAATAATTATTTAGGCTTATTAATTAATTTTCACTACGTTTTCTATTTTGAGATAACAATTGTCTGTGAGAAATAGATTCAATTTAATTCTTCATTCATTTTTGAGTTTGTATAATTATATCTACTTGGCTTTAAGCGATTCTTTAACTTTATTACAATGGTGGCTTTTTCAGTGATATCAATTTAATTATTGGTTTCGTTTTGAATCATGAATTGACTTGCGTTAGCAAAAATTTTATGTTTGTTTTATATAATCATTCCTTTCTTGGGTCTTTGCATTATTGGCTGGGAATGACAGGCATATCTTCTATACAGCAACTTCTCAATTCACATCCAGAAAAACTTGAAGCTAACAGAATCTTTTTATGCTGAATAGTGTATTCCATTATTCCCATCTGGGACAATCAAAATTTTCTTATCAGAAGCACCATGGAATGCCTTACTAAAACATTGAGAATTGAAAGGAGCTTTCAATAATTAAAGGTTTGGCTAGTGCTATTGCTTTTTAGCCATCACTCAAATAAGTCGATTCCTTATAAAATTTCTATAGCTGTTACCCAGCCTTAAACAATTAGCATTAAGTCAAAATATTTTCAGTTTAAAAGTCTTATTTCTTAACTAATACTCACTCCCGCCTCTGTGAGCAGACCAAAAAATTTTGCTCGCTCACAGAGGGGTTAATTTAAAAAATTAAACAATTTTAAAAAGTATTTTCGCAGTGAATTGTATCAATGCAAACAATTACATATGCTTTTTCTTTATTAAATTGTTAATTTTTGCATTTATTTTAATGTGATGAAAATTTTTTAATTATATATAGCTAAAATATGATCATTTAATTTTATTAACTCTTAATTAATCTTAGAATTAATATAGGAAAGATCAAAAATTGGATTTTTAGTTATACTATAAATTATCTTCTTGTTTTTTATGTTAGTCATAAATTGAGCAATATGTTTTTATCTGAAAAATTTATATAAATCGCTAGGACTTTACCTTATATAAAAATAATGTTTATAATTTTTGAACCTCAACAACATAAGCCTATGTATTTCTCCTTTCGAAAATGAAGAGTTTACATTCTTCGTCAGTGTAATTTTTTAATCATCCCACATTTCGTCTAAATTTTGTCTTTTCTATAGTATAATCGTTGATTTCTTGATAATAATTATCATCATTAAGAATATGGTAATTTTTTTCAATCATAACCTTAATTTCAATAGAGTACCATGTGATAATCCTAATTGTAAACCCTTTTACTTAGAGTGTCGAATTAAATTTTCCAGAGGTCATTGAAGTAATTTTAAGTTTTTCTCTCAGCTATGACTAATTACAGTCATTTTTACACTTCATCATTGAAGCTCTCAAACGGCATGAGAATGCCCTCAAATTTCTGATGGATAAAGATCAAGCGTGACTACTACGTAGGATGATAAATTTTAACACAAAGTAAAGCAAAACGACTTAAAAGTAAAATTAAATTCCGTTGAAAATAAATTGGAAGATAAATCAAACCAACAGCAAAATGATTTAAAAAATAAACGCAAAGAAGCTCTCGATGAAATTAATAAACAACTGAAAGAGACAGCTGCTGTAACCAAAGCGTTTGTAAATAAAATATAAAATCAAGAAAAAGCAATACAAAATCAAGATAAATACCTGAAAAGGATAAACAATGATGTCAGAGATATAGAAAATCAGGCTGAAAATATTGCAAAAAGAGTTAAACAGTTAGAAAAAGATATTAATGATTTATTTGTAAATTTGGGAAATGTGCAAAATAAAAGCGAAGGTGGAAAAGGCTCTGTTTCAGCATAAAATTATCCAATTAAAAAAATCAAAAATCAAAAAATAATAGAGGAAATCAAAAAGGAATAAACAGTATCAAAATATTTCCACCAAAGGTATAAATCTTGATGAAAATCCTTATGAAAATGCCATAGGACGCAAAAGATTCAGATAGAAGATCAGGCAATAAAAGCAATGATCCTAGTCAAGATCTTAACAAAGAAAGGAGAATTTTAACCTGAAAAAAATCAAAGCAGAAAAAAACTTGAACAGCGAGAGATATTGATATGATCCAGGCAAGAATTGATACAAATAACGACGGACTGATTGACTGGGATGAGTTTAAAAAACGATTTAAGACCCCAGAAACTGAACATATCATTAAAGGAACTGCTCAGCAGCGATTAAACACATTAAGACAAAGCATGTACTCATATATGCTAAAAAAATTCTGTGACTTGAAAAGTTCATAACAATTTCAAATCATTACTGTAGCCCAGGGCCTCTTTTGGATCATCTTAGTCTACAATGTCACTTCATAATTTGAAATTAATTTTTTTATATTAATTTAATCGATTCAGAATCAAAGCAGTTAAGTAGCATTCTACTTGCATTATTTCCATTAAATTAGTTAAAACTATAAAAAATAATACTTTTTCACCTAAAATTTTGTTTAAATATAAGGGGGAGTTTGATAAAACTGCTTGCATAGGCAAAGCCTATAAGTAAGTGAACCATATTTGAAATAATGGCATAATAAGCTGATCTAATGTTGTCAGAGAACTCAATTTTGCTTTTCTAATTCGGATTTTTCTTGATTTTCTTTTAGGAATTTTATGAAAGAATTGCTTATGAGCAATAGAATTTAATTTATTCACCCATTTTCTAGTTTTTATCCTATATCTGCTTGGCTTTAAGTGATTTTTAATTTATCACAATAATCGCTGTTTCAGTAATATTAATTTCACTATTGGTTTTGTTTTGGATCATGAACTGACTTGCATCAGCAAAAATTTAATGTTTTTATTTCATAATAATTCCTTATTTGATTCTTTTGATTATTGGCTGGAGCATAACAGTCATATCTTCTATAAAGCAACTTCTCAATTTCCATCCTCAAGCCTTGAAGCTAAACGAATCTTTATATGCTGAATATTGTATTCCTCATTCCTATCTGGGATGATCAGAATTTTCTTTTCAGAAACAGCATGGCGAACTTTACGAAAAGCATTGAGGATTGATAGGAGCTATAGCACAAGAAATAATTAAAGGTAAAGAGATTAAAGCTTTTCACTAATAAAAGGTTTGATTTAGAGCTATTACTTCTTAGTCATCACTCAAAGTTAATTGACTTCTTATTTTGAGTCTTTATACCTCTATTCGAGCCTTAAAAACAAAAAAAAAGTCAAAATATTTCAATTTTCTCAAAAAATGTTTTAAGTTTAAAAGTGGAATTTTCTTAACTAAATTTGGGGAAAAAATGCTTACATCATTAAAATTTACTATTTCTTTCATATTAAAAAGCCAATATAAACTAAATGGTAAGGCATACTCGGCCCAGAGCTCTTCATTTGATTTTCTGTCTTTATTTTGGCAACGCAGCATCTTCTCCACATTCTTACTCAAAGTGCTGCATATGCAATAAACTTTCGAACTAAAATTTCTACATCATTTCTGAAATTGCTGTTAGCGTTTGGATGCTTAAAAAAGCTTGGCAAATTGATCCAATAGCGCAGCTTGACCACGAGTGATAGGAGATCTTGGAAAAAGGAGTTAATGTCCGCTTTGTGTATCGACTAGGCTTTATTGCAGCTACCCTAAACTGATAGGCCAAAGTTTCTTCCTGCAGCAGGTTCTATCCTGATGAAAAATCGCAACACTTAGTTCTCTCCAACAGAACATAGGACATCTTCTAACCCATTGAGATCAAGTAAGAGCTTAGTAGAAATTCGACACTTTGATTTCCCAAATGATGACGGCGTCAAGGAGACAAAATCTCTGACTTACAGAAGAGACTGTAAGTGCTTTACATAAAATAGTAGCACAGTGCAGGGTCGCATGCCAGGACTGTCAGGCAATAAAGAAGGTTAGGCTTTGCTATTAAAGTCAGGCGTTAAGAAGGTTTAATTAAAATTTCTAAAATGAGCATTATAGCTATAGTCATCTAAAGTAATGCTCGCTTTTACCATTTTTATCTAGAATATTCGTTGAGATAAAATTTATTTCCATAAACCTTAATAAATATGGGCCTTTCAAGACGAATAATTGTTTTCCTTGCTCTCTTAAAGACAATATCAGCACGGATTAGTTTTTTTGATGAATGATTAACAAACTCAGGTTACCTTAATGGAAACGATAAAATGACTTCCAATGATAATAATGATTTGCTTGTAACTAAGCCATCAACTGATCTTACAAATAAATTTTCATGCTTCTTAATGGTCTTGAACGGTGAAACATGGGACTTAGAAGGAGATTTCTCAAGCAGAGTTTCTGGAAATGAAGTCGCAGTGGGCTATTGGGTAAAGTTTTCAAATACTGTCAGCAATAAAGTGTTCCAATTTGGATTCAGTTCTGGCCCTCATTATATCATCTCATCAGTGAGTAATGGCGTACTAAATGGAGTATTCTACAAAGACGCCTCCACAACTGATCCTAAGAACAATTTTTCATTTACAATTCCGATAAGTAATTTTTATGTAGATAAGTGGAATCTCGTCGTATTTTATTTTCAACAGATAAATTCAGACGTTACTTTAAATATTCTAATTTCGAACAAAGGGAAAACATCTATAACTTCTGATGCAAGCTCATCTACACCTTTCCAGCTTCCTCAAGGCTATATGACTTTCAGTAGTTCAGTTCATGGTTTCTTATATAGCATTTTTGCGATAGCATCTGCCTATTTTGAGGGCACAGAATATAGAGAAGTTATTCTTAAAGATACTAATCTTAATGTGGGTAAACAGTCTAAAGTTTGCTCTCAGAATTGTGCAGATGATTTATGTGATGCAGAAGGAGACTGTATTTCCAGTTATAGTCAATGTCATTGCGCTACGGGAACAACAGTTTGTGATTCCTGCTCTGAGCCAGCTCGCGATTTTAGTAATTATTGTTTGAGATGCAAATATGGAAATTCATTTAAGAATCATCACTGTATTTTTTACTTTAGGCTGCTCTAACACCCTTACTAATTGTCTTGATTGTTCACCCTTATCAGCCACTGTTTGTACTTTATGTTCAACAGGCTACTTCCTCTACAATAACGGAGCAGGCACTGTATCTTGCATCTGTAAATTATATTTAGCTTGCACTGACTCCTGCACTTCTTGCAACCCAAATCCTCAGTGTTTCGAATGTGCTTCATCAATCGTTCAAGACGGAAGTACTTGCAGAGTTGATAGCATTGGCTTCCAAATCGGCTTCAGTAAGCCAAACTTCGAAATCAACTTCGCTAGCCCTCTCACCTATGATTTGACGATCAGCTCCATTAAAGCCTTTTCAGATGCTTCTCCTTCAACGCTTTTAACAACAACTGGATGGACGCTTAATACATGCAACTCAGGCGCATCTCAGTGCAATATTGTGACTGACCTTACAGAAAGCCAGCTCCCAATTTCTCTTGTATTGGAATTTAACCAAGCCTAAGTGCAGGTAACTAATCCTCTTCATTAAATTATCATCTTTAAGTTTTCATTTCACTATTTTTTTAAATTCAATTATTATTTTAATTCAAGATAATTTTGATGAGAGAGCTTCTAACTGACATGATCATGGATCAGGGTTGAAATCGATGGGAATAATTGTGACATGGCAAATCTTTAGCACACAAAAATCATGTGTAACACGTCTCTAGTAGTTCATAGCACAAGCTCATCAATATATGAAGGGGCCAAATCTAAGATTACTTTAAACTTTGACTATTTAACAGCATAATCCCTAAATATATCTTTAATATAGCGACTGCACAGATCCCAAGAGACGAAGGCATCCTCTTTAAGGCATCAGTTACAGGAAGCTACAGTTTTTTGGTCTCTTCTAACGACTACTGAAAGCTTTTCTTATCCACAAGTGATAATTCTACAGCTCAAGCCTAAGTCTTTAAATACCAAAGCTGAACATCTTTGAGAGATCAATTAGTAGAACTACTCTGAGTTAGAAAATAGCCTAAATGATTATATGGAACTAAGACACACTCAAGGGGATCAAATCACTTAGACGTTGGAGTCAAAATCTTGAACTTCAGTTTTCCAAATAGCCTTATATCCAGAATTTGCAGATTTTGCCTGCTGATGTAGTAGATGAGGTCCAAACCCTTATGATTGTGGGTGCAAATTCAGGACCTGCTTGTGGAAAACTTAAGCTGGTCTCTGGAACTCAAGTAAGAAACCTAATCAACTGGAGTGCAGATGCTGGGATGTGGACTCGTCCTGATATACTCAGCCAAATTATTTAGGCTTAGCACGCTCAAAATTCATGTCAAGAGTCTTGGCAAGACAACAAACGCCTTGGATTACAGTGTCACTCTTAATTATTTAGTCTCTTATAAGAAATACAAATTTTCAGCAGATACCACCCAATTCAGCCCTTAAGCATGATTTCTATTTCAAACGTAACGTGAAGTATCCAGAGTCAACCACAATAAAGGGCAGTTTAAGCTACGCTTTAGAAATACAACTTCTCAGTGGGTTGGTATTAGCACTTCTGTTGAAAATTTGCAGTTCTATTTAGCCAGCAGGTTGAGCCTTTTGAAAACAATAACCATTTATTGCCCTTGGAAAATCAAAGTGTCCAATTTCTGGCGAGCTCTTGACTAAAATGGAAACTTGACGCTCTGAACTTTCATATAAAGTTCAAAAGGTCAATTTCTTGGTCAGCTGCTGAATAGATGGAAATCGAAGCTCAGGTCACAGCAGGACTACGCTTTCAATTGACCTATATAAATCCTAAGACACTGCCAGCAGAGCCATTCCAACTACCTTCCGAGAGAAAACACCTGCCATGAATTGACTCTTGAAGCCTTCACCTGCACTAGTGAAGCCTAACCTGGTACGTATATCTAACGCTACGCTTCTTTCCTCAAAGTCCCGCTACCTTCTAGATCGCCAATATAAGAGTCAGAAGTCAGGCCTGTTAGTCATTTTAATCTTATCAGCTAAGTTTTAGGCTAAAGAAATAAATGAGAATCAAAAAGCATGAATTTTGGAAAGAGCTATAAAATAACCTGTTAGTCATTTTAATCTTATCAGCTAAGTTTTAGGCTAAAGAAATAAATGAGAATCAAAAAGCATGAATTTTGGAAAGAGCTATAAAATAAAATGAAAACTCAAAACTCATATGTAATTTCTAGTGTCACGATGAGTAAGTTTCCTAAATTGCCTAGAACATCCTAAGTTGCTGCTGCGAGGATCCCTTTCAGACTTTGTGTTCCATTCCCATGAGAAAAATAACTCCCACAATTGATTCTTGGCTGATCATATTATGATTGACTGCCTTAATGCGTTTGTAAGACATTACTGGACACGCCTGCGCTTCTTTTCTCAAGTTTATCAGTCATCAGCTGAGTAGTTAAGAATTCGAAACGATTCCTGAACCGTTTTAATTTATTTATAAGCTTAATTTACAGAGTAAAGAAAATAAATCGATATCAAAACCTATTTGGTATAAGGGTGAATTGTTAATTTTCTATTAGATTAAGCCTAAAATCTTTGAAGACTGCTCTGTCAGAAAGATTTAGCAAAAGAGATATATTTTGCTTGTGTAGAAATCAGCCTAATATGTGAGATTATAAACCAATGTCATTCTATATTTGAATTAAATAATTGCCTTAATTAAAGTATTAAAGCGCTTCTTACAAAAGTTTGCTTATATTTATATTTTACAATGGTAGAGCTCGTAATAAAAAACCAATAATCAGCTAGATTAGGGCCCTGAAAAATTCTTAATAAAATTTATAATAATATGTTTTTAAATATCCCGTAAAAATTATTATAAAACTTTATTTAGATCTAAATTTATTCGCAGCTGTATTTTTTAACGAACCAGTTTAATTTTAGATGAATTTGAAGCCAATTTCGTTTGACTATTAAAATTTACGGTATTTCTTCTACTCAAAGTGAAGTATTTTTTGCCTAAAGGCATCAAGTTTCTTATGTCTTTAATTAAGGTAGCGCTATGAGACCGAATGCGATTCTTTTAGCGTCTTAGACTGAAGTATTATAAAACTAAGAATTTTTTATTGGTGAATTAAATAATCTGTTCTCAAAACATCTTCAGCAAAAAGTTATCCTTACCAAAAATATCTCAAATTGATGTTATATAATTTTACTTAGATCTAAATATTGCACTAGAAGCCATTTCTAGATTAGAAATCGAATAAATAATCTTATGGATTGTAACAAAGGGTTATAGTCGCCCCAGAAACTGCCGATTGTGATTATCCAAAATCCTTATCACTATGCTGGAACAAAAATTAGTTATAAATATAGGCCTATTTGGCATTTTCAAAGATAAGTAATTATACAGATATTTTATTTCGGATTTTAAAGCAAGACTGAAGCTGCTTTATATTAATTTATAATTTCTATTCTAGCCATCCAATTCATAAATTTGAAAAACAATAAAAGCACTTCTTGATAAAATTTACTATTAAAATTCCTTAGCAAGCATTTATAAAAGTTAGATAAAACTGTTTAAAAAAAAAATGTTATATTCAGAGCCACTAAATATTCTCATCGTCCTCGCCTTCTTATCGCTTGCCCAGGGAATTGATCTATCAGGTGATTGAAAACTTACAAAATTAACAGCAGAAACGCTATCTCTTGGTTTTGCCGAAGCTCAAAGTGGCAATTCTCCTTATATAGCTCCAGATATTTATGTGAATATAGACGCATATGTTAGCTGCAGCTCAATAAGCCTAGCCGGTGGCCAAGCCTGGAGTTTAACAGCAGATGCTACCAGCATACTCTCTTCAACTTCAGAATACGCATTTGGATTTTGGGTAAACTTTGAATCAACTATTAGCAATAAAGTTTTTCAATTCGGGAGCTTTGGCGCACATTATTTTGTCTCATCAACTACGGATGGCACCTTAAAAGTTTCCTTCATTTCAGCTACTAACATGCTTGATCCAGTTAATGACTTTTCCTTCACTGTCCCTTTAAGTAATTTTTATACAGACAAGTGGCTCTTTATTATGTTTCACTTTACAGATAACTCAGGCACCGTGACTTTGGAAGTTATTTTACCCGGCACGGCCCCAATTTCTAAAACTTCAGTAAGCGCTTTTGTTGCTTTTACTATGCCTGGCGGGCAATTTTATTTTGGAATGTCAGTTAAGGGAAAGTTTTATAGCAAACCCCTCGTGGTTGCTCGCCATTTAGTCTCCCCTCCCTATGTTTACCCACCCCCTGACGGCCCTGAAAATTTTAAATGTTAAAATATTATTTGACAAGTCCCCCTCAAATATTTTTAACTTGTCAAATTAATATTTAACATGCTAAAATATTTGGGACCGATAGGGGGTGGGTGGCATGGGAGGGGGTGTTCAAGGCCGATCCAAAACCGGGTGTAAGCTATATAGGGTTGTTCTTACAAAGACGGCTATCATAAATGCATCGTATGATACAGTAACATTAGAAGATTATAGCTCAAATCAGGAAGTTCAAGCAACGCCTTGCACTGCTGGAACTTGCATTGATGATATATGCCTTCAAGGTATGGGAAAAATATGCTTATCATCAATGCAGTATTGCACGGCTTGTGATGGCAGCGGATGCACTACTTGCGATCCTGATTCAGCTAGAGATAAGGGAGCTTATTGCCAAAATTGCATAGATGATGGCACTACTAATGAACTTAAAAATTATCACTGTAATTTCTACTTAGGTTGCGCAATAGCCAATAAATGTGTTGAATGCTCAAAAAAAAGCACTCAATGCGATATATGTGCAGCTGGATACTTCCTTAACGATGATAGTGCCACTTCAACATCTTGTCTTTGTAAGATTTTATTTAGCTTGTGACAGCTCCTGCACTACTTGCCTGCCAGGTCCCAATTGCTATACTTGTGCTACAACAATAACTCAAACAGGAACTAATTGCAGGGTTGATTCTTTCGGATTCGAAGTCAGCGTCGATCTTCCGAATATCGTGCTTGACTTTGCTCATCCGCTTAAAACTGGGCTGTCAATAAGTTCATTTACAGCGGCTTCAGCTTCAGGCTCAAATATTCCAACAGCTACATGGACTTTGGTTGGCTGCACAGCAGGCTTGAAACAATGCAAAGTTGGAGCTCCCAATGTTCTGGAAAGTGATCTTCCAATCACACTTAACCTCGAGTTTACTCAAGCTTAATCTCCTTAAGGGTAACTAACCTTTATTCAAAAACTTTAATTCTTTTTCTATTAATTTTATGAAAAGGAATCATTTATCTAGTGAATTTCTTAAACATGGTAAATTCCTTAATCTTTAAACGGAATAGAAATAAGCTATATATTTTCATAGGAGATAAATATGATTTTTGCTGATTTTAAAGCTGGTAGATATTAACAAATATCGTTATTTGCAGATTTTTGAACTTTACCACCTAAGTATGGAATCTTTTCCATGTGTGAAAAGAGGATTCCACATGTGAAGCCCTTTTGATTTCACATGTGGAACCCCCTTTTCACACGCGGAAAAAATTCCACACTTAGGTGGTAAAGTTCAAAAATCTGCAAATAACGATAATAATTACTTCAAAAGACAAAGAAATATTTTTTGAAAGAATTTTTCGCATCAGTGAGTTAATTTATCCTAACCCCCCTCTTTAAATTGGAACAAAGCCCTTGGCATATTTTAATATTTTTAAATCTTTAAAAAATATAAATGAGCACAATACTTTGGATTTTGATTTATTTTTATGAAGATTCAGATACTAATTGTATATAACTAGTATTTTTACCTATAAAATTTTTCTATAAAGAGTTTGTTCTATTTTAAAGGTCAGTATATATTTTGTTCCAAATTTAAGAGGGGAGTGGGGTGATTTAGATAAAGTTTTCAAATCATTCGACACATTGATCGATTTATTGAAATTTAAATTAATAAATATGCAATTTTGTATTAGACATAAAATTCTGTGAACAAATCACGAAAAAGCAGAATTAGAAAGCAAAATCGAGTTTTTTGGCAAGATCAGATCAGCAGATTTAAAATTATTTCAAGTAGGGTTCACTTACTTATAGGCTTTCTCTATGCAAGCAGATAGATCTAACTCCCACCTTAAATTGTAATAAATTTTGTTTTCAATAAGAAAATTTCTAGGTGAAAAATACTAATTTTTATAAATTAATATTGATTAAATTGTAATAAAAATAAATTAAAATTCACATTATTGTACCAATTTGTATTTTTTTAAAGATTTTAAAATTTTTTTATAGAAAAAATTTAACCATGATTTTTTATTAGAATAAACGCAGGAAGTAAGGCTATTTTAAAGCTGATTGCTTATTATTAGTTATGATCCATAGTGCTTAATAGGAAATTCTTCCGTTTCTAGATGAAGCAAAAGTATTTGTTAAATTTTTGATTATATCGAATATTGATAAATAAAATGGCTTTCGCTCGAGCGAAGTTAGCTCTCACTCAAGCAATTTTATTTATAGGGTTGGTTTTTACCTCAAGAACTTCTGCACAGCAATAGCGGTTTAACTTTGGGGATAACCAAAGGAACTGCTCCTCAGTGGGCTCAAGATCTGGAGTTTTACCCCTCAGCACATCCCAAGGGAGATGGACCCTCAGGCGGAACACGCGCAGGAGCTGAGTCGAATAAAGCCGTGGCGGCAGCAAAGCCCGTCGAAGCCGGAACACCTTATTTGCTCGTGCCTTGGCGAACAAAAGGGATCGGCCCAGCGGTCTCTGGGCCCGACACGTGTACAAATATGGTGGTAGCTCTGGAAGCGGCAACCCCGTAGGAGAAGTTAAACGTTAATAGATAATTAGTTCTAGATTATATCGAATATTAGTAGAATTACCGTGCTAGAAAACATTGCAAGCTATTTATTTCGATCGATAGGGATAGGTACTGACACTGAAAATTTAAGAAATAATTTATTATGAATAAATAATTAAATTGCTCTCACAAGATGTTTTCAAATAGTAAATTCTAAATATCGAATTAATTATATGTTAAATACTTGCTTACTCCCCCCTCAGTGAGTGAACAAAAAAATTTAGTTCGCTCAAGGAGGGGGTTTATTTATTTTTAAACATTTTTATATAATTTTTTTAACAGTTGAATTAATTTGTAAAATTCGTTAGAAGAGATTCATTATAAAATTATCACTTATATATTAATTTTTTCCATCAAATATTTTGGTTCGCCTAAAGAGGATGTGTTTGGCAAAAATAGTTATTTTTTCCAATGGTTTTGTTTGCTCACGGAGGGGGAGTTATTACCTATTAATATTGAATAATTTTTAATTAATAGAGCATAATAAGAATTCAAATTATTCTACATAATTTATTGAAAAATCTAATATGGTGACAAATTTTGTGCAATTTTTACTTCAAGGATTAGTTTAGATTATATCAATTAATAATGAAAAGATAAAGCTAAAATTATATTGAGAAACACTGTTATTTATAAGAATTAAATGGCAAGCATCTAATAGAAAGTCTACTGATATCATTCAAAATTTTTAATATTCTAAAATTCACTTATTCCTCTGGCATTTGCTCAGCTTGCCTCTAACTCAGGCTAAGATCATGCCTTGCAGGATATTAAGTTTTTTAGCTTGCCAGATTTATTATTTAATGTCAAAATTTTCTCTAATTAAATAAGCACTTAAACATTTAATTTTCTAAACAAGTATTGTGATTCTTCTCGCCCTGTATGCATAATAAAATTCCTAAATAATGAATCTTCTTTTTCTGCCAGCTCTTTGGGGGAGCCAATCTCTTTGCAAGTCCCTTCTTCCATTACAATAATCATATCGCTATCAACAATTGTCCTAACTCCCCCTTCGGTGAGCGAACAAAACATTGGAAAATCCCTATTTTTCGACCAAAAACTGCAAACTGCAAAAATATTTTTAATAGTTAATTCTGATTAATTTTAAACAGTTTGCATTTTAAACATAAATCTTACAAATTGAATTAATATTTGCTTTCCAATTTTCCAATTTAGAATTTTTTTAAATTTTGAAAAAAAAAAAATTATTATATAAAATTCATATATAAATTTATTAAAACAAATAAACCCTAGTGAACAAAAAAATTTTGTTCGCTCACGGAGTGGGGGCAGTAAGTCTGTGTGCAATAATGAGCAAAGTGCAGTCTTTAAACTTGTTGTTTATTTTATTATGGATAATTTTATCAGTTTTATGGTCAACGTTTGAGGTAGCTTCATCCATCACCACAATTTTATTATTTCTAATAAAAACCCTTGCAAGACATACTAATTGTTTTTCTCCTTCAGAGAGACTTACGTTATCACCTGTAAAAATAGTATTGAGACCATTAGGCAAAGAAGCTATAAGCTTAGACAAATGTGCCCTTTTACAGGCTTTTAAAACTTCTTGGTCTGAGTGCTCATGGAAGGGGTCGATGTTGTCTCGAAAGCTTGATATAAAAATGACAGGAAATTGAGGGATCACAGACATTTTGCGGCGTAAATTGTGGAGACTGACGTTTCGGTAGTCTTGATCATCAATAAAAATGGTGCCAACAGATGGGTTTACAAGCCTAAAAAGAACTTGCATGATTGAAGTTTTTCCTGAGCCTGTCCTCCCAATAATTCCAACTTTTTGGCCCGGATTTATTAAAATATTCAAATCGTGCAAGGAATAGGGCAAATTTTCTTGGTATTTCATAGATAAATCTTTTATTTCGATTTTTCCTTTACTTATTGTAAAAGGCACATCATTTTCAAACTCCCCTTCAGGAGGTAGCTCTGCATACTCCATAAGTCTTTGAGGAGAAGCCATCAAATTGTTTGATTCGATAAGGCATTCTGACCAAAAACAATAGATGACCCAGGCAATTAGTAAGCAAATGCACATTGCAGCTAAGCTTTCGTCAACATAATCTTTGTATAGGACTATAACAAATCCATTAAGGACGCAGATGAGAGCAGCACCAAGAGCCACGTGTATTGTATAGAACCTTACTATAAGCTCGACGCTGATATTACATCTAAGATTGTATTCAATAGCAGCTTTCATATCAGAAGTAAATTTCTTTTGAAGACTTAGGGACCTTATTGTTACAATTCCATATAAGGTAGCATATGCCATCGTTAGAATAGGGCTTTTTGAAGCTAGCTCAATTTCTCTAAATTTCTCTGATAAAAAATAATCTTTACAAGATTTTTTCGAAAATTAAAAAAATATTTATTTTTTGTTTTTTAAGGAAGAATAAGTGCTTTAGTAATAGGAACAAGCTTTTTAGAAAGTCATATTACGTATCATATATACAATAAAACGAGCCCTATATCTGGAAGTATAAAGATACTTATTATGACTAAAACAGATATAAAATCAATTGAGTCGAATAAGAATGTTGGGAAGAAAAAAGAAAAACATTCGTCCATCAGAAATGTATCTTTAGAAAAGCGATTTAGCATTCTTCCCGACGGATTTTTATCGAAATAGACTGATTCAGTCTTGGCAATTCCTTCTAGAGCTTTATTGTGAAGTTTCTCTCCTCCTTTCGTAATCCCATAAACTAATACCCAATATCTGATATATATAAAAAGATATATACTCTTATTATTAAAAAAACCTGTCTATATATAAATTTCCTTAAAATCATCTAATGTCAATTTGTTTCTAAATAATAGCTTGAACTAAATTCAATGCATTTGCATATACCGTAAAAACAATAGCACAAAAAATCCACAAATTTATCATTTCATCTTGATCATCGTCTGACTCTTTAGTCCATATCACAAGCCATAGCACTGGAGCTGAGCAAACAGCTTGTGTAAGAACCACAATAGCCGCTAGCAGCCCAAAGCTCCACATCGATGTAAATCCAAATTTCAAAAACTTATAATAAGTCGCAAACGTGACATCTTCTAGCGCTTTTTCATCTCCTTGCAGCACTATTGCTTTTTCTCCTTTTTCTGTGCTTTTTATCTCATCTACCCCCATTTTTCTCGAGTCTTGTTCTTTTTCATCTTTCTGTTTAAGCTCATCTATAATAAAATGCAAATCTTCTCTACTGTTGAGCTCTTCACATGCCCCGAAAAACAATTGTTTCCCTTGGTTTAGGACTAGAATTTTATCAGCTTGAGAAATTGTGTGAACTTGGTGAGTTACCAATATGACGGTTTTTCCTTTTAAAAAGGTTTTAATGCATTGATTGAATATATGAGAGCCAACTTGTGTATCTACAGCACTTAGAGGATCATCAAGCAAAATAATGTCTTTATTAGCATATACAGCTCTTGCCAAGCTAATTCTTGCTTTTTGGCCTCCACTTAGAGTAGCTCCATTATCACCTATAAGGGTTTCATCGCCTGATGGCAGCTGTGATAAATCCATGTCAAGTCCACAAGCTTTTACAGCTTCATTGTAAACTTCTTCTTTATATTCGTTGTCCATCAAAATATTTTGCTTTATTGAGCCTGATATGATTCAAGGATTTTGACCTGTATAAGAAAAATTTCCTTTGTAGTTGACAATCCCGTTCAAAGGATAGATTTCGTGTAATAGTCCCAGCAAAAGGCTACTTTTTCCGCTTCCTATAGGCCCTATAACGATCATAAACTCTCCTTGTTTTAATGAAAAATTCAGGCTGCTTATAGCAATATCATCAGTTTTTTCGTCTTTTAGCAAACTTTTAGATGAATTTTCTGATTCCTCATTTTTTGGAGATTTATTTGAATAGGAAAATGTTGCATTTTCTGCTGAGATCGCCAAGTCTTTACTATCATCAGAATTATCATAATACATTTTTTCACTTAAGAGCATAATTTTGGTGATTCTTTCCATGGTGGATTTTATCATAATTAATGTAAAAAACGACAAATCACTCATTTTGCATGATAAAATGCTTCTTAGCTCTTTGCTAAGATAATTGAGGAACTCCTCTGATACCTAGTTGCTGTTCTTCTCTACTCTTACTTATGCTGTCTGCTTTTAACTCGCTCTCTCCAGAAATGGGCTTGCATACTATTGGAGTGTAGTGGACTATAGTGCCTGCCCTTCAAACAAGGGTTGCTCATCCAGAAAATCCGAATTTTCTGATCAAGTTGCCTACCAGATGAAAATCAAACCAGGAATCAGTGCCTGGAATCGCGCTAGAGAAATTCCTGACAGGCAGAGTGTTACCCTTCATGGTTTTGCTGGGCCCTCGCTATTCTAGCTCTGGCAGTTCACCTTTTTTAATGAAAATCCTGAACTGGAAGTGAGCATGGGCTAAATCCAAGATTCCACTCAAGCAAACCCAGCAAATCTCCCCTGATGCACATCTCCGAACACTCCCCTGTTTTCCATGGGTGTAGGTTTCCCAGCTGCAGAAGGAAGTTGCCTCACCTTTAATTTTAATGCATACATGATAAAAAGCAATTTAAAAGTAAAATCGTGACAACACAAAAAAGTTTTTCAGTCTCAAGTTTATTTCCAGTGTATACATATGACGAAAAAGTCACTAAAAGTGTTAAAGCAATCCCAGTAGCTGCAATTGTAACAATCGTTGCATAGACACCATACATATTGAACTTCTCTTGAGTTTCCCCTCTTCTTTCATCATATATAATCTTCAAGTATTGATCTTCCATCCCATATAGTTTGACAGCCCTTATCCCTTCAATCAAATTTGCAATCATTTTTAGCCTCCTATCAGTATGTGCCGCAACTCGACCTCGATATTTTTCAGTCCTTCTTGAATTTAATAAAAGAATCGGAGAGTGTATAATCGCTATTACCAAGCCTAAAATACCGGTCCATCCTATCAGAAACCAAATAATTAAAAAAGATCCAATAAAAAATACAGGCGCTGCTAATATCATCATAGTTGGCACAAGCCCATGCAAAAATTCCAGCTCAGCAGCTATCAAACTTGGAACAGTGCCTTTATAGTCTCCTTGAGAAATTTCTGAAAAAGAGGTCTTTAAGACTTTTTTGTAAATTATATATGGGACAATAGCTTTGACTCGAGAAATAAGCAGGCGGACTTTGAAATGAGCCCAGTGAAAAATGTAGAAGGAAAAAAAAGTTGTGATTGCAAATAAGGAGGCAAAAATAAGCCCATCTCATACACTGGCACCATCGTCATTGATATAGTCTACCAAGCATATTAGGATAACTGCCTGAACAAGTCCTAGGTTAAACCCAACAATACCTACAAGGCAATATCTTAAGTAGTCTCATCCTACAGCTCTTCATAAAGCTTTATAAAAGGAAGGATGCTTTAATTTTATTTCTTTTCCCCATTCAGATTCTAATTTTTCTATTGAGGTCTCAAATTTAAGCCTCGAAGGTATTTTTATAACGTTTGAAGGACTTGGGGGGTTTTTGCTCCAAAACTTAATTGGCTGGTAAGCCCATGTCATGAAAGTGTCTTCAAAAACTGTTGCTTCATCATATGCAAACTTCTTTTCCATATAAAAATAATTACCGTTTTTGATAAATGCCCTTTAAAGATTCAATAAATTAAGGATATAGTTTATACTTTAGAATAAATCATTGCTATACATTAGCAATTTTTGTTTTTTTATAACCAAATGATTTAACGAAGTTCTTTTGAAATTAATATGGCATTAATTTTTAAGTTTAAAACAATGTATATATGCATTTTTTCCGTTGCGATATTCAATGAAATCACAAATCAACCTATTAAATGCTATCTTATATGATATCAGAGTATATTTTAAATTTCTGAAAGAAAATTAATAAGTTAGAAACTTCATTTTTTAACGGAATTCTGAGATTATTTGAATTTTCTCTAATATTTCATTCGCATATTTAAAGAATTCATAGCTTACTTGCTTGAATCAATTTGGATTAGAAAATTCAAATTATAAAACGAGAAATAAGGAATTATAAAAATAATCCCATGCAATAAGGACTAAAATCACTAACTTTATCCCCTCCGTGAAAATTTGGTTCACAGAGGGTTTTTTTTTTTTTTTAAAACAAAAAATTGGTAAGCAAATATTAATTTAATTGGTTTAAAATTAAGCAGAATTAGCGAGAGATTTTATTATAATAATTATTAATTATATAAAAAAATATTTTGTTTATTAAATTTTTCAATTAAACAAGTTTTGGTCGCTCACGGTGGGCTTTTGGGCAAAAAATAGGATTTTTTCAATGGTTTTGCTCGGAGAGGGGGAGTAAGTTAATTTTTTTAATTGCTAGTCAGCTAATTTCCTTACTCCCCCCTCCGTTTAACAAACAAATACTAGAAAAATCCTGAAAGCCTACCTTCCTTGAGTGAACAAAACAATTTTTATGATAAAAAAATTAGATAAATAAATGTTAATTATTATAACGAAATCTCTAGCTAATTCTATTTAATTTTAAACAAATTGCATTTTAAAACATTAATTTTATAAATTAAATAAATATATATCTTTTAAACTTCGAAAAATAACTACTATAAAGTTTCATATAAACTTTTAAAAAAAAATTTTCACTTCTATACGAGTGAACAAAATTTTTTGTTAGCTCACGGAGGGGGGTGAGTTAAAAAATTCTGATGGATATCTATTCCCTCATAAACTCTCTGCCCAAAGCAGAAGTCCATACTCACCTCGAGATTTCTCTCACAATTGACAGAGTCTATGAAATCGCTAACAGAAACGGAATAATTCTGCCTCTCTCTCACGAAGACTGCCTCTATAAATCCTCCCACTTCAATGACTTGCCAGATTTTTTATCAGTATTGCTTACCCTCTAGATCTGTAAGCGAGCAAAACCTTTAAAAAAAATAATTCCCAAAAAACCACCCTCCAGAGAAAACAAATAATTTTTTAATATAATTTTTTTTTTTGAAAAATACTTTGATATATAAGTAATAATTAAATCTCTACTTAATTTTAAATTTGTTTTCAAATTAGGAAAAATATTTCTAAAAAAAAAACTGATTGAGTGAATAAAATTTTTGGTTCAATTGAAATTGAGGAGGGGGAGTTACAGTCTCACAGGCCTTAAAGTTTGAGCAGGATTTCTATGAGCTAGCTTTAAGCTACTTTAAAATTTCCCATGAAAATAACATTGTTTATGCTGAGCCTCAATATCATTGCTTCAATTATACGACATATGGAATCCAACCAGAAACAATTTTAAATGGGATTTGGAGAGCTGTTCAAGAAGCTGAAACAACTTATGGGATAAAAACTAATTTATTATATGGAATTGCCAGAGAGGCCACTATTGAGGATTCCTTAAAAACAATACATTTTGCGAAGCACCATTCTGAGAAGTTTAAAGGGATTGCATTTGCGGGGAGCGAAATGATAAATTCACCTAATTCCCTCCTCCGTGAGCAAACAAAACCATTGGAAAAATCCCTATTTCTTTGGTAAGAACCCCACCCTCCATGAACGAACAATGAGCGAATAATTTTTTTTACCAACGGATGGGGAGTAAGCATTATAAGCCAATTTTTGATCTTGCCTATAATTTAGGACTTACTGGGCCTAATAATGAATATTTGGCAGTACATTCAGGTGAGGAAGCTCCTCCTGACGTAATGATTGATACTCTTCGTACACTTAATGTCAGTAGAATTGACCATGGAGTCAGGGCTGTAGAGGATCCGTTTCTTTTGAAATTCTTAAGTCAAAATCAGGTTCCTATAGATATGTGCCCTATTTCCAACAGAGCTTTAAAAGTCCTGGATAGATTTACCAATACCGACTATATTTATAACGATTTTTTAAATAGTGGATGCTTGATCTCTATAAATACTGATGGGCCTACTTGGGGCGGAGGAGCCATGGTAGAAAATTATATTGATTTCTGCAATCATAACACTGGGTTGAGTTCCGAAGAATTAGCAAAAAAAATAATTGAGCTATCAAAAAATTCTTTTAAGTGCACGTTTTTGGATCAAAAAATTAAGAACGATTATATAAACCAGGTAGAAAAAGCGGCAAATGATTATTTTGAAATTTAAAGCTTTTAGTGAATAATAGAAATGGCTTAAAAAATATGACTTCAAATAATCTTAATGTGGGTGCTTAAAACGCTCTCATGCTTGATTTCAGAAAATAGTTGGCATGATATTTATAAAATAAAAAATAAAAATTCTTACTCCCCCTCTGTGAGTGAACAAAACCATTGGAAAAATCCCTATTTTTTGCCCAAAAACCCACCTCTATGATTGAACAAAATGTTTTTAATAGAAAAAATTTTATTGAAAAAAAATTAGATATATAAGTGATAATTATATAAAGAAATCTCTTGCTAATTATCATTAATTTTGAACAGCTTGCGTTTTAAAAACATAAATTTTTTAAATTACATTAATATTTGATTTCCAATTTTAAATTTCTAGAAAAAAATTAACCCACTCCGTTAGCGAACAAAATTTTTTTGTTCGCTCACGGAGGGGAGAGTAAGCAAAATATCATCAATATATTTAGTAAAACAATTTAAAAAAAACCCCTTCAAATAGCTTAAATTCATTATGCTTAAGTTTAAGATTACTCTTCTATAAGTCTAGATTCTTGGGGTCTTAACTTTGACTGACAGTTCTAAATAGCTGTAGGTAAGACCAGCTTAGCCGTCCCTTTTCATGTCCACAGTCTCCTAGGGCCTCTCTGTCTACACTAGCCTCAGTGTAGTTCACTTCTCTTTGAGCCAAAACCCTTAAGGAGCTGTAAAATCCTCTCACTGAGTTCAGCTATAGGGCCGTTGTCCTTCCCTAGCTTCCATTTTTAATTATGTCAATTCATTATAACTTTAAGCCATCATCTATAAGATGTACACTCATAACCTACAAAGACCGTTTTCTTTATGCATCCTGCAGAAAAATATCAATGTTTTTCTTTTTTCCCGAAACCCATATTAGCTCATTCTGATAAGTTAAAAATGCCACAAGCCTATTTCATATTATCATTGCTTACTGAGTATCGTAAAATGGAAATTCAACAAGAAACTTATTCGACTACTTATGCATCCCAAGGAAGTTATTTCAGCAGCTCTCACTATCATCAAATAGAATTTCTTCATGGCCATGACTATCATCTTTCGCTAACAGTTAATTCAACCCAACTTTTAGATGGAGAAATTATTAAAAGCTCTAAAATAAAAGCTCTAATAGAAGAAATTTGTGTAGGATATGATCACAAAATTTTTATAACTGAATCAGGCGTAGGGCATGAAGTTGAAGATTTAGGCGATCATGTCGGGCTGACTGTTCGAGGACTCTCTTATGAATTTCCAAAACGTCTTTGTGTTTTTTTGCCAATTGTCTTAGGCACTTGTGAAGAGATATCTCGATATTTAAGCTTAAATATCGCTAATCGTCTCAGAAGCGAGCTTGAGATGAACCCAGGCATCTATGCTATAAATGTGAAGATTTCTGAGGTGTATAAACAGCAAGAAGCTTCCACAATTCTAGAAATAAAGGAGCATAAATTTTAAAATTTTCATTCTTGACCTATTTTAATATGCATTAATACGGCAGAGGTAACCACCGACTTTTTGATGCAATTTTCTTTACACCTCAGCCAATGCCTGGGAGGATGAAACAAGTCAAAAAACAGGTAAGGGGTTTAATACATTCAGGCAGAGAGTATGATACCATGCATATTTGATTTTTCCTCCTCCTCGGCCATCACCCCATAGTTAGGTCCCATTTCTACTAAAACTATAATCTTGAAGACATAAGGTGCTCAACCTAAACTGAAAATTACGCCCCAGGACCTAGGCCCTTGCCCCCAACTTTAAAATGGAAAAAAATCTATTGCAATTTAAAGGGGCTGAAATAATATAAATATAATTCAATATTTTATAAAGAAATAATTAAAAAAATTAATCTTTTTGTGTAAAAAAAGTTTAAATAATATTCTAGATGCACTTTTTCCATTAAATTAGGTTAGAATTAATTTTTTAAAAATTAGCATTTAGACCATATAGTTTTCCTATTGGAAAAAGTTGTTTCAATTTAAAGGGGTAAAGTAGGAATTTTGCCTATATTTTGCTACAAAATAGATAGAGATAACACCTAGGGACCTAGTGAGGTACTACATAGCCTAGGGCGAAGGAATCAGCATCAGCGAATAGTTGCTTACAGGAGCTACTAAGCTTCCTCGACCAATTTATAATAACGAATCTAATTTAATTTAACCCATTTTAGTTAAAAAACGGCTATAATCAACGATTAAACAAAATTTAGTTTTAAGCTATTTGCATCATAACATGCATTAATATAATCTTGTTCTAATAATTAATTCAATAAATTCTATTAGTTAAGCTTTTCAATCATTCCTGAAACATGCTCCATTGCTTTCATCATGTTTTCAAACTGATTTGCATCAACGTTTTCCACAATTTTTTCCACCCTTTTAACTCTTGCTAGCAATGACTGCAAAGTCGCAGAAGAGTCCGCATAAGCTTTAACAGGGTTTCTCTTATAAACAGGTAAAGGACTAATTCTCAGTTTCGTCTGAATGTCCCACATTGGTTCATACAATTTCAATGGTTTATCAATTGGGTATTTAATGCTCAATTTTTCGTCTTCTTTATTTTGCATCATTTTCATGTTGTCTTCTTTATACTTGGCGATTTGTGCTTCTATCATTTGTTGATGCTTGGCTGATTTCATGTTAAGTTTCTCCTGCATTCTTTCTCGCTGTCTCTGCCTTTCTCTTTCCATTGCAGCTTCCCATTCGCTGGTTTCTTGTTGATGTTTCTTGATCATTTCTTCCATTTGTTCAGGCGAGATTCCTCTTCTTTTCATTTCTTCAATCATTTGTTTTTGACGGTCTGCCATTTCTTGCCGTCTTCTGTCCATTTCAGCGAGTTCTCGTTTTTTGGCGTCAGCGTCATCAAGCTCTTTTTGCAGTGCAGAAATTTCGTTTTCTCTTTCACCTTGCATTTGATTTAGCTGAGCTTGGCGGCTATCTAGCTCCCTCAGTTTATTTTCATACTCATTTTCAGCTTGGTTTCTCAGTTTATCAGCTTCACTTTGGGCTTGTCTGAGGTGTTGGTCTAATAATGCAGGGTTTGCTGACCTCATGCTTTGGAGGATATTATAAGTGTCTTGCAAATGCTTATCAGCGAGGTCTAGAAGTTTCTGACGGAATTCGCTTTCGACTTCTCTCCAAGCTTTATCTTGTTCTTTATTCAAATTATTAATGAAATTATAGTCAGCAATAGTCATGGCGTCAGCTTCTTTTTTCTCGAGTTTGGCGAGTTCTGAGACTTTATTGTTCATAGGAAGGCTTGATTTTTCTATTTCTGAGCGTTTTCTGTTGAATTTATTTCGGATGTCAGCAATTTCGTCAGCTTTTTGAGAAAGGGCAAGCTGAAGGATCTCTGTTTGTTTTTCTGTGAGTTTGGCTTGCTTTTTGGCTGAAATTGCGGCGAGCTCAGTTTCATGCTTGTCGTCCATCATGTCTTTGATTTTTCTGGCGATTTCTTCTGGGCTTGCATTGCTTCTCATGAGCTCGTCAAGCCTGTTTCTTGTGAGGTCGTCTTTTAAGTTCTCAGCTTCTTTTTCTTGTTTGTCTTCAACTACTTTGCGCTCTTCTTCGTGCTTTCTCTTTAGTTCAGCTTCTTTTAAGGCACGAAGTCGCTTTCGTTCTTGGAGCCTTGAATCTAACTGAGAGTGCTGGTTGCTGTTATCTACTACTGAAAGGTGCTGGAATTGTTCAAGCTCTTTGAGGAGCTGCTTTCTTTCATTTTCGTTTGTGGACGATCTCAAAGCGGTTTCTAAGCGAGATTTTTCGTCTTCACGGCTTATTGGAAGTTCTTGTTCGACTTCATCTGCAATGGTTGTGTTTTTTTATAAAAATATTTTCTATATTATTTTTAAAAAATAAAAAATTTTACTTTCTGCAATAGCTTGGAATTCTTCAGCTTGCTTTTCATACAGTATTTGCATTTCTTCTTCTTGGCGCTTTTCGAGCTGCTCCACATGGACTTGGTCTTCTTCTTTGAAAAATGTAGGCACTAGAGAAGTTTCTGGCTGCTTTATGGTGGTCATTCTCCTTTCAAGTCTTGGTGCTACAACTTCTTCTTTAAACTTTTTATCTTTTCTTGCCCTTAGTCTAACTGCTAGCTCTGCTTCTTGTCTCTTTTTGTCTCCATTCAGTCTGTTTTCAAGCTCTTGCACATTTTCATCATATTCTTTTACAAAGGCATCAGCTTCTTTTTTATTTTTGGCAGTTTTAAGTTTTGCATCTAAATCTTCTTTGAGTTTTCCAGCTTCTGAATTTATTTGTTTACTTGTTTTGACGTCAATCTCCTTTTTCTTTTCGAAGAATTCTTTAGCTAATTCAGGGTCTTTTTTAATGAAATCTAAGGTTTCAGCAATTTCTGACGGAGATTCTATTTGGCTTCCGGCGTTTTTCTGTCTTCGTTTAGCAGCTCTTTCCATAAGCCTTTTATTTAAGGATTCCTGAGACTTTGATTTTTCATTGTCAAGGGCAAGCTCAATTCTCTGGATATTTGCATTGAAGTCAGCGATTAAGTCTTGCTTGTCTTTTTCACTGAGTTCAGGATTATTTATAATGCTATCATAAAGAAGGTTTTTCCCAGCCTCTGTCTTGTAGTCTGCTTCTTTGATGTATTTACTTAATAAGCCATTCATAACTTTTTGCATTTCTTCTTCAGGGCTAAGTTGGAGCTGTGCAGCTTCTTCTTCTTCCTCGTTGTCACTTATATCATCCAGACCTCCAAGAGTCTCTTCAAGGTATTTCTTTAGCTTACTTCTTTATTTATTTTAAAAATTATATTTTATATTATTTTTAAGAATTTATATTTTGCTAATGAACAATTTTCAAGGATTTAGCAAGATTATTCAATAAATGTCTCATCGCTTCCTGCTCAGCTTCAGTCTTTTGCATAAATGCAGCTTTGGCTTGGCTATCCTGTTCAACCAGTCTATCATACATTGCCTGGAAAATAGAAGGATCAATATCATCATTTATCATTGGCTCATTGTTTTCCTCTTCCTTAATAACTGTTTTCTTCTCAAGTCTGACGTCACTTCTTACTTCTTTCATGCTTTCTTCATCACTTGAATCTTGTTTTGGTTTTTCTGTCAAAATTGCAATATCTAATTCATTTTGTTTATCTCTATAAGCTCTTTTTCTTTCTTTCGTGACATATTTCCATGCTTTATTGTGGAAGAAGTAAATACCTAATATCAACAAAACTACAAGACCAACCAGCCAGCATGCAGTGCCAATGATGAATGGCCAGTTAGGGTCTTGAATAATGTTAGTTTTGGTTTGTGTCCCCATAGTCAGCATAGAGCTCTTAAAACGTGGGCGGATTGGGATATCTGGGTCTAAACATTGCTGGCCTTGCCCCATAACTGAAATAATGATATGCTTAGAATCGTCAGCTGCGTCTTTGAAATCGTATACTCCTTGCTCTGTAAAAGTGAAGGCAAAAGACGTGATATTGTTCAGCGGATTTTCAATCATACGTTTTAGTTCTTGGAATGCTCCATAATCAAACCCATCATTTGTATTCAATAAAGAATCTTTGACATAAATAGGGTAGTTTTGAGCATTTGGAATGGAAAATACAAAGGTTTCTTCTATTTGTATACAAATGGTAGGATTTGAGACTGTAGTTGAGGATTCAGCCAGATATCTTCTGGAGGTAGAATTGCTATAAAGTGAGCCGAGCTTGTTTCCTAATCCATATACTCCTAATGGGCCAGTTGTTGTCATATCAATGCTATACACATTGCAAGAGCTTGACGAGCAGCTTGTTTTTCCATAGTATCCGCTGCTGTTCACCAAATCAACAGTTGTGGTTTCACCAGTGCTTGGGTCAGTTACTGTATAAGCTCCATTCGAATAAGTCGTTTTCAGTGAGTTTTCTCTGCAGTTCTTATTGCAAATGTCATCAATTGTAGTAGTTCCGTCACATTCACAGAGTCCAACCCCACTCATTCTTTTTCCAGATCCACCGTTACATTCAGAAGAACAGCTTGAGGTAGACACACAGTTTCCGTATGAGTCTCTTATACCGCTTTCTCCACAGTAGTCATATACAATATTAAAGCAGTCAATATCAGAATCGCCTTGACTTGATGTAATTCCATCCTGTATGTAATGGTAATTAGGGTTACAGACACAGCTGCCATCAGTTTTACGGTATGAGCGGTTTTTACCATAACATAAACATGTAGTGCTTTTTACATCAGCGTAGGCATTAGAGCCACATGGCATGCATTTAGCTGAGCCAGTAGTATCTGCATAGGTGTTTTTAGGACAGTCAATGCAGGCATCGTAGCTCGTTTGAGCTGTTGTAGGGTTATAAGTAGCGGCTGGACATGCTGTAGGAGTTTTAGAGCCAACTGGGCAGTAGTAGCCTTCAGGACATTCATAGCCTCCATGATATTCTAAAGAAATAGGATTAGGTCTTGAAGCTCCAGACACACAGACATAGCCACCAAAGCAGCTCTTGCATTTAGAAAATGTCCCATCTGAATAAGTCCCTGCAGGACAAAGCACACATTTATTGCTAGAAACATAGTATCCTTGAGTGCATTGCAAAGGTTCAAAAGAGCCTGATGGACATACATAGGTGTCAGGGCAAGACACAGGAGGTTCGTCTGAGTCTTGGTATTGGTCAAGATTGCTTTGGTCGTACTTAGGACAATAGTAGCCTGATGGACAAAGAGTAGGCGTGGCAGTATTTACTTTGCAGTAATAGCCGATAGGACACGCTTTAGAGATAGGAGAGCCTTTAGGACAATAAGTACCAGCTTCGCATGAAATAGCTGAAGAGGAAGCTCCTGGGCAATAATATCCTCCAGGACATGCAATACAGTCATCTATAGAAGCAGCAGTAGTTGACGACGAATAAGTCCCAGGAGGGCAAGGAGTAGGCTCAGTGGCACCGACTACACAGTAATAGCCGACTTTTCCACATGGGTACTGAGTATAATCTCCAGTTCCAGTCCTCGTGCACAAGTATCCGCCAGGGCATGCTAAACAAGCAGATAAATCAGTAGCCCCAGCCTTGCTTCCATAAGTTCTTGTAGGGCATGGTTTTGGCTTATTGACTCCTTGAGGGCAGTAGTATCCCATAGGACAAGAAATTGGGTTAGGGTTCCCATTGACACAATAAGACCCAGGAGGACACTGTGTGCAATCACTCGACTGTGCGCCTCCTACAAGTGTTCTAAATAGCCCTGATGGACAAGCAGTAGAGATTAGTGCCCCTTTGGTACAGTAATTTCCTGATGGACATTGATAGCCATATGCATTGCTGCCAGTTGGCGTAGGTGTTGGAGACGCTAAAACGCATAAGTAGCCAGCCTCACATTCGTCAGAAATTCGACCATCAACACAGTAGCTACCGGCTGGACAAGAAGTACAGTCAGATGATTTGGTTAAGCCAGTAGTCGCAGAGTTATAAGTACCTGCTAGACATAGAGGAGCAACACCTGTATTTTTAGGACAATAAGAATAGATTGGACAAGTGGTGCTTGTAGAACTAGAGCCATAGTCACAGACAGAGCCTGCAGGGCAATCATCACAAGTAGAATGGCCAAGTGTTGATGCATAATATCCAGCAGGGCAAGGAAATTCAATATCAAATCTGGTTCCAGATGGACAATAATAGCCTATAGGGCAAGCAGTTGGGACATTTGTACCACCAGAGCAGTAATTAGTTAAAGTGCACTGATCGCAAGAACTCTTAAGAGTATCAAGTTGATAATACCCCATATCACACAAAACTTCTTCAAAACTTCCTTCTTCGCAATAATGTCCAGCAGTGCAGCCATTTTGAGTAGCTATGCTTGAACCTCCACTACAATAATACCCAGCACTGCAATCTCCAGTGACTGCTGTAAGACCATCTGTTGCACAATATTTTCCGTATGGACAGCTTGGGCAGTCGCTTGATTGTTTAAGACCTTTACTTACACTCATAGTCCCTGCCGGACAATTAGTCTGACTTGAAGCTCCGGCTGCACAGTAAGTCCCAGCGCTACATATATTTCCTTGAGTGCCATCTAAAGGCACCGCTGTTGTTGAACTTGAACCGCACCAATAACCTTCATTGCAGGTACTAACAGGAGCTGAAAGGCCTTGCTGATTGCAATAGGACCCAGCTGTACAAGCAGTGTAGGTCCCTGATCCAGCGGCACAATAAGATCCTCTAGGGCAGATACCGCCTTGGCTTGAAGTAACTGGCCGGTCTATAACAGCTCCAGTTATGCAGTACCATCCTGCAGCACAATCGCCTGTTGGTGCTGAAAGCCCTGCTGTCTCACAATATTTACCAGCATCACATAGTACGCAGGCATCTGACGTTGGTTGACCTGGATCTGGATTATAAGTTCCGACTGGGCATGGATATGTATATTGATAGCCAGTACCACTAGGACAATAATGCCCAGCTGGACAGTCAGTTTCTGCAGTGGCTGGAGATTCACAGTATTTTCCTTCTGAGCAAGTTTTGCATGTGCTTTGCATTGTCTGATCTTGATATTGTCCATCAGGACATTTAATTGGTTCCCAACTTCCTGTCGGACAATAATATCCAGCACTGCAGAATGTGCTTGGAGTGGCTGAAGAATCACCACCTGCACAATAGTACCCGGCTGGACACGCAGTTGGGGCATTTGCTGGGGAAGATGTAGCAGGATATGAAGTTCCTGTTTGGTCGCAATAGAATCCTGGAGGGCAACTAATACATTCAGTTGAATCTTCAGCTCCTTTATAAGGCATATATTTCCCAGCTGGACAAGCTGCATAGGTGCTTGATCCTGCCTCACAATAATACCCTTTAGGACATATATCTCCTGCCGAAAAGGCTGAGTTCACCGAAGAGATAGGGCTTGGAGCAATAGATTGAATCGTGCAGTAGTAGCCAGCTGAACATTGAGAACCTGATGTAGACATTTGGTCTTGAGAGCAGTAATAGCCTGGATCACATTTAGTAGTCGTTGAGGATGCGGCAGGGCAGTAATATCCTCTTGTACAAATCCCTCCATATCCAGAGCCAGTCATTGGTTGCGAATAAAGTGAGCCTGAAGAGCAATAAAACCCGCCAGCACAGCTTAATGATGTAAGATCGCCTACACCATAAACGTCACAATATTTCCCAGCAGAGCAACTTATACAGGTGGTGCTGTCAGCAGCTGACGTTGCTGTACTAAAAGTCCCTGGGGAGCATGGGTATTGCTTATCATAAAGAGTACTTGAAGGGCAGTAGTGGCCTGCTGGGCAAGTATTGGATGTGGGGTCAGAAGTTCCTCTTGGACAATACAATCCAGCTGTACAGGCGTTGCAAGATCCTTGGCCAACTGAATTTTGATATGTCCCAGGCTCACATTTTATATGGTTTGCAGAGCCACTTGGACATCTGTATCCAGCTTCGCATTGAGTTGCTTTGCCAATTAGTTAATTACTTATAATGACTTAATGCTCACGCTACGGTACCGTTTCCTCCAGGATTTAACCTTTCTTGCACATAAAGGTTCAATTCAACCTATTTTTTGATCACAACTGCACCCTTGGTGATGATGTTACAGACTTAGACAGCTTACGAATGAGCTGCTCAACTCTTGGTAAAAGGAAAATCCTGAAGCCCAGAGCATAACTCCTAATTTCACTCTAGAGGGTAGCCAAGGTACTTTCTGCAAGCACTGCTGAGTTTCTCCTTTCCAACTCCATGCCTCCCTTTCCCATGAGGTATATCCAGCCCTGAAGCGGGCTATAATTAGACTCCATGCTTTGTTGGGATTGCCAGCTAGCTGTCCATTTCTCAGTAATCCTTATTTGTAAGAGCAAAATAAGTAGCAAGAAAAACCCCAAAGAAGTGTGGCAACAATAAAAGCTTTTCATTTCTTGGTCGGCAAAATCTTCCTGGATGTAATTAAATAGCTCTCTCCACTGCATGGCCCGGAGACTACGCCGGGCTGAGATGTCATATCTAATTATGAGTTGCTTGATCACTTGAGCTTGATTGTGGGCAGTAATAATTAACCTTACAAACTGTGTTGTCATTTACATTGGCAGTGTTAATGCATGCTCTCCCTGCCGTACAAGGGATACAGTCACTGCTTGAAGCTCCTAATGTAGAAGGGTTGAATGTCCCTGCAGGACATGGATTCGCATTTCTAGAAGTAGATCCAGCTGGGCAATAATAACCTGCAATGCATGGACCATATTTATCAGTCGTTGTATCAACAAGATAAGGAGGTGTCTGGAATGGTGATGCAAGCTCGCAGAAATACCCTGCACTGCATTGGCCACTTTCAGCTGATAAGCCATAGCCAGCACAATAATATCCAGCTGTGCATGGGGTGCACTCTGATAATTGAGTAGCCCCAGTTGTGGCTCGGAAAGTCCCAGGAGGGCATGGTATTGGGTCAATAGTTCCTGACGGGCAATAATGGCCTGTAGTGCAAGTAGTTGTGGAAGTTAGCCCAGTAGTTTGGCAATAAGCTCCTGCATCACATGTTTGACAACTTCCTTGCCCGGCAGCAGAATTATAAGTCCCTCTTGGACAATTAATAGAGGCATAGCTCCCGGCAGGTGCATAAGTTCCTGCAGGTGTTTCCTTTCCAGATGGGGTACTTGATGTTTCTTTTGTGCCACACAAATAGCCAGCACTGCATTGTCCAGTAGGTTCTGCAGAAGTTGTGCTGGAGCAATAAAAGCCTTTAGGACAGTCAATACAGTCACTGCTGGACGTTGCACCTTGGTAGTTATTGAAAGTTCCACTAGGGCATGGCTGAAGAGTTGCAGTTCCTGTAGGGCAATATGACCCAGCAGGACAAATATATCCATAAGATTGGCCAACTGGAGTAGCTGTTATTGATTTTCCAGCGCAATAAAAGCCAGCCTTGCATTCTCCTGCAGTTTCAGTACTGCCTGGTTGATCACAATATCATCCTGCATCACAGCTTGTGCAATCAGAAAGTTTAGTTAAATAAGTACTTCCGCTGTTGGCGTGGTAAGTTCCTGCTGGGCATTTAACTGGGGTGATGGTGCCTTTAACACAGTATTTTCCCGCAAGACAGTCGCTAGGAGATCAGGTGGCTTCATATGGACAGTATTTTCCTTCAGGGCATACTACGCAATCAGTTGAGGCTGATGCACCATCTGATGGGTTATAAGTTCCCGCTGGGCAAGGGATAGGATCGCTAGTACCTGTTGGGCAATAGTAGCCTTTTGGGCACGTAGTCCCACTTCCGGTATTTGCAAAAGTATCAAGGTACTTTCCTGATGTTGATAATGTTGAGCAGTCACTAAGTGCCGTGGCGCCAACAGTGCTTCTATAAGTTCCTGGTGGGCATGGATAAGCGACCAAAGTACCAGACGGGCAGTAAAAGCCCTCTTTGCATTTTGTAGAGTCTGAAGAAGAACCCCAAGGGCATAAGGATCCTGCTGTGCAAGGAGCTGCATACATTGCTGTGCCAGTTGTTGTAATACTCGAGCATATGTAACCAGGAAGGCATAGAAGAGGCGCTGTTGCTCCTGCATTGCAGTAATAGCCTAAATCACAAACTGTTGCTGCTGTATTTACAGTTGATGAAGGATCTGGACAATAATACCCTGCAGTACAAGTGGTGCAAGATGCCAGACTTCCTGCACCAGTAGATGCCATAAAAGTCCCGGGAGGGCACTTATATTGTTTAGTTGCCCCAGATGGACAATAATACCCTGCTGCACATTCTCCAGTGTATGATATCGATGTTGAAGAACAATCAGATGCTTGCGTTAAAGAAGTGCTTGAAGAATAGGTCCCAGCTGGACATGCAAATTGGTCAGGCCTTTCTGTGCCATCAGGGCAAAAACTCCCAGCTGCGCAGTCACCATTACTATTGGAGAGGTCAAATGTCCCTGTCATACAAGCTTTTCCTGCAGTGCATTGAGTACAGTCTGAGCTATCAGTATTTGCAGTAGAAGATGAGTAGTATCCTGGAGGGCATGCGAAATAATTACTCATAGGTGTTCCAATAAGACAGTAAAATCCAGCAGAGCATGAAGCCCCTGTCGAGCTTGTACTTTTGGCTGCACAATAGGTTCCTGCAGTACATTCTAAGCAATCTGCAACACTTGCAGAGCTTGTAGAGGTTGCAGATAAACTATAATAACCAGCATCGCAAGAATATTGGTCAATTGTATATGACCCATAAGGACAGAAATACCCTGCACTGCATGAAATTGCGCTTGATGGATCATAACTAGAAGCAGGACAAACAGCAGCTGAGCTTGAAATCCCACAAATTTCACATAAAGACGACGTAGTTTTGGCAGTAAATCCTAAATAGCATAAGGCTGGTGATGGGAATCCATTGCCGCAGAATGTATAAGTAGAGCAGGTACTGCAGCTAGAAATGCTTGTTTGACCTGTATTGCTGTTATAAGTGCCTATAGGGCATAATATTTCAGATTTAAAGTCCTGAGAAAAGCGGCCTGCGGATGTTGAAGAAGGGGTTGCTGATGTTCCTTCAGGACAGAGCTGTCCTGCTGTACAAGCAGTGCAATCAGCTCCAGTCGCTCTTGGAATAATATCATCCGAATAAGTCCCAAATGGACAATTAAAAGTTTCTGAGTCACTCGCTCCGTTAGCTGCAAACTGACCTTTATTAGAAGTAATACATTTAGGACTCCCTGACCCTCCATCATTAGAGCAGCTCCCACTTGCTGGTATAGCATCAGTATAAGTTGGACAGGCAAATCCAGGCAGACATAATTTGCACATAGAAATATCTATAATTCCTGAATTCTCATTATAAGTTCTTGCAAGACAGTATATAGCTGTCGTCGTAAGAGGATTTAGGACTTGTGAAGAAGATGACATGTCAGCTAATGGAGTTGATGCCCCTGAGTTACAAAAACAGCCAGGCGAGCAGCCATAGCAAAGGTCAAACCTTCCAGGCGAAAAAGTTCCTTGTGAGCAGGCAGTTTGGCTTGTTGTAGATGTATATTTATAAGAAGAGTCTATATAACTACAAGTGCCACTCGCATACATTGGAAACATACAAGTTAAGCACACAGGACCCCATGGATACGAAGGGCTTGCACATGAAGTTGTCCCGCTTGTCCAGCACCCAGTTGTGGTAGAACACTCTGTACAACTATTTGAGCTATAAGTAGTCCCTGAAGGACAAGTATAAGGGTTGAAATTGAATCTTACACTGCAGACTTGACTAGAAGGACAATTAGTGACTGCATTTGAAGAAATATATTTCCCTTCTACTGCTAAAGAGACCGAATAAGTACTACAAGCTGCACTATAAGGGCAGGATTCACAAGTATTGTACCCTGAAGGCGAATAGTCATAGGTTCCTGAACATGTGGTAGGAGAGGACTCATAATTGCAGTATTTTCCTGCTGTACAAGTAGTGCAAGAAGTCTGGGAAGTTGAGGAGGAATAGGAGCCTAATGGGCATTTTAGCTCTTCTTGGATGTTTGTTTGAGGACACATGTCGCCCGCTTTGCAAGAAGTTGCGGAAGAGCTGCCTGATAAAGAATAGGAACCTGAGGATACAGCTGTAGGGGATGTAGAAGAAGAGTCAAAAACGTAGCCTTCAGCGACTTTAGTGCAGGAGGTCTTGCCTGTAGCAGTTTGATAATGCCCAGATGGGCAAGAATATTCATTAACCCCATCAGGACAGTAGTAGCCAATAGGGCAGGTAACGCATGAGCCTGAGCTATAATAAGTCCCTGGAGAACAAGGTACTGGAACTCCGCTCGACACATCAAAATTCGTAATAGTGACTGAACAAGTTGTAGTAGCTGTCCAGTCATAAGCAGCTGGTGTACACAAGTTTACAACGTCAACTGTTGTTGAAGCTGATAAGCCGTTATAATTGTTATCATAAGAAGATGTTGTGTGAGAAATTGAGACTGTATAGTAAAGATTTGTCATAGAGCTAGGAACGCTATTTACAGTCACTGTCACTGTTTGTGCAGTCGCGTAGTTAGAATTAGTAAACGTCAATGGTGTTGGTGAGACTCCAACATTGCTATTTCCTGATGAAATCGAGACAGTTACATCATCTGAGGGCTGGCTTCCTAGCCAAACTGTATATGTCCCAGACTGTGATTCTGATAAATCTAGGAAGTTGTTTGAGAGTTTTAAGGATCCATATGAGCTTTGTATTACAGTCACAATAGTTTCAAAAGTAGATGGCATTTTTATTGCATTAGTCCAAGCTGTGTCAGCGTTTAAGGAGTAAGTAAGTGTATAAGAAGTAGAACCAACAATGGTAGAGGAGCTTACAGATTTTACAGTAAAAGTCTCTGAAGACCATGAGCTTGATGTAAAGGTCACTGTGGCTGGAGATACAGTGATATCAGAACTCGATGCAGATACACCAATTTCCACATTATTTATTGGCTGCATGCTGAGAGAAACCTGATAAGTAGCAGTTCCTCCTTGGGAAACCACAACGGAGTCTTCAACAGTGATTACAGGGTCTTGGTCATATATATACAGCGTAGCTAATCCAGAGGGGTAAAAGCTGGAATCATAAATAACATTTGCACTATTTCATGTGGTATCTGAGCTTGATAGCGAGTGTGAGAGCACTATAGAGTAATCTAATGAAGACGTATAATAATAAGGAAGGTCAATTGTAACAGATTGATAAGTGTTATAATTTCCATTCGTAAAAGTAAGGCTTGCAGTGTTCACTACAAGCTCGCTTGATGATGTTGTTGTAGAAATGGTTACTGTTACATCAGAAGTTGGAGCAGTTCCACTCAATTTAATTTGATAAGTCTGAGATGTAGCACCTTCATGGATATAAGTTGGGAAATTGATTAGTATAGCATTTACGTTAGAAATTGTCACTGACGCTGAAGATGAGGCAGTGCAGCCTGTGCAAGTGATGTCTAAAGAGTAAGATCCTTGGGTTGATATGCTAGCTGAAACTGCCCAAGTGCCACTTCCTTGATTTGTATAAGTAGCTGAAGATAATGCTGACCCTGAATGATAAGTTAAAGAAAGCCCTGCAACTGGACCCAAATAGGCGTCACTATCTGTATCTGTTACTGATACGTATAGAGTAAAAGTTGCTCCAGGAGAGGCTGTTAGTGAAGTGGTTGTAAAAGTAGCTGTGCTTATAGTTTGAGTCACTGAAAAGGAATTGCTGAGACAATTTTTGCCTGATGAGTCAGAAGCTTCTAGCTTAAATGCTGTATCAGTTCCAAGGATTTTGCAGGTACTCCAAGAGCTAGCGACACCAGATGATAAAGATCCAGTTACTGTAGTAGACTTAAATTTCCCGACTTGTCCTGATGTAGTTGCAAATGCAATTAGGGTGATGGTGCCAGAGGCTGAAGTTGCGATATTTCCATATTGATCGTATGCAGTTACTGCTGCACCACTACATGCATTACCTGAAGGCTGACCTGTAAATGCAATATAAGAAAAGGTATCTTCAGTGATAGTGATGCTTATTGAATCTTTGGTAAAACCAACACAGTGAGCTTCTATAGTAAAAGTGCCGACCTATATTAATTTTACCTTACTCCCCCCCCCCCTCCGTGAGCGAACAAAAAAATTTTGTTCACTCACGGAGGGGGGTTAATTTTTTTTTTTTAAAAAAAATTTATATATAAATTTTATAAAAAATATTTTTTTCGAAATTTAAAAAAATCCTAATTTGCAAAAATTGGGAAGCAAATATTAATTTAATTTGCAAAATTTATGTTTTAAAACGCAATTTGTTAAAATTTAAACAGAATTAGCTCTAGATTTCATTATACTAATTATCACTTATATATCAAAATTTTTTTCCATTAAAATTTTTTCTATTAAAAAAATTTTTGTTCGCTCACGGAGGGTGGGTTTTTGGTCAAAAAATGGTGATTTTTCTAATGGTTTTGTTCGCTCACGGAGGGGGGGGGGGAGTTAGTTATGGATACAGAAGTAGAGCCACTGGAAGAAGAAGAATAAGAGATTGATAAGGTTCCGAATAGATTTGCTGTTGAGTCAGTTGAAAAGAGGTAGACATTGCTGCTATCTGAAGTTGTGAGAGTATCTGTATAAGTGTATTTTTCGACTGTTACCGATATAGTGGCGCCAGCTGCATAGGTGCCTGATCCGGAAGTGATTTTTAAATAATTTCTGCAGCCACTGATATGGCATTGAATGCATGCATTGGATGAATCGACGTAATACCCTGAAACACAAGCAGTGCAAATGCTTTGGTCTGATCCATCACACTTTTTGCAATGTGTTGGGTCTGTGCATGCCTGGCATACTCCACCCGAATCAGCACCATAATAATCGGCACAAGTAGTGCAAGTTCCAGGGTTTGATCCATCGCAGGTTTTGCAATATGTTGAGTCTGTGCATGCCTGACATACTCCACCCGAATCAACACCATAATGATCAACACAAGTAGTGCAAGTGCCGGGGTTTGATCCATCACAAGTTTTACAATATGTTGAGTCTGTGCATGCATGGCATGCTCCACCCGAATCAACACCATAATGATCAACACAAGTAGTGCAAGTGCCAGGGTTTGATCCATCACAGATTTTACAATATGTTGAGTCTGTGCATACCTGACATACTCCACCCGAATCAACACCATAATGATCAACACAAGCAGTGCATGTGCTTTGGCTTGATCCATCACAGGTTTTGCAATATGTTGAGTCTGTACATGCTTTGCATACTCCATTTGAATTTACCCCATAATAGTCAGCGCAAGTAGAGCATGTTGGATCCGAAGGGCAACTAATGCAATTTATATCTGTACACACACTCAAGATTCTTTTCTTGCCTGATCAATTATTTTCTTCTTTAGGCAGTTTTTGAGTAGCTGGAATACTTTTGGGTGATGATGTATTGTTAGCATTTAGGACTCCGAAGTCCAAACTTGAGTTCAGAGTATTTGATCCCATCACTTGATCGTTGAGAAAGGCTAGAAGCAGCCAAGCAATGATCATCTTTAACATTTTATAAATCATCCCATTTTGTTTAAGAAAAGTTTAAATTACTAGCTTGTTCGGTTACCTTTTCCACTTTTCTACTATTATGACAGAATTATATAATCTCTTTAGGTATTCTTCTTTAAATTATAGACATTATGGATAACCAAGTGCTATCTATATTAAAGGATCTAATTTAATCTAATATAGTATATTCTCTTAATCTGAGCTTAATATTTAAATATACCCATCTATCCAATTTTTTGGGATGTTCAATTACAGGGAATTTTCTATACTTACTGATAATAAAAGTCGTTCGCACAGAAACTCAAGCCAAATAATTTTTAGTGACCAGATTTAATTTATCATAATGTTTATATATGCTTGCCTTTTTATTATTTATCTTACCAAATTCGCAAATCCATCTGCCAATGCATATTGGCCGATTTATACAATAATTTTTTACTTTGATTGTATTTCGAGCATATATAAAATGACGACAAGGCGCACCCAATTTCTTGATGCAATTTCTCAGCCTCATGTCCACAGCGAATTCGGCAAGAAAACATTAAAGAGTAAAATATCATAACTAATAACTTTGAAAAATTTTTGATTTCATTAGCACATAGGACTGTATTTTGCTTTAAACTAGAGAGAAAATAGTCTATTTTTGCTATGAGAGTTTAAATTTGGGTTCAGAATCTAATTATTTAAATGATAAGGCATACTTTGAATTTGTTCTAATTTTTGCTTTTATCTATTTTCTTTTTGCTCTCACCCATGGCATTGTGCTTCCTCTCAATCTTAGATTCTTCAATCATATTTCCATCATGTTCGCTTCTACAGCTGTCAGCACTTCCATATAAGCTACTAACTCCCCCCCCCCCCTCCGTGAGCGAACAAAAAAATTTTGTTCGCTCACGGAGGGGGGTTAATTTTTTTTTTAAAAAAAATTTATATATAAAATTTTATAAAAAATATTTTTTTTCGAAATTTAAAAAAATCCTAATTTGCAAAAATTGGGAAGCAAATATTAATTTAATTTGCAAAATTTATGTTTTAAAACGCAATTTGTTTAAAATTAAACAGAATTAGCTCTAGATTTCATTATACTAATTATCACTTATATATCAAAATTTTTTTCCATTAAAATTTTTTCTATTAAAAAAATTTTTGTTCACTCACGGAGGGTGGGTTTTTGGTCAAAAAATGGCGATTTTTCTAATGGTTTTGTTCGCTCACGGAGGGGGGGGGGGGGAGTAAGGTGTAATCGACAGGTTCGCCATAAACAGATTCTGCATGGTCTTGGTAAACTTTAAGGAGATGTAATATTCATTGATAAGCTGACTTCTAAGAAGAAAACGAGATGCTTAGATGGCAGGGTCTATGTAATCTTGACGAGAGTAGTAGGAGTCTGTAGTTTCGAGAAGAAAAAAAGCTTCATTTCAGGGATCTCGGGAGAGGAAATTGTAGATTTGACGATGAAAGAAGAGAGAACCTTGGAGTGAGCTTTCGAGGTCAGGGATGTTTGGAAAAGAAATGGATTTGATAGTGGGATAGAACTGATTTTTGTTTTTCTAGCACAGAGTAATGCCTTATTTTACATTCTATTTTGTGATTTTATGTATTGTTTAAATGGAAATTATCTGGTATAATAAATATTTTGTTGCCTTTTAATCAATTAATAAATCCTTTGAGATCTTTTGATATTTAAAAATGCATCGTTTCAAAATTTTAAGCTAATTTTAATTAATTCAATTTTCTATTATATATAGCTATTTCGAGAAAAGCAGTTATTTTCAAATTTTTTTGTTGCAAAAATTACTAAATTCTACACAAATCATTCTGACCTATATCAAACACTGGATAAGGCCATAATCAAATATAATTCAATAATCAATATAAAAAACTTCACTTTCCTATCATACCCAAAACTCCTATTTCAAATAAAAAAAGTTACACAACTCCACATCTTTTACCCTCAATCCCACTCTTTTACCTCTATTTCCTTATCCTAACCCCCTTCTCTCCTCTCCAAAATCCTCCCTTTCTTTTTCCTCTTTTTCTCTTTTCCCTTTCTCACTTTATTTTCCTCGCATTCTCTCTTTAACGATTGGAAATTCGTTAAAAATTTAATGAAGATGGCAAACATTCCTCAAGATCCGGCGGGACTGCAAAATCTCGAAGACAGCTTTTGCACTCCTCAAAAGCCTAAAAAACAGCGGTGAACCTCCGAAGAAGACAAAACCCTCCAAGAACTCGTTCAAACCTATGGTCCCAAAAATTGGAAAACCATAGCGCAGTGCCTAAAAAATCGAACAGACGTCCAGTGCCTCCATCGATGGCAAAAAGTCCTTAACCCCGAGCTCATCAAAGGCCCATGGACCCCCGAAGAAGACGAAATTGTCATTAGGCTCGTTAAAAAATACGGACCCAAAAATTGGAGCGCAATTGCGAGCAATCTCCCTGGGCGAATTGGAAAACAATGCCGAGAACGATGGCATAATCACCTTAACCCTCATATCAGAAGAGAGTCTTGAACTCCCGAAGAAGACATAGAAATCCTTAAAGCGCATATGGAATTAGGAAATCGGTGGGCAGAAATCGCAAAAAAGCTGCCTGGGAGGACAGATAATGCGATCAAAAACCATTGGAACTCGACGCTGAAGAGGAAAATGAAGCTTGTGAAAAAGGAGTATTTGGTGACTGTGAAAAATAATGAACAAGCAGACCCTGTATGCGAATATATGATAGAACATATCAAAAAATATGGGGATGAAATTTTTGATGACGGAAAAGAAGAGGACTCATACTCAACCCCTGAAAAGACAAAAGAAAACATAAGTGAAGAAAGCACCCCAGAAAAAACCTGCGTTTTATATTATGTCTCCCCAGACTACCAAAACCTCACAACAGACGGCTCCATTACAGCAAGAAAAATAATCCAAAGCATCGAAAAACAAGCGAGCGTAATAATTAAAAATGACTAAATTAATGACTAAATTTTATGAATAAGTATTCTCATAATGAACATACCAGCAGTTTCTGGCTTCAGCAGAACCTAGATTGTTACGCTGCCTTTATCACCGATAAAGAAATCGCTAAAGTACTTCCAGTTATGAGGAGGACTTTCTCAACGGTAAAGTTTGACACTACATTGACTGATAAAAGAGGCGATGAAGTAAGCAGTCTTTCACAGATAGAAAACAGAAGGGTCAAGAAGAAAAGCGAAAGCATTGGAAGAATGGGCTCACGAAGTAGCAGAGATATAAGAAGTATGGCTTCAACAGCGCTGGAGTTCAATAAAATTATAAAAGAGTTAGATAAAGTTATAAGCAATGAAAACTATGGGCAGAAAAGAGTGATACTTGAAGAAGGGCCTGCTGTTATTATTCATTTAGAAGAAGGAGAGTCACAGTTGTTTACAATTGTCACTGCCAAAAAGCCGATACCGCTAAAAGTTAAACTTGAAAGGAAAATAGGCAGGAAAGCATTGACGACATATATGTCAAGAAGGGTGATTGTGCCGAATTTAGATCAGCATGAAACTATTTATAATAGGGATGAGTTTGATATTGGAGATATTGGCTTACGAGAACAGAGTTTTCTGACTCAGAAAATTTATTTAAATGTTATTGCAAGTGAAAAGTGCAGCTTTGCGATTGGAATTAATTTTGGAAGAATAATCTCAAAGGATGCTTCTGAAATTTTTCAATTTAGAAAAAAACAAAAAGGGACTGAGGAAGAATTGCTTGATCAAAGCATCAAAAAGGAGCCTGTTAATCTAGAAGAAGACTCCCTAGACCAAAAATACAAAAAAGAAGAAGAAATCTCCCATTCAACGGATTTTATCAAAAGAAACGTGAAAAGAGCTAGATCCTGCATAAAGCTTCAGGACTATTTATCAGAAAAAAGAGACTCTTCAGAGCTAAGAAGACAAAATGTCATCACAAAGCATAAAGAAATATTAACTGAGCATAGACTTAAAGGAGAAATTAAAATAAGAAAAAGCGAAATAAAAAAAACACTTTATACGCAGGCAGAAAAAGTATATAAACTTTACAATGCCAAATGCGAATTTGAAAAAAAGTGGTTCAGTTTTATGTATTTTTGCAAATCTGTTATAAGTTTGAAGGAAAATTTGGAAAAACGGAAAATGATTGCAAAAAAGAATTTACAGTCATTATTTGGTGCAATGGTTTTTCAGAATGCATGGAAAAAGTATATAAAAAAAGTATCATTTAAAGAGCTTAATATGGCAAGAGCAAGGGATTTACTGAAATTTTACCGGTTCCATGCAAAAAAGGTGATTGTCTCTAAAGCAAAGCATCAGCTGCTGATGGCAGTCAGCCACAGTAAAAATCATTTTAAAATTCCAACTTTTTTTTCTAGCTACACCACCAAAGTTTTGTTGATACAAAGCACGTGAAAGGCTTACCAAAAAGCAAAAGAGTACAGATTTAAGCAGGTGAATCAGCTTTGAAACCATACAGTTGATGATATTGTAAATAAAACTATGAATCGGAAACGGAAATCCAAAAGATATAAAACAATTGTCAGCAAAATTGTAAATATCCCATATGAGCACAAAAAATCTACGATTTCCACTTACCTTCAAGACTGCATGATAAATTATTTAAAAGCTGGGAGAGAGCCGCCTAGCGAAGAGACTCTTGCTGTTTCTGAAAGCACCCCAGAGTTCCGGACAAGGTCTTCTTCAAGATATGGGACTTTCGTAAATCTTAATTATATCCCAAACCAAGAAACAGTGATTGATATGATAAAAACAGCTGCTGATATAGAAAGCCCATTGAAAATCTAATTATGCTTTATTTATAAAGAGATTAAAATGTTAATATAAGCCTTACGCTTAATAATTATTGTCTTATACGATTTTGAATTACATGAGCTGCTTCAATAACCGTCTTTTCTACTTGTTCTACAGGAGGTCTGTTTAATTGGATTCTATTGTTGATCACCAATAGTGGGTTAGGAGCAGCCATCACATCTTCATTAACAGAGACACCATCAAGGTATTGTTTCAATAAACTCTTGAAGAACAAGTTATCTTTTTCCAGCTGTTTTTTCTGCTTGTCAATTGCCAATTTATCAAGCAGTACCTTATTAAATCTTTTATAAAAATTTTCCAATGCTACAAATTCATCATATGCATACTCAGGGTTCAAAAATTGTAAAATTTCTCTATTGTTTTCTTCCATTGCCGTTCTTAATTCTTGATCAATCGGAGCATTTCTATCATTATTCAGCATATCCTGGGCATTTTCTACAGCTTCAGGGTCAGATGTGAAAAATGGGACAACTTTTTCTTTTTCAGTTTCCAGTTTTCTGCATAGCTCAGCAAGTTTGAGTATTTTTTCGCCAAGGTTGACTTGATCTGTCAGCTTGCTAGAAGTGTCTCTAGAGTTGTTTATAAGCTGGGTAAGCCTTTTGACCTCTTCTTCTCTGAATTGGACCATTTTTCTCTTAAGTTCATGATAATGCTGCGTAACAGTGTCGAGCTCGTTTTTCAAAGCTTGGTTTCTTGCTTCGCACTCTTTTTCAGTTTTGCTGGCTTCTGATTTTATGCTTTATTTTTCTAACTTATCTTTATATAAAAATTTTTTTTAATATATTGCTATTTCAGACTATATAGTATAAAATTTTTCTATAGCGTCCTTATATGCCTCAACCCTTCTATGCAGTCTTTCAATCTTTTTCTGGTCTTCTTTATTTTGGTTCATCAGCTTAAAAAAGTTGGTATTAAAATCCTTGCTCCCCTGCTGATAATTCGTAAAATTCATATCTAGCTCCCTCTTCAAGTCATTTGTCTTGCTTTCCAGAATTCTCTGCAAAATCGACGTCTCCTCGTTTCTTTTGCTTCCCTCAAGATTTGTCTCGTGTCTTGACTTTATCTGATCCTGCTTCCTTTTTTCTTCTTCCTGTACCGCATTTATTACATCCTGCAGCTCCTTTTTTTCCTGTTTATGATTTTCCACGATTTCTTTTCTTTCCAGCATAAATTCATCCTCCAAAATTTTCAAATCACGCTTGAATTCTTCTTCTAGCCCTTGGAGTCTGGAATCTTGTAAGGCTAATAAGCGGTCGACATGGATCATAAAATTCCTGAGGGCAGTCTGGTATTGTTCTTCAGCTTCTTCTAGGTCACGGTCTAGCATTTGCATGACAGCGTCTTTGGAATCGACCTCACGCTCGTGATTTTGAGAATAAATTTCAATTTCACGCTTGAGCTCGTCTGTTTTGGCCATTCTCATGATTTTGCGCCACTCTGTGACGATTTTCTTTTTATTGAAATTTGTGATCTTTTGTTCTTCTTGGATGGTGTTGCGCAGGTGCTCACGCTTTTTCTTGTGAAATTCTTCTTCGTTTTTGAGGTCTTCCGCTTGGATTTGCATGTGGACTTGGCGGATGCGGACGCCGCGAAGATCTTTTGGAGCTCGGGTGGAGCGACCTTTTAACAGTTTCCCTAATAAAACCATTTATAAGAGGAAGATGAGGAATACTTGGAAAAAAAGGAAGAGGTTGAGGAGCAGATGATATTAAAAATATATATAATAGTTTGGGAATATTGGAAGAGGAAAAAGATCTTTGATTTTATATTTGGAGGTGATGTTGGAATTGATTAAATTCTACTTCTTAAATGATATAGAAAACTTAATTGTGCTTTATATTTTCATATATATTTTTAAAATTTGAATTTTTTGATTTATTAAATTGTCAAAGATAATAAAATTTTCATTTTAAATTACTTAGTCCCAATTTCTTCTGGTATGAGATTTATTTGTTTATCAAATAGTAAATTTGAATCAATGCTGAAAAAATGCATCTAATTTAAATAGGCTGATCTTCCTGATAATTATAATATTATTTTTCAACAATTCAGAAGAAAATGTAATGCCACTTAAAATAAATCTAATAAAGAAGATAAACAAATTTTTATACCAATCTTTCCCTCTTCACCTAGACTAAATACTCCTCAGTTTCGGCAAGTGCCACAAATGCGTTACAATTTATATCACAAATATACTAATTGACCAAGAATAGCCCACTATGGAGCCATTCTTGGTCTGCCAGAAAAAATTTTGACAAAAAGATCCTAATCTGCCATTACCACTGAGTTTTGGTGTTTCCAAATTTTTTGGGCAAGCCAAATGCAATAAAAAACATTGTTCTTTTGCGATGATGCATTTGGCTTGTCAAAAAAAATTTGGAAACACCAAAACTCAGTGGTAATGGCAGATTAGGATCTTTTCTGCCATTACCACTGAGTTTTGATGTTGCCAAATTTTTTTGACAAGCCAAATGCATCATTGCAAAAGAACAATTTTTTTTATTGCATTTGGCTTGCCCAAAAAATTTGGAAACACCAAAACTCAGTGGTAATGGCAGATTAGGATCTTTTGTCAAAATTTTTTCTGGCAGACCAAGAATGGCTCCTTAGTGGGCTATTCTTGGTCAATTAGTATATTTTTTTACTTTAAAAATTCTAAGTCTTATCTAAAATTAGCATTTATTTAATAATAATCTTCATCCTCCTCTTCAGGAATTTCTGAATTCTTTTGTGAAAATCTTGAAGAGTTGTAATTACTCCCCCCCCCCCCCTCCGTGAGCGAACAAAAAAATTTTGTTCGCTCACGGAGGGGGGTTAATTTTTTTTTTTAAAAAAAATTTATATATAAATTTTATAAAAAATATTTTTTTCGAAATTTAAAAAAATCCTAATTTGCAAAAATTGGGAAGCAAATATTAATTTAATTTGCAAAATTTATGTTTTAAAACGTAATTTGTTTAAAATTAAACAGAATTAGCTCTAGATTTCATTATACTAATTATCACTTATATATCAAAATTTTTTTCCATTAAAAATTTTTTCTATTAAAAAAATTTTTGTTCACTCACGGAGGGTGGGTTTTTGGTCAAAAAATGGCGATTTTTCTAATGGTTTTGTTCGCTCACGGGAGGGGGGGGGGAGTTAGTGAAAAATGAATACTGATAAACCAAATGGGGAATTGAAGGCTTAAAAGCTTGTCTTTTTACCTTCAACAACTCATCCAGCATTGGAGCATTTTCATCAACAGAGCTCACAATGATCTTTCCCCCGTCTTTAAGTAGGAATTTCACTGCTCTAGAATACTTCTCCCATACTTCACGTGTAATAAAGGGAGGATCGACTACTACAACGTCAAAGGATTTTTCAAGGGCTGGGTCAAGCTCCTCGCTATGATTAAAATCATAGAAAACAAACCCTTTGTCTCTTTGAAACGACCGGTCGATTTCAAAAAGACGCGAGTTTTCCTTAGACTTTTCAGTCAGTGAAAAGTACAGTGAAGGTGTCGACAGGCAGGCGATTTTTGTAAAACCTTGTAAATGTAGGTCTTCAGTCTCGTCTACAAGGGCGTTGATGGTCCTGGATGAGTACCAGAACTGATTGAACTCTTCTTTCTCTCTGTGTTGCTGAAGAAAGGTGTTTTCCATGTTATTCTATTTATTATTAGTATTGGAAATTTTAATGTTATTATGTCCAGCTAATCGGTTACAAAATTCAGAAGTTAGGCAGATAGGAAGGATTTGAGGTCGTGATGGGTTATTTCAGGTGTCCTGGGAGTTCTGAGCATATAATTAATATTATAAGACTAATATTTCTTTGATTCGGTAGAGTGAGATTTTATAAATTTATCTATAAGAGGAGGTTCTTCCATTATAGCGATTTTACAATGATTGCTGTATATAATAGAAGTGTCCAGAGCTGTATTAAGACTGTATATCTGGGATAGTTTATAATTTCTTTCTTTTTGATTAAGAATATAGTCATATGTAGTTACTCCTAGGCATCTGAGATAAAGATGAAAAATTAAAAAATGAGCTAAAAAAATGCTTGCAATAAACCTTAGCAGGGATGTGGCTAAAACTAAAAAAATTAAGATGAATTTTCCTAATTCATATAAACTGTGCCAATCTGTAATTATTTCCGAGGAGTCTTGATTCTGAAAAACGTCAATAAAAATGTAAACAGCAGCTCATGTTTGAATAAATAATACTGCCTTAAAGGAAAGAAATACCAAAAAAATCATTTATATACCTCAAAATATAAATACTTACATAGCCCATATCCCTATATAAATTTCTTTATCGAACAAAATTTAATGGACTGTTGAACGATCAAGACAGAATTTAATAAAGAGTAACGAGCATTAAATATAAATTTGGCTTTATAGAGCATTTGATCGCAAGCAAATTGTCATTGTTTATTTAAAAATTTATCCTTCCTCAAAAAAGAAACTAAATCAATAAATTTTTAATTTTTAAATCTTTTATTTGCTTCTGAGCTTGACAAAAAGGGTTAACTGTATTTAATACATCTAGTTTGGATGCCAATTAGCAGGAGGGTAAGTATTCTGAGTTTCTCACTGTTTGCTGCCTAGAACAAAATGGATTTAAATCCCCATATTTTAAAGTTATCCTCCTAATGCTGATAATTGGCAAATAAGTTTTATCGTTTACTCTACAACTTTAATTGCAACCTACACATAGGTTCAGAGAAAATCAGTTTTATATGTCATTAAGCATCATAGATCTTAAAATTTCCTGCTAGCTATGGATTGAAGTCATAAGAATTCTAAGAGCTGCTCATATGATGACTCAAAATAGACCTAATATGCATTGATTATAAAAAAAGTTCAAGCTTTTAGTGATATTTAAAAGTAAATAAATCTCTTCAATTCAAGCATCAATTTTCACTCTTAATAATATTTTGCACTCTAAAAGCTTCTGTGCAAACCTATTATTTGAATAAATAATTTATATTTTCTAATTGTTAGCAGATTATAATTGAAGATTATTTTTTGCCATTATAATAGATAAAATGAGCTTCTAGAGTATTTTTTAAAACCTTAGTATTCAAAATATTTTCATGAAGGCAGAAACTGCATCTAATTCAAATATAGATCTCAAAAAGTATGACGATTACGAATTTAAACGCTTTGCAGCTGTTATGGAGATTAATAAATACAAAAAGTAGTTTAAGCGATTCTGATGTGCAAACAATCGCAGAAGACATCTTGCGAAAGAATCTAGAGAAATTTATTTTGGATCTAATATGCTTAATGAAGAATTCAGGAAAATAAATAAGGTCTGCTATTGCAAGATAGCAGAGTCAGAGAAATATTTTTTAATGTATTTGTGAAACTCGGGGGGCTATTCATGATTAAAGGGTTGTGTGAAATAGAAATCTAATATAAAGCTGGCTAATTCACAAGCTAACTTGTTAAGTCTTTCGGTTATAAAACAGCATTATGGAAGCCCAATTAAAAATAATTTCTAATTTCTTATCAAGCTTTGAGGTTTCATATATTAATTTGTTTTTATTATAGAATTTGCAATTTCAAAAGCTGCACTTGTAATTATGATTCTATCCAAACTATTTACCCTATCAATATATTAAATTGACTCTGTATTATGCAATAAGATTTCCAAGAATGCTTTTACATGCCCTTTAATAGCTTGACTTATTAAGAATTTCTTGAGATTAATCATTTATTGCCAGTTCAGTACGAATTAAGTATTAAATAATTGAATCCATAGTAATTTTTATTTTTAAACAAAAAATGACCTGCAGGATACAATGTTTCCAAATCATCTAAATGTGCATAGATATCTTGGCGATGCTAAAATTATTAGAATCTATATCGTCCCTTGCAATTTATAGATCTTTCGGCATGTTTTGGAGCAATCCTATGTATGAAGCATCTCTTTTATTTGTATATGCTTAGCTACTGCATTAAGTGAGCAATATCCTTTTTTAGTTTTATATAAGAAGATCCATACTGGCATCGTTGGACACCAAATATTCCCAGTTAAGAGGATTGACTATAAAACCTCATTACCAGAATTGCACTTAATTTGAAAATATCTGCTCTTTATTAAGCATTAATGCTTGCTTTAACTATGCCTGATTATCTTCATTTAGCTTATTTCATAGCACAAATAGGCATTATCAATAAAAAAGCCTTGAGCTTGATTTATCATATCTGCAAATTCAATCTAGATTTGGATCTATATAAATTATTTAGTGATAATTTGTGATATATTTTATTTTGTAGGGCTACTCAATTATATCTAAATTCATTTTTATAATTCCTATATCAATAAAAAACCTTACTTTCCCAAGCCAATGAGCAAAACTATTTATAAAAATTAATCCCTTCGTTAATGATTTTTATATAAATAATATATATATAGTGCTTTCCCGAGGATGGCGCCATTCCGCACCATCCTCGGGAAAGCGCTATATATCTGGTGATTCTTATTATTATTTAAGAAGAGCCCTTAAGGGCTTGGATGATGCTGCATGCATCATCGTAATTTATAGATAGATTCTTATTATTAATATAAAGTCTCCAACTAATTTTCAAATAAAATTTTTGAAGATTACATTATAGCATAGTTTTTAAAATAAAATTAAATTTCCCCTTCAATATGAACAATTTAGATTTTTTTAAAATCCAAATTTCCCTTCTTTACTCCCCCCCTCCGTGAGTGAACAAAAAAATTTTGTTCACTCACGGAGGGGGTTTAATTTTTTTTTTTTAAAATATTTTATAAAAATTTTTTGTTTTTTCGAAATTTAAAAAAATCCTAATTCGCAAAAATTGGAAAGCAAAAATTAATTTAATTTATAAAATTTATGTTTTAAAAAGCAATTCGTTTAAAATTAAACAGAATTAGCTCTAGATTTCATTATACTAATTATCATTTATATATCAAATTTTTTTTTCCATAAAAAATTTTTCTATTAAAAAAAAATTTTTGTTCACTCACGGAGGGTGGGTTTTTGGGCAAAAAATGGCGATTTTTCTAATGGTTTTGTTCACTCACGGAGGGGGGGGGGAGTTAGTGAAAAAATCTTATTCGTTGACCAATGGAGGATTAGTGAATATTCAATACCTTCTCTAATTTTTGCTGTATTTAATAACTATCCTTATTTCTAACTCCCCCCCCCCTCCGTGAGCGAACAAAAAATTTTGTTCGCTCACGGAGGGGGGTTAATTTTTTTTTTTTAAAAAAAATTTATATATAAATTTTAAAAAATATATTTTTTCGAAATTTAAAAAAATCCTAATTTGCAAAAATTGGGAAGCAAATATTAATTTAATTTGCAAAATTTATGTTTTAAAACGCAATTTGTTTAAAATTAAACAGAATTAGCTCTAGATTTCATTATACTAATTATCACTTATATATCAAAATTTTTTTCCATTAAAATTTTTTCTATTAAAAAAATTTTTGTTCACTCACGGAGGGTGGGTTTTTGGTCAAAAAATGGCGATTTTTCTAATGGTTTTGTTCGCTCACGGAGGGGGGGGGGGGGAGTAAGTCTATTTAGTACAAAAACGAGAATAAATCATCCTTGCAATTAAAAAGCTGATTAACTCCCCAGATTGGCTCTTTAATTCGAGTTTATAACAGATATTGCATTTGAAATGCGCTGAGCTGACTCAAAAATTTGAGTTGGATAACTCGGGAGTTTCCAAGCCATTTCATAGCCCAGGATAGGCTATTCTCGTTTACAGGGGCTATACGTTAAAAGCACAAAGCACAATTTCAGACTAAGAATGTTCAAAAATCTTCGAATTTTATTATTTCCCCTTTTTTCTATCCCTTCTAGCATCCTATTCAGGACTCTCCCTACTTCTATTTCCATCAATCTTAAAAATTTCATTTCCTTCTCATCCTCAATAATTTTCCCCAAAATCCTCCTATCTTTCTAGTTCTCCAATATTTCCCTATCCATTTCTCATTTCCCTTCAAAGTCTCTTAATCTTCAATTTCTTCTTTACTTGGTGAACATATTATAAAATGTGGGTTTATCTGTTTCTTCTTGGACTCGCCTTTGGAGCACCTTTTCAAGATCTCGTTATAAATCAGCCTCAGCTTCCAGATGTGCCAAATTTTGACACCTATTCCGGCTACCTCGATATACCAAACTCAGGTGGGAAATCCCTTCACTATATCCTTGTTACAAGCCAAAGCAACCCAGCAACAGATCCTTTGATCCTCTGGCTAAATGGGGGTCCAGGGTGTTCTTCATTAGATGGCTTCTTTTATGAGCATGGACCTTATCTCTTTCCTGAAGATGGGACTGAATTGGTAAGGAATCAATATGCTTGGAATACTAATGCCTCGGTGCTTTATATTGAAGCTCCAGCTGGAGTTGGGTTTTCTATCTTAGGAAATGAGGCTAATAACTCAACTGATGATGAGCTTACAGCGCATGACAACTTGTTAGCAGTTCTCCAGTTTTTCAGGAAGTTTCCAGAGTATCGTAATCATGATTTTTACATTACAGGGGAAAGCTATGCTGGAATTTATGTCCCAACTCTAGTAAACAATATTCTTATGTATAACTCTGGTTATGAGGCATTAAAATTTTATCGACGCTGGCCAATTTTTGCCTTCATAATATTGGCCCAAAAAATTAAAAAAAAGCTTTTAATAGTAAAAATATGTTAAGCACATAACTCTTATACTCCTTATAACCGCATCAACATTGTTGGTTTTGCTGTCGGTAATGGCGTCACAGACTGGAACTATGACACTACCCCTGCCTTTATGAGAATGGCTTGGTACTACGGTCTCATTGGCTTCAACATGTACAACAAACTCGTCCAAGACTGCAACAACCTCAATGACTGGAATTCTGAAAACTGCCAAAACGATACTGAATATATCTATGATAGTGTCCTGCCGAATATCAACATCTACGATATATACGGCCAATGCATTTATCATGAAAACGCTCTAGAAGATACCAAGCTCAGGTTTAAATATTTATACGACATGAATCCTAACCTTGGGATCATCCCTCCTTGTGTAGGATGGGTCGGCGCTTACACCTACCTTCGTAATGACACTGTAAGGGCTGCATTCAACATCCCAACTTCTGTACAAGAATGGAAACTGTGCTCTAGCTTAAATTATCTCAGCGACTACATCCATGGCTCTTATTATCTGTACCCAAGTCTTATAAGAGCTGGGCTTAAAATTTTAATTTATTCAGGAGATGTAGACGGAGCTGTCCCTCTGATAGGAACCAGGATGTGGCTCCAGAACTTAAACTTGCAGATGATTACACCTTACTCGTCGTGGTACGTTGATGAACAAGTCGCTGGGTTCCAAATTGAGTATCAAGGGCTTAAATTGGTGACTGTCAAAGGTGCAGGACATATGGTTCCTCAATGGAAGCCAGCCCAAGCTTGGCATATGCTTTATGATTTCATTAATGGAAGCCAGATTATATAAGATTAATTGAGATGCGAATTTTCTCAAAATGGTTAATATTAATATTTCCAAGGAGTTTTATTGCTGGAAACGCTTAATCTTGATATGCTGAAAGGGGAGGAGTATCTGGTTGTGACAGCTTCTTCTGGGGTGTTGCTCCTGGATTTATTTATCTTCCGGACTGGGGAACTGGTGTTAGAGTTGTTTGGGCTGGAAGTAAAAATAGGGGTTTTTAAGGAGTATTTTTTTATCACTTCGCTGCAAGGCCTGAATCTGTTTTCATTTTCGTCAGCTAGCTTATCTTTGGACTCTTCAAGAGTGCTTAAATGAGAATTATGCTCATTTAAGTCATTTTTGGCTGCTTTTAGCTTGCTTTGGGTGCTTGATAACTGTTTTTCAAGCCATATATTTTGCTCTTCTAGTCTTTGATACTTATCAAGTAGCCTTTCATATTTTTCATTTAAAGGGTCATTTGAAAAAAGTGGGCTATCTTTAGCTGAAATTAATGGCTGGTCAGTTTCTCTGACTAAGTTTTTAATAAGCCCAGAAAGACTGTCTGTAGAGATTGAAGGCCTATATCGCTCTGTTTTTCTTTTTTCGTTTTCATAGTCAGAAACTTTAATTTCCAGCTTCAGCAAAGCTTCATCTTTTTGCTTTATTATTGATTGAAACCTTTTTATATCATTGTAAGCTTTTTTAAGCTCAGCTTCAAGCTCGGTGTTTTTCTTTTGCAGCTTTATTGAGTCATCAATAGAAAAAGAAAGCTCTGAATCCCCACCCCTTTAAATTGGAACAAAAAAATTTTGTTCCAATTTAAAGGGTTAATTTTTTTTTTTTAAAACAAATTTCAAAAACTTATCTAATTAGATTAATAAATTTGTTTAATAAAATGATATTTACTCTTTATCCTTTAAAAAAAGCAAGATATAACTAAATTTTCATTATTAGTTAATACGCCACTATTAATTGGTATCAAAATTATTTTTACACAAAAATTATTATTTTTATTGATAAAAAAAAATTAAAAAAAAAAAATTTTTCGAAAATTTATCGATCAAAGTGCTAATTTTGTTTAAATAAGATACTATTTATACTCTATTCTTTAAAATAAAGCAAGAAATAAGTAAATTTTGAATTTTATAAAGAATTCGCATTGAATTTATATCAAAATTATTTAAATAAAAAATATCATTTTTATTAAAGAAGAAACATTTAACTTATATCAAAACTTTTTAGATAAAAATTATATATAATTTTTTATTATAAAATTAAATTTTGTTCCAATTTTAAAGGGGGGTTAATTTACCAAAAAAGTGGAAATTTTACCTATATTTTGTTCCAATTTAAAGGGGGGGAGTGAGGCACTTCTGATGCTTTTTCTCTGGCTTTCCACAAATTTTGTGCAGTCAATTTCTAAGTCATTTACTTTAATACTCAACTCTTGGTTCATTTTTGCTAAAATTTCTCTTTCATCTGTCAGCACTTTATTTTGGACTTTTAGCCTATTGATTTGTTCTTTAAAAATTGCTGCACTTCTTTGCTCACTTGCAAGCTGCTGCTGTTGGTCTTCAATTCTAATAAAAGCTTCTTTTAGCTTATCCTGAGTGCTTTTTAGCTCAATTTTGGTAAAGCTCAGCTCATCCTCTAGCTCTTTATTTTTTACCCTTGATTTTTCTTCACCCTTAGTCCTATTTACTAAATTGGTCCATTTTTCAGTGATTTTTTTTCTTTCACTTTCCAAAATTTTGTTTTTTTCTTCAAGCTCTTTTTTCTCATCAAGAACAGTTTCTAGTTTTCTTTGTAAAAGTATAAATCTTTTATTCGAAGATTTAACTTGTTCGTTTTTCTTTAAAAGCTGGTACTCGATATCTCCAAATTCGCCTTTGAGAGCGGCTTGTTGGCATTTTAAGTTGTTATCGTTAGTTTCCAGCTGGTTTTTTAATGATGAGAATTCTTCAGATAAAGACCCGAATTTAAGCTTGTAGTGTTCAGCGTCTTCTTGGGCTCTGATTCTATCTTTTTCTATTTCCCGCAGCTTTTCACGGAGCTCACTGTATTCATTGTTAGGGAAGTTTTGACAATTTGCTAATGATTTTCAATAGTCTCTTTCGTGCTGAAGCTGCTCTTGGGAATTTTCATAAGTTCGAAGAGCATCCCCAAGCTCTGATAACTCTGCTTCATATTCTTTTATGATTTTATCTTTAAGTTTAGTATCTTCTCTGGTTATTTTTAAAGAGTTTTTAACTTCTTTCTATATGAAGTTTACGAGTTCGCTCAAAATTTCTGATTCATCGTCGTGTTTGAATCTTCTTATGATTTCTTCGGCAATTGCAAGTTTATTTTTCAGAGAATAGAGTTCACCTTTCATTGACTTACTTCATTTAAAAAAAAGAGATGATTTTTTTTTAATAAAAAAAATATTCTCAAATTGAGAAAATTTATAAATATAGTTTTAGCTTCCATAAATAGCATTCTACTTGCACCCTCATTTAAATAGAATAAATAAGATTAAACTGTGTACCAAAAAGCTATTATATAGAAATTAATATAATGCCAAAAATAATTTTATTCCAATTTAAGATATTTTAGTTCAAGCTAAAAGGGGAGTTAATAATAATTTCGTATTCTTTTGAAGTTTCAGATTGATCAATATCATCTCCTTTGTAATTTTCTTACTGTGTAATTCGGGTTATATTCAAATCAAAGTCAGACATTTTTGTTATGAATTGACTAATTATTCGATTTATGATTTTTGTAACATTTTATACACAAAATTAATTTGGCACCTGAATAAAATATGTAAATTAGAGAATAATATTAATTTTCTTATTTAAAATTATAGATATTGCCTTCTACTTCTGATATGTGGAAAATCGAAACGAAACCAATTATGCTCATTTTATGATTTTGGTGATGCAAAAAGGGTCTGAATTCTTAAAATTTTAATCTAAAAATGAAATTATTGCAGCCTTTTTATTCTAAAAAAATATATTTATTAGTCAATATTAATTGGACCCTCCAAAGCATACGTTAGTTGAACCTTCTTGCTGCTGATAAAGTTCTGATAAAGATACTTTAAGGTTTTGTATACTTATACTGCATTTAAATCCCAGAGAAAGTTTCTCTAATATTAAAGAATTTATATACTTTGACAGCTCTTCACAGGTTGTGTTTGAGATAGGCAAGACTATGCAATTTCTCTTAGTTCTCAAATTATAAAAACTATTTATTCTTTATAATTTTATTCTTTTTTCAAAATTTGGCAATAAATTAATTGTAGGAGTTAGGGAATTCAAAATGAATACTTCTGAAATTTACTCTGAAGTGGCCATCTAGATCTTCAAAAGGGAACTCTTTTGAGTGCTCTGGAATCATAATTTTTTTATCAAAGCTACTGCAAATTTCTAATAGTAAAGTTCTAATGTAGTCTTTGTTTATAGGTAAAAAATTGCAAGGTCCACATCATTCCAATGATATTGATAAATGATACTCGTGGCCGTGCAACAGTTCGCAATCTGAAATATAATGAGAGCTGCTGAATGTAGCTTCTTGAAAGGAAAATGTGTTTGAATAGACTTCACCAATGATCATTTTTTATTTCTACCATACCATTCTGACTGATATTTTAATGTTAAAAACTGTGGAAATTATGTTATATTACTGAACTTTTTCTAATTTGAGCCGGCAATCATTTTTATTTTAAATTCTAAAAAAGAATTGATATTAGACACATTTAAGCCTATAAACCGATTTTATTTATTTAAAAAAAGGTAAATAAATGTTTTGGATTTTTCTTATGATTTTTTTTAAATAAGCAGCAAAGATAAAATATTTAAGCAAAACTGGCATAAGAATCCTGCCTTAATTGTAAAAAACCAAGGCAAGAGTTTCCATATTTTTATATTTATTACTAAATTATATGATAAGGACTCTTTTCAGAAGCTTCGCACGAAAAGTTGCTAAAGAGACAGCACTTCCTCCAGGCACCGAGAAAAATGAGTTGACAAAAGCTCTTGATTCATTTATCGGAGAAAAACTCAAAGAAGGAAAAAGTCCAGAAGAAGTCCTAAACTATATGTTTGGTAAAGCTGCCATTAATAGGGTACACGAAGCTATCAACACACGACAGAAAATGGATTTCGACGACGTCGAGATAAAAATCTCTGATGAATTAATGCAAAGAATTAAGCCTTTTATGCCAAAAGATAGTGATATTACAAACTTGAAAAATATCATCCAACAAAAGGAGCTGGAAGAGAGAGAACAAGCAGAAAAATCGGCAAAAGAAAGCAATATAGAAGAGAAAAAAAATATTAGTAAAGAAGAAATTAAAGCAAATAAGGAGATAATAAATGAAAATGACACAACTAAAATAAACGACCCTATTGGAAGGAGAGCGAGCCATTTAAGAAATAGAAGAAAGGAAAAATTATCAAAAATAAATGTTGAAGAGGAGAAGAAAAATAATAAGAAAGGAGAAGTACAAAAAGAAGTAAATAAAACAAGTAAAAATTCTTCTCCTGGAGGAGATATTGAAAAGAGACTTGAGCAATTGAGAAGTAATAGAAACAGACCATAAAAGCGAATTATACTTAATAATGATTTATTTAAAAATAAGTTTAGTCTAGAAAGATAAGCAATTTGTATAAGATGTACTAAAACATATTGTCTTAAAAAGGATAATTAGCGAGATAGCCGAGCTGTCTTTATTTAATTATTTATGCGTGTTCATTTAATTTATATCGTTATTTAACTTAAACAAGAAAGCTCATTTATAGCAATACCCTCATAATTTGATTTAAAAATTTGTTTTGTTATTTAATTTCAGGCTCAGTTAAACTGATTTTATAGCGCACACTCCTTTGGCAAGGCATCTCTAAAGTACATTTGCTGACTCACACTATTTTCATATAGATACCAAAAAGATTTGTAAAAGCTTTCAGCAAAGTTCAAGTCGATCTGGCAAGGCTGATAAGCTTGATATGGGTTTTCAAGTTCATACTGAGTCTCAGCGTCTCTCCTATATAATTTTTACACTGCCTTCCTGCATCCTTTAAAAATCTTCTCTGCAGGCTGTTTCTTCATTTTCTGATGATGTGACCTACACTGCTGTATAGTCCTAGTCTCTACTAGCTTGGCAATCTTTTTCCAGTCCAGGCTTCTTTTTAGCCCTTCTCTATACTTCTCATGCTCGGATTCGCTCCATCTACCGTGGTTTATAATTTTAGTCATTTTTATTATATTATTTTTTCTCTGTAATTTTCCAATAAAACTCATAAGTATTTTTTATCTCTTGCCAACTTAAGGAATACAGCTATATCTACTTAAGATATAGGATTTTAGTAAAATGGAAGCAGAAAGAAGGATTGAGCACGAAAGGACAATCATGGACCCAAATGTAGAAATCCTCACAGTTAGATGAAATCCTGATGACTCTCATATCGCCTCCGCCTGCAGTGACGGCACTGTCAAAATTTACTCATCAGTAAGTGGAAGCTTTATAAGGACTTTGAACTGTAGAGTCGGGACTGGGCCAGTCCCTATTACAGGGATCCGCTGGAGACCTTCTGCTTCCTTTGGAAAAACCAAAAACATCTTAATCGCCCTGACTGTAGAAGGAACTATCATGCATTGGCATGCGACATCTGGAAAAACGCTTAACACTATCAAGCTAGACTGCCAAACCTTAAGCTTAGACTACGACTATGAAGGAAAACGCTTCGCTGTCGGCTGCTCTGATATGAACATAAGGATTTACGACGAGTCTACTAAAGAAGTCATCTCTAATTTAGTCCCAGGAATGGGTGAACTGCTTGGCCATGTAAACCGCATTCATTCGGTAAAGTTTCTCAGCGACAATATGATAGTCAGTGGAGGGTGGGATAATAACATTTTACTATGGGATATCCGAAGTGGAGCTGTAGCAAGAGGAATGTATGGCCCTCAGATAGCTGGAGATTCAATAGACTCGACCTCAAACTTGATTTTGACTGGCGGGTATCAGATTTCTGATCAATTGCAGCTTTGGAGAGTTGATGATGCGTCTTTGGCGTATTCAGAGACTTTGAGGTCAAGTGAAAGAGCTTGTATGGTTTATTCGGCGCAGTTTAGTAAGCATGACTGTGGAGCTATTTTTGCACTTGGCGGGGCTGGGTGTGATGAAGCTTATTTCTATGAGACAGCGTCTAGAAGACGGTTCGCTGTTTTAAATAACTTGGTAAAGCCTATTTATTCTATTGATTTTGCAAATTATTCCAACAGGGTTGCAGTTGGAAGTGGAGATGGAAGCTTGAGGATGCTCACCCCTCCCTATGAACGAACAAAACCATTGAAGAATCCCTGTTTTTTGTTCAAAAACCAACCTTCGTGAGAAAAACAAATTTTTATGATAGGCAAAAAATTTTAGTATAATGAAATCTCTAACTATATCTATTTAGTTTTAAATAAATAGCATTTTTTAATATAAATTTTTAAAAAAAATTTATAATAAAATTTATATAAAAAAAAATTATCCATATGAACAAACAAAATTTTTTTGTTCTCATGGAAGGGAGTCAGTGTTTTAGAGCCAACAGTAGTTGATCAAGAAATATAAACAAAGAATAAATTAGTTATATTGACTTATCTAATATTTGCATATATAATTTATTATTTTCTTGTTAATTTTTGTATGATTTCTTGAGAAATTTTACTTGGTTTCTTCTTTTTAAGCCTTTCTAAGTTTTGTTCATATAGCGCTTTCGGGTCTACTGAGATGTCACTTTCTTCAATTCTCTCCAATTTACTTTTAAACTGCTTTGGCATTTTCTCGACTTTTTTGTGCTTTCTCTTTTTAATTTGTTTTTCAGGCCTCAAAATCTGCTTGTCTTTTTCCTTTTGTAAGAGCTCAGCATAGATCTCTTCAAATGTCCTTTTCCTTTTAACAGGAATTTCACCAGCACTTGGCTCGTCTTCTTCCTTTGCCAGATATTTTCTTAAAAGTGTGATGGACATTTCTTTATATTATGTTTATTACTTAATAGGAATGCTTGGCTTTTTGTCGCAGAGAATTTTTCTTTTGCTTTTTTAAGTACTTGTTTTCGATCATATTATCTCTGTCTTTTCCTTTTCTGAGCATCCTTGACTTCTTGCCTACGATTGCTTTGGATTTGATTGGGATTTCAGATTTATCAATGCCGCTTCTGGTGATGGTTTTGGCTTCTTTTACCTTTTCTTGGATTGATACAGGCTCTGCGTCGCTGTCTTCGTCGAGTATCTTGAAGATGTTGTCCATATTATATATGGACTTCTTTGACTATATCCTATTGAATTGAATGAATTTTATCATTATAGAATTTTTGCATCAAGAGTATTTGGGTGAAATTATTTAACTCAAGTCAAAATATACCCAAACATTAGAGTAAATATGATTTTAAAAGAAGTAATAATTTCGAGACCAATTTAATTAATATTATAGCAGGAGCGCACTATTAATTTGCTTTCTTCTCGATAAATCTGATAAAATTGAGTACTTTGTGTTACAAACATATTCTCGTACATAATGGAATGACAAATCTGAAATATTAAATGTATTTTTTAAGCTGATTTTATTAATTGGCAAGCCAACTTACGAGCCATATTGAGAGGCATTGAAAAGATAGTAAGCCAATCGTAGGCTGAAACTATAGCCACTTTTGATTTAGAAAGTGTTCTATTTGAAAGATATTAGATGCATTGATACTCCCAGGCTATTTTTCATAGGGATCAGCTGTTTAAAATAGCAGAAGAATGCAATTAAAAATCCAATAAGGAATATATTTTCTATTCTATTTACAAGATAAATAAAATATATCTGTTATAATCAAAGAATATATATTTACTTACCCCTTCCGTGAGCGAAGAAAAAATTTTGTTATAAATTTTGTAGTTAGTTCTTTTTTTCGAATGTAAAAAAAATTCTAATTTGTAATAATTGAGGAGTCAAAATCAATTTAATTAGCATAATTTATGTTTTAAAATGCAAGCTGCTTAAAATTAAACAGAATTAGCTAGAGATTTCATAAAACTAATTATCACTTATATATCAAAATCTTTTTCCATAAAAAATTTTTGTTCGCTCGCAGAGGGTGGGATTTTGGTCAAAAAATAGGGATTTTTCTAATGGTTTTGCTCTCTCACGGAAGGGTGAGGAGTTAGAAAATTATCCAGAACCGCATTGAAGTTACTGATTTATATGATTATCTCTCTTTTACAAAAATAAAACATATAAGAATATTGAGGATTATTGATCTGCTCATTTAAAAGTTGACTTTTAAAATTTATATAAAATAGAATAATTCTAAAAATTTCAAAAATATTAAAAAATTATCCTAATTACTATTGCTTATCTTCATGACCGGGTTTATAAGCTTCCCAATTCAAATACACAAGCGGGAAAGTAAAGCTCAAACTAAACAAAACAACTTAGCAGCTACATAATAAGTTTCCCAATTTTAGCAAAAATAAAATCACCTAGATATAATTTACATAAAAATAAATCAATATTGCTCACGTCAAAATCGCTAAATGTGTCGCCAATCTATGATAAAACCAAAAGAAAATAAAATACCTGAATATCCCTTGTATAAAAGGAATGACTTTGATCTTAATTGATAACTTCTTGTAAATCTTCCACGAATAATAAGAGCCAGCGAGGCTATTACCCAATCAAGTAATGCTGAATCCAAAGTAATGCATACTCCCGTGTCACCAGGAAAAACCCCATGCATTTTTTTATGCTTACTTTTTACATCGAAAATGACGGAGAGTTCTTTCCTAGTTTTTTTTTTCAGAAAAAGACGATTGGTTTTTTAAAAAATTATATGATAAAAAACCTCAGTTTTTACAGAATAAAACCTCTCCGTCATTTTTGACCGTAAAAAAGCATATGAAAAAACCTACTAGCGTTTTTTCCTCATGACCCCACATATTCCCTAGGAGTGTAAGATTTCAGCCGCAGGCCAAAAAATTGCAATTGCTTTGACTATTAATTACGGCACCCAAGAAAGGGAGATAATTTTGGAAAATGACCTTTTAGATTTTAGGGAAGATATGACGAAATGAAGATAGCTTTGGGATAAGTTGACAAGTAGGCGATGACTAATTATAAAAATCAGTCTCCCTGCAATAGACTTTGTATTAGTGGTTGTCGCGTCTGAAAAGTAAGAAACTTTTAAGGTGCCATCCTTAGTTGATGAGACAATATAGCTCATACCCCTTTATAGATTTCTTTACCGAGCAAAATGTACTGGATTATTGAACGAGCAAAACAGAGTCTCTCAAAGATATGAGCTCAATCTCTATATCAGGACGTGCTAAAAAGTGCCATGCCATAAAATGATGACAAGTGTAAAAAAAGTTGGCAAGTAAACGCGCCAATTTTTAAAAAAATGAAACTAATATAAAGCCCCATTTATTAATTAAAGATACAAAATAAAAATTTTTATTTTTAAAAATTAAAACATTTTAAAAATAAAAAAATATTTTTATATTTTTAAAGAGAAAATAAAATCTAAATTTTTAAAATTAAAAAATACATGACATGAGTCATTTACAACTTTGCAAGTAATCATCAGCCTTCAATGGGAACTTTGGCTTTTATAGCATCATTGATCCATATCATACTGGCATATTTATAGGAATTTCTATCCATTCGTCTTGGCACAACTCGATTCACAATTTTTTGATTTTAATAGTTTAAAGGAATGAAATTTGTCGTTAGCAACTTTATAAAGAACAATCACCCTTCAATGGGAAACTTTGGATTTCATAGCAACATTAATCATTATTATACTGGCACATTTGTATGAAAATTTTATCCATTCGCCTTGGCACAACTCGATTCACAAATTTTTGATTTTAATAGTTTAAAGAATAATGACATGAGCCCTTAGCAACTTTGTAAAGAAAAATCACCCTTCAATAGGAACTTTGTATTTTATAACAGCATTGATCATTATCATGCTGTTACATTTATAGGAGATTCTATTTATTCGCCTTGGCACAACTCTATTCACAAATTTTTGATTGGTAATGTTTTAAAGGAATAATCATATGAGTCGTTAGCAACTTTGTAAAGAACAATCACCCTTAAATGGGAACTTCAGATTTTAGAGCATCATTGATCTATATCATACTGGTACATTTATAGGAAAATTCTACCCATTCGCCTTGGCACAACTCGATTCACAATTTTTTGATTTTCAATGTTTTAAAGTACATGACATGAGTCGTTAAGAACTTTGCAAATAGCCATCAGTTTTTAATGGTAACTTTGGTTTTTATAGCATAATAATCATTATAAAGCTTGCACATATATCGGAAATTCTATCTATTCGCCTTATACAACTCGATTCACAATTTTTTGGTTTTCAAATAGTATAAAGTGCATGACATGAGTCGTTAAGAGCTTTGCAAATAGCCATCAGCCTTTAGTGGGAACTTTGGCTTTTATAGCATCATTGATCTATATCATACTGGTACATTTGTAGGAAATTCTATCCATTCGCCTTGGCACAACTCGATTCACAAATTTTTGATTTTTAATAGTTTAAAGGAATGGCATGAGTCTTTAGCAACTTTATAAAGAACCATCAGCCTTCAATAGGAACTTTGAAATTCATAGCAACATTGATCTATATCATACTGGTGCATTTATAGGAAATTCTATCCATTCGCCTTGGCACAACTCGATTCACACTTTTAAATATTTAAATACATAAATAATAATCAAAAATATTAAATCATTATAATTTGTATATAGCATTTATTATTTATCTATCTATTATCATAATAAAAATATGATTAATTCATAAGACCTTTAAAATAAGCTTTTTTTATTAATAAATCCTAGTCTAATTGCGTATCTTAAATTTTAAATTTAATAATAAACCATTTTTAAAATCGGCGCGTTTACTTGCCAACTTTTTTTACACTTGTCACCATTTTTTGACATGGCACTTTCTAACACTTCCAGATATAGAGATTGAGCTCATCTCTTTGAGAGGCTCTGTTTTAGTCGTTCAAGAATCCAATACATTTTGCTCGATAAAGAAATCTATAAAGGGATATGAACTATATAATGTGCGCCAGTGTCAGATCCGAATTGAAAAATTTTGTCACTAATAGTTTTTTCAAAGCTTACCCAAAATCCAAATGCGTATTCTGAAGGAGTGATTAAACTGGATGTGTCTGTTGTTAAGCTCCAGGTTTGAGCACCGTCCAGGCTTGCTGAATAGCAGCTAACATATGGATCTAGACTACTACCATCATCTGCAGTTATATAAGGAGAATTGCTATCTACAGTAGCAATGCCAGTAGGTAGAGTATCTTCTGTTGCTTTCAAAAGATACCAAGATGCTGATTGAGTAAATCCCTTGTCAAATAAAAAGAGAGCGAGGACGACGAGGATATTTAGCGGCTTTGAATAAACCATTTTTTTTATAAGCAGTTTTATCTAACTTTTAGAAATACTTGTTAAGAATTTTAATAGTAAATTTTATTAAGAAATGCTTTGATTTTTTTTCAAGTTAATGAATTGGAAAGCTAGGAAAGAAATTATAAATTACTATAATGCAGCTCCAGTCTTGCTTTAAAATTCCAAATAAATAAAAGGTGCCTAAGTGCATCTGACCGCTTGACGAATTTTTTCCAACCTCATAGTCAAAGCAAGAAAAACCATTCAATAATCTAGGTCAGCTTTCTGCTTATTATTCCAGTAAGTTTTGGCTAAGTTCTTGTGGTTGAAAATGGAGATAGTCTGCTTCGTCCTTCAGGGCATGGGTAAATCTTTACGAAAAGACAGGAATTCTAGCATAGGCTTTAGAGATAAGTCTTTTTTGTATCCGCTGAAAGGAGGCACTATGGTACTCAGTCGACTCCAAGGTTCCCTCTTTAGATCAAATTATTTCAAATTGCCTAATGCAGGTTGTAGAAATTCGGTCCACCATTTAAACTGGAGCCCTTGGGCACCCATTCTAATATGAGGCAGTCTCCAAAGAAGAAGAAAGGTGGTGTAAAAGTTTTATGTTGAAAGCCATCTGATTCGATCGCTGAACTAAAGAGACCACAATGCAGATTAATCTTCTAGAAGATCCTTAAGGACAGCATCGCCAATTAAAATACCAATTTGCAATTTAGATTAAGATTAAGCTTTAAAATTAAATAAAATATCTGTAATATTACTTAGCTTTGAAAACGCCACAAATGCCTATATTTAAAACTAATTTTTTGCTTAAAGATAGTGACAAGGATTTGGATATTCAATTTCTTGTCCCTTTTGAACGAATCCAGCTAATGACATTTCCTTCACTGTCCCTTTAAGTAATTTCTATACAGACAAGTTTTTCCTTATTGTGTTTCACTTTAAAGATAGCTCAGGCACCGTTACTTTAGAGGTTATATTGCCTGGCAAACCCCGAATTCCCAAAACTTCAGGAAGCTCAACTCCTGCTTTTGCGATGCCTGGTGGGGTATTTTATTTTGGAAAGTCAGTTAAGGGAAAGTTCGTTAGCATTCTTCTTGCAAAGAGCGCTACCATAGATGATACCTTTAATACAATAACATTAGATGATGGCTCAAATCCTTATGATATAGCAGTGCCTTGCACTTCTGATGTAACTTGCATTGATAGTGTATGTCTTAATATGGGCTCAGAAAATGTATGCTTATCATCAATGCAGTATTGCGCTGTTTGTACAGCCACCGAGTGCACTACTTGTGAACCTGATTCAGCTAGAGATGAGGATACTTTTTGCACAACTTGTAAGACTACTAATGAAATTAAAAATGGGCACTGTAATTTCTACATAGGTTGCGCCATAGCCAACAATTGTGCTGAATGCTCAGCAAAAAGCACTCAATGCGATGTATGTGAGGCTGAATACTTCCTTTATGACGATAGTGCTACTTCAACATCTTGTCTTTGTAAGATTTTATTTAGCTTGTACTGACTCCTGCACTAGTTGTGAGCCAGGTCCTGATTGCTATACTTGTGCTACAACAATAACTCAAACAGGAACTACTTGCCGAGTCGATTCTATTGGATACCAGGTGAGCGCTGATCTTCCGAATATCGTATTTGACTTTGCTCATCCTCTTTCAACTGGACTGTCGAAAAGTTCATTTAAAGCTACTTCAAACTCAGGTGCAGATATCCCAACAACTGGATGGACTATAACTGGCTGCACAGCAAGCTTGAAACAATGCAAAGTTAATGCTCCTAATGTTCAAGAAAGCGATTTCCCAATAACACTTGACGTTGAGTTTATTCAAGCCTAGTCTCTTTTAGGGTAACTAACCTTTTCTCAAAAACCATTAAACCTTCTATTAATTTATGTCAAGGATTATAATATAAGCATTCAATGTATACAAAATTCTTGGAAAAGCAAATATCTTTTTAACTCCCCTTGTAAAAGCTAAAAAAATTCGGAAAATCCTATTTTTGGGATGAAAATTAATTTTTTGATTATGATGATAAAAATTTATTCAATTCAATAGGATATAATAATAACCTAAGAAGTCCATATATAATATGGACAATATCTTCAAGATCCTCGACGAAGACAGCGATGCAGAACCTGTGTCAATCCAAGAAAAGGCAAAAGACGCCAAAAGAATCACCAGAAGCGGCATTGATAAATCTAAATCCCAATTAAATCAAAAGCAATAGTATGCAAGAAGTCAAAGATAAGCAGAAAGTAAGCACTAAATCTACTATTTAATTAAAGATATTTTTTGGTGGGGATTTTGCGAAAGACTATGTAAAAATATTATTTAATTCACCAATAATAAATTCTTAATTTTATAACACTTCAGTCTAAGACACCAAAAATTTCCCAGCACTATCTTAATTAAAGCAAAAATTATTATAATTTAAGAACATCTACTTTACTAGTTAGATTAAAAAATAGTTCAGCTTTGAATAGAAGAAATACCGTAAATTTAATAGTCAAACGTAATTGGCTTTAAATTCATCTAAAATAATCTGGCTAATTATTGAATTTTTATTACGAGCTCTACCATTTAAAATATAACTATATGTAAATGGTGCAAGAAGCGTTTTAATAGTTTAATTAAGGATAATTATTTAGATTCAAATATATTATGACATTGGTTTATAATCTCACACATTAGGTGATTTTTGCACAAGCAAAATATATTTCTTTTGCCAATCTTTCTGACAGAGCTGCCTTCAAAAATTTTAGGCTTAATCTAATAGAAAATTAAAAATTGAGCCTTATACCAAATAGGCTAGATTTAATTTTGATATCGATTTATTTTCTTTAGTCTAAGAATTAAGCTTATAAATAAATTAAAACGGTGCAGGAATCGTTCCGACCTCTTAACTGCTCAGCTAATGATGGAAAGTGGCTGAGAACCTTGACAAAAGAAGCGCAGCGTTAACACGCATATCCAATAACGTCGTACAGACGTAGTAAGGCAGAAATCATGATAAGATCAGCGAGGAATCAATTGTTGGAGTTATTTTTTTTTCATGGGTGGTGGAGCATAAAGTTTAAAAAGGATTCTCATAGCAGTAACTTAGGATGTTCTAGATCATTCAGGAAACTTACTCATCGTGATACATTGCATATTTGTTTTGAGTTTTTTTGTTAGTTAGCAGCTTATTCAAAAATTCATGCTTTTTGATTCTCTGCAGAAGGCGACCTTGCTGATGTGAAGTGATAGGGCGTAAACTAGCTGAATTCTGGAAGCGAGTGCTGTCCTTCTTCAGGAAGAGGTATTACAGTGCAAGGCTTGTGCGGACTGACTTAATAGTTGCAGGTCTTTATGAATAGGAATAAGAACCTTTGGACCAGTGTGCTTTTAAATAATTTAAATTTAGCTAATTGAAGAAAAATAATTAAACTCTTAGCCTTTTTCAAGCGAGCTTAAACACCTCTTTTATGTTCGAAAATCGCATTAGAATTTTGGCATCAAGAGTATTTGGGTGAAATTATTAGTCCAAAGAAATAATAATTTCAAGACCAATTTAATTAAAAATTTATAGCAAGAGTACACTATTTATTTGCTTTCTTCTCGATGGTTCTGATAAAATTGAGCACTTTGTTTACAAGCACATGCTCACACATAAAGGGATGACAAATCTGCAATATTCAATGTATTTTTAAGCTGACTTTATTAATTGGCAAGCCAACTTACGAGCCACACTGAGAGGTATTGAAAAGATAGTAAACAATTTTAGGCTGAAACTAAAGCCATTTTTTGTTTAAAAAATGTTCTATTCGAAAGATATTAGATGCATTGATTTCCAGGATATTTCTCACAGGGATCAGCCGTTAAAATAGCAAAAGATTACAATTAAAAATCCGATAAGGATTATATTTTCTATACTATTTACAAATAAGTAAAATATATCTTTTATAGTGTTAGAATATATATTTAGGAAATTATGCAGAGCCTTATAGAAAATTTTGATATATATGATTATCTCTCTTTTTTCAAAAAAAGCATAAGATATTGAGGGTTATTGATCTGCTCATTTGAAAGTTATATCGTCAAATTAATTGACTTTTAAAGTTTAATATAATTTTAAAAATTCAATAAAATTTTAATAAATTGTAAATTTTTAATCCTAATTACTCTTTCTCATCTTCAGGATGGGACTTATAAGCTTCTCAATATTCAAATACACGAGCGGAAAAATAAAGCACAAACTAAACAAAACAACTCCGAAGCTGCATAATAAAGTTTCCCGATTGTAGAAAAAATAAAATCACTAGATATAATTTACATAAAGAAAAATCAATATTTGCTTACGTCAAAATCGCTAAAAGGTGTCACCAATCTTTGATAAAACCAAAAGAAATGAAATCCCTGAGTACCCCTTGCATAAAGTAATGCTCTCAATTTAAGTGATAACTTCTTGCAAATCTGCCACAAATAATAAGATCCAGCGAAGTTATACCCAAGCCAAATAATGTTGAATCAAGAGCAATGCATATTCCCCAGGAATGAAAAATTTCCAGCAGCAGGAAAAAAATTTGCAATTTTTCCAACTATTAATTACGGCGCCTAAGAAAGGGAGACAATTTTGGTAAAATAGCCTTTCAGATTTTAGAGAATAGGCGATGAAAAGAAGGTAGCATTGGGCTTAGGTGGCAAGTGAGCAAGGACTAATTATAAAAATCAGCCTCTTTGTAATAGACTTTGTAATAAGTTGGCAGAGGATTATCAGTATGTGGCAAAAACCGAGGATTTTTTCGACCAAATATGGACTTTGAAGGTTTCTAGGGATTCCTGCTAAAAATGATATCTTTTACAGCATGGCAGTGATGGCTCTGCCACAATTTACTCATGACTTTGAAATTTAGAGTCGGGACTGGGCCAATCCTTATTGCCAAGGATCCGCTGTGATCTTCTGCTTCCTTTGGAAAAACCAAAAAGATCTTAATCGCCCTGACTGTAGAAGGAACTATCATGAATTGGCATGGGACATCTGGAAAAATGCTCAATACAATTAAGTTAGACTGCCAGACTTTAAGCCTAAACTACGAATATGAAGGAAACGCTTCGCTGCTATAGCGAGTCTACTAACGACGCAATCTTTAATTGGTTCCAGGAATAGGCAAACAGCTTGCCTATGTGAGCCACATTCATTTGGAGAAGTTTCTCAGTGGCATTATGATAGTCAGTGGAGGATGGGATAGTAGCATTTACTATGGGATATCCTAAGTGGAGCTGTAGCAAGAAGGAATGTATTGCCTCAGATAGCTGGAGACCAAATAGACTCAACCTTAAACTTGATATTGATATGCGAGGGTCAGATTTCTGATCAATTTGCAGCTTTTGAGGGCTCACGATGCGTCATTGATATATTCAGAGACTATGAGGTCAAGTGAGAAAGCTTGCATGGTTTATTCGACGCATTTCAGTAATCATGACTGTGTAGATATTTTTGCATTTGGTGGGGGGGTGTGATGAAACTTATTTCTATGAGGCAGGATCCAGAAGATGGTTGGCTTATTGATTAACTTTGTAAGGCCTATTTATTCTATTGATTTTGCAAATTATTCCAACAGGGCTGCAGTTGGAAGTGGAGATGGAAGCTTAAGAATGCTAAGTGAAATAAGGTAAAGATGAACAGGTAGATTTCTATAATCCTATTAGATTAGCTTAAAAAACTATATGTTTTGATAGTTCCTATTTCCTTCACGCCATATGCTCTACAGTTAGTGCGAAGCAATCCTTTAAGCAGCTTGAGCTATGGATCAGTAAATCTAGAAGAATTGTCTCTCAAATCCGAATTATAAAGGAATTTTCATTTTCAATCCAAGCGTCAAGATTATTCAATACTACTTATTATATAGGAAGTTACCTTTAATATTCCGATTCTTTAGGCAACAATAATTTGCAATTGGAAACTAAATGCTGATTTGCTTTACCAAGGAGTTTTTATTGCCCAAAGAATCGAACTATTTTTTTAACTTGGTGTATGCAAGCATAGGAGCCATATGCAGGCATGCACATGGGCTGCTCTGTTTGCGCAGCTTTGGATATTATAAATTCTCAATTGCAGGATGGTAATTCAACAAAAGGAGTAGGAGCTATATATTCAAGTCGGAGTACCATTTACCTTCAATCTTCGTTCTTTAGTTAACTCATTTTCCCTCTGGAGCTTCATCAATGCAGCATATGACAGCAATTTAGAAATTAATGACTGTCAGTTTCTAAACATCTTTTTTTTAGATAGGATCATCTATGCATATCAAGCCTCAATCTTAATAGAATTCTCATTTTAATAGATTTACAGATTCTGGTAGATATACCAGCCAGCTAGCAAGCCTATAAATAAGAGACTCCCATTTCAATGAGGAAATGGGGCTCTGGCAGGGGTCTATTTACTGTTTAAATTTTGAGTCAACTTACCTTGAAGATTGATCCTTTACAGAAAATTATGTGGGGCCTTTAGGTGAGGCATTATACACAACAACAAATAATAATAGAAATGCGAATGAAGCAACTGCCTATTTTTACTTAATACTGGAGGAGCAGGAGTGGCTATCTATGCAAATGATATCACTTTTGCGATTACTTCATCTCAATTTGCTGGTAATAAAGCTGACGTTTTATGCTCGGAAGCAAAAAAACTATGGGGGCCTGGAGGAGTTTATATGAGCTGTTCAAATGCGAATACAGCTTGGACTCAAACTTAGGCTGCATGCTTGACTGGTTCTGCTGTAGCTATGTGTCATAGGAGCTATAGAATATCTCAAAAGCCAGGGTATTGAAGAGATAGCCCATACACAGATCAGCTCTGGGTATGTCCTAACCCTTATGCTTATCTTGGATCCTTTGATGCAAATAATGTCTCCTATACTGTGATTTCAGCAAAACTGCAAACGCAACAAATACCAAGAAAATTACTCTAGATCATTAAGCAGTAAGCGTATAAAATACGCGTGCTTAGCATTCAAAATCGTTATAATAATTTCAATTTTTTGCTTGCTCATCATTTAAGCTTTCTCACTAGAGATCCATAATCAATTCAGCCTTAAAACCGGCAGCTCTAGTGTCAGTATACCTGAAAATCTTTTTGAATTGCATACAATTGGTAAATATTGCTTCCACTTTTGACTTAAGCTGGCCCTCAGAACTGAAGGAAATATTTTACATCCAAAATGGAGTAGACTATGTTTATCAACAAGTCTATTCTTTTGAGTGTTGCTTGAAAGAAGATACTGAAAGCGATGCCTGCTTCAAAGCGTTGATAATTATCGCAGCATTTCCAGCAATTGCTTTTTCATAGACTTTATTATATGAATGTTTATTAAAGCCATTCAGAAATCACATAAAAACTTTTGAGATGATTTTATATCAACCTGTATCATTATTTTGTTCCTTATACACCCAGCATTCATAAAAAACTGCTTGGCTTCTTAACTGCACAGAAATTAACCTGGAGAATTTTAACTCAAGGAAGATCTTTACATAAGATGCTGAGAGGTAAGAAACGTCTTTTATAGTTTAGCTGCTACCTTTCCTACTTTAATAGTATTAGTATTTTTTTTCCTTGTAAAATGTCTATAAGCATTATAAGGCAGAGAAAAATGGTGGAAAATATCAATGTCAAGCTAAGATACGGATTTCTTTTAGTAGATTTAAGTCAAAACAATATTTTCGGGAATTTGTTATTTTATATAACAAGCTCTCTTAGTTTGATGCTCAGTTTTTCTGACGGTTTTAAATATAAATATCCGTGCACTAATTGCTGCAGCCTTATTGCTATTATTTTGGGATCTCTAATTTGAAAGCAAGCCCTTATATTGAAGATAACTAAATAATATAGAGCTAGCCGAAAAAAGCAGTTTGCATGGTCACAATCCGCAGTGGATTATTTTATTTAACCAGCTCTGGGATATAGCGAAAATCATTTTATTAATTTTTATATTTATCGCAAATATATATTTTGTGACTTATTGATTCTTCAATTTATTTAGCTTTAGCCTGCTAAATCGATTTAAAAACATAAAGAAGTTATTTAAAGGCGCTAAGGTCATGCCTACTTCAAATCCTGAAGTTATTAGCCAGCCAGATGCTTTTAAAAATGGCAGAAGAAATAATTTTTTTTCATCTCTTTAATTGAAAGCTTGAGCTTAAGACCTATATGTGCATTTTGCAAGAGAGTTTGAAATCTTACCAGAAAATTTTGATCAATAAAGACCCTTTAAAAGTGCTTTGACTCTCGACCAAAGCCATGGAGAACTTGTTGATTTCTCAAATGCTGAATGCTTTTATGTTAACCCCAGGAGCTCAGGAGTGATTTACATTGACAACAATTGCTCTCAGCTATCATTAATTAGCTGCAGCTTTATTGAAAGCATCACCGGCTTAGTTGGGCGTTATATTTTTTAGGCTAGTATTGTCAATTGAGTCTATTGCTTTTGATTCAAATATTTTCCTTTTCTTTTAGGAGGAGCTATCTATTATGCCTCACGAGTTTCTAATAGCAGGATTCCATATACTTTCAATCTCGAACAGCAGATTGTGAAAAATTTTGGCTCATAACGGAGGGGGGGAGTAAGGAAATTTTAGAAGCAAATTTTATCAAGAAATTCTTTGACTGTTTTTCAAATTTATGAATTGGATAGAAATTATAAATTACTATAATGCAGCCTCAGCCTTGCTTTAAAATCCTAAATAAAAAATCTTAATGATGCTTATCTTTGACAAAAATAAAGTTGGGCTATATTTAGAACTAATTTTTGGGTTTGAGTGTAGGGATAAAGGATTTCGGATAATCAAAATTGCTAGTGCCTTTTGGACGAATATAACCCTTTATTACAGCCCACGCCAATATTCAATTTCTAATAAAGAAATGGCTTCTAATGCAATATTTAATCCTAAGCGATATTTATAAATCTTAATTTGAGATAATTTTGGAGAGGATAGCTTTTTTGCCGAGAAAGATGCTACGAGGACAATTTTTTTTATTCGCCAATAATAAATTCTTAATTTTATAATAATTCAATCTAAGATGCTAAAAGAATCAGCATCCAGTCTCCTAATGCTGTCTTAATTAAACCAAAAACTTAGGAAAATCTAGTTCTACTAGCTATAGGACATAGGAAACTTAGTGTTTTTTAGATTAAAAATGCATTAGCTTTGAATAGAAGAATACCCCTAAATTTAATATCAAATCCGTAATATTTTAAGTTTATCTGAAATTAAAAAAATGCAGCTGCGAATAAATTTAGATTCAAATATATCCTTACAATTAGTTTAAAGTCCCACATATTAGACAGACTTTTTTACAAGTAAAATTCATTTCTTTTGTCAAATCTATCAGAGAGAGCTGTCTTTAAAGATTTTAGGCTTAATCTAATAAAAATTAAAAATTCAGCATTACTGGTCCCAAATAATCTAGCTTTAATAAATTCCAAGTTTTGATAAAGATTTATTTTATTAGGTCTGCAAATTAAGCTTATAAATTCATTAAAACGGTATGGGAATCGTTCCTAACTCTCAATTTCTGCAGCTGATGACTGAAAATGGTCTGGATACTTTGAAAAAATAGCGACGTGTTGATATATGTATCCAGAAAAGCCAAGAATCAATGTGGGAGTATTTTCTTAATGGGAAGGAGAGCAAAAAGTTTGAAAAGAATTCTCACAGCAGTGACTTAGGATGTTTCTAGGTCATTCAGGAAACTTACTCATCTTGATGCTAGACATTGCAGTTTTAAGCTTTCATTTTATTTAGTAGCGGGTTCAAAAATTCGAGCATTTTGACTCTCCATTTAAGGCGACCCTGATGATGTGCGGCGATGCGTCATAAACTATCTGAATTCTGGGAGCGAGTACCTTTCCTATTTAGGAAGAATAATACAGTGCAAGGCATGTGCCGACTGACTAGCTAGCTGTCGGTATTCAATATGTGAATAAGAACCTTTGGATACCAGACGGCATGCTTATAAATAATTTAAATTTAGCTAATTAAAGAAAAATATAAATTAAATTCTCGACCTTTTTTCAAGCGAGTTTAAGCACCTCTTTTATGTTCGAAATTCACAGTAGATTTTTGGTTTCAATTGCCAATAAAAATATAGTCAGTGACACTGACTGGCACGGGGTGCTTTTGGCTCGAAACTGAGCCAAAAGCACCCCATGCCAATCAGTGTCACTAACTATATATAAAAAAAATTTTTAAATGAAAGATTGATCTCTTGAACAGAATTCACATTTTCTAAATCAAGAAAAACTTTAAAATTAATTTTATGTCTCCTAAGTCTAGCAATAATTATTTATTTTTGGGTTTATTTCTTTTGTTAAAGCTTCTCCTAAAAATGTAGAAAATGCTATTTCTTTTTTTACGATTTCCAAAATGGATAATTAGATTTTATAAATGACAAAATAATGCACCGCGTCTCATCTTCTGGTATAAAACTTACTTAATAAAGGTAAGCTCTGCTTACTCTTCTTTGATAAGAACAAGAAATAATAGGAAAATTACCTAGTTTTGGAAAAATTATTAGAGCGAGAGCCGCCTGCCACCACCCTATATGGATAACTTCTAGCAGTCTGAGGCTTACGCCGAGCGGCGAGTGAGTGGGTTGGGCCATTTGGGTTGCCCTCCAGAAAATTCGAAAAACCAATTTTCTAGTCAAGCTATCGACTGAAATGAAACTCGTCACCCAGAGAGCCCAATGCCTAGTATTGCACTAGGAAGTTTTCCTATTGATCTCGCAGACTTTGTTGAGCTTTCACTTTCCAACACCGATCCATATCCAAGAGGTAAAACCTTGATTCAGGAATAAGCTACGTGTTTTTACATCAAAATATGATTTTCCAATTCTTTTGCTTACTCACAAGGGAGAGCTAAAAAGATTTGCTTTTCCAAGAAATTTGCATAAATATAAACTGATCCTTGCCATAAATTAATAGAAAAAGATTTAATGTTTTTGAGAAAAGTTTAATTACCCTTAAAGAGACTAGACTTGAGCAAAATCAGAGTCTAGTGTAATTGGAAGATCGGTTTCTTGAACACTAGGAGCATTAACTTTGCATTGCTTCGAGCCTGCTGCGCAGCCAGTGATAGTCCATGTACCTGTAGGGATATCAGCACCTGAGTTTGAAGTAGCTGTAAATGAACTTTTCGACAGCCCAGTTTTAAGCGGATGAGCAAAGTCAAGCACGATATTCTGACCATCGAAGCTGACCTCGAATCCAACAGAATCGACTCTGCAAGTAGTTCCTGTTTGAGTTATCGCTTGAGCACAAGTATAGCACTCTGGACCTGGCTCGCAAGTTGTGCAGGAGTCGGCACAAGCTAAATAAAATCTTACAAAGACAAGATGTTGTTGAAGCGACACTATCGTCATTAAGGAAGTATCCAGTTTCACATACATCGCATTGAGTGTTTTTTACTGAGCATTCAGCACAATGATTGGCTTTGGCGCAACCTAAGTAGAAATTACAGTGATAATTTTTAAGTTCATTAATAGTGCCATCATCCTTGCAAGCTTGGCAATAATACAACTTCTCTCTAGCTGAATCAGGATCGCAAGTCAAGCATGCATATTGAGAGCAAGAGGTGCAATACTGTAATGATGATAAGCACATGGAGCCTGTAAGACTTTTGAAATTTTGAGGGCATATGCTATCAATGCAAGTTCCAGCAGGAGAGCAAGGCGCCGCTATAATAGACGGATCTGTGCCATCATTTAATGTTATTGTATCATAGGGAGCACCACTTATGTCAGCACTCTTTGCAAGAACAACCCTATGGAACTTTCCCTTAATTGACTTTCCAAAATAAAATCTTCCACCAGGCATAATAAAAGCAGCAGAAGTTTTGGAAATTTTTGCTGTGCCAGTCAATATAACATCTAAAGTCTTAGTGCTTCAGTTATCTTTAAAGTGAAACGCAATAAAGAGCCACTTGTCTGTATAGGAATTACTTAAAGGGACAGTGAAGGAAATGTCATTAGCTGGATCAGTGGTTGTCGTGTCTGAAAAGAAGGAAAGTTTTAAGGTGCCATCCTTAGTTGATGAGACAATATAATGCTGGCTAAAGTCAGATCCAAATTGAAAAACTTTGTCGCTAGTAGTTTTTTCAAAGTTTACCCAAAATCCAAATGCGTATTCTGTAGGGTCAGTGAATAAGTCACTTGCGCTTGCTGTAAAACTCCAGGTTTGACTCCCGTCTAGGCTTGTTGAGCTGCAGCCAACATTTGAGTCTAGATTAGTAGGGACATGTGAATCTGTATCTATAAAAGGAATGCCTGAATTTACAGCATTGCTAAAGCCATTGGCTGTAGGATCTCCTGTTGCTTTTGTAAGACTCCAATCACCTGATAGTGCAAATCCCTTGGCAAATGATAAGAGGATGAGGACGACGAGAAATTTTAGTGGCTTTGAATAAACCATTTTTTTATAAGCAGTTTTATCTAATTTTATATATGTTTGTTAAGGAAATTTTAATAGTAAATTTTATCAAGAAATCTTTTGACTATTTTACAAATTTATGAATTGGATGGCTTGAATAGAAATTATAAATTGCCTTAATGCAGCCTCAACCTTGCTTTAAAATCCTAAATATAATATTTCTAATTTTGCATTTCTTTGACAAAAACTAAGTTGGCCTATATTTAGAACTAATTTTTTGGTTTAAGTGTAGGGATAAAGGATTTTGGATGATCAAATTTACTAGTATAGATTTGACGAATACAACCCTTTATTAGCGTCCAAGCCAGTATTAAATTTATAATAAAGAAATGGCTTCTAATTCAATATTTAATCCTAAGTGGTATTTATAAATCTTAATTCAAGATAATTTTGTGAGGACAGCTTTTTATTGAGAAAGATGCTGTGAGGACAATATTGTTTTATTCACCATAAATAAATTCTTAGTTTTATAATACTTCAATCTAAGACGCAAAAAGAATCAGCGTCTAGCCTCCTAGTGCTATCTTAATTGAAGAAAAAGCTTATTATGATTTAAGAATTTCTGACTATAATAGCTATAGGACATAAGAAACTTAGCATTTTTTAGATTAAAAATTCTTCAGCTTTGAATAGAAGAAATGCCCATAAATTTAATATCAAATGCATATGGCTTTAAATTCATCTAAATTAAAAACTGTTTTCAACAATTTTCAAAGCTCATTAGTTGAATTATTATGAATTCTGCCATTATAAAATTAGCACAAGTATATGCAAAAATGGTGCAAGAAACCCTTTAATAATTTAGTCAATAGGCACTGTTTATCAACTTGAAGTTTTCATTTTAGTCACAGCTGATTCAAAAATTCAAGCTTTTGATTCTCTATGAAAGACGACACTGCTGATTTGCGGAGATATGGCATAAGCGATCTTAATTCTGAGAACGGGTGCCTTTCCCTCTTTAGGAATAAGTAATACAGTGAAAGGCATGAGCAGACTGACGAGCTAGTTGCGGGTTTTTCTGGATGAGAATAAAAATCTTTGGATACTAGACAGATTGCCTTTAACTTAATTTAAATTTAGCTATTGAATAAAAAATATAAAATCAATTTTCAGCCTTTTTTCAAGCGAGTTTAAGCACCTCTCTTATATTCGAAATTCGCATTAGTCAAGTGGTAATAAAAAATAGATAAAAAGGGTTTTTAATGAAAGATTGATCTCTTGAGCAGAATTCGCTTTTTCTGAATCAAAAAATACTTTTAAAGTTAATATTATGGCTCCTGAGTCTAGAATTATTCTTGAATGTTTTGGCTTTATTTCTCTCATTAATGCATCTCCTAAAGCGTAGAAAATGCTATTGCTTTTTGACGGTTTCCGAAATGGATAATTAGATCTTATAAATGACAAAATAAAGTGCTGCATTTATCTTCTGGCATAAAACTAACTCTATAAAAGTAAACTCTGCTAACTCTTCTCTTTATAAGAAAGCATAGGGAAAAACGAAAAATTATTAAGAGCGAGAAATTGCTTTGAGATAGTTTTATATATAATATATATAGTTTATATACCAATATGGATTGCTATCATTGAAAATTTAAATTTTATTTAAATTCATATTTTGTGCTACTTAGAGCGTATCCTTTATGATTTAGAGAAATATTCAGATTATTAATAAAATATCGTTCTTATTAAACTAGTTTTTATATAATTATAAAATTTTAAATAGCTACACCTCTGGCACATCGGCAGCTTATCGGTGGCACACAATGCTGCACCATTATCACACCGCTGACTAATTTTTAAGTACCTGTGAAACATACTAAGTACCTCAGGAGCACTGTTGACACATTAGGCACCTGAGCACACCAAATACGCACTAAGCCCAAATAGTAAAAAATGACGGTTACACTATAAGCACACTCTAGCACACTGAAGGCACACTATAGACAAATAAGCACACTATAGACTTACTATAAGCCCTTTTTTGTCTATTCTTCCACATCTTAGCAGTGCACATCAATTATTCCCACTATGTCCGGCTTGCTTTGCTATCTTTTTCTTTTGATCCCATGAATATTGATGTGAAACGCCTGCAGCATTCTCGCGGCCTTCTTTCGCTATTTTTTGCTCATTGCATGGGGTGTTCACTTTCTCGAAGTTAGGATTTTTATTGGCTTCATTGGGGTAGTAAGTTTTTTTTGGAAATGCTAATAAGATTAAGTCCAGATTCTTGCAGCCTTAGCTTGGTTAAGCAGCTCTGAATAACGGGAGGTAAGGCCAGCCTAACCGACATACTGATCCTGTTTCTAAGTACCTTAAGACCTCACTATCTACGCCAGACTCAGTGCAGATTTCTTCTCTTTATTTCAGAACCCTCAAGAAGGTGAAAACTTCTCTTTCTAGCCTCAGCTGCAGGACCAAGGTAATATCCCTAACTTCCATTTTAATTTTGTTTTTTTGGAATTACTTATTATCTTGATAAAAATTTGTAGATAAAATTGTAAAACGAGCATTTAATATTAGAAGGTCATAATCTCAATAAAGCTTATTAGTAATTTAAACCTTCTTAGTGCTTTATCTCAAATTCAATTTCTTTAATTTGAATGAGCTCATAATTATAGGCTTTTTAGTCCTTCAACTTAAATCCAAAATATTTGTCTATAATCACAGGCTAACTCAGCTTTCTTAGGGCAGTTCTCTATCTTGTTATTTTATTATAGCCTAGATGTGAGTTTGAAATGATTTTCTAATACTTACCTTGAAGATAAACTTTCACTTGCAGATTTGCACCATAGTTTACTTTATTCTGAAAAATTATGAGAGTAGATTATTTTTCGGAAAATGAAACAGCTAAATCCCTTCAGTAAGAAAGCAGAAAATTTTAATTTTTAGGTGTATATTTTATTAAAATCTTATAGTAAATTTATGTTCGAAAATTAAAAAAATTCTGAAAATAGGAAGTAAAAAATAACATAATTTGTAAAATTTATGGTTTAGAATGTTAATTATCACTTATATATTAAATATTTTTTGATAAAATGTTTTTGATCGATATAGAGAATTTTTCCAAAAATAGAGATTTTCCAATGTTTTTTTCCCTTCCAGTACAAAAGGAGTATATACTCCAGGCCTCTTTTTTGGTCGCCATGGACTAAAAATCAGTTCAAATAGAGTGCATGATTATCCCAGCTAGCTATTTTCTAGTGGAATCTTAAATAGAATTTTTCCTTTTATGTGGCAATAGCAAAAAATCTGAATTGATATATAAATTAGAATCTGAGAATGTTAATGCTATCTAAAAATGAGCTTTGGGAAATTTAAATCTAATTAATGCATTATTGACTATATGAATGCATAATTCTAACCAAAACTTTTTGACTCTTTAAGCACAATATCAATCTTAACCTTAACTACTATATGCATTTTCTTTTAAAGTCAATCTCTTTTGTCTATCGGAGCTTTCAGTTTCGACAGCCTTCAAGCCATATCTTGGGGCAGTCAAGAATCTAAAGGTTGCAGTTTTCACAGCAAGCAGCTAATACCACTTTTACGAAATTTCATGTTTTTGAAAGCAGGAGTCTCATGGTGCGCATTGTGGGCTGCTAGGTGTCAAGAATAATATCCCAAAAAACCTTATAATAAAAATTATCCAAAGAAGTTTTTCTGTATGGGATATCAATCAGATCAGATTATGTAGATCTGAATCAAGATTCACTATTTTAGATTTTTTAGAAATCGTTGTACATGGATTATCACTAAATTCTCAAATCTGAAAGGATCATCGAACCTAAATAGGAATAATGAGCTATGTATGCAAAAGGCAAGGGCTGAAGAGAAATATTAAGGTGCTTTGCTGATTTTGTTGGATCATAGCAATACCAGCATACTCAATTCACGAGGCCTAAAATGTTTTCTGAAATTTGGAAATTAAATTTTAGGCTTATTTCAGCTCTTTACCTTCACAGGTTGGCTTAGCGCTTAATTGGTTTCGAGTATTAATCCCAGCTAAAACCCTTTTCCTCTCTGACCACCAAAAAATGTTGGGTCAGACAGTCTATTTGGGGAGACGAACCGATTCAGATTTTGATTTTTGAAACAATTAAAGACTGAATACTACTAGCGGTGTTTGGAGAGCGGATGGATGCTTATGATCTCTTTCTTGTATAAAGATTGTTTCAAAAAATGATGTAATATATTGCATCTCAGTTTGATCACTGTGGCTGGAAAAAAAGCACTAAAAATCCATCGGAGAGCTACTGCCAATGGGATCTATCCACCTTGGGCCTGAGTCGATTTCCAATTCTTACGCCACTGAGAACCTAATTTCACTTGCCATTTAGAAATTCTAAAATTTGAAAAAAGATTGATAAAAATTGAGATGATGTAAAAGGCATTATATTTTCAATGCTTTTGAATAATCTCTGCCTATATCAGAAACTTTGCAGACTAATAAGCTCTTTTTCGTAATTTTATTAAACTCCATATACTCTTAAAGCTTAAAAAAAAAAGCAGGACAAAAAATTATTTATCAGAATTTACTTACAGAGGCTATATTTCATTATTAAGCCAAACTTATAATTTCCATACAGAATTCAAGCCATGGACGCCACTTTTCTGGGCTTTATGGCTTAAAAATATATGCTCAAGCTTTTTCAAACATACTCGTTTTGAAATGTGCTTTAAGAGAGATCATAGAAGTTTTATGCTTGATAATATCATTATCAGCGGTAAGAAGGGAGGAAGGCTGAATATAGCAATAATAAATTTATTTATTTGAAAATACAATGAAAAGGGATAGAAATTATATGGTTCTGTCTTAAGTTTTTTAAATTTTAAATTCAAAGAACGCAAATTCATTATATTATCGTCAAACTAGACTAAAGCTATGCAATTTAATTTATTTCTTTTATAATTCTTCAATTCATGTGGAATCTAGCCAAGGATAGCTCAGAGGCAGTCGATTGAAAAAAGCTATACTCTTATAATGGACATCAATAACTGTCTATTTTTGCTTGCTTTATATCATGCTTTTTCAATTCTTTTCTAAGCATCCTTGATTTTTTACCTTCGATTTCTTTGGATTTGATTAGGATTTCAGATTTCTAGACCCACTCTGAAGATGTTGTCCGTCCTTAATACAGGCTCTTTAATGCATTGCTATATAAGTAGATAAGTGGTTAATCACATTTAACCATATTTCTGAAAAATATCGAATTTTGACGGGAGGATTATATACTCTACTCGTCAGAAACTCTAATTATTTTATCTAGCTAGTTCCTATTACTAGAAATTTATAGGTTCTAGCTGTATTCAGGGATTGCTATTTAATTAAACTGGCTGAGCAAATCATAGAGTTGGAAAATAATAAGGAGCTATGGCAAATTGAATTGCATCGTGAAGTCCTTTCACTTAGAAGACTATTTTTTAACTTAATTTAGGTTTATTTGATTTGGATATATTTAGCCTCCTATTTTCTTGGGCATTTTTGTTGACTATGACTGTTTTGGCCCATAAATGCTAAACACAAAGAATCTGCAGAAGCTTCTCATCTTCTTGAAAGCAACTTTTATTAAAGAGCTAAGTATTTTGATTAGAACACAGCAAGCAAATCCTTAGTTATCATTAAAATCTCCCAAAAAGGATTTTAATTCAATTTTCATTTCAAGTTTTCTTTTTCATCTATTTTGATGAGATTTCAATTTTATTGGGGCTGAAAATCATGATTTCCTTTGAATTTTATGAGAGAATCATTATCTGCGACTACTGTGCAATGGCAGCCTTCTAAAAGCCAAGCAGAGCTTGAAGAATAACTCGAAAATGAATGAAAATTAAATTAAATTGAATTTCTCATAAATAATTGCTACCATAGAAAAAGTATAAAATTAATTAATAAATGCTAGATAAGCCTTAAATAATAATTAACTTTTTATTTAATCTCTTATTTTGCTAAAAACTAGGCATTCGATTACAAATTTGAATAAGTAAAATAAGTTAAATTTTGAAGTGCTTATAATAGGAAGATATAGGAAGCGATTTTGAAATTTTATAAAAATTTTCTTGAAAATTATAACTAAAAATGATTCATAAAGCAATTCTTACTCCCCTCTCCGTTTGAGAACAAAACCATTAGAAAAATCGCTATTTTTTGCCCAAAAACCCACCTCCGTGAGCGAACAAAAATTTTTTATGGAAAAAAGTTTGGATATATAAGTGATAATTAGTATAATGAAATCTCGAGCTAATTTTATTTAATTTTGAACAAATTGCGTTTTTAAAATATAAATTTTACAAATTAAATTAATATTTGCTTTCCAATTTTTGCAAATTAGGATTTTTTTGAAATTTTGAAAAAAAAAATTTTCTATATAATAAATTATAAAATTTTTAAAAAAAAAAATTTAATCCTCCTCAGTGATCAAGCAAGATTTTTTTGTTCGGTCACGGAGGGGGGGAGTTAGCAATCTTATTTTAATAGCAGTGTTAAAATGAATTTAATAAGAGGATTAGCTGCCCTATAGTTAATCTTGATTGAATTTTAAGTTAGAAATCACTGGAAGCTTATTTTAGTAAGATCGGCCACATCGTGCTGTTCATAAAGGTGCCTTCTGACCAACCAGAACGAGGCATTGTAGAATTAATTTTCATATTTACTTTGTTGGCTGATTTCTTCCGTCTTGAGCAACTCTAGAAGCACTGAAGATCTTGCTGCAAGAACTGCAGGACCCAGTGCAGGTTAGATAAATTTATATATGCAGTGTGTGCATGCTTCATCATTGTAAATTAAATAGCCTGCACCACATAAAGTGCAGAGCTTAATGAAGATAAACTGTCAAGAACTATATAAGAGCATTACAGCAACCTAAAGTAAAAAACACAGTAGGGTTTGATGTTCCAGTTAAACTTACTCATGATCTTTGTGAGTAATTAATGCAAATATCTGTAATTCTTAACTTTATAACGATTATGGACTTTAAATTTAATAGTAAAGCCATTTAAAAATTAGTGCATTTGTTTGCCAACTTATTATCATTTTGTGACATGTCACTTTAAACCTTTCTAATATAGAGACCCAGTCCTTCACTTAATAGAGCCTGACTTGGTGGTTCAACTTTCTATTATATTTTGTGCAATAAAGATATCTATATAGGAGTATGGGCTATATTGCTTTTGAAAAAATATAAGCTTATATTATGATCCTTGACATAAATTAATAGAAGGTTTAATGGTTATGAGAAAAGGTTAGTTACCCTTAAAGATTTGGCTTAGACTTGAGTAAAATCGAAGTCAAGAGCAATTGGGAGATCGCTTTCTTGAATATTAGGAGCCAAAATTTTACATTGTTTCAAGCCTGTTGTGCAGCCACTGAAAGTCCATCCACTTGTTGGGATATCTGAACCTGAGTTTGAAGTAGCTTTAAATGAACTTTTTGACAGCCCAGTTGAAAGTGGATAAGCGAAGTCAAATACGATATTCGGAATATCGACACTGACCCGGAGCCCAACAGAATCGACTCTGCAAGTAGTTCCTGTTTGAGTTACTGTTTCAGCACAAGTATAGCACTCTGGACCTGGTTGGCAATTTGTGCAGGAGTCAGCACAAGCTAAATAGAATCTTACAAAGACAAGATTTTGAAGTGGGACTATCGTAAAGGAAGTATCCAATCACACATAAATCGCATTGAGTGCTTTTTACCGAGCATTCAACACAATGACTGGCTTTGGCGCAACCTACTTAGAAATTACAGTGATAATTTTTAAGTTCATTAGTAGTGCCATTATCCTTGCAGTTTTGGCAATAAGTTCCCTCATCTCTAGCTGAATCAGGATCGCAAGTAGTGCATCCGTTGGCATCACAAGTAGTGCAATACTGTAATGATGATAAGCATATGTTGCCTGTAAGACTGCCGAAACTTTGAGGACATATACTATCAATGCAAGTTCCAGGAGTACAAGGCGCTGCTATAACATCCTGATTTGAGCCATCATCTAATGTTATTGTATCAAAGGAAGCATTTATGGTGGCACTCTTTGTAAGAATAACCCTATGGAACTTTCCTTTAATTTTATATCCAAAATTGAATTTTCCGTTAGGCATAATAAAATCAGTAGAAGTTTTGGAAATTAGGTCTATGCCAGTTAATAGAACCTCCAAAGTGATAATGCCTGAGTTATCCTTAAAGTGAAAAGCAATAAAGCATCACTTATCTGTATAGAAATTACTTAAAGGGACAGTGAAGAAAATGCTATTAGTTGATATCGCTGATCCAGTGGAGTCAACGAAGAAGACTTCTAAGTTGCCATCCTTTATAGGTGATGAGACAACATAATATCCGTCATCGTTAGGTCCGAATTCAAAAACTCTTTCGCTAATAGTTGATTCAAAGTTTACCCAAAATCCAAATGTGGACTCTGAAACACCAATTAAGTTGGATGCGTCTGCTGTTAAACTCCAGGTTTGACCACCACTCAGGCTTATTGAGCTGCAGCCAGTTACTGAGCCTAGATCAATAGAACTACCTATAGTTGTTATAGGAGGATTGCCACCATTTTCATGATTGGCGATGCCAGTGATTGTATCTGCTGTTAATCTTCTAAGAGTCCAATCGCCTAGCAGTGTAAAGCCCTTAGCAAATGATAAGAGAGTGAGGACGACAAGAGTATTTAGTGGCTTTGAATAAACCATTTTTATTTATAAACAAATTTATTTCACTTTTATAAATTCTAAGCAAATTTTAATAGTAAATTTTACCAAGAAATGCTTTTATTGCTTTTCGAATTGTAATAAAAATTATTAGCAAGCAAGCAATTGCCAAATGGCTTTGATTGAAATAAAGAACAAAAATCTAATAAATTTATGATTTTAAGGATTTGAGTTTCTTCCGGGAGAAATTATAGTTCTTCTAAAATTAGCACTTTTTACCTTCCAAATTAATCCCCTTATATATACGGAAAACCCAGAAGAATAGAGAAGCTGTCTTAATAGCTAAATCTTCATTATTTTATTATAGCTTAGAAGTTAGATGGCTAATTTATGCGGCTTTCTATTAATCCAAAATATTTACGATTTATTATCATATCAATAAGTTTATCAATAGATTTACTTACAGAAATATTTTAATAGATAAAAAAGTACCTCATGTCTCTCAAATGACCTTTTAGAAATATATTTCCAATAATACATCTTTGTCCTCCCTTTTAAAAAACGGTAATTTTTTCCCCTAGTCGAAAATTTACCATATCAGAAAACTTCAAATTTATTGCCGAGCATAAGTATTTAGGGTGAATTATTAACTAAAGTCCAAATAATCCCAAATAATAAAGGAAATATTATTTTAAGTAAACTAATAAATGCAGGACTAATTTAATTAAAATTATAATTAAAAACCCAATAAGGGTTATTACTCTATTTACAAGACAAATAAAATATATCTTTTTTAATTTAAAATATATATTTCTAAACTAACTTATAGTAGAAATTACGCAGAACCTTATAGAAAATTCTGATCTATATGATTATTGACTGGTGGGTATCAGATTTCTGATTAATACAGCTTTGAAGGATTGATGATGCGTCATTGGCGTATTGAGAGACTCTGATGTCAAGTGAGAGAGATTTATGGTTAATTCGGCGCAGTTCAGTAAGCATGACTATGGAGCTATTTTTGCGAATTTGTGGGGCTGGGTGTGATAAAGCTTATTTCTATGAGAAGGATCCAGAAGACGGTTCGCTGTTTTGAATAACTTGGTAAAGCCTATTTATTCTAGTGATTTTGCAAATTATACCAACAGGGTTGCAGTTGGAATTGGAGATGTAAGCTTAAGAATGCTCACTCCCCCTTAAAAGCCAAGCAGAGCTTTATTAAATTAAATTGAATTTCTCATAAACAATTGTTACCATCAGATAGAAAAAGTATAAAATTAATTAATAAATGCTAGATAAGCCTTAAATAATAATTAATTTTTTATTTAATCTCTTATTTTGCTAAAAATAGGCATTTGATTAAAAATGTGAATAAATATAAGCTAAGTTTTGAAGTGCTTATAATAGGAAGGAAGATATAAGAAGTGATTTTGAAATTTTATAAAAATTTTCTTGGCAATTAGAACTAAAAAATGATTCATAAAGCAATTTCTTAAGCAATATTATTTTAATAGCAGTGTTAAAATGAATTTAATAAGAGGATTAGCTGCCCTATAGTTAATCTTAATTGAATTTTAAGTTAGAAATCACTGGAAGCTTATTTTAGTAAGATCGGTCACATCCAGTTGTTCATAAAGGTGCCTTCTGACCAACAATAATGAGGCATTGTAAAATTAATTTTCATATTTACTTTGTTGGCTGATTTCTTACGTCTTGAACAACTCTAGAAGCACTGAGGATCTTGCTGTAAGTACTGCAGGACCCAGTGCAGGTTAGATAAATTTATATATGCAGATGTGTGCCTTCTTCATCATTGTAAATTAAATAGCCTGCATCACATAGAGTCTAGAACTTGATAAAGGTGAACAGTAAGAAAAATATAAGAACATTACAGCAGCCTAAAGTAAAAAACACAGTAGGGTTCGAGTTGCCAGTTAAACTTAATCATGATCTTTGTGAGTAATTAATGCAAATATTGCTTTGAAAAAATATAATGCTTATATTATGATCCTTGACATAAATTAATAAAAATAAAGAGGTTTATTGATTTTGAGAAAAGGTTAGTTACCCTTAAGAGACTTGGCTTAGGCTTGAGCAAACTCGAAGTCAAGCGCAATTGGGAGATCGCTTTCTTGAATATTAGGAGCTCCAATTTTGCATTGTTTTAAGCCTGCTGTGCAGCCAGTGAAAGTCCATCCGCTTGTTGGGATATCTGAACCTGAGTTTGAAGTAGCTTTAAATGAACTTTTCGACAGCCCAATTGAAAGTGGATGAGCAAAGTCAAGCACAATATTCGAAGCATCGAGGCTGATCTGGTAGCCAATAGAATCTTCCCTACAAGTAGTTCCTGTTTGAGTTATTGTTTCAGCACAAGTATAGCACTCTGGACCTGGTTGGCAATTTGTGCAGGAGTCGGCACAAGCTAAATAAAATCTTACAAAGACAAGATGTTGTTGGAGTGGCACTATCGTCATTAAGGAAGTATCCAGCTGGACATAAATCGCATTTAGTGCTTTTTGTCGAGCATTCAGCACAATGACTGGCTTTGGCGCAACCTACTTAGAAATTACAGTGATAATTTTTAAGTTCATTAGTAGTGCCATCATCCTTGCAAGATAGGCAATATTGTGCCTCATCTCTAGCTGATTCAGGATCGCAAGTAGTGCATCCGCTGGCATCACAAGCGGTGCAATACTGTAAAAATGACAAGCATATGTTACCTGTAAGACTGCCGAAACTTTGAGAACACACACTATCAATGCAAGTTCCGAGGAGTGCAAGGCGCTGCTATAGCTTCTTGATTTGAGCCATCATCTAATGTTATTGTATCAAAGGAAGCATTTATGGTGGCACTCTTTGTAAGAATAACTCTATGGAATTTTCCCTTAATTTGACTATCCAAAATCGAATTTTCCACCAGGCATAGCATAACTCATCAAAAGTTTTGGAAATTTTGGCTATGCCAGTTAATAAAACCTCCAAAGTAATAATACCTGAGTTATTTATAAAGTGAAACGCAATAAAGCACCATTTATCTGTATAGAAATTACTTAAAGGGACAGTGAAGGAAAAGTCATGAGTTCAATAATTTACTCCAGAGGCTGAGCCGAAGGCAACTTTTAAGGTGCCATCGGTTCTTGATGAGACACTATAAAATGGGCCTATGCTATTTCCGAACCGAAAAACTCTTCCGCTAATAGTTGATTCAAAGTTTATCCAAAATCCAAATGTGTACTCTGAAGCATCAATTAAGCTGGACACGTCTGCTATTAAAATCCAGGTTTGACCACCACTCAGGTTTATTGAGCTACAGTCAGCTAATGATCCTAGATCAATAGAACTATCTGTAGTTATAGGAGGATTGCCACCATTTTTAAGATTGGCGATGCCAGTAATTGTATATCCCAGGAACCTGTTTAGATGTTCCTGGGCTTGCTCAACTCCCGAATTGGCTCGCCAGCTTGAACTGGAGCATCAAGTCGGTGAGTTGCGCTGCATTCTCCTAGCCCAGGACCATCTAAATAGATTCCTGGACTATATCTGCTGTTAATCTTCTAAGAGTCCAATCGCCTAGCAGTGTAAAGCCCTTGGCAAATGATAAGAGAGTGAGGACGACGAGAGCATTTAGTAGCTTTGAATAAACCATTTTTATTTATAAACAAATTTATTTTACTTTTATAAATGCTAAGCAAATTTTAATAGTAAATTTTACCAAGAAAAGCTTTTATTGCTTTTCGAATTGGAATAAAAATTATTAGCAAGCAAGCAATTGCCAAATGGCTTTGATTGAAATAAAGAACCAAAATCTAATAAATTTATGAGTTTAAGGATTTGAGTTTCTTCCGGGAGAAATTATAGTTCTTCTAAAACTTGCACTTTCTTACCTTCCAAATTAATCCCCTTATATATACGGAAAACCCAGAAGAATAGAGAAGCTGTCTTAATAGCAAATCTTCATTATTTTATTATAGCTTAGGAGTTAGATGGCTAATTTATGCGGCTTTCTATTAATCCAAAATATTTACGATTTATTATCATATCGATAAGTTTATCAATAGATTTACTTACAGAAATATTTTAATAGATAAAAAAGTACCTCATGTCTCTCAAATGACCTTTTAGAAATATATTTCCAATAATGCATCTTTGTCGTCCCTTTTAAAAAACGGTAATTTTTTCCCCTAGTCGGAAATTTACCATATCAGAAAACTTCAAATTTATTGTCAAACATAAGTATTTAGGGTGAATTATTAACTAAAGTCCAAATATACCCAAATAATAGAGGAAATATTATTTTAAGTAAACTAATAATTGCAGGACCAATTTAATTGAAATTACAATTAAAAACCCAATAAGGGTTATATTTTCTATTCTATTTATAAGATAAATAAAATATATCTTTTTTAACTTAAAATATATATTTCTAAACTAAGTAACTTAGAAAATTATGCAGAACCTTATAGAAAATTCTTATCAATATGATTATCTCTCTTTTTTCAAAAAATCGCATAAGGACTATCAAGGATTATTGATCTGCTCATTTGAAAGTTATATCGTCAATTTAGCTTGACTTTTTAACACAAAATAGAACAATTCTAATAATTTAACAAAATATTAATAAATTGTAAATGATTAATCCTAATTACTCTTTCTTATCTTCTATCTTGAATAAGGATGGCCTTATAAGCTTCCCAATATTCAAATACACAAGCGTGAAAATAAAGGGCAAACTAAACAAATACAATTCAGCAGCTACATAATAAAGTTTCCCAATTTTAGCAAAAATAAAATCGCCTAGATATAATTTACTTGGAGATCCACATAAAGAAAAATCAATATTTGCTCACGTCAAAATCGCTAAAGGTGTCACCAATCTTTGATAAAACCAAAAGAAATGAAATCCCTGAATATTCCTTACATAAAGCAATGACTTCCAATTTAACTGATAACTTCTTGTAAATCTCCCGCAGATAATAAGAGTTAGCGGGGTTATCAGCCCAGCCAAATAATGCTGAATCCAAAACAATGCATACTCCTAGATCATCAGGAAAAACCCCAGGTTGTTTTTTTATACTTACTTTTTACTGTCAAAAAGGACATAGGGTTTTTACCCTTTTTTTCAGGAAAAAACCATGGGTTTTTCAAAAAGGCATATGGAAAAAGATTATCTATATTTTTCCTTGGCAGAAAAACCCTCCGCCATTCTGACGGTAAATAGGCAGCATGAAACAACCTACCTGGGGTTTTCTCCTGATGGCCCATATTCCCCAGGGAGTGTAAGGTTTCCAGCCGCGGGCAAAAAAATTGCAATTGCTCTGACTATTAATTACGGCGCCCAAGAAAGGGAGATAATTTTGGTAAAATGCCTTTCAGATTTTAGTGAAGATGTGACGAAAAGAAGGTAGCATTGGGCTAAGGTGACTAGATGGCAAGGACTAAGTATAAAAATCAGCCTCCCTGTAATAGACTTTGTTATAAGTTGCCAGATGATTATCAGTATATGGCAAAGGCCGAGGATTTTTTCGATCAAATACGGACTTTGAGGCTTTCTAGGGACTTGGCTTTTGATAATGTAAGGACGGCTGAAGTATAAATAAATTAACAGATGAACAGTAAACTATATAAGAATTACTGAGATGCCGCTTACACTTAGCCGATAGAAATTAGTAAGTTGGGCTACACAGTGAGGTCCTCCATCTTCAATGAATGTAGCATCCAATGTGTAAGCGCCTGCTAAAAAGATATCTCTTATAGCATTCATTGAAAATTATATTTTTTCTCTAATAGCTAAATTTACATTATACTATTTTTAGCTAATTTGACTATTTTAAAAATTTTATATAAAAATTCCTATTTAATTTAAATTTTATAATTATTCATAAAATTCTCAGTCCAAAAGTGGTCGAATTATTTAAAGAATCTATCTTCTAATAATTATAACATGGACAAAATGCTGAACAGAAAAGTCTCATTTAATATAATTGAAAATAAAGCCTTTGACGTTTTAGGGACCTACAAAGTCAAACAAGTCCAAAGGCTGAAAACAATTTCTTCAGAAAAGACCTTAAGATCTTTAACCCCAGACCCACTTTTAAAGTCAAGGGCAAGCTATTCTTTTAATAAAACGACTCGAGATATATCACATATGCTTGATTCCCAGAAGTTAAAGCAAAATGTAAGCGATGTAGAGACGTTGCACTCGATTTATCGAGGGGCATCTAGCTCAAGTCTGCCTACAGACTATGAAGAAATCAAGAATTATGTCAAAAATAATTTCATACTTGATTCCAGCATTTTTCTCGACACAGGATCTACCCAATCAGGTGAAGAAAAAACAAGCCTAGGCTTGCCCACTGGAAGAATCCAGGCTAAAAATTTAAAATATTGGCTTGATACCATGAAAAACAAGTACATTAATGACTATTTAGAAGAGCTCTACAATGGTCACAGCCTTAACGAGCTGAAACGAGAAGCAATTGAAAATATTTATAAAGCCTGCCTCAGAGAAGTTATCCGACAAGTATCTGTTTTTTGCTTAGATAGAGGGAATCTTATAATGGAAGTTGTATCAGTTCTCTTCAAAATCTGGAAAAGTAAGCTTGATTGTCAAGCAGATATTGAAATTGAAAAAGAAAAACAATTAGAAGAAGAAATCCTGAAGCTAGAAAGCCAGCACTCAGAAATTTTGACTAAAATAAACGAAAAACTGACCAAAGCCAACACTCAGCTAAAGGCAGCTTTACAAAAAGTCCAAGACCAAGAGCAAGAAAATACCAATCTAAAACAAGTTATTTTTCAGCTAAATGATGAAATAAATAAATCAGCAGGGCTGATTGACCCTTTTAAGTCTTATAAACTAGCTGGAGAGCCTGCTGTTTTTAATGATGTAGGGATCATTATTGAAAATAAAGAAAGAAAATTAGAAAAGGCAAAATTAGTATCAAAATCGGTACAGACTGATACGACGACAGAAAACCAAACTTTTGAGTTCAATATTGCGTCGACTGGAAAAGTGCTACAGATGGAGAAGCTAGGGAACACTTTGGCTCAAAAAATTGAGGAATTGAAAAATAGGCTTGCGAGTTTGGATCAAGAAATTTCAGAAAAAAATGCTCAGTTGAGTGAGCTAGACCAACAAGTTATGAATGCAAAAATCAAGATTTTGAACTCAGAAAGGGCTGAGTGGCAGGAGAGCAATTCTCCTCATAAAGAAAATCAGGAAAGACTGTCAAGAAGCGAAAGCCCGCTCAGACCTGAAGATACAATTATGGAAAAAATTGATGAAGGACTTGAAGAAAACGAGCTAAAGCCGCCTTCAAGAAAGGTCGGAAGAAATTCGATTTTTTTTAAAACGCCTTCTAGAGGGTCGAATAATCCAAAAGACCTTTCCCCAAACCCTAAAAAAGAAAGAAGAGGCACATTTTCAGCGAATGTGATCATGTTTAACAAAAGACATACTAAATTGTCAATTAAAAACAGCCCTGCGATCCAAATTTTAGAAGAATGCTTTAAGCTTTCAAAACAGAAAATGAACTCAAAATCGATTTTTTCCAAAAAAATGCTGCATAAGGTGCTAGAAGGCATTTATAACAGCTTAGATATAGACAAAATTGAGAACCTCCATAATGATTATTTACTTGAATTCATTCATAAAGAGCTGGTTGCTAAATATGCAGCATCTAAAGTCGCTGATAAAAAACTGATAGAAATTATTGCAAGCTGCTTCAGATACAGCAATGACCCAAAATTCAGGGTTTTTCTGAGGCTTATAGGGGCTGGAGAAATTATGTCAATGACAAGTTTTAAGATAAGGACTTTTAAGGGGATTTAAATAAATTTAATTAATTAATGCCCCATTTAATGGCTAGGAAATTTATCTCCTTACATGTCATTGCCCCAGAGGAATCCGCAGAAGCCCTTCTATCCTGCCAGAGGAGATGCTTGCACATACCTATCTGGAATCTTCTGGCACTAAAGCTCCTAAGGGCTTGACACATTTGATTGCAATTTCCAGTATCGCAATAGCATATACAGTCATCGGAAACCTGCTCGAGAGCGTTATGGCCGACTCGAGCTTGTTGTTAACCGTGCCCTTCCACCAGAGGGTAAAACCCCATGTCCCAGGTTTAGCGCCTTGAGGCACAACTGAATCTATATGTCGATATATACCAATGACGCCTAATTCTAGGCTTGGTTTCTCAACCTAGGTATCCCTGCAGCGCTGAGAAAATTGCTCCAAGTGATTGGTTGCCTCCACCATTAATTATATACTTTTAAGGTAATAATTGAGTGTATTCACTTCATGAACAATGCAAATCTTGGCATTATGATAGAAGATTCTATCCAAAAAGCACTATATCCTAAGCTGAGGGCTATAGAATGCATTAAAGAACAATTCGAAAAAATCTACTCTAGGCCATTTTATTTAGAATTATTGAATAGGATCAACCAAATTTCGGTAGATGATAGGATAAATAAGGACGGGCTCATTCAGAATGATACTTTTATAGAAATTATTGCAGAGCACTATCAAAAATATCATGAATCTGTATTAGAAGGTATCAGAGCAGTTGCCTGGGCTATCACTGGGAACCAAGTTTCAAGCTTTATCAATAAATGCGACTACATTTTGGCACTGCGCAGCCTTTATCCTTCAAGGTATTTAGAAATTGTTGAAGACCAGTCTCTTTATAGCAAATTCAGCTTCTTAAAGCCAGAGTCTCAGTCAAAAACTTTGGTTTCTCTGAGGGCGATTGAAGATTTGTCACTTTTGAAAGGGATTTTTCTTATAGAAGATATCAAAAAGGTATGTGATGTAGATAATGTCAGCGATGAAGAGATGGCTGCAACAATTTCTAAGGTATCTGGTCTAATGGAGGTGTTCAATAAAATAGGGGATGAAAATCTTGCAAGCAAATCCTCATATACTATGGTATCTTGGCTGCAGAAATTAGATATCCTAACAAACTTTTGTTTGAAGAAAAAAGGGGTTGGGGTGTTGGCATTCAAAATTTATTCTTTGGAGTCTGAAAGATTCCTTTCTAATTAAAATTAATGTTTATGCTTTGTTATATTGTATGCTTTTAGCCGTTTTTCAATATAATATTATTATTTATTTTTGATAAATAAAATTTTGCTTTATATTTATTATGCATCGGAATAATTTATAAAGTAAAGTTTCATATAAATGCAATAAAAATATGAAGCTTAGTTTGGCATTTCGCTTTTTAAGTACCAATAAAGATTATCCTTCTCTTATTACCCAACAAGTAAAATCTAACCCAATCGTAATGTATTCACGGACAAATTGCCAGCAGTGTAATAAAGCTAAACTCTTGTTTTCTGAGTATAAATTGACTCCATATACAATTGAAATAGATCAACAAGAAGATGCTACTTCACTGCGTGAAGCAGTCGAATCCTTAACAAAACAAAAGCGAACTCCAATGATCTTTATTAAAGGAGAAAGTATCGGCGGCTTAGGCGGCCTCAAAAATATGCTTAAAAATAAACAAATCCAAGCTGACCTTCAAAATCTTAAATAATTTAAGATTTTCCATTATAATTGAATATAAGCAGCCGTTAATGATAAATAAAATTTTTATATAAAGAGACTAACAAACTCCATTTAGCATTGGATAATAAACAGCCTATTAATTTTTTATTTATAAGTATGAGCAACCAAGACCTCAAAGATCAATATGCGGAGCTCCTAAACAACATAGCCCTCGGCGGTAAGGTTTTCTTGAAGCTCATAGGCGGCGCTTTTCGTTTATCATTCAATACTGCAGTTTTCGTCTTGAGTTGTGGATCATTAGTCAGATGAAAAAACCCACAAGGGAATATTCAGCCTAAAAAAGTACCTGCTGAGAATAAACAAAATAAAAACGCCCCAATAATTCCTGATTCCTCAGACAGCAGTGGAAATTCTATTCGCCAAATTTTTTCCTAATTTTTTTATTTATTTAAAACAATAATTTTTTTTTAAATATTAAAAATTCTACCATTGACGAGTCTGAAGACGCTTTAAGATACCAAGTAAGGCAAGAACTGCAAGCCTCAATCCCAAGGACAGCTTCTCGAGATATGCTAAATCGGCTTGTCCAAAGCCATGAATTCAGTCAAAGAGAAAGCTGGATTGACAATCGCCAACAAGAAGAAGACATTATAGTCATCCCTTCTTTATCTTTAGATAAAGGGGAACTTGAAAAAATCACAGCAGTTGGCTGCTATGAAGAACGTCAACTTTGCACCTTGTTTTACCTTAAAAACCCAAGGTGTCGGCTTGTTTACGTCACGAGCATGCCAGTTGATAAAGCAATTGTCGATTATTATCTTGCTTTACTTGAAGATAACTCCATTGTGACCGCAAACCAAGCATCAAAAAGACTATTGCTATTAAGCTGCAATGATAATTCCCCTATACCATTATCATCAAAAATACTTAGGAGGCCAAAACTTTTACAAAAAATAAAAAATTTCATAAATCCTATGAAATCTCATATGATCTGCTTTATAAGCTCAAATTTGGAAAGAGACCTTGCAATCCAGCTTAACGTGCCGCTTTTTGCAAATGATCCATCACTTACGTATTGGGGCACAAAAATTGGGTCAAGGCAGACTTTTGAAAAAGCTGGCGTCCCACTGCCCAGAGGAACTGCACTTGTCCATTCTCCTGAAAATTTGGTCAGTGAGATTGCCAAGCTGCACAGAGAAAAGAATTTCGAGGTCGAAAAATATGTCGTCAAGCTAAACATTGGGTTTTCTGGAGAAGGGAATGCCCTTATCAGGACAAAGTACTTTGACAATGGCAATCTGGAGGCTTCAATTCTCCAAGCTTTATCTAACCACCTTGAATACGTATACAAAAAAGAAACCTGGCACACTTTTGTCCAAAAAATAATCAATCTGGGGGTATTAGCTGAGGAATGGATTGACAACGCTGTTGAATCCCCATCATGCCAAGCACTAATAAACCCTAAAGGGAAAATTGAAATTTTGTCGACCCATGAGCAGCTATTAGCTGATGGGATGACTTATATGGGCTGCGTTTTCCCTGCTTCTGGAGACTATAGAACCCTTATTATGGAGCACACTATGAAGATCGGCCAAACACTGGCCAAAAAAGGATGCAAAGAAAGGTTTGCAGTAGATTATGTAGTAAGGCAGGAAGAAGGACGATGGGCTGCTTATGCCATTGAAATCAATTTGAGGTGGGGAGGGACCAGTCATCCTATGATAACTGCAAAAAATTTGACTGATGCCCATTTGACTGAAGAAGGGCTGCTGATTGGTGCTGATGATCAGGCCAAATTTTATGTAGCCACTGATACAGTCCAAAATGATGTGTATACAGGACTTACTCCTGGCGATTTCTTAGACTTCGTTAATGCTAATAAAGAATTGCAATTTGACAATGAAAATGCGACAGGAGTGGTTTTTCATTTGTTGTCAGCTATTTCTGTGTATGGGAAGTTTGGGTTTACAGCGGTTGGAAATTCTCCTCAAGAAGCCAAAAGCATTTTTGAGAGGACACTGCAGGTTCTGGAAAAAGAAGCAAACCAAATCAGCTTACAAAAGAAATTCACGGAGCTGGACCAAGAAATTAAAACACCAGATAATTAATCTTATGATTTTAAAATATGAATTGATTAAAGCTTAAAAATCAGATATAAATAATTATGAATTAATGCATAAATATATCTTATTGAACTAAGAAAAGCTCAAAAATAATGTAAATTCATCAATTTTAAGAAAAAAGTTTGAATTTAATTGAAAGAAGAATAGGTATCATGGTATTATAGTGCTATAATTGCTAAATTGACATTACTTTCCACTTAATAAGCAATTAAAATTTTTATAATTTTACTCAAAGATTTAAAAAACAAAACTTGCAATTATATTAATTCCCTGTAAGGAAACAAAGACAGTTTTTATTAATTTTATTTTCGAAATTTAAAAAAATTTCACGGATGGGGATTTTTTCCAAAGTTTTATTCGATCACGAAGCGGAGTGAGTAATTAAAATTTAATTTTGAAAGATTTCATTTGAATAATGATTGCTTTAGATATAAATCCTAAACTTCAATTTTCTCCTTATTAATTGTTATTTTTATAAATGATTAAAACTCGATATAAAGCAGTGTTATAAGATAACGATTCTTAATTTGAGCATTAATAATCTTTACTGCTATAATATAGATAATGCTTTAGATTCATGGGGCATATCAAATACAAGAGTAAGCTAGAATTCGACTTCTTAATTAAATCCTAAGAATTAACACAAGTATTCAAGGCATAAAAATTAATAAATAATAAGCTTAACTAAGAAGGCTTTTAAGTGCACATTTTTGTAGATTTAGTACTCTTGAGGAAACTTACAAAAGAATAAAAATTATAAAAGTCGAATGATCTTAATAATTTATTAAAGAAATATAAAACAAAGTAATAAATAAATGCTTAAATTTTGTGCATTTAAATTCCATAAGTTATATAACCTCTTTGAGCTATCTTTAAGTTATTAGCAGTTTGCAATCCGTACTCAAATGGAATAGACTCATGCAGTTGACTACATTTTGTGCATATCTATACGAAAATGGTGCAGGATAGAAAAATCCCCATAAATTCCAAGCTTTTTCAACTCAAATAAATCTGCCATTTTAATATGAAAAAGACCTTATCCCTTTGTATTGAGTAGTAATCTTAAAAATTGTGAATTTTTATTAATTTTCTAAAACTCTGATTCAATACTTAAAGAGTAATTTCTGATCTAAAGAAATAGCCATAAATTCATGCATTTATGCTTCAAATGTAAAAAAAAATGATGACAAGTGAGAAAGCTTCAAGATTAGAAAAATTGGGTTTTAATTTGGAAATATCAAGAAGGGTGCTGATTTTGTGTGGAGGAGATGCTGATTTGGCTTTCTGTCTGCTGCTGGACGGAGGATGGTCAGATTCAGAAGATGCTAATAAGGATGCTGATGAAGAAGCTGGATTATGGAGAAGAAAACTGTAATAAGAGCAGAGATTATGAGTTTGAAGATGCAGAAGATGAAATAGAAAGCTTAGTTAATACACGAAGCGATTTAGATGATAAGCTTGTCGAAAAAGATGAAGGTCAAGATGAAGACATGAGTGCCCGCGAAAAAGTGATAATTGAAAAATATGGAGATTTGAATTTTGGCGGGAAAAGTGAAAATTATGATGAACTCTTGAGAATTGAAACCGAAGTGAGAGCAACGACAAGATTAATTATCAGGCATTAGACAAATAGCATGGAATATGAGTAGTGCAGATGGCATAATCAGGACGTAAAGCATCTTATTGAAGATTGCCCCAAATTCAACAATCAAAGAACTGATTTATTGATCAAACTGAAAAACTTGATAATTGATGAGATTGATACAAAATTAATAGATGTTGTGCTAGATTCATGGAGATACGATAAAATGAAGTCAACTATTAGAATGAAGGAAGAACATGTAAGAGAAGTGGATGCAGCTGTCAAAAGTTTTAAAAAAGAAATTGTAAAAATTAAAAGAATAAGGCGTTTAATGCGCGAAAAAGGATTATATTATTATTATGCTTCAAATATTAGAGGAAGTAATCAAGCTTGAATTAATAAAATTTTAAAATGATTGTCCAAAAAATCATAGCAATTTGGGGTAAATCAAGAAGATTATAAAGAAATTTAAAAAAGCAAGTTAAAAATAATGCTATAGTGGAAAAGAAAAATTTGTTTGAAAATTAACTGAAAAGTGATATTCAATGATCCTGATGTAAACAAATTTTATCTAGTTACAACAGAACGACGAATTTAATGATAGCCAATGCGATTTTTACTAATAATAAGAGTCAGCTCAAATAAGTATGATTTTTCGATTGAGAAGCATACCATTTAAATAAAAAATGAAATCAAAAAAAAGTCCTTTAGGGTTATTGATATGCTTGCTTAATTCTCTCATCATTCTGTTTCTCTAAATAATTAAATCCTCATGAATTGTTCTGCTTCTTGGCGAAAATTAATTTCCTGCATATCAGGTCAATTTTGGCTTATTATGCTTATTTTTATTATAGCAAAATTGATGTAGTTAAAAGTGTTAAATTCTATATATAGAGGATTAAAAGACCTATCAGAAGGTTCTACAAAAGGGTAAATATCAGTTTGGCTGATTTGATATATAGAAAAACGATAGACTGCAAATATAGCCTTGCTCTCTTTTCGATTTAAATAATTTTTAGTCACTTTTCTTCAAGCCTTGCTAGTTTCATTGGAGAATAAGTAGCTTCAGTATCGTGCCTACCAAGATGCTGATTAATAGGTAGCTCTAGAATGAAAGGGCTTTAACTATGGGGAACTGAACGTAGGCTTCAGGTGCTTTTTGCAAGGCATAATTAACTTAAGAGCCTGAATCTGAGCTGATCATGGCGCAATCGCTTGATTCACCAAATGCTATTAAAAATACAGCTGATGGCTCGCAATATTAGTGACTGAACACAGAGACTTGAAGGGTTAGAAAATCTGCTTGCCTCTGATTTTAGCAGTATGACTCACAGTTATTGACGGAAAAAATCCTTCTTAGAAACCTAGTTTTAACTTGCTAATCGCTATCGTGACTGCGATTTTCCAAGGAGTTAAATTTATCAGCATTTATAATGTAATCTTTCAGCGCCATCCTATTTAATTATTGGTATAACTATATGGCAAATAGCTACCCGCATGATCTTCAGTGATCATATTTTTTTGACTTGCTATAAATGCAGGATTATTCTCTTCAAGCCATGCACAACACCTCATATATAAATTTATTTAGCCTGCACTGAGTCCTGCAGTTCTTACAGCAAAACCATCAGTACTTCTTGTGAGCTGCTGAAGTCGCCCAACAATGAAGAAATAAGCTATAAAGCAAGTATGAAAATTAATTCTGCAATGCCAAATCTGGCTGTTCAGACGACACTTTTATGAGCAACTTGATGTGGCGATCTTACTCAAATAAGCTTCCAGTGGTTTCTAACTTAGAATTCAATCAAGTCTAACTATAAGGCAGCTAATCCTCTTATTAAATTTATTTTAACACTCCTATTAAAATATCTTGCTAAGAAATTGCTTATGAATCTTTTTTAGTTATAATTGCCAAGAAAATTTTTATAAAATTTCAAAATCGCTTCTTATATCCCCCTATTATAAGCACTTGAAAATTTAGCTTTATATTATTAATTTAAATTTAATCGAATGCCTGGTTTTTAGCAAAATAAGAGATTGAATAGAAACAAGTAATTATTTAAGGCTGACCTAGCATTTATTAATGAATTTTATGCTTTTTCTATTTTGCGATAACAATTGTTTATGAGAAATAGAATTTAATTCTTCATTCATTTTCGAGTTATCCTTAAAACTTTAAGTTTTATCACGAAATCCTTTGTAAAGGTAATTAAAGGAATTTTATAATCGCTATTTCAGTTATATTAATTTCATTACTGGCTTCATTTTGGATTATGTATTGATTTGCTCCAGCAAAAATGTTTTTTATTACATAACCATTACTTGTCTATTATAAGCTTGGCTCTTTGCATGCTGGAGAATGACAGTCATATCTTCTATAAGCAACTTCTCAATCTAGGTCCTGAAACTATGGAGATAATCGAATCTTTGTGTTTTGACTTGTTCCCATCTGGGATGATCTGAATTTTATTTTCAAAAAATTAGGATGGGGATATCTTATGAAAACATTGAGAATCTAAAGGAACTATAGCACAAGAAATAATTAAAGGCAGAATGACTTAAAGCTTTTCAATAACGAAGGGTTTGACTTAGAGCTATTGCTTTTTAGTGACCACTCAAAGTTTCTTGACTTCTTATTTTGAGTCTTTATAGCCGTATTGCCTTAAAACCAAAATTGTCAAAATATTTCACTTACTTAAAACAAAATCTAAGTTTAAAAGCTACTAAAATTCAGGATAAATAGGGTTATGTTATTAGATTTTATTATTTCTCTTATATTAGAATGGCCAATATAAACTAAATGGCTAGGCAAACTCAGCTGAGTGTTAGGGTGTTAGGGTGTTAGGGTGTTAGGGTGTTAGGGTGTTAGGGTGTTAGGGTGTTAGGGTGTTAGGGTGTTAGGGTGTTAGGGTGTTAGGGTGTTAGGGTGTTAGGGTGTTAGGGTGTTAGGGTGTTAGGGTGTTAGGGTGTTAGGGTGTTAGGGTGTTAGGGTGTTAGGGTGTTAGGGTGTTAGGGTGTTAGGGTGTTAGGGTGTTAGGGTGTTAGGGTGTTAGGGTGTTAGGGTGTTAGGGTGTTAGGGTGTTAGGGTGTTAGGGTGTTAGGGTGTTAGGGTGTTAGGGTGTTAGGGTGTTAGGGTGTTAGGGTGTTAGGGTGTTAGGGTGTTAGGGTGTTAGGGTGTTAGGGTGTTAGGGTGTTAGGGTGTTAGGGTGTTAGGGTGTTAGGGTGTTAGGGTGTTAGGGTGTTAGGGTGTTAGGGTGTTAGGGTGTTAGGGTGTTAGGGTGTTAGGGTGTTAGGGTGTTAGGGTGTTAGGGTGTTAGGGTGTTAGGGTGTTAGGGTGTTAGGGTGTTAGGGTGTTAGGGTGTTAGGGTGTTAGGGTGTTAGGGTGTTAGGGTGTTAGGGTGTTAGGGTGTTAGGGTGTTAGGGTGTTAGGGTGTTAGGGTGTTAGGGTGTTAGGGTGTTAGGGTGTTAGGGTGTTAGGGTGTTAGGGTGTTAGGGTGTTAGGGTGTTAGGGTGTTAGGGTGTTAGGGTGTTAGGGTGTTAGGGTGTTAGGGTGTTAGGGTGTTAGGGTGTTAGGGTGTTAGGGTGTTAGGGTGTTAGGTGTTAGGGTGTTAGGGTGTTAGGGTGTTAGGGTGTTAGGGTGTTAGGGTGTTAGGGTGTTAGGGTGTTAGGGTGTTAGGGTGTTAGGGTGTTAGGGTGTTAGGGTGTTAGGGTGTTAGGGTGTTAGGGTGTTAGGGTGTTAGGGTGTTAGGGTGTTAGGGTGTTAGGGTGTTAGGGTGTTAGGGTGTTAGGGTGTTAGGGTGTTAGGGTGTTAGGGTGTTAGGGTGTTAGGGTGTTAGGGTGTTAGGGTGTTAGGGTGTTAGGGTGTTAGGGTGTTAGGGTTGTGTTAGGGTGTTAGGGTGTTAGGGTGTTAGGGTGTTAGGGTGTTAGGGTGTTAGGGTGTTAGGGTGTTAGGGTGTTAGGGTGTTAGGGTGTTAGGGTGTTAGGGTGTTAGGGTGTTAGGGTGTTAGGGTGTTGGGTTAGGGTGTTAGGGTGTTAGGGTGTTAGGGTGTTAGGGTGTTAGGGTGTTAGGGTGTTAGGGTGTTAGGGTGTTAGGGTGTTAGGGTGTTAGGGTGTTAGGGTGTTAGGGTGTTAGGGTGTTAGGGTGTTAGGGTGTTAGGGTGTTAGGGTGTTAGGGTGTTAGGGTGTTAGGGTGTTAGGGTGTTAGGGTGTTAGGGTGTTAGGGTGTTAGGGTGTTAGGGTGTTGGGTGTTAGGGTGTTAGGGTGTTAGGGTGTTAGGGTGTTAGGGTGTTAGGGTGTTAGGGTGTTAGGGTGTGGTTAGGGTGTTAGGGTGTTAGGGTGTTGGGTGTTGGGTGGGTAGGGTGTTAGGGTGTTTGGGTGTTGGGTGTAGGGTGTTTGGGTGTTAGGGTGTTAGGGTGTTAGGGTGTTTGGGTGTTAGGGTGTTGGGTGTTAGGGTGTTAGGGTGTTAGGGTGGGTTAGGGTGTTGGGTGTTTGGGTGTTAGGGTGTTAGGGTGTTAGGGTGTTAGGGTGTTGGGTGGGTGTTTGGGTGTTAGGGTGGTTGGGTGTGGGTGGGTGTGGGTGTTAGGGTGTTGGGTGTTGGGTGTTGGGTGTGGGTGTTGGGTGGTGGGTGTGGGTGTTGGGTGTTAGGGGTGTTAGGGTGTTAGGGTGTTAGGGTGTTAGGGTGTTAGGGTGTGGGTGTGGGTGTTAGGGTGTTGGGTGGTTGGGTGTTGGGTGTTAGGGTGGTAGGGTGTTAGGGTGTGTGGGTGTTAGGGTGTTAGGGTGTTAGGGTGTTGGGGTGTTGGGTGTGGGTGTGGGTGGTGGGTGGGTGGGTGTGGGGTGGGTGGGTGTTGGGTGTGGGTGTGGGTGTGGGTGGGTGGGTGTTGGGTGTTAGGGTGTTGGGTGTTGGGTGTTAGGGTGTTGGGTGTTGGGTGGGTGGGTGTAGGGTGTTGGGTGTTGGGTGGTTGGGTGTGGGTGTAGGGTGTTGGGTGTGGGTGTAGGGTGTTGGGTGTGGGTGTTGGGTGTTGGGGTGGGTGTTGGGTGTTAGGGTGTTAGGGTGTTAGGGTGTTAGGGTGTTAGGGTGTTAGGGTGTTGGGTGTTGGGTGTTGGGTGTTGGGTGTTAGGGTGTTAGGGTGGTGTGGGTGTTAGGGTGTTAGGGGTGGGTGTGGGTGTTAGGGTGTTGGGTGTTGGGTGTAGGGTGTTGGGTGTGGGTGGGTGTGGTGGGTTGGGTGTTGGGTGTTAGGGTGTTGGGTGTGGGTGTGGGTGTTGGGTGTTAGGGTGTTGGGGTGGTGTGGGTGTTGGGTGTGGGTGGTGGGTGTTGGGTGGGTAGGGTGTTAGGGTGTTAGGGTGGTGGTGTGGGTGTGGGTGTGGGTGTTGGGGTGTGGGTGGTGGGTGTTGGGTGTTGGGTGTTAGGGTGTTAGGGTGTTGGGTGTTAGGGTG